CCCCCCCCCCCCCCCCCCCCCCCCCCCCCCCCCCCCCCCCCCCCCCCCCCCCCCCCCCCCCCCCCCACACCCACCTTCCCGGGCCCATCGCGCAACTTGGCCATCTGCGCCTTGTAAGTCGCAAGCTCGTTGTCCAGCTTCTTGATCTTGACCTCGATCCCGCCCATCCGGCTGTCAGTCGACGTGATGGCGTCGGTCAGCGACGGCTTTGGGCGCGCCTTGTTTGTGCCGAAGATCTGGGGTCAGCAAGGCGGGGGTGGTGCGAGGCGACGAGTGGGTCGAGAGGACGTGAGTGCTCTGCCTCTCGAGCCCATCATCGACACTCACGCGGTTCATGGTGGTGACGGGGTGACGGACGATGCGATGCGGAGCTCTCGTCATCTCGTGGCCGAGTGGGTGGCCAACTCGTCACAACGTAAAGGGAGGAGTGGATAAGTGGGCCCCAGCCGGTGGAGGTTGGCCAAGCGCGGGTGATGCGACTTCGCCTTCCTCCCTCTCGTCATGGATGCCTCACCACACTTCCTACTTCTCGCAGCGACGCTCCTCGACTCGTCTTTAGATGATGGTGGGCTTGTGTGCTGAGCCACGCTTGATCAGGCAGTTGACTCCAGACACTACTCTTCTCCAGCTCCACGCCGTGTTCGGGCCGATGCTCTTGAGCGCGATGCAGCTGGTGGACCGGCGGGAGGGTGAGTCTTCCGAAAGGCATGCCGGCTGATTGAAGTGGTGCATGTAGACCTTGGGGGACGAGGGCTATACCAGGTTCGCCAGGTAGGGGGCTAGCTGATAACAGGTATCGTCATCGGCAGGCGCACCGTATACGCTCTACCTCGACCTCCCCGAGCTGCCTCCTCCTCCCGCCGAAGACCCTCGTCCGGAGACTGTGGAGCCGCCGGAAGAAAATGCTGGCGAAGCAGTCCTGCGAGAAGCTACAGAGCAAGCGGCCCGAGTCAGGGCGGTCAAGCTCAAGGCGGCCAACGACGCCCGGCTGCGCGCCAACGCCGAAAAGCTACGACACATGTACTGCCCCTGTACGGGATGGGCCTTCAACGCGCTCGAAGGACGACATATCTTCGTGCGCTGAGACTGGGGCTGGCTGACGCCAGTGCAAGCATGTCCTTGCGGTGCTCCTCGCGCACCGCTTGGGGCAGACTGTGCGAACGCGAGTGGGGGTGCATGCGGCCGCGGGGCTGCTTGGGATCTCGGCGTAGAGCGATGCACTGATGCTTTGTGCGATGGACTGACGTCCCTTGTACTCTGATTCATGGCTCTACTTCTAGTGTGGGTGGAGGGTAAGGAGCCACCGTTCGCTCGTTGCAACGGCGTGAAGTTTAGAGTGGATTTGGCAGGGGACGCCCCTATCCTTGGCTAATGATGCGGCAGAAAGCTTGGCAAGAAGAAGTGTGAGCGTGAAGGGCTTTCACAACCGCAAGTGGAGCACATCCTCACCGTTGCCGTCTCTTCATTTGCTCCATGAGCTCAAAGTCCGTTACCTTGCCTCAGCCCTGGCCAATTCTAATCCTTCCGGTGACAAGGTCGAGTGCTACATGCCATTTTGGCTCATGTCGGGTGACCCGCTGTCGGGCCATCCGCGTTCAAGCAGATGCGATGCACTTTGAGACGATCGGATGATATGAGAGGATACGATATGATGTGAGATGATGGGAGATGTGACTCTGTGACACCATGCCGTTCATCCCTTCCACGCCATGGTGTTCTGACTTTCAACCAGCAGTCGCTCTAGTTCCCTCCGGCATCGACATCGCGCTGCGTGTCGTTGGCCTTTATCGGAGATCAACCCGAATCGCAGATACAAATGGCGACGAGGAGCGATTAATAATTCGCGCCAGGTAACTCGGCTGACAGCATTCCGATCAGAGGGCTGCCAATTCAGAGCGGGGCAGGACTCGCTGAAGGCTTGTGCACGTGCATACCAGATCAAGGGATTGATCCCGCTCGGCTCTCGTTCGGTGGCGATTAGAGGCTCGAGTGACGCAATCAGAACGTGATCAATCTATCGATGCGCCAAGATGGCTCATATTGCGTCTCCGTCGACCACGATAACGCACTTGCTCTATGTCGATGGCGAACATGTTCTCATAGATCTTCCGGAGCGCGTGACGTGGCGAGCGAGATATGCGCCGTACTTCCGATCGCTATTGACTTTCTGACAACCGACAGCCGGTGGTCGCGAGTACTTGAAGCGCGCCGACGAGCAGATGCAGTGAAGCCCACAAAGCAATCATGACCATCACGAACCAGGCCCCCCGCTCTACCGACCCCGCGGTGTACGAGTCCTACGCTGCCAAGTGGGCCAAGCTGCCCTCTTCCGCGGACGAGTGGCTCGCCCGCGCCCGTGAGGTCGCCGACATCCTGCGCCAGGACGCGACGCAGCGCGACGCAGCCAACGCCTCGCCTGTGGCTGAGGTCGCGCTCCTCAAGCACTCGGGTCTCCTCAAGGTCGTCGGCCGCGAGAAGTACGGCGGCGGCGGCCAGCCCTGGTCTGTCGGGTACGCCGTTACGCGCGAGGTCGCCAAGGGCGACGGCAGCATCGGCATGCTGCTGGGCTACCACACACTGTGGAGCCAGATCGCGGACATCGTCGGCTCAGAGGAGCAGGCCGACGCGCTGCACAAGCTCTATGTGACCAACAACTACTACATCGGCGGCGCGGTGAACCCGCGCGACAACGACCTCAAGATCAAAGATTTGGGCGACGAGATTGCCTATTCGGGCTTCAAGCACTTCACGACGGGCGCAGCCATCTCGGACCTCATTGTCCTCGAGGGCGCCGTCGAGAGCGGCGAGCACATCTTTGCCGTTGTGCCCACCAAGCAGAGCGGCATCGAGTTCGCTTACAACTGGAACAACGTGGGCCTGCGCCTCACCGAGAGTGGCAGTGCGACCATCACCGACGTGCGCGCGCCATGGTCCGCCGCCCTGGGGTGGAAGGACAAGAAGATCGACCCCGCCGTCCTGGGCGTTCCGTACGCCACCCTCCTCTTGCCCCTCATTCAACTCATCTTCTCCAACTTCTACCTCGGCATCGCGCAGGGCGCCCTCGCCACCGCCAAGGGCTACACGACGACGACGACGCGCCCATGGCCCTTCGGCGGCGACAACAAAGACAAGGCAACGGACGAGTTTTACATCCTCGAGCGGTACGGCAACTTCTACGCCCACCTCACGGCCGCCGAGGCGCTCACGGACAAGGCGGGGGCCGCCGCGTCGGCCCTCATTGCCAAGCACGCCGGAAACCGCGCGGGCTTGACGGCGCGCGAGCGCGGCGACTTTGCAGAGCTTGTCGCCTCCGTCAAGGTCGTCAACACGGACACGTCGCTGCGAGTCACCGGCGGCTTGTTCGAGGTTACGGGCGCGCGCGCGACCGCGTCCAAGGTCGGCTTCGACCGTTTCTGGCGCGACGTCCGCACCCACACGCTCCACGACCCCGTAGCGTACAAGAACCGCGAGCTCGGCCGCTACGTCCTTCTCGACGAGGTGCCCGAGCCGACATGGTACACCTAGTTGCTCGCTAGATGATAGTTGCACAGTTGTATAACTTGGGAATGACATGCTCTGACATGCTGTGACATGCTGGAGGTCGTGGGGATGGAGGATGACTTCGGAGATTTCTCGGCTGTGGTTGGAAGCGTTGTCAAGTTTAGTCTTGGCGTGTTCGCGTCGCGCTCGGCATGTACCTGATATTCCGCGATCGGGGGTTACCGCTCGGCGCATGCTGCGCTGCATGCCGTCACGGGCTATCAAAAATCAGGCGCGCTCGGCGTCACCTCCGCGTCACGACGCCGACAAGTGGCTGTGATGGGATTTCTAGACCCTTGCGCTGCATCACAGTCCCAAACAACACCCCATGCACAACCGCGAATGCACATGCAGTCTTTCCCACCGAGTGGCAACGCTCAAAAGCATGCATTGAGGCACGATATGCTGCTGCAAAGCCAGTGGATTGCAGAATCTACTCGATGCCACGGACCCAAAATGCCGTGCGGACTTGCCTCTTTGGGCAGGTTGGAAGGCTTATTCGCTCCCTCCGATAACAACACGAGCTCGCACTGCCGCCCCGCTGCTGCGATACATCCATCATCCTCCTCATCCCCTCCTCCATCCATCAACTCATCATCTCAGAGACCTCGCGCTCATCTACATCCTCAACAGCTCATCTCCCTCCTCTATCACTCCCTCTTTTGGCCCCCGAGCTCCCTCACAGTCCTTGTTTTCCCGCGCGCGCCAAGAGATCCATCGCCGCCACTCACACCCCTTTGTTTATCACCCCAACCCTCCGCCCTAAATCTGCGGCGACAGCCCATGCCGCACATCTAGTCATGGATCCACCAGTCGAGCGCACGCCGCCGCGTCCGCCGAGCCCGGGACTCCCGGCCTCTGCGGCCGTTCCCACGTCCGCACCCGCCACGCCTGCGTCCACGACGCTCAAGCTTGACCTGAGCCTCGCGTCCGCCGTGTCGGCGCTTGTTCACCATCTCGTCGCACCGCTCGCCCTCCACTACTCGCATTCACAGCTTATGGGTCTACGCTCCTACCTTACCGCCGCCCTTTCCAAGGCATACGCGCCTACGTGGAAGGAGAGCAACCAGCACTTTGGGTCGGGCACGCGCTCCCTCATCGCCGATCACATCCATGGTCTCCCTCCCGTCCTCCAGCAGGCCGCGAAGGCCAACGGCATCGACGTCGCTACTTGGTCCTCTGCAATTGCCGGCATCCGCAAGCGGAAGGCGGATAGCTCCGACAGCGACTTATGGGAGGTCTGGTGCGATCCCGGTATGGTTGTTTGGCGCTGGGGTGGGTGGGGCTGGGACGAAGTCGACTTTGATCCTGTCAAGTCTCGTCGTGGTGAGTAGCTGCTTTTATTTTGAACTATCTGACACGCAGAATCCTATCATGTGATCTGGCAGGCCACGCCGAACATCGCCAGCCCCGCGGCGGAGATGACGTCTCCCGCCGCCGTGACCCCGCTCCGCTCTAAGGCGATCCCCATCCGCGCCCCTACCCTCATGAACATCCCTCCCACGCCCTCCCCCGTGCCGTCCGCCGCGTCGGTGTCGAGCGCGCCCATAGTCCCACACTCGCCCTCGCCCGTCTACCCGACCGAAGCGTATGCGCCTCGCACGACGGCCGCCGACGTGCGCCCCCCGCACTCGCGTCACGCCTCGACGCGCTCCGGCCCCGGCCACAAGGGGCAGGGGAGCACGAGCTCGACGGCGTCCGACTCGAGCGACACGGGCTCGCAGCAGCTCCTGACGCCCGCCTCGCGCCCCGGCTCGGCCGACCTCTTCCCGGAGGACAAGGAGGAGCGGGGCCGCGACCCGTCGCCGGCGCGCAACGAGCCCACCGTCACGCCGTACGACGGCGGCAACGTCACCGTCCTCGGCGGCGGCACCAAGCTCGGCGGCTCGCGCCCGAGCTCGGTCATGAGCCACCGCACCCGCTCGCCCAGCATCAGCGTCGCGTCGCGCGCACTCAACCCCGCGGTCGGGAGCAACGCCAACGGCGGCAACATGCGCAAGCAGCGCTCGCGCGCCCCCCGCCGTATCCAGCCCACGCTCCTCAGCCAGTTCTCGCAGCCCGGCATCGGCGGCCCCATGATCAACGCGTTCACCCCGCCCCTCAAGCACCAGCCCGGCATGCAGTTCTGGCCACACGGCCAGCCCGGCGCGCCGGGCGTCGGCGTCGGCGTCGCGCCGCCCCCTGTCGGCGGCATGGGCCTCGCCAACCAGATGGGCATGGCGCACGCCATGGACAAGCGCCTGTAACGTTCCCATCTCTGCTCTGCCTGCAAGCATCGTGCCTCTCGAACCAAACGTACCCTGTCGCAAACAGTTCTTTCATCGCCATCCCATGGGCCCCCCATTGTCTCTCCAACTCTTTCGTTTTCGCTCGTCTCTTTCGCGACCCCCGTGTCATGACCATCAGCAGCAACATATCATGCCTAGCCAGTAGTTTACAATAACCAAGCAGATGGCACAAATGCATAGCGTTCCGAACCAATGCTAACTGATGCTCTTCATGCACACTGCGAGCTAATGAGTACAGGTTGAAGTGGATGTTATGGTATAGATGTATATGTCGACGCGGCGAGCGATCTTCTATACGGCTGCGAGAGGGTGGGGGAGTTCGATGGGCTAGAAGATGTGCAACCCGTGCTGCCGCGAAGCACGACAGGTGGTGTGGGTTTTGCATGGGGTTGGCGTGGCTGATGTGGGCGGGGGCAGCGACACTCGATTCACCAGCATCCTTTCCGGGCCAGGCCTGCTCCTTCCCAGTACACGGGCCACTCCTTGGGCCAAGACCCAAAGGAAACGGGCGGCTCCTCGGGCCGGCACCGCGCGGCTGTGCGGGCAACATAGCGGGCGAATTCTTCCTCAAAAGTTGGCGCAGGCAGAAGCGGGGCAGCCTGCGCCTCAGCCAAGGCGTTCTCGTGCGTGCTCGACGCTCTCGTGCTCGCGCTCGACACTACCGTGACCGGCGTGACGGGGAAGGGCGCGAGTGCGCCATTGAGCATAGCGAGTGGAGGCGGGGAGCGGGTCGGCGCGCGCGAGCACTGCGAGAGGGAGACTGTGACCTTGTCCAGGTAGGTTGAGCGGAAGACGTCGCCGCTGTCCGAGCCCGCAGGCGTGCACGGTACGGTGGTAGGCGTGGTCGAGGTGCGCGTGTTTGGGCTGGCCGGCGAGAAACGATCGAGAGTGTTGAGAGAGGCGGGTTTGTCTGTGTGTTAGCTACACAGCTCATGGGGAGTGTGTTGTGTGTGCTCGCTCGCCAAGTGACGAAACGAGATCAGCTGCCGGCGGGATCTTTGACAGACTGCACGGATCACGCGACCGAGCCTGTTCGCTAGGCCAATATTATGCGCCTCCTTGCGGAGAGCGGGAGACTCACCCTTGCGTGATGTGTGGCCGTTTGCTAGGGAGAAGGTCGTGGGTTGGTGGGAGAACAGTGCCAGGAGGAAGGGGATAGCGGCAAGTGCACCGATTGCGAGAATGAGCTTGATATCGGGCTGACGAAGGATCAGAAGACCGGCCAAGCTTCCAGCGGCCAGAGGTGCGGCTTGGAGAGCCGCAAGGTTGCCGCGGGAGGCGGAGGCGACGGTTCCGATGCCCAGGATGGAAGGGAGTAGGAGGAAGGCTGCGAGGGCCGGGGTGGAGAGGGAGCAAATGTCCAACATGTCAAGGTAGGCGATGTTGCTGCGAGGTGTGAAGAGCAAAGTGGTGTAGGTGGTCGTTTGAGACGAGTTGAGTTGGCCTTTTGAGGTGTTGAGAGAGTGAGGTGTGAGGTGGATGGCCGGATGGCTCGGCGACCGATATAGAATTGGATTTCTTGGTGGAATCGAAATGGAATGGAGCGCGGCCTGGACCGCGGGTGGGGGAGAGGGGGAGCGAGGGAGCGAGGGATCGAGGGAGGAGTGGGGGAGGAAGAAAGAAGAGACGACGAGTGATGAAGAGAAGAGAGAAGATGAGGAGGGGGAGGAGGAGGATGGGGAGGAGGGGCGGAGAAATGATTAAAGCAAGAGGGGGTCAGAAGGGGAAGAGTACGTCAAGTAAATGAAGAAGGAATGAAGAGATGGATATTGCAGGCGCTGCAGTCAGCTGCCTCGCGCCTCGACGCTTTGTTGTAGTGCGTACGTCGACGACGCAAGGATGTGAGGGCGAGTGAGGACGAGTGAGGACGAGTGAGGACGAGTGAGGACAAGTGAGTAACATCAAACGGCGGCACGGCGTGCGACGAGCGGCGAGCTAGTAGAGTTAGCCGCCACCGCACTGCCACTCTTTTCACTCGACGACGGTATCATCACCTCGTTCAGATACCATGCGCAGCTCGCCGCCCCCTCTTGCATGCTCTTCACCCAATCCACCATGCCCCTCTCAAGCCCCTGCTGCTCTGTTCATCTCTCCGTCCTCGGCTTGCTAATCGCCCGTCGCTCATCGCCCCGTCGCCCGCCGCCCGTCGCTTGGCGCCACCACCTGCATGCCCGCACCGGATCACCGGATGACCGGGTCACCCAGCTCAGTCTCGCAGATCGCGAAATTGCGTTCCACCCTCCTCCGCCCGCGATACCGGCGTGATGTGGAGCACGTGTGCGTCACACGCGCATCAGTGTTTAAGTGTTTGGACAGGCGCTCTCTCTCGTTAGTCGATCCAGCCTATTCCTCCTCTTTGCTCCCCCCCTCGCCCTTCATCGCCCTCCCTTTTCCTTGCCTGCGCCTCGCCAGTCCGCCCTCGCTAAGTGCCGCCCCCCGCGCCCGCGCCCTGGATGAATGGGATGCAAATTACTCCGTTGCACGCTGCCTGGCGTTATGGTGTATCGGCCCATCCTCGCCATCTGGTGACCGGTGCCAACGCAGAGATCCTCTATCACTCTACACCAACCTGGCAAGCCCCTTCCAAGGCGCCACGATCGGGCGCTCCAGCGCCCGCGCCGCCGTGGCATTGCCGCCCAGCCCGTTGCCCCCCGACGTCTCTACACCTTCGAGGATGGTCTCGCGGTCAGACCACGCGTTGTCCAGTGCACGCGCCAGCTTTGCGCGCAGCGTCACGACAGTGTTCTGCAGGGCAGATGCCAGGTCGCGGTGAGGCGACGTAGCTAAAGGGCGCAACAGGGACAACGCTTCGCCTGTTCGTCAGCTTTGCGGGCGCTCCCAGACGTACCGCTCTTGTCGTCGACACGCTTGACAAGACGTCCTATGCTTGCCACCAGGTAGTCGTACTCGTCCACCGTTCCCTTGCGTCCCGCTTGGCGCTTCTTCGACGGCCGGTTCTTCGAGCGCGTCGTTTGCCTGCTGTCAGCTAGGTCATGGCGCGTGCTGCGGGGGAACAGTCCACCACGCGGACCACGGCTCTCTGATCTCTTGAGGCCGATGGCCGAGCCTCATGATCTGCTCTACACTCGTCTCGCCTCAAGGGCGCATTCCTTGAAAATCGCTCATGCCAGTCCCAGGCGCGCAACAGACGCGGAGCATTCCCTCGCAACTCACCCAGTCATGCGGGTCGACTGCGAGAACGCCGTCGTTGGAGCAACAGTATACCGCGTGAACGCCGTTGCGACGGTCGTCGCGTTGGTTGCCACATCCACGTTTTCCAGCTCCACATCATTCTCCACAAGATAAAACTCGTCTGCGTGCGTCAGCTTCCCCCGTTACGAGATCCACCGCCCGAGCAAACTGCTGGTCCAGACCGCGTTACTCACCAGGATCTGTTCGACGGATGTTCCGCAGTTCATCAAGACGCCGCAGTTCCTTGTCTAGCTGCTCGTCCATCTCCTCAAGTGTTTCAACGAGCGCCTCCTGCGCCTCTTCAAGGGCAGGGGTAATGACGTCGTCAACGAGGTCCGGACGCGCATGACGCGACGCCTGGCGTTAATCAGACTCCGCAATGGAATTGTCGCAAAAACCGTAACCGCGTATCTGGCAGGCAAATCGCGCATGTCCCGGATCCACTCACATGACGATAAGCCTCCGCAAACTCTGCACCTCGGCACAACACCTCCACAGCGCCGTCCACATCCTCCGCGTAATCAATGAGCACCTGACCTGCTTCGGCATGCCGTCCTCTAGAGGCGAGATAGTCGGACACGCGTTCCACCATTGAGGCAATGGCGTCGGGGGGCGTGTCAAGTTCGCGCGCTAGCGTAAATAGCTCCCGCCAAGCGTGCGCCTTCTCGTACGCTTTGAGGGCTTTCTCGCGCTTTCCTCCAAGTGCATATGCTGGGCGTCAGTGTTGTCCACAAGACACCGCGATGTCAAGTAGGGCGTTCCGGCGCAGAAGAATCAAACGCTGTTCCGGCTTTCGTAGGATCGCCTTTCGATCTTCACCAACGCCGCCCCATGACCTCAGGCACTCACAGATGGCCGCATCATGGAACTCGCGTCTGTCATACAGGTAATCACCGTACAGGTCTTGTACCGTGCGTAGCTCCTCGGCATTGTAAAGACGGAATGCCTCATCCCAAAGTTCGTATCGTGACAAGTACGAGGCGGCATCATCGAAGCGCGACGATCCCGCCGCGTGGAGATTGCGCAATGCGCTTTCGCGGCGACCCAGGTGATCGTCAATGCGGAAGCGCTGCTCGTGCTTATCCAGTGCACGCAACTCGCGCAGAAATGGAAGGTACTCCTTCGGGTCCTGATGTCAGCGTTCGGCCGTACTCAGTCTAATTTCGGCCACGCGCGCTTCAGCCGTGGCTCCAGAGGCAGAGCTCACCTTCTGCGAGTACTGCGCAACCATGAGTACGAGCTGGAAATCGTACATGCCCAGAGCAACGTCGAACAGCTGATTGACGTTGCTGAGGAAGATAATATACTTGATCGCCTCTTGCGCAATTTCAGGATGTTCTTTCTGCACGTGCAGTAGCACACGAAGTCCAGCCTCGTAGTCGGGCGGCTGTTTGCATACGTGCGTTGTGAGAATTGTCTCGACATACTTGACCGTGTCGGACTCCACGAGGACCCGGAGCGCGTCGCACACGTCGTTCACCTTGGTGGTGGGGACAGGGGCGCGGCCTGCATCACGCTTCAAGTCCTTGTACAGGACAATGGAGGTGTCATCAGAGCTGCTGTCAGATTCTGGCCAGCGAATAACTTACTTCAATTGAGACACGAAGAGATTCAGGAACTCAGGCTCTGGAATCTGCTCAACAAACTGGGGGAGCGCATCCATCAACCGCTGGGGGTCGAGGTCGTACAGGATGTTTAAGTCGAGCCTGTGCTTACGGCAGGTAAGGAACGCGGACCGGTATGCGCCTCTGAGTGTAAGCTCTGCTAGCCTTCGCTCGGTTGAACTCACGCAAGAATATCTCTCCGCACGACTGCAAGTACAAGTGGGCGGGGATACACAGTCTCGAGGTTACCACGGGGCATCTGGAGGACGAGGGCCATATTGCTTGGGCAAGCTGCGACTACGAGAGCGCCTCGCTCAACCCGGCGCTCGTCCCACTCCCGCTCCTTGACGCTCTCAAGGCTTTCCCCCGCCAGAACAGCCTCCACAGCAAACAGCGGCGCATAGTAGCTGCGCTGCGTGGTGGTGAAGATGCAAAAGTCAGGGGTCAGGGTAAACGAGGTCACTCCAGATGCGAGAAGGACGGAGTCGCGCTGGGCAAGAGACCCCGCATGCAGCCGCCCGCTGTCCGAAAGTGCAAAGACGAGGCGGGTCTCCGCTGAGATCGCCAGGGCCGCTGGGCGGCACAGCGTCACATGTACGCCCTGTGCTTCGTCCACTACATTCAGCTTCTCTACGTTGTTTGTCTTACCACTGCGCAGAATGCCGTCGCGGTCGACAACCACAAAGCCTGCCTCGCGGTCCCATAGCACCCAATCGGTGTCGTGCAGCACACTCATTCCTGCCTCATTCGCGTCCGCTGTGCGCAGCACCGCACCGTCCGGCCCGTTACCCCAGAAAAGTGCGGCGACGGTGCCATCTCCACCGAGTGCGACTTGCTTGGGTGCAAACTCGCCATCCGGAGCTAGGCTGCGCTCCCACCGCAATTTGGGTGCTGACACCTTGCCGCCAGCGCGTAGCCGGGATGCCCCGGCCTCAGGAAGCGAGGTGGCGAGATCCCAGACCTGCACTACACCGGAGGTCATGAGCACGGCCAAGGCGTCCTCAGAAGGTGACATGCTGACATGTACCACTTGCGTAGGGAGGGAAAGCGTGTACGATGACATGGGCGGGGGCGTATTCTGGGTACGGAAAGGCGTGATTAGAAGGCGATCTGATGTCAGCCACTGCAGAACTCAGGCGCTCACCTCCATCGACAACAGCGACCGTCGCTGTGTCCTCTGGCATGGAAAGGCGAGCCGTGTATGTGTCCCACACGAAAGACCTCACCTGCACATGGTCTGTCGTCAGCTACGATGCCAGAGAAGCCAGCTTACGCTCGCCAATAAGATAAAGCGACATGGGCGCCTCAGGATGCCAGCGAACAGCAACGAAGCGACGTGGGCTTGGAATCTCCTGTTTAAGATAGTAGTGGTAGTTCTTCATCGTCCAGAGCTGCACCACGTCGGCTTCACTTCGGCGCAGCCAAATGGCGAGCACATCGCTTTCGGCGTTCCACATCATGTCGACAACATGTGCTCCCTCCCATGAGCTCTCAGCCTCGCGCAGCTCGAAGCCGCCGTGCCGCAGACCGTTGCGCTCGAGCATAGCGACGTCCCACCTTCCCTTCCGCCCCTCGCCACCGCCCTCGTAGCCATACCGCACGAGGCCCGCGATAACGTTCCCGACCGGCCGCCAAGCAACTGGCGCTTCCAGGCCGGCAAGCGCCTCGCTCGTTGCGCTCAACCGCGGCGCGAAGCCCGACGCTGCGTCGCGTGAATACACTCGCACCTGCCGGCGCGCGCCGCCAGACGGGTAAGGGTCGAGAGAGGATACGGCAAGGTAACTCGCGTCACCCTTGAATGTGATACGCGGCAGACCGTCGTCGGTCGGATGAGAGAAGGCCTTCGGCTTGGGCGCCTTCGACGATTCTTGCGCCGCCAGCAACGCCTTCTTCCCCAGCGAGCCGTGGAACTGCGTCCCCTCGCTTCCCCAACCGACATTGATGAGCTTGTCCTCGCCAAAGTCATCGCTGCGTAGCGGGCCCTCGTAGATGGTGTCGAAAGATCGCGTCATGCACACCAGGTTGTCCTCGCCTTCCGTCAGATTATTCCGCCCAGTTGGCTTACCGGTGACTAGCACGAGCTGTTCATCGTCTGGACTCCACGCTGCAGCCTTGATGCCACTGTCTACGCTTCCCACAACCTCAGCCAGAACGCCCACCGCGGGATCCTCAAGCTGGATCACTGCAATGTCTCCTCCGGCGAGGAGCACAATAACACTGCGGTCGTCCGCGAAATATTGCAGGCTTAGTGTCTGTGGCCCGTCCCATTTAAATGGTGCCAGAACGGGCGACGAGAACGACGCGACAACCTAAGCGTCAGCTCCTCCCTATCATGGCTCACGTCGGCAAACGCGCCTCCATCCTCGAGGCCCTTGAGGGACACAATCTCGACGTGCACCTCGCCCTCCTCAATCCGCTCGACGGCGGCATACACGTTCCCGCTCTCGGGGTCGACGGCAATCGCCGCACCGCGCCTTCCGGGCGACGACGCGGCGACACTAGCAACCTGCACTGTTGTGGGGGTGAGGCTGCGCATTAATTGAAAGTGATTGTTGGGAGTGCAAGTCTGGTGGTGCGGAAATTACGGAACTTCCATATTTGCGTCGTGCCTGGAGATAAGTGGAATTGCTTAAGAGGTTTGATCCCGCTATCCCAACTGCTGACGTCGGCGCGAGGCGCGAGGTGTCACCCAAGTCGGCGCGCGTCTCATCGCCGAACTCGCTCATCTCCACCTCGTCGACACCATGTCCGCCGTCATGTCGACTGTCAGAGAGTACGCCGCTTACAACGATACGTCACTGACGCAGACAAAACCTCTACCTCGACCCATCGATCCGTGACTGGGTGCTTGTGCCCATCACCGCGATCATGGTGCTCGTCGGTATCCTGCGACACTACGTGACCGTGCTCATGACGGGATCGCCGCAGAAGCAGCCCAAGGTGGCGGTGCGCGAGCAGTGAGTGTTCTTGGGAAGAAAGGCGGGCCGTTATGAGATAAGATTCGCCCCCTTGGGTGACCTTCCTCTCGTGCTTGACCACTCTCAGACAGTCCTCCGAGCTACACTCGCCTGTCTCGATATGCCCACTCTTTGTTCGATCGCTTACGCCAGACGCGGACTCGGCCGAGCGCAGCTCCTTCGCCAGTCTGCCCCTCTTTCCCCCCTTCACCCCGAGCAGTACCACGCCCTCTCGAGCAGCACGGCGCAATCCCTGGCGGCGGGCGAGTACCTCAAGCCGGAGGTGGAGACGGACGGCCCCCAGAACCCATTCGACCCCGGAAACATGGACTCGATGATGGATGGCCTGAAGAAGCAGGCCGTTATGATGGTGCCCAACATGCTCATCATGCAATATATCAACGTCTTCTTCTCGGGGTACATCCTGAGTGCGTTCATCCCCAAACAGCGATGTGGGCGACATAATGCTCACTCCAGTCAAACTTCCCTTTCCCCTCACGCTCGGCTTCAAGAGCCTGTTTGCGCGTGACATTGCCATGCCTGACCTTGATGTGCGCTGGGTCTCCGCTCTCTCGTGGTACTTCCTTAACCTGTTTGGCCTGAACGGAGTGTTCAAGCTTATCCTCGGCCAAGAGAACTGTGAGTTTTTGCCCACACTGCAACGCTGACGGCAGCCGCGACTGACGCACGCGACAGCAACGCCATGGCAATGCTCAGCGGCGCCGGTGGGCCGCCCACTGTTGGCCCTGCTGCGCCAGATTTCAAGAAGCTGTACAAAGCGGAGGTTGAGAACCTCGCCATATCGGACGGGCTGTACACTTGGGTCGGGGACGGGGTCGAGGACCGCGTCCTGCGCCGCTGGGGCAAGCTCTAATGCATAGAATGACTATCAGATCTAACATCCGCCCGTGCAGTATCCCCCACCGCCTAGATTACACCCAAAGCAGCTGAGCGCTTTATACCCCCGGCTGGCGAGCGTGAGATTCAAGATGCTGAGCACACCCTCGCCCAGCACAAAGCCGCTGGCCACAACAATAGCGAAGAGTGGGGTCTCGCCAGTGCGCGTATTCCGCGCGGTGCGGTAGGCAATGTAGCCACCGATGAGGCGAGCGAGGGAGAAGCTTGGCGAGTTGAGGAAACCGATGGCGAAGGCGATACCTGATGGCAATGTACTAACGGCGGCAGCGATAGTAGGATTGGGTGAGCGCGCAAGCATGATCTTCGCGACAGCGATGAGGCTGAATGCTCCTCCAAACATGATCATGAACGGCACGACGTGGTCGGGCAGATGGCCGTTGTTGAGCAGACGTGCGAGGTTAAGCCAAACCCCGGCCGAGGGGACAGCGAACTCTGGTCCCGGGATAGTGTACACCGACGTGTAGAACTTGTAGCCAGCCGTGCTGACGAACACGGAGGCGAGAGAACCGATCATCTGTCCGTAAAACTGAGAGCGCGGAGACGCGCGCAGCAGGTGTCCAGTCTTGAGGTCCTGCATGAGGTCTCCCGCCTGCTGGGCACCAGCCTCGGCCACGCCGCCAGCGATCACATTTGCCACGACGTTGCCAGGCTGCAGCACCGCAAAGAGGAGCTGCGAGATCTTGCCGATGCCCGACACCTGGCGTCAGCTGACCGTATCATATCAGTACGCACAGGGTTGATGTCCGTCTCGCCGAGGGCTCGCACGCCAATCAGCGCGAGGACGGAAGCCAAAACCAGTCCCAGTGCCGTGGCCCACGGGTGGATCCCATCCGATCCAAAGACGTACCACACGCCCCAGACGCCGAGGACGCCGCTTCCCATAAGCCCGAAGCTGACCCAGCTGCCGGGCACGAGGCGCTCAGGAGGTTCGTTCTCGGGCTCATCATCCTCCGGCATGTCCATGTATCCGTCGCGCTCTGCAGCCTCATCAGGCGAGTCCGGAGTCGTGAACACGTGAGCGCGCGCCTCAGCCGCCTCTCGGCGTTCCCACAACCCGCGCGCGTACTGCACCGTAATGGGCGCGAGGGAGATGACGCTCTCGGCAATCATGATCGCGAGCGCGACCCAGAGGATCCAGCCGCGCGCGCCGTCCGTGCTGCTGCTCACGCGGCCGGGAGCCCAGCCACTCTTCTTGGCCAGTGGGGAGAGCACGGCCCACCCCACAAACATGCCCACGTTCATCGAAACCGTGACGGGGAAGCCCATGATGATGCCCTGGCCAATGTACGAGAGTGAGGGCGTGAACCACCACATCCAATTGGCCGCCAGACTGGTGCCAAACGGCAAGGACAGGATGTCAAAGATCGGCAGCGCGAAGGTCACAGGAAACATGAAGGATAGCACCTGGCGTTAGCGAAAACACGAAGCCGCAGCTCACGGTGATGGTGCCACTGGCGGCAAAGCTCCAGCCCAGTGCCCGCCAGCCTGCTCCCGAGATGGCATCACCGTCCTTGTCCGGCTCGTCATCGCCGTCCATGCTCGTTCGAATGCGCTCATACCGTCCACCAGCTGGCGTAGTCACGGCGGCCGCCGAGATGCCTTGGATTGGCGGGGCGCGATGGAGAAGGGCGATGAGCTGCGCGGTCGCGGTGCCCGATGGGAACACAAGCTTCTCCTTGATGATCACCTGGCGACGGAGGGGAACGGCGAGGAAGACGCCGAAGAATGCGACAGCGAGACACCAGATGACAAGGTGGACGTAGCTGAGGACGATGGGCTCGCGTCCGTCGATTTCCGGAGTCATCATACCTAGCGCAGGGATGATGCCCACCAGCCCAGCAGCGAGGGGCATGGTACCAGTGGCAACGGCGGTGGTCTGAAGCACGACGTTTTCCTGCGGTGTCAAGGGGCGGGATGCGGGGAAGAAGCGCGGGAGGACGGAGGGAAGCTTGAAGATCGCAAACCCCAGCAGCGCGGACTGCAGCGACATCATCGAGACCCAACCTGGAGTCAGCGGCGAGGTGCGTGAAACGCACCAGTCTGCAGGCCGAAGTAGATGTTTGTCATGCACAGCACCACGCCAACGCCCAGTCCGACTATGACGGCGCGCAGCGTAAAGTCACCCTCGAGGACGGGCAGCTCGTAGATGCTACCATCGTCACTCGGCGCGACATGGTAGTTGTAGTCGCCTGTGAAGGGGCGTGATCTGGGTAAGCTCTACACTGCAGCGATCTGATCTTACCTTGAGGGGTTCATCGTGCTTTCCTCGAAATCATGTGTTGAGTTGGAGTCACAAACGAGAGTGGGCCGAGTCACGCGAGTCAAGAAATGGGCTGGGCAGTAACCCCTACTCGAGGAGTGGAGAGTCGCCACACGGCAATCATCGGCATAGCAATGCCGACGTCATTATGACCGTATCCCGCCTATTCTAATCCCCGTTCCTAATCCCATGACTACTCCCGCTGTCAACCAGCTCCGTGACTGCCCTTTGTTTACATCCTCCGCATCAACATGGACGAGGACGACGAGCCAACCCACGGAGTGCCCGACCTTGCATCTGCCATTGCTCCGACCCGTCCAGAGCTTGGAAGGCTCGCGCAGTGGTCCGTCTCGAGCCACAAGTACGGCTTCGGCGTAGACAACCTGCGCGACGACAACGACGGGACGTTCTGGCAGTGAGTCCATCATGCACGCGCATTCTCAGCGGCTCGGTCCTCGAGAAGGCGAGGACTTCATGGCTGACGTCAGATCAGAAGGTCCTCAGCCACACACTATCGACCTCTCGTTCCCCAAGAGAGTCTTCATTTCTGTGCGTTCCCCCATCACCTCCTCTTCCTATCCCCCCGGGACTCGCCCGCTCACACCTAGTCCATCGCCCTCCTCACAAGTCATCGCAAAGACGACAGCTATACACCGTCACGCCTTTCTATTCGCGCGGGTACAGGTGTGCACGACCTCCAGGAGGTGCGGCACACTGAGTTTCACAAACCAGACGGGTGGATCGTCATTCCACTGCGGCCGATGGATGCGGATGGCACCATCGAAGGTCCGCCCATCCCTGCACAACATCTCCGCATTGTCATTGTCGCTAATCACATGAACGGCAAGGACACGCACGTGAGGGGTCTTAAAGTGTTTGGTCCGGCTGAGTGAGCATACTCATTGCGTGATAGGGCTAATTCCAGACCCGTCACCACGGGAACTGACGAACTTGGACTGCACGAAGGTCTCCCAGACGGCCCGGCGCTTGTCGAGCTCGGTCAGGACAGGTCGCGAGGGTTCAAGAGCTTGCGCTTCCGCATGTACGACGGCATACGTTAACTTTCATCACACTGTACAATCACCATGCACACATCGCCATGCTATGTATCATCATCAGAGTCGGAGATAAAATCAGCGAGACGCGCATAATTTACACGCGCTCGTAAAGGTACAGGTACGCGAGGGAGCGCATCTCCTCGCCACCGTGTGCTGCTGCGCGCGCAACCTTCTCGTCGTTGAAAAGCACCCATTCATCCCGCGGCTCCGAAGAGCCCGGAATGCCAGCCTGCGGCTGGCGGATCGTCGCAACGTAGTGTCCCGAGTGCACTGATGGCCCCTTGTGAGAAATGAAGGCTTTGAGACGGTAATTCGCGGGGAGATTAGTTGACCCGCCGACCTTGGGGGCTGAAGTAGCCCCAGCAGCCGGGATAGAGGGCGCGACTTCCTCACCCATATCATCGGGGTGGGAGAAGAGCCACTCCACAGCAGCGTCTGCGCTTCCGCCCTGGGCGCGTCAGCCACGGGCTTCTCGACGAACTCACAGTCTCGCGCAGAGCCTTGCGCGCCTGGGCAGGTGTAAACCCCATCTCCGAAAGCATGGAGATCTGCTCCGCGGAAGGCTCGGGACCACTGGCGGCAGTGCCGGCGGGCTTGATGGGCGTGTCGATGTCTGGGTCTTCCATGTGCTCGAAGAGCCAGTTCATGGCAACCTCGGCGCCTGAGTTACCTGTCGCGAGAAGTGCCTTCTGGCAGCGGATCGTGGGGAAGCCCATCCCTTCGAGCTGCGCCATGGCGGTGGCATCAAACTCGGGCTGGGCAGCAGCAGCCTCAACGTCCAACTCGGCTTCCCCCGGCTGGCGACCTTTTCCCTGATATTTGTCGAGGTTAAGCTCGTCGGGCACCTGTACGGGGATGTCTGCCGGTCAGCACATAGAGCAGACTCATGAACTGACCAAGTTTCGTGGGCATCCAGTTGACGAGTTGGAACTTCTTCATGTGGAAGACTAGGAAATCGGGATATGTCGAGAACTTGGTGGTCCTGGCTGTCAGCGAAGCCCGAGTCATATGAACCTACTTCTCCGCGCGAACCTTCTTGTTACAGCTGCTGCACGCATAATCGGTGAGCTCCTCAGGGGCACAAAACACGTCGATGCACGACTCGAGAGTCACTGGCTTGAACAGTTTCTTGCCGCTCTCGTCGACCCCCTGCTCGACCGCCTCCACAGGAAGAGAAGCAAGGTCAACAGCATCGACTTTGTACCCAACTTTGCGGCACTCGTCGCACTGGAGTCGCTGTTCCATCCCAAAGCGGAAGTTCTCAGTTGCCTCGAGCGCCGCATTTTGGCCCTGTCGCTGAGCCTCGGCGCGCAAGCGGTCGAGCAGGTGCTGCAAGAACTCCTCCGAGTCCTGCTGACGCATCGTCGAAAACTCCTCGTGACCCTTGCCAATAAGCGCTTTGAACTGCGCCGGGCGGATCCCTTCTTGGAACTTGGGCTGTTCAGGGAGCTCGAACTCGCTGTTGGCGACAGGAGGAGCGCGAGCTGGCACCGAGTAGCGCCCGGACAGAAGGCCATCGACAAGCTTGAGCATCTGGCACTCCAGACAGTCGGCGGGCAGTGGGTTTTCACATGTCTGGAGGTGGTGTTGCCCTTGTTCAGTGAAATAGCGTTCGCGGAAGGCGGGCAGGGAGAAGAGGACCTGCATGACGGACGCCATGTAACAGCTGTTACCTAGGTTCTTCAACCCAGTGAGAGCCTTGCCAAAGACAGGCTGAAGCTCGTTGCCGTCGTCACCCGTCATGGAGAAGTCAAACTTCAAATTATGCTCGAGTTGCTGATATTAGTTACGCTGCGTGTTCCCCAACTCACCAACTCAGTCATCGACTTCTCGGTTTTGGCTTGACTAAGCATGTTGACGCCGAAAGTTGAGAGATGGAGAGCGAGGTCGGGGTCGACCTTAGCGTCGTCGCACGAGTAGCAGTAAATATCACCACCGCCCTCGGGTGTGATGGTGCCGAGCTTGACGCCAAGGGCGTGTCCTGTGTCGTGGAAGTGCTGAAGCGCATGCCCATTGCCGCCGATGCCGCCGTACTGCTGACGACCGCAGTTGACAAAGCCGCAAGTCAGGCACAGCCAAAGGTTAGACGTGAGGTCGCACTCGGTGCACTGCTGCGAAACTGCGATGAGCTGAGGTGTTCCTACTTCCAACGAGCTCACCTTCACCGGGGACGATAAGTGGTTCCTGCTGAAAAGTGAGGGAGTGCTCGCAAGGTATAATCTCCTCCTCCCACGCCTTAACTTCACTCTGCTGCGCCGACGAAAGCGCTTTCATTATACCGTTGATCGTGGCGGTAACCTACGGTCAGCTGAACAAGACCTCGCCTCTATTCACATTTGGGTGGTCAGAGTGGACGGCCTCGCCGACAGGCGAGCACGCGAAGCAGCGCAGGCTCGTAGTGAAGTCGTAGAGCTCGTCGTCACTTGGCGCGGAGATCGCGAGCTTCTTGAGAGGAGGCTCGCTGTCCGGCTGGGGTCAGTCTTCCGGAGCTGTTGGCTGTGCTTACGCGTTGCTTCTGCTCCTTGCGAGTGCGCTTAATCACGACGCCGAGTGGGTGATCGCGCTTCTGCGAGTGAAGATACGCGTGCCGGCGCTCGCTGGAGCACCCCCCGTTAAAGCACTGTAGACAAACCAATACGCCAGCCGGGTCATCCTACGGTTAGTCGCGCCGAGCAAGGGCGTACCTGGCCGTCGAAGCAGAGCGTGCATTCCTCACTGGTGTCAGTTGTGCCAAGAAATCAGCTCACCGGTGGACCTGCTGTGAGGGGTTCGGAGGTCTGAGAGTATTGGCGAGCTGCTCAATGTGCCCGCAAACCATGTTGAGAGTGGCGAGACGACGGAGAGTGAGAGTGAGAGTGTCGTGAGAGTGTTGTTCGAGTTGCGCTCGCACCTTCCTCAGCTTGATCATCGGTTTCGCCCTTACCCCGCAATGTGACGTAGAGAGCCTTAACCATTCCCCCCAGATACTACTCCCGCTCGAAGTGGAGGTGGCCAGTCGACGAGTTGTTCCACCTGCCAACTAGCTGTTACATCTTCTTGATCTGCGCGTCCGAGGCACTCGACTGGGCGCCTTGGACCTTCACAGTGTCGCCCTACGAGCTCCAAGTTCTCAGCGCCCGCATGCCCATGACGCCCCACCGCCCCTTCCTGACAGAGGACGATGAGGTGGACGCATTCATCGACGGTGAGTAACCGCCGTCTACGCCAGTCATGACCGTAGCGAACGACCGGCCGGCGTCGGCGGGTACCCGCCGCCGTCTCTTCGCAGCGTTCATGACATTCGGGTTGCTGAACAATGGTAAGCGAGCTCAACGGGTAAAATCTGACGCAGTGCTATACGTGATCATCCTCAGCGCCGCGCTAGATCTCGTGCCGGCGACCACGCCCAAGGGCATTGTCGCATTCTTTAACATCTTCCCTGCCCTTATCGTGCGATGAGCCAGCTGAAAGAGCTGACAACAGGCCAAAGTGTGCTGGCCGCTCATCTCAACTGGCGAGATTCAGTACCGTCGTCGCGTCGGCTTCTGCACCGCAATTAGCTTCAGTGGCATCCTGATTGTGGCGCTCTCCCCGACGGTACACGGACGACTGTTTGGTATCGCACTGGCGTCATTCTCGAGTGGGCTGGGCGAGCTCACCTTCCTTCAGCTCACCACCACCTTGCCGACACGACAGGCTTCCAAGACCGCCGTCGGCGCCTGGTCGTCTGGGACCGGTTTCGCGGGCGTCGCGGGCGCCGCACTGTGGTGGCTCCTTCGCGGCCTCGGGGTCCGCAAGGGACTCGGCATATCCTCCGCGCTTCCCCTCTTCTTTCCGCTTACTTACAAGTTCGTGCTGCCTAGCTGGAGTGACCTGGCCACTACACCGGCGTACCAGCCCCTTGCCACCGGCGAAGATGAGGAGGAGATGCAGGGTGAAGCTCGACCTCCGCCCGACGCCTTCGGACGACACGCTCCGAAGGTGTATCTTTCGCCAGCCGATAAGTGGGAGCTCTTTAAGCCCCTCGTGCTCCGGTACATGGTCCCGCTCTGCTTTGTGTACATTGAGGAGTACGTCATCAACTCCGGCGTTGCGCCTACCCTCGTCTTTCCGCTGCCTATCCACGGCCCGTGGTCGCTTCTGTTCAAGAGTCCGCGCGATTATTATCCCTTCTGGAGCCTCACCTGTCAGTTCCCATTCTCCACCGAAGCTGACAACAGATCAGAGCTTCGTGTTCATCTCGCGCTCAAGCTTGTCTCTCGGCCTCCCGCCCATCCCGCGCGCGCTTCTCCCAGTCCCGACAGTCATTCAGTTCTTCGTTCTCGTCCTTCTCGCGCTCCAGTCTCGCTCCTTTATTTTCGCCACGCCGGAATACACGCCGCCTGCACCTGAGCCAGCGACAGGTGTCGACCGGTCTATCACGGCCATCTTCCTCCTCACCTGCCTAGAAGGGCTGTGTGGCGGCTCGGCTTACGTTAACACATTTTACCACGTCGGGCACGAAGGCGGTGACGATGAGGATGGCGATGGTTCATCGCCGGAGGAGGTGCGGCGGAAGATGGAGAAAGAGTTCCGCATTGGCGCGACCGGCGCCGCAGACTCAACAGGCATCCTCTTCGCGTCTCTCGTGTCCATGCCTCTCGAGATTGCGCTCTGCAATGCGCAGATCGCGCAGGGGCGCGACACGTGCCGCAAGCTATAGACTGTAGCATAGTAATCATATCATGGCATCTCTAGTACATTCCACTGCCAACAGCATCCTAGTTCTCGTAGATGGGCTTGGAGGCGAACATGTTCACCTTGGGCTCGACCTTGACGCCCTCCTTGCCGCTGCCGTCAGCTACTGCCAGTGGAGCAACGCACTAGATGCGCTCCGACTCGAACATGCTCGTCTTCACAGGGATCTCAAAGCCCGAGGTGGCCTCCGAGAGGTTGACCTTGGTGCCCTCGACGGCAGCAGGAGCAGTCTTCTTGGTGCCCGGCTTGCCCCACGAGCCCTTCGAGCCACCGGCAGCCTTGGGTGTCCCAGCAGCAGGTGCAGCCTTGAGAGTAATGGTGGCGAGACGGCCGCTGCATGTCAGCTCAGAAACCCCACAAAGGCTTACTCGGGGATGAAGCCGAACTCCATGCGGCCCTCGGCATCCTTGGTGCCCTGGCAGATGTAGAAGCCCTTGCGCTCGAACTGGATGATGTCCCACTTCTTGAGGTTGGCAACCTCGGCCGACGCGAGCGCGGGCGTGCGGTACTCTGTCTTGGGGTTGACAATGTTGGCGAGGTCGTCGTCCTCCTCCATCTTCTTCTTGGTGATGAGGTAGTCATACTCAATGAGGACGACGGGGACGAGGGGGTGAGCCTTGGTCGGCGCAGCAAGCCACGTGACTTTCTTGGACGTCTTCTTGAAGTCGCCCTCGAGATGAAGCTTGAGGGTGACGGCCTCGACATCGCCGGCGTCGTTGATCTTCTTCTCAGCAACGAAGGCATTTCCCCAGTCCATAGCCGTGATCTCCTCGTTGTCGCCGAACGATTTGGCGTCCTCCTGCTCCATGATCAGGTTAGAGGAGAACACGAGGTCCTTCTCGCCAACATCGGGGTTCTTCTTGTGCAGCGGCTTCTTCTCAACGGTCTCAGCGTCCGAGTCCCGTCCCTCGACCTTGACGGGGACCATCTTGTCCTCCGCTATGGCCCAGTAGCGGGGTGCGATGGGGTCGATGACACGCTTGTTGACGGTCCAGATACCGTCCCACTCAAGCAGGAGGAGCTGCTGCGACGCGCCCTGGCCAATAATGTACTCCTTGAGGCCCTTGACGGTCATGCCGCGCGAGCGAATGCCGCGGACGGTGGGGAAGCGCGGGTCAGCCCAGCCCGAGACGACGCCGCGCTCGACGAGGTACTTGAGCTTGCGCTTCGAGAGAACAGTGTAAACAAAGTCGATACGCGAGAAGTCAAAGATCTCAATGTGAGGGAAGCCCAGCTTCTTGATGAACCACTCGTACTGCTCGTGGCGCGCCGCGTACTCGTTGGCACGGAGGGCATGAGTCACACCGTCAATGTGGTCGATAACCGGGCACGCGAGGTCGTACATGGGGTACGCCTTGTACTTGGTACCAGTAATGTGGTGCGAACCCTCAACGGCGCGGTAGATGACCGGGTCGCGCATCACGCCGTTCTTGTGCGTGTAGTCGATCTTAGCGCGGAGCGACCATTCGGGCGCCTTGCCGTCGCACATGTCCTGGAAGAGCTTGAGGTTCTCCTCGATCGAAAGATCACGGTTTTTCGAGGCAATAACAGCCCGGCGCTGCTCCTTGACAGTCTCGGCATCGGTGTTGTCCATGAACGCGTCGCCCTGCTTGATGAGCTGGACAGTGTACTCGCGGATCTTGTCAAAGTGGTCCGAGGTGTGAACAACCTTGTCGAAGTCGACCTCGATCATGGCAAGGTCCTCCTTGATCGCGTCCTCGAACTCTCCCTCCTCCTTAGAAGGGTTCGTGTCGTCAAAACGAAGGATGTACTTGCCCTTGTACTTGTCGGCGAAGAAGCGGTTGAGGATTGCGGCCTTGAGGTGGCCGATGTGAAGGTACCCAGAGGGCTCCGGGGCGAAGCGGACAACGACCTTGCCCTCAACGGCGTTGGGAAGCTCAGCCTCGATGACCTCCTGGCGCTTGACCTTCTTGCCCTTGTCCATGTCGGAGCGGGCCTTGTTGAAGGACTCGGCGATGCCCTTGGGAAGTGCGGTAGTCTCATACTGCGTGTACCAGCGGGCAAGGTGGGGGCGTCCGGGGATCTTAACCGAGCCTGCTGCCGACTTGTTTGAGCGGATCAAGCCCCACAGCAGGGCATCGTTGTAGCCAACCTGCGCGCCACCAAAGTAGGTGCTGGGGTTAGCGTAAGACAGACAATCTCAACAAACCGGTAGGCGAGGAAGTCGTCGAGTGCATCAAGAATTTTCGCGACGTCGGGGAAAGGAGTGTCGCGGTGGAACTTGACGGGAAGCTCGGGCAGAGCAGGTCCATCGCGGGGCGAGTTGGCCTCGAGCTTGGCCGTGATAGTGTCAATGTCAGACGAGCCGTCGAACTTGGGCTGGGCAGTGGGGTCGAGGACCCACTCGACCTCGATGCCCTGGTAGGTGGCCGGGGCGGCGAGGTTGAAGAACGGAACGGGGGTGATGGGGATCGAGATGGACATGGTGTCAAGTGCTCTAGAGGGCTTTCCCAGAGCTTTTGTTGATGACAACGTCGCTGATGGCAACGTCGCCGAAGATCACCACGTTCCTCCACTTTCCACCAGTCCAACATTTTGCTTCCGTTCGCCCGTCTGGAGATGCCGAACATCCCAGTTGCACCATCATGACCCGGAGCGCAAGAGCCCAGGAGCCGTTGTACGAACACAAGATAGATGTACATGTACAATGCATGTGCGTGCTGGACTACCGAGCTCCAGACGTCCAATAATCCCCTGGTATACGACCCATATCATCCTCTTCCGATTCTGTGCGCCTTCCTTCGTCTCGAGAGCCGCCAGCTGCCGTTTCCAGTGGCGGCCTACCGCTGCCTCCCATGCCTGCGTTAGGCAGCTGGGACCCACCTTGGACTGAAGCCTGAGCCACAGCGGTAGTGAGCAGCGACATTTCATCTTGGGTGCCACGCGGCGATGCGGGAGGCGAGGCTAGAGGCGTCCCTCCGGAGGCGACCCTCATTGGTGATGGCCCTGGTAGCCGGACAATGAGGTTCAACATATGCCCCAGAGGGATACTGAACACCAGTGGGACTCCGGAGCGCCCGCGTCGAATCGGGGTCGATGCCCGCGATGGTGAGCGGGACGGCGACGCTGCGTTGTCAGTCCGGGACAGAGAGCGGGCGAACCCAAGGGAGGACGTACAGATTGCTGGCAGCTCTTCCTCTTCGCCTTCTGGCCATGACCCAGACTCGTCTGTCGCCAGGTTCTGGTAGCGTGGTCCTTTTCCGTGTCGGCGCTGGCGCAGCTGGCCCCCGCTTTCCACGTCGAGGTCCGCCTCGGTCCTGATCCCGGTGGACGCTTCTGGCGGCAGGAGGAGGTCATCAAATGGAAAGACATCTGACTTGGGCAGCGTCGGGGAGTAGTTGACGATGTAGCAGACGATGAGGGTTACGAGCTGCAGGAGGAAGATGACAAGGTCCAGTATAAGTACTCGGGTGAGGGAGCCGGGGTTGGCTGCTGTCAGATGAGGATGATGGAGCAATTCACCTTGTCCGACAAAGTCAAGCATGAGCCCTTTAGTGTCGTACCCTCCTTCCCCGTCTCCAATGACATGGAAGAAGACGGCAGCTAGGTTGGTGATCGTCACCATAAACCACAACGAGAATAGAGAGCGCGTAGGCTGAATAACCGGAGGAGCTCTAATGTCTGGAATGAGCTGGCCGGTTGACAGACACCCGCTCACGGATTAAGGAGAAGACGCGACACAAGAGTACGAGCATGTTGGGCGCATAGAAATGCTGCACCAACGCGAGCGCCTGTAATGTCGTTGACATCTGAACGTCAGCCATCGCAAGTTGCCTCACAGCTTGGCAGCTTGAAAGTTGGCTCACGGAAGCTACGGCATGGCGCCTTTGCGGAGCATAAACCATGTTATTAATTTTAGAGGTGTGATTAAGGCCTCAGGCGAGCGTTGGGTCGGTCAAAAGAGTCGCAGCTCGCTGGCGTCGAAGGGCGCCGGGGCTGGCTGTATGTGAATCTTAGGCCGTCGGCAGCGTGGCCCGCATGATCTTTGGCCAGCGTGGCAAGGTGTTGAACTGGGAAATCAATGCAAGGCGCACGAATGGGACTGTTGGCCTTAAAATGATTGACGGAGTCTTGAGAGGGTAAGAAGGTGGATGTCGACGACGACGAGGTGGTTGACTGACGTGCGCGAGCCAGATGGTGGTCGTGGATGAGCCAAGCCTGAATGGCATGAAATTGCTTCCGTTATTGTCGTCCGCCACCCAACTGATCTATAGGAACTTGCGGAATGAACTCGGATCCACTTGTTTATCGTCCTCCTTCTCGACTGCTCATCCCTCATCATCCTTTTCACTCTACATATCGTCCTCGCCCTCGTCATGTTAATACCCCAGACTTCATTCTAGCGTCCATTACCTTCATTTTGTCGTGCGCACCATGCATGGGCCAAGCGGGCGCGCTCAGTCATGGTCCGTCTTCGATCGCCGCCAGCCTACTCCAACCCCCATCGCTTCTTCCCCCGCTCCCTTCTCCTACCCGGTGGAAGGCCCCTCTCGCTCTTCTTCCGTTGCCTACTCCTCCCCACAGAGCGGCCCCCGTTTCAAGACCGTCATTCACCCCGAGCAATACGACGAACGAGAGCTGCGCCAAAAGCTACTGCAGTCGCGAGCCCGCCTCCAGACGTCATTTGACGCTATCGCCGAAAAGTATGGCTCGGTGCCGCCTGAGGAAGACGACGAAATCGATTTGTTCACGGGCAACGTTACCAAGAACCGTGGTCACCTTCTGGAACTCGAGCCACGACTCTTCGCCGAAGGTAGTGACTATCAGGACGAGGCCGTGGAGGACGACCAGGACGGCATCCGTCTGGACCAGCTTCGCCTGCACTCTGAGCCAGTCAGAGGCCCCGATCAGATTGAATTCCCTGAAGATGAGGATGAGCTCGGCGACTGGGGTGACAAGTCTGGTCTAGATGCGCAATTCCCAGCTACTGAGATTGAGCAGGAGTGGACTGCTGAAGACCTCGTTGACCTCGAAGAGTTCATGCGGGCTGAGGCATTGAGACGTGCGCGGTGTGGCGAGGAAGAGCTGGAATACGAACGCTTCCAAGGTGCCAGTAGCTCACCGCTGCGAAATCTCAGCCAGCTCGTGCTCGAGACATCACCGGAGGTGGAGGAGGTGGAGGTGATGGACGAGCCAGAACTGTATGAAAACAGTCGCGTCCACTCGCAACGGCGAGTGACGGTGAGTTGATTCTTGGACAGCACGCTGAACCATAAGTTCTCTCATCGACGTTCATCGACTCCACCGCACACTACACACCCTCGCGAGTCGGTATCATCTCCGCGAGGTCGATCTCATCCACATCGCCCCGAGTGCCGTACTCTTGAGCTCTCGCGCTCCGTGCCCAACCTTCGCGGCGCATACGCGGCTCCAGCCCATCGCCTTCCAAAGGAGGTATCGCGGTCAGTCAACGATTTGTCGCGCAGCGCGTCCGGGCACCTTGTTCATTACGAGGAAGTGACTACCCGCGTCGTCACCGTCCACGACCAGGCGCAGGTTCCGCGCTCCAGGAAAGGCAAGGATCGCACATTACCCCCCTTGCCTTCAAAGGAGCGGGACCGGCCATTAGCTGAGCTCTCACAGCGAACTCCCTCGCGGTCTTCATATAATGGCAGCGGGAGGCTGCCCTCGGCGCGAAGCATTCAGGAGGTCACCACTGTTCGACGCAGGCAGACCTGGGTGAGCCCTCCTTCATCTGGCCGAAAGGCCTCAGACAAAGGGCCATCACAGCGACAATCACGACCGCCATCACTTTGGCCATCGCCCTTCCCCAACCACCCGTCCTCTTCCTCTTCCTCAGCACCACCATCATCACCCCTCTTTCGCAAGCGCATCCATTCTCGAGAGTCACATCGTCCACATTCCCAACGCTCACAGAATCCTCACCCTGAAGCGGTCTCCGTCTCCCGATTCATCGCAGTCGATGAAGAAACAGGCGACCTCCCCTTTGTCAACACACTTGCAAAGACCCCTTCCCCACGGCGGCCTCGCCAGTCCTTAACAGAACGCTCTCGGGACCAGGCAGCGCTCCTGGCAGCTCTTCAACTACCAGTTGCTCCCCCAGAAGGCACACCAGGCTATTTCTCAAGCTTGAGCTTATTCCACGAAAAGCCCAGGGCTTGCAAGGCTTGCAAGAGCGCGTCCGGGGATCGAGCTCGCCTGGCCGTGTACTGTCGAGGTCGAGGACGGCCGCACTTGTGCGCTTACTACGAGGAAGAGTTCGACTTGTCTGCAGAATTGATTGCGGTGGCCGCCGAGGCATCTCCTGCCCCCATAATTGCCGCTCCCGTTCCACCAGAGGGCTGGCCCGGCTATACACGCACCCTTCGCGTAGAGAAAAACGCTGTCCGCTGCTGCCGGCCATGCAAAGACGCCGGTGGTGAGCGCGCCGCTCTGGCAGCTTATTGTTTAGGGCGGGGCCGGCGAAGTTTATGCGCCTACCACGCCGCCGACGGTGCCTCACAGTCTCCACGAGAGGTCAGCACGTCCGAGACACCCGTCCAGGCTGCAAAGACCGGAACTGGACTCGAGTCGACATTATCCTCCCACCCCCTGCCACCCAGAACCTCTGGCTACATGCAGAACTTGACGGAGATCAGGGGCGTCGTGCGATGCTGTCGCGCTTGCAAACAGGCGGGCGGTGAACGAGGTGCCCTCGCGGGCTACTGTCGGGGACGCACACGGCCGTGGCTGTGCGCGTATTACGGGTCCGTCGCGAATGTTGACACAGCCTCTGAGGCTTGCGTCTCAACGGACGCCGATCCAGAAGCCGACCTGGGCGCCGACGCTCACCCTTACTCCACTGCATCCATAGGCGAAGTTGCGACAGACGCCAACATGTTATGGCCACTTAGCAGCCACCCCAGTAATCAACCCGGCGTCGTCTCGATCAAGGGCAAAACCCCCCGCACATGCCGCGCGTGTAGAGGCGCTGGCGGAGCTCGAGCTTCCCTCGCGGCCCATTGCCGAGGCCGCATACGCCCGGCGATGTGTGCACATTACGGCCTCGAGACAGCATCCACCCTACCTGCGGCACATCTTTCACACGCGATCAGCCTACGGAAGGTGGAGGGGCCAGGCATGGAGGATGATCCTGGCTCTCAAAATTTGACTGTCAAGGGCGACGAGCGCGGCCCCGCGATCTTGCCGGCTACCACGCCAATGAATCATGAGCTCACCTCCGACTCCTCCGCCTCCGACGACGGCAGCTCGGCCAGTGATGTCTATAATGACGGCCGGTTCAGCACGTACGCGTCAAGTGCTACACCTGACGACACAGACGAGGACATGTACGACAACGAAAGTCTGGACGGTAATCCCAGCGACGAGGAAGCATCAGTTGCGCATTCCGAAAGCGATTCGGGCACCTCCGTGCTATCAACGGGGTTTGCCGACACCCAGATATTCGTTGACATCTCTCGCGGAGCCGCTGCAAACTACTCTCTTCCGCCAGCTGATGAACGGTACGCTTACCAACTCCTCTATGTGGATACAGACGGCGTTTACGACCTCGCCAGGTGTAGCCGCTGCCTTAGCGCCGGAGAGGAGCAGGGGCATCGCGCACTGTGGTGCCCGGGTCGGGAAACGGCTGGGACGTGCGTGTTGGCCGCAGAAGTGGCACCTCACATGAGTCCCATATCAGGCCCAAGTTCGCGAGCGCTGAACACGTTGTTCACCCCACCTCTTAGCGTCGAGCGAGTGCTGGACCCAGGTATGCAAGAGCCCCCAGACCCTGTCAATGAGCACAACAAGAAGAATGACAATCATGTCGACGTCACCCTACAGCAGTCTGGAGGACCACTTACCCGGAGCGATTCCTCAGCACCCTCAGATGGACGCTTTCCCACCCCGCCGTCATCGTCTTTGTCCGGCTCGCCAAAGTCTTCATCCACGTGCACGACTGACAAACGACGCGCGGCACCCACCAGTGGAGCTTCGTTGTCTGCGCGAAAATCGCAGCAGAGTCTCAACCACACTCTGCGCGGCGCTGGCGTAGATTATGGCCCCCCTCCAAAGGGGCTGTTAAGCCCTCGCAAGGTACACCGGGACAGCAGTGCAACGGTACCGACCCTCGCTTGGTCGGTCTCGCGTGCGAACTATATGTTGCAGGTCCCCGAGGGGAGTCGCTCATCTGTAGGCTTGATGGCCCCTCCGCCTGTTCCCCCTCCCCGGGAAGCAGTTGCCGCAACCACGCAAACATCAGCGTTGAAGGCTCCGCAAACGACGCCACGGTCCTCAAAATCTGTTTCCATCATCAGCCGCGCGCAAACCACGCCGCACAAGCGTATTCGCGATCCGGACTCGGACTCAGAGCCCGAAGTATTAGCCACGGCGCCACGTGAGCGCGCCCCCTCACCTTGGATCGTGTCCTCGTCTACACCGCGCAAGAAGACGCGTATGGAGCTGCGCGCCGAGCGCGAGGCAAGCTTGCTCGAGGACAACAGTCACGAGTGGGGCCTTGATCTTGAGGTGGGCGTTGAAATTGCACGTCAGTTCCGCGAGGGCAGCATCACATTGCCAGTGAGCGAACATCGAAGCTTACCGAGCGGGTCGAGTGGTCGAGCAATCTTATAAACTGCTCTCGCAGCTTGTTGGCATGTATTTGCATCATGGAGCCGCATGACAGCGGGGCTGTACATCTCCCGAGACTGTAGTTCGGCACGAGTTAGATAGCACGGCTTACTCGGCAGCGGACTTGATGATCCTCCCCTCCATCTATGCCCGACGCCGAACTTTCGTCCCCGTTGCGACACCACGCTGCTCTCCATGGCTGTTGACCCCCAGGTAGTTCAGAATGTCCGGCTCTCTGTTCATGCTGTTCACCGTCCTCAATTCCGAGCGCCTGGTCTCGAGTGGCCCGCGCTTGGGCGGGGAATCGATAAGGGAAATGACCTCAATCGCCTCCAGTGAGCGCTTGGGCGCGCGGACCGGGCTGGAACTGTCAACGAGCACCCGCGAACTGGAACTGGATTTGTGGCTGAGTGGGAGCGGTTCTCTAAGCGCCGCCATCTGCTCTTGGTGGGCCATGTCGCCTCGGCCGCTCCTGGCATCCGCTGGTGGATGACGTGGGCGCTCCGCCCTCGGCGGGCCATCCCTCGATCCAGCCAGCCGCTCCCGGGAGCTGGCTACTGTCTCCACCTTGTCACGCGCGCTGCCACTCGCCACGGGTTCGGGGTAGCGCTCAAAGTATTTGCTGCGATTGATATTGGAAGACGCGCCCGAGCGAGCTTTGCTACCAGAGAGGCCGCGCTCAGCGCCTCCAAATCGGGGCTTGGCTGTCCTTGTGTCGGAAGTCGACGTACGGGTGCGGGAAAGCGCTGAGCGCGGCGGTGACAAGGAGTCCAGATTGAATGTGCGTAGAGTCGTGGAGCGATTCTTTGGTGGCGATGGGCTGTCGAAGACCATGACGCGCTCGGTGGCTGAGCGCTTCCTCCCATCGTGGCCCATGCCTTCGAGGAAACTCTCGATCGTCGGCTCCTCGACTTCGAGCTCGAGAGTCTCTTCAGGCTCTCCAGCCTCGTAACAGTCGACTCGGAGATTGTCATCGCTCGTGCGCATCGTTTTCTGTGGACTGGAACGCGCGGCAGCCCGCAGTGCCTCGTTTTGCACGCGCAGTGCCTCGTACTTGCTCTTCAGTTGTCCCCGCTTCTCCGCCTTGGCTTGCCAAAATTTCAGCGTCTTTGTGCGATCCACAAGATCCTTCTGCAGGATCTGTCGCTCCTCTGTCTCTCGCGCGGCGATTCTGCTGTCAGCAGTCTACGAATTGCACATTCACCTCTGCGCTTCGACAAGTTTAGCTTGAAGGTCGTCTTCGCGCTCGCTCGCAGTCGATCGGGCGCGTGCGAGCGCAGTTCGCGTCTTTTCGACCTCGCGCTGCATCGCGTCCCGCTCATTAGCCGCGCGGGAGATCTCCTTCTCTGCCCTCGTCCGCTCCTGCACCATCATGCGGTCCAGCTCCATTTGCATCCGGCGCTCCAGGTCGGCGGTCGCGCGCTTGTGGTTGCGCTGCGCCTCGGCCAGCTGGGTTTCCAGGAGGGCAACACGCCCCTCCAGCGTGCCAATGAGGGGGTGTTCTTCAAGGCGAGTCTGAAGTCTGTGGAGCGCGACATTGAGTCTACCAACGTATGTCTGGCGTCAGATGTGGGCCAAGGCGCATGCTTACCTTGAAACCCTCAGCAGCCTTTGAGGACACGGCGTCCGCTCGAAGAGCCTCAGCTCGCTTCAGCGTCCCCCGCAAGTCATCTTCATGGCTCTCTGCGCCTGCCGCATCCACTTCAGCCGTGAGGCCGCGCGCACGCCGGGCCATGCCCATAATGTCCTTGTCCGCACTTTTCCACCGTGCGCTTGGACTGGACGGAACATGCTGGGACGACGGCGCCTGATTTAAGGTCTTGCCCTCCGAGTTGAAGTTAATGAACAGGCGGTGGATTGCTGGGTCGCCCGTATCGGGGTCGGCGTAACATTCTGAGCGGCACTCGGGGCACTCGGCGGGCGCGTCGGCCTGCGTCAGGGTGACGCCCTGGTCTCCCAGTTGCGTAACATACGCGTCGGCTTGGAACTTGAACCACTGCAGCAGGCATTTCTCGTGGAAGACGTGGCCTGGTGTCAGTTGACAATTGGGGATGGGAGGGCATACCGCAGTCAGGCGTCGCGATGGGCAGTACTTCGTCGAGGTCGTCGCGCAGGTCGAAGAGGTTGTCCATGCACACTGCGCAATGCGCATCTTCTAGTTTGAGAGGCATGGCAAGGTGGATGTCGCGAACTCGCGACGGAACGGAGAAGGATGGTGAGACGCACAGTTCCCATCTTGCTTGTCACCAACATCAGGCGCGTGGTGGTTAGGGAGTTAGGCACGTCACGTGATGATCCTAATCCGCATCCGTAGTTCTCAACGACATGATAGCCGCCTCCGTCGCCCATCACTTTCTCATGTTGGAGCTGAGAGTAGTGGGCGACAAGCACGCAACCGAGAATACAGTATAGTCATTGCTGGTAATCAGACGTGCGTTAGAATGGCGAACAGTCCATGCACACTCATGTGCGGTGATGCACGCGGCGCCCCACGTTCGCTCGTCATTCCGTCAACCGATGCACTCATCTCCGCAATCTCTTCTCTTCCCACTCACTTACAAGCGACACGCAACGAGGATGCCGCGCTACCACGTCCTCGTGAACCCCGTCTCTGGCGCAGGAGAAGCGCCCGACTGTGAGCATCTCATCCCCGATGATGCTGACAGCAGTCGTGGAACACCGTGTGCTTCCTCTCCTTAACTCCCTCCGCATCGACTACGATGTACATGTCACAAAATGCATGAACGACGCCGGCCGTATTGGCCGCGAGCTACTCTTTGAGCGCGAGCAGCGCGTCAAGGAAGGCAAGGTGGCTAGAGACGAGGTGACGACGGTCGTGGTCGGCGGCGGCGACGGAACGGCGCACGAGTTCATGGAAGGCGTGCTGGAGGGTGTGCGTGGCGGAGCGCCGCTGGGGCGCTGGGAGCTCGTCACCCTGCCGCTGGGTACGGTAAGTGGCTCCTGTTTTCTTTCGCCATTGTCAGCTGCAGAAGCGACGAAGCAAGGGCGAGCTGACCCCAGGCCAACGCCCTCCACTCGACACTCTTTCCGCCTGACTCTGTCCCCGTCCCGCTCACAGAACGCCTCGAGCCCCTCATCGCTCCGGGGAACATGCACGCGCTCGCGTCCCTTATCCGCGCGCTCGAGGGCGGCGCGCCGCGTTCCCTCCCCGTCACCCAAACCACGCTCTTCACCTCATCTGGCACACCTTCTTCCGACCCCATCCCCAGCCACATCGTGCTGAGCACGGCGCTGCACGCCAACATCCTTGCAGACTCGGAGGCGTTCCGCGCCGAGATGCCGGGCATCGAGCGTTTCAAGCGCGCGGCCGCGGACAACATCACCGTCTTCTTCCCCGCCAAGGCCCGCCTGCTCCCCTCCGCGGCGGGTGTGCGCGTGTACGACCCGCGAACAAGAGACTGGAAAGAGGGGCCGGAGGAGCTCGAGGGCCCCTTCGCCTACTTCCTTTCTGTGACGACGACGCCGCGCCTCGAGCCCACGTTCGTTGTCGCGCCCACGCTTGCCCGCCTCCCGCCTGCCCCGCACGAGGGGACTATGGATATCGTAGTGCTGCGTCCCATGCGCGATCCACATGTCGCAGCCGCCGGAGATCAGGGAGTCGCGTGGGCGCCCCGCGCGAAAGAGGTCTTGGGTGCCGCGTATGACGACGGGCGGCACATCGCGCTCTTGTATGGCGCAGAGGGAACGGTGGACATCAGCGCGCGACAGCCGCAGAAAGATCCAGGGGGCGAGCCAGTCGTCGAGGTGTTCCGGTGTGCGGGTTTCGAGTGGACTCCCACCGAAGAGGGGCACGCGAAGAGCCATATTGTTTGCGCGGACGGCAGCCTGTACACGGTTCCGCCTGGGGGCATGGCGCGCGCCAAGGTCATGGAGAGCCATGCGGGCGAGGGATTCTGGGTTTGGGGATAGGCAAGAAGCCAAAGCTGTGGCACATAGATCCCATGAATATAAGATGAGTGAGCGTAGCTTGGATTGTGAAGAAACCAAAAGAGCAACATGGCACAAGAACACCTTAACTCTGGAATCCAAGTCTCTCCTAACCGGCCGCCACATTCGCGGGATTCATTTGGCGTGGTCTAGTTCATGCATTGGGGCATACGAGACAGTGGACCTACGACGTTGGTTTTGGCACATGCCACCAAATGGGACTGTATACAAGCGAGGGGGACCGGATGGAATAACAGGATGCAATTAACACGGCGGACGGCAGCGGGCAAGCCTCGCTGCGCGCCATGCCCAGGAGATACTGAGAATGTACCACGGATGCAGTGCAGGCAGACACGGAAGGGTTGGTGATAACGTTTTGGTATTCTGGCGGATAATAGACCAACCAGCGGCACGGTACGCTCACTCAACCTCACGATTGATTGCCCTTGCGCGCGCTCTTGATCATAGGCGCCAGACTGATGAGCTTGGCAGAATACTTGAAAAACTCGTTCTGCAAAAGCTGCTCAGCATTCGGGCGCTGGTCCGAGTCGACGGTAAGACACGCCTTGAGGTAGTCGCGGAATACGCTCGATAGCTTGTCCCAGTCCTTGATCTTGGGAGTGCCATTCGTGGCAATAAGGTACAGAGCGCGCAGAGGGTTCTCGTTCAGGTAGGGCGGCTCACCCTCGAGCATCTCGATGGCCATGATACCAAGCGACCAGATGTCGACCTTGGGACCGTACTCCTTACGCATGACCACCTCCGGGGCCATCCAGTACGGGGTTCCGACCATTGTTGTGCGCTTCGTGTGGAGAGGATCGGCGATACGAGCGCAGAACCCAAAGTCGGCTGGGCGTTAGCTAACTGCTTGTGGTGGTCATATAATGACCGCTAGAAATGACTCACTGAGCTTGACATCTCCGTTGAGCGAGAGGAGAATGTTGTCACTCTTAATGTCGCGATGAATGACACCCTTCGAGTGCAGATGGCGAAGCCCTTCGCATGTCTCGCGGCTGACCGCGGCAATCTGCGCCTCGCTCATGCAGTGGGCGGTAACGACGTCGGTCAAACTGCCACCCTCCATGTACTCCATCACAACCCAGAGGTCACCCTTCCAAAGGTAAGAGTCCTTGAAATTGACAATGTTGGGGTGTGATGACTCGCGCATGACGAGAATCTCGTTGATGATGAGGTCCTGCTTGGGCTGCTTCTCGAGGTTCATCTGCTTGATGGCCACGGGTGTCCCAGAGCGATCGTAGGCAGTGTAAACGCCACCTGACGCACCCTGACCGATCTTGTTGAGCTGGCGGTATATGGAGTTGGGGTCGCCTGGCGAGCAGATCTGCTGCAACTGACGGATAACCTCCTCATTCTCCTTTGCCTTATCCCTGCGACGCGGCGCGCCAGCCTGGTCGCGGCCCTTCGTGGTCGTGCGCGCAACACCCTGGGACGGAGCCTGGGGCACAGGGGGAGCATTGTGAGGCTGCTCCGGGCGCCTCGACCTTCCCGACTGCGAGTGGGACTTGTGCAATGGCGGAGATGCCTTGTTGCTGCTGGTGGGAGTGCGAGAAGAGACAGAACGGTCAAGTGTCCTCTTGGGCGTCTGGCTCGAGGTTGATGATGGCAGCCGCTGTGAATGCGAACGGTCAAGCTGAGACGACGGGGGGATTGCAGGTGAAGATGACTGGGAAGAAGGCATGCGCTGAAGCTGTTTGGGAGGGGCAACAGGCGCGGTACGTTCAGCCTGCATCCCAGGATGAATCTTGGCCGCGGTTGCCGGCGGTGGAGGAGCTGCGCGAGGAGCATTGAACTGATAATTATTGTTGTTACTTCCATCATTGCTGTTCTCGCGTGACATGGCCGCAGATGGAGGCTGGGGCGACTCAGCGGGAGACAGCTGGTGGCTCGGCGCAACGTTGCGCATCTTGTTCCACACGTCATCGTCTGTCGTCTCGGGGATATCACGGTCTTGGAAGAATTGAACGACGGCGAGAACCTTGTCGGGATTCTCTTCCTGCTCGGCACGGGTGATACCGTTCTCGTCCAAAATCTTCTGCCACTCCGAGGGCATGCCAGTGTCTATGTTGTCAGTCCCCATGTCATACACTAACCAAACGTACATTGCCCAGTGTTGTAGTCATAGCCGACATGGGTGAGGTGAATGGGGTCGTACGGAGTTGAAATGACCAGATTCTTTTGATTAGTGTTGAGGAAGTCTGGGGTGGAATTAGCAAGACGTCTTTACGAATCTGCAAAGGTGCAAGGAGTGTATGTGTGGGTGTGTGGGTGTATGTGTGTGTGTGTGTGTGTGTATACACATGTACACATGCGCGCGCCACTCACCGTTGAGCAAGCCAAGGACACTCTTCTTATCCTTGGTACTCTTGCCTGTCCCACTACGGGCACGCATGGTCGGGGGAGGGGCGGTGTCCTTCTCGGGCTGGACAGGGATGACGGGCCCGATGTTGATCTTCTGGTCAAAGTTGGCCTCGAACGCGGCCGAGTTGCTTTGGAAGTGGTCGGGCTGCTGGTGCTGCGGAGTGAGACCAAGTCCGCCAATGGTGGGTGCGTGACTGCCGCCGAGGCCGTTGCTGTATGGAGTGGAGGAACCGTTAGATGAACCACGAGCATCGCGATAGTGGTTGCCATTCATCAGACTAGGGTGCTCGCTTGTAGGAAGCGTGCCAGAGCGCACCGGCCTCTGTGGCTGCGAGTTGGAGGCCGTGTATGCAGACCCCTGGCCGTAAGAATGCCTGTTCATGTTGGGTGAGCTAGTGGACGAGTACCCGTGGGCTGTCGGAGCTCGAGACGAGGTGGGGGGCCCAGCCGCCAGGGAAGGAGACATGAGACCGTTGCTGCTCGAGTCGCCTCTCGAAGAGGAGGAAGCCATCGCGTGGGAGGGGGGCGCGCCATAGTGGGGGTTCATCATGTCCTGCCGGTATGCAGACGGCGGGCCAGCCAGGGCAGCGGTAGGCGCAGGGCCATAGCCTCCCGAGTTGCGGGAGTAGGCCTGGCTAATGGGCAGCTCGGACGAGGTCATGGGAGTGGCACCAGTGTCTGGACAAGTGTCAGTGCGAGAGTCCTTTCGGAACGATGCGAGGAGGTGATGGTTGGAATTTGGGGTGGGTGTGTCGGGCGGGGGGGGGGAAGGAAGGTGGGGAGATGTAGGGCCTGAGTCACACACACGTACACTCGGACTGAGGATGGCGGATGGCGCCTATGCGCTTCGGGCTCGTGGCTGGGTTTCCAGACATTGCGACTGGATTGAGGGCTTGCTGAGGCTAAAGCAAGGGCGAGTGGTGGCGAGATCGAGAGCGAGAGCGAGAGCGAGAGAGAGAGAGCGAGATGAAAGAGAGATTTGTTGAGGAAGCGAACGCGCAAGTGATCACGCGTGTCGTGGCGGGGTAGATCAAGGCGGGCGGAGGGAAAAGGAAGGGAGTGGGTGCGAGCGTTGGAAAGAGCTCGAGAGAGAGAGAGAGACGGGGGTGGATGGATGATGACGCGCTGTGCGCGCAAGAGATTGGATTGCCAGAAGGAATTGAGACCGTGTCGCGTTGCGTTAGGACCGTCGCTGCCAGCAGAGGTGGTCGGGGAGGACACAAGCGCGGGCGCTTTGATGGTGAAGGTGGGAGAGGGGGTGGATGTGGTAGGTGGATGGGTGGATGGATGGATGGATGGCTTGGCTATCGTCGGTCCCTTGTAGGATCGAGGAGGCAAGGGAGATAGTGGGAGGAGGGCCGGGAGGATGATCCGTGCTCGGCACGGTGATGAGGATGAGGATGAAGAGAAGGAGTGAGGAGTGATGGATCGATGGATCGATGGATCGATGGAACAATGGGCAGAGCAGAGGAAGAGGGGCAGGCCTGCGCAGGATAGTAGAGAAAGTAGAGTTGGATTGGATGAGGGTGCAAGGATGCAAGGTGTAAAGGTAGAGAGATGACTGTAGAGGAGAGGCGAATGGACCCTCCGTGGCCGACGACGAGGAAAGAGAGAGGAGACCGGATGGATACCACTCCAAACTAGGTTAGGCCGCAGGGAGGGAGGGAGAGAGAGGGAGAGGCTGTTGGGCCAGAGAGAGTGCGTGGGGAGTTTGGCGACAGACTGTAGTTTAAGGGTTTTGAATCCCTCCCGGGGCGTGCGCCGGGTGCGTTGCGTGTCGGCCCAGTTGGTGTGCGTGTTATCGAATGTGCGTGCGATGTACTCTTCTGTGGTCGGGGACCAATGCTCGCACCGAACAACCGAAAAGAGACGGAGCGAAAGATGGGGGATGAGGGCGAGGGTGGGAGGAGGATTGAGAGAGAGAGTCGTCTTGATAAGGGATGGGATGGGGGAGAAGAAAGGAAGCAGATATGGCGGTGGTGGTGGTGGTTGTGGTGGTGGTCGTGGTGGTGTTGTGGAGTGAGAGCCCAAGCCAGCAGCGTGTGCCCGGTGAGGACCAGGATGGCACAGACGGGGCGCGGGCAAGCAGCAGCACAAGGGCCAGCCGGCCAGCCGGCCGAGGGCAAAGGGGATTCGAGGGTAGGAAGCAAGTGCCCCTTACCCAGGGGTCAAAGGAGGGTGTCACGGCTGCACTGCGTGGCGCGCCTGCCACCCGCCCGCGCCTGGAGTGACTCACAATTGGGCCATGGGTCTTGGGCCACCAGAAAGGAAAGGGGCCAGACCAAACCAAACCAAGGGCTGGGCCAGAATTGAGGGCGAGTTGCGCTTCAAACGTCCAGGGCATCAAAGCCAAAGGTACTGCACTCGGCCACTCCTCTGAAAAAAACCTCACCTTCAGGGGATCCAAGGATGCACTCAGGGTGACAAACAAGGGGTAATTCTCAGACGCGCTCCCAACGCTTTCCACCACGATCAACCGCGTCTCTCATTTCACCCACACAACTGATCAACTGGACGGCCGATATGGTGAGATGGGGGGCGACCCAGAGCAACACATTTCGCCGCGTCGCTCATACCGCAATGGTCGAGGGTGTTTCTCATTTATCCAATAGCAGCGCGTCTGCAATACGCAGTACCTCTCCTCTGTGTCAATCTAACCCCATACCCCTATATACACATCAATAGCACTTATTGTGCTCCCACTAGTAGTAGTAGCCGTACAGCCGTCATGTCTCATGAATTCATATCTGTCTTCAGCGTCATTCTGCACAAACAACACGGCAGCTAACAGGGTACCCACTTAGAACTCAAACTCGTGTCGATCTTTTATTCAAGACGAGTTCTCCATCCCTTACTTGGAGACGTGGACGCGCGAACACGGTGCGACCAACTCGATTCTGATCATCTGACACCTGTACGCCTGACAAGTTGACGCTACTACTCAATCCTCTCAATGCAAGTTCCTCGTGAGACAGCTGCTAGATCTGGGGTGAAGAGTCCTATACAGTAGCTTCTCAGATTGCAATCTGTACCTCGCCAGTCCGCCCCAGTCTATTGGCATGCGTGGCGAGATCGTTGACCGTTCAACGAGGACACTCGAAAACATGGCGGGACGGCAGCGCAGAAGCCGGCGCAGGAGTGACGGATGGCGCCATGGTCGTCATGCCTGGCGAACATGCTGGCGCTCAACATGGCGTGCGGCGCGCGGCGTTCAAGTCCAGGCAGACACCAAAGTGCCACACAACGAGTTGGTACCGCGCCCGTCCTCATGACTTTCGGGTTCACCGGCTCACTCCGCTCATGTCGCTCACCGGCTTCCCGGCATGACTTGCAAGCCGGCCCCGGGCCCGCGCCCCAGGCCCACCAGGCCCAAGGAACCGCACGGACCGCTCAGGGTCGGCTTAAATGGGCAGGCGCAATGGGCTGGACACGCGCAATTCACCAGATCCTGGTGCGCACCTGCCCCACTCTGTACACAATGGGATATCAGACCTTGTGGTTAAATAAGAGTGGGGAAGAATAAGCTCGGCACGTCCAACGGCATCACGCTTATCAATCGAAAGCGAAATGCCAGCTAGCCAGCTGGTCTGTTCTGAAGCGGAAGTAAATCAAGGACGGGATCATTCCCACATGGCGACCTCCTCCACCTTTGAAGCCGCGCAGGCGGCCAGTGGCCAAGCCATGAGAGGAGGCGTGACCATCGGAGTGGTGCCGGCGGTGACGACGGACTGTCGCTTCTCCATCGCCTTCCAGGCCACCTCCGTTTCTTCCCTCCACAACTCGTTCACACGCACGCCCACAGCCCACACTACCCCTCACCCCGAGCCCACAGCCATATTCATTGCACACTCGACGCCCTGCACACTCACCTACACTCTGCGCACCGACGACCCTTTCGTCACCTCCACTTCAAAAGTGCCTATGACGGCAGTTGCAGGTGTGCGGGATAACTGTCAGACGACAACCATCCTGGCTCGTGAGTGACTCTCGAGTGCTTAGCTGCCCTCGCACCTCTGGTGGCGGTAGCCAGGCCCGAGCCGCCCTCTTGCTGCTACTCGGTGGCGCGGACGCAGCTCATCGCTCCCGAATTGTTGTAATGTAACGTTTGCTGATCCTTCCTCCAGCCTCGCTGCCGCGGTCGCACCGTCCCGTAACACGGCCGTACTACGGGATTGATTCCACTGTAGAATCTGGCGGAATAGCAGACGACTATTACTACGACGACGACGACGAAGATTACGAGGAAGACGGAGAAGAGGACCACTACGGAGTAGACGAATATTACGACGGCATTGACTTTGGTGAGTCCGCACTAGTCCTCGACCGCGACTGCGTGATTGAGAACGCACCGATCAATGATCAGAGCCGTCGCGGCGAGGCTTCGTAGAGTGCAGTGTGCTGATGTGCGCTCGCTGCCATGCTTCCCTGCTTGCTCGCTTGCTCGCTACTACTTATTCCCATCGCCGCCACTCGTCGCTCCGCCATCAACCGCCCTCGCCTGCTCACATTTCCTACATATATCATGCCCCTGCACTTTGGTCTTGGAACAACACTTTCATCTGGATCGTGTCCATTCTCGGGCTGTTGGTATCCGCGCACCTTTCGCCATTGTCTCTGCTCTGCGTGCCGATTTCTGCGCACCGCTGCGATGAACACAGACGAGTGCTACACAGAGGATCTAGGTACCATGTGGCCCTCCCCCGTCGAGAACCGACTTACCGCGAACGGTGACGCACCAGCGGAATCTGGGAGCGCCAACGCGGCCTTTCATGTGAGTTACATCTATCCCACTCTCACTTCCTCTTCATTCACCACTGCCCATTGCTTGCACTGCTGACACACCCTCTCTCCGCTGTCCACACCATGCATCATGCCTCAAACCCGCACACGTCGTAAACCCACCGTCGCCCCACCGCGCGTCTTCTCTGCCCACTTCGTACCGCACGTCATCAAACCAAATGCCAAACGTAAACAACCTCTGGTCTGGCCTTCCGCTATTGCCGCCGACCAGCCCGATGACGACCGCCTGTCATGCCTGGGTCTCCCCCTCTCTCTTCCTTACGAGGTCGAGTCCCTCGCGGATATGGACGCTCGCCTCGAGGTAATCGTTACCCGCTTGGTGGAGTGTGTCAAGGCCCGCGAGTGGTCGATCGGGTTCCGCATGTGGACCTCCGCACTTAACATGTGAGCCTCACAAATGATTCCCACCCTCGCACCCCACGCTGACGCGGCTCAGATGGATAAGCATGGGATACCCCATGAAGAAGGAGATCAAGGTTCGGCTCATATTCCTTTTCTACGAGATCCTCTGTGAGTTGCGGCCGACTTAAGCATGTCTGACGCGCCCCAGTTATTCCGGGGCTGAGCACGTCCTTTGTTGAAGACCGGGCCAATGACCTGACCGCGTTCCTGAGGTGAGATTGCACTTCTGGTGTACCACATCTGACCAGCAGTGACCGGTCCTTGACCATCCACGACTTGCGCATGCCGTGGCGCCCGCTGTACGATGCATTGTACAACGAGCTGTTCCCCCACCCCAACAAACTCGCGCGCCATACCGTCAATTTGGCTCCAGTCTACCTCAATGTCGCCGAGACGGCCCAGAGATTCTTCCACCCCGGAGAGGTGGACGAGATGCTCGAGGTCATTTTGCCTCAGTTTGACCCGAGCATGGACTCGATTTTGGCGACGCAGCTCTTCCTTGTTCACTTCCTTCCCATCACTCACTGCGAGAAGTGGCTGCCCCTTGGTATGTCCCACCCGTCCGTAATTTTGCTGATTTTGCAGTGTTCCGGATGTGGTACGGCCTTAACAGCGGCCTGTGGGACGACCAGGCTTCCGACCTGATCGGCCAGTTGGCGATCACCCATGTCGACCCGGCTCGTTCAGATCCCTCCATTCTTAGTCGCATTCCGCGCGGCCGCACTAACACTCTCGAAGAACAGGCTCGCAACCCCTCCACCCGAAAGGCCTATCGCCAACACAAGGCGCGCTTGCTGGACGTGGAAGGAAAGATTGCCGAGGACGATGATGGCCTCAACTATTGGGTCGACCCCGACCTCCTTCCACCCGAGGAAGGCCTAGGGGATCCGAACTGGCGTGGCATCCGCAAAGATGTTGGCGTGTTCACGGATGAGCAATTCGAGTTCATCATGTCCAAGTGTCTGCGATCCCTGAGTGAGTCTTTCTGTGCTTTCACCGCACACAGTTAACAGCTTAGACGTGCCCGTGGGAGGGAGCCTGGCGTCGCAGAACAGCATGTCCATCACTGCTGCTGACGCGCGTACGAGTAAGAAGATCCTTGACGCGAAAAAGCCCATCGACCGCACTCAGAGTCTCGCTGAGGTCATCATTTACAGCATGGCTGAGGACTCACCTGTTATGCCCTTCGGCACAAACAGCGCACCCACACGCGCCGCAACGCCCGCCGAGCCGCACCACCCTACTTACACCGGCAACCACCTTGACCCTCTGGCGCGCGTGAAGAACGGCTACACTGCCATGTCGAGATCCGGCAGTACCGACTCCCTCGCCGCTGCCGGTGAGCGCATCGAAGCCAGCAAGCGGTATCTCGCGGGCTCCAAGGCACTGGACCACCTCTCCAACCTGATCACAAGTTGCGAAACCTTTTTCCACCCCAGTAACGCTGGCCCGTGGTCCGCTTTCTTGACTGCTTTCCTCTCCCACCTCACCAACAACTTTGTGCAGCGCTGGAAGCAGGAGGAGGAGCCGTCATGCAAGACGCCTCCTGAGTGGCGCCTCACGCCGGAGATCAAGCGCGCCTTCGTGCTCTGCCTCCGCCCCGTCGCGCTGTCAGCCATGTTCAACAAGGACATGGAGTCGGCTCAGCCTGCCATCTCGACTCTGCGTCGCCTGGCGCTCCTCGAGCCTGACTTGGTCATGCCTGCGATCATGGAACGCGCCGTACCGTCGCTGCAGGGTCTGGAGGAGACTCAGCGCACGGCTTCAGTCACGTTCGCTGTCGCTGCTGTTGCCTTCCCCATGGCAGGACGTCAGCTGTGGCGTTACGGTGGCATGTATGTCGCCGACATCTTCACGCTGCTCCTGCCCGGTATCGACCTCAATGACCCCACAAAAACTGGGCTGTCATGTATGGCAATCTGCAACATGGTCGACTACATCCGCATCGCCGACATTTCCGAGGTCGACGAGGACAAGGCAAGGGCTGTCAAACCTGGCTCACGTGCCCTGCGCACCTCCCCCCGCATAGTTGTTGAAGACGACCCGAACGACCCAATCACCAACGACTTTGAGTCTCTCAACGACGACGAGGTCAACGAGCGCGTCCGTATGTCGACCGCTGCCTTCCGGGAATGGGTACCAGAGTTCCTTGGTCGCGTCCTTCTCCTGTTCGCTAACCTTCCCGAGGAAGGCGGCAAGACTGGCCGAGCTGGCGGCAAGACGGAAATGTTGACTTTGCAGAGTGTGCTGCACACTTGCGGTGCCATTTTCGCTGCGCTGGACGACAAGCTCTTTGACGCTGCTCTGGAGCAAGTTGTCGAATACGCGACTACTACGACTCGCTCTAATGCTGTGGACGCTGTGGGCGAGCTCATCAAGAACCTGTCAGCAGCCAACGCGACCAAGGTGTTTGAGCGGCTTTTCCCAATCTGTCGCCAGCGTATCATCAGCGAGCTCAAGGCGGGCGCATCGTCTACCCGAACCACCACCACCTCCATTCCCAGGCCGTCGGACGCACCACTCCACTGGTGGCAGTCCATCCTCTACGGCCTGCTGGTGCCTGGACGCCTCAACCTGCCCAAGCATCGCGCAGACTATATCGATCTGCTCAAGGTTATGCTCCAGAATACCTACTCGGAGCGTGGCTGGGCCTGGACCGGCAAGATTGTCGAGAAGACACTCAGCTGCCTCACGGCTCTTTACCTCGAGGAGATGAACCTGCTCAATAAGCCTGACCGTGACAGCGCGGACTTTAAGCTCAACCACACTCTCTGGTGGGGCAAGCTGTACCGCGCCAACGAAGCGCTGCCGCAGTGGAAGCGTCCGAACGACGCCGACATTGACATGGCTTTGGAAGTTGTCGGCCTCGCCGACGAGGCGGTCACTACGCTCGAAGCTCTTCTTGAGACGCGCACCGGCGATCAAGTGTGGATCAACGACTTCTGCCGTGCCATGAACCTCGTGGATGAAGTGTTGCTGGGAACATACTCGCTCATCCAGGAGAGAGAGGAGCTGAAGAAGGGCGGTAGAGTGGCACCGTCCTACATCCCCCCGGAGCTGTGGAAGCTCCTGCCGCCGTACAAGGCAGGCTTCCTCCTGACGGACCCCAACGACCCGCGCTACCAGCGTGTAATGCAGTTCCGCACGCGCACTGGAGAGATGCTGCACCGCGCCGCCGATATCATGCGCACCGCCGGTGACTCGGACAGCTCAGTCGACAGCGTCAAGCTTCTCGTCGCAACGATCGGGTCGTGGCTTGTCTCGTACGGCATGCGCTCTAAGAAGTACCAGGGCGCGTCGGCGGCTTACGAGAACCTCCAGGCCAGCAAACGCATGTATGAGGGTCAGCGCAAGCAACACCGCTCCGTACTTTTGGGTGCCGCACAGGTGCACCACAGCAACCGTCTCATGACGGCCAGCTACTACCGGGTCCGCTCGGAGCTGGACGACAAGCTTATTACAAGCATGCTCGAGTTCTGTCTCTCGCCGTTTGTGCGCATTCGTCGCCGCGCGCAGTCGCAGCTTGACTCGATCACCAAGACATACCGTGGCTCGTGGGTTCTCTGCTTCCCCACGCTCTTCGACGCGCTCCAGCCCGGGAACGACCCAGACCGCATGAAGGGTGCACTCTACGTGCTGCGCTACAACATCGTCGGTCTCGCACGCATGGCGCGCGATTGGCGCGGCTTGGTCGACCTGGTTGACTGCCTTCTCGGCGCGCACCACGAGACTAAGGCCTCCATCCAGACGTTGGTCGGTAAAGCGATCGACGAACTCCTCTCTAAGATGCGCGAGCCTGTCATGTTCAGGCTCAATCTGAGAGTCGAGGCGACTGACAAGGCCGCCGACGATCTGATTGCTGTGACTGGTGGCCCTATCAAGCCCAGCGAAGCGGTAATCAGGGCCACAGATGAGGGCGAGGTTGCCCGCTTGGCTTTCCAGGACGAGCAGTACGACACTCTTGTGGACCACGTTCGTGCCACCACTGAAGACCCGACATTGAACTGGAGGTACCAGCAGTCCGCCGCGCGCTTCCTGTATTCACTCACGCGCCGCGACCGTCCCACGGACCCGCGCCTGCTCGAGTTCTTCCTCACCAATGTTGGAAACTCTCATCCCCGCATCCGCGACTACGGATCAGCGGGTCTCACCCGTATACTGTTCCAGGCGACCATGCGCACCTTTGCTCAGGACTCGCTCGAGCGCCTCTTCCTGCAAGAGCCTTACGACCCCTTCGCCCGCACCCTCGACCTCACGAACGTTGGGCCCGACTTCACGCAGAAGTACCTTGCCGCCTTCCGCGAGCCACCTCAGGACGACTCGGTGCTCCAGGACCGCATCGACACTGGATGGCTGTGCTGGGGACGTGAGATGGAAGTGTCGCGGTTCTCCGGCTGGGACGAGCAAGTCTTCCACCTTGAGCCAGCCTGCAAGCCGGCAGTTGACCTTGTTCAGAACACGATCAACGATCCGGCATGGTGGCAGCGTCTGTCCGACTTCTGGTCGCAAGAGGAGACACGTAACTATCCCTCCGCAAACCACATCGACCTCATCCTGTCGCTCTGCCAGGTGATCGGTCGCCCGATCCTTGACCAGATCAAGCCCATTGTCACAAAGATGCTCGCGGACATGGACGCCAAGAAGGTCTATGATCGCCACATCACTCGTGCCATGTGGGAGCTTCTTGCTGGTCTGCTTCGCGGTACCTGGGAGTGGCCCGGCAAGGATCGCAAGGAATTCTGGGACTGGTTCACGCCGTTGCTGCCGGAGCTGTTCCGCAACATTCGTCAGGACACGGTCAAATGCTGGGACATCACTGTGGAGTACGTTCTCCACGAGCAGGACCCGCGCCGCTACAAGCCCCTGGTTGACTTTATGCTCGACACGGCCTTGGCCGCGGACTTCCAGGGCGGCTCGGCGTTCGACCTCAGCCGTCGCGTACAGCTCTGTCGCTCGGTGCTGCGCTGTCTGCGCTGGCGCTTCGAGGCATGGTCACCTGAATTTGCGCAGCTCTATTTCAAGGCGCTCGACTGCCCGTACGCCGACGTCCGCGCGCTGATAGGCTCGGTCCTCAACGGCCTCGACCAGCTCAAGTGGAACGCCTCGTATCCGTCGGCGCATGCCCTTGTGGACGCTGTATTGGCCGACCCCGAGTGCAACTTGGACATCATGGGTATCCGTAACCCGCCCTTCCAGTCACAGTTGACGGAAATTGTCGCCCGCCTCCAGGAGCTGCGCAAGGAGCGTCCTCACGGCCCCAAGGCTGTTATGTCGGCTCACGACACGACGGCGGTGACAAGTGAGTGTAGAAGATACTCTGTGGACACAGCTGACAACAGTGATGCACTGGCTCACGATTGAGCTTTCGGATGTGCATGCCGTCGGCACATTCCCGTATCTCATCCCCATTCTTCCGGAGATCTTCGAGCTGCGCGAGATGAACGACAACAACGAGATGCAGGCCATAGCCGGCCGCCTTCTCGCCTGGATAACCTCGATCACACCAGCGTTCCAGCTGGTTGAACCGCTCATGATGCAGCTCATCTCCATTCTGCAACACTCGACAGTGAGTTCACCTTGCACAAGCACGCTGACTGCAGTCGTGGCGCACCAAGATGCACTGCATGCCAGTGCTGTCCCTCACGTACTTCCGCAACCTGTCGCTGTTGTCGGAGCCGTGCAAGGCCAAATGTCTCGACGTCATCTCCACGTGTCTCAAGGACCTGAACCAAGAGGTGCGCGAGATGGCGTCGGTAACTCTGGGCAGTTTCCTTCGCTGCTCGCAGCGCTCCATGGTGATCGTCCTCAAGGACCGATTCACGCGGGAGATCAACACCATCAAGGTTCCTCGCCACTTCCTCGAGCCTGGCGTCGTCAATCCAGCGTACCAGGCCAAGATTGTCGAACTGCACGCTGCTGTACTTGGCGCAGTCGCGATCGTCGAGGCATTCCCCTACACCGTCCCCAAGTTCATTCCCCCCCTCCTGGCCGATGTGCTCGCGCCTCGCGTCTCGGAGCCGATGCCCATCTCCGCCACTATCCGGACGAGCATCGCCTCCTTCAAGCGCACCCACGAGAAGTACCAGGAACGCATGTCCGAGGACCAGTTGTCGTCGATGAACTACGCCCAGGCGGGCAACTCATACTGTGAGCTTGCAGTGAGGTACAAGCTAACCTGCAGACGTTTAGTGCATGAAGAGAGAAGGCAAGAACAAGTAGAGAAGTGCATGTGGCAGTGTCAGCAACTGTGAATTATAGAATGCAATGCAAGGCATCCGTCTCGGAAATGGTGGAGAGTGTGAAGCGAAAGGGAGAGAGGGTGTACACACTCGTAGCTCGACCTCGTCCTCCTCGCCGTAGCCACTTATACAATACCCGTTCACCGTACCCACGACAGACATGTTGTATAGAGCCATGCACATATGTTCTGGCGCCTTTCTGCCGTCATAGCTGGTGGTTGGTGGACGCGTGGACGAGTCGTCTTCCTAAGACGGTACACTTGGGGGTAGCGGCATTTGCCACCCAACTGCCCTCAGAGTCGAGGTGGAGGTTGATGCAACAGGCATGACGCGTGACGCGTTCGTCCAGCTCGATTTCGCTCTCCATGTCCACATCGCATCCACCATGAAGATGCCGGAACCACACGTCCGCGCATGGTACTGGTACGCCTTTGCAGCCGAGGTGTTTGCGGCGTGTGCGATGGTGCGTCAGCATTGTCCCAGACTGAGCTGATCTTAGGCCATCTTTCTCCCAATCACACTCGAACGTGGGTGGATTCGAGGGACGTAGCTGATATCAGAAATGGCGCGCGAGATCGGGTTGGAGGCGCCAGACTACACAAACCCGTGCTCGCGAGAGAAGCCATTGCCGGGAGCAACGCCAGTGGCGTGTCGTGCCCATATCTTGGGTCGATGGGTCGACACGGCCAGTTTCTCGATGTATGTCAAGTCGACCGCCGTCTTCCTACAGGCCCTCGGTATCATCAGCATCGGGAAGCTCGCGGACAACGCGTACTGGCGGAAACGCTTGCTCCTCTCCTTTGCCGCTGTGGGGAGCATCACGGCCTCGCTCTTCCTCCTCATCCCCGGCTCGCCGGGACCATATCTCCCCGTGATCGCGGCGCTCATTACACTCGTCGGGAACATCACATATGCTGGGAGCATTGTGTGTGCGAACGCCTTCCTGCCGGGGTTGGCGAGGGAAGATCCAGAAGTGGTTGCGGCACGCGCGACCGCCGGTGACTCGGAAGGCGAGGAGCCCGAGGGCGGCTTGGATGAGAACGACGTGGCCTCCATCGCGGGGTCCGTGATTCTCCGTGTATCCGAGGAGAACGGCGAGGACGAGGCCCTCCTTACCTCCGCCACCCCGAAGTACGGCGCCGTTCTGTCACGCACGATGGCGCGCATCTCGTCGACGGGCGTCGCGATCGGTTTCTTCTCGGGCGTTGCCATGCTCGCCCTCCTCTCCGTCCCCGTTGTCCTCGGCGGCGGCTCCACACGCTCCCTTATGCTCGCCGTCGGTCTCTCCGCTGCCTGGTGGGGCGTATTTACGGTCCCCGCTGGCCTCGGTCTCCCTGGCGCTGCACCCTCGCCCGCGCCGCCAAACTGGCTTCCGGCGGCGTGGCGGCGCGTCGCGTCGATGATCACGCCGGCAGAAATCCGCCGCCTCCCAAACCTTTTCACCTACCTCCTAGCATGGATCTTTCTCTCTGATGGCTTCCACACAACGACCTACACTGCAATTCTGTATGCCAGCTCCCACCTCCACATGTCGCCCGCCAAGGTCATCATCATCGGGCTAGTCATGCAGCTCGTCGCGGTCGGGTCAAGCATCTATGCACCGCGGTTACAGCGTAAGCTTGGGCTGAGCAATCTCCGCTTGCTGGTGTACATCGTGATCGGGGCGCAGGCTTTGCCTCTGTACGCATGTGCAGGGCTCATCATTCCCGTCGGCGGGCTGAGGACCGAGGCGGAGATGTACGTTGCCGCGGCATGGTTTGGTTTCGTGAGTCGGCTTCACCGATCACCGAGTCTACTGACTCCAGCTTTACGGCCCATTCAACTCGTACGCCCGTGCGGTATATGCCGAGATCATCCCACCGGGGCACGAATCAACCTTCTTCTCCCTCTTCAGCTTGACGGACAAATCCGCCTCGTTCGTCGGCCCCCTAATCGTCGGCCTCATCGCCGACGCGACGGGCAACATCCGCCTCGGATTTGTGTTTTTGGCCGCAATGCTCGCCCTCCCGGTCCCCGTGCTGTTGCGCGTACACGTTCGCCGTGGCGTCGAGGAAGCGGCGGCGTGGTCCGCGCAAAGAGCGAGTGCGGCGTAGAGCGTGGATGGCATCACGGGCATCACTTGGGTATATTTCTCTCGCACACCCTCTTACATAGATATTGCACGCCATTATGTACAATCCTAACGTGTTCTGGGCGTTCTGATCTTATTAACTGCGACTATTCTGATTCTCGGCACAGGGACCATGCATTGCCCAGACCTTGGGTGTATTTATTGCGCGATGATGGAATAAGCCTATTTTAATGAACGAATTAGCGGCATCAGAATGGATTGGATGACGGCATGTAGATCGGGGGCGCGGAAGGCGCACATGCGGTGGCTGCGGATGGTAATGGCGGCCTTGGGCGGGATCCTGCTCGGTCCTCGGTCAGCATCGGCCAGCTCAAGCGGAGTGACACTCTTTTGCAGACCAGAACGTCTCATTCTTCATTTCACATCGCTCCTCTTCTCACCTCGACTCCTCACTGACTCTCCCTCACAGTCTCTTGACTTCTTGAGCGATGTCTGCATCGCCAGGGGACGGAGGTGAGGCCTCGGCCATGCAGTCCGCCCAAACGTCGGCGTTCCCATCTACCTCGGTCGACGCTAGCTCTGGGACAACGACACCCCGCCTCGCCTCAGCCTCCTACCCCCCAACATCCTCTCCAGCCCCCGCATCTCCCATGCCTCCCTCTGGCTCTCCAGCACCCGCGTCACCAGCACCCGGGGTTCGCGGCCCTCGCCCCCGCCCTCCGCGCCCAGTGCGATGCTACTCTCTCGAGGCGCTGCGCGATGATCCAGTTCACTTCCCCATGCCCACGCGGGCTCATCCCGTCCTAGAAAGTATGCCCGAGGTCTCCCCGCCGCTTCTGGGGTCGTCTGATCGCTCCGGCGCGCCCACCGAAGTCGACCCCGTCGGCTTTCCCGTGCCGCAGCCTGCGCCCCCTCCCTTCGACTCGTTGCGGTCTCAACCTTCCTCCGGGCCTTCCTCTTCCATTGCCCCGAGATCCTCTGCGCTGCCCGGCACCTTGCCTCCTCCTATTTTCGCCTCCGGATTAACCTCGCCAGTGCTCGCATCGCAACCCGCCTCCCCTACAGACTTTCAGCCTCTCCAGCCGACGCGTACCCGCCATCGCGCCCACACGGTGAGCGTTACAATGCCTTCGCAGATCCGTCATTCCAGATTTCGTCCTCTCGACAATGTCCGCGAGGCGGAGCGCCGCGCTAGCGCGCCCCGTGCGAGCGGGAGTGCGAGCGAGGAGTATGAGGGCGGAAGCTCTATCAACGTTCGCATGGGCTCCATGTCCGACGAGGGGCACGGGACTCCCCGCCGCAGGCGCCGCGCAAATACAGAGGTCATTTATGAAAACGGCGAGCTGCATGACGACGCGGTCGGCCTCCTCGACTGTGTTGACATGGAGGTCTCAACACGTGAGGCTAAGAACGCAGGATAATCTGACCGCAGTAAATCACCTGCAAAACGTCACGAACGGCATCATGTTCCCGAACATCCCACAGCTTTGGACGCGTCGGCCCACGCTCGTGATTCCTTCCACGCCTTCAGAGCACAGTCTTGGGTGAGCCGCGCTAGCTTCGCTGCGGGTAGGGGAACAATGCTGATAGTAGTGATGGCGTGGGTGGGGAGGGAGAAGAACAGAACATTCTCCCGCCGCCCGTCACGGCCAAGCGAAAGAGTCGATCAAGAGCAGGCACACTCACACGCATGTTTGGAATGGAGGCACAGCGGCCATCACTTGCATCACAAGCGGACGTCAGCCCGCCAGCCTCGGAGGCCGGATCGCTCGGCAAGTCGCGCACCGAGCAAAGAGAAGCAAAGGACGCAGGTGGTGATTTCGTGCCCCTCCAGCCTATACCTGCGTACAACAAGGACAAGTTGGAGGATGACGAATCTGAGGACGAGAGTGAAGCAGCCGTGGAGCACAGCTTGGACAAGCACCTGCGCAAGGTGCTTGTGCGGCAGCAGCGTAAAGCCAAGCTCAAGGCCTCGCTCAAGGGCTTGTGGGTATATCTCAAGACACCAATGGGCGTCATAACAGCGATCTACGGTTTCCTTGTCGTCTTTTGGGGCGCCGCTATCGTCTTATTCCTCCTGGGTTGGATTCCCACCTCGTCCAAGGATACGCAGGACAAGTGGGTCGAGATTTCGTCCCAGGTCGTGAATGGCTTGTTCACTATCACTGGTGTTGGTCTCATTCCCTGGCGCGCGATTGACACATATCGCATGAGTGTGATTTGGACTTTGCGCAAGCGGTTCCAGCGCCGATGCAAGAAGCGCGGGCTGCCACCTCTTGAGGATCCCGACGATCTCCCCGACCCCGCGACGTTGCCAGGGTATGAGGATGTGCTTACAGAGGCGGAGCACGACAGGCTTGTCGACCAGCAAACCAAGTTTGCCAAAAGCCAAACATGGTACCGGCCACATGCGACGGCAACCCACCGTGCGTTCCCGATGAGTCTGGCTCTCTGGAACACGATCGTGAGTTGATGCCGCCAGTAGCGCTGACCCTAGCTCATGGACGGTAACTCGTTCTTCCAGTGCCTGCTGTGTGGGTGTATGTGGGGCATGAATAGGCACACACGCCCGCCATGGACGACCGGCTCCCTCATTCCGCTCTCGTTCTTGTGTGGCATCGGCGCGGGTGTCCTCATCTGGCAGGGCGGAAAGCGGACGAAGAAGACGGCGGCTGTCGAGGACAAGCTCCGCAAAGCACTGGCGGTGCATGAGCCGGTTCCGGAACGCGTCAAGAAGCCCCGCCGCTCCACAGTCACGGGCACACTTTCGACGGGCGTCGACCCCGTTCTCAACGGCGAAGCTGCGAGACGACCGAAGCGCGCGGCAACGAGTGAGCTTCCTCACCTTTCAACGGGCGAGTACAGATTGGATCGCGAGGCCATTTTGGGCAGCGTCGCCGAAGCGGACGAGCCGATGTCTTACGAGCCGGCATCGGATTCACCCAGCTCGTTGAAGAAGCGGGAGCTCGGGGATGACGACGTCGTCGAGTTGAGGAGGGAGAGGAGTAGAGACCTGGGGCGGAGGACCTAGTGTACTAGCGCAATTCAGTGAGTGTACGATCTGGGCTGTTGAAACATGGCACGCATGCATAGTATGTCGACTGATATCCGACAAGATAACCAACCGTCGGCCGGCGGCCCGGGCGTGGGGGAGGCCCGAGAGCGAAGATGGCTGAACGAGGGCGGAACGCGTGGTGCGAGTGACAGGACAGGCTGAGGCTGAGCTTGGACACTCGAGTAACGACATGAACACTATGATGAACGTCTCATGCGCTCCGATCCCCCGGTCCCCCGGCCCCCGGGCATACTGTATACAGTACCGTGCAGGCAAAGAAAGGCGCGGTTCCCCCGTTCCACTCTCACGGGTCCCTCCAACATTCATCTCGTCTCTTATCCTCACATCTCCTCTCTTACTCTAATTCCCCCCTCATCCACTCACTCACACCTATTCCCACTCGTACCAACTACCAGGCCAGGTACGTTGGATTATCGCGCGTCAACTTCATGTCGCGTCTCATCCCCCTCTCTCGCACCTTGCTCGCTCCCACCAACCAATGTTTGCTGCATTCCACCAGTGCACGCACGGTGCACGGCCCCCGGGCGGCCGCGGGCGGGGCGCGCAGGAGCGTGGGCAGCTGGGCAGGCGACATTGCTCCACGTCGAGTAAATTCTGACGCGCAGTTACAGTCTCTTGTCGATCATCCCCTGCCGAAGCATCGACGCACATCCACCTTCGCCCCATTGCTCAGTGCTCGGAGCTCATTGTGCGCTCTCCGATTTCCGATCTCCTTCTTCTCAATTCATCATTTTGCCACTCTAGCCTTTCTCCCCACCTCCACCACCACCAACCTCGCCCTTCCACCAGTCTGAACAGTCGAGCCAGGACTTTGTTGTCCTTGGCTTCCCGATATCTCACCCATGACGACCATTGTCAAGACACTGCTCAAGAGTGCCATGCCAAAGGACAAGGACAAGAGCGGTAAAGTCAAGAAGAAAGACAAGGGTAAAGACAAGTCCCAGTCGCGTAGTATACACGTCAGCGGTAAGTCGCGTCGCGTCTCCGTTCCTGCCTACTTTTGGTTTGGTTGGTGGTTGGTGTGGCTGCGAATCACCGCGCCGACGGGCCATATCTGCGACCAACGCCTTCCTCGCCTCTCCCCTCCTCTCCACGGCCATCTCTCCCATTACTCTTTTTTGCCACCTCACCATGGGCCCCGTAATCATCCCCTTCTCCTCTGCCCCTCTACCATGCCCGTCCTCGCCGGCACACTGCTCGCAGCCGCTAACGTCAGTCGCGCCTACTCTTCCTCCAAAGTCAGTCAAGCCACCCGGCGTTGATCCACCACGTGCCACTACATGGGTCGGCAACTCGCCTCCGTTAGTTGCCACAGTGGCGCCGCCCCGTTTCACTGACCTTCGCGACACTGGCCACGACCCCAGTGCCCGAGACAAGGGTAAGTTGATCACTTGTGCTCCAAAGCCATCAACAAGCTTCGACGCTGATGGCAGTTGGGCCATGGATTCAGGCTCATGCCGGTTACACCGAAGGTTACGAGTTTCCCGAGGCGCCTCCCAATTTCCCGTCGCGTGAGTGAGCGTGTGAGCATGCTGACCCCAGGAACAAACTCCCCTGCCGCGACTGTTCATCCACAGGAGTCCATCTCCGTCATTGGCGTCGGACGTGGGGTTCCCCGCGGCCACCAGACAATGCAGAGCTTCTCTGCCCTCCAAGAAACACCAAGGGTATCCGCCCCTGCGCGCCCATTGAGCGAGGTCATGAGTCGTGGTGCTCCGGCTTACCAGGTGGGTTGAAACTGACCCGCTAGGTTTCGGATTTCCTGACGGCAGGCTCGCGCCACCAACTCTCCTACGACGGGCGCGTTTACTCGATCTCCTGCTTCTCGCGGTGCAGAATCATGCTCTGGTAACTCAGCTGTCACACCCAAGCCTCACCTGCATCAGCCCAGGCCTGAACACCCTTTTGATTATGCCGAAGCACAGGAGGCTCGCGAACGCGAGGAGAGGCGCCATGCGGAGCTTGCGGAAGCCGTCAGTGAGCAACGCCGTGTTGACCTCATCGCTGCAAGAGAGGCTGCAGAGGAAGCTGAGCGCGTCGCCCAACTTGTACATGCACGTCAGACTGCTGATCTGGAGCTCCGCGATCTCCTCAAGCAATTTGGCCCGGAAGATGCCGCCGCGCGTCGCGAGATGATACAAGACTACGCCTTGAAAGATGCGCAAGCTGAGTGTGAGATACGGGAGCGCCGCGAGCGCCAGGAGGCTTATGACGCTGCCCTCGCGCGGCTGGTCACACCTTTAATGGCTGGCAACATCCAGGACAAACATGACAGCAAGTGGGACAATGTCTTCAGCGCTGCAGACATGCGTCCGCGTGGCCTGCGGGACACCTTTAGCACCGAGTCGTTCGGCCACAAGCACCACGCGAACGGAAGGCCTATCCCTGCGCCCCTTTCCCAGGTTCCCCCTTCGCCCCAACCAGCGACGGTAATAAATGAGCGAGCTGCGCGCGCAGACACAATCTCCGAAGTAGGCGTAATGCTCCCCTGCGCTGACCTACAGCACTCCGCCAAGGTTGCGCCCAAGTCCCACAGGTCCAAGCGAGCGGACAAGCACACCCACAGGCATTCACACTCGCCCGCCCAGCTGCTGCAAAGCTCAGAGTTGACGCGCAACCTGACGTTTATCAAGTCCATCAACGAGCACGAGTTGGACGAGTCGGGCTCTGAAGCCGACGCAGTTTCGCAGATGACGAGACTAACGAAGATCGCCAAGCTTGTGGACGACAGCACATTCCACGACGATACGCTGTGCCAGCTCCTCGATGCGTCACGGCTCAACCTCATCGGCGATCAAGCCAAGAAGACGCTTATGCGCGCTGCCCGGAAGCGTGTCGAGGAATTGAAACGCAAAGTGATCCTGCACGAGGCCGACCAGAGTGCCGGCACTCCGCCTCTCAAAATCCACAAGAAGGTACCAGGTGGCAGCGCGCCCGTTACACCTAATGCCACAACAACCCCTCTTCCGCCTTGTGTCGCGGAGACCCCCCTTCCGGCCTGCCAACCATCTCAGCACCCAGCCGCCGCTGCAGCGGAATCCCGTCAGAATGAAGAGGTGCTGCGAGAGGTGAGTTACTCCCAGCGTATGCCATTGACTCTCAGATCTGCGATCGCCTTATTAAGCTCTCGGCTGCGTTCGAAGCCGCTCAGAACAGAGGTAATTTTGATATCCCAGGCGGCTTCTCAGCAGGCAATGTCCCCCAAATGCAACCACAGGCTCAAATGTACCCGCCGATGGCTGTCGACGTGCCAACCCAAGGTGGCTTTCAGACACTGCCACAGGCCCCTCTGGTCTTTCAGCAACCACCACCACCAGCACCACCACAAGGTTACCACAAATTCGAGGAGCAGCCGCTACCCGATATGACCCAGCGGGTGGGCCCAAACGGATACATACCCACCGGTGGCCACGCAGACGAGTACATGATGGGTGGCGGATCGATTCACTCGATTCCTACCACGGCGCAGGAACCTGTTGCCAAGGACGCCCCTTCGCCCGTTCCATCTTCGCCTGTCGCAGTAACACAAGATACGCCAAAGGCAACGCCCAGGTCTGCGCCACAGTTGGTGCCCGAATCGGAAAGGACGGAGGCATCCAAAGTTGGGACCGAAGGCTCCAGGGCTGCATCAAAGGCTTCCAAGGCCGCTACTAAAACATCTCGGGGCGTACCGACAGAGGCCTACGTTTCTCGAGCCTCAACACAGGCAGCTTCGGCAGTGCCATCCTCCGCTCGGACACCCACCGGCCCCATCATCAACATCTTCTCTCCCACGACTATTCAAGGCGAGCCAACTCAGTCGCGGGCTTTCACAGAGGTTCCAAGCACACCAGCACAACAGCAGCCAGTGTCGAGCCCCCCAACCACAGACCCATCCACAGGAACACACACTGTGCGAAGCCGACAGTCTGTCCCACCAGGAACCTCGAGCTCATCCCGTGCTCAGCCTCCCGCCCAGGTCGTAGTGCTGGAGAGAGAGCTTCCTCCGCTTCCAGAGAGCGTGGCGTCGCACCTCACTCGTACGACGACCAAGCCCGGCGAGCCACCCACCACGGTGGCGGCGGCAAGGGCAATCTCGCGGGCCGTCACATCGGCGAGCAATTCAACCCCAGGCCCCGAGTACGACAGTGGTGGCCAAACAACAGTCGCCACTCACGTCGTAGGCGGTGAGCGGCCATGGGACATAGTCGTGCGCCGGCTGCATGCCATGGCAGCTGTGTGGCAGGAGGACAACTTTGAACGCGCCATGAACAGTGCCAGCCTCAAGCGCGAGCTCGACATTGTACCCCTCACCATCTACACCATGACCATATACAAGTCGTAGGTTCCACCCCTTGGAAATACCCGCTCACCTCAGATACCTCCGCAACCGGCTTACCGCATTGAACCCCATGCCGGCCGACAAGCTTCTCGTGGCCCCCGTGCATGCTGAGACGATCAATAGCTACATCTTTGCCGTGAGCATATTTCCAAAGGAAGCATTAGCTGACAACTAGAAGAAGTATAACGAGGCAGCCGCTCTGCTCACCGATCTTTGGTCGCCACTCAGCAACAGCCCCCCGCGCGTGATCATTGCCATGACAAAGCACGGGTATCAGGAAGGCTGGCTAGCGCACCGTTGGGATCTAACGACCGGTCACCTCACTTCGCACCACTGCGTGCACATCGAAACACGCATTGACCCGTACGATAAGCGTACGTCGATCTGCCATACACAGACGCTGACACCAGGGCCGTTCAACTGGTGGCATGCCATTCGCGCGGCTTTCCCGGAGCGTGGTGTTTTTGAGCCACGCCTCTTGCTGGAGCGCAATGTTCGGCACGTTTACACTGCCACACCCAGTGATAACTCCTTGCGAGCCGCCCTCGTCACCCGCAATCTTCTGAAGTACGCCCCGCTTATACAACGGAGCCACAGCTAATAGCAGCGGAAACAAGAGCGATGTCGACCACGGGCTGAGCAACCTCCGCGATACCGTGTGGAAGATGACGCAACAGTTGCTCAAGAAAAAGCAGGCGGGCGAGCTCCTCCCTGGCCCAGCCAGTGCCTAGCCCCCTCTCCATTTCTTACTCTCCTTTCGGGCATTCAGGAACACATCTCTTCGTAGTACACTTATGCAATGAATCTATGGTCCTACATATCACGCTGTGGCGTGCCGGAACGGCTTGCATTGCGCTGTGCCAAGTGTCCTGTGTCGGCGAGATTAACACGGCTAGAGTTCCGGCTGAGTATTCGCTCCCCTCCAGGTCCAGCGGAGGGCGTGAGCGTCCCCGTCCGCTTCTTGTGCAGCTTGGGCTTGGGCGTCCACTCGTCATCAGCCGAGCTGCTCGAGTCCTGGAACATGGACATGGGGGGATCGTTCCACCCGGCTTCTGCGCCTGGGTTGTAGCTCGTTGTGCGCGGGCGTGGAGGTCTTGGCGTTGAGGCAACAGAGCTGGACGCGCCGCTCCCCGGCGTGCCAGGATAGGAGGGGTACGAGGTGACATCGAGCATCGAGGCGGTGCGGTTTCCGCGCGGACTTGTCGGCTGGCTCGCGCTCAATGCCTGCCAGCTCGAAGCGGTGCCGGAAGCGTTGAACGGGCCAGAGGAGAGGGGCATGCTCGCGTGTCGGAGCAGCGGCGAGCGGTGTGGCGCGTTACGCTTGCGGCGCAGCGGCCACCACCGGCGGCGCTTCATGGACGAGGCCCCGCCGTCGCCTTCTTCCACGTACAAATCGGCCGAGTCTGGCGGACAGAGGCGCGCGAGGCCGGGGATTGAGGAAAAGAAGGAAAGGGAGCTGAAGGGCAGAACCTTGCGGCGGCGGCTGCGACGCCCGAGCATGTGTAGCAGCCCAAAGAGGACGACGAATGCGAGTAGCGCGTACGCGACGAGCAAAAACGGCGGGAGGTCCGCGAGGTGTGCTTTTGCAGCACTCAGCGGCGCCCACCGCCCAGCGGGCAGGGCGGACACCGCCTTGCTCGCCTCGATGACGACTTTGCCGAGCGTCCATGAGATGGCGGTGTTGCGCACCGTGTCCATGCTCTGGAAGAGGCCCTTCTGCCGCGCGCGAAACTCGGCCTCGGCGTTCGTGCCCCCCATCCCGCCCAGCGTCGCGTTCCCGCCCTTGTCGGTCAGGCGCGGGACACCGATGCCGTCGTGCAGCACGTTGCTGATCCACGCGCCCTTGAAGCATTGCATCTGCAAGCGGGCGAGATCGACATCGGCCCACCCCTCCGCGCTCTGGACTTTGGCCTCGATCGTCCCCCAGTCCTGAGCACAGAAGTCGCCCATTCCCCGCTCCCACTCTGCCCAGTCCCATACGCCACCCAGCCCCAGCACTTGGTGCGCGGTGTACCAGTATTCGGAGATGCCGATGAAGCCGCGCTGATCGGCGCGTGAGAAGTCGATGCGGGGTGTAGGCATCCCCCCAAACAGGCAGTGGGCCGCGCCGCACGGCTCGTCGTGCAGCAGCAAAGGCTTGAGCGCATGCAAGCATTGCGTAAAGTCACCGGTGCCCAGAAACGCGGGGTGCTGTTCCGTGGCCGCAATTGTGAGGTTGTTGGGGAGACAGGCATCGTAGATCACTTCAGGCTTGAATGGCAGCGCCGACCACTCCTTGACTGCAGCCTCGACGTAGCGCTCACGCACGCGATTTGTGCCGAAGCCAAGCCACGATGCTGCGAAGACCGGCCACTCAACGAGCTCGCCGCTGAGAAGACGTAGCGAAATAGTAGCTAGTTGGTTGGCGGGGAAGCGTGACTGGCTTAGTTCCTCGGTTGAAGGCGAGAAAGCCAACTGCGTGCTCGCCCCGCCCATGTCGAGGAAGCCGAACGTCGGTGAATGGTGATGCACGTCGACGGGCGTCACTGCGTCGGTGGCACTACTCCCATCGGGGGCAGATGCGAGACTGGGTAAGGGGAGGAGGTGGTCGTGCTCTGTCTCAGAGTCCGCATGTGCGAGTTCTGGCGCGTGCCCGAAACCATCCATGAGGTAGTTGACGGCCACCCAGCCCCAGATACCTTCCTCCTCGCCGCTGATGACGCGCACACTATCGCCGCACGGCCCTGCCGCCGACGGTCCATCCAACGTAAATGGGTAATCGCGCCTGAGAGTGCTGCACGTCTCCGCGAGGATGGCTTCCTGCGCTTCCTTACTCAAGAGCCGCATCCCCGCCGTGGCGAGAACGTATATTGGCGTGCGCCCGCGCTGGCTCGGGGGGATATGTTCAAGGGCGTGGGCCATTAGAGGGGCCAGGTATCCCGGAATATCTTCTGGCGCGACAGTAGAGATGCCTTGTCTCAGCGGGGCCGTGGATGAACAACGTACCTGGCTCAACGCGCTTGACCCACTCGTCCCCCCTCACGCCCTTGCCGACACGCACGAGCCGGCGCAGAGCGCGCCGTTCCATCTCCTCGGCGCTCGCCTTGCTGTTATCCTTCCGCTTGAGGTGGTCCCACCACCACCATCGCGATGGCATTCCGTCGCCCAGACCGGCCTTGCGTGCTGCGCGCACCTCGCCGAGAATCTCATCGCGCTCGAGCCCGGGGTCGCGCCACGAGTAGATTTGGAGGCGCGAGCCTGAGGAACCGGCGTCGACGACGAGCGCATAGTGCGTCGAGGATGCGTCTACGGACGGCGCCATTCGCTACCGGGGGTGTAGTGGGTGGAGGTTGAAGCGGAATTCGAGGGCTTCGGTGCCCGTAAGGTGGAGGGTGATGCCGAGTGTATGAACAGTTAACGGAAAGTCATGTGAGACGGGGTTGAGGTGGCGAACACCGCGGTGGGTAGGAGACTAATTCGAGTAGTTGGAAACAGGAAGAGGATAGATGGGTAGATGTGAGAGGATTGTTGATGAGAGAGACACGATAGCCCACGGCGATTTCAGGTTGTCGATTGGCGTGCCGACTCTACGAGCTGAGACACTGTCGGTCCCGCTGAGCATGCGCGCGAGTGCCTCGCCTCCCTCACACTTTATGCAGGCACTCAGCCACAATACGTAGGTTTACGTCCCACCTTTTCATCATCTTAATCGCCTTTGACGTCTGGTTCTTCGAAGACGAGCGCGCTGGAATGCCAAGACAGCACTTCCACATCGGCATCATAGAACATGACGGAGGGTCAGCACAGCAGAAAGCCGATCCGCAAGTCCTTCCCGCGACTACATCGTCGTCATCGTGGTCCATCTAATCTGCGCCGACGGGGCTGGTGTACCGCGCAGGAGAAGAGGCGTATCACATTCTGACCCGACTGGGCGGATCATACTGGGGTGACCGTCGAGCGAGGATCGCCAAAGTTGATTTACTGTTTACGGCACAAAAGAAGATGCTCGCACGCTGAGTCGAACAGCGGTTAGCTCGGGTTGAGACTTTCAGCCACAACGAACTGTGATAACCACCTACACTATACGAGCTTTTAACGGTGGTGATAGCCTGAATTGTTGGCCTTCATAAACCGCTCAAGAATTAGGCACGAACACTAGGTCTCCACGAGCCTAATGCATGGCTCTGCCCGCCTAGTAACCAACGGAGTTTTCCAGTGTGGCACACGCGATCCGCGAGATTTCGGAGACGTCCTTTTCCACCACCGCGACCATTGCAGCCCTCAACACCATCGACAACCATGAGCGTGCGTATCGACGCGGCGCGCGCGGGTGCTCGGACACGGACTCAGACTGCCGACATTTCCCTTTCCCCATGCGCCACTTTCTCCCCCTCTCCGCCCCGTCGTCCATCCGTCCGCGCGCCCCTCCCGAAATTCGGACATACTGACGCCAGGCTCCCAGGACCGTCCTCCGCGCCCTCCGCGCTTCGTCCAGCCGCGCCGCGTACCGCGCACCCGCGAGGGCATTTTCGTCTACGCGCATCGCGCGGGAGGAGGCGGCCCCTGCAGCTGTGTCGCCCAAGATTGCGTCGATTGTGGACTCCGTCGAGGGGCTCACCCTCCTCGAGGTCTCGGAGCTTGTGTCTGCCCTCAAGGTGTGTTAGCTGTGGCGCTGAAGAAGGCCGGGGAGCTGCCGAGTTGGTCTGCGTCTGCGCATGACGCGCACTTGTCGCAGCGCGTAAGGGATAAGTGGCCACGGCAAGGAGCTTTGGCGAGTGGCAGGGCGTATTGGGAGGTGAAGCGGATGCGGAACGGCGAGGCATGATCCTCGTCGCCGCCAAGCCAACAGCGCTTTCCTTCCTGTCACTCCCATACCGATGTTGCCGGCCCGTACGTCTGCCTACATATCTCGAGCTCTCGTAGCTTCAACTGTTTCTCGCTCAGCCCGGCACGCCAAGTCGACGTCGCATCGCTAACCCTAGACCCGCCTCAACATCACTGAGGTTGCGCTCCCCGCTGCGTCTGCTGCACCAGCGGCCGCGGCCGCTGCCGACGCTGGGGAGGCGCCTGCCGCCGAGGAGAAGCCGAAGGAGAAGACTATCTTCACGCTGAAGCTTGAGAAGATCGACGCGGCCGCCAAGGCTAAGATCATCCGCGAGGTCAAGGCGATCATGCCAAACATGAACCTTGTTGAGGTGAGTGCCGATGGTGCAGGAGGTCTGAGGGGCCGGTGTGCCGAGATGTCGACAAGATCGGCCCAACTTCTAGTTGTCACCGCGCCCTTGCTTTGTGCCTGGCTCCATGACCCGCGCTCACGTCCAGGCGAAGAAGTTTGTCGAGTCGGTGCCGCAGACCCTCAAGGAGAACGTGCCCAAGGAGGAGGCCGAGAAGCTTATGAAGACGCTGCAGGACCTTGGCGCGACCGTCTCCATGTCCTAGGCTTAGGGTAGATATTGCATGCACACATCCAGCTCCCCGGAATGGGTGACGCCGCGAAGGTGCAGGCGCGCCTGCCGCTTTGGCCCTTGGTCCTCTCTAATTTCTAATGTTATATCTCCCTACGCGACGCGGTTCCGCGCACCCTTGCCTTCGAGGTAGTCTACTACTATGCCGATGGCAGCATCGCAGCCTCGCTGCGTCGTCTCGTCTGTCGACCCGCCGAGGTGGGGGAGGATCACCACATTTGGTGCATCGCGCAGTCGTCCCAGGTTCGCCCCAAAAGCAGGCTCCGTGGCCATGACGTCGAGTCCCGCACCCCATACGCCGCCTTCACGCTGCAGTGCATCCGCGAGCGCGTCCTCGTCCACCATGCCCCCGCGTGCCGTGTTGAGGAGCACTGAGCCATCCTTCATGCGCGCGAGCTGGGGTGCCCCGATCATATTGCGCGTCTGGGCTGTGAGAGGGCAGTGGAGCGAGACGACGTCGGCCTGCTCAAGCAGCTCGTCTAGAGTAGCGATGCGGGTGAAGGGAATAGGCTCAAAGCCAGCATCTTGCTCGGTCCATCGCTCAGGCGGACTGGTGGGCGAGTACACCAGGATGCGACAGTTGAAGGCGAGGAACAGCTTGGCGGCGAGATAGGCAATGTTCCCCATGCCAACTAAACCCACCGTCTTGCCACTCAGGCCTGGCGACAGCGCGCGGATAGAGGGGATGCACTCGCCGTCTCGAATGCGCGGCCAGAGCTCCGTGACTCGTCGCAACACGGCCAACGCCAGTGCGAGTGTGAGCTCCGCTACGGAGCCGGCATTTCCTCCAGGCATGTTCGTTACGACAACCCCCATATCCCGGCACGCTGCGGTATCGATCGCGTCGTACCCCGTCCCGTTGCGAGCAATAATCTTAAGGCGGCGCGCGGAGCGGATGTCATGCGCGTTCATGGGTCCGACACGAATCACTAACGTCAGACCTAAGGAGTAGGAGCCACATACACGCCACATCCGCCGCCTCAATACACGCTTCTCGGCTCCATCCGTCCACGCCTGGGCGGACAACGCGGCCGAATGTCTTCTCCGCCAGTGCCTCCGATTTTGGATGCAGAGGTGTCGGGATGTATACTGTCGCCTCGGCAGGCGATACGTCGATTGGCTTGAGCCTCTCCGTTGGGAAGTCTTGGGTCATGGCGGAGTAGGTGGAGACAAGGTGAGGGAGTTGGAAGTGGGCGAGGATACCGGCCCGGCCGTCAGTCGGCCGTCTCCGACGCTGCAGCAGATTGACTCCTAATCATGGTTACCTTCGCAGGTTTGTTCATCACTTCGCCGCCGCACATCGACGCTTACATTGCGAATACCTACCCAAGCTTGTTTGTCAGGCTTCTACTTCAATCTAGATTCTACGAATGCTTGTCGTCGCGGAACTGAGACAGCCATTCTTGCACGAAGAGTATCTCGAAGTTGTGCACATTGCGGATTGCCGGGGGCTCGAGGTCATGGTTTTCCAAACCGTTCTGCTGTCAAACAACCTCATGTGGCCGGAGCCTACCTCATCCCAGTGGTGCACCCCGTCCTCGATCAGATGAAGAGGCTTGTCAACGGACGATTTGCGCTTGGGCACGATGTCGGCCTGCGGCGTCTTTCATTAGTACTCCATGTCACACTAGTCAATTTGCCGAAGCCCCTCCATGCCCGACCAGTTGCGCGGAAAACGTGGCTAGCACTTACCATGGTGCGCCAAGGGTCAGCTTCTCCGTCGATGTAGGCCAGCCGGTGGGCCTCCAGCTCATAGTCACCCCGCGCATTGACGTCCGTCACATTCGGCCAGTTGGGAACCGCAAAGTACTTGCCGGGCGGATACGCTTGCTTGCAAATGTTGGAAGTGTACTCAAGCGTGACGTGCTTGGATAGAATAGACGGACCATCCTTAGGTGCCGGCATAAAGTACCCCCACTGCGTGCAGACTGGGATCAGCGAGCACAAGGTGATACGTACCCTGGAAGAGCCAGAGGCGCCAAGTCTGGTCGAGGTCGTCAACCTCAAACTTGGTGTCATTGTGTGTCCCGAAGCACTACTGATCAGCTAGGCAATGGGGCAGCGGCTCACGTCAACTGCATCTGTGGGGCAGTACGCGACGACATGCTCTCGGATGTACTTGGCGTAGTTCATAACGGCAGGTGCGCTGGTGTCAGCAATCGAGACATATGTAGGCCGAGATCTCACATCTTGAGCAATCCAATACGGCCACCATGGCCTCCGCTCGTGAGTGCATCACAGAACACGTCCCAGCCGTTGCTGCTGACCTCCGGGTTCCAATTTCGCGCCTGCCAATAACCTTGTGTTAGAAAGCTCAAGACCGGACTTACCTAGAGGAGACTGGAGCACGCCGCCAAAATCATCATTCTCGAGCTCAGCCACACCAAACAGGCCCTTCAGCAACGATGGGACGGGGTGAGGGAGCTCCAGTAACGTGTCAATAATGCGAATCGCACTTTGCAACGTGGAAATACACTTCTGGTCTGCGTACTTCTGGATTGGATCGAAGTACTCGGCCATGTTGATCTGTGCGTGGGTCACCGCTGCTGTTAGTTGGCTACCACTTCCACACCCACCGCTGCTGGCAATTGCTCCCCACACCAGATCCGGATATTCCTTGCGCATGAAGGCCGCACGCGCCCCAGCGTACGAGCCTCCATAGTAGATCCACGGCGTATGCTTAGGCTTGAGCGCATCGGCCTCAAGAGCAAGGCGCTTAGGTGGTTGAAAGTTGCGAATGAACTGACGTTAGATTCCATGTCTGTTCATGAGTGCCAGCTGGCAGACGTACGTTGGCAGAGTCTTCAAGACTGTCGGCGTTGTTCAGAAAGCGGAGGTCGTCGGTTGAGAATGACTTGACTGGCACAGACTCCCCGTAGTATCTCAGGTTAACGTCAGCGGTCTCCATGGCAGACCTACCGGTGCTCGAGGACGATGCCCAGCCCTCCGGTGGCGTTGGAAAGGATTTGCAAGATGCCAGACTCCAGGAAGGGAAGACTAGATCAGCTCACATGTTTGCACACAGCTTACCGGTCAGCGCCGTCAGTCTCCCCCCCATCGAGCAGGAATACGGGCCCACCGGGCTTGTAGTACTGGTCGTCGAGCCAGTAGCGCTGGCAGAATGAACCGTTAACCTCGCCTGAATGCGATATGCGCTGATCGAAACAGTGTGCCTTGTATTTAGGCTCTGCAAATGTTGTCTGAACATTACTCTCAGCGAAGAGAGAGCTGGGGTTAGTGACATACAGCAAGAGGAGACCAGCAACCCACTCCGACTTCTCCTGCGCCCTCAGCGCTTGCCAAAGCCCAATCTGCGGTCGCCCAGTCTTCAGCAGGCGATGGCTGGTCGCTGCGTCGAGCGCCAAAACAGGCGCCGTTCCCAAAAGGCTGAGCAGCAAAATGCTCAGCATTGTGAGCTACGTAAGGGTGCGGATGATGAGAAGTGCAACGTCTACCAGCACATGTCGGCTGCACACAAGGTCAAGCCTCTCGGGGTTAGCCGATGACGCACGCGGAACGGATTACAATCACATTGTTATATGGTTATTATCAAGGGTAATACGCACGTGGCCCGTCAATATTCACCCTGTCCTCACCATATTTTGAAAGCCGCCTCCACTCTCGACTTCCACTCTCCAGCGATCGTCTTCTCAACAACACAACATGGCCGACGTTGTAATGGAGGCAAGCCCGCCCACGCAGACGCGCCGCGAGCACCTCGCCAAGACTTTTGAGGCTTACCGTGCTGAGCTGGATGCCTACGTGAGCTTGCTCTTGTTGTCGCTGACCGCAGAATGAACGTCGAGAACAGGTTATCATCCTGAGTCGCGCTATCACTCAGCTCTCTAAGAAGCTCATTTTCCACCTGCATCGTGGTGCGACTGGAAGCGATTCCGCGCGCGCAAAGAATCTCAAGGAGGCCCGTGTTAAGGAGCGCACAATCCATAAGAACTTCGTCGCGGTCGCCACTGAGCTCGCGGCTGCCGAGGCTGACCCGGAGGCGACGACTGCGAACTTTTGGAAGTTCAGCCGTCAGGTGTAAGTGAAAACGCGGGAAGTAGCCAACTAGTGCTTCACGTGCCAACGCGGTTGCATCAGCTGCGCTCCCCAGGTTAAGTCCTCAACTTGCTGGCAGCTCCCGGGAGGTCCATGTTGACGGCAGTTCCGCGGGTCTTGAGGAGTACATTGAGGCGTACTCGTTCCTCTACTATCTCGAGACGGGCGACCTCGTTTCACTCCCTCAGCTGCAGAAGGCGCTTATATCGGACGACACTGGTGATAGCGTAAGCGGGAAGACAGGCTGTACTCACCACAGCTCGTGGTCATCACACCAGAGGACTACATCCTGGGCATGTCGGACCTTACTGGCGAGCTGATGCGCTACGCGACGAACGGTGAGCGAAGGCTGAGCGCTATTATCTGCGCGCACCTCTCGGCGAAAGGCGTGGTTCTCCGCCCATAGGTGTGCACCCCAGCTGCATGGCTCCACAATTTGCGACTAGGGGCGATACGCTCAGGCAGCGGCGACAACCGCCCGTGTTCACTCCGGCTAACACCAGCGCTCAGCACGGGCGATCACAACACGCCCCTCGCCGTCTGTAACTTTGTCCGGGTGGTAAAGACTTGTGCGTAATTGGCTTTCGTGACTGACGCAGTGTTCGACGGTATCTCCCCGTCCATGCTCTACAAGCTCAGCAAGAAGCAGGAGGAGACGACACGCTCCCTTGAGAAGATCGAGAAGGGTGGGTCCTTGCGGTGCGGATATCTGACAAATTGTGTGCTATGCCCTGCGGCTGCGCCTCATCGAGTATGGCGACAAGCCCGAGGTGTTGGCTGCCATGGCCAAGCGCGCTCTCGAGGACAGTATGACGAGCGGGGGGAGTGGAGCCGAGCGAGACGCGTAATATGTTGTACTTGTGCATTGCATGGGCCGATGTGTGACACGATGAGGGCCAGTTAGACCAAGTCAAGTTATGCCATGCTGAAGAGCTTGGCGTGTACGCAGCCTGAAGTCAGGCACGTGACGCGGAGGATGATCGGATGATCGACGCCACGTCTTTCCGGGCTTTAAATATCGGCCTTCGATCCACTCTCTCTTCACCCCACCACTCACTCATCATGTCCTCTACGCCCCTCTACACCAGCGACAAGCCCGTTTTTGACAAGGAGAAGATCACCGTCATCTTCGTCCTCGGCGGGCCTGGCGCTGGCAAGGGCACCCAGTGCGACCTTATGGTTCGCGACTACGGCTTCAAGCACCTGTCCGGTTTGTCTCGGATCACAACTCGACTGACGCGCAGCGGGTGACCTTCTCCGTGAGGAGCAGGACAGGCCCGGGTCTAAGTACGGTGACCTGATCCGTGGGTGCATCAAGGAGGGCCTCATTGTGCCCCTCGAGGTCACCATCAAGGTGAGCCAATGCCGAGGCGCGGATTGCCTTCCTCAGCTCGTCTAATATGAGCTGGGGGACAGCGTCAGAGAAGAAAAGGGCTGACATAAACAACCGGACATTGCTGACTCCAGCTTATTGAGAACGCCATGACAGCGACGCTGGCAAACCCGCCTTCCGGGGAGGGTTGGGTCAACGGCAAGGGCCGCTTCTTGATCGACGGCTTCCCGCGCAAGATGGACCAGGCGCTTATGTTCGACAAGGCGGTGAGTAGGCCGTGAAGGGCGCACGATACGGGTGTATTCCATCCCGTTACGCTCGGCGATACGCGCGTTGCTTATGAGCTCCACTCCGACCCTTGCTGTGCTCGAGCTCAGCTGACCCTAGGTTGTCGACTCATCGCTCGTCCTCTTCATCAACACCACCGAGGAGGTCATGCGTGACCGCATCAAGGAGCGCTCCAAGACTTCTGGCCGCGCCGACGACAACGAGGAGTCGCTTAAGAAGCGCTTTGTGACATACCGCGAGACTTCTTATCCCGTCATCGAATACTACATTGAGAAGGGCAAGTGTGTGGACATCAACTCCACGCCCGCCGTCGAGGAAGTATACACTCAGATCAAGGAGACTCTGAAGGAGCGCATGCCCTACCTCTGATAGAGAACAACCCTAATAGCTCACGGGGATGCATGAAGCATTCTACCGGATATTGTGACAATGCAATGCTGATAATGTGTGATTAATCGATGTCCATGCCCGTTGCGAGCCGCTCGCGGCCCTCCTTGTACGCGGACTCGAAGAGTAAGGGCTTGCGCTTGGCGAGGAATGGTGCGGGTGTAACAATCGAAGCGCTGGTGTCAGCAGGGCCAATGGGAGGAACTCACAGAGAGGTGCCGCAGCCTGGCGCAGGTGTGCCCATGATAATGCATTCCGAAACGCCCTCGATCTCGTCGACCTTGGAGAAGAGAGAGGCGTCGAAGAGGTGATCCGTCGTCTTTTCGAATGAGGCCAGCATGAGCACCGAGTCCTTCATCTTCTGGACACCGAAGCGCGTAATGCCCAGCACCTCGCCCTTGTACGTCATGACATCGCCGAGGAGCATGACGTGACGCGGGTCGATGTTCATGCCGTGCGACCTCATAGTCGTCTGAATCTCCTCGTAGATGGTCTGCCTCGCCGCCTCGATGCCGAGAACCTTGGCTGTCTCCATGACGTGATTAGTCTTGGTGTTGATACCGTCGACGCCATCCATGCCCATGACTTCGCTCAGGCCATAGCCGGTGACCAAGAGTTGCAGCCTTTCCTTGTCTTTCTCATCCTTGGTGATAACGGAGCGGTCAATCTCTGGAAGACCCTTGACCTGTACGCTGGGGATAGCGCGTTTGAGGTATTTGAGGCGCTCGTAAACACCCGTGAACTTGTCCTTGTCGGACGGGTCGTTGATGTAGATCTTGATGCGCGCCTTCCTCGAGTTGATGGTGACATCGCTGTCGCGGATCTTGAGCTTGGGCGCAAGCGTGAGGGAGTGCTTTATGCTGTCCAAAGTAATCTCGAGCTGCAGCTTGGAAATCGCGTCCATGTCGACGTGAACTTCGATGAAAGCGCCAGCACCCGTCCACGCCTCCTCGATGATCGACGCGATCTCTCCAAGCGTTGTCCGCTCAATACGTCCCTTGACAATACGCGCAACCGACTCGTCGCGGTACTGCTCGAGCTGAACGGTGATGATCGGGGTCGAGATGATCTTCGCGGCGTTGATGATCTCCTTGATACGCGGGACACCGAGGGTTACGTTCATCGATGCGACACCAGCGAAGTGGAACGTCTTCAAGGTCATCTGCGTACCAGGTTCACCAATCGACTGAGCACCGACAGCGCCCACGGTCGATCCGGGTTCAATCTTGGCCAGCAGATAGCGCGTACGGCAATTCTCGAGGAACTGCAAGAGTTGCGAACGCGTCACAGAGAACGAGTTATCCAAAACACGCTGAACGTCGGGGTCATGTGAGATCAAGAAGTCCTCGTATTCCTCGGCGGCATCCCTGGAGTCGGCGGCGGGAACGCCGCGACGCTCGCGCTGCTCGGCCATCTTCTTGGCAATCTTGTCGTTGATAAAGTTATAGGTGTTCTCGCGGAACTTGACGTGCACTTGCTGCCACTCTTGAGGGACGATCACTCCCTTCTTCTTCCGTCCAGCATGAAGCTCAGGGTAAATGTAGCGGGCAATCTCCTCAACTTGGTATGGATAGAGTTTGACGTCGTCCTTTGGCGCGGTGGCCATGGCGTGTTGCCAGCTACGCACGTACTCGACGGGCGTCGCGTCACCCTCGAGGCAGGCTGGGTCAAGTGAATCGTCTCCGTACTCGAACTGTACGACGGTGCCAACAGAGTTGCGCACCGAAAGATCGTACTGTGCGGACAGATCCTCGAGCGACTTCATTAGACGACGTGCCATGTAGCCCGTCTCAGCCGTCTTGACTGCCGTATCGACGAGACCCTCGCGACCGGAAATGGCGTGGAAAAGGAACTCGGCTGGTGACAGACCGGAGAAGAACGAGTTACGAACGAAGCCCTTGGCTGGCGGGTCGATACTCTTCTTCTTGAAGTGAGGCAGAGAGCGGTCCTGGAAACCATTGGCGACACGTTTACCGGCGATAATTTGCTGTCCGACAAGAGCGACCATCTGGGCAACGTTGATGAGCGAACCTTTGGAGCCACAGGTGGCCATAATTAGCGGAGCATTGGCGCGCGACAACTCGCGCTTGCAAATATCACCGACGTTGGCACGCGTATCGGACAGCGTGGCGGAAATGGTGCTTTCCAGCGTAGTCTCTTGGTCACATCCGGGCATGTTCTGCAGCTTGCCGCGCTTAGCAAGCTCGATGTTGTCGTCACACTCCTTGTACGCCTTCTCCACTAAGCTGTCTTTGCTCTGTTGCAGGACAGGGCCGGGAATGACGTCGTTGATGCCCAGCGAGAATCCTTGGTTCGCAAGCCAGCGGGCTGACAGCTTCGCCAGCCTCGTCATGGCCATCGCTGCCTCGTTGCTACCGTAGTCACGCAGAATGACGCCGAACACGGAGTTCTTCTTGCCATCACCGACTGTGTTCTTGTCAAATACTCCGCACATTATTTCGGAGTTGCGAATGACGAGGTAGCCGTCGTTGGGGGCCATGTCCAGGGGGAAGTTATACTCTTTGCGCGGTTCAACCAGCGTGCGGCACTTTGCCTCGAGATTGACAAGCACCTTGGAGTTGCTATTCGGGCGCATGAGAAGGTTGTAGACTTGTTTGCCGGTCCATAGCCTCTGCGGCTTCCAAATAGTGGGTGGAGGAAGTTCGATAGGGATGTTGGCATCCCCCAAGTAGGAAACGATCTGGGTGAACTGCTGGCGGTCTAGCAAGCGGTCGCGCTTGGAAAGTAAGTATGAGGCCGTGATGAAGTCCTGGATGGCGGCAACGATAGGCTCGCCGTTACGCGGTGTAACCAGATTCTTCTTAACCGACATGAGCTCGAGGGCCTCTGTACGCGCTTCTTCCGTCTGCGGGACGTGAAGGTTCATCTCATCACCATCGAAGTCTGCGTTGTAGGGGTTGCAGACACATTCGTTGAGACGGAACGTGCGCCATGGCCGCACGCGCACGCGGTGGCACATGATAGAGATTTTGTGAAGTGATGGCTGACGATTGAAGAGCACAATGTCTCCATCGCGAACGTGCCGGTGGACGATGTCGCCGACGCGCAGATTGCGAGCCATTTCCTTCCGCCGCTCGATATCCTTGAGAGGCTGTAAGGACCGACGAGGATATGGCCCGCGTCCTGTTTCGATGACATTTGCGCCTGGGTGCAACTTGGCGCCGTTGACCACGCACTGCCGCATCGCCTCGATGTTGTAGTCGGTTACGCGTTCTGGGTATGACAGCTTGACTGCAATCTTCTCCGGGACAGCAACCTCGTCAATTCGCAAGTTCGGATCGGGGCCGATGACAGTACGACCAGAGAAATCGACACGCTTTCCGGACAAGTTACCACGGAAACGACCCGACTTGCCCTTCAAACGTTGGACGAAGCCACGGATGGGCTTGCTGCCCGTAGTGTTGATACCAGGGGTCTGCGAGTTGATGTATAGCGCGATCATCTGACTGAGCGCATCCCAGTTCGAGATCGTCTGAGACAGGCCCTGACCCTTCTCCATAACCGAAATCAGCATGCGATTCTGATTGACGATTTCGACGAGTTTGGCTGTCAAGTCATCCTCATTGTTACCTGCTTCCGATGCAACAGAAGGGCGGATAGACGGCGGGGGCACGGAGATGTACGTCCAGAGATAGTCTTCTGGGCGGCCAATATCGGGGTGCAATGCCAGCAGCTCACAGTCCTCCGCTGTAACCCGTCGGAAAAGCTCGAGCACCTTGAGTGGATTCATGTCCTCGACCGACTTGTTGAGGTGCGTCCCAATCGCCCCTTGCTCCGTGATGACTGATTTGAAGTTGGACATCCATTCCTGCTTGGCCTCAGCATTCTTGTTCGAGCGGTAGGGCTCGTGCGAAATCTTGAGCGTGCCGGACCGCTTGACGATACCATTCGGAGCGAAGCAGTAAGGACAGGTAGTCACCTTCTTGCACGAAGCAAGAACACCTTTCTGTGCACTCTGACGCTGCAGCATTTCCAGCTTCGGTCGCCGAAAGCGCTTCAGGAACGCGGCGCGTTCAACAGGAGGGAGCAGGACACGAGCACAGGTCTGTCGTTAGCTTTCTGCGTGCGGACAGCGGAATGTGTCGAGCTTACCTTGCAGATGCACTGCAACATGTTAATGGTCGGGCGGTAGTACCCAATATGGAACACGGGAAGCGCCAGCTTGACATAGCCGTAGTGGCCTACACAGTGGGTGTGGTCCTCATGGCACGTCGGGCAAGTGCCGCCTTTCTCGTTCGGGCCCTGGTGTCAACGTCACACAGTGCAGCTCTCCATCTCGTGGGACATACCATCCTGGCGTCCAGGGGACCTCCCGGAGCAGTCGTTCGTGAACCATCCTCGTGATTCTTATACAACTCTGGAATTGTAACCTCCACCTCGGAGACACGGACAATGTCTTTGGGCGCGAACGGCTGAAACTGAATCTGCTTTCTGTTGGGAGAGATTAGAGCTACTCAAGACGTTCAGACATGTTACTCACATGCGCTTAGGGGCATCCTGGGACACATATTGCTTGTCGTTCGGATCGAGTTGCACCTCGACGGTCATTGTGTACCCGGCGTGGTGGACGTCGTGGGATGTGGGCCGAGGCCGCGCCCAGGAAGACGGAGGGAACGGCGATCCACGTCAGAGGGGAGGTAGCTCGAAGGTTGACGCTGCACTATAAGTGCTTTTGGGAGGCGGGAAAGAATGAATGAAAGCAGTAGCGGAGTGGAAGAGGAGTGCGGATTGCTGGTGGCGAGTGAAACTGAGTGACTCGTTTCTGGCGCTAAAGCTTGGTGTTGCTTTCAGAAATCCTCCCACCAGAGAGACAAATTGATCCCGCACCTCCACCAGTGTCAGGCACGACATTCCACGTGGCCCTTCTTTCCACGCTGGACAGCTGACAGCTGGTGACGCCGTTCGCGCCGTTCACGCCATCTCCGATCTCCGACACAACTCTCAATCACTCAACCACCCGCTTCATATCTCAGTCTTCAAGAAAGCCACAGGCAAAAGCCCACTCTACAGGGCTCTTCCTCAACCATGTCCAGGCCAACGCTGCTTCAGTCACAGACGCAGGCGCTCCTCACCCTCCTCAACCTCAACCAGCCTCCCCCCACCGTCTCAGGCTCCTCCAACGGCCCTTTTCCCTCCCCTCGCCCCGGCACTCCCGCGTCGGGATTTGACGAGTCATCTCAGCCTCTTGTCTGGAAGGTCCTGATTCTCGATGACTTGAGCAAGGACATCCTCGCCACTAGTCTGCGGGTGCAGGACTTGCGTGAGCAGGGCGTCACCTTGCATATGTGAGCGTTTTGCACCAAGCGCAGCTGACGCTCAGGCAGCTACACGCTCAGCGGCCTCCACTTTCCGACGTTCCTGCGGTTTACTTCGTGACGCCGACACTTGCCAATATTCGACGCATCGCGGAGGTGCGTCAGCTCGATCACTACGTGAGACCTAGCTGATGCGCAGGACTTGAGCCCTCCCCTGTACTCATCGTACCACCTTTCCTTCACATCGGCTTTGCCGCGATCGCTTCTCGAGGAGCTTGCTTCGCTTATCCTCGCGAGTGATCCCACCGGTGCAGCTGGGCAGTTGATCAACTCTGTTCATGACCAATTCCTCGACTTCCTCGTTCCATCCCCTAACCTCTTCTCTCTGCTCCCAAGCCGTGTGCCTATCGACGCCAACGGACATGCGAAGAAGGCCGGCGCGCCGGAAAAGGAAGTAGACGGCAAACCCAGTTATGTTGTCCTCAACGATCCCAAGGCGGGTGAGGTTGAGATCGAAGAGGAAGTCGAGCGCATCGCCAAGGGCCTTTTCAGCGTCATCGTCACCATGGGCATCGTTCCAATCATCCGCTCCCCGCGAGGTAACGCTGCTGAGATGGTCGCCCGCAAGCTTGATGCCAAACTGCGCGACCACATCTCATCGACATCCTCGCAGCGAGGTGGAACGTCGTTTGGAGCCGACAGCCTTCAGCGTCCCCGTGAGTCACTCCGCCTTGCCTTTGCTGATTGTCCAGTTCTTGTCATCATGGACCGCAATGTTGACCTTGTTCCTATGCTCTCTCACTCTTGGACTTATCAGGCGCTTGTCCACGATGTCCTCGATATGAAGCTCAATCGTGTAACAGTAGAGTCGCCAGAGAACGGGCGACTGCAAAAGAAGTCTTACGACATCGATTCTAAGGACTTTTTCTGGGCCAAGAATGGCGGTAACCCGTTTCCGCAGGTGGCCGAGGATATTGACACGGAGCTTAATCGCTATAAGTCGGACGCGGCTGAGCTCACGCGATCAACCGGTGTCAGCGATGTCAACGACGTTTCTCAAATGTAGGTGCAGGTTGTCATTCCACTGACTGACGCTTAGTGACTTCTCCTCAAATGCCGCCAACCTCAAGACCGCGATCACGGCTCTTCCAGAGCTCACCGCGCGAAAGCATACTCTTGACACGCACATGAACATCGCGACAGCATTGTTGCAGGCGATCAAGGAGCGCAGCTTGGACAACCTGTTCCAGGTTGAGGAGTTGGCGTCCAAGATGACTAAAGCCCAGGTTCTTGCGGCGATGCGAGGTCAAACCGACGAGCCTGGACAGATTGCGCACCCTACAGCTGAGGACCAGCTCCGTCTGGCGATCATCTTCTACCTCTCTGTCCCCGACATGCCCAAGGCTGACCTGGAGGAGATCACTGGTCAACTGCTATCCGCCGGCGCCGATGTCTCCGCGCTGGAGTATGTCAAGAAAGTGCGCGAAATCACGCGCATGACGATGATGGCTTCTCAGCCGGCAGTGGCAGCCCAGCCAGTCGCCGCTGGTGGCGAGTGGACTAAAGGCTTTGGTGTGCTGGGCAACCGCGTAAGTTGCCCTGTGACATTACGAACATATCTAACCGTCAGATCACCGACCGTCTTCGCGAGGGAGGCATAACTGGCGTGAGCCTCGACAACATCATCAGCGGTGTGAAGAACTTCCTTCCCGCCAAAAAGGAGCTGACGATCACTCGACTCGTGGAGGCGCTGATGGAACCGTCGACAGCGGCAACTCAAGCCCTCCAGGACACCGACGATTACCTCCTGTTCGACCCCAAGGCGACGCGCTCGAGGAACCCTCAGTCCGGCCGCACGAGGACACAGTACCAGGAAAGTGTGGTGTTTGTTGTTGGCGGTGGTGGGTACGTTGAGTACTCGAACTTGCAAGAATGGGCATCTAGGAGTCAACGCGAGGGCGGAGGAGGCGGCAAGAGGATCACGTACGGAAGTACGGAGGTCTTGAATCCCACAAGCTTTGTCAAGGCTCTTGGGGATCTTGGCTCGAGTTCTTAGAGCGTCGTAGCGCATAAAATTCAGACTGCATGTAGAGTATTGTTTGTGAGGCATCGGATGAGCTTGAATGGGAGGACCTTGCATATCGAAGTCAAAATCAGGCACGGTAAGGGTCGCCACCACGAGGCGGGAGCTTGGACGCGTCGCGCATCTGTCGTGGATCGAGGATGCTACAACGTCAGCGGCAGGCGAGTGATCCTCAACCTCAACTTATCATCATCTCATTCCCTCCTCTCTACCAAAGGCTCATCACCAAGAACCGATTCGACACACCATGGCCTCCCCTTCGCAAGACGAGGGCGAGGCCTTCGTGTCTGCCACCGGTGGCCTCGGCTTCGATGTCGCCGTCTTCAGAACCTACCTAGCCACCCTTCTCCCGCCTGGTCCGTGCGTCTCCACGCCGTGCTGACAACAGTGATGGCGGCGACTCGGCAAGAACTCGAACTGGGTCTTTTCGGAGACCCGACGTTCGAGGAGAAAACACTACGTTTTGCGAGCGACGCGGGCTGCCAGGTCGTCTACATCACCAAGGAGAGATATCTCGACGTGGACGAGGATGGTGAGAGTCCTAACCTCTGGTGCCACCTTGTCTGATGCCAGACCACCCCGTCACCAAGATCGGGTACCGTCTCTCTCTTCCTCCTACTCCCCCGCACTCGCCCAATGTTCTCTCAACCCTCGCCCTCATCAAGACGTCGCCCACGCTTGACTCGCTCGTTCCGCTCGGGGCGCAGCTTCACTTCGTTCAGCTCTCGGCTGGGACACTCCCGCATCTCGGCGGTACCGGTAGTCCCTCAGCTCCCGGTACCGTTGTTTCGACCCCGACAACCCAGGCGTCGCCGTACGACGGCCTTCACTCGCTGGTGCACTGGGGTGTGGCACCATGGTTCGACTCCTACGTGGCCTCCAAGGGCACAATCAACGACGGCCCAACAACGGGCAAGAAGGGTGGCGAGGCGCAGATGGGTATCCCTGTGACCAAGAAGAAGTTTGCTGAGCTTGAGCTCTCCCTCCTCCACCTGAAACAGAACGTTGAGATTCCAGAAGTGCATCTGTCGATTCATCCCGCGATCCGCAAAGCAATTGCGACGTGTCAGGCCAACGGCCAGCGGATATCGGTTGACGCCATCGAGCCCCAAAGTCTTCTCTCTGACCCCGCCTTCCTCAACAAGCTCCAGGCTGATGTCAACTCGTGGATCAAGGAAATCCAGACTGTCACCAAGCTACAGCGCGATGTGTCGTCCGGCACTGCGTCCCAGGAGATCAACTTCTGGATCAGCATGGAGAATGAACTCGAGAGAATCGAAGGCCAGCTCAAGGGTGACGAGGTCTCGCTCGCGCTCGATGTCCTCCGCCACGCCAAACGTTTCCACGCTACCGTCAGTTTCATTGCTGACACTGGTATTAAGGAGGCGGCGGACCTAGGTGAGAAGACAACCTGGGCCGGGGAAGCTGACAGTAGTGCACAAGTACAACGTCCTGATGAAGGACTTCCCTCTCGACGAGCTTCTGGCATCAACGGATCTCGAAAAGGTCAAGGACTCGATCTGGCAGATCTTTGGTCACATTAACAAGAAGCTGAAGCTCTCGTTGGTCGTTCGTCTATGCCCTAACTGACGTTAGACCTTACCCTATCCGTCGCACACTTCCTCTCGTCGAGGCCATCTCCTCTGACTTCAACGACCAGCTGCTCCGCGTGCTCGGTACCCAGCGCCTGATGTACATGGACTACACCAAGTTCGACGAGATCATGAATGTGACGGCGGAGGTGTTTTCGACATGGGACGAGAACATGAAGGACTTCACCAACGTCGCGCGCGAGGGTGAGTCTGCGTGGTGCGGACTGGGCTGACTTTGAGTTTCGCGTAAGCGCGCAGAGAAGTTCATCTCCATTAAGATTAACCCCGCGCACCACAAGTTGCAGGAGCGCATCATGTATCTCCGCGCGTTCCGGCGATCGCATGAGCAGTTACGCGTTATGACGAGCTCGACACGCACCTTCAGCGGTTTGGGTAACGACATTCCCTTCGACATCGACATGGAGGAAGAGGTCCGTCTCAGCTACGACAGCGTCAAGAACGTGGATGTCCTCGATGTCACGCCCGAAGGGTCTGAGATCTGGTACGCTGCGGAGGTCGCCTATAACGATCGTGTAGCGCGCATCGAGAACCAGATCATCTCACGACTGCGCGACAAGCTTGCGACGACAGCTACAGCTCAGGAAATGTTCCGTGTCTTCTCTAAATTTAACTCGCTCTTTGTGCGACCCAAAATCCGTGGCGCCATTCAGGAGTACCAGACACGTCTCATTGACTCGGTCAAGGAGGACCTGCGCGATCTTCGACAGAAGTTCACGAGCGGATACCGCAACTCGGAGGCACAGCACATGTCTGAGTTACGAGACTTCCCGCAAGTTGCCGGTGCCATTCTGTGGGCGCGCCAGATCGAGCGGCAGCTGCTCATGTACATGAAGCGCGTGGAGGACGTCCTTGGCAAAGGATGGGAAAGTTACACTGAGGGACAGAAGCTTCAAGTGGAGAGTGCCGCATTTAAGGCAAAGCTCGACACCCGGCCGCTGTACGATGCATGGATGGGCGACATTCAGCGCCGCGGTAACCTGGTTGTTGTTGGTCGTCTCTTTGACATCGTGAAGACGCGCGCCACAGGTGGTAACCAGGGTCAACTGCAGCTGGTGGTCCAATTCGACACAACGGTCATCAATCTCTTCAAGGAGGTGCGCGCGCTGATTTGGCTAGGCTTCCCTGTGCCTTTGAGCATCACGCACCGCGCGAAGGACGCTAAGCGTATCTACCCGCACGCCGTCAGTCTGATGGAATCCGTCCGCACCTACACCCAGACTGTCGACCTTATCGATCGCAACCCGGACGTAGCTATTCTCCTTGCAAGCTATCACAACAAGGCACGCGAGATGATCACACGCGGAATGGTTATGCAGTGGGACCATCTCGTTAACGCGTACGAAAGCCATCGCTTCCTCCCAGGCTCTGACGCGCGGGAGAGCCGTCACTTCATATACGTGCGCGAGTTCGCGAGCTATGTGTCGCTGCTCCATGACAAGACGACCGCGCTCATCAACATCTCGCAGGGGATCTCGCGCATTGTGGAGGAGTTATCCACGTGCTCATACCAAGCGGAGTCGTTCACAGAACTTTTAACCCAAGTGCAGAAGACTGTGGACCAGCTCAACCTTGAAGGTTACAGCAACCTCGACGCATGGGTCGCGAAGCTCAACGAAAGGATTGACAGTGTCCTCGGTCGCCGTCTCGCCATGGCAATCGAGGCGTGGTGCAGCGAGTTCACAAGGGCTGACGAGGCGCAGGATGGTGACGGTGACGCCGAGCCCGCGGACGCCGAGACGAAGCGTCTTACCAACATCTCTATCAAGCCCCTCGTCCACGAGGTCCGCATCCGCAACCAGGTCATCTACTTGGACCCACCCATCGAGTTGGCGCGTCTCGAGTGGCTGTCGCAGTTCCAGGCCGCGCTTGGAGTCGTCTGCAATCTTAACCGCATCAAGAGCTCGCGCTACGAAATGACGCTACACGCTGAGGAGGTCACCGCCGAGGAGAGATCGTACATTGGTCTCCTCACAACCAACGCTTTGCCGCTAGAAAGACCCCTGTCGCTCATTGAAGCCAAGGTTCAGTCGGTCAGCGCATACGTCGACAAGTGGCTCCAGTTCCAGTCGCTCTGGGACCTTGAAGCCGAGTACGTGTACAATCGTCTCGGCGAGTCACTCGCCAATTGGGGTCAGCTACTCTCTGACATTCGCCAAGCGCGCTCGACATTCGATACCACAGACACGCGCAAGGATTTCGGAGTGTGCATCATTGACTATGCCAACGCTCAGAGCAAGGTCAATGCCAAGTATGACTCATGGCAGCGCGATCTTCTCGCCAAATACGGCTCCAAGCTGGGAATGACAATGAAGGAGGTTCACGCTGCCGTTTTCAAGGCGCGTACGGATCTCGAGACGTACTCAATCGAGGGCAACACCGCGCAGGTGGTCACGTTCATTACCTTCGTGCAGGATTTGAAACGCAAAGTTGAAATCTGGGACCCGGAAATCGACCAGTTCGTGGCCGGGCAGAAGACTCTCGAACGTCAACGCTACACCTTCCCGTCCGACTGGCTCTTTGTGGACCAGGTCAAGGCTGAGTGGGGAGCCTTCTCCGAGATTCTTAAGCGCAAGGACGACTCAATCAAGGAGCAGCTAGCAGGTCTTCAGCTCAAGATTGCTGCCGAGACCAAGATTGTGGATGGCCGTATTCAGGACTTCATCACTGAATGGGAGACCAATAAGCCGCTACAAGGCCACATCAAGGCTGACATCGCAATCATGACCCTCAAGAAGTATGAGACGCGCTTGAATCAACTTACGGAGGACTACACGCTAATTCGCCGCGCCAAGGAGGCGCTCGATCTTGAGCACGGCAAGGACGACCGCCTGCAACCTGTCACCGAAGAGCTGCGTGACCTCACGGGCTCTTGGACAGCGCTGTCGGGCACTTGGGGACGCATCAACGGGCTGCGCGATATTCAGTGGTCAGCGGTTCAGCCGCGCAAGTTGCGTCAGGAACTTGACAGCATCCTCGCCGAGACCCGTGCTATGCCCAGCCGCATGCGTCAATACCCCGCATTTGAGTATGTTCAAGAAACCATTCGTGGTCTGCTCAAGTCCAACATCCTTGTCACTGAGCTACGTTCGGAGGCGTTGCGCGAGCGTCATTGGTCTAAGCTGTACAAGGCGCTGCGCATCACATCGCCCCGCAATCCCTCAGCCATGACTCTCGGACACGTGTACGACCTTGACTTGCAGAAAAATCAAGTCGCTATCAAAGAGGTCGTACTCCAGGCTCAGGGAGAGATGGCGCTGGAAGAGTTCCTCAAGCAGGTTCGCGAGACCTGGACGTCGTACTCGCTTGACCTCGTCAACTATCAAAGCAAGTGTCGCCTCATCCGTGGCTGGGATGACCTGTTCACCAAGTGCAGCGAGCACCTTAACTCGCTCTCAGCCATGAAGCTATCGCCGTACTACCGCGTCTTTGAAGAGGACGCCGCCGCATGGGAGGAGAAGCTCAATCGAGTGCATGTTCTGTTCGACGTGTGGATTGATGTCCAGCGGCAGTGGGTATACCTCGAGGGCATCTTTTCCGGAAGCGCCGACATTAAGCACCTTCTGCCTGTCGAGAGCTCGCGTTTCCAAAACATCAACTCTGAGTTCCTGTCCGTCATGAAGAAGGTGTACAAGTCGCCCTTCGTACTCGACGTGCTGAACATTCCTGGTATCCAGAAGAACCTGGAGCGCCTCGCCGACCTGCTTACAAAGATTCAGAAGGCCCTCGGCGAGTACCTCGAGAAGGAGCGATCGTCTTTCCCGCGTTTCTACTTCGTCGGCGACGAGGACCTGCTCGAAATCATTGGCAACTCGAAGGACATCCACCGTGTCATGAAGCACCTCAAGAAGATGTTCGCTGGTATCTCCATCCTCCAGCTGGACGAGGAGTCGACAGAAATCCGCGCTTTTGCTTCGCGCGAGGGCGAGGAGGTGCCGTTCCGCACGCCAATCGTGCTCAAGGACTATCCCAAGATCAATGACTGGCTCGCGAAGTTAGAGTCGGAGATGCGCCTTTCGCTTGCCTTCCTCCTCTTCCAGGCTGTCAAAGATTTGCGCGACATCTTCCGCATCGATGGGGCGTTGGCCGTCGACGGGCTGCTTGAGTGGATTGGCGCGTACCCCGCCCAACTCGTTGTGTTAGCTGTCCAGATCGCTTGGACTGAGCTGGTGGAGATGACCATCCCCGAAGACAAATTGGAAGGCGCACTTGAGCTCGTCTCGAGATTGCTCGATCTGCTTGCTGACACTGTGCTGCAGGACATCCCTGTTCTTCAGCGCCGCAAGTGCGAACATCTCATCACCGAACTCGTCCACCAGCGTGACGCAATCCGTGCACTTGCAAGCGCCCATGTTCGCACCGTTGACAGCTTCTCCTGGCTGTACTACATGCGCTTTTACCTCAACGAATCCATCGAAGATCCCCTTGCCCGTCTTGAGGTGCGCATGGCCGACGCGGTCTTCCCGTACGGCTACGAGTATCTCGGGATTCCAGACCGTCTCGTTCAAACCCCTCTCACCGACCGCTGCTACCTCACCCTCACCCAGGCGCTCGACAACCAGCTCGGCGGCTCGCCCTTTGGCCCCGCCGGTACAGGTAAAACTGAGTCGGTCAAATCACTCGGTGTGCAGCTTGGTCGATTCGTTCTCGTATTCTGCTGTGACGAGACCTTCGATTTCCAGGCCATGGGCCGCATTTTTATCGGTCTGTGCCAGGTTGGCGCGTGGGGTTGCTTCGACGAGTTTAACCGTCTCGAGGAGCGCATTCTTTCGGCAGTCTCGCAGCAAGTTCAGACCATCCAGCAAGGTCTCGCGCAGGCCGTATCCAATCCAAACGTCGACGTGGAACTCGTTGGCAAACGCCTGAAGATCAACCCTCGCACGGGCATTTTCATCACCATGAATCCAGGTTATGCGGGCCGCTCTAACCTTCCAGACAACCTCAAGAAGTTGTTCCGCAGCATGGCCATGACGCGCCCCGACCAGGAGCTTATTGCGCAGGTGCTCCTGTTCTCAAAGGGCTTCCGCACGGCCGAAGTGCTCGCGTCAAAGATCGTGCCATTCTTCAACCTTTGCTCGGAGCAGCTCTCCCCGCAGCCGCATTACGACTTCGGTCTGCGTGCACTCAAGTCTGTCCTTGCGTCTGCTGGTATTCTCAAGCGTGATTACCACCTTAGGGCGCAAGACGACGAAATCGTGTCGGACGAGATTGCCGAGCAGCAGATCATGATCCAAAGTGTCATGGAGACGATTGTGCCGAAGCTCGTTGCGGACGACGTGCCCCTCCTTCGTGCGCTGGTTGAGGACGTCTTCCCTGGTGTTCAATACATTCCTGTCGACCTGGATGCGCTCAAGTCCATGATCGCCGAGGTTTGTGAGGAGCGCCGCCTTGTTGTTGGCGAGGCGTGGCTTGACAAGGTCATCCAGCTCTATCAGATCCAGAACATCTCCCATGGTCTTATGATGGTCGGCCCATCAGGCTCCGGCAAGTCCGAGGCCTGGCAGGTTCTTCTTGCCGCGCTCGAGCGCGTGGATGGCGTTGAAGGCACATCGTACGTCATCGACCCCAAAGCTATCGACAAAGAGGCATTGTACGGCACGCTGGACCCAACCACGCGCGAGTGGAACGACGGTCTGTTTACGCATATCTTGCGGAAGATCGTCGACAATGTCCGCGGCGAAACAACGAAGCGCCACTGGATTGTCTTCGACGGAGATGTTGACCCCGAATGGGTGGAAAACCTCAACAGTGTCCTTGATGACAACAAGCTTCTTACATTGCCGAACGGTGAGCGCCTCAGCCTGCCGCCTAACGTACGCGTCATGTTTGAGGTCGAGCACCTTCGCTACGCCACGCTTGCTACCGTCTCGCGTTGTGGTATGATCTGGTTCAGCGAGGAGGTCATCGACGTGGACATGCTCTGTAAACATCACCTCAACCTTCTTGCCAGCGTGCCCATCAGCGCCAGCGACGAGGACGCGATGGAGTACGACGCAGAGTTCGCTACGCAGCAGATCGAACTCCAGCGTCACATCGCCACAATTCTTGGCCCCTACTTTGAGAAGGACGCCCTGGTGCAAACAGCACTTGAGTTTGCATCGAGATCGGAACATATCATGGACTTCACCGTCATACGCGCGTTGAATACGTTATTCTCGCTACTCAAGGCGACTGTTCGCAACGTTATTGAATACAACGCGAGACACGTCGATTTCCCTCTTCCTCCGGACAAGGTGGAATCCTATGTGCAACGCCGCCTCCTTCTCAACGTCATTTGGTCTCTGGTGGGCGACAGCCGCCTGGACATCCGCACCAAGCTGGGCGATGAGCTCCGCCTTATATCAGGCATTGAGACGCCGGTCATGTCTGCCGGCACCTCGCTCATCGATTACGATGTCAATGTGGCCAACGCTGAATGGGTGTCGTGGCAGTCGCGCGTTCCAACCATCGAGGTTGAGACGCACGCTATCACGGCTGCAGACGTGGTCATCCCGACCGTGGACACGGTCCGCCACGAGGACGTTCTCTACAGCTGGCTGGCCGAGCACAAACCGCTCATTCTTTGCGGTCCTCCAGGTTCGGGCAAGACCATGACACTCTTCAGTGCTCTGCGAAAACTCAGCAACCTTGAAGTCGTGGGCCTCAATTTCTCGAGCGCCACCACGCCTGAGCTCATCCTCAAAACATTCGAGCAGTACTGCGAGTACCGCAAGACACCAAATGGAGTCGTGCTCGCGCCCACCCAGATCGGCCGCTGGCTTGTCGTCTTTTGCGACGAGATCAACCTGCCAGCGACGGACAAGTACGGCACACAGCGTGTCATCTCGTTCATCCGTCAGCTTATGGAGCGCAACGGCTTCTGGCGCACAACAGATCTGTCCTGGGTCACCCTGGAGCGCATCCAATTCGTCGGGGCGTGTAACCCCCCAACGGACCCCGGTCGCGTCCCACTCAGCCACCGTTTTATGCGCCACGCGCCAGTAGTTATGGTGGACTACCCCGGCGAGGTGTCGCTCAAGCAGATCTATGGCACCTTCAACCGTGCGCTCCTCAAGGTGGTGCCCAACCTGCGCGGCAGCGCCGAGGCCCTCACCGACGCGATGGTTGCGTTCTACCTTTCGTCGCAGAAGCACTTCACTGCAGACGTGCAAGCTCACTACATCTACTCGCCGCGTGAGCTCACGCGATGGGCCCGAGGCATCTATGAGGCAATCAAGCCTCTCGAGACTTTATCGCTGGAGGGTCTCGTGCGCGTGTGGGCTCACGAGGGGCTGCGTCTTTTCCAAGATCGCCTCGTCGCCGAGGGTGAGAAGAAGTGGACGGACAACGTGCTTGACGAGACGGCTGCTCGGTACTTCCCCAACGCCAACGTCTCCGAAGCGCTTGCACGCCCAATTCTCTTCTCGAACTGGACCTCGAAAAACTATATTCCTGTCGATCGCGAGCAATTACGCGAGTACACCAAGGCTCGTCTCAAGGTGTTCCACGAGGAGGAGCTCGATGTGCCGCTCGTACTGTTCAACGACGTACTCGACCACGTTTTGCGCATCGACCGAGTATTCCGCCAGGTTCAGGGCCATCTGCTCCTTATCGGTGTCAGTGGCGGTGGTAAAACGACGCTCTCCAGGTTTGTTGCTTGGATGAACGGCCTCAGCATCTTCCAGATCAAGGTGTCGAACAAGTATACAGCCGCGGATTTCGATGACGACCTGCGCACCGTCCTCCGCCGCTCCGGATGCAAGGGCGAGAAGATCTGCTTCATCATGGATGAGTCTAATGTCCTCGATGCGGGCTTCCTTGAGCGCATGAACACTCTCCTCGCCAACGCTGAGGTGCCGGGCCTCTTCGAGGGCGATGAGCATGCCGCACTTATGACTGCTTGCAAGGAGGGCTCGCAACGTGACGGCCTCATGCTCGACTCGCATGAGGAGCTGTATAGATGGTTCACGCAGCAGGTGGCGCGTAACCTTCACGTTGTGTTTACCATGAACCCACCCGCTAACGGACTCGCATCGCGTGCCGCAACCTCACCCGCGCTCTTTAACCGATGCGTACTGGACTGGTTCGGTGACTGGTCCGACCAGGCGCTCTATCAGGTCGGCTACGAGTTCACATCTGCGCTCGACCTCGAGTCGCCAACTTACGTTACTCCATCGCCGTTCCCGATCGCCTTCAGAGAGTTACCAACACCGCCTAACCATCGTCAGGCTGTCATCAATGCCATGGTCTATGTACACCAGTCGATGCAGGCGATCTCGGCGAAGCTTGCCAAGCGCCAGGGCAAGTACAACCACATCACCCCGCGCCACTTCCTGGACTTGTGAGTCGGCTCAATCTAACTGGCAGCTGACAACAGCATTAACCACTACGTTCGCCTTTTCACAGAGAAAAAGGAAGATCTTGAGGAGCAGCAGCGCCATCTCAATGTCGGCCTTGACAAGCTTCGCGAAACGGTTACACAGGTCGAAGAACTGCGCAAGAGCCTCGCGGCGCAAAGCACCAAACTTAGCGCCAAGCAGGAGGAGGCAAACCACAAGCTGAAGCAGATGGTCGCAGATCAAGCTGAGGCCGAGGCGTCCAAGGTGCAGTCGATCAAGATACAATCCGCACTCGTGAAGAAGGAGGAGGTACTGAATGACCGCAAGTCAGTCGTAGCGGCGGAGCTGGCAGAGGCTGAGCCCGCTGTTCAGGAGGCCCTCAACAATGTCAGCACCATCAAGAAGCAGCACCTCGCCGAAGTGCGGTCGATGGCGAACCCCCCCGAGGCGGTCAAGCTGGCTATGGAATCGGCGTGTTCGCTACTCGGCCATCAGGTTGACAGCTGGAAGACTGTGCAGAGTCTTATCCGCCGCGACGACTTCATTTCCAATATTCAGCACTTTGACACAAACCGAATGACTCGTGCCCTTCGCGAGCGCATGAAGCGCGACTACATGAGCAAGCCTGGTTACGACTTTGCGACAGTCAATCGAGCGTCGCGCGCCTGTGGCCCGCTTGTGCAGTGGGTCATTTCGCAGGTTCGCTACTCCGAGATGCTCGACAAGGTTGAGCCGCTCCGGATCGAGGTCAAGGAGTTGGCGGATGAACTCGAGAATACCAAGGCCGGCGCTAAGTCAGCCGAGGACAAGACGGTTGAGTTGGAGGAGAAGATCAAACAGTATCGCGAGGAATACGCCAAGCTCATCTCCGAGGAGTCGGCAATCCGCAGCGAGATGGAGCGTGTCGAGAGCAAGGTCAACCGTAGCGTCACGCTCCTCGAGAGCCTGTCGTCCGAGCAAACCCGCTGGGACGCTGGTAGCAAGACCTTTGAAAGCGAAATGGGAACAATTGTCGGTGACGTACTCATCTCGGCGTCGTTCCTCGCGTATTCGGGCTTCTTCGATCAGCACTATCGTGACACCATGCGACGTACATGGATGGAGCACCTCGACGAGGCGGGCATCCGTTACAAGGCGGAGCTCGCGCTCGCGGAGTTCCTGTCAACAGCTGACGAGCGCCTCGATTGGCAGTCCCATGAGCTCCCCACCGACAGCCTGTGCGTCGAGAACGCTGTCATGCTCAAGCGGTACAATCGTTACCCGCTTATTGTCGATCCTACAGGCCAGGCCACGACTTTCCTCCAGAACGAGTACCGTAACCGCAAAATCACAGTTACGAGTTTCCTCGACGAGTCGTTCCTCAAAAACCTCGAGTCGGCGCTACGCTTTGGCAATGCACTGCTCATTCAGGATGTCGAGAACCTCGACCCAATCCTCAACTCTGTGCTCAACCGCGAGCTCCGTCGTACCGGCGGCCGTGTGCTCATCCGCATCGGCAACCAGGACATTGATTTCTCTCCGGCATTCACCATGTTCTTGTCTACGCGCGACCCATCGGTCGAGTTCTCGCCGGACATCTGCAGCCGAGTTACATTCGTCAACTTCACTATGACCCGCGGCAGTCTGCAAACACAGGCGCTCGATAAGGTGCTTAAGGCTGAGCGACCAGAGGTCGACCAGAAACGTACAGACCTCATGAAGCTCCAGGGCGAGTTCCGCTTGCGACTACGCCACCTCGAGCGCGCGCTGCTGCAGGCGCTCAACGAGTCAACCGGCAGCATCCTCGACAACGACCATGTCATCGAAACGCTTGAAGTGCTCAAGAAAGAGGCGGCTGAGGTGCAGCACAAGGTTGAGGACACGGAAAAGGTCATGAGAGAAGTTGAGACTGTTACAGCTGAGTATCTCCCGCTTGCGTCTGCTTGTAGCAGCATTTACTTCACGCTGGAACAGCTGGCGACTGTCAACCACTTCTACCAATTCTCCCTCGACTATTTCCTCAGCATTTTCGACTACGTGCTGCTGCACAACCCCAATCTCGCAGGCGTCACGGACCTTGAGGCGCGCAAGGCGACCCTCCTTAACGACCTCTTCCTCGTCACATACCGCCGCACATCGCGCTCGCTGCTCCACGTCGATTACATGGTGCTCGCAACGCAACTCGCCAAGTTGCGCCTGTCCCGTGGTGACGGCAGCAGCGCGCTTACGGACGAGCTTGACGCACTCATCGAGGTGCCTGTCGGCGAGCACGCAGGCGACGAGCCGCACATCTCCGCTGAACAGCGCCGCGTTCTTGACAGCCATCTTGGTGCCGAGACAACCAAGGCGCTCGAAACGCACCTCTCGTCATCGCCGCTCGACTGGGCGGCCTTCCTCTCGGCCGCCGAGGCCGAGCGCCACATTCCCTGGCCGTGGGCACCTGCCGACAACTTCGTAACTGCCGCTCGTCGGCTTACACTTGTTAAACTCTTCCGGCCTGACCGTATTGTGCAGGCTCTTGCCGCATTTGCCGACAAAGCATTCGGGTGTGACTTAGCCTCGCAAACAGAATACGACCTCGGTGCAATTGTCCAAGACCAGGTCAAGGCGAGCAATCCACTCGCGCTTGCCTCTGTGCCCGGATACGACGCCAGCTACCGCGTCGAGAATCTTTGCCGCTCCCTCGGCGTCAATTGGACCTCGGTGGCCATGGGTTCCGTGGAGGGCTTCACACTTGCAGACCAAGCAATCGCCAATGCCGCGCGCACCGGCTCGTGGGTGCTTCTCAAGAACGTGCACCTCGCGCCCGGATGGCTCGCGCAGCTGGAGAAGAGACTTCACAGCCTCTCGCCATCGCCGAGCTTCCGTCTCTTCTTGACTATGGAGACGAACCCTGTTATCCCGGTTAACATCCTTCGCCAATCACGGATCATCATGAATGAGCCTCCTCCCGGTGTACGCGCCAACCTGCTCGACACGCTGCGTGGACTTCCCACCGCACGTCTCAACACAGGTCCAACGGAGAAGGCGCGTCTCCTTTTCCTGCTCGCGTGGCTCCAGGCCGTCGTGCAAGAGCGCCTCCGCTACCTCCCGCTGGGTTGGTCGAAGAGCTACGAGTTCAACGACTCCGACTTTGACGCTGCGGTTAAAACGATCGACTCGTGGATCACCACGCTGGCCAAGGGCAAGTCAAACGTTGACCCTGCCCAGATCCCCTGGGTCGCCCTCCGCACTCTCATCAAGCAAGCCGTATACGGTGGCCGCATTGACTCAGACTACGACCAGCGTGTGCTCGACGCCTTTGTTGACGCTATCTTCACGCCGCGCGCGTATGACACGGACTTTGCGCTCGTGAATCTGGGCGACCGCCCGCTGCTAGTGCCCGAGGGCACGCAGATGAGCCAGTTCATCGCATGGGCCCAGGCGCTTCCCGAGCACGAGCCCCCCTCCTGGCTTAGCCTGCCAGGATCGGCCGAGCGCGTCGTTGCAGCGGCGGAGGGTAACGCCACGATTGTCAAGCTCCGCAAGTTGCGCACAACGGATGATGACGAGGACGACGTCAGCAGTGCGGTCGAGGCCGCTGGCCGCCCGGCTTGGATGACGACGCTGAAGACAAATGCGCAGGAATGGCTCGACTCACTGCCCAAGTTCCTGTCGACGCCGGCGAGCATCAACGACCCCCTGACCCGATTCTATGGCCGCGAGGCATGGACAGGGCGCCGCTTGCTCGAGCGCGTGCGAAAGGACCTCAGCGACCTCGTCAAGGTGTGCGACGGGAGCATCAAACAGACAAACGAGCTTCGCGGTCTCATGACCGATCTAACGCGTGGCAATGTGCCATCGCACTGGGCGCGATTCAAGATGATCAAGGTGACCAGTGTGGGTCAATACATTGTCGACCTGGTTTCACGGCTGGCGCAACTTGAGCGCATCGCGACGCGCGGTGCAGGCACCGGCATATGGCTTGGTGGTCTGTTCCAACCCGAAGCGTACATCACTGCCACGCGCCAGGCGGCTGCCCATGCGGCCCACGCGTCTCTCGAACAGCTTACCCTGAGCCTGGCGATTGAGAGTGGTGCCGGCGGTAACGGATTCGTGATTGAGGGTAAGTCTGACTCGGGTCGCGCTCGCAGCATTCCACACATGGCTGACACCACCAGGCCTCAAACTCCACGGTGCGGCTTGGAGCGACGGCAAGCTCGCCCTCAACGACGGGCAGACGGTCGCGCTCGGCCCTTGCGAGCTCGTGTGGACGCGCAACGGTTCAGCTGGGACAGGCAAGGTTAATCTGCCGGTGTACCTGAACAGCGACCGGTCCGACGTGCTTTTCAGCGCCGACCTTGACGCAGACGTGAGCGCCTCGGTTATGGCCGAGCGCGGAGTATGCGTGACCGCAGTGTAGAGTCCACGCAGATGATATTCGGATCGGAACGGGCACGGATTGGCGTCTTGTATATACCCAGCAATGAAAGGCGTTTTTTGTGTCAGAACCCGGATTGAATCAGCCGTGGTAAGAGCGGACTGTGTTTTCTGGGCGTCCCGACTGCTGGCTGCTGGCTGGAGAAAGCTGGGGCTCGACGGATTGATAGCATGTTGTGATGCCGAATGTTAGCGGTAAGGCCGGAGAACCAAGTGATTGGCTGGAGCGGGATGAAAGTCCGGGTGCGGTGATGGGGGAGAGTCCCTGCGCTTATTACACCCACACTCAGCTGATACCGCCAAGCTCAGTCATGCAGTCAGTCAGCCGATGAGCCAGGCAGCCGCGGCCGCGTAGCCATAGCCGCCTCGCCACCAAAGACGACACAGAAAAGTCGACGACATACATATTACGTCCAACCTCATCATTCCTCATCAGATCATCAATACTCTCTGTGTCTGTTGTGCGACTCCCGCACCCGCTGCGCCGCGACGTCACCGGAAATATCTGAAACAGGTCTGATCAGCTGAGCGGTGGAGCCAAGCGGGTCGGAATCCACCCTGCGCATTTCCGGAGCCAGGCCCGCCGGTCGCCTTCCGACGCCCCCACATCTCCCTCTCAACTCGCACTCCGGCAACCCGACATCTCGCTCGCTTCGGTTGTCACCATCATCTGGTCATCTGCTCTTTCCATCTATCAGCCACCCATTCTGTCAATCTATCTCTAATAATCATCGCGGATCCCCGCAACAGTCGCGAGGACGCACACCAAATGGCTCCTCTCAGTATCAAGGGCCATCCAGCGCCCGTGCTCCCCGCCATGGGGTTGCACAGTTTCCACAACGACTCGTGAGTTGCAGCCGAGGCGTCCTTTGTCGCGGACCCGCTATCAATGTGATGAGACGGAGGGCAGCGGAGAAGAGATGGAGCGGGGTGGGAAGAGAGTAGTCTCGGGCGACGCGTGACGGCGAAGACAAAGTGGAGGTCGCACCACTCGTGTGAGGAAGAACCGCACAGACGCAGTCACAGACTCTCTCCACGTCTCTCTATCCATTCTGTACACTCTGACCCCAGGCCTCCCTTCGCTGGCGCATCGATGATGGAACACTCTGAGCCCACCTCCCTCTCCTTGGGTGATAGCGTGCACTCCTCGCTTTCGCGGTCCTCAGACCCACGCACATCGCCTGACGCGACCTTGCGTGCCCTCCAATCCGAGGCGGTTCCACAAGGCTCAGCGGGAGACGAGGAGGCGGGGCGAGCACGCTCGCGCCGACTTGTCAGTGGCTACCGGTTCGGTAATCCCCCGTCTCCCCTAGTCGTGAACAACGGCTTGGCCCAGAGCGCGACGTACGGCGCGTACACTGAGGGCGAGGAGGTCACTCTGGATGTGGAGCGCGAGACACTGGAAAGCGACTCTCCGCCGCTCACTGAGCCGGACGAGAGTGCTCTTGACCCCGAGCCTCATCTCCATCCCGACCTGGAGGTGGAGGGCAAACAGACGGCCATGCGCCGCCGTTCCGAGCGACAGAGTAACCGTGGCGCCGTGTGGGGCATGGACACACTTGTCGGGTTGAATGACGGCGAGGCAGATGCCGACGACCGCGCCCCCAAGAGCGAGCACCCTACCCAGGCATATCTTCGGGGAGAAGGCGGCGAGGCGGGCATGTATCGTTTCCCGAGGCACCGTCTCAAGTCGCGAATGAAAGGTGAGTCTTGCTCCAGGCCCTCTACCAAAAGTTGGGTGACGTGCCGAAGGCGCAAGTGTTGCGCGACTGGACATGATGAATGTCACCGGTTTTCTCTACGATGTGGCAGCACTTACACCAGACGAAACCAAGATTCCCCTTGTCATCGTGGCGTGTGGCTCGTTCTCGCCACCCACGTACCTCCATTTGCGCATGTTTGAGATGGCCAAGGACGAAATCGTCGAGTCGGGCACGTACGAGATCATGGCGGGCTACTACTCGCCCGTGTCGAGTTACTACAAGAAGGCCGGCTTGGCACCGGCAATCCACCGCGTGCGGATGTGCGAGCTAGCTGTCGAGCACACATCCACCTGGCTCATGGTTGACCCATGGGAGGCCGGGCAGCCAGAGTACCAACGCACTGCTGTCGTGCTCGAGCACTTTGAGGAAATGCTGAATGGCAATGGCGGCGTGCACATGGCCGATGGGAGTCGACGGCGGTACAAGATCATGCTGCTGGCGGGCGGGGACCTGATTGAGAGTTTTGGCGAGCCCGGCGTGTGGAGCGAGCCTGATGTGAGTCCTACCGCGCTTGCACTGCGGAGCCTCTGTCAAGAGGATGCACCATCACCATCACCACGGATAGTAGGCTGATCCCAGCTCCACATTATCCTTGGGCGCTTCGGGTGTCTTATTGTTGAGCGTGCCGGTTCGGACGTGTGGGCGTTCCTCCTCTCGCACGACATTTTATATCACCATCGGTGAGTGGGCGACAGCCTTGACAGTCCGTGCGGAACTGCGTTGTCTAACTTGCAGTCGCAACGTCATTGTGATCAAGCAATTGATTTACAACGACATCTCCTCGACAAAGGTTCGGCTGTTTGTCCGCCGCGGCATGAGCATCAAGTACCTCCTGCCAAACTCGGTCATTCAGTACATCCACGAGCACAAGCTTTACCGCGAGCCCGACCGCAAGTTGATAGGCGGGTGAGCGGGCATATGTACGGCGCTGGCGCGGGCGCATGCACAAGCGCGTGAATGGATGGACCCAGGAAAGACCTGATCGAAGCCGCTGTCACCGAGCGAGAAGGCACACTGGGGTGGAGCGACTTATGCTTCTGCCGCCGCTACTCTGAGTATACAAACGCCGGTGTAATACAGAAACGAGGATCAGTGATTGTAGGAGATTGTACTACCATCTGAGTTTGTCCCTCTTGACACTGGAGCTCCTGCCCCGCTATCAGGGCAGTAGCGGAGGCCATTCAATTGACACGGCTTGCTCTCGCGCTGCTTCTGTGCACACTTGGGCGGGTGTTGTGATTCTGCCTGTGATAGGAGGCTAATAGGTTGGCCCGCAAGCGGAATGCTCTGAGAAAAAGGCCAAGCCAAGCCACAATCGAGTCGGAAAAATACGTCCGGCTACCCGACCTCCACTTGCCGCGACCAGCTCAATATCAACCGCCTTTCCTCTGGCTATTCATCTTTCAGAACAACTCTTTCCACCTCCAAGAATCAAAATGGGCTACACTCTCGGTGTTCTCGGTACGTGTCAGCGTGGCTCTCTGGTAGTTCTCGCCGTGTGGACGATTTCCTCTGAGCGCTCTGAACGGCGTGAACCAATGTGGAGAGTGCACGGCCGCGCAGATGTATTGGCCAGCGATATTCCATCCGCGGAAAGGTGCTCATCATCGATTCCGCTTGCAGCGAGGAGAGCGTCGCGCATGCGATACGTCAACTTCCTTGTGACATCTTGCCTTGGGTATTGGTTCAACTGCACGTCTTCACTCGCGTCGCTCGTGTGGCTTGATCCTCCGCATTTGGCCATTCTCTGGGAGATAATGCATCTCTACGGCCCCCCGCCTCCGCCCCTGCATCCGCTTCTGATTTGCATCTCGCGGACTTGCTCCCTCGACATCGCTAATCGCAGGTTGCGGCACGATGGGCATCGCCATCCTGTCCGGCGTTCTGTCTTCGCTCGAGTCGCGCCTCGCCGCCTTCCCCGATGGCCGGAGCACGCCCCGCGAGCCCGCCTCAGGCATTTCAACGCCTACGGCGAGCATGTTCCTCGAGGCGCCCGAGGAGACGCTTCCCATGAAGTTTGTCGCGACGGTCGGGCGCGAGGAGACTGCGCGCAAGCTGCGCAAGACGTTTGAGAACCACAACTCGCTCGGCGCCGGCGTCGACGTCCGTGCCGGCAAGGGCGCCAACGTCTCGGCCGCCAAGGACGCGGATGTGATCCTCATCTGCTCCAAGCCCCAGGTCGCCAAATCGATTCTGGCGGAGGAGGGCATGAGCGCCGCCGTCGAAGGAAAGGTGGTCGTGTCGATCTGCGCTGGTGTGACGATCAGTCAGCTGAAGGGATGGGTGCCCGAGAGCACTTTGGTCGCACGTGCCATGCCCAACACTCCGTGTAAGGTGAGTAGTGTTGAGTTTTTTGCGGATGAAGGGTGGGACGGGCTGGGAGGCCTGAAGGATGCCGAGTCCCCATGTCCTCCATTTGGCAGCCGCAACAGACAGCCCCAAACCAGCAATGCGGGCACTGGACGTCGCTGATGGCAGATACGTGAGGGCATGACAATTGTCACTCCTCTGCCCGACGCCAAGTCGCGGTCATTGATTTTGGCAATCTTTACCTCATGCGGTCGTTGTCGATTCCTGGATGAGAAGCACTTTGACTCCTGTACGGCGCTTGCGGGCTCGGGTCCAGCATTCGTCTCGCTTGTGCTCGAGGCTATGGCCGACGGGGCTGTCATGATGGGTCTCCCCCGCGCTGAGGCATTGGAGATTGCCGCACAGAGTGAGTCGCTTTCATGAAGCTCTCGGCTCCAAGCACCGAGGCCGCGGGGCAGTGCGGCGGTGAAGCCCCTACTCAGCCCCAGTCTAGTAATTAGCAGGAGCTGGAAGCTTGTGCATTGCTGGGGCACCGAATAGAATGCGGTTCGGCTTGCACATGCGGCCTCCGTCATCGCTGCCGACGTCGCCCCTCGGCCTCTGACCTCGGACTCCGCCGTCGACCGCGGATCGTAGAATGCATTACTAACGCCAAGCGATCCAAGGCACAGGCCGGATGGCGTTGTACGCTGGCCTGCACCCCGCGCAGCTCAAGGACAGTGTCACCAGTGCGTCCCTCACTCGCGGCACCGCTGACCACAGCTCCGGGAGGGTGCACTATTGCGGGATTGTTGACGATGGAGGATGGGCGCGTCCGTTCGACAATGGCGCGCGCGATCCAGGTGGCGACTAACCAGTGAGTGTATTGCAGTTAAGCATCTAATCGCAGCGCCGCTGGTCTGGGCCAAGACAAGAAGTAATAGACACGCATGCCGTGTCGAGCGCGTCAGGAGATCGGAAGCAGAGTGGGGATTTTTTCACCGTCTCCATGTGCAATGTGACAGGAACTGGACGTGTTGAGGGTCTGGAGCTTGCTTTGAGGTGGGCAGCGCTGGGCGAGGGCCAAAGAGCGGCGGATGGAGCGGAAGGGTGGGCATGAGCTGGGACAGAAGCGGATCTTGGCTTGCAGTGCATAGCATCTTGGGGCGTGACGTGAGCAGTTGGAGCTGCAGCGTATGATGAAGAGCCTGGGTGGAGAGGGGGATCTGGGGAGAGGGGCGGAAACGGGCCGGGGGCCGAAGCGGCGTTGGGTCATTTCGGTGACCTTTGTACCTGCGGCGTGCACCTGGCTCTGCAATGTGGGGCACTGTGGAGATTACAGCGAAGAGCTTACATGGTGCGATTACGAGGGTGCCCGTCCTCGCTCCGTTTCCGTCCACGTCGCATCTCTCTTTTCTTCTTCATTCCCGTCACTTGTCGTCGCTGGTCGCTCAAGACCTCGTCATCCTACCCAGCCATCGGCACACACAGTGGGATCGTCATCGCCACCGATCCCAGTCTCACCGTCAATCACATAGCATCAATCATCGTTCCACTGTTCCCCCCATTATCCTCCCTCATCACCCATCACCTGTCTCCCATCATTCTTATCTCTGCCACTCTCTCCTTCCTACTTGCATCAAGTTGCCACAGTCGCACGAGACCCCTGCCCGACTCTCTCCTTTCGTACTTCCCGACACGATACACGGACCGAGCGCGCGCCACCGCCTGATCACGCCCTGACGCATCGCATCACTGGCTTTGTTGTGAAACGCTCGACATGGGTCTAAACTCGCCCCTCCCATGTACGTTTTGCACCTCCTCTCCTGCTAATGAAAGCGTCTCTTCGCGATGAGTGCCGCAAGGCCGCCAAGATCGGTACGTTGTTTTGATCGAACCCCGGGAAGCTGTGAAGCAGCTAACGCCGCAGTCCGCAGCTTTGTCGACACTCACAATAATGGGCTGGACAAGGTGGGTGGCCCCATTCTCCCCTCCCCTCGTCTGCTCGCAGCTAGCCAACGCAGGCGCTCCGCATCGTCTGCAGAGCGCCCGCCTCCTTTTCCCACCTTGCACGCCCCACCCTCATAACCGGCGCTGATCTCAGGTGGTGCCACGCTATGTTCTTGAGCGAGCCGCTGGCTTTGCGATTTTCACGGTCGCGAAAGCGGGTTTCCTCTTCTCGGCGCGTGCGGGAAGCGGACTAGTGATTGCGCGGACGGCCGATGGCTGTAAGTTCGGTCGGCGGTCGGTCTGGAGCCGAGCTAACACCATTCAGCGTGGAGTCCGCCCACCGCCATTGCAGTCGGCGGCGTCGGGTTCGGAGGACAGGCTGGTGCAGAGTGAGTGCGATTTACGTTTGTTGAAAACCCGAAGACGATCCATGAGCCCACGTCGGCTATTCTGGGACGTGCGCTGACCCCCAGAGTCACCGACTTCCTGATTGTCCTCAACTCGCGCGCGGCCGTCGCAAACTTCATGAGCGCCGGTAGCCTGACGCTTGGCGGTAACCTTTCTATTGCCGTTGGGCCTCTGGGACGCAATGCTGAGGGTTCTGGCGCCCTCAACACAAAGGGGCAGGTGGCCGCCATGTACTCTTACTCGAAGACCAAAGGGCTCTTCGGCGGCGTCTCGCTCGAGGGAACTGTCATCGCGGAGCGACAGGATGCTAATCGCCTAGCATATGGTGGCAGCCCAACCGCCAAGCAGATTTTGACTGGGGCTTTCGACCCGCCCGACTGGGCTTACGTCCTTATCGACATGTTGGACCGCTCCACGGGGTTGCCTGGAGGGCAGACGTGGGTCGACGATGCCCCTGAGGACGTCGGCGCGATGGGCTGGAGCTCGCCTTATGGCGGGCGGACTGGGGCTGGGTACGCGTTCGGCGAGGGTGTTGGTGCCGGCGGATCAACGACTTCAAACAGAAAGCGTTCAAGCTCGCTCTTCTCCATCGGGGGAAACAGCAAAGCGCGCGATGACGCTGCTGCGAGCGCCATGTTCTACAGTTCGCCCGCCACTCCCTCCCCCAACCACACCGGCTCGAGCCGTGGGCGAACGACGCCGCTTGAGGAGCGGGCACCGCCTGCCCGGCCATGGGAGGCCCGCCGCGCCTCATCCCTCATCCCTTTCAGCAAGAGCATGAACTTTGCTAGCCTCGTCAAGGACAAGGACAGAAAGATGGGCCCATCGAGCGAGTCTTACAACTCAAACGACCCCGACTATGTGGGGCGCGAATCGGAACGTAACTCGCGTCGGAGCAGCATCATCCGGCCGTACAGCGCTAAGCCAACGCCTTCGCCCTTCGCCTCCGAGCTTGACGGCTCCCGCAGCGGCACCCCTCGTCACGGAACGCCGCGCCACTCACCTCCACCTACTTTTGGCACACGCTCGCCTGTCAGCGGCTCGGAGCGCAGCTCCTCGGACCGTGACAATGATCTGCTTGGCTCCGACGAGTGGAGCTCGCGCAGCTCTGTTCCAGGCCAGAGCCAGAGCCGCAAGATCAACCACTCACACGAGCGGGACCTCCTCGGCTCCTGGGATGCCGACCCGCATGGCTTGACTACGAACTTTGCCAAGCTGAGCACTTCGCACAGCGAGTACTCAAACGGCAATGGGTACATGAATGGACTCGGCAGCAAGGGCCTTTCCCCAAACCGGACACCGAATCGGTCGCGCGGCAACTCGCGCGCGTCCCAAACTCCGTTTGACCCCATTGATGAGGTTCGCGTGCACGAGACGACGAGCACGTTTGCGACGCGCGACTGGGTGCTGCCAGACGACATGATACCTTCACGCGAGAAGAAGCAGTGGCGTGAGCGCAAAGAGCGCTCGTTCTCAAGCTACGCCGCGCCCGCTGGCTGGAACTGGAAGGACGACGAGGAGCGCATGCAGGCGCGCGACCAAGTCGACCTGACGTATGACGACCACCGCCCATTCGACGACTACATGCCCAAGCCGCGCATGCCTGGCCCAAAGCCGAACCTGGCCCTCAAAGCGGGCCTGGACGCCGCGGACGGGTACGCACGCGCAGTTGCACTGTACGACCTCGCCGCAAGCGCCGACGGCGACCTGGCTTTGCGCAAGGGTCAAGTGATAACCGTTCTCGACAGCGACGGCGACGCCGGCGAGTGGTGGAAAGGCCGCAGCACCACCGGCGAAACCGGGCTCTTCCCTGCTAACTATGTCGAGGTCCTCGACATCCCGCGTGACTTGCGCGGTGGTGTTACGCGCTCGATGCTCCGCCGCCGCGTCCTCGCCTTTGACCCATGATGCCTGCCCGTGCTATTCCACGCTCGTTCATTGTCTGTAGAGTTCAAATGTATGCCTAGCTTATAGATATATGATGTGGAGGCGAGAATTTGGGAACGGCCCTCCCCGCGTACGCAAACTGTAGAGAAAGTCAGGAGCAAACTTTGCACTGTCGATGACGCAAGAGCTGCGCAAGGCAATGGCGCTGCAGTGCAGCACCATCTCGTGTCCCAACGGCGGAAGGTATAATGTGCATACAGCAGCTGCCCAGCGCAGCGGATATCCAGTGACAATGCAAGCAACAAGCGATGGGTAGAGATAGATGCGAGTAGAGGGAGACGATTAGGCGGCCTCGGAGGCACGCTTCTTCTTCTTCTTCTTCTCGCCATCCCCGTCCGCGGCTTCAGACGCGCGGCGCTTCTTCTTGTCCTCCTTGGCCTCCTTGGCGGCCTTCTTGGCCGCTTTCCTTGCCTTGCGCTCCTCCTTGGTCTCGCCAACCACGACCGTCTCATCCGGGTCGACCTCCATCGTCTCGTCGGCCGCCTCGCTCTTCCGCTTCTTCTTCTTGTCCTTCTTCTCCTCCTTCTCGGGCTCGGTCGCGAGCAGGCCGTTGGGCTTGACAGCGTCTGTCGCGGCGTTGTATCCCCCCGATGTGCCCGTCAGCTCGAACTTGGGCTGCTGGCGGCCAGAGCCCGAGGTCGCGGTGCGCACCGAGGCGATGCCGGCCCGGTGCTCGAGGGCGCGCAGGCGCGACTCGAGCTTCGTGCGGTTCTCAATACCGATCTGGGCGGCCTGCACGTCCATCTTGGTGTCGGCATCCGAGAGGGCGTCGACACGGATGGAGAGCGACGCCTTGGTCGCGGTCATGCGCGCCATCTTGCCCTTGAGCTTCTGGGGCGCCTGGCCGACAAGCGAGGCGTGGTAAATGATGCCGTACTTGGGCGTGTCGTGCTTGGTCTTGAGGGCGCGGAAGAGGGCCTTCTCCGCACCAAGGATCTGGACGGTCGAGGCGGGGAACTTGGCAAGGTTCATGAGCGAGCCGGCGTGGGAGATGAGGCGCGCGCCGACGAGCTCGCCGACGAGCGCAGTAAGGTTGGGCGCAATCGCCTTCATGCGGTTGCTGAGGTACTCGCTCAGCTGGGTGCGGTACTCGGTGATGGAGATGACCTGGTCGCAGAGCGAGTTGATGTGGGCCATGTCGGTGTCAGAGATCTCGGTACCCATAGAGAGCTCGGCGGCCTGCTTGATGCTCGCCTCAAGCTCCTCGGGAAGGATCATAGAGAAGTCGGTGGTGGCAGCGTTGGTGCGGAAGCCCATGGCCTTCACGACGCGAGCGTACGCAAGGTTGTCGGTGATGATCTTGCCCATCTCGGGGAAGTGCCAGCCGAACCACTCCTTGACACGCATCGAGTAGATGTTGATCTCCTTGTCGAGGTCGTCGAGGAGGGCAATGGCCTGGATGACCATGGTGTCGACCTTGTCGGTGGAGAACTTCAGCTTGAAGCGCGAGAGCGAGTGGCCGAGACCGAGAGCCATGGTGTTCAGGTCCTTCTGGTCAATCCCACCGAGCAGCGACGAAAGCTGCTGGCGGATACCACGGTAGAGGTCCTGGGTGGTCGAGTCAGAGAGAACGGGAATCTTGAGGCTCTTCGTGATGGTTGCGGCTGCTGTCAGCGCCGCTCAGGTTGTACGTCGAAGACTTACCGAGCTTGGGCTCCGAGACGATGAGCATCTCTTCAACCTTCTTCTTCTTCTTCTTGTCCTCACCGCCAGCGGCTGCCTCCGAGATGAACTTCTCGAGAGTGTCCGTCAGGCGCCCATCCTGGATTGCGGCGAGGTCCTCAACTGCCGAGGCGGTCGAAGTGAAGCGCTGCAGGGCCTGCAGCTTGAGCGCCTTGTTGGCCTTCTCTGGGCTCTCAAACTCCTTCCACAGGTCCTTGTTGTCGAGCTTGTAGTCGTTGCCGAGCTTGAAGACGGCGAAGCCAATGGGCGTCTCGGTGAGGACGAGCATCGTGATGTGATCCCAAAGCGGGGACGTGGAGGGAGGATGTGACGAAGGGTGGTGCTGTGGGGCAAATGTCTCTTGTCGTAAAGAGATGGGCCGAGATGGCTTTGGCGCTTTCAAGCGGAGTGGATGGGGTGGTCGGCGACAAGAACGGAGTGGATGGTGACCTCGGGGTGAGTTCCGACCTTGGACTGGTGACCCAGGACGAAATTGTGCGAGGGATATCAGAGGCTAAACTTATTGCCACGTCATAAGTTGAATGACGTGGAGTAGAATCTCGACACCCATGGTGAAGTTGATACCCCAATGAAATATACTTCCGCTGCACGCGTCGGACGCGTCTGAGTTCGCAATGTTGGACACGCGCCAAAACAACCACCACTGACGCCAACATGAGCGACATCGACCTCATGTCCAGCCCACGAGGGCATTCGCCCGATCCAGGAGAGGAGGGAGAGGATCGTTTCGATGTCTTTATGCCCGCGGTCCAGAACCTTGTGAACGCGCTGGGCGGCTATGAGCGCGTCCCTACGGACGACGGCGGGTGGGAGATGATCTACCGTCCAGGCGACTCGGTGCTGGCCGTCATCAAGGATCTCAAGAAGCTGTGGCGCAAAGATGACGCCGATGACGACCGCACGGTCGCCCGCTGCATGTACAAGGCCAACCTGATGCAGGAGCTCATCGGGCTTGTGGGGGAGGTGCACAACCGCGGAGAGTGGGGGAGGAAGGTGGCACTCATGGCCTGTGAGTCCGGTGCATGAGGAACAGCTAACACCAGGCGACCTCGTAGCTGCTTTGACATGGCCGATTGACGTCGCGGCAGAGCTCAAGGAGCTTCAGGATGAAGGGCCCGTAGTCACGGACTTTGCAAGTCTCCTCCGCGCCCACGTCGAATACAAAGCGATGATCCTGCAAAGCGACACGCTGCGGTGCGTGCTGAGCCTTATGATTCCCTGCTTTGGAACGCAGCGGCGCGATGAGAAGGATGACCGCATCATCTCCCTATGCCTCCACATTGTCCGCAACCTGCTCGCCATTCGCGATGTCCGCGCCCCCGACACCGCGACGGGCGAGGAGGAGGAGCTGTCCCGTTTGCAGGTGAGGAATACACATGTGGAACTAGCTAACATCAGTCAACACTCATCGTCCAGCTTGACAGTCTCGAGTACCTGAGCCTGTTCATCACCATGGCATCAGAGGCCGATCGCTCCACCGGCTTCAACTCCTACAACATGTTGCTGCTCGACATCCTCCACCTCATCTATCGATGTATTCGGCCTGAGGAGCTAGGCAAAGACCAAGCCACAGCGTCCTCGGAGAGTCTCGCCAAGCTGCTTGCAGATGAGGAACGGCAGAAGAATTTGTCCAAACTAGGCAAAGCAACCCGTCACTCGCGATTCGGCACAACACTCGCCATTCGCACAGTGCGTTTGTCCTCCGCTCTGGATCTCGTAAACTGACTCCAGCCGGGACAACGATTTATCCTCCACAACCAGGCAGCTATGAGCGCCGACCCAGTGCTGATGTTGGACCTGGTTAAAAAGGCGCGGGCACCCCACAAGAGGCGGGCTCAGGATGAATTGGTGGTAAACACAACGCTCACGACGGAGGCCATCACTGTGTTGCAAGACTTCACCATAAAGTTTCTTGAGTACTTTAACAGTGAGTGACGAGTGCTTCAAAGCTAAGAACAGCCTTCTTTCGATCCGTTGTCACAGATATCCGCATGGAGCGGAGCAAAGTACGCCCGTCCGACAGCATCCGCACATTATTTGTGTCTTCGACTCTGGTCGAATACCTTATTATCCTTCGCCGAAAGGCGCAGTCGCGACTGGAGGAGTCTGCAAGAAGAGGACGCGACCCTAAAGCCAAGAGGAGCTCGCAGGAAAAAGCTCAAAAGCAGCAGGAGATCAAGGAGGAGGTGGATGCGGAGGCGCCTCTCGGATGGGCTGCTGAAATGGTCGACATTGACTCACTGAAGTGGGTGACCGCACGAATGAGGATTGCTTTCGAGGACAAGGCGTGGACGGAATTACAAGCATCAGTTGATTGCTTTACCCAGATTGTGCGGTGTGGTCCAGCAGCTCTCCGTTGACACCAGCTTCTTGTCCTCGAATCCATGTCCTTATCGACGAATCAGGAGGATGTTGATGCGGGCAACCTGCTACAGAATCAGCTATACTACAACGCAGATATTCTGGACGCGTCACTCGCCGTAGTATCCAACTTCACATCGCAGTCGTACAGGTGAGTCTCTGGGGACGGTGCACAGCGTTGCTTACCCAAGCTATCTTAGCTCTGTGGTTGCGTTTGCGTACACGCTCTTTAGGACGCTTGAGAAGTATTCAAAGTCACAGGCGTACATGTTTGTGCGTAAGCGCAAGCCGGCTCGCAGGAAGCTGCCTCCTCCTAGCTCGAGCGGCGGTGATGGGGCTGCGATTCCAGAGGAGTATCGCGACGACGAAGAGGAGGACATGGAGGAAGAGCGAGACAGGCCAGAATTTGCAGAACACAAATTCACATTTGAGGCCTTCGAGAGGGTGAGCTTTTCGATTGTTGCTGGGCTGATAGCAGAAACTTGCCCAGGAGTCTGTGACGCACACCTTGCTCTCGTATCTTGAGCAGTACCAGACGTTCGAGAACGAGTTGCCTTTCAAGCGCGTAGTCGGACTCATGCACCGCCAGGTAGTGAAGGCGCAGGCAGAGGGGCTTTACTTCAGCGTGTCGACTCTCAACCTTTTCCGCCATATTCTAAAAGACAAGCCAAAATTGCCCCTCTGCGATGGCACGAGCGACCTGTATCGCTTAATTCAGTTTGTGTTGCGCCAGTTCTTCAAGCGGCTCGAAGCCGACCCATTCATCATGGTGGAAATTTTCCTCCCTAAATCTCGCGGGCAGTGGAAGGGCATGTCGTCGTATGCGGAGGAGGACAATGTTCACGCCTCCGAGCGTGCTCGTGTGCGCGAGCAGGTGAGCAGATTCGCTGACTTTGTTAACATGGCAGATGGGACCGCCAGAGCTGGAGTTTATCAAGAAGAACAAGCTGTCATGGAGCGACCAAATGGCGGTTGCAATTCGGATGCTCCTTGATGCCAACCACGAGGAGTGGGTGCGCTGGATCATCTCAGTGAGTTTCGGGTGTGAGCCGCAGATTGCTAACCAAGCAGACGCTCGAGATTGCACTAGCGGGCCGTCTTCAGGTCGTCTTTAACGTCGACGGCGACCGACTACGCGGGGACGACAGCGACGATGATGACGGCGTGCGCCACCTCGCAGGGCCTAGCAAGGAAGCTCAGGACAAGTTTGAACGTTATGGTGAGCTACGGGCGATTACATCTAGCTGACTGCAGATCTGGATGCCGACACCCAGGAGCGGAGGAAAGCTGTTACAACTGATCAGCACCTACGGCTCATGCTCAAGCTCGTCGGGTTCGAGCAGACTGACGAAACAAATAACGCGGATAGGACGTGGTTCATCCCCGAGAGTGCGATGCCTGACTCGCTGGAAGCCTCGATCGGCGCATTGAAGCAGTACTTCTTGAACCCGCCAACTCTTGACAAAGATCCAAAAACATTGGTACGCGCCGTACGCCAGCGTCAACTCAAGTCACCCGAGTATAACTCGGATGGCGAGGTTGTGGCTCCCGCTCCTCGCAAGCGACAGCGCAAGGATGAGTTGCAGGTGTACAAATCTGCAGCGTACATCGACGACTCCGACGACGAGGCAGACGATGAGGCGTTCTTTTCGCGCGAGGCGGAGCTGCGAGCTGAGATGAGCGCGCTCGCTCAAGCAGCCGGGCACTCCATGCGGAGCACTGGCACCAAGCGCAAACGCAAAAGCAACGCGATTGAACCGCTACCGCTGGGAGACATGGACATGAACATGCTGGAAGATGACAGTGACGACGAGCGACGCGTAGGTAGCCCCAGCGGCGCGCGGAGCGACAGTGAAGACGTATCGCCCGCTAAGGTGAAGCGGTTGAGGGACAACTTCTCGCCAGTCTCTGCGATTAGTGACACCTCTGTCGCAAAGACACAGACACAGACGCGGCGGCGACGGGCAGTGGCGGACTCGGATGAAGACGAGTAATATGTATCGACATATGTTGTAATGCAATACATGATACAGGTTCAAAAGCTGCGGCTGCGTGCACTTCATACTCGTTCGGCGCCAAAGCGACCGAACAACATCTCTCCGACTCCGAGGCCGACGATGACGCTGATGATCCACCACAGCTGGAACGTCATGACGACAAGCATGAGGGCGAAGTGAATTGTGCTGAGGAGCATGTACAGCAGGCCGCGCGGCACGTCGGTCCCGAGCCGGAAGGGACGCGACCAGCGTCCAGGCCGGGCAGGGTCGAGGCTAGACCGTACAGCGGGAGGGAGGTAGGCAAGCGCGTCCTTCTCGGCGGGAGTGTCGCTGGACCTCGAATAATCGGGTACGCAGTTGCCCGTCCCGCAGCATGGTGCAGTAGACGGTGATCCGCACTCACCCCCACACCCGCAGTCACACGCATCGGGGCCGAGCTCTCGCGCTGGCTTCTCCTCGCTGGCACAACAAGAGCTGACTGGAGCCGAGGGCTCCCGCCGGCGCACGCTGTCCACTGAGTCTAGCTGCATCGCAGCCACCGCCACGGCTGATGAGGACGAAGTGAAAGCAGGCAGTTCCCCCCTAGTCACGGGCAAAGCGAAGCCGACCTTGCCCTTATTCCAAGCAGCGCCGCAAGCACGCCACAACGCATGGACGTATCGGTCGAGGACGGCGAGGAGGAACAGGCTGATACACACGCCGACAGTGGCGGCAGCGCCGGACGGCTGCCAGGAGGCAAACCAGAGGACTGGTGTGAGTGCTGCGAGTTGGGACAGACGTGGGCAACGGAAGCGCGCGGGCGCTGCGGAAGACACAGAAGCACTCACCATCGCCGCCGATTGTGCCGTGGACGTACATCTTCATGCCCGACATGCCTGACATGCCCGACATACCCGACATGTCCATGTCGTCCGACGTGCTGGCGCTGTGGTCATGGCCGCTTTGGCGTGGAAAGAGCATCTGGGGTTAGGCGCTTGTCCGTACAGATAACTTGCCTTGCTAGCTGATCGGGAGGAGAACAGAGAAGCGGAAGGGGCGGAGCACGTGAGCACTGGCGAGTCGGCACTGCAAGATTTAGCGCGAGGTGAAGAGCAGCTGGCGACAAGCAAAAGAGTGTGCAAAGACGAGCGCGCCGCGTCTTCGATTGCGGAAGACGGTCATACTCGTGCTCGTGGGGGATACGGAGGCGGAACTGCTCAGCACACCCAAGATCCACAGCCAATCAGCGCAACTTTGACCTCTGGCGATCGCAGTGAGGAATGCGGTGCCTGGGCTGGAGGAGGCAATTTGAGGGAAATCCAGCGAAATGCCTCTATTTTAGGTGCTGGCGTCTCGGCATTCACCACAAGATACGCCTTGACTGGTCATCTTGTCATCTTGTCGCCAGCAAAGCCCCGCACGTGCGCTTGCCGAAAGGACATGAGGTCTGAACTGAGTATGTGTACATGTTCAATGCAGGGTATAGTGCTATGCCACGACAGTCTCGCGCGCCTTTTTCGGCGCCGGCGCGTCCTTCGTCTCCTCAGAAGCACGCTTGGCGCCCTTCCGTCCCTTCTTCTGCCCCTCCTTCAGCCCCTCCTTCGGCGCTGGCTTTTGGTTTTGCTTCTCGCTCTCCTCCTTCTTTCCCTTCTTCTTTCCTCCGCGACCCGGCGCGTCAACAGACGCGCGCGGAGCATCCTCCTCACCCTCGTCCGTCTTGGCGGCCTCCTCCTCGGCCTCAGCATAGAGCATGTTGAGCGGTTCCGTGAAGTGGCTCATCTTCCACGTATCCGCCACCCGCAAGGACATAAAGTCGAAGGAGATCGCCACGGTCGGGCCCGCGGGGGCATGCACCTCGCCTCCCTCCTCAACAGGTTCGGGAGCAGGCAGTTTCGGGATCTTGGGGTAACGCTGCGAGAAGTGGTTCAGAATAACGTAACGCGCGCCCATCCGTCGTCCAGCCTCGATTGCCTGCCCGAAGGTACTGTGGCCCTTCGCCTCGGCATCCTCAGCCTCATCATCACCCAGCGTGGCCTCATGGATCAAGACCGTGGCTCCTCGACCCGCGTCGACCAGCGCCTCGGAGGGCTTCGTATCGCCCGAGTAAACGACTTTCCACCCGTCCACACCAGACAGAACCATACCCCACGCTGCACCCCGGTGGGTAACGTTCGGTGTCCAGATCTCTGAGAGCCGCAAGTCCCGGAGAAGTGCGCGGGTATGCTCCGCCGCGCGTGCATTTGTCGCCGGGTGGAAGCGGAAAACATTCTCGAACGGCCACTTGCGCTTGCCCGCGGCCACATCCGCAACCATTCCTTCCTCCGTGACCAGCTGCTCCGGGTGACGCGGGACCGAAGACCAATCCGGCCGTGCCGACAAGGAAAACTCGCGCTCGTCTGGCACCCACCCGGATTTGAGACGGTTGGTTGAGAGGTAAACGACATTTTCGAGTGCCTCACGAGGCACACCCTGTTGCCACCATGCCGTCTCCTCGAGCTGTAGTGCAATCGGGTATGGTGCGACAAGATAGAGCTTGGAATGGACTCCGTTCTATTGTCAGCTGCTGTCTGCTAGAGGCCTCACATCAAAGCGGTCCTTCAGGATCTGGGCGAGACCGAGGTGGTGGTCCGCGTGCATATGACTGATGAAGATCAAACGCAGATCCTCGTAGACCTGCTTAAGACCATCGCCGAAACGCCGCCGCAATTGACCGAGCGATCCCTCGCCCGTGTCAAAAATGACGCCGCCAGTGCCCGGGATGTCGACATGCGTGCAGGAGACTGGTGTCAGTGAACGGCGGATGACAAGCGGCCTCACCATTGCGAAAAATTGACGGGATGGCGCTGCCTGTGCCGAGAGTAGTGACGACAATGTCGTCGCCGGGTCGCGGAGACAAGCATGCCCGCCGGTCCGCGTCTGCTGCCATGGCGGCTTGCGCGGCGTCCACAGCAGCGGCGTACTCAGGGTGGTTCCGACGCAAGGCAGCACGTGCTTCAGCCAATTCTGTCTTATCGGCTGGGAACAGCGTGTCCTTCATATGGTCCTCCGTCAGAAATACGGGCTTGGGCGGGTACATGGGAACGACATGGTTCGGAACGAGACGTTGTGCATTGGCGGGCATGTGAGGTGGGGGAGACCCAGGTGCAAAATCGGGGATTGGGAAGATGCTGGAATCCAGCATGTTGAGCTGAAGCGCGTTCCAAGCACTGTTGCGGAAGTAGATCTCACGCGTGCCCTCGGGGTCCGCGTACAAGTGTTGCGTCGACGGTCCAAAACTCGCGACCCAGGCCTGGTATCGCTCATCCATCCACACCGCGCGCGGTACCGCGTGTACGACACTGTGAACGGGCACGCTCGGCTTGCCCTCTACCGCGCGGAACTCGCCAAACGCAGTCGAGAGGAGCAGACGCTCTAGATTCTCAACTGAGCAGTTGATGACAACGAGCGTGCTACCCGGCCCTCCTCCTCCGATACACTGTTCAGGGTGAACGATGCGTTTAACCCCGGGAACGGACGGATCCTCGAACTCGATACTCTCGCCGCGTGTAAGCTTCCCCCTGATGGGCCCATTGGGCACGCCAAGCGCCTTAGCCTTGGCGACATCAAACTTGCCGCGTACATCCGGTGTGCGAACGATGTAACACACGTCCGTAGCAACATCGGCATCGCTGGCCAAAGGGAGGGGATACCGGTCGTCGGCAGAGGTTGGGCGATACAGGCCGTTGAAACTGAACCGAGCTTCGTCCTTGATGGTTTGATCGGAACCGGGACCTCTGAACATATCATTGACGATCGCCGTTGTCCACCGGCTCAGCTCGGCCTCAGAAAGCTCGGATGGCCGTTGAGGATTCGCGCTGCCTTGTTCAACTGCCTGCGGTGGCCGAAGGGTTACCGCGTGGACTGTGATGCGGGGAGAGGAGAATACGACTTCCGAGGAGAGCTCACGCGATACCGGCTTGAGGTCGACCGTCTGCGAGTCGCGCACCACCGATGCGCGCAGAGTAGCGAGGTGCTGCGCTGTATCAGGAGGGCCAATGATGGCGAGCCGCTTGATGCCGGCGTCGGAGAGTGTCATGAGCCCGCCTGCCGTCAGCTTGTGCAACAAAGATAAGCCAACCTGCCAATCCACCGCGACCACTCCGTCCACTAGGTAAAAAGACGGCTTGAAGCTTTCGCAGTGACAGACGCTTCTGCACCAGGGAGCGCTGCATGGCCTCTCCGGCACCGAATAAGAACCGCGCGTCATCAAAGGACACAAACAAGCTGAGCTCCGTGTCGGGTCCTGGGACGCTAAGAGCGCGCACCGTCCACGCAGGATTTCCGGCCATCCTACGCGCAATCTTGGCCTGGTAGGCCTCTGTGGTGCGGTGCGAGGATGGGGCAGTTCCGCTGGCGAGTCGAAGGTCGAGTCCTTTGGAGGAAGCTGCGCGGGAGGCGGAGACCGGGATTCGCTGAAGACACCGGCGCGCGCCCGACAGCAAAGGATGTATGGGGTGTATGATGGCGGTGGCCGCTGCCAGCGCTGCGTGTCAGCGTGCGTTGGAGTGGTGGCCTGGAGAGATTGAAGGTGGATGGTGGCGAGTGGCCGGACGCGAGACGAAATCTCCAAGACCGTCACGTGATGGTGGAGGTAGTTGCTTCCGCTCAGCTCTCCTCGGCGCTCCTTTTTAAGGCGGACAGAGCAATTCTTTCACTTCATCGCCTCTCCTTATAGGTAAGTTTGGAGAACCGGAAAAGCCGCTCTGGTGTCGATCGTCGAGTTTTAACTGACAATACAGAGTCGCTTGAGTGTCGCATTCCCACGGCTATCAGGTGCTCGGAAAGGCGCAGAGCGTGGTCCGCCCCCCTCCCTACCCGGTCGGGGGTACGAGCAGCAGTCTTCCAGGTTCGGTCCATTCCCAGCTGAGGTCAGCTGGGAGTTGAAGGGTGCTCGTCACATTCATCGCGTCGTGTTGTAGCTCGGGTTGTCGCGCGTGTAGTGCGGAGCAGATGTAAGCGGAGCTGCAGTAAAATCACTGGTGTCTGAGAGGAATTGAATTAGAAGTTGTGACTAATTTCGTTTGTCTCGATCAGTAATAGGAATGGAGGAATGCCGAAATGCCACGTGGGTTGTTTACACCCATGAACGCGTCGACCTCTGAAGCTCTGGTGGATCGGTGGCCATTACGTCGTGACGTCTCTCACTGAGCACCTGCGTTATCCACCATCATGGCGTCTCTTCGCCGGCCGTCCCAGTTCTTCGGCTCGAAGTCCGACTTCAGCGTGCCGCGGCCCCGCGCGCCGCGCGTAGGCGACCCAGGGCGCAAGAGAGATGCGCGTCAGAGCAAGGTCGAGGAGAAGATGAAGACGCGGCGCATGAGTCGGTGTGTTCTCGCTCGGAATCCTACTGACGACAGTTACGCCGGGCCAGACTTTGGCGTTGGAGCAAGCGGCGATGACTTCCTGTCATCAGACCCGTACCAGTTCACGCTTGATGTCGCGCCGCCGATCATGGAGGCCGATGAGTATGCCGAGGAGCCAGAAAGCCTTCAACCAGTACGCTCCGCGCGCCCGACCACAACGTACCAGCGCCCATCTCCGGCGGCTGTCAACTTGCAACTCGATGATGACGACGATGATGAGATCCAAGAGCGCAATGAGCTGCAAGATGAGCAGATCCGGCCGCGAGCCCAGGAGGAATGGGATTTCAGCGAGCTTGGCAAGGATGATTTCGATCTCCAGGCTTGTGAGTGTGCGGATGGGCGACGCTGATGCCAGACCTTCGCAGAACTCTGGCTGGGGCGGACGAGCAGGAGAAGAGGCGATTGGTGGCTGCACTGCAGCGTAAGAAGGAGGAGACGACCAGGGACCTCCGCCAAACGGTCATTAAGAAGTGAGCTGGCGCGCTTATGGAACTGCTAACAACAGTTACGCCGAGTTTGTCAACGTTTCCAAAGAGATGATGACGCTTGAGAACGACATGATTGAGCTAAAGGAGTTGCTCACGGAGTGGAAAACGGTCCCCCAACTCATGGGCATGGACGATTCCCTCGCACCGACACTGAACATGGACGGCACTGGTGAGCTCTTACAATTGCCCAGTGACTGACAGAAGTGGAGCGTCACAGGTCTAGAAGGAACTCGCCTCGCGACCTGCACCAGATGTTCCGCGCACAGCTGAGTAACCTATGGTCTACAGTCGAGGGATCCCAGAAGTTCATTCCGCAGACACCAGGCCGCCGTTTGGTGTTTGAGACGCACGGCTTCATCGAACTCAATCCTGCGACCTATAAGGCAAAGCAGAACGTAAGCCTGTTCCTGCTGAACGACATGCTCTTAGTGGCTGGGCGCAGACGCGTCAAGGCCAGCGGCGTGGCGAATGGCAGTAGCGAGCCAGACCAAGGACGCATGGTGGCAGACAGGTGCTGGGTGCTCGCGGACTTGCAGATCACGGACGTAAAGGACACAGGGGATCTCACAAACGCTCTCAAAGTTAAGCGAGGGAAGGACATCTTCGTTTTCCGCTGCGCAAAAGCGGAGGACAAGAAGGGCCTGCTGGCGGCGCTGCGACAAGTCTCGCAGGACCTGCTCGAGAAGAGACGCAAGGATAGCGAAGCTGAGCAGGAGCGGCGGCGATCGATGTGGCAAGGCGACGCGGCTAACGCCCGCATGACGCGCATGTCCTTGTTCGTGAGCGGAGAGCAGTTGGGAGGGCGCCCGTTGTCAACGATCGGCACGTCGCTGGCCGACTCGAAAGATCTGTTGTGGATCGACGAGTTCGCCGACGACTTGACAATGGCGATTGCGACTCAGGACTGGAACGAGAGCGTCAAGCTTGTCGAGCGCGGGCAGGATCTTATGCGCACCGTTTCCAACAATGCCGAAGCATCGGAAATGTTACAATATCGCCTTGACACCTTACGGCCCACGGTCATCCAGAAGATTGCGCTGGACCTCAGCTCGCCGGATATCCGCAAGACGAGTGCCGCCCGTCTCATCGCCTTTCTAACGCGGCTGGACCGCGCTGAGTTAGCCCGCGATACTTTCCTGAAAGCCCGACACGACCTGGTGGTGCGCCTGGTGCGCTCGATCAAGCACGAAGGCGACATTAGCCTGTACATCAACGAGCTGGCAGTGGTATGCTTCACTGTCCTGCGCCACACAAGCGATTGGTACATTAATGCGTTTCAGGATAATCGCATGGCCTCGGGCTTCGTGAGCTGGGCCAAAGAGCAGATCGAGTACTTTGGCGACATCTTTCGTCGACAGGTCTATGCGCCGGCGATCGACAAACAAACTGTTGAGGAATGCGTCCGCGTGACATCGAGTGCCAACCGCAAGCTTCTGCGCGATGTCGGGCTCGATTTCACCTTCCTGATCGAAGCACTGACTGCGCCGCCCGATGCTCCTGCCTCGAATCGCCAGACGGCTCACGGTTTCCGCCCGGAGATGGCCAACTTTGTCCCCTCCATCCCAACCGTTCCGAGCCCCGCTTGGTCGGGTGCTTCCCTGCCTACGCCGAGCCCCGAACCGGAGCTGCGCGGTACCACCGCCCCGCTTGCGATTCCCCGCCGTCCCAGCCGCGATGCTACCCTCGCTCCCGCCCCGCCCAGCGCTATGCGGTCAGGAAGCAGTACGAGCGTCAATTCGGTCAGCTCCGGGAGCCGCAGCCCTGGGAATGTGCCCCGCCCTCCGCCGCGTAGTGAGCGGCGCTCACGCCCTCCTCCTCCTCGCCCAGAGTAGAGTGATGGCTGTATAGATGCATCGTAGTCGCTTATGAAGTCACACGCATCCACCTTATCTCGCATGACGCACTGTGCAGGGCTTGGACATTTGGTTCCGTTAAGGTCCCTCATGCCAACCGGTGGCCGCGCCGCGTTGCCATCACCTCCACAACAGCTCGTCAGGCTCGTCCTTCCTCCATCTATCCATCCCGTCCACCCTTGTCACTACCAGAACTCCAACTTATCACTACCAGACACTATGGCCAAGGGTGAGTGCTGGTGGTGAGGACATGGAACTCCGCGTGCGCGCGCGCGATAACGTCCGCGACACAACAGCGTAGACCACGTGACGCTTACATCGCCCAACCCCCGCCCTTGACTGACACCAGTCCCGAGGAGCTTCCGTCTCCTCGAGGAGCTCGAGAAGGGAGAGAAGGGGCTGGGTGATGGCTCATGCAGCTACGGCCTCAAGGTGAGTCGTATTTGGCGGACCGTGTGGGTGCCGCGTTCGTTGAGGGGGGAGAGGGGCAACGATAGTGCGTTTGAAGTGCGCACCGTCGCGTGCGCGCCATCGTATGGCCTAATACTGGTACTGGTAGAGAGGGCGCGAGTAGTGCCCTCTCACCTCCGGGAGCTATCACTACATGCGCGACGATACGCAGCCGCGGTGAGATGTCACATCTCACCTTCCTTCTCGTACCACGATCGTCGACTACTGATCTGAACTTCGTGTGGGCCACCGCCCACCTGGCACTGCATTGTTACGGTCGCTGCGCTGTCTTTAGCTGCTGCGCCCGTGCTCCGCGCTTGTACCGGTGCGGAGCTGACGACAGGATAGCGACGACCTCGATATGGAGCAGTGGAACGGCACGATTCTTGGCCCACCCCACTCGGCGTACGAGAACCGCATCTTCAGCCTCAGCATTTACTGCCACAACAAGTACCCCGGTGCGTGCGTTGTTTCTGCAAAGCTTACCTTAGATCTTCCTCCAATTGTCAAGTTTGATAGTCGCATCAACCTCCCCTGCGTCGACTCGGTTGGCGTCGTGCGTAGGGGTGAAGAGGAGTGCGCTCACCCCAGGTTGACCTGACGCGCGTGCGCTCGCTTTCGCAGTGGCGTCGTGAATACACGCTCGAGAATGTTCTCGTCGAACTTCGCCGGTGAGTGCCTCTGTGCGAGGGTTAGTGTGGAAAGCCAGTGGAGGCTAGTGGGCAGTAAGAACGCAGGAAGGATGGAGCCCGGAAGGCTGGTGGAACCTACTAACGCGCAGTGAGATGGCGTCGCCATCTAACCGCAAGACGCCACAGCCTCCCGAGGGCTCCGAGTTCCCCCGGATCAACATGTTCCAGGTGGCGGAGCAGCGCGGAATCTAGAGCTGGGGAGAGTGGACTGGATTCGGAGTACGAACATGCAGACAGAGAGACCTACACCCTCCATGAGCGCTTCCGCCACTGGCAGTAGAGTTCGGGATGTGCGGAAGGACGTAGAAAGCTGACGCACCGCTGACACGTTGTGATGCGGAATGACGCCGCGCAGCCCATGCAAAACCCATCTCCAGCCATCTTGAGCCGTCTTGAATTACGCAGGCGACAACATGGAAACAAACGGGTGCGTCTGCCTCAATTCAAGCAATTTCGCACAGTGCTCCGGACGGGAGACTGAGACGCGAGCACGCGAGCTACTCGCCGCTGGGACATTGAGAATCGAGAAGCGCTGCACGAGATCTGGGGGGAGTCCTGACGAGCTGACGTGCCTCCACCTTGCCCAATTTCGATTTGAGCGGTGAAGACCAAGACCAGGGTGAGCACACGCTACTCGTAGAGTGCGAGCAGGCACAACTGAATTTTAATCTGCTAATGTAAAAGTGTACGAAAACAACAAGCATGCCGCATGCCAGCGTACTCACCTGATCCACCAGTGACGCCGAGGTTACCAATGCCAACTTGTGTCTGAGACAACGCGGACGCCACCGCCATGCCATGCATGCCACACCGTCCAGGGCCGGAGGGTTATTGAGTCGTCGAAAACACCCGCATGCAAAAAAATCAAGGATGTCGCACAGACCACCAGGCGCTAAGTCACACTGCGTGTCCTTGGATCCCTTGTTCTCAAGCGGGGCGGGGTTTTGCGGCCCAGTCTGCCTCCAGCCATCCTGTATGTCCTGCAAGTCTTTCACAACAGGCAACTTGCAGACCTGCAGGATTGCAGGATCGCAGGATCACGGGATGCATTACAAGACATAATCGGCCCACCACCAGCCGCCGCGAGGCCGCCGCCAAACCGCCAGGACCCTCATGGATGTCATGGACCGAGGTCCAGGCCACCTGACACGCTCTTCTGGAGTGGCTGATCGATGGCAAAGCGTTGCCACAGTCGAGGAGCGAGACGAAGACACGGGGTACTGACATGGGCTGTCGCGACACAAGCACACAACTGCATCATCATCCAGCGGCTCTGGCCTTCCGCCCGGATCTAACCACACAAAGCAGCGAGCCATGCAAGCCATGCAAGCTAGCAGGCACTTCCGGCAACAGCCCGGCAACAGAGCAACTCGCACGATCACATACACACACGCGCACATACATTTCTGCTGTGCACCTCGCACTGCAAATAGCCTCCGCCGACGAGAGCGGGCAGTCGCTTCAAAACCTCAAACGCTTTGCCCACGAGCCCCTTCTCTCCTAAATCCTCAAGGTACTCCAGGTAGCATTCCGTTGATCCTTACGCCCAGTCCGCCAGCGCCTTCTCCCTTTGGCCATCGTGACAACAACAATCGCCAGGTCGACCAACATCCGCTCCATCTCCAATCGCCAACGTCTCAAAGGCCCAAGCGCGTATCCACGTCGCGACACTTGATCACTCTGATCACTCTGAGGTCACTTGGTCCGTCTTAACCCTTCGGCCTGCGACAAAGGGCCCCTCGATTCGCTAGAACCCTTGCCCTCCATCCTTGCACCCTCCCTGCGGCCTGCATCTCTCCTCAGCATCAAATGTCAATGTCACGGTCGAACGCCTGGTCTTGGGCTCGCAGACCCACCTCCAGCACTGCTCAAGACCTCCCTCCTTCCAACACCACCTCCTCCATCTCTCACACCTCACAGTCGTCCTCCTCCCACCATCCCTCCCTCCAGATGTCCTCAATCTCCGCCTCTCAAAAGCCACGCAGGCCCTCTATCACTGCTCTCTTTGCCAACTCGTTCTCGCTGGCCTCGTCGGCTTCGCCATCAAACACCCCCGCGGCCTCGCCACCCTGTGACCCAATTTACTCCGCTGTCCACCCCCTGAACCCCGCCTCTCCCCCGTCGCGCAAGATGCAGCGCTCCTACTCGCAGTCTCACGCCCGCGCCGGCTCTTACATGAATAGCAGCCACGCCGCGCCTCCCACGCTCGGCCAGGGCGCAACCGTGGTCCGCACCCCCTCGGACGCGACCATGTTCATGGCTCAGCCTGGGGCGCAGGGCCCGTGGCCCACCCGCCAGAGCAGCCTCCGTACGCCGCCCCGCCGTCCCTCGGACGGTGGCCAGCTTCCTGAGGCCCTCGCACCACGGATCAATGGAGACCCCGCCCCCTTCCTCCCCCCCGTTCACGTCACGTCTCTGAGTAGCGACCTCCGGGATACCTTTGCTACTGCAGAGCAGAACCATAGCAAGGGCCGCCTGCCCAACCGCACGTTGACTCGTTCTCCATCGGCGCCACACCAGTCGCGGGTTGCCGTGGACACGTCTGCTGGCTACACCCCTGGTCGCAGAGCCACCGGTCGGCCCTCGAACCACACGCTGCACGGGTCGACATCGCTCTCCCGGATTGCAGGTCGTGGTCCGAGCCCCAACCTCACCATCACGCCCTCCTCGGCCACCCTCGAGCGCTCCAACTCGACCACTTCTACCACAGCCACGGTGCAGTGTGCTTCTCAGGCTCAAGCCGGTGCCTCTTCCGCGGAAACCCGTCGTGCTCCCACGCTCTGCCGGGAGCCGTCCTGCACCCGTCTCAACACATCGACTCACATCCACCCACGGCCTTCCAACGCCTCCGAGGACACGCTCACTACGCCCCGTGCGCGCACCACCACTCCTCCTTCCACCCCGCCCGTGACGCCGCCCTGCGAGTCGCCACCACCCGTCCTTGTTTCCCACTCGGTTCGCCAGGCCAGCGAAGCGGGCTCAGTTGTGCTGGTCACACTGCGCTTCGGCTTCAGCCTCGATGCGGAGCCCAACACCCACGCGGTGACGGTTACTCTTGACACGCTGCGCCCAGCGGGCGGCCGCCTCGTCGAGTTCCTTGACAAGGTCCTCCATCCTACCTCTACTCCTCCCCTGTCCGTTCCGCAGAGCGGGCGTGACAGTGGAATTGATGCGAGCAGGATTGGGACCCCGCTCTCCAACGGGAGCTCGCACGAGCTGAGCCTCGAGATGACGGACGGAAGCAGCGCCGAGGACAGTGACTTTGAGTTTGACAATGCTCGTCTTCACCCGAATCTCATGTGAGTTGACCGCGGCGGCGCCTGCAAGCACCCTCTGACGGGCAGGGACGAATATGTCGTTGCTCAGACCCTCGCTGCTGCGCCCAAGACTCCGACCGACGCTCCCCCTCGCCCAGCGAGACGGCAGTACCCGCCCACGGCATACCCGTTCCCGGTGCTCCCCCCGCTAGCCGACCTCCCCGCCGCGCTCGCGCAAGCCAAGGCGGCGGCCGAGGCCAAAGCGCAAGCCGCGGAGAAGCAGCGCGTGGGCCGCCGCCGCGCGTCCACGTGCCCCGGCACGACGCTGGGTGTCGTGCAAGAGATCACGCTGCTGCTGCAGCGCGAGGCGGGCGCATGGCACGCGATTGCCAGCCGCCTGTGCTCGGGCTCGTGGCCGTGCCTCGACGGCCGCCGCCGCCGCGTCGAAGACGAGTGCAAGTGGGCGGGGATGGACGGCCTCGTGGCCGAGCTCCGCGCGCCGATCGGCGTGCTCCGCCCCGCGTCGTCAGGCCGCACCTACATATAGGTTGTAGATCTAAAACACAGATTACTGTGACTTTGTAGCTAGTTGTGATGCACATGTTCACGACAGGGGTGCACTGCATACTGTGGTCTGCGTACGGCGATCCGACCGACGGAGGTCTGGTTAAGAGGGAGGAATGGACGCTCGGCGCGCTCTTGTCATGTTGTGGCCCAACCCACGACGTCACGACACCGTGACGACGCGCATCAGTCTCATCCGTCCGTCTCTGCTAAACTACAGCCGGTGTCTGATCGCCAGGCCCATTCTCGCGGGCCCGAGCCCTACAGTCGCGGCCCGACCAGACCCCGGGCCCCCGATCCGGCCCCCGCCCCAACTCGGCGACCCCGCCGAGCCCTTCGCACTGACACGACGGGATGGTGCCGTGACGCGTCAATATGGCAGTTTGGCGTCTTGTGTGAGGCGCACGTCACGCGAAGTCAGAAAGGAGATTGGGGGGGCGCCACGATCCGGAGTCTGGGCCTTGACGTTGAACGGAGGGTTCGTGAGTCACCCGATCTGGTGAGCGAGGGAAGAGTGACGGAGGGGACGGGGGCGAGGGTGATATCCGGAGAATGTGGTGGTGGCGGAGGAGGGGATGAGGGAGGTGAGGTGGGCGCGAACATTGGGTGAGCTACTGCCTTGTATTTGCAAGGTGTTGGCCTGATTTGGAGAGCTGATTGTTGAGTGTGGGACGAGGGGTGTGGCTCTGGAGGGGTGTGGCGCCGGACAGTGACGGGGTGGTGGCGGGAGGCGACTGGCAGACGAGGGTGTTGTCCCTCAATGCTGTCTTGTTCTGACCCAGCCATGGAGACGATAGCCACCTCAACCTCCTTCCCGGTATTGTATTTGGGGCAATGAGCTGACATATGACGTTGGCCGCATTGCATCAGCTCGTGGCTGTGACGCTGAACATCAAAATCACTGACAGTGCCACATTCCGCTTCGTAAGAAACCGGCAGGATATGCATGCATTTTGTTCCTGCCGGACTCTGCAAAAGCACCATTTTACCACCTCGCAAGGAAGCTGCCACATAGAGCACGGAGCACATGCAGACGCGCAGGTGCCAGGAGTAACGCAAAAAGCAAGTCTATCGCGAGGAGGTCTCGATCCTCCGACCTCGAGGTGTCACCGAACTGGTCGTATGAGCCTCGCGCTCTTCCACTAAGCTATCGCGATTTCATTTGCTGATGGGGGACCGGCCAATGTGTTTATTAGCCGGAAACGCGGAACGTGGAGGACACGTGGACGCTTCTTGCATCTCTCCACGCTTTGTTCCGGAAGTCACGACGACATCTCGAGCGGTCTGTTCAGATGCGGGCAGAGTGAAGAAAGGGACAGGAGGAAGGAGGAAACCAGAACGGTGGCGGTGCAACCAGAACGGTGGCGGTGCAACCAGAACGGTGGCGGTGCAACCTGTCAGGCGTGAATAGAACACGGCGCCGAGGAGGCGCTGGGCCGAAGCGGGAGCGTCGCGTGCGTCGCTAGCACACGCGCAGCTGTCGTCGCATCCGCGCAACTGGGCGCGAGGTGGGAGCATGCCCCCCAACCTTCCCTCCCCTCTGTCCCGCCTACACATGCACCCGCACAATGCAATGACAACTTGAGTCGACACAACGAGCCTCACCCACGCCCACACCCACGCCGCCCGTCGTCATCCACAATCTCCGATATTGTAGCGGAATGTCTATCAGCCCATCTAATCTGGCCCCCGCGATAGGCTGATAAGCGTTCGCACGCGTGAAACAGACGAGGACCCCGGTACCTGCGCCGCGTTCAGTTTCTCACGCCCGCATGCACGCCGAATTGGCGAGAATGTCCTGACACCACGCGACTGGTTTACCCAGCCCCGAGGCCGGACGAGTGCCCGCCGTGCGCGCCCGTCCGACTCGGTGACTACCGACGGTCGTGGTGCGCTGGCTGTGAGCCAGAGCTGTGAGCCAGAGCTGTGAGCCAGAGCTGTGAGCCAGAGCTGTGAGCCAGAGCTGTGAGCCAGAGCTGTGAGCCAGAGCTGTGAGCCAGAGCTGTGAGCCAGAGCTGTGTGAAGGCTCAAGTTGGAAGGCTGGCGGCCTGGCTGTGGCGGAGAATGGCGGGGATTGTGTGGGAATAAAGGTGCCTGGTAGATCTTTGGGGAGATGAGTGGCGATTATGGCGAGATCATTGGAGCATGGTGTGCGCTAAAGCTAATAGAATAGGACCGCAGCGATCAGCAGTACCTCTTTGCGCTAGTGCTGGTGCACTGTGCTAGCCGAGAATAGCGGATGGGAAACTTGGAGCTTGGCCAGTTGTGGCCACTGGGGCGCTTCTCGGATCTCGGAGTATCACGCCAGGCAGGGCGCGTGGAATGCGCGTCGCGCCACCTCGGACGTATTCGATCCAGCCTCCGTCTCGATCGACAGACATTCAGCAAGACAATTGTAGACAACAACAATGGCCTGACTACAACGCGCTCCTCGATCCGTAACGCTGAGGCCTGCCATTCCTCCCAAATACCTCAGATGGCTTCTTAGATGGCTGCTTGCATTATCACTTGTAGTCTACAAAGGTACAATTTCTACGCATTACAAAAAAAGGGGGAGCGGCTCGTCGCCCGTGTACTTTAGGTCCAGCGGCAGCGGTTGATGCCGGATGCCGGGGATGCTCTATGCTCGTGTCATGATGATGGTGGTGGTGGTGGTGGTCGTGGTCGTGGTGGTGGTGACGCGGATCGACAAAGGGAGGCGAGGCGATCCGTGCGTATGGATGGGTTGTGATGGGGGGCGCGCGCAGGGGAATGCGGCGGGGTGTGGTGTGGTGGGGGGGGGGGGGGGGGGGGAGAAACGAGGACTGAAGGAGCATGTCGGGTTACCAGCTTGCCAAAGTCGCGTCTCTGTCAAGTCTCGAATCGGCAATCGTTGATCGGGGGTGACCCCGTGGTAACGCGTCGCGAGTCCATCCATCCAACCATCTAGATCTTGCGAGCGAGCTCGTCGGCGCTGAGGGAGAGCTCAAAGGTTGTCCGCATGGGCTTGGTAGCCACGAGGAGCTTTGTCGTCTTCTTCGGCCGCTGAGGGGCCGAGGCAGAGGTGACGGCGCGGTTGAGGAGCGAACGCGCAAGAGGCTGGCCCTTGGGGAGGTTGAGCTGAGGGCGGGGCGATGACGGCGATGGTGCGGCACCAGAGCCCATGGGTGCGAGGGGGGAAAGACGGACGCGGGGCTGTTGGCGGGGCACGCCCCCTGCGAGGGGAGACAGGGGCGAGGAGCGAGGCGGCGAGGGCTGGCGGAAGGCGCGAAGGGGGGAGGCCGCCGACAATGATGAGGGGCGGGTAGCGGCAGCAGCAGCAGCCGGTGCAGGTGCTGGGGCGGAGGGAGGAGCGTTGTTAAGCTCGTCGGCGTCGTCCTGAGCTTCGGTGGACTCGTCGTCACCGCTGTCGCTGGAGGAAGGGGACCAGCGCTCGCGGGCCGAGGGCGACATGCGCTGGTCGTACTGCGAGTTTGAGGCGAACTGGTGAAGTGCGGCTGGGCGAAGGAGGGCGTCTGTTGGCATTGTGATGAGTGGAAGAGTGGTGGGTAGTTGGTAGTGGGTAGTGGGTGAGAGTGAGGGTGGCGCTGAGAGCGTGGAGATCAAGTGGAGATGAGGAGAAGAGGTACAGTAGATATAAGAGAATGATGGATGATGAGTGGATGCCAGAAAGAGGTTGGAGAGGATGGAGGTGGCGGAGCAAGCAAGGAATAATGTCGTGGGGGGGGAGCAAGGTGGAGGTGACAGGCCGAGGAGGGCAGAGGAGGGCGGAGGAGGGCGGAGGAGGGCGGAGGGGGGCAATTAAGGAAAGAAGGGGGCGCGGGGAGAAAGGCACGGTGTGCGTGGGCCTAGTAAAAAGAAAGCTCGTATTATCTTTTGGGGAGTAAGGGATGGCGCAAAGTGGCCCGGCAAAAGGGAACCACAAGGTGGAGGCCCCAGATGCTAGCAATTCGAGAACGAGTAGCCGGCGCGGGAATTGAGTGTGCGTGGGTGTGAATGTGTGTGAGTGTGTGTGTGGGAATGGAGTCGTCGGAGGGAGAGAGGGGATTATAGCTCGTCGACGGGCGCGACGGGGGAGTTGACGACGACGACGACGACGACCACGATGGGTGGCGCGGAGATACATCACCGCGAGAGAGATGGAGCAGGAGCAGGAGCAGGTGACTCGCTCCCTACTGGCAGGCTCACCACCCAGTCAAGAGAGGCAGTCCAAATCCTTGGGGAGTGCGGGGGGTGTGGGGTAGCTCCCTCGACCCTGGCCAATCAATCCCAACCTCCACCGACGCGGCGACGTCGCCCGCTTATTACAGCCCAGCCCATACGCCCAGTCCAGTCCGTGCACAACTCAACTCATATCGCCATGATGCAGTCTCTAATAAAATGACGCGCGCCACTGTTGGCACTGAGCAGCTGAGCAGCAGCCAGCAGTGCTGCAGCACTGCAGCACGCGCAGCACTCAGCCCAAGCTGCAATTTAATGCAACCGAGCGAACAGCATCTGCGCAGGCATCACGATCGGGTGCGCTTGAATCGCTACTGACCTCCCCATGCTCCCCACGACCCACACCTTGATCCCCACAAGTCAGTGCTGTGCTTCCATTATCGACATTGCGAAATGAGCTATACCCGGCTGCACCTTGCCGTGTCGGTGACGACACACCCGGTCCTGCGCATGCTTCTTGTGCTCATGCTCAAGCTCATGCTCGCGCCCATCTTCTTGCGATCTTGCGCCATCGTGCGCCCAGCCCGAGACCCGAGCCACGAGCCCAGAGCCCAGAGCCTCGAGCCCGAGCCACGAGCCACGAAGCGAGCTGATCACTCTACGCCCCGCTCGACTCGTCGACACTCCTATGCCACCCGACTGATAGATAGTGCCCGGTCACCATCCAGCCGGCCGCCAATTCCACAGACATGTCGGCATGTCAAGAGTCTCGAGCACCCATGGTGCTCCACATGCTCCACAGTCGGTCACCATAGCGCCCTGCCACTGCCACTGCCACTGCCGCTGCCCCTGCCACCTTAGAGCACGCGTCACCCAGAAGCGATCCCCCACGATCCCCACCAGATCCAGGACGCAGGACGCGTGTACGCGTCGCTTCCTGTATCCCATCCCTGCCTTGCGATGGCCAGATATGCCCACCGCCCAACCCCACATCCTCCCCACTCGGCTGTCAGTTAGTCGCCGACGTGTCTCGCCGTTCTGCCGCCTATGTCAGCTACTCCTACGCGCAAATCGGCGCGATCGAGCAGTCGTCTACGAGGGTCACGCTGCCCGTTCAGTCGCCAGGTTAGTGGCGCCCGACACGTAACCGGCCGCGCAGCAGACGTCAGTCGAATCTCGCCCCTTTGAAACGAACCTAGCTCAATCCAACTCAAATCCTCCTCGACGGATGTACCAGCTCGTGGGGCGGAGTTGGCGTGCCCACCACTGCTGGGGTCGATGCCATGAGTATGCCGCACATGACCGCTTGCCGTGCTCCAGATGCCGGAGAGGCAGAAGCGCCACCATGCAAGTGTTTTGTCGAGCTGCATTCATGAAGCTGCCAAAGAGGCGTGCACGTGACCACACCCCACCGCGAATCGCGTATGTGGCATGTGGCAGATGCCGAACTGCGACTTCCCCACACTCGCATCGGCCGCCGGTACGCTAAAGGCATACAGCGGCGCCTGCCTGGCTATGGGATGTGGGGACCGCGGCTTGGATGCTTCATGGGGCACCGCGGTGGGACTCACCGCCGGGCACATGATAGCTTCCTTCCGAGTCAATTGCCATGAAGCGTCAGTGGTAGACCGAGGTGTGCGCAGAGACCTGGCGAATTGGCGGAGTGCTTGTTGGACGGCCCAGTGCTACTATAGGTAAGAGAGATGGCGAAACTCCGACGGCCGAGGTCGTCTAGAGGTGAGCAGGAGCAAGAGAATGGGAGGAACGGACGGAGTGGGCAAGTGTGAGTGATGTGATTGTTAAGAGGAGGAGGGAGGAAGGTCGTGAGCTCGTGGTCCAGTCAACCATCGTCACTCCGCAAACACTGTTTGAAACCTCCCCAGCTCGTCCACAGCCACGAGCACTCATGCAATGTTCGCATTGAGATCAATGAAAGCAACAACGAGTCCCTCAGCCTCGCGAGAGTTGCCGACGCGGCTCGTCGCTTCATGCTGGAGGTGCCACTCACCGGGACCAGGCCCCCTCAGTTTATTGTTATCATCCATTCTCCATATCTCCATTCCAGTTCAGTCCTCAAACGAGGAAGATGGCGTTAACGTTGACTCAACGCTACTCAACTCTGCCCTGCCCCGCTTGCTCAGACTTACTCTACACCCACTACGAAATGTTTTGTTGCAGCTTATTCGATGGCAATGGTCGCTGCCCAGCCCAGCCATCAGTACTGGGACTCAATACGCATGTCAGTCCCTCCACTATACCTCCCCCTCTCCCCTCCCAGAACACCCGTTACAGAGATGAGTATGCAATCAATCGTACAACACTAGCTGCGGCTCTGCATCCACTCGTGCGCCGCCATCTTGATGCGCTCGCTCGCGTCCGCGAACGAGTCGAGCGCGGGCCGCACCTCGAGCGAGAACACCGCCTCGCCCCCATCGCTCGGCACCGAGTAATAGTCGATAACGTAGCGCGTCGACGTCTCCTCCTTGGTCTTGTTGCCCTGCTCGTCGAGAACGGGCCGCGTCACGATCCAGTCGTGCCGGTCAAACGGCGGCTCGGACGAGTAGTCATTCGGGAACAGCTTGGCCATGAACAGCTGCCAGCGCGCGCGCGGCGACAGGTCGTGCGGCCGTCCCTGGAACTTGGCGAGCTGCGCGTGCTCGCCCCTGCCGTCAGCTCGCACCACCGTCGGCACTCACCCCGGCCGCCGCCGCTCCCACTTCATGATCTCGTCCCATGCGCCCTCGTTGATAAAGTTGTGGATGTCGACAATCATGTCGATCGAGTCTTCTGGCGTCTCCCATCCCTTGCGGACGAGCGCGTTCTGGCGTGAGCTCTGCTGTTGCGCTCTCCCGTCGCGCTCTCCCGTTCTCGACCTCTCCGGGATCTCGGACCCGACTCACGTAGAACTGCTGCGGGCTCGGGTACGCCCACACCTTGTCCTCGCCGCCGCCGTACGCGTCCTCCTTCGTCTGCGGCCGCGGGATCGAGCTCATCGTCCGCTCAGTCGACAGGTCGACGGTCTGGCCTGGCGCGCGCTCGGTGGCCGACAAGCCCTGCGGGATGTGGTTGACGGGGTTGAGGGCGTTCGGTGCGCCGACAGCGGCGCCGAGCGCGCCCATCATGCCCCCGTGGTCGATGGGGCACTCGGCCTTCTTTTCCGCGCGCGCCTTGTGCGCCGCAATCGCCTCTGGGGGCAGCGACGCGTGGTCGATGGGGCACTGCGCCGCCTTCTTCTCCGTGCGCGCCTTGTGCGCTGCGATGGCTTCGGGCGAGAGCGAGGCATGGTCGATCGGGCACTGCGCAGCGCCAGTCGGCACAGGAGGGTGGTCGGCGGGCAGGGATGGCGCCGAGGCCGCGGCCGACGACGACGTGGAGCCAATGTTCCACTTCATGCTTGCTTGTGTCGTGAGATGCGAGGATGCAAGTTGTCAACAGACCAACAGGAGACGCCCGAAATCAAAAACTCATACCCGTGCCGATGACGGAATCCACCGGACAAGGGCGGGGTCAGTGCGGATAATACCACGTGGCGAGATCATCCCTCCATCTCTGATCTCTGTCAACAATCAGTTCTATTGCACTCATCATTCCACCTTTCCGCCCAACATCATGTCCACATCGACGACCAAGGCGCGCCACTATGCTGCGCTCGGCGGGCGTATTCGCGCCCTGAATTCTACCATTGTTGAAACGGACGCGCTGATGGGCGAGCTGAGCGACCATTTGCTGCACATGCAGCAGTTTGCCGCGTGCCACGCTGCCCAGTGAGTCGGCGTGGTTATAGCACCAGAGCACGGCTGACACCAGATTCATGTCCACATCGGCACTCCTCGACGTCGAGATCAATGCAACCAACGCGGCGGCCGAAGTGGGAGAGGGAGACCGCTCGACGGACACGGCGCGCGGATAGTTTCGCCCGAGGAGGGGAACATGCTCGGCCCTGGTGCATCGACGCGCCGGCGCCCGTAGTCTGTACCAACCTGCGCTCCAATAGATGCTAGACGTTGTATAAAGATGTACTTTTGCGCAAACGGCAAGCGACGAGCCGCGCTGGATGAGCGTTTCTACATTTCCATTACGGTTCAGTGCAGACCATCGCAGACAATAACCTTCCTCACCCACCCAACCTGTTTCACCCACCCTTACTGCAAGCAATTCTGTATCCTCTACATGACCCTCAAATCCTACACTACTGGTGCTAACAATACTGTCGCCATCTACGCATGCGCAATCTCCGCGATCAGGTCGCCCTGTCCGAGCGAGTCGTTGGCCTCGACCACGACACGCTTGACCACACCCGCCACTGGCGTGGAGATAACCGACTCCATCTTCATGGCCGAGATGACGGCGATCGGGTCGCCGCTCTGCACCTTCTGGCCCTCCTTGACGCGGACCTCAAGGATGACACCCGACATCTGGGCGCCGATAGATCCGGGCTCAGACGGGATCGACTTCTCGCGGGTGACAACCTCGATAGCAGCGTTGTTGTCGGTGACAACCACGGCACGGGTCTCGCCGTTGAGCTCGAAGAAGACCTCGCGAGTGCCCTTGGACGCGTCCAGCGGGCCGACGGCAAGAAGCTTGATCGTGAGGACCTTGCCCTTCTCGATCTCGACGGACATCTCGTCGTTGATCTGGGGCTTGCCAATGAAGTGACGGGTCGGGAGCACGGAGAGGTCGCCGTACTTCTCAACGAAGGCCTGGTACTCCTCAAACACCTTGGGGTACATGACGTGCGACATGACGTCAAAGTCGGTGATGCCGTTGCCGTACTTCTCGCGGAGCTCGGCCTTGATCTTCTTGAAGCTCAATGGCTTCATAGAGAGACCAGGACGAGAGTCGATGCGAGGCTTGTCGCGGATGATGTCCGAACGCAGGGGCTCGGGGAATCCGCCAGTCGGCTGGCCGAGGTAGCCCTGGAAGAACTCGACAACCGACGAGGGGAAGTCGAGAGTCTTGGCGCGCTCCTTGACGTCCTCGGCCGAGAGGCTGTTCGAAACCATGAACTGTGCAAAGTCACCGACGACCTTGGACGAGGGAGTGACCTTGATGATGTCACCGCAGAGCTTGTTAGCCTCAATGTACTTCTTCTTGATCTCGATCCACTGGGTGCCGAGGCCGAGCTGCGAGGCCTGGAACTGGAGGTTGGTGTACTGGCCACCGGGCATCTCGTGGTCGAAGACACCCGAGTCCGAGGCACGGACGTTGGCCTCGAAGGGTGCGTAGAGCTGACGGATCTGGCTCCAGTAGGTGTTGAGGGCCATGATGTTCTCGTGCGAGATACCGGGGCCAAGGCCAGACTGCTCGAGGGCAGCAACAACGGCACCCATGGCGGGCTGCGAGGTGAGGCCGGAAAGGTCGTCAATGGCCACATCAACGACATCGGCACCGGCCTTGGCGGCGGCAAGCATCGACGCGACGGCAATACCGGCCGTGTCGTGCGAGTGGACGTGGATCGGAAGGTCAGGGTGGGCCTTGCGGATAGCGCCAACGAGCATGGTAGCGGCCTCGGGCTTGAGGAGACCAGCCATGTCCTTGATACCGAGGACGTGGATGCCCTCGCCGACGAGCTTGTCGGTGAGGTCGAGGTAGTACTGGAGGGTGTACTTGGTCTTCTTGGGGTTGGCAACGTCACCCGAGTAGCAGATGGTGCCCTCGACGACACCACCAGCCTTCTTGGCGGCGTCGATACCGAGCTTCAGGTTGTCAAAGTAGTTGAGCGAGTCAAAGACACGGAAGATGTCGAGACCAGCCTCAACGGCCTTCTTCGAGAACTCGTAGATGGCGTTGTCAGGGTACGAGGTGTAACCAACGGCGTTGGCGCCACGAACGAGGGCCTGGAGGGGGATGTTGGGCACGAGGCGACGGAGGGTACGGAGACGCTCCCAAGGGTCCTCGTAGAGGAAACGCATGGCAACGTCGAAGGTGGCACCACCCCAGCACTCAAGCGAGTAGGCGTTCGAGAGAGCGTGCGAGGTCTCCTTGGCAATGTTGGCCATGTCGACCGTACGCATACGAGTCGCGAGGAGCGACTGGTGGGCGTCACGCCAAGTGGTGTCCATAATGAGAGTACCGGGGTAAGCGCGAATAGCCTTGGCAAAGGCCTCGGGGCCCTCGTTGACGATGATGTTGCGCCAGCCCTTCTGCTGCGAAACCGAGGTGTCGACAACCTTGCCGTCCTTGTCGGTGATGGTGGGGATGAGGGCCTCGGTCTTGAGGCCAGGCTCACCGCTCTGGCCCTTGATGGACGAGCCGTTGACGGCAAGATCACCGAGGTAGGCAAGGAGCTTCTGGGCACGGTTCTGCGACTGGACGAGCTTGAAGAGCTCCGGGGTGTCGTCGATGAAGGTGGTCCAGGTGCGGCCCGACTCGAACACGGGGTGGGTGAGAAGGCGGATGAGGAAGGGAATGTTGGTCTTCACACCACGGATGCGGAACTCGATCAGAGCACGCAGCATTTTGCGGCGGGCAACCTCGTAGGTCGCACCAGAGACCGAGCACTTGACGAGAAGCGAGTCGTAGTGCGGGGTGATCTGCGCACCGGCGTAGCCGGAAGCAGCGTCGAGACGGACACCGTTGCCACCAGCCGAACGGTACACCTCAATCTTACCAGTGTCAGGCTGGAAGTTCTGAGCGGGGTCCTCGGTGGTGATACGCGACTGGATGGCAAAACCGCGGCGGTGGATGTGGTCCTGGGTGAGACCAAGCTGCTCGAGGGTGACACCCGCGGCGATCTGGATCTGCGCAGCGACAATGTCAATGCCGGTGATCTCCTCGGTGATGGTGTGCTCGACCTGAATACGAGGGTTGATCTCGATAAAGTAATGGCGGTTCTGCTGGTCGACCAAGAACTCGGCGGTACCGGCGTTGCGGTAGTTGACGGCGGCGGCAAGCTTGAGGGCGTCGTTGAGAATGGCCTGGCGGACAGGCTCGTCGAGGTGGGGCGCAGGGGCAACCTCGACGACCTTCTGGTGGCGACGCTGTACCGAGCAGTCACGCTCGAAGAGGTGAACACAGTTGCCCTGGGCGTCGGCAAGAAGCTGGACCTCAATGTGGCGAGGCTTGTCGAGGAAACGCTCGATGAAGACGGTGCCGTCGCCAAAGGCCGACTTGGCCTCGGAAACAGCACGCTCAAAGCTCTCCTTGAAGCTCTCCTGGTCGCGAACAACACGCATGCCACGGCCACCACCGCCCATAGCTGCCTTGATGATGACGGGGAAGCCGTACTGCTTGATGAAGCCCTCGGCAAGCTCGTACGACTCGACTGGGCCCGGGGTACCGGGAACGACTGGGACCTTGGTCTTGATGGCGACGTCACGGGCCTTGGTCTTGTCACCAAGAGCGTCAATGGTCTCGGGGCGAGGGCCGATGAAGGCAATGCCGGCGTCCTCGACCTTGCGGGCGAATTCGGCGTTCTCGGAGAGGAAGCCGTAACTGATCGAGTCAGCCAAATTCACTGATAACGCCCTGATAACGCTTTAGATCACACTTACCCAGGGTGGATCATGTCAACGCCGTGCTCGAGAGCGATGCGGATAATGTCGTCCTGGTCGAGGTAGGCGGCCACTGGAGCCTTGCCCTTGCCGACAAGGTAAGACTCGTCCGACTTGTAGCGATGGGCGTTCATGCGGTCCTCGAACGAGTAGATGGCCACTGTCGACATGGCGAGCTCGTGGGCTGTGCGGAACACACGAATCGCGATCTCACCACGGTTGGCAACGAGGACCTTCTTGAGAGGGCCGCTGTGGCCAGCCTGCTGCTTGCGGAGACGGTCAACACTGTGGGCGAGGTCAGTGCGAGTTCAAACGTGGAGGCAGGTTCAGTTTCCGAGGACTCACGTCTGGATCGGGGTACCGGGGACGGTGTTGGGCTCCGAGCCCGAGTCCAGGTGGAGGTGCTGAGCCCATGACTCGAGCTGTCGTGTCGAGTCGGAGCGAGAATCGTGGGAGACATTGTCGAAATCCGTTGTCATAGTGTGGTGCGTAGCGGGGGAGCAAATGTCGAGGAGAAAAAGAGAGGAAGCGTCAGCTCACATCTTAAGGCAAAATGTATCGGATAGCGGGTAACAAGGCAGCAAGAAGGACAGAGAGGGGCGTCGGACAGCTGACGGGCGCGTCCTTGGCACCGTAAGATAGCTGGACAAGATCCGGTTGCAAGCCAACCAGCGCGTCGTGGCAGCTTTAATGCTCGCACGCTCATTCTCCTGAGCGCCGCACCTAGCGCTATGGCCGGGGGCCGCTTCGGCGGTCCCAGCAGCGGGGACGTGAGAAAGCCACTCTGGGCTGATCTGTTGCGGTGTGGCGATCAGAGTGCTAGAGCTGTGTAGCTTACGCTAGCCCCAGATCGTCTCATCAACGCCCCTCGCACCGGCGAGCTCGCTGCCGGGATCTCCGAGAGCCACACTACAGACGAGAATTCGAGACTCACCGGCTGAGGAGACTCTGCCATTGCGATTGAGGGGAATGGGAGTGGGGTTTAGGGAGGAGAAGAGGAGGAGGGGGGGGGGGGAGAGTTGCGTGGATGATTGAGGCTCAAGGAATCCGAGGAGAGATTGAGGGTGGCAGATACCGGGGTGACGTTGTGAGATGTGGAGGAGAGGTGGGCGATGTTGAGAGGAGATTGGGAGACGCCTTTTTGTGTTGCAAGGTTGCAAGACAGCCAAGAGGGTGGGGGTCTTGTGTAGACAAGGAGACGCTCAACGAGACGAAGAGGAGAAGAAGAGAAGAGAGAAGAGGATGAGAGGGGACGAGGTATAAGAAAGATTGGTTGGGGGGAGGGGAGGGGAGGGGGTGGGAGGCGAGGTGGGGTGGCTGATGGCTGATGGGCATGATTGGGATGATGTGCTTGCGAGGGGGGCCGGGGGAAGGGGAGGGACCGGTCCGCTCTGTGCAGCGCAGTCGCGTCTTTGCGGCATGAGCGGCTATGGCATCCAGGGTAATCTCTAATGACTGTCCAATTACATTACTCCCCTTGCGATATGGACCAAGAGATATCTCTCTATAGCTCCCCCCACAATTCCGTCATTTCTCCATTCTCTCGAGCATCCCCCCTCCAGCTCACCGCCCAATGCACCAATGCATCCTTGCGTCTCCGAGTCAGCACAGCACTCGTATACTCGTATCTCGTCGCATCCTTTGTCAAGTTACTGTACATCTCTCCCGAGCGGCTCACCGATCGTACAGCCAGCAGCCAGCAGTCAGCAGCCAGCAGACAGCCAGCCTCAGTCAGGCCCCGAAGACAAAAGCAGCAGCGCGCGTCAACAAACTGATTCCGCTCGACCAACCTTGGCAAACCTCCCAACTTCCGGAGACGCCGAGACCCGAGACCACCGAGTCGGCCCTCTAAGGCCTCCAACGCCCTCTGACCTCACGCCCGACGCCTCCTCACGTCAACAAGCCTCACGCGCTCCGCATCCGCATCCGCATTCGCATCCGCACTCGCACTCGCACTCGCACTCTCCGACACCGCACTCTCCGGCATCCCGGTAACTCGTCGGAATTCCACAATCCCTCGCTCAGCGATCAGCTCTTTCCTCGCCACGCCTCTAGACTCTAGCGATCCTTGCACACTCCCCCCCCCCCTGCTCCTCTATGGCTATGCATGCTTGGTCCTTGTTCTCAGCCCACCCGACATTTTCCGACATGGCTTCAGCGATCACCGCCGGTAACTTGGTGTCATAGCAAGCGCGCCATCCCGTGCCAACGAGGCCCGGGTATCTGGCCCGGGACTACAGTACACTGCAGCCGACTTGCTTCCTGCCTCCTGCCCTCCTCGGGGCTCGAGCTTGAAACCCTTCCGATCGCTTGGTGGCCGCACTCGAAGATGTCACAATCGACGATCGCACATCCGCACTCCAACACTGGTGGCTCGGGGCAGCCTGCCCGTCCACACGTAGCACATTTTGGCGTTCGGCACGCGGAGCGGGGCGCCGTGGTGACTACCCGCTCCCTCACACTCCTACTGGCTGGTTCCGTGGCACGGACGGGCAAGCTCCGCCGTGAATATGCTTCCGGCCTAAACATTAGGAGAGCAAGTAGCCGTAGTCGATATGCTCGCCATCGCCACTCCGCCTACGGCTAAGCACAAAGCACCGTGCCCGTAATCAGCTCGCATCACTTTCAAAGCATGAGCCCACTCCCAAATTCTCCATTATATTCCCTGGCTAACTGGACCCCGGCGCTCCTCGCGCTGTAGCCGTCAGTACACTCGCGCCGAGCACCGCTTAGTTTAATAACGCGTGAGCTGAACCGCGTCTCGATATCCTCTCCAAAATCCCAAGCTCAAGGCCTTCAAACCGATTTCCGGTTGACGTTATCCAGACCCGCTCGCGTGGCACGCAAATACCGTTAAATTATGGATGTCGCGCGGACCTCTATTGGAAAATCCCATTAGGGGCGCGGATTCAGCGGCAACGCTTTTGTCCGCCAGGCGCGTCGTCTCCGGTCCGGGACATGCGCGCCGCACCGGGCCTCATCGGCGGCAAGTATCTGAGCTACGGACAGCGTCACTCTCGCCGCGCTAATCACCGGTGACCCCCGGAACAGGGCGGCAGCGACGCACGCTACGCTCAAGACAGACATGGAGGGCGGCGACGAGCTCGGCCTTTCTCGTCACCTCCTTTGCGCCGGCGGCAGTGGAAATGGCAGAGGAAACGGCAGTGGAAATGTATGTGATGAGGTGTCACATTTATGCAACACGTCCTCATGACGAACGCCCCGAAGGATGCCGGAGAGGTTGTGCAAAGCCGATGACAGTGACGACCAGTGGAGCAAGTGGGGCAGGATCACAATTCATCGGAGATCGCTAATGTCCGTGCTATTGAATCAGCATCCGCTCGCTATGACGTAAAAGGGTCCTTAAACCACGTGGAATGACACTTAGCCAACGCAGGCACGATCGCTGGTTCCCGGCTCTCATCGCCCGCCGCAGCTACAGTACAGCTCCCGCAGCGTCAGTGTTCGATCCTCGGCAAGGTCGGTACGATGCCAGTGCAATCGCTGACACCAGAACAAGCTGGCCGTGCACAGCCTCTCCCAAATGAGATTTAGGCATCATTCAAGTTGCCACCCAGTATACATTCGTGGCCTATTTCATTCCTTCCCACATCCCCTCATTCATCCATCTCTCCATCTCCCATCACTACATCCTTTCAATCGTTCACCACCACCCCCGCCTTACAAACAACATGGCCTCCCCGAACATGTACCAGGCCTCGGACGGCAAGTGGTACCCCGTCGAGCACATGCCGCAGGGCTACGGCGGCGGACAGCAGGGCTACGGCGGCTACGGCCAGCAGCCCCAAATGCAGTACGGCGGCCAGCAGCCCATCTACGTCCAGCAACAGGGGCGTCCCGGCGGCGCCGGTGCCGCTGCGGGCACGGGTGCCGCAGCAGGTCTCGGATGCTGTGGTACGTCGACTCCCACCCCCTCGTGATCGCGCTAACATCAGCCGCACTTTGTGGTATGCTGCTCTGTTTCGACCTCGGCGCATGTCTCTTCTAAGACACGAACAAGAACATCACCGCGCCTCTGGACTAGCATAGCCTCGTAAACGATAATGCCCGGCCCACGATCGATCTGGCCCCTAGCTTGAGCCCGAACCTTCGTCCGCTATAGATTGGGTTGTACTTTGAGATATCTTTGATGCCATAGATTGTTGCTATCGGTACTGCTGATGATGTGGTCTGCGCTGATTATATCGCGCTGGCTGACGTAGTTGACTGCGGAGTCGCGCGGAGGATCCGTGGCGATCACCTCAAGTGACACCCGTAGTTCAAGTGATGCGACGCTGGTGATATTGAGCGGCACTGAAAACAGTCAAGTGCGTTGTGCATTTGCAGGCACTTGAAATCGTCTCATCGCTGGACGTAAATCGTTGGAACCATCAACTTCGGGTCGCTGGAGTCATGGATGAAACTGCAAGGAATACTCTTCCATCATATCATCGTTGGCTGACTCCAATATTTCCTGCGCGGAACCGCCTACCGGCTGCCTTAAATCCCCCAACTAGCCGTATTGGGACGAAACAGTCCCGCTCTAAGAGGAGTGGGGCAGTACTGATTCACGAGAGCTGACGTATTCGATCACGTGGCTATCCGTCATCTCGCCTGTGGCCACCCTCGCACCAACAATCCGCTGGCTGACAACTCTCGCTCCTCCAACTCTTGTGCAACTACACACTCGTCACCCGCTCGACATGGTAAGCCATCGCTGGGACCGGCACAGACACTCATTCCAGGCGACCAACTTCCTCGCAGTGCCGAGCAAGCAGGCGCTCCCGCTGCCCGACTTCCCCAAGCACCTGCTGCAGTACATATCCGGCCACTTCCGCGATGCGCACCCAGACGCCTTCCGCCGCGACGTCGACTCCCTAGTCGGCATGCGCAAGGAGTGGGTCGAGCCCAAGGCTGAAGCACATCCCGAAATCGCCAAAGGTCTTATGAAGTATCACGCGCAGCTTGCATTCGTCGCCACCAAATTCCCCTCTGATGTAACCTCGTCGCCGGGAGAGAGCTGACGCAGATCGGCGTGGCGTTCGCGTATCACCTCCCGTTCCCCCCGCCGTACAGCATCACCCCGGACGCACCAATCAGCCTCAACTCGTTCACTTACGAGCGCGCGAGCGTGCTCTACAACACGGCGGCGATCTATGCCTCTCTTGCTGCTGCAGAGCGTCGCGCTGAGGCTGAGGGCATTAAGCGTGCACTCAACTATCTCTCTGTGAGCTACGCTTAGTGGCGCAGCTGACACCAGTCCTCCGCGGGCATCTTCAACTACCTCATCACCAATGTGCTGCCCACCCTCAAGGGCGAAATGACATCCGCTCAGGCCGCAGGGTACGACATGAGCGAGTCGTTCCTCACGAGCATGCGAGAGTTCGTGCTCGCGCAAGCGCAAGAGTGCTTCTGGCAGCAGGCTGTCCTACGTGAGTCGTCTCCACCGCGTCCTCAGCTGACACACAGAGGGCAAATACAAGAACGCGCTCATCGCCAAGCTGTCGATGAAGGTCTCCGAGTACTACCGGTCGTCGCTCAAGGCTGCCAACGGCATGGACTTTCCCTCCGCGTCCTTTTTCCCACCAGTAGGCTACCTTGTAGACGCCCTAGCTGATATCAGAATTGGACCAACCATGTCCTTGTCAAAGCCAACCACTTCGAAGCTGCCGCACATTACCGACTCAGCCAGGACGACCACGAGAAGGGCAAGTACGGCGAGGAGATTGCGCGTCTGCGAGTCGCCGAGGGGTTGGCGAAGAAGGGACTGGAAGCAGGCCGCAAGGGTGTCAACGAAGCTGTCGTGGGCGACCTCCGCAGCCTCTCCGGCGCCGTCAAGTCGACGCTGGACCGGGCCGTGCGCGACAACGACCTCGTGTATGTCGATCCTGTACCGGCTGCTTCGCAGCTTGCGCCCATCGCCGGCGTTGGTATGGTCAAGCTGCAGACGCCTACGGAGATTTCCGAGCCCATTGCGTGGCTCATGAACGGCGGTAGTGGACAGCCACCACTCTTCAGCCAGCTCGTCCCGTACGGAGTGCACTTGGCGCTGAGCATCTACGACGACCGGAAGGACACGCTGTTGCGCGAAATGGACGGCAGGCGCGAGGAGTTGGACGGTGTGGCTGCGAGCACACTGCAGTCCCTCAACTTGCCTGGATCGCTGCAGGCTTTAGAGCGCCCAGTCGGTCTGCCGCCTAGCTTGATAAAAAAGGCCGAGGAGGTCGACGCGGCGGGTGGCGCGGACAAGATTCGCTCGCTTCTGATGGACGTCAACCGCCTGTCGAAGAGCAACGCCAAGGTGCTCGAGGATGCAATGGACATTTTGGATCAGGAAGCGACGGAGAACGAGCAGTTGCTCGAGCGACAGCCCCACCTCGCAGAATCGCGGCTTCCGTCACATGTTGCCAACTCCAATCTGATCGCCATGGCAGGGCAGTACGACGCGACGCTTAAGCAGGCCGCCGCGAGTGACGCGACAGTGCGCGCTAAATGGGAGGAGTGGCGGCAGTTGATCGAGATCCTCAGCGCCGGCGAGGACATCATCAACGACCACGTCCCTTCCACGACGGGGTCTTACGCCGCGCTACCGTCCAGTGTGCGCCCGCTGCGCGCGTCCCTTGAGGAGCTGGACGACCGGATCGCGCACCGCGCCGCCTTGGTCACCGAAGCGCGCGCGATCGCTGCACACGATGACGTGCGCCCCGAGGTGCTGCAGGAGGCTTCGCGCCTCGCGCACGGCGGCAGTGGCGACGTCAAGCCCGAGTGGTTCGAGCCGCTCTTCGACAAAGCGGCGGCGAAGTACGACCGCCTGCGCGACGAGATGGACGCCGAGGCGGGCGGGCAGGACGGGCTGCTCGAGCAGATCCGCAAGCAGAACGAGGTGTTCCTCGCCGAGCGCAAGGAGGATCCGCGCGTCAAGGAGCGCGAACGCAGACTGCAGGACATGGATATGGCGTACTGGAAGTGGCGTGAGATTGTCGACAACGCCGACGAGGGCATCAAGTTCTACAACCAGCTCGCTAATCACTTGCAGCAGTTCAAGAATGCGTGCTCCCAGTTCCTCGACGCGCGCCGCGTCGACGTGGGGCAGGTGACGAATCAGCTCGCGCACGTCAGCTTTGCCGACCAGCCGCAGACGCAGCAGCCTCAGCACCAGCAGCTCCAACATCAGCCCCAACACCAACACCAGCACCAGCCCTCGCCGCCGCCACCACACGGCTTCGGGGCACCCGGGACACCGGGGACGCCGCCCGCTGCGCCACCGCACGCATCGTACGGCTCGCTCCCACCACGCACGTCATCCGCCACCTCGCCGCCCCTCACGTCGCCTCCACAGACGTTCTCCCCGCCCGCGATGCGGTCACCCCCACCGCCTACCGCCGCGCCATTCCTCGCCCATCCCTCCTCGTCGCAGTGGCAGAGCGGCGCTGACTTCCTTCCCCCGCCCCCGCCCCAGCCCGTCATCCGCAGCGGCGGTGTGCCTTCACGCGCAGCGCCTGCACCCCCGGCGGTCGACTCGCCTCGGCGCGTCACCCGCAGCCAGGCGCGGCAGGGCCCGATCGGGGATCCAGACCACAACCCGTACAAGAAGGAGGGCAAGCGGCGAGGCGAGGGTGTCATCTAGTGTGCTGCAACCAGTCGCCCATCATCCGTAGAAAGGTCATAGACTGTGATACATTATTAGCACCTATTAAGTGTCCTCGTGGCGGCTTATGCCGCCAGTCTTCTAAATTCTCGCCAGTACGCAGCATGCTCGGCGTCGCTCGCGCCCTTGGCCGCAGTCCAGCGGTCCGAGAGCGCGCGGCTGATCTGCCCAAATGTTGCTCCCGGCATGGCCGCCTGCGCCGTCTTCATGTACGCCTTGACGTAAAGCTGGTACGGGCTGAGCTCTTTCGTCGCGAACAGCGGTGCGAGTCTGGCGCGGCACGCGCCGCACACCTGCTTCGCCGGGTCGATGCTCTTGCTGTGCCGCCGATACACCTTGCGGCACGCGACGTCCGTGCACTGCCACTCGTACTTGTAGTGGATAGTGTAGTCGTGCTTGGTGGTCACGCTGATGTCGGGGCGCGCGCGCATAACCTTGCGCCCCCACGCCTTGAACACGCGCCCGTGCGGATTCCGGAACTCGGCATCGACGACCCACGCCGCGACATGGCACATCTCGTGCGCGAGCGTGTCCCGCACCTGCCGTTCTTCCGAGAGCACCTTGGACGCGAGCGCGATCCACACCTCGTGCGTGCGCGAGCCGTCCTTGTGCCGCGTCGCGCGCCGGTGCGCCATCCCCGCGCTCTTGTTGATCCGCGCGTCCCACTTGATCGTGCAGCTTGCGCCGGCGCGGCCGAGGCGCGCGCCGAAGACGCTCGCGTCCAGCTCGTCGAAGAGCGACTGTGCGTACTTCTCCCGGTGCGCCTCCCATTCGCGCGTGCTCATCTGCTTGCGCGGCTTGGACCGGGGCGCGAGCGCCGGGGCTGGCTCGGAGAGGGAGAGGGATCCGATGTCCGGTACCGTGATGGGCGGCGGCGCGGGCTCAAATGTCAACACGGCCGGAGAGACAGGCGGGGGCCCGTCCTCCTCGCTGTCGCTAACGAGGTTGATGACGGGTATCGGTAGTGTCTCGCCCACTATGAGCTCGTCCGAGTCCAAGCCCGCGTCCGAGTCCGAGCCGTCGCTCTCACTCAAGCTGGCCTGTTCTTCGTCATCTTCTCCGCCGTCCGCCACGTCCTCCTCGACTTCAGAGTCGGACAAGACAAACTCGCGCAGGCTGCCTGCGCTGTCCATGCTCGAGTCCATGAGAAACTCCGGGCTTTCGTCTTCATCCTCCTGGTCGCTGTTCATCGAGTTCAGCCGCGCAATGGCAGCAGGAATCCGCCCACGCAGCCCGCGGGGGCGGGGCGGCGCGTCCTCGTCGTCGCTGACGATGATGCGCCTCGCCACCAGACGGCGATGGGGGACGATCACGTCGCTCTCGTCGCTCGCGTATCCCGTAGCTTCGTGCTGCGGCGTCGCCGGCACACTTGGTGCGCGCATCGGCGGGGGCGAGCTGGGCGAGAGGTTGTCAAAGGTCCCGTTCGGCGAACCGGGCGGGAGAATGTCGAAGCCCTCGGTCGCCGAGCATAGGCTGTCTGTCGTACCGCTCTTGCTCAATGTCGACGTGGAGATCGCAGAGAGGGCGGGCGAGAGCGCCCCCATGGGTACGCTTGGCGCAGCAAGATCACGACCGCCACCAGGTGTCGTGGGCGCAGATCCCCCCTCGGATGAGGATGTGTTCGCAGGAGAGGTAGAAGTGAGCGAGAGGTGACGGCTGTAGTCAGTACACCACCGGCGGGGCTCCTCAACAACAGCCCACATGTCTAATTCCAAGTCGACCTCGTCAAGGTCAAGAGCATAGTCCAATGTCGCCTCCTCGTCCGCTTCCCCTTGGTCCCCAGCATGTCCCTCAGGTTCAGGCTCAGGCTCAACCTGCGGCCGTGGAGTGGCCTTCAACTCAACCGGTGGGCCGAGCTTCGCAAAACCTGGAAAGCTGCTTGACGACGCGAGGCCAGGGTAGCTGTCCGTCGAGGCAAACGTCGAGTCGCCTTGGGAATCATCCAGCTCCTCCACTGCCTCGTCCACTTCAAGATGTAGTGTCTCGGCCTCGACGGCGGCATACGCCGGGCCGAGATTGTTCAGGCTGATCTTGCGTCCCAGACGGCTGGGCGAGGCCGGTGAAGCCTCGCGCACGCGCGTGGGACGTGGCGTGAAGGCTGTCCCGCCGCGAGCGACGACGGGCGCAGGCGTCTTGCGAAAGTCGGCGCGGGGCACTGCTGTCGTGTCAGTGAAAGGCAAGCAGGAGGGACGGGGGATGGCTCCAGGGGTAGTGGTAAAGGAGGTTGCGCACAAGACGCGCAGGGAATGCGACATTGCGTGCTGTCATCACTCTCCTGGTCAATGTGGACGAATCTGTCTTGCGCTACAGAGCTTAGCGTGCGGTGACTGTACTTACATCGTGGACTGGGCAGTGGGCTGGGGAACTTGAGGCTGGGGTAGTCGGGCTCGACGTCGCTTGGCGGGGGACGGGGCACGTCCCAGTCGAACCGGGGTGACGTGAGCATCTCTCCCCGTGCGCAGGCTCGGGTCGGGGTGCTTGGCCCTACGGAGCAGGCACTGGCAGGCGCTGAGAGGTCGCCGGATGAGTTTGGGAGGATGGTGAGAGGGGTGGACAGGCGAGGGGGACGGGGAGGTGGAGAGGGCGGCGCGAAGGAGGGGAAGTGGAGCGGCGGCATGAGCGGCGGCGCGCGCTTGTTACGGCGCGGTGCCATTACGAGGAGCGTGGATGCGGTGAATGAGACCAGAAGTGGTGGGGAGAGTTGTGTTGATTGACCACGACCTAAGCCGATGCTGCTTTCGACGTGGCCTTGCCCTCAAGACGCGCTACGGCAATTGTAGACAACGGGGAAGAGGTGATTGAGAGGAAAGTAAGACGATAACAAATAACGGGTCATGGGAGAGCACGAGTCAGCCTTGGCAGCCGGCAGCACACGGCATCTTCTTTAATTGCTTTCCTATTTGGGCAAAATCATTCGCGTCGACCTCTATGGAATCAGATTCCGTCTAATCACGTTTCTAAGTAGGGGGACAGAATTGCGCCTTGCTGCAGGGTGCCAAGGCCTCCCGTCTTGTTGCATCCAACGTGCGACGGCACAGGCTCGATACATGACAATCTAAATCCCCTTCCGCTCCCGCGACGACGCCTCGGCCATCTCGGCGAGGCGGATTTGTTCCAGCACATTAGCCAAGTCGTCCTCATCTTCCCGAGCCCGGGCCGCCTTCCGTGCCGCCTCTGCGCGTTCAAACTCCGCGACTGCCTGGATCGCCGCGGCCTCGTCGTCGCTCATTCCCGCACCATCATCGAGGGAAACATCAGGCACTTCCACTCCCAGGTCATCTGCTCCTCCGCGTTCCGGAGACGATAACGCTGTCGACTCGTGGGCAGTCGCGGACGCGTCCGCCTCTTGCTGTGACAGCAGAAGCGCGTACCGTAAGGCCTCATCGCCATCGGCCAACCCCAAGTCGTTCATCGCAGCAAGGTGCTGCTCTTCATGAGATGTGTGTGCACGCGTTGCTTCATTCTCCGCGCGAATCTCGTAATGCGAGTCAACGGCGTCTTGGTGGAGGTCGCGTAGGTCGAGAGTACGAGAATGGCCACGGAACTCGCTCCGACCCCCGCCAGGGGCACCGCGGCGGTTGACGTTGGCGTTCTTGCCAGACTGACGACCTTTACCTGTACCAGCGCGCCAGGCTAACACATTGCGGCCTATACCTGCGACAATGAGGTCGTTTTCGAGAATGAGGTGGTTGACGTTGAAATACTTGGCGCGGTGCTCATCACCTTCTGCAACGATCAGGTCGCCCGGGGTGAGATGCGACGGCGAGCCCAGTTTGCGGAGACGTGTCGGTTCAAGAGGGAGAGGATCGTACACCCAGACTTGGCCGTTGAACGACCCAACGGCGACGAGGCCACAGGACATCTCTACGCAGGTGATCTTGCCATCGCCGACCGCCCAGTCGCGGATGGGTTTGACGACGTCCCCCACTGGGCGGCCATCCCACTCCCAGATGTACACGCGGCCGCACAGGTCACCCCCAACGACAACACGGCCAAACAGCTCAGCAGGGATGCTAGGCTTGCGCGCACTTTCCACCTCAGCGTCTGGCGCCGCAGGCGACGTGACACCGGAATCAGTGGGCGTAATAATGCGCGCTGAGAGCGTCTGCTGAGCCTCAGGGGGCTGCGATATAGGGGGAGTTGGCGAGAGGAAGGCTTGCAGCGCCGTGATGGGCGCCTCACCCTCGGTGCTGAAGAAGACAGTCCTGACCTTGTGGGAGCTGCCATCGAGCGTGATGTCGTGGCGGGCAAAGTTCGGGTGGCGCGCATGATGAATAAGGACCGATGTGACGAGGCCTCTAGCGTCTTGTGACGTTACAAGATTGAGCTCCGTCACACCCCCGTAGTCATCCTCAGAACCAACGTCGACACGAACTTCGCGCGGAGCAGTGGTCGCGTTAAACCACAGGCGGAGATCGCCGTCACGAGTCACACCGCAGACGATGTCGTGCTGAATGTCGCAAGCAGCGAGGACGACACCGTCAGGACTCGCCATCTGGCGGAGTCGAACCTCCTCAGAGCGCTCCTTGAGCGGCTTCTCGACAGGCTCGGAGCTGAACAGGCAAGAGATACTCGCGGATACCCCTTCAGTCGGTGTGGCCTTGCCCGACTTGGCCGAGCCAGGGTTGAGCTGCCAATACTTGAGGCGACCGTCCACGCCGCCTGTTACCCACTTTGTGGCGTCCTTCCCTTGTAATTCCGGTTGATAAATCGAAAGGATGGCACCTTCGTGCATGTCGTTGGGAAGCGATGTAACGTTGATGGATGTCGGTCTGCCACCATACTTGGCGTGCGTGCGCGACTGTACAGTAGTGTGAACGCAGGAACCGTTGAGAAGACCCCAAAGTATATGGTTCTGCGAACGCTTAGGCAGGAAAATTGCAGACGCCAGGCCGGGATCCCACTGAGGACGAATGTGGAAGTTTGCTTTCGTCAGCCTGCACACCTTGTTCCTCATCCGGTGGACTGCCTCACCTTCCTCAGTCGGGCCCCAAACCCCTTTGGAGACCTTTCCAGTGAGCGGGTCACTCTTGATGACGGCGGCGTGCTCCTGGCTCGCACAGAACAGTGCCGGTACTGGTCGCGACGAAACAGCTTTCATTACCTCATACCTCTGGCGATGCGAGAGCTTGGCGGTGGGTCCCGTAGGCGAGTCGGTACCAGACTTGCTCATTTTCCCCACGACTAAAGGTGTCCTGGCATGATGAGGCAGAGGAGGATACGACAAGGACATCTTGTTGATGAGCACTGGGAACGGGTGGTGGATGACATTCGAGCTGCGTGACACTAGCCAGCGCCTGGTGGTCAGCTAGAATAAGAGCGGCGACGTACTCGAGCATGCCTTCCCGGGACAAAGCTTCCTTCTTCCAACCTCGACCTCCGATCCCGGAGCATCCTTGGACAAGAGCCTTGACTTGCTCTCTGGCGCGGCCATTGCCCGCGGCACCGTCCCACAAGAAGCGATTGATATAGCACTGACGCCACACTGACTCGCTCTTCAGCTCCTCGTGCAGAAACTTGCACGTAGCACCAAGCTGAAGAAGGGAACGAGGTGGGATCCGTATTAGGAGCACGTGCAGAACGTCGCTTGGCAGGTTGAGAAGGTAGCTGACGTGAGCACGTGTGTGGATCCATGGCTCACCATGGGCCGACCTCTTGCTCGTCGGCCTCGTCGTCTACGGCCTTGAGCTTGTTCTTCAGTCCGCCTTTCTTGGGCTGCTTGGCCTTCTTGGCTGGGCCAAGATTGGCCGCAGAAGAAGGAACCTCGGGGTAGTAGAAGTCGTCATTGTCGTCGTAGTCGTCGAGGTAATGTTGGTCGAGAGGTGAGTAGTCGAGTTGGTCTTCGATATAAAGGGATGAGGGAGGCATAAAATTGTGTGGCAAGAGTGTCAAGAGTAGTGGGCACTGGATGTACAGTGCTGAGCGCGAGCAGTCGTGGACGATGGCCGATGGAGCGATGAAGAGAGCGAAGAGGAATACCTTGCTTGATTGTCACCCTCAGTACCCTCCACTGTCCGATTCCTCTTATCAACCTGTCTGACGTGGATATAGGACTGCGTGCCTTGAAGGCGCATGTCTCCGACCGTCATCTGGCGGCAACCGTGACTTCGGCTCACCATTGCCTCTCTCTCTACTGTTCACTCGTCAGCTTCGTTCGTTCTCTCTCGCATAGCTCATACACAACCATCCTTCACGATGGAATTGGGCAAGGACAAAGAGGAGCTCGAAACATGTCCCATCTGCCCGTCCCCGGGCCCGCCAATCCCCACTCCGCCCAAGTCGTCAGATCGCGATGAGGACGACGAGGAACTCCAGTGGATCGCATGCTCCAAGTGCAAGAAATGGTATCACTGCGTTTGTATAGTTATGAACTCGGAGTATAAAGACACCGTACCAGCCGAGCTGTTGCAAGAGCTCGACGCCAGCGGGCAAGGGGAATGGTTCGACTGGGCCGATCGGGTTGATCGATGGTATGTCGCCCAGCAAACGAAACAGCTTGTTGACATCCAGGTATTGCAAGCCGTGCATTGATCACTCCAAGTCACCAGAAAACCCGAAGCCTCCGCGCATCCCAATGCACGCTACGCTCCGGCGCAAGCGCGTGGCGAAGAGCGGCGCATCAGCATCTCCAATCGGCAAGCGCGCGAGGCTCGAGACACAGACTCACGCCTCTTCGTCCGCTAACGGGGACGCTACACTGGAGCAGGGAAGGCCGAAGCGACGCGCGGCGCTGGATCGCCCGGATTATCTCAACATGCACAACCACACTGCGACGCCTACTCGCGGCTGGATCGACCTCATTAAGAACCCGGCAAAGTATGACCGAGTGATCAAAGATGGTGAGGTAGACCATCGGCTGATCAACTGACGACAGGCAACTTTCCGCGTGTTCCGGCAACCTTGCTGCGCAAGGAGTGGATCGAGTCTGGGGTCACTGCGTCCGATGTGGCAGTTGGCACAGCTCCGTTTCCGGCTCACCTTCCTCCTACCTTGTTCTATGGTCCTACGCGAGAGCCGCTTGTCGTACGGCCAGAGGATGGTGGCATCGCCTCAATGGGCGGCAAAGTGCCCGAACCCGGCCTAACGGTGGACGATGTCGCGCGCCTGGTTGGTCCCCAACGCATGGTAGATGTCATCGGTGAGACGAAGACACTCAACGCTCAGCTAATCCAACAGACGTTGCAACTCAGCAATCTTCACAGTGGCCGCTAGAGAAATGGGCGCAGTACGTGAAGAACCGCTCGGATCCCAACGCTGCCTCTAGTAGCAAAGTGTACAACATCATCTCCTTGGAGATTTCGGGCACTGACTTGGCCCAGCAAGTTCGACCACCCAGCATTGTTAGCGACATTGACTGGGTAGAAAACTTTTGGCCGTTTCCGGGAGGGCCTGAGGCTGCAAAACGTGCTGCTGCTCGAGCGTCGGAGGGACTGGATGATGCGGGACAGACAAAGGGCAAAGTCAAGAATGAATGGCCGAAGGTGCAGCTGTATTGCCTGGTGAGTCAAGCCTTAAATCTGGCTCAACACTGACGACCAGATGGGAATGAGGGACGCATGGACGGTGAGCTGATTAGCTGTGATTAGCTGACGTCGCAGGATTGGCACGTCGACTTCGCCGCCAGTTCTGTCTACTACAATGTGCACACCGGGTCTAAGGTGTTCTTCTTCATCAGGCCGACTGCGGCGAATCTCGCGGCGTATGCCCGCTGGAGTGGGTCACATGAGCTGCAGCAAACGACATGGCTACCTGACCTGTGCGATGAGGTGCGGAAAGTGACTCTCGTTGCAGGTGACACAATGTCAGCATCCAAAATGGCCGCGTTGACGATACAGGATCATCCCTTCTGGCTACATCCATGCGGTGTACACCCCTGTTGACAGCATCGTGTTTGGCGGAAACTTTGTCCACAGTTACGACATTCCGACTCGTGAGGACGCTGAGGGACGTATGCTAACTTCTTAGAACTGCGATTGCGAGAAATCGAGATTGACACTCGCGTTCCGCAACGATTTCGGTGAGTTCAGGAGCAGGATGGTATACTGAGTCTAGCTTCCCGTACTTCGACAGGTGACTCTCGACGCGGGAGATGACTGACTCCAGACTGTGTTGGTATGTCGCAACCCGTTACACGGATGATCTACGTCAATTGCGGGCGTTTCGTCCCACAGGCAAGGCGACAAAACGTCAGCGGCCGTACGACCGCGTGTTACGCGGGTTGCTTGTACTTGCGCGCTTCCTGATCAGTGAAGTCGACAAGATGACCGACGATGCGACGGACGAAAAGGAGAAGCAGTTGATATACCGCCGAATCCCTACAGACATATCTGACCCCGCTGCTTTAGCGCACGAATTGCTCTGGCGCGTCGAGAATGAGCTTCCAGATGTCTGGGAAGACGAGGAAGAGGTCAAGCTGGTCGGGGGACGCAAGGGAAAGCGGGCGAAGCGCACCGAGAATGGCACTGCGCAGAGTGAACCCAAGGCAATGCGGCTGCTCGACAAACCCATCTCCTCTCGAACTTGGAACTTCAAGCCAGCGTGAGTCGTCCGGGAGGCGCCCTTGTGCTCACCCATAGACCTTGGACGCAGGCTGACCATCCCCTATTGAAGACGACTACCAAGGTCTGGCTGCCGCGGCCTGGGGGAGATGGGACGCCAGAGGAGGCTGACCAGGTCTCGGCGATCTATCACCAAAGCCGGGAACGCACGAGGGTGGAGAGCGGCGAGACAATCTTGGAGGATCAAGACATAGTATTTACGGAGCGCCGCATCACTTGGCCCTCCAAGGCTGAAGCCACTGAGTCCCAAGTTGCAGAGAGCGATGGTCAGCCTTCAACATCAGGTCTTGGTGGAGTCAAGGCCAAGGTGGAGGCTGAGGTGGAGGTGTAGCGGAAGCAATTGTATCAATCCACCATGTATTTCGTGTTCAATGTCAACCGGACCGAGTCACACCGAATTCACAACAAGCTCGTTATTCTCCCTTCTTCAACCTTCCATCCAGCGACATTACTAACAATGACGGACTCCGCGCCCACTCGCGCATCGACGCGCGTGCGCACGAAGTCCGCTCGTGCGATTGAGAGCGAGGGCACCGAGGCGCTGCTCGCGGCCAAGGGACCGGCGCGAGCAACACGTTCGAAAGCGACCAAGGAGAAGGCGGCGCCCAAGCCGCGCAAATCCAAGTATTGCATGTGCAAGGAGCACCGAACAGGCCCCATGATCGAATGCGGAGAGTGCGGCAACTGGTTTCACTTCAGCTGCGTTGACTTGAGCGATGACGAGGCGGAGAAGATTCGTGAGTGTCTCAGGACCCGCTTTCCGTTCGGTGGAGATGCTCCGTAAGGAGCGGTAGCTGACCATAGATAACTGGGTGTGCCCCGACTGCGCCGAGCGCACCGGAGCTAAGACGACGTGTAAGTTCTCCTCTCCACCGCTGCCTTACAACTCCACACCGGGACACATCATGACGCGCGGCGACGATCTTTCTCGCCACCCAGCGCAGTCGGATGAGGCGCCGGGGCCGCCAAGTGGCTTACCCCGCACCTTCGCACCCACCCAACTTATGTACTCCGGATTTGTAGTAGCAACACGCTGTCATGGCGATCTGGTATGGTCGCTAGCGGATCGCAGTTGGTCGCGGACTCACAGCGTGTCTCGGTAGCGTGAAGGCCGGCTGCACGATGCGGCTGGAGGGAGGCCGTGAGCAAAGACCGCTGCAGAGGTGCAACGCAGTGAGACAGACCCAGTGTGACATGCCAGAGTCGGCGTGCATGTGAAGTGCATGTGTATCTGTGACTTCCCTGCGCAAGGAACTGCAGAGTACCATCTTGAAGTCGAGGTTGCACTTGCAGACCTGTTTTGCGAACTCCTTCTGTACACCGCGACCCATGACACTCAGCGTGCACACATACCACATTACCCCACTCCCCTGTTACCATGTACGCATCCTGACGCCAGACATTCACGACATCTCTACCTTCCCGTCACCGGCCCCTCCATCCGACGTCGAAGTGGTGGCTGAGGAGGGGATCGAAGCGGAGCCCGCGTCACGATCCAAGCCCAAGCAGAAGAAAGCTGCACCGAAGCGCAAGGCCGCGGCGCAAAGGGTGAGTCGTCGATCAGGTTGCAAGCTGACGGGTCAGCCGACGCGGAAGAAGGCCAAAATCGAGGAGCCAAATTCAGAGCCCGTAGACGCTGCCGACCAGAGCGAGGAGGACAACGACGAAGCCAGCTCATCTGAGAGCGAGTCTGCAGAGGACGAGTTTGAGGAGGGTGATGCGGACGACTACAAGGACGAAGGGGCGCGAGAGGACGGCGACCTCGATGATTTGGTGGTCGATGAGGAGGAGGTTAAGAAGGAAATGGACGAAGAGTCGCCAACGCCCGCAAAGTCGCCGGTCAAACGCGGGACCCGTGGACGCAGCAAGTCCGCCACGCGTGACCACACGAAGTCGCCTATCAAGTCGCCCATCAAGTCGCCTGGGAACAAGAAGCGCAAGGAAGAGGCGACGGATGAAGCCAGTGATGAGGCTCATCCAACGGCCAAGGGCGATGCCAAGAAGGAGGTGCGCCCCGCGACCCGGCCACCGGCGCCGAAACGCCCTTCTATCGATACAAGACGCAGCTCCGGTTCGGCAAGATCGGGCGCCGCGACCCCCTCTGTCTCGAAGGAAGCTAAGGGAGCGCTTCCAGCCGCCCGGGCGTACGTGCTCGCGCAGTTTACCAAGATCGCCACCGGTCTGTTTGGGGACAAACTCGATGCTTCGGGCATCGATAGCTGGGCCCGCGAGGTTGAGGCAGCTTTGTTCACACACTTCAAGGAGGGGCCGAAGGCTGTTGCGGGCAACCGATACAAGGCGCAGTTCACACTCCTGAACTCGTCCCTTCCAAAGACACGAGCGGAGGTCAAGAACGCCATCGTGGATGGTGCCACACCACCTAGCAAGGTAGCGCTGATGACCGCCGAGGACCTCGCGACCGAGGAGCAGCTCGCTGAGCTGATGGCACAACGGGCAGAGAGCCTGCGGCAGGCGGTGCGCATCGAGCCTGAGTATAACTCTGTGCGGATTGGGCGGGACGGGTTCGAAGAAGTCGAGAACGAGAAGGACGACGACGACCGCGCCGAAGACCGAAAGGATGTCGTCGTTGACATCGCACCCACCACGCCCGTGGAGGAGCGACGACGAGGTACTGCTACACCTGAGCCGCCCAAGGGGTCCGAAACGCCGCGATCGCCTCTCGCCCGTCGTCGTTCCTCTTTCTCCACCCCTCTTTCCCCCATCGCGCGCCGCGCGTCATTCTCCCAGTCCGGCTCGCCCGTCGTCACACATAGACCGTCAGTCGAGTTTACTTCGGCGTGGGGCACCTCCTCTAAAGTGACGGAGGATTACATTATGGAGCAAGACCAGGACCAAATCGACTTGTCTGACCTCGCGACGGGTGAGGCCGAGGTGACTTACGACGATGAGTTGGACGGTCCTGATGTTATGGCCGAGTTCCTCCAGCGCCCTGTGGTGTGGAGTGGCGGAGTAAGTATACGTTTAGAGTGAGCTGATAGCAGATCACGAATCCTGCCGAGGAGTCCCCTTTTCCCCCGCCCGTCATGATGCGACAAGCTGCCGGCCGGGCTGCCCCGGCCGACACTTTCCGTGTGCTTCTTCCACAGCAGTCCATTGCTATCGCTGGGCGTGTACCAAGCGCAAGCAGCTTGCGATACCTTGCCGATCGGCGGCTCGACCGCACCAAGGAGCTCATGGTAGTAGCATTCTCGCTCGACCCCAAAGCCACTCCGGACCAACGGGGCGCTTGGGAAGCCCTCCTCAATTTCCACATCCAACGCGAGTGAGTCCCTCACATAATTGTCACTTTGCAGCGTCACTAACCGCAGTCGCCACGCTGTCTTCCACCCCAATACAACAGCGCGGGAGCTGTACCTAATCCCTCTGCGTGCAGCGGACCGTACCCCAGAACTGTTCGACACACTCGATGCCTTTGCTCTGCCCAAACAGGGCCGTACCCAGGCCGTCATGCTGGGCGTATTTGTCGCGCAGCGCGCCTCGCCAGGTCGCTCGCCAGCAGAGCCTCAACACACTCCGCCTCTTCCCGTTCGCCCTCCACCTCCAGCTCCTCAACCCCCTCACGTGCCACCTCCTGCGCCGGCCGGCGCGCCAGTGTTCCAAAATGCGCAGCTACAGGCGCTCATGGCAAGTCTCAACCCTGCCGCCATAGCTGCGGCAACGGCGCCGAGTGCACCAGCCCAGGCGATGCCTTTGCCTCCTTTCCCACCTTTCCCACCGGGCGCGTCTCGACCACCTGGCCCTCCCGATCTTTCCGGCCCTCCTGGCCCTCCCGGCCCTCCGCCTAGATCAGATTATGGGTATCGGCATGAACACCAACCGGATCACCGCCCAGAATACCGCTCGGACGGTCGTGCAGACTACCGCCCTGGCCCGGGATACGTCCACGGGCACGGTCCGCCCCACTCGGGTCCCCCATATGGTGCCCCGCAAGGTCCTCCGTATGGCGCACAGCAAGGCTACCCTCCATCCCGTTCCGGGCACGTCTCGCCACCAGGACGCGGTGGTATGTCGCCTGCGACGGAGATGCGAAGTCCGCCGTATGGCCCGCCAAGAGGTGGTCGTGGCGGTGGGCCGCGTGGACGTGGCCGAGGGCGTGGACGATGGTAACGTGACAGTCCGAGAGCATATCAGAGTTAGGAGCCATGGTAGTAGAGCGTGGAGTGCATGTAATTATAGGCAGCCGTGCACGAGGTGGACTTGTGCTCATCATGCTACGAATGGGTTCAGTGCTGAAATGCGACAGAATGAGCGGAAGCAAAATCACTCCACTGACATGACATACCGTCAACACAACCGCGTTCAACGAAGCCGCCTTCACACATCCTCCAACTCTCCGCCCATCGATCCATCAATCCTCAATTCCTCAATCTTCGCTTCCATCGCACAACGTATATAGCGCGTGAAGCTCACTCGCTGCATCGCGTGCTCTCTCTGCGCGCTCCGCGTACTCGCTTCGACACACTATCGAATCTCACCCTTCACCCTTCCCCCTTCCTTCCGCGCTATCTTGCGCGTCATTCAAGCCATTGCGTCTTTCTGTCGCGCTATACAGACTGATCTAAGACCGTGTTGTTGCGTCGCGTGATCCGCATACTTTGGCCCCTCACCAACACCATGACCGACGGCTATCCGGAAGCGGGCGAGATCGAGCGCGACGTGATCGCTGCAGACGCGGGCGAGATTGAGCGGGATGTGATCGACGACGAGTCGGAGGGCGAGGAGGGTGCGTTCTCTATGCCCTGGGATACGGTGATTACTGTACAGCACTGATGGCAGAGTACGAGGTCGCCGGTATCGCTGGACACAAAATGGAGGTGAGTCACCGAGCGGAAGGTTCATGGGCGTGCATGCGATCGGAGTGGAGGCATTGTGGAACAAAAGATGGCGAGGGTGCCAGAGCACAAGATGAGCAAGCGGCGTTGGATGGACTCGTACTCGAGACGACCGCCGGATGCCTAATCTAACCGCGATTCCTTGCTGGCCAGCCCGAGGACGATGCGCCGCTCCTTCGAACAGTGTGGGCAGCAGGGCTACAAAGTGGAGAGATGGGGAAAGAGAGCTGTGAAGACCGCGGAGGACAAAGGAGACCTGGGACACCGCAGATGCCCGCGAAAACGGCCCACGAAGTTGCATGAGTCTTTACCAGCAGACCAGACGAGAGCATCGGCTTGTCCTCAACTGGCAAATTGTTGTTCAGTTCTGCGAAGTCCAGTTGGATGGAAATTGTGTCTTTCTGTTTTCTTGCGGATCAACGTGCTGACCATCGCAGAGGGGAAAGTACAAGTGTGGGTCGCAAGCAAACCACACGAGCTGATGTTAGACCTCGTGGCATGGAAAGGATATGGCCCAGAGCACAACACCTGGGAGCCCGAGGCCAACCTGTACGTTTGTTTGGTTCGGTCGGAGAACTGAGCGCTGACCCTGCTCTCACATGAGGTCCTTCTCACCTACTCTCCGCTCGGCCTCCCAATTCTCTTACACCCCCGCGCCTCTCCAATACAACCAATTCATCAACGTTGCCGACATGGCCGACATGATACGGTGAATGTGCCACGTGCTATGGGCTTTACGTTGCCACACATGCCACACACGTGACCACCTTCCTTCGACAGTGAGCATGCCCGGGACATGATCGATGCGTACCTCGCCAAGCAGCCCAAGCATGCTCCCAAGCGAGGACGACCATCTTCAGCGACCCCGTCCAAGCCTGCGAAGCGTGGTCGCCCCGCCAGGTCCTCCCAAGCGGCGAAGGCCTTGGAGGACGACGAGATTGGGTTCCAAGAGACCCACCGAGACTCGGCTGAGAAGTTCAAGGACGTGGCCGACTGGGAACCGCTAGTAAAGCAGGTCGACTCCATCGAGCGAGGATCTGACAACACCCTCGTCGTGTATCTCACCATGTGAGTTCGTGCGACAGGGCACGACCTTAGCGTCGCCCGTGATCGTGTCCTTCGTCCAGCCCTTTCATTTATGACTCCCGAGGGTTGCACACACGGGCAGATCTGTGCGGCTCATGCTGACTTCCGCAGGAAGAGTGGTGAGCGGATTTGCCAGGGCAGGGACATCGTGTATAGGCGGTGTCCGCAGGCAATGCTCCGCTTCTACGAGACGTACCTCAAGTGAGTGCCTGGATCCCGGGACCGCAGACAGTGGCAGCTGACAGTCAGGTGGAGAAACGACGATTAGCGACGCTGCATTGAGTGTTTCCGCGAATGCCGCGGTGTTCTTGGTGTGGCCGCTGTGCGAATGCGTGATGTTGGGAAGATGTCGAAGACGGGCTGCATGTGCTAGCTCGATGCAATCAATAGTGTGTGAGACAGAGGGTGAGCCCGAGCTGCCGGGGCCGCTGAGGCTGCAAGAGCCGCAAGTGTCGCCGGAGCGGAACGGTTGTGGACCGGGACCGGAAAATGTGCAGTACCGCACGAGTCCGGCAACAAGCATGCCTTGTCTCACGTCCCAGAATAGCTTCTAAGCGCGCTGATTGAAACGATTGTTGCGGGACGCAGTTGATCCCGAAGAATCCTTGCGTATCGCGTAGGATTGCGACGGATGGAGAGGAGCGAAGGAGAGCACGAGTGTCGTGAAGGAGGGAGTGTGGCAATCGGTTCTGGAAGATGAACATGTCAACATTTGGCCAGGGGTAGGAATGCGTGTTCCAGAGGCAGGACACCAGCAAACTGTCTTTTGTGCTCTCTCTCGCTCTTTCTCTCTCTCCCTCTCTCGTCCCGGGGAGCTTTGAGCGTTGAGGGCTCATGAGAGTGCTGTATACAGCACCAATAGCAATGTAGTCCTGAGAGTACAGACGCAACTTTGGGTGGATTGCTGCCGTACAGTGAAGAGGAGTGGTGGTCCCCCGTGCCTGGGATGCCGGCAGAGCGCGTGACAAGGGATGGAAGAGGTTGCGCCATGCGCGGGGTCGCGTCTTTTGCACAGCGCGTCCGACTCTTAATGGTATTCCCGCCTCCCGCTCCCCTGATAAACAATCCTCTTCTTCATCTCTCTCGCTCGCTCGCTCTCTTTCTCCTCATCATCTCTCAAGGTCACCTCGCTCTCCCTCGCTCTCACACTCCCGCATCTCGTAAACGGGCAGGCACGGGCCCATCCGGTCATTCGTTCATGCCTCGCTTTGCCAGGATCGCAGGAACACAAACCGTCACGCGTACGCGTCTGATCCTTCCACTTTCTCTAGACGCACGCACACGCGATGTCCTCCATATCCTGCTCGCTGCTGCATCGGCTGTCGAGATCCTCCGGGAATCGTCTCCCTCTCTACCTCACTGACGGGCACTCGACTCCCTGCCTCCCTGTCTCCCTGTGCTCTCCGCGATGTACGCCTCCCGCTCATACCTGCCGCTCTTTCATCGTTCGCCTCCGCTGGAAAAGAGGGTCAATACGCATAATCTGAACACTTCGGGACCTTGCTCTCATTGCCTTGCGATTCTCGTGTTGTTCTCCTCGCTGTCCTTGTCGCGCTGCCTTGGCTAAACCCTCGCTGCGCCTTGGCCTGAGCCATCACACCCATCACGCCGCCCACAACAACCAATCCTCCCGCCGAGGCGCGAGACATGCCTCCCGCTCCCGCCTGGCGTTCATCACCTGCTCATTACGAGCTGTACCCGCTTTCTCTCCTCGGGCTCGTCGGGGACATGTGCTCGAGGCATTTCTCGATTCCGTAACCATCTCACGTTAACAACTACTCTTACTCTTACTCTTAACACACTTCTCATTCCATTCCTCTTTCATCCCCGCTCGTTTCTCATCTCCTCCTCTCCAGTCACTCATTTACCACTTCTCTTCTCATCGGGCGCCCAGCGCTTGACAGTCGACTTTCGTTACGTCGCCCTTTGTCGCCCTTGTCTTCTTTCGAGGCTGACCGCGGCTCTTTGGCACTCCGCCGACCTCGCGCAGCGTTCAACTGCTGCTTACTCTTTCGCCTTGAACGCACAGCGCCCTTCCCAGTGAGTGTCTGGTTGATGGTTAAGGATCATGTGCGAATCATGAGCATCTTGTCTACACATCACAATGCTCTTCGCGTCGTCATGTTTAAGGGCTGCGTGCACTCGTACACTTTGGGTATGCCTCTGCGGCTGCCCGTTGGCCGTGCGTACGTTCCCGCACCTACAGTACATGCGCCTGATTTGAATCGTCACGCTTCCTGCCTCACATCACGGCTACACGGGGCAACACCTACGGGTGCCAACTCACCTGTGCTATCTTGGTCACCATCGCTACGCCCCCCCGCTATGCATGCGTCAGCAACCTTGATGCGCATGTATATATCATTCCCGTCTTGGTATCATCTGGCTATTCCCACGTCTCTCTCAATTCCATTCAGTTTGCGCAGGCGCACCCCCTCACTCATTACCATCCTCTCTTCGCTCGTTACCACCCTGGCTTCATTCGTTCCCGTCTCACGCCCTTAGCGACACAAGGCTAACCATCAGCCATGCGCCTCCTATACCAGCTTCACCTCCTTGCTTTCATCGCGAGCCTTGCACAGGCCGCCGCCATGCCACCTCGCGTTGGTGTGGCGGCACGATACGCCGAGCCCGCTGTTCAGCAGATCCAGGCGCCCAAGAAACGTCTCCTCGGTATCTGTCTTTTCGGTTTGAGGATATTGGGCGACTGCGACGACCCGGCGCCCTCCACCACCTCAACTATCCCTCTTCCCTCAGCCGCGCCTTCTGGCGTTGCCTCTGGATCCGGCGCTGCCAACGTCACTAACGCGGCCGAGAGCGGCACTGTCTCCGCCTCCGCCGCCCCGACTGTGACCCCTGCCCCGTCATCGCAGGGTCCAGGCATCGATGTTGACATCACCTCGGCTCCTGGTAGCGCTGGTCTTAACTCGACCATCACGCAGGCCCCCTTCGACCCCTATACCTTCACCTACCCCCAACCCGAGCTTCCATCCCAAGCATACTGGACCTCAGACTCCGTCTTCAAAGTGGACGGTGGCTCGTTTATCTCATCATGGCCCACCACCAGGCGATACTCTTTCACCATTTCAAAATCGAGGGGTGCCCCGGATGGCTTCCACCGCATGATGTACACAATCAACAACCAATTCCCAGGCCCAAAGATCGAGGCCAACCAGGGTGACACTCTCGAGATCACCGTCACGAACAGGCTTGATATTCCTCAGGCGCTTCACTGGCACGGTATGCGCCAGATTGGCACAGGCTGGGCCGATGGTGTGCCAGGCATCCACCAGTGCCCCATTCCTCCTGGAGGCACCTTCACCTACAGGTTCAAGCTCGACACTGAAGCCGGTACATACTGGTACCACTCTCACTACGGAAACACCATGGGTGATGGCGTCAGCGGTGCGCTCATCATTCACAAGCGCAACATGCCCATGCAGGAGGGTCGCGATTACGACGAGGACCGCATCGTCTACCTTTCGGACTGGAACGACAATCAGTCTATGGTCATTATGAAGGCGCTGCATAACATGTCCGAGACGTTCCGCGGATCGCCATTCATGGGCCCACCCGACGCGCTGCTTATCAACGGTGTCGGTCAGACCGACTGCGCCAAGGCTCAGAAGGGGGTGCGCTGTACCAGGACCACGATGGCTACCATTAAGGCTCGTGCCAGCACCAAGATCCGTCTGCGTCTCATCAACCATGGCTCGGAGGCTCTGATTCGTTACTCGATCGACCGCCACCCATTGACAGTCATTGAAATCGACGACACCCCTGTCAAACCTGTGGTCATGAATGAGGTCATGCTCTGGCCCGGTCAGCGTATCTCGGTCATCATCACTCTCAACCAGGGCAGGGCCGGTGCGGCTCATTTCATGCGCGCCCGCATGGCGCAGTCGTGCTTCATCACTGAAGAGGTTCGCGAGACCAAGGCTGTTCTGCAGTACACTGGCCTGTTTGGTCTCTCGTGGGGGACGCAGAATCCTGTCGACAGGCCATGGGGCGACCTCAAGGACTCGAAGACTGAGCTGTGTCACGACATGGACGAGTACCACTCGTTTGAGCCGTCTGTTATCGAGGATCCGCCTCAGCAGGCTAATGGCGTATCTGTCTTCAACTCGGCTTTTGGCATCTTCATCGACTACACTGGCGCCAAGTACATCGGGTTTGGCATGAACGACGTCTCGTACACCAACTACATCAACAACCCGCTTCTGAAGCAGATTAAGAACGGCGCCGAGCTCAATCCTCTGCATGTCGCCGCTCACACGTGGCCCGCTGCTGGCGCCTACGACCTCATTCTGAACCAGCACGATCCTGACCCGCTTGCCCACCCTTTCCACCTGCACGGACGCCCGTTCCACATCCTTGCCCGTGGCTCTGGTGCCATCTCGGCCGCAGACCTGCAGCACATCAAGCTCAACACGGTGAACCCGCTGCGCCGTGACACCATGTCGATCCCCGGCAGCTCGTACGCGGTGATCCGCCTGATCACGGACGACCCTGGCGTGTGGCCCATTCACTGCCACATCGGGTGGCACGTGGGCGTGGGCAAGCTGGGAGTGCTTGTCGTGCGTCCCGACGATATCCGCCGCCAAACATTCCCCGGGCCATGGGAGGGGCTTTGCGCCGGCAAGGATCCCAACGAGATCGACTACGTCCGCCGCACGATCGATGGCAGCGTCGATCCCGCGACAGGCCTCGGGCCCGAGGACGACCGCCACGTCGCGGCCGAGATCGCCAAGCGCCTCCCCTACCACCTCAAGCGCCAGGCAGTGCAGTCGAACGGCACGGACTGGTGGGTCGGCAACACGCCGTACGCTGGCAAGCTGCCCGCTGGCCTCGTGCTGTGATCCTGTGACCCACCAACTGCATATTCTTCGCGCCAGACAGTGACCGAGGACATTTCGGACATTCCTGCTCCTCCATAGACCACCACCTTCATTTCATCATACCACGTGATGTGCACATCCTCATCTGTCAATGTCCCGTTAAGGTGACCATGTATTTTCATTTCTTCACGCTAGTCGAGGTCGAGTCAGTACCTGAGTCCCACTACTGAGGCTGCAGTAGTTTGTGGTGCGGGGAGCATACCGTGGGTATGACTGAGGCGGAAGGCAGCTCGAGCGGAGTCGCTGAAGGAAGCAGCCTGATATAAGTGGGAACGCATTCGATTTGGTCCGTGTGATGGGTTAGTGAAGCTGAGCAGAGAGTAGTCTATGCAGACCTCGTCATGTAGCATGATTTGCGAGCCAAGAGATGAATGCCAGGTTGTACTAGGCTGTATTTCTCTAATCTAATCACGATGTAAAGGATCGAGGAGGTGGAGGCGGATGGCACGTGGCTCAAACTGTACTTTACTTTCACAATCCACGCTTCGTGTTGGCTCGATGACCAGCTCGCGCGCTGGCGATCCCCAAGGCCGCAACCGTCCTCTTCATGCAGCACATATCTCCATGATCCATTCTACATGACCGCCCAGTCGTCTCCTACCACCACCCTCAGCCATGATCTCTTCCCGCACCTGGTGGATGCGATTCTCACGTTTGCAGACCTCCCAACTCAGCTGGCCTTTCGTGCGACATCCCACAAGTTTCTCGCCAAGGTGGACGACGTTCTCTTCTCCCACGTCCTCTTCGCACTGCGCCATTTCCCTCCATCCTACGGCGCTGGCATAGACACAGCGGTCACCGTACTCCAGCCTGTACCGCCGTACGCGCGTCTCCCGTTCTTGCCGTGGGACCTGGATGAGTCGCCACCCACTCCCGACGACCTCGTTCCTCCAGTAGGAGATATTCCCGGCTTCGACCCTACGGACCCCGACTCGTATCCATATGCGCCGCTGTCCGAGCGTACAACCTCGAGGCGTGCACAACTCGCACGTGTGCGCGTGCTCGACTATCATCCCTTCCGCGGCACACAGGCTGTCAAGGTTGGCCAGCTGCTCACTGGCCTCGCGGTGCTTCGCCGGCGGCGTCCGCTCCCCTGCGCCACTCACGCCCCATGTGCGGTCGACTATCTCAATCTTACGCTGCCGATCTACCACCGCTCCGGGAATGTTCCATGGGCACTCTTCACAGCACCTCCGGGAGCGCGTCGTTACGTTCTCCAGGTTTCCTTTGACCCATCTCACCCCTTCCTCGGCGAGGCGCTCGTCTACATGGATCTTCGAGACGTGCAAGAGCTTTGCATCGTGTTCACCCCGCAGCATGTCGCACCAAAAGACGGCGTCACGATCGGGCGCCCTGCCTACGACGATGTACCGGCTCTGGGCATGCTTAGTGGGTTCTTGAAGAGCATCGCGCACGCCATGTGGGACATCCGCGATACGTTTGACATCGAACTTGTCGGCCTCGAGCGCATCCCTCCTGGTTTTCTAGGGCTCGAGGAGGGTCTCGAAGGTGATGCGCTGGTATATGCTTTCAGGAAGAAGTGGGACGAGGTTGCCAGCGTGTGGATCGACAACGTGCGTGGCGCGAACAGCGCCTATCGCGACGAACTTCGTCGCAGGGCGAGCTGCCCCGTCAAGTTAACGACTCTCACAGACTGGCATACGCGCGCTTCAAGCGTTGAACAGACGATCTGTCCGATGCTGCCAGGGGTCAACGAGGACGCGCGGGACTTCAATGAGTGGGCGGACGGAAGTCGCCTGGTAAGCGCGGACGGCCCAGACGAGGAAGCCGACTTCCTCCCTCGGGAGCCGTGGTCGGGCCATGTGTCTCAGCGCGCCATAGATTGGATGAAGGCGCATCAGTCGGAGCGAAACGGGGCATGAATGGGGTCATGCCGCTTCAATAGACCTCTCAATCGTGCAGCCATAGGTCATGTGCATTGCGTTATTCTTCCTCGCTATCACTTGCATTGTCAACGCTGAGTGCTGCGAAAAAGCTCGCGCTGTTAGCCTCGGTGAATGCAGTGTCACTATCGCTGCTCTCGTCCGTGTCCTCGGCCGGTGTACGGGGCAGCGCTGCCTTCGTAGCGGCCAGCGGCATTGTGAGGCCCCTCTGTGGCGAGGCCCCCGTTTCACTGTCAAGGTCCGTGAAGCATTCGCTCCCGCTGCCGTGGCTTCGACCCAACCACAATCCGTCGCCGTCGCGGTGCGGACTCGAGTTGGGAGGCCAAAAGCACCAGCGGACTCGCCCTTCGGCAAGTGCTCGCATCATGCCGTCGGCCGCGCGATTGGCGTCAGGACGTGCCGACTTGGCTGTCACTGTGCGTCAGCGGGCGGATCTAGGCATTGGCACAGCTCACTGAAGCCTCGCTCTGTCGCTCGCCCGTCCATGATGTCACCTGCGGTCCATCTGGGGCCCTTCGGCTTCGAAGCGACAGTTGGGCGGGAACCCCCACGCCACGTCTTCTTGGACTCGATATCATCGATGATGATCTCGGGTGCAGGAACGTTGAAGATGCGTTCCAATGGGAGGTACTTGGCTGCAAATGCGATGCAAGCTGGAAGCGATGGGATTTGGGCGATAGGGAGGACAGCAGGGTCAGCAGTCGTATCGACACAAACATACCTCCGCTCATAGCTTGGAGCTCCATTGGGACCAGGCTCGGGCAGACGAGACCAGGGCAATCGACAATGCGCACTTCGCGGCGCTCGCCCCAGAGCATAGTCTGCCAGTGCTTGGTCTTGCCCGGAGTTCTTGATGCGCGGACTCGTGTCTCGCCCAGAAGCGCGTTGAGAAGAGACGACTTGCCCACGTTAGGCTGGCCGATGAGGCCGAATGTGAGAGGGTGCGCATCGGGGTCGTGCTCAGGTGATCCAGCGTGCGGTTGCTCGTACTTGACTCCATCGCTGTGCCCCTCATCGTCCTCGATGCAAGCAGAGGCAGATTCCAGCTCGTCCCAATGCACACTTTCGCGCACTGGTGGCTTCCACGAAGCCGCTGCTTGCGGATCCGCGGCGATCCATGAGGGAGGAGACAACAGCCGGGCATGAGCGATCTGCAGCGCGTCGAGAAGGGCGGCGCGAGCGGTGTCTGGGATGTAGGGGCGATGGCGGGCTTTGCCTTGCCCGTGCAGCAGGGCGGTGTCGTACGAGGACACGGACACGACCTGAGGCTCGAGTTCGCCGTCGCCTTGAGGAGGTCCCGACATCCACCACTGCTTGAGCCAAATACGCCACGCATCAAGAGCCGCAGGATCGACGAGGTCAATCTTGGTAAGGACTAAAATGATCTCACGACGGGGCCGCAGCAGTCGCAGGTAGGTCCGCAAAGATGGTGGGCAGTGAACGGCTGGGCAACGGGCATCGACCAGGAGAAGGATAATGGAGGAGACTTCCACCACACGCCACCTAGGGTCAGGACACCCATCAGTGGCACTCACAGCTGGCGCCAGACTTCAAGGTTCGTTTCGAACGAGCTTGGACTGCGCAGAGGTAGGAAATCCTCTGACGCGTCGAGCCCGTCGTTATCAACCCAAGCTTCGACAGTTTCACGCGCATTTTCGAGCCATGATTGGAAGACTGCTTCTTCATTCTGTTCAACCTCTCGCTTCGTTTGGCCGGGAGTGAACGCGGGGCGGCTGGGGATGGACAACCCTGCGGCTGCTGGGTTATCAACCAGCTCGAGCGGAAAAGAGGCGACCGAGTCTGGAATTGGCCTGGGGATCTCATCATTCCATGCCGCGTCGCGTGTGCGGACGACATAGTCGCGAGGTACGGCAATGAAACGGCTGAATAGCTCGACGCCGTCGTGGGCCTCGGAGCGCGCGCGATGGGAACGGTCCAGGCGAATTCGCCCATTGCTACCATGGTCGAGAGTCTCGACTTGTTCCCCGCGCTTTATAGCGCGCTTTGTCTGAAGCTGAAGCTTCTTCTGCTTGTGGGAGAACGCCACATGACGAGGGCGGGCAGGGGAGGGCATGATGGAGTGGAGCTTGTGATGTGTCGCCACGGGCGTCGGTGTTCGGGGCAGGGGTATTAGGAGTGAGAGAAGTATAAGGGAGTAGCTGAGACGATGTTCTGGCCACTGTCAACCTGTTAGAAAGTGCTGAGTTAGGGCCAAGAGAGGAGAATGGGACGAGGTCGATGAGATGGATCACATGAGTTGATATGGACTCTAGCGACCTCCTACTCGCGGAGTTGATAGTGATGTCACAACTGACTTCGGATCCGAGGTGTTATGTCGATCACTTCAACCACGTGGCAGAACATCGGATCCGAAGTGGCGTGAATCACCGGGTCCGTGCCAGCCTGCGATGCAATAATCGGCCAAGTTAGACATCAACAAGAATAGCGTCAAGATAAATCAGGCGCCGGCATGCTTATAGGTTCAAGAGTCTCACAGCAGCCTTGCGTGTCAGGCCCTTGACAAGGTTGCTTCTGGGAATGTTGGTGCAGTAGTGCTACAGCAGGTGTGCAGTCAGCTACAGCTTGAGACCTCCCATCGCCCACTTGTCGGTGGTGCGCTGAACGGTGGCCGAAGATCTGCTCACGCCTCCAGACGCCTCTGACCCGAAGCTACACAACCTCATACAGCGGCTTTCAATCTTACACGACGTGCGCACGTCCCCACCCGCAGTCAAGCAAGCCGACGCACCTCCCAGTGCGGGATAAACCATCTTTCGGCACGGGTATACCCGTCACACCCCGCTCTCGACATATAATCACCCTCCGCAAGCTGATAGTAGCTCGGCATCGGTTCACAAACGCCTCGGTACATCATGCGCGTCGACCCATCGTCATCACTGGTCGTTGGCTCAGAACCTATCCCTCTCGAGCAGCTTGTCGCGGTCTCCCAGTCAGCGACGGCCGGGACCGTCATCAGCACCATCCCCGTCGTGCAGCCGTCCGAGTTGAAGCCTGGTGAGGCTTTGGTGAAGCTTCTCTACTCTGGCGTTTGTGGGAGTAGCTATCACCAAGCCTCTGATCATTGGGAAGAGGGCAAGGGACGCGTCCCCCGCCCGCTCATTGCTGGTGATGAGGGAGTAGGCACGATCATTGCGATCAACGATGTGACCTCGCGCTTCCAGGTGGGCGATACGGGTGAGTCCTAAAGCGTGACACCTTCTAATCGTAGTGGGAATCAAGTTCGTTGCAGCGACGTGCAACCAGTGCGCCCTTTGCCTGGCTGGCTTGGAGATGGTCTGCCCACAAGCCAAATATACCGGAAGAAGCGTCAATGGCACATTCCAGCAGTAGTACGTGCCTCCATGTCAATCAAAGTCATCCTTCTAACCACCAGCTCTCTCGCATGGACATCCCAGCTGACACCGATTCCACCACAGATGAACTTGGCTCATGCAGCCCCCATCCTGTGCGCTGGGGTTACTGTCTGGCGAGCTCTGAAAGACTCGACGGCCAAAGCTGGTGACTGGGTGGCAGTGGCGGGCGCGGGCGGAGGCTTGGGAAGCCTGGCGGTTCAGTACGCAAAGTACCTCAGCATGAGGGTCATCGCCATTGACAGCGTGGCCAAGTCTTCGTTCTGTTTGGACGAGCTTGACGCTGACGCTTTCGTCGACTATGCTGTTTCCGACTGGGTGGCACAGATAAAGCAGATCGCGGACGGTGTAGGCGTGCAGGCGACTATCTTGTGCTCCAATGAGCCCACTTCGTATCTCTCCGCAACCGAGTATCTTCGCCCTACCGGCAGCGCGATGATAGTCGGCCTCCCGCCGACGGGCTCGCACGTCCCCGTCGACTGTCGCAACGCCGTGCTCGGCATGCATACGGTCCGTGGGTGCTTTGTGGGAACTCGCAGCGATGTCATCGACGCCTTGGATGTTGTTGCTCGTGGCTGTGTCGTCCCCAAAGTCACAGTTAGGCCCTTCTCCGCCATCCAGGAGACGTACGACCGCATGACAGACGGCTCGCTGTGCGGGCGCGTTGTGGTAGACCGTGAGTGCTCGTTTACCTTGCCAAGCTGTGCTGATCACAAGTATGGAAGTGATCGGAGTCGCTCTGGCCTGGCTCGTGAGCTTCTTGGTGGGATGTCATATCTTACATAGCTGTAAGATGCACACACAGCAAAACATCAATATGGCGAGCTAGTGCTGCGGACGGAGAGGTCGAAGGGCGACAGTTAGGCACGAGGTTGTATTCTATGCATTAATGCACCGAGGGTCATTTTACAAAAGCATAAACACGGAAGGCTAGTAAGCGGTGCAGAAAACCTGGAAGATATAGAAAGTGCGGAACGGTGGCACGGCGGATTGGGCGATGTTGATCGTACGCCACAGGCCGCAGTTACTGAGCCGCTTGGGTGTTGCGCCTCGGAGATCCTTAGAGTAGACTGGGCCGAATTGGACAGGTGACGGTATGTATGTCTGGGCCCGCCGTCCTCGCTTGGGGCTACCGCCCCACTTCATAAACACATCCGGAGAGATGCTCCCAAGACAACACCTCAACTGACTCATCCCCCTAGGTCTGCGACATGAACGACTTGGAACGAACGAGCGACGACGAGTGTCCTCCCTATCGCGAGGCGGAGACGCCGACGCCCGAGACACCGCCGACGCCCGACATTGTGGACCATGAGGCGCTCGGTATCGGTAAGCAACCTGATGACCTCGCTAACCCAGACTTCGCCGAGGTGGACGTCTCGGGCCCAGATGGCGAGACGCGTGCGCGCGTCGCGCAAGACGGGACCATCGACATGTGGTTGACGGTCGACGCGGACAAGCCGCTGCCTCCAGTGCCGTCGTACCCGCCCCCTCCTCGGCGCCAGATAACGCCGCCTTCCAATGACACAGAATGCCCCCCGCTCAACATTGTCATCTTCGTCGTCGGGTCGCGAGGTGAGATGCGCCACGGCAGCGCTGACACCAGGCGATGTGCAGCCGTATCTGGCGCTCGCGATCAAGCTCATCCAGGAGAGCGGGCATCGGGTGCGCATCGCGACGCACAGCGCCTTCAAGGATCTAGTCTTGGGCGGTAATGAGCACCTACGCGAGACGAAGTGCGGAGACCTGTCTGGCAAGCTTGAGTTCTTTGACGTCGGCGGCGACCCCAAGGAGCTTATGGCGTTCATGGTGAAGAGTGAGCTGCAGTGCCGGCGCCACTGACGGATCGCAGATCCCGGTCTCATGCCCGGCTTCGAGTCTCTGACCAACGGTGATATCACTTCCAAGCGCCGTATGGTCGGCGTCATGCTTGACGGGTTCGGACGCTCGTGCTCGGAGCCAGACCAGCAGAATGGGGCGCCCTTCGCCGCCGACGTGATCATCAGCAACCCACCTTCGTTCGCCCACGTCCATGTCGCAGAGGCACTAGGCCTCCCGCTGATTGTTTCGTTCAGTATGTCTCTCCTCAACTCATCTGACATTAGCCATGCCATGGTCGCCGACATCGCGCTTCTCCCACCCGCTCGTGAACGTGCAGCGCTCAAACGCGGGCGAAAGCGTCACCAACTATCTCAGTTACGCCCTGGCTGATACTCTGTGAGCCGCTGCTGTTCAGCGCTAATCTCAGGATGTGGCAAGGGCTGGGCGACATCGTCAACCGCTTCCGCGCCAAGTTGGGCATCAGTCCGCTGTCGGCGCTCACAGGCCCCATGTCGATTGAGCGCCTCCGCGTGCCGGTCATCTATGGCTGGAGCCCCAGCCTGTTGCCAAAGCCAGAGGAGTGGCGCGAGAACATTGGTGCGTCGTCAAAGACGAGAATTAACAACAGACGTCGTGGGGTTCCTCACCATGCCTACGACGATATCGTACACGCCGGACAAGGCGCTGTGCGCGTTCCTAGCGGCAGGCCTGCCGCCAATCTACATCGGTTTCGGGAGCATCGTCGTCAAGGACCCAGATGCACTAACGCACACAATCCTCGAGGCGGTGAAGAGGAGCGGTGTGCGCGCACTCCTGAGCGCAGGATGGAGCGATCTTGGCGGCCTCGACATCCCTGACTCGGTGTTCGTCATCAAGGGTGACATCCCGCACGACTGGCTGTTTGCCGATGGCCGCGTATCCGCCGTTTGTCACCACGGCGGCGCCGGGACGACAGCGGCCGGTCTCCGTGCAGGTTTGCCAACGATCATCGTGCCATTCTTTGGAGATCAGATGTTTTGGGGGAACGCTGTCGCTGCGGCGGGTGCTGGCCCCACGCCGATCCCACACAAGAAGCTTAGTGTCGACACATTGACAAATGCAATCGAGTTCGCGCTGTCCAAGTCAGCGCGGGCTGCGGCAGCCTCGATTGGCGAGGCCATTCGAGCGGAAGACGGAACGCAAGCGGCCACTGCGAGCGTTCACCGCCTCCTCCCCCTCAAGGCAATGCGGTGTGACGTTGATCCCTCCTGCTCGGCTCAGTGGTGGTGCAAGAAGCATTGGATGCGGCTCTCAAACGCCGCTGCTGGTGTCTTGATCAGCAAGAAGATTCTCAAGTGGGAGGAGCTGCGGCCGCTGCGTGTGGCTGAGTACGAGACTGGACGCGTTTTTACAGAGCCTCTAACAGCCACGTCTGAGTCGCTTCTCTCCGTGATGGGGACAGGGGTGGTCGGCTCGGCTCAGCTGCTGAGCAAGCGACCGGTGAGTAGCCAGCCGAGAGAGCTAACGCCAGGACAAGGGGCTTACGAAGCTGACATGGGGCATGGTCAAAGGAGGTGGGTGGTGATGGTGCTCAATCTGACGGCAGGTGGCGAGGTGACCAACGCCATGTACCAGGGATTCGACAACCTCCCTGGGATGATGGGAACGCGCGTGCGGCCTCGTGCGCATGTCACTGGATTTGGGCAGGGGCTTTGGGAGGGGAGCAAGGGTTTGGTGCACGGACTGATGGACGGTGTGACAGGTCTGGTCACCGAGCCCATGGACGGTTATCAACGCGACGCAAGTGACCTCAACGTTTGGGAGCTGACAACAGGGAGCTGGTGGGGCGGTCGCAGGCTTTGGGCGTGGTTTGGGCAATCTCTACTTCCGACCGATGGCCGCGATGCTGGGCTTTGTCGTTCTCCCGACCCAAGGAGCATATCGCAGCATTCGGGCGGCCATGAAGAAAGGCGGGCCACTCATGCCCGCTCGGCGCGCGGAGAGTGACAGCGCTGCAGCCGCGCTGCCGGACGATGAGGCCGGCCGACTCGTTGTTCGCTTCCGTGATGCGACCTCGTCGGAACGAACCAAGGTCCGTCGACATGCCGAGCGGATGCGGCAGAAGGAGCTCGCCGTGGCGAACACCCAGGAAGATCTCACACCTGAGGAGACGCAAGAGGTGGCTGGGCGTAATTGGTGGAAGCAAGCTATACCACCGCCTAGGCTAGAGCGACACTCTCGTACGCCCAGCGTGTCAGCCGAAGTCGGGGATCGGTCCCCAACACCCTCGCCTACAGAGAAGCGCGAGTTCAAGCGTGACAGCCTTTGCGTGGACTTGAAGGCTCTAGACTTGCGGTCTGTGAGCCCAGTACCACCACCTTTACCGCCACGGAAGAAGGCGTAGGACCCACCGCAGACCAAGGCGCCACGGAGACGGTTGGGCCAAAGGCATTACATATTGTTCGACGTACGCAGCTGCGCGATGGCGGATTCGAGAACCATTGTACAAGGTGAAGGTGAGATGGGTAGTCGAGAGAAGCGAGTCGTAGCGTGTTGGCGACGAAGTGAGCGAGGGTCAATGTCGTAGGCGCAAGCGTATTATAATAGGGGATGAGGCCGCCAACGCGAGGAAGGTCCATTAAGGACGGAGAGATGGCTAACGGTGGCAGGTAAGACCGTTCCCAGAACGCCCAATGCAGGCATCTGCAGTCAGCGGAGTCGTCTGAGAGAGACCATGGAGGATGAACAGAACGTACCGACCGCAAAGTCAACCAGCCGGTTGTTGCAGATGCACTGCATGCGAGGCCATTCATGCATCTCGCACTGGCCGCAAGCAGAGTCGAAGTGGGAGAGACCAACGCCATTACCACAGACAACGCCGATGTTTGGGTCAAATGAAAGACAGGTGGCGAGGCCAATATCGGCACGGACGGCAACACCAAGAGCGATTTCCAGGCGGCAGGCGAGAGCTAGCGCCCCGTTGGGAACACGAAGCTCTAGGGAGCAGTCACCACCCAGATCAAGAAGTCTATGCAATGTCAGCTGGCTAGCTAGACGACAAACATGTTGAGCGTCAAACTTTGGAAACGCACGGCTGTGACTGGCAGGGGATTGAACTGGGGCAAGGGCTTTTAGGTTGGTCGGCTGTCGGACGGCGATGAGGGTGAAGGAGTGGGAGTCCGAGTTGGAGTGCCTCAGCATTTGAGCGAGGCAGCAGTGGGAGTGGGTTGTGAGCAGCGTGCGCAGCGTGAGGCGGAGAAGCACTGCGAGGCCTTGAAGGAGGCGAGTGTGGGTCCGAGTCTGAGCGCGGGTGAACGATTGCCATGTCGACTGAGGGATTGAAAGAAGAGTTGCGACGGGGGTGACGGTGAAGGAAGGTGGGTGAGCGTGGTGCGTTGGAGTTGATGTCTGGAGTTGATGCAGCGATGACTGATGTGTAGATGATGGTGAAGGCGATGAAGAGAGCGACGTGGACGAGACGCATGATGGCGGGGGAGTGAATGTTGATGGGAGAGTAGAGACTGTCCAAGAGTGAGCTAGAGTGAGTGTGTATGAGGCGGGGAGAGAAAGAGAGAAAGAGAGAAAGAGAGAAAGAGAGAAAGAGAGAAAGAGGTGAGAATGGATGAGAGATTGAATGAGTGAAAGAGAGGGGATGCTCAAGGAAGGATGGCGAGAGGAGCACAATGCAATGCGATCGTTCCTCCTCTCGATCCTCTCCTCGATCTCCTCGTGATGCGTGCAACCGGCGGCAATGACGCGTCCGATGCAGCTTATACTCATTGATCAAGGCCTGCTCGCTACCAGCGACTGGCCCGCATGGCCCCGCGAATGAATCGCTAATCAGTGGATCAGTTGATCTAGATCATCCCATGTCTGTGTCCAACATGTGCCGGTGTTATTAGCTCGCAGCTAGCAAACCAGTCTGCATGCATCGCGACTTGGCCTTTCGATCTCCTGGAATTAGCTGCAAGTCCAGCAGTCCAGCGATGCCCAAACTCCCGAAATGCAGGTCATCTGGCCGTCCCGCTAAGCTGCAGGTCCGTGGGCCGCAGGTCCGCAGGTCCGCAAATGGATCGGCAGGTCAAAGCGATCGAGTGCTGCGCAATTTCTGCGCTCCAGTCGGCGCGTCGTTTGGCGCCGAGGTTCCGAGTAGGTAGGTCGTTGTCAGAATCAATCACAAGCTCGTTCACTGGCCAGCTGGTCAGCTGGTCAAAGCGTCCAGCAGAGCTTCATTGGATACATTATCACAGTCAGTCATGTGCCCGCACACGCCAAGATCCACCACCGTCACAGCCAACTCGATCATCTCACTTGCCTCCATTCTCCTTCTTTGCGTCCTTCGAGTCCTTGTCGTCACTGCCGGCCTTGCCCTTGCCCTGCGCCTTCTTGTCCTCCTTTGCTTTCTTGTCGTCTTTCGCCTTATTAACTTTGTCCTTGTTCTTGTCCTTGTCATCGTCGTCGTTGTCACCATCCTCATCCTCATCCTCACTCTTTTCCTCGTCTTTGCCCTCACACACGTCTATCTCGTCGTCGGGCTTGCGCCGCGCAAAGACGTGGAAGTGCCCAAAGCCTGGGATGCTCTGCAGTGGTGCCGGATTGACAAACTGGGCGTCAGCGGGGTTCCCGACGTCCCAGACGTTCCACACTCAACATACCCAGATACACTCCCAGCCCCGTGGGTCCCACAGCCCAGCCACCATCTTGCCGACCTCGTGGCCGCCCTTGACCTCGTGTTCGACGCCCGCCCACTTCTTGAGCTCGGGCCCGCCTGCCTCGACGTCCTTCTTGTACGCGCCCTTGACCGGCGTGATTCCCGTGAAGCCCTGCAGGCCGTGCTCGCAGATCTTCTCGTACTCCTTCTTGTCGTAGTCGACCAGCGCTGGGTGAACGATCGGGATCTGTGGTTAGCATAACTCTGAACGCTTGCACTCACCCGCGACCAGACGCAGTAATGCTTGACGCCGTGCGGGATTGAGTACGGCCAGTCGTTGAAGATGACGGTGTACCGCGAGCGGTCGAGCTCACCGCCCTCCCAGCGCAGGAACGCGTCGTTGTCCGGATGCTCCTCGTCGTCCTTGTCCAGCTTGAGCCTGTCCTGGATCGCATCGAGGTCGACGTACGCCGCCGAGTTGGGCGTCTCATCGTCCGACACCGTGTTCTCGTCCTCGGTCTCCTCGCTCGACTCGTGCTCGTCCTCCTCCTGCGCCTGGCCCTTCTTGCTCGCCTTGCGCGTGTATTGTCTTGCAAGTTTGCGGTTACGCTTTGCCCACGGCAGCCGTGCGTTCGTCATGTACTTGTCTGTACATCAGCGCAATTCTCCCTTGACTTTGGCAGCGTGCTCACCGATGCCTCCATAGTCCTCCTTGATGTCCTTGCTCCAAGCCTTGTAGCGCTTCTCAATTGCCTTGTTGCGGGAGAACCCATCGCTTCCGCTCTTCTTGATGATATCTTTCAGCTCTCCCCAAGTGAAGAGGACTGTCGAGTCGTCCAGCTCGTCCTCAGTGGGGAGGCCTTCCAGGTACTCTGGGGCCGGGAACGCTTCTGGTGCGAGATACTTGTGCTCCTTCGACATGGTACAGTCAGTACTTGCGGATCAAGCTTTGATGTGTTAGAGGAGATGAATTCGCGGCGTGCGCAAAGTCTGCTGCGGATCGATCTTATGGATCCATCGTAGCAGTGATGTCAGCGTTCACCGACTGATGGACCGACGGCGGAAGTGGGGGGGTGATGAGACGGGAGCGGCGTTGACGTCAGCCGAGCCAGCGGACACATGTGGCCTGGACCAACGAGCAACGGCAACGTCCAAAGCAACAGCGCAACAAGACAATCAAACAGGGCAGAGTGGGCAGGATTGGCAGGGCACAGGGGAAAGAACGGAGGGGCGCAGCAGCTGGCGATCACCTCGTGGCTCGTGCCTAGGTTTCAGAAGAGCTTATTCTTGATTGGCTATGATCGTCATGACTTGTGTCGCCGAGTCACGTGATATTTCCTTCCCGACAACCCATGACACGTCATAATGCCACGTGGCCTCGCGGCGGCCGTTACCGATGTCCCGATCTTGAAGGACGGTCAATTCTTGTCCTTGGCCCCTGTATCACACGAGCATGATCAGCCGGCTCTCAATGTAACGTTAATAAGACGACGCAGTCCTCTTGCACCCGGGTCCCGAAGTGAGCGCACGAGGGGTCTCGGCCATGAGGCAAGCGACACATGTGAACGCCGAGGGCGACCCAGCGCTAACCGAGATCGGCTGCTTCGCTGTGTGGACGCATGAACATATTATACTCTCGTTCCGGCGGCTCATACCTGGCGGGCACTGGAGCATTACCATCTTCACCCTGGTGACTCATATTAATAGTCTCATTCAAGCTACGACGGCGGCCGAGCATTCAAGGAGTTTGTCAGCACGATAGACAAGTCCCCAATTCGGGACTCGGCATTCAACATGGTTATCAGCTGACTTGTACTCCCTACCCGCCTAGCCGGATGCTTCCCAATGCGGCGCCAACGCTGCGCACTTAAAAGTGCCACGCATGGCATGTCTTGAGACTCCCAAAGCACCATGGAGGCGCTCAAGACCTTCACCGCCCAGCTCACGCCCGCGACTGTGTCGGCGCAGTCCAACATTCTCGCCGGGGCGACCGCGCTCGGCGTCCTTGCCCACCTGTACTGGCAGCGCTTCGAGCCCGACCCCATTAGCTATGGCCAGTTCGCGCTCGCGCTCGGCGGAGGCCTGGTCTACTTTTTCTACCACTTCCTTGGCTCCCTGCCTACCGCAATCCTCTACACCGCCGAGGTGTTCACCGTCTTCAACACTGTCGTGCTCCTGTCCATGGTCATCTATCGCCTCTCGCCATGGCACCCGCTAGCCAAGTACCCCGGCCCGGCTGCGGCCAAGGTCTCCAAGATCTACTGGTGGTATCAGGCCAAGATCGGCCAGACGGGCTACACCCAGGCCAAGCTGCACGACCAGTACGGCGACTTTGTGCGCATCGGTCCCAACTGGATCTCGGTGCGCTCTGCCGATGCCATCCCCATCATCTACGGTGGCTCTAAGCTCGGTGCTGGCCACGGGCGCGCGCCATGGATGAAGAATGACTGGTGGGCTGCCCAGCTGTCGCCGCTGACGACAGGTATGAGGGTGCGATCCGTGGTGCGACGCGCATTAGTGTGCACCAGGAAGTAGACGTAGACAAGCACCACATCCGCCGCAAGCTGTGGGACCACGGGTTTACTGGCAAGGCGCTGGCCGACTACAAGCCCGAGATCCTTGACTTCTGCGACAAACTCGTGCGCAACGTCAATATGGTTGTGGCGCGTGGCAACGCCACGGGCAAGCCCCAGGCCATCGACATGGGCCTCCAGTCCAGCTACTTCAGCTTCGATGTCATGGGCGTGCTCGGCTTCGGCGAGCCGTTCGGCATGCTTGATGCCGGGGTCAAGCATCTCTTCGTCGACACCCTCGAGAAAGCGATGCGCACGCTCATTCCCTTCCACGAGATCAGCTGGATCCGGATCCTGCTTCGCAAGCTGCTTCCCCTCCCAGAGCGCCTGAAGGTCTTCGAGAAGCAAAACGAGGAGCGCTTTGAGCGGCGCGAGAAACTCGGATCGGCGCGCCGCGACCTCTTCACATACCTCCTCGGCGAGGAGAAGGACGGCGCCGAGACCTTCAAGCTCACGCGACTGGAGCTGATTGCCGATGCTGGCACAATCGTCGTCGCAGGATCAGACACGACCTCCTCCCTCCTCACCTGGTTCTGGTATTACAGCACCAAGCACCCGGAGACGTACAAGACGCTGCGCGACGAACTCGCGGGCCTGAATGCTGACCAGCTGATCGACACTACTCTTCTCTCCAAGCTCCCGTACCTCAACGCGGCGCTCAACGAGACGATGCGCATGCAGCCCGCCGTCCCCGGCGGCCTGCGCCGCCTCGTGCCCATGGGTGGCGTCGAGATCGAGGGCCACTACCTCCCCGAGGGCACGGTACTTAGTGTGCCCGGCTACGCGATCCAACACGACCCCCGCTTCTGGGGCAAGGACTGCAACGAGTACCGTCCCGAGCGCTGGCTCGACACCTCCGGCAAGTACAACAAGAACGCGTATCTGCCTTTCAGCTACGGCTCGCGCGGGTGTCCCGGCAAGGGCCTTGCGATGGTCGAGGCCCGCCTCGCTGTTGCCCAGCTTGCAACCCGCTTCGAGTTTGCGTTCCCGCCCGGCTTCAGCCAGCGCGAATTTGAGGAAGGCGTCCGTGACCACTTTACAATCCAGAACATGCCGCTTCCCCTCGTCCCGATTCCGTCCCCAGTGGCGAAGGCGGCGTAATTGTGGGCAGCGACAAGGGGTCAAAGCAGTTGTGATAAGGGCCGATTTGGCCCACTGATGAGGGTGTGCATGCTGCTTAAGGAGTCTGTAGCGCGAGAGGACCCACAAGCGGGAAGTCGTAGGTGGATAGTTCAGAAGTATTGTCATTTATGTGAATTGGCCGCGACCTGACAACCCAGGGCGCTGCGTGGTGCTCTCGGCTGTGGATGACTTTCCACAGAAGGAAAATGGGTTGAGCGGCGGTGAACGGGTGTGCTCCGACGGAGGGTGACAGGCTGTGCTGCAATTGTCGTTAGTAGGTCATAGAGAGAAAAGAAGGGATGCGGCGAGATGAACCAGTTGGCGCCGTGCTTATCGTTTTATTTTGCACCCTCCGCTGCAATCAGCCCATCGAGTCATCACCTCGCGGAATTCTGTTGAGTGTTGGCCCAGACAATGTCGACCTGTTAGGCCGTAAAGAGTGCGAGTCTATAGCATGTGAGAGCAGCCGGGTGAGCACCATTGCCGAGACGCGTAATGTCATCGGCGAGCCGCTGCATCGAGCATGTCGCGCGACTGCAGAAGTGTCGCCTGCTTCAGACACAACTCGAGGCCATGGGGCACACGATATAGGCGTCAAGCATCTCTGACAATCCGACGAAATTCGACATGAAGAAGGCAATCTGTGGCTATGTTCCCCCTCAGACATTCTACTCAGGAGGCGAGGCAAAGTCAACCTCAAGATATATGAACAGGGAATGCAAGAACGCAAGGGAGGTGTAACCGGGGCATGAAGATCGCCTTGTCTTATCATCAACTTCTGATGTTCTTAGGCGAAACCGGCGTCGGTGCAGCGACCGACCGCGTCTGTGCATCTGAACCTAACATCCGATCCTGCCAACTCGCCGATACGCGAACGCCGCGGCCCGGGCCGCCATCCAACAGCATTGGGTTGCCCGTGGGGTGGCGGGGTGGGCAATGTTACAGTACATGACTGAACCCGGGTCAAACGGGTTCACATCGAGTGCACTCAGGCGGCAACGGCTTAACGCCATGCCCGCAAATAGGTCTACGTATCTAATGACAAAGCTCAGACATGATACCTGGACGCACGCCGAGGCCCATCGACGCGTCGATGACTGAGCCGTGCAAGACTGTCGAAGCCGATCCCGCGAGAAAGTGAACTGTGGCGGCGATTTCAGCCGGCTCGATGAGCCGTCCTTTGGGGAGGGTTTTGAGAAATGTCGCGCGCTCCTCCAGAGACATGGGGTCCAGGGTTGATGCTTGGAACATTGACGTATTCGTCGCCCCAGGACAAACAGCGAAGACGTCGAGCCGCTCATGCGTAGTCTCGGCAGCCAGTTGGCGAGTGAGGAAGGCAACAGCCGCTTTGCTCATGCCATCGCTGAGCCGGAATCCGGGGAAGATTGTGATGCCGCCGCCAACGCTACTTATGTTGATGATCTTGCGTGTGCCTTGGGCTGGAAGTGCGCGGAACATCTGACAGAACTTGAGGACGCCATCGGCATTGATGAGTAGCATCATCGTGTCCTCCTCATCCGGGGTCTTCGACCATGCGGCAACAGTTGCGGAGCCGACAGCGGCATTGTTGACGAGAATGTCGATGTGCTTATGCGTGACCACGGCCTCGTTGAGGCAGTCACGAATCGAGGCGGCGCTGCGCAAATCCAAGGGGTGGAACGAAAGCGTTGGCGAGCTCCCAAACGACTCCCGTAGCTTGACTGGGTCTTCGACATTGGGTACGTACGTAGTGGCAACGACAGCTCCAGCTGCCAAAAACCGCTCGACCACGGCACGCCCGATCCCGCCTGACCCTCCAGTCACAAGAGCAATCTTGTTTGTAAGGTCGAGAGGATTTGCGAGAGATGCCTCCATAGCGCGCAGAAGTGATCGGCAATCGGAGAATACGGGAAAGGTGCATGTCCACAGTTCAGCTCTCGAGTCTTGACTTGCCAACTGTCATGCCTAACATCCTTCAGACTGGGTGGTGGATTGCGCGGGACCCCACCTCGAATTGTGCTCGAAACGAGGCTGCAGGCACAGAGGATACGAGGAATCGTCGGGTGATGTGCGACTACCCGCGGGGTTGCCGTCTCACAGATACGTTGCAAGTGCCCACCTTGGGAACTGTCTCAGGGCATACCTAGAAGACTGCCGATCGGCAGAGCGCGCTTCCTCCTGCTTGCACAGCAGGCAACTCGGCGAGCCTGCGGCAACGCCACGGCCGTCCCACGGACATCCGACCTGATCGGATATTGGGGACGAGAGTGGGGGAGGACGGGGCAGACGTCGGCGACAACTTGAGAGTGACTACGGTTCCGTGGTCAGGTCCGACGATATCAGGTTCCGGCCCCGGCAGTTAACTGGCCAGCTCGTCCATACATAAGGCAACGGGGTGGCAGGAAGTGGCGCAGCAACCCCTGTCCATCATGCCGAAGCGCCACCAGGATATCGAGGATATTGACGAGAAACCGACCGTGACCCCTCCAGATGCTGAGCATATGTCCAAGGAGGAGACGGTGACGGCCGTTCTCGAAGTCAACAGTTATGGGCACGAGAGCCGCCGCGGCAGTCGCCGCTTCAGCCGTCGCCTCAGCGAGCCTCACTTCAACAGCGACATCGAGCGCGTCGACTACATTTCGAAGGTCACGGAGGATGGCGAGGCCAAATTCCACAAGCTTACGTGGCAGCAGCTGGTGGTTGTCCTAATCGTCTGTGCTGTTGCGCTAGGCACGCTGTCCATGCCGCTGTGAGTTCTGCCACCGAACCTCCCACCTTGCTGACTTGCAGTGTTTTCATGATGCTCGGTATGATTGGAGGAACAATTCTGACCGTCGGTATGGGCGTGAGTCGGTGGACACTGGACTTGACTTACCTCAGTTGATCGCGATTTACACGAGTTTCTTGCTGGGAACAGTCAAGCTCAAGTATCCCCAAGTCAGGCATTACAGCGACGTTGGCAGGCTGCTGCTCCCCGGTCGCGCAGGACACATCCTTACCAAGGTTCTGCAGTTTATTTTCGTGTTCTTTGTCATGCTAGGAGTGGCCGCCCACTTCCTCACCGGTGAGTTGAACAAAGTATCACAACCGCGGTTAGCTAACTCTGCAGGCAAGCAGGCGTTTTCAACCATTGTTGGCGACAAGTCTATTTGCCAGTTGGCATGGAGCGCTGTCACGCTTGTGCTTCTGTTTATCTGCTCACTCCCGCCGTCATTCTCGGAGATGGCCGTCCTCGGCTACGTCGACTTCGTGTCCATCATGGGTGCCGTTCTCATCACCCTAATCGCCACCGGCATCGACGCCCGCAAGAAGGGCTGGGACACTGGGTGGAGCGCGTACCCGATGCCCGGGCTCACATTTGGTCTGGCCATGATTGCCGCCTCTAACGTGCTCTTCGCATACGCATTCAGCATCGCCCAGTTTACGTGAGTGTGGTCCGCTGAGGTGAGAATCACCCTGACATTGCAGTTTCATGGAAGAGATGGCCGAGCCATCCGACTTCCCCAAGTCAATCGCTATCCTCGGCGCTGTCATGATCCTCATTTACACGCTGACCGGGGCCCTGGGTTACGCGTTCATCGGGCCCGGAGTCAAGGGCCCAGCACTGCTCTCGGCGGGCCCAACGATTTCGCGGGTCGCCTTTGGTGTTGCTCTCCCAGTCATCTTTATCTCGGGCGCCATTCTCGTGACCACCATCGGCCGCTTCATTATGGACCACATGTTCAGGAACAGCATCGTCCGCTACGTCAACACGGCCCGCGGCTGGATGACCTGGATCGGTATCGTTTTCACTACGATCCTCGTTTCGTGGATCGTTGCTGAGGCAATTCCGGTTTTTAGCTCTCTCCTCTCCATTACGGCCTCGTTGTTCAACTCCGGATTCACCCTGTACCTCCCCGCGATCATGTGGTTTACCCTGCTCCGGGAGGGCGGGTGCTTCTCAAGCGGCAAGAACATCGCGCTCACGATCCTCAATGCGTTCATTATTATCTGCGGCCTAATCATCTTCGGCGTCGGCACCTGGGCATCGGTGGACGACATTGTCAGCACGTATCGAAAGACTGGCATTGGCAGGCCCTTCTCTTGCAAGTAGCAACAGTAGATGACGTGGAAATGGGGATTGTGGAGTGGGTGCGATACGAGTGTAGGGTGTACAAGGTCGATTGTTGTTGAAAGCGTATGTCAAATAAAATGGAATATCTGATGCTATTGCTGGGTGAAGTTGTCGACGGGCGCGGGGGCGGATGCCGTGTGATCAGTATCCAGGTTTAGGTTTCAGCGAGACCTATTTCCCGAAGGCTCAAAGAATCGACGAGATTGGAGAGAGAAGCGCCCGCCATGCGTGAAGAACCCGAGTCTCGGGAAGCCTTACGCCCGCCACTCTCTCACAGCCTCCGCCCCACCTGCGTTCAATCGTCGCCACATTCGCTTGCGGCGCTCGTGCCCACTCATGAATGCGTCCAGCCATTCCTGCTTGAAAGGAGGCAGCTTCCTGCCGACGCCTGGAGCGCCGTCACCTGCAAGTTCTCGGATGGTCTCAAAATATTCTCCGAAGTTAGGATGAAGGGCCAGGAAGCTTGGTCCGTCTCCGAGTTTAGCGATGCGGTCCTTTTCCCACGCCTCCTGCTCCGCGACTGGGGGAAGGGTTGTGCGCCCTGCCAAAAGACGCGCCGCGAGCACGGCGTGCCATTCGAATACCTTGAAAGTCAAACCTGCGCCGACGGCGCCAATGAACAGCAGCGTCGGGTCATGGCGCCATACGACGTGCTGGTATAGGTCGGGCACGCGATTGTTGCGCACGGGCACTTGGGGAAGAAATGGCAGCGACCAGCTGTATCCAGTGCCAAAGATGATGTGGTCGACGTCCGGGATCGTGCTCCCATCGATGAGATGGACTGTGCGGCCGGTAATGCGGTCAATGGAAGGATGGGCGGCAATGAGGGGATGCCTGAACGCCTCATCACCAAAATAGGTGTTGAAACGCCGTCCAATGATGATGGCGTGCACTGGACTCTCGGCAGTGTCAACGAGATCAATCGTGATATCTGCTGCCGACACAGATGCGCCGACTGTCACGACTCGCTAAGGTCAGTAAAACTCTTCATGTAGACCCACCTTGCCCGCGTAAGCATCGCGCCCACGGTAGTGCTTGCTGTGGATGACACTGCCTGGTCTGCCCCTCTCGAACTCCTCGACTCCAGGAATAGCCGGAATGTATGGGACCCAATAGTGTCCGCTGGCAACGACGACGGCATCGAACCACTCCGTCCACCACTCGTCCTCGTGTGCCCCCGAGCGGCGGAGGGTGAGGCGCCATTCCGCACCGACTTTCTCGGCTCGCTCCACGGAAGTATTGTATTCAACGAGCTCCGCGTACCCGTTGCGGTTGAACAATGACTCCACGTATTCCCGCACCACCTTCCAGTGGCGGAATGGCGTGTCAAACCCATGCGCGCGCACGCTGGCATCGCTGACTTCTGTGGGGAATGGTTCCTGCGTGAACTCCATGGGGAGGGCGTCGACATTCGTGTGCAGGTACGGGTACACCGAGCTCTCGTCGTAGCGCGGCGTAGTGAGTTTGGGTGCTGTCGCCGGCAGGGTTTCGGGGATGGGCACGGGCGGGTCGGCGGTGCGGGAGGCCAGTAACTCAAACTCAGTGACGGGAGGAGGCGGGGCGCTGTCCCCAATCCTGATGTCAACGCGGCTTAGCAAGTCACCCACCAGCACCCGCCGGGGCCCTCGCGCCGCTCAAAGACTCGGATTACTTCGAAGCACTTCTCCTGGGCGAGAGCATCGACAGCAATGCCGCCTGCGGGGCCAGCGCCGATGACAGCGACACGCTTGGCGACGGGAGGTCTTGTCATGATGTACTGGAAGCGTTGGATGAGAGGAACAAGCAAAGTCGGAATGAAGGGCTCATCCCCAAGAGGAGACAGTCATGGCCACCATATCGGGAGGGGGTCGGGTGGATAAAGGACGACATCGGAACCGGAAGATTAGGTCGCCAGAAGTCACCGGCCGGATCACCTCTTGGTCATTTCGTTTTGAACTCTCTGACGCTACATGCACGAGCACGCGGCGTGCCTGGGCTGAGCAAGTGACCGGAAATTGCGTGACAGGGCCGCACAAGCACTACATCCATTCCGCGTAACAACAATCAACAGCGCGATGATGTCAGCACTTGTGATCACTCGTGAATAGCCAACAACGCTGAGCATGCAATATTAACAAAGCCCTTCAGCTGCCCCATTAGTCCGACCACCCCAGGGATAGAATGAGTCAAGTGCCAGGTGAAGACGGCGGATATCTTATCGCATGCGAATAGGCACAATCACGGAGGCATAGCGGAGATGCTATTGGTAGACAGCCGCATCTCGAGAGCTGCTGTCTGTGAGTGTTGGGGAGGGTGACGCGCAATAGCGTGCACTCTGTGAGCACCGACTTGCCCATTAACGATCGTTCACCGCTAATGTACATACAGTATATGTCTGTCTATCATGGCTTTAGTTTCCTCCCAACGTGTTTGTGTAACCATTACAATGCTCCACTTTATCTCACGATATTTTTTTCGCCGCGAGCGACTATCACCGTGCCAGCAGCGCACGCTTGACGATTACTTATCCACTGATCAATTGAACACTCCGGGCCGTCTGTTGGAGGATGGAGCAATCTCTATGGGAAAGGCTAACTGCTGCGGGGATGCCATGCGCCCCAAGAACGCTCGCCGTGCCAGGAACAGTGCACATGAGGTGGCGCCAGCTGCTTCAGGCCCCTCAACAGCTGCCTCAGCGAAGGGGAGCGGAAAAGGCACGCCGGCCTTGCAGCGCGGCATTTCATGCACAGCGGTAGTGCTACGCACCAACCCCCCACGTCGGCTCGTCGCTGAATGGACAATGGCGATCGCATGGGTAGTCCACCATGAAATTCACCAGATGACTTTACACGCGTTGCCGAGCCCAAGGCGACGGAAGCGAAATCTAGCTCGAACCGCACCAAGATTGTGTGGGGGCGCAGGGTGGAGTTCCACACTGCGGTGAGCATCATCTCCAGCCCTCCGATCGCGCCGAGCTGGTGGATCGAAAGCCGAATGCGGGGCGGTGACACCATCTCCTCGTGGATCTGGCTCATCCTCACAACTATGTCCGGCTTGATACATGAATCGTGCGCCCTCCGACAGATTACGCGCGGAGACCCAGTACATGTCTTCTGCTGCATCTCGCGATCATAAGTCGGCACTCAAGATCTGTGACAACCCATTAGAGGGCGGCGCCGCCCACGGGAGGAATAGTCAGTTAGCTATAGGCAGGTACCGTTTTCGTTCATATCCTCTGTACTAAGACATTGAACGTCGGCTGCGATCCACGAGTACGTGCTGGTTCATGGCCAGACGCTGCCAGGTGCTGAGTAGCTCCTGGGTGGTGCGAATCGAAACATTGGATAAACCTCGCGCGGGCCCCCTTCTATTCATAGACAGACGCAAGCTCGGTGCCAGGGGACCTGGGCCTGGGCGCGCACTCAACAGACAGCTGTCCGAGACGGAGAGCCAGAAGAGGGTGGACGGCTGTTCCAAAACTTCTAGACGCCAGGCTGTTACCCCGGATTCTCCGCACTATTAGTGCCTTCCGACCCTGCCCGGCCCCGCTCGGCCAAACTCGCCGCTGGAAACTCCGCCTCCACACCGGCTGTACACCGGGAGCTGTGTCATACATAACACGACGACGCCGAGCGGCTCCAGCGACATCCCCCAACATCTGTTTCCACTCTGTTACGCTCTCACCACCGCAGCAGTCGCCGAAGCCATCATGAACCTCCCCACCGCCATCCCCGCTCCTGGGGGTCTATGCCGCTGATTGGCCCTGCCCAGCCAATGCGCCTCCTGTGACTCCCATGGCCCATGCGCCCACGTGACACCCATCTCCTCCCACCCCCACCCACGCACCAACCAAGCATCTGTGCACGAGTGGCGCAATGGTCAGCCACATTGAGAAACGTGCACAAAGCCCCCCCCCTCTCCATCTGTTCCGATGGGCAGTGGGAACAGCGATGCCCTGCACCTTTCCGCGGCCTCCATCGCCCCATCTGACCTTGGTTGTATGGGCCTGCCCACTCTTCATGGCCCATGCCCCATGCTAGCAGCGCTTCCGGCACTGCTCCTATCGCGATGTGTCACCTCTCCCCAACGTACGGGGTACGCTCGGCGTGAGTCACCCTCTCTGCAGATGTGCGCTGCGATTCGTGCATCTCACGCCGTTGGGTCGAGGTACATCAGTACCTCACTCGCTACTCGTACTCGACCGACAAGTCCGACCCGGTGAGCTTGTCTGAGGTATGTGGAGACATCGGCGGGCACAGTGCGGGTGGGCACTGGGTCTACATGCCTCGGTCACTCCTACAAGCGATATCCATGAAGTGGGTATACCACTCGGCAAAAGCAGGGGCTCATTGTCCTGTGCACATGCCTCGTCTGCGCAATCTTGGCGTCGGCCAACAACAGCGGCACGGCAACTTGCTTGCTGATGTCGTTGGCATCTCATCTGGATGGAGGCATGTCCGGCGCCCGTGTGCCTCAGTGTGCCTTCTTGCCCAACTGAACGACCAACGGGACGCGATGCATCAGCTCGCTTGCGAGGCCGCGACTGGCTGACAAAAGTTAGCGCAGACGTGTGATGGTTGGGCACCGGCGGCTTCGGGCCCGCGCCAGTGCGCGCTCAACGACGAGCCAATGCCTGCTGCGCTGCATGACGCCTTTTGCCAACCGCGTGACCTCCATGATGGGGGCGCGCATTAATGGCACTATCCCAACGTAAACGTCAGCCAAGCCGGCGCCGCGCTGCGATGGTCGCCGATTCCGAGTGGCTTGGGAGGGTTCCACAGAGTGGAGTGCGTGGCGGATATCGCCAATCAGCAATCTCTGGCGCGCTTTCCTCCTCGGCGTCCTCCTCGGCAGCTGGTGCGACTCGGCTTCTGCTGATTGCAGAAGTAGCGAGAGGGCCGCTCTGCGACCGCTGCACGCTCAATTCTGCGTTCCGCGCTGGCGTTTTGTGTGCACGCCACCTCCCTATGTGGTGGCCGCTCCCGCTTGGACTATTCTGATCCACCGACCCTTGTCTCTGCTGCCATGCGTTGGCTGGCGCTGATGAAGGCCGAGGTGGCCGGATGTCTACCGCGGCCGGCGTGTTTCTGATTGGGCCACGACCCGGCATTTGCGACACCCGGCAAAATCACAGGGTGCGGGCAGACATGTGAACGCATGAACATGTAACAGGCCGAGGGGTCCAGGCTGGAGGCCTGCCGAGCGGACCCGTGGCACCCACGACATGGACTGAAACGCCAGCAAATGGGCCAGGGGCCGTGCCAAGGTGACCGATTGCTCGCAGGCATACGTACAACAGGTAGTCATGATGGCATGACCGAGACGAAGGCGCACGGCCAGGGAGACTACCATTGTACCTTTGTGGACGTGCAGCTTGGCATCCAGGTGCGCGGCCACTCCGACCTCTTGGCGCCGCTTTAGTGCCCCGCATCCTGAGGAGCACCACAAATTATCTCGCGAGAAGAGTTCCGGTTTTGATTACCGGGCCTTGATGATAGGTAGACCAGCGCGGTGCTGCTGTCGGAGACCAATAGGGCAGTAGTTACGGCGATCTCGGCGCAGTGGTTGTGGGGGTGCGGGGTATAATCGCGAGAGACATGAGGGAGGTTTCAGGAGACGCAAGAAGACGCAACAAGTCAGAATGCAGGAGGTTGTCCATTGCTCCACCAGGCCTGAAGACAACAACGCGGGAGTCGTTACAAATACAAAATTCGCGGCATGGGAGCTGAGGCATGCATGAGAAAGCTGTGAGCGGTATGATGCGGGTTGCGACGGTGGTGAGTCTACGGTGAGTATTTCAGAGTGAGTACGACTCGCACAATGCTACAGTCAAAATGGGATAAGGGTCAATTGCAATTTTTTACAGTTCGGGTTCCACATCCAGGCACCGTGCCGGTTATACACCGCAGCATCTGGCTCTGGCGCCACTCCGAACACACAGCGCTGGCCCAGATCTTGCTGCAGTCATCCAGTCCGGGGATAGGCCTCCGTCATCCGTCAGGCTCTTCCCCGGTACGACAACGTCTTGGCGCCATCACATGGTGCAAGGGTCGACGAGCATGCCGTGTGGGGCATAAGGGGGGGCAGAGAAATGCCTGCAGGAGCGCGTGTGGGGGCGGGGAACAACAAGGAACGAGTGGCTTTGCAAGCCGTTTTGCCAGTTGCTGGTTGGGTCGTTCTTTGTCCCACATCTCACTCGCCGCCACCCGGCCATCCGGGCCACTCTTCGTCCTCCAGCCGCGCTTTGTCAAATTAGCGAGGCACATCGTTGCGATGCGCGGCACAGCGGGGCACAGCGGCAGAGCGCCCAGACAGCAGCGGAGCGCCCCCGCATTGGCCCCGCTGGTCCCCCCCGGGGTTGTTGAATGAGAACCATGGGGCAAGATTGTCTTGCACGCACAAGGCCTCGAGGCGCGAGGCGTGAGGATGGCCGCCGCGCCGCCGGTTGGACGATGAGGTTTGCAGGTCGATCTGGGCGCAGATACCGCGCATGAGACACAATCAGATCGATCATGGATCATGGATTGGTCTGCCTTGTGAATGGAATAAATAGCTAGCCTCGTCACCGTCTCTGGTCCTCATCCCCTCACCACTCTCTTTTACCTTCTCCCCTCTCCCCTCTCCTCTACCTCGACTTCGACGGCTTCAAGACTAGGCAGCCATGACCGCCGACTTCAAGGACGACAAGGTCGTCGCTCAGCACACTGAGCACTACGACCCCACCGCCAAGGATGTCAACAACACGTCGTCGGGCTCGAGCATTGACCTCGAGAGCCTCGACATCGACGAGAAGAGACTCATTCGCAAGATGTAAGTCACCGTCACATACCCCCCATGCCATCAGTCACCCACTGTTGCTTCCACTACCGTGCGTCTTGTGCCCGTGCTGACCTCGGCAGTGACTACCACCTCGTCCCCTGGCTCGCTCTTCTGTACCTCCTTTCGTTCCTCGACCGCTCCAACATTGGTAACGCCAACATCTTCGGCCTCTCTGAGCACCTCAAGCTGAAGAAGACGCCCGACGAGTATGGTCTCTGTCTCGCCATTTTCTTCGTCTTCTACGTCCTGTTCGAGGTCCCCTCGAACATGGTCATGAAGGCATGGCGCCCCTCGATGTGGATCCCCACCATCATGGTCGCTTGGGGTGCAGTTATGATCGGCATGGGTTTCGTCACTGGCTTCACGTCGCTCTTTGTCACTCGTCTCTTCCTCGGCATTACGGAGGCTGGTCTCTTCCCTGGCGTCTCGTTCTACCTCACCCAGTGGTACCGCAAGTACGAGATCTCGTGGCGCATCTCCCTCTTCTTCTCGGCGGCTACTGCGGCTGGCGCTTTCGGCGGTCTTCTGGCTCGTCTGATCAACCTCATGGACGGCGTCGGAGGGTACGAGGGTTGGCGCTGGATTTTCATTCTTGAGGGTATCCTCACCGTTGTCGTCGCCGTCGTCTCCTTCTGGGTCATGTACGACTACCCCGGCACGGCCAAGTTCCTCACCGAGCCCGAGCGCGCATTCGTTGTCAACCGCCTGCACCTCGACAACGACGGCTGCTCGCAGGCCTTCAAGATGAAGTTTGTTTGGGACGCCTTCACCGACTGGAAGGTTTGGTGCGCCGCCATCATGTTCCACGGCTCGCTCTGCCCGGTCTACACCTTCTCGCTCTTTGCTCCTACCCTCACCAAGAACCTCGGCTACACTGCCGCCAGGGCCCAGCTCATGTCCGTGCCTCCGTACGTCGCCGCCGCTTTCGTGACCCTCTCGGCCGGCTGGATCTCGGACCGCATCCAGAAGCGCGGCATCGTCGTTATCTGCTGCTCGACTGTCGGTGCCCTCGGCTACGGTCTCCTCCTTGCCAACGTTAACAACGGCGTCAACTACTTTGCCCTCTTCCTCGCCGCCTCGGGCATGTACCCTCTCATCCCCGTCATCGTTGCGTGGGGCGCCAACAACTGCGGCGGCGCGCTCAAGAAGGGTGTTGCCACTGCTATCATTGTCTCCGTGGGCAACTGCGGCGGCATCGTCTCCTCGTTCATCTACCCCTCGCGCGACGCCCCCGGCTTCAAGAAGGGCCACGCCATCTGCCTCGCATACTGCATCATCTGCATCATCACGGCCGTGATCATGTGGGTGTACTGCGCCGCGGCGAACAAGAAGCGTGCCGCGCGCAACGCTGCCCGCACGCACGAGTGGACCGCCGAGGAGAAGCTCCAGTTCGGGGACCGCGGCGACCACAACGACTGGTTCGTCTACACTTTGTAAATTACACGGCATAAAATGGGCCTCGAGGTCGAGGCGAGTAGTAGTAGTGTTCATAGGATAGGGAGGCGGCATCGGATAGTGTAGTCTCGGCGGTAGACTGTGCATAGATGGCTATAGGTCACAGTTGTTCATGCAGATTTCATTGTAACTCGCGACTGTTTGCGGAAGTAGTATAGCTGATGATGTCTCTCGAGATGATCGGCCAAGGGGCTTTATTACGGACGATCGGCAGATCGGCTGATCTGTGGATCTGCGGACAACGTGCCCCATTGATTGTCAGTGTGCATTCCACCCCGCCCCCTGATCCCCTTGATCGTCTGATCCTCCGTATTCTACACGGTATGCGCCCACTTCTCTCGACTCCCATCGCCGCCATCTAGTCCGCATCTTCCCGCTGTCACTGCCAGCTACTGTCCACCAGATGTTGATAACCGGGAGAAAACGCAGAGTCGCTGCAAGGGCGTGAGTGGGAGAACACACATCCGAATTCTCCAGATCCAGCACAGCAGTGTTCGCCCGGATGGACGCCTATCTTGATCTCATGATCTCGCAAGATCGCAAGGCGATCGAGATGTCGATTCATCGGTAAGGATAAGCGCACCGCATGGCCCCTGTTCTATCTTTGGCAGCGGTTGTGGAAGATGCGAGCTGTGAGCTGTGAGATCTGTGAGTGTGCGAGGTGTGAGGTGTGAGTTGTGAGTTGTGAGGCGTGCGGCCATTCGCATCGGAGTGCGCAGAGGCGAGATGTCGAGTGAAACACGGCCTGGATCTCGTGGCCTGGAATTGTGGAACATGCACATGCTAGAATGCCGGTTCAACCGGTCGGAGGACCGTCATGATGTGATCACTCATGGATCATAGGATCATGGATATAGCGTTGTTGCGGCAGCAACTTCCGTCAATCCGCCCAGACGCCCAGGCGCCTCTACCTCCTCCCGACGCCCGGGGCAGGCATCGCATGCTGGGGTCCATCTTGTCGATCACGAGTCCGCCACCTAATCACGGTCACTCCGTGCGCGAATAGCTGGGTGGAGCAGCCCATCTGGACAACTCGACCTCACCTTTGGGCGGCGCCATGCAGGTTTCCTAAAAGCTGAGAGGCGGCGAGAAGAAGTGTGAGAGGGCAGTCACAGATCTGTCGCCAGACGACCAATTCCGCCCCGTCAAGCTAGTTGACCACGGCTGCTCTCCGCACGAGGAGGGCGAGGGAAACAACGATCAGCGTCAGAGACCTTTCAGGCCTGGTTGTACGATCACGACGGACACATGAGACGCGAGAGGCATCAAGCAATGCAGGAGCCGAACTGAACGTCCCCATATTTGAGGCCGAGCGGCGAAAGGCGCCGGAGACAACTCCTTTCCGCATCTGCGGCGTCTTAACTGATCAACCTCTGCTTGGATTGGCCGCAAATGCTTGAAGCGATAAGATCAAGGCTAATCATGCAAGCCGTCCAGCGTGGATGCAGCTCGCACATGCTGATTCATACATACCCTTCACTCGATCCGCCAGGCAGGTAGACGTCGGCGCGTGCATGCGCCGTGCAGGCTGAGCCGATGTCGGCGGCGGGTGGGCACCGTCACTCGGGTGAAGCAACGAATTAGCCGGTGCGTCATATCGGTTCATCCGTCAATCTCGAAGTGAACGTAGACTTCTCTTAAAGCTCAGTTCACTCTCTCGACTGCACTCGCATCCACTTCCTCTTCCACACTTGCATCCACACCCTCCCCACATCCTCACTCCTCTCTCACCATGGTCAACCTCCAGGGCAAGCGCGCACTCATCACCGGCGGGACACGCGGTGTCGGCGCCCTCGTGGCCAACCTCCTGGCGCAGCGCGGCGTGCGCCTCGCACTCAACTACGCGAGCAACAAAGAGCGCGCAGAGGGCACACTCAAGGAGCTTGCAGGTGACGGGCACGCGATTGTGAAGGGCGACGCGTTCACGCGCGAGGGTATCGCGGAGATTGTCAAGGGCGCGAAGGAGGCGCTCGGAGGCATCGATATCGTCGTGTCCAACGCCGGATGGACTGCCTTCTCTCCCAACTTCAACGACATCAGTGAGTCTTTGTGACTTGTATGGGCCCAAGGGACTCACACCAGACGCCATCTCCGACGCCGACTGGCTGCAGTGCTACAATGCCAACGTCATGTCGCACCTCTGGCTGATGCAGGCCGTGCAGGATGAGCTCAAGGCCAACCACGGCAGCTTTGTCGTTTCGGCGTCTGCCGCTGGCCTCAAGCCATCCGGGTCATCTATGGTGCGTTTCTCGTTTCCCCCCTCCTTTTGTCTTCCACGGAGAGCTTTCTCTGACCCCAGGCTTACTCCGTCTCCAAGGCGGCCACCATCCACCTCACCAAGTCGCTCGCGATGGCATCCGCACCAGAAGTGCGCGTCAATGCTGTCGCCGCTGGCCTTATGCTCACTGAGTGGAGCCAGGGCTTCACCGAGGAGAAGCTCAAGAAGGTGCGCGAGCGCAACGTCCTCAAGAAGATCACCGATGTCGAGGACGTTGCGCTCCAGTACGTCTCGCTTATCGAGAACGGGTCTATGACTGTGAGTAGGGGCGAGTCCGGCGATTGTATGAGGCAGTAAAGCTGACAACCAGGGCCAGGTCATCCAGGTCAACTCCTCCATGTAACTTCTTGTATGCTATCCTTCGGCTCCTTGCAGGCAGGTTTATTACGGGACACTGACGGCATATTGACAAGGTGACTAATGGTGTACACTGCTGAGCGTTAAGGATCCACAGGTGCTCTCTTGAGCTCACTACGCCCACAAGTTGTTGCGGGCGGCCTCCTTGGTCCACGCCTTGCGCGGCACAACCGTTCTCTTGGCTTCTGTGTGAACAGGGCCGCCCACTCAACTTCACCGACTTCAGCGCGGGACACTTCCACGGCCCAAGTTGACCCCGAGCGCTGCGAGACGCTCTCGCGCGCCCTCCGCCGCAAAACGGCTCTCGAGAAGGTCGAAGCCCACGACAGTGATGGCGCCCAGCACAGACAAGGCCTCTCGAGAGCAGCCAAGAAGTTGACGTCAGCTGCGCGTCTCTTCACTGTGGCGCTGAGGCACTGTGCACCGCCAGTGTGAGTATCAGCGTGGTCGTCTTGAGGTCTGGGAGCTGTGCGCCAAGCATCGGAATCTAGGCCTGTAGTCACGAGGTTGAATCCTCTTGGATACCAGCAACAACCCGTTCCTCCGCACAAGACCTGACCTCTGCTGAGCTGGACACTGGCACTTTGAGACGTCGGCGTAGGACATGCCCCAGAGTTTGTGGCTGTATATGACCAACTTCTTCATTGCAGTGCAAGCGATGCGCCGCCATGCTCTATCTCATGTGCCAGCTCTAGCTCGCCTTCTCTTCTCCGCTCGCTCTCGCTCAGCATAGGACGGCGGCCTAGCCTCAGCCTCGCGGGTGAACACAGCCCACTCGACCTCGCCCACTTGTGCGCGGTACGTGGCCGTGTCAACGACCGTGACGCCCAGGTCCTTGATGTTGCCGTTAACGCGGCCCTTCACGAGATCGAAGCCTACGAAGGTGACGGGCACACCTAGCGCCTCCACAACAGCTTTGAGGTCGCCGAGGGTGTCTGTCTCCCGGGCCTTAGTGGGGCTACGCCACGGCCGCGTCGCCGGGGTGAAGATGAATGTGGCGCGCGTCAAACTTGGTATGGGGTACACATCGCGCTCAAAGCCCGCGAGCGGCGCTTCACCGCCGGGCACGGCCAAGTGCACGACGAGATGCTCTACCTCGAGCTCAAGTTGCAATCGCCGGACGGCCTTGGGCAGGTCAAAAGGATTGATGGCGATGCGGTACGCCGACAGGGCGTGCTGCCCAAGATGGCTGAATACAACGAGCGTGCGCATCCGCCACGGCTCGTTCCGAGGGGTACCCGGCGTGTACCCCTGCGAGAAGAAAGCGGTGAAGCAGTCACTCTGATACAGCCCCCAGGGCTGGATCAGCTCGAAGTACGCATACACGCGTAGGGTGTCGAGGGGTGGCAAGAGCGCCGCAACGGCGTCAAATACAGGCCGGCGAACCGTGTTGCGTATGTCGAGAACGCGCGTGCGCGTCACGTTCATTGCCGGCAAGCTGATCTGCATGTCCGGGTCCGAGTCCGACGACGACACGCTGATGTCAGCCGTGATTCCCAGGACGCACTGGTAGGTGAGCTCGTTAAAGAAGTACAGCTTAAGCCCGTTGTGCAGCCGGTTGTCTGAGAAGCGCCGTGGAAAGTCCGTGTAGAGCTCGCCATCGAGCACCAGATGCGTGGAGCGGATAACATCGACGCGCTTCCGCCAATGTCGCGACGTGCACTGGAACGCGGCGTGCACGGCCCTGTCGGCGGAGCGCACAATGTTGTCAATGATCCCCGGGTATGTCCGCTCATCGATCCACGTGTGAGTGCTGAGGTCAAGGGAGGGAGGCGAGCTCACGCCCATGGGTGTCGGTGTAGCGCATGGTTTGGCGGGAGACATGTTGGTGGTGAAGAAGTGAGATCGGGCAGTGTCAAATATATCACTGTTGAGGAGGGATCCGTTCGGAGCCGCCATCCTCGCTGTGCACTGCCTCCTCCACGTACTCTTTTGACTACGGCTGGACTAATCCTGCAGCACTGGAGTACGTGCGTGGAAAAAAACACCTGTGATAACATGGCCACTTTGCAATGCAAACTAACAGTGGACCCTTAGACATGGAATTTAGCTGGACTGTCCATCGGCGCAACTGCCTCTCAGAGGTGGTCCATTCATCAACAACCAGACATACTCCCAACGACTGCCACATTAGCACTGCATCGAGCTCGACCGCAGTTGTGACTGCGGTACGGGCCCGTCCATGATAGCACACGTTCATTTTCATAATCAGTATCTCTCATTATACTGTACAGTGCCTACGTAGCCGGGTCGACCGCACCGCTGCAATCAGTATGCGTCTACCGCACTGCTCTACTCACATGACGCCGCAAGCCAGGCGCCCACCGGCGTTGCCGGTCTGGAGAGACAGCTCATGCCCACCACGTCCGAGGTCGTCGGTGCCCACATGAATGCTGCTGTCAGCCCGCCCTTATTGAAACTCACTTGATGGCCCGCCCCATAATGGAGTAGCGGCCGCACAGGCTCATGCGGCGGTCAACGTGATTCACGTTGATAACCCCGTCGGCTCCGGCCTCAAAGTTGCCCATGTCGCCCATGTGACGGTTGCGGTCTTCGGGTGCGCCGTGGTTCCGGTTCAGCGGGTTCCAGTGCACCCCCGTCGAGTTGCATCCCTGGCTCAGGTCGCCGAACTGGTGTACGTGCATGCCGTGCAGGCCGGGTGTAGCTCCCGAGATCTTATGTCAGTCAGCTTATCACAGGAGACGGAGACTCACTTGGCCGGTCAGAGTCACGACGTCAGACCATGCGCGCTGAAAGAAGATGAGCTCGCCGCTCACGCCAGCCTGCCCGTTGCCGATGAGGACCTTGGCCTTGCGATCGCTCGAGCAGAGGTTGCCCCAGTCAGCGAAGGCAGCGGGAACAAGTGAGAGAAGCGCGAGATTGGAGAGGAGCATGCTGGTATTGCGGCGGGGTCGAGTGTCTTGATCGAGTCACAGTCGGGTGGACGAAGCTTGAGGTCGTTGTAGAGTCGAGTGAGCGGTCGGATGGGAGGATATGCCTCAGCGCCATCCTCTTTATGGCTCTCTCTGGAGCACCACCACATCCCACAGCGTCATGACCACCCCTGCTATCGTCATGTTTACTCACGGCAGTCGTGCCATGCTCCTTCCCGCCTCAGAACGAGTTTAGCACCCGCACCGCGCTTCGCTCACCGAACGCGCGGCATCGAGGAACAGGAACAAAACGCGCGACCAACACAAACACTGTTGGTGGCGTAGAGCTTATCTGACTCCAGCATGCGCGCGTCAATACTCGTGGTTGCGCGATCTGGCGTCGCTGAGGTGGACTGGAGCCGATTCCGATGGCTGACATCCGCGGTCCTGAAACGCGGCCGAAGGTACCGAGCCCCCATCCGGGGTAGAGGCACGGCTGGACCGTGCTCTGAATTTCGTGATTCATGACCCACCATGGGATGCCACCGCAGGTACATGCTGCCCAGCTGCGGCGCTTATATCAGGCCCTCTGTACTCTTCCCGCTGCATGGATTATCACTGATGGCCTAGAATATGAGTGTGGGTAAGTGTTGGGTTGCCTTTGGTGGCAGAAGATCGCACCATTTCCTCGCCGCGCCATATGGTCAAGTGATGGAGTCCGTCAGCTGAACAACTACCAGGTGTTTGTTGCGCCCACCCGATACTCAGAATATACCCAGGCGTGCAGCGGGAACATGACGGCAAGCCCCGAAACGCACGGAGAGCTTAAGACGCCCACACGCTTGCCACCTGCGAGCCATTGCGAGCATATCGCGAGACGGGTGCTAGGAACGTGCCTCAGGCCGCGATGTGGAACCCGAAGTCAAGTGGGCCGGGTCTGGAGTCAAGATTTATACACTTGGAGAGGCTGGAGAATGCATACTTGTACACCACAGCATGATAGGTATGATACAGTTGCCGCTACAACAGGCTGAGAGCCTTGTCCGCCACCTCGCCAATGTTCATCGACTCGCGGCGCAACCCCCCGCCCCGGAGGAGCCGCTCGGTGCCCTCTGCAAACTTTGTATACGCATCTTCACCGAGGAATCCGGTGAGAGCGCCGCAGTGAAGGCCGCCCTCCTCGACGTCGATCTCGACCCGCACGCCGTCACCGCGCATGGTATCTGCTAGTGCGATGGCTTCGTCGTACATGCCCTCGCCTGAGCCGACCTGGACAAACACCCGCGTCCCGACCTCCTTCTTCACCCGCTCCCCCGCCAAGCGCTTCCACGTTCCAGCGGGTGCCAGTGCTGGAGAGAGGAGGGGCCCTCGAATCGCGCTCGGAGTGTAGTGTCGAGCCACACTAGCAACGACAGCTTTGCCCGCGTTTAGTGCCAGGTAGTCGACGTAGCTGTTGTGCCAGATTGATGGGTGAGAGAATGTCAGGTCGCACCACGGCGAGCTGAGTGCCACTCCGCGCGGCAGCTGCTGCCCGGTTTTGGAGAGCATCTGCATGACGGCCAGCACGAGGTTACCGCCGGCGCTGTCGCCAACCAGCACAATATCGCGCGCCGCGTACCAAAGCTCGTGCGTCGCATAGTGGTATGCAGAGAGTGCGTCGAGCAGGGGCGCCGGATACGCAGTCGCTTCGGTCACGCACTTTCGATACTGGACCGAGAGGATTGGGGTGCGCGTGTCGCGTGTGAGCTTGGCGCTAAGTGGCGTCCACAAAGGATGTCCTCGAGTGTAGCCTCTGTGCGATGTCAGGTGTGTCCGATGGAAATGAATCTGTAACATACCCTCCGTGGCAGTGAATGACGAGCTGGCCTTTGTTGATGTGGTCCTTCTCCTTCTTTGGGATTGGAGTGAGCAAAAAGCCTGGGCGCTCAGCCATCTCGACGGGCGCTGGCAGCTCGACCGCATCGACTGGAGCCCAGTCCTTCGGAGCAGGCGGCACAGTCAAGACGTCACACTTGACGTCGTCCCAAATGCCTTTCGGGAACGGCAAGATGGGCTTGAATGCGACGGACGCGGCTTCTTCTTCCGAGTAGCACGCTTCGAGGATGGGCGCCAGGTTCGACCGATTGCGCAACAGGTGGGCAATGAGCCAAATTTTGAGCGGCTGCTGAGGACGATAGAGCGCGTGCTGCACCACGGCGTAGGGCAAAGTGGGGAGGACTGCAAGCGTTGCGGCGTGATTGATCAGGCTTGCAATCCAGCGCGGGATACCGTTTGGCGCGGGAGCGGGCGAGGTGCGCAGGAGTGTGGTCGCCGCAGCCGTCGCGGCTTGCGCGACACTGGCGACGGTCGCTATCGGCGACACTTGGGGTCCCATGGGTGATACGAGTCTCCAATTATGAGTTAGGGGGCTGTCTAAATTGAGAGAAGAATTAAAAGAGGACGAGCGTTAGATGGATCCGAGCCTGGTCACCTTGGAGCACGAGTAATGGATATCTTATGGCATCTGCCATGAAGGCGCGGCGATGCTTGACCATGGCTGGGCGTCCAGGGTCTTTGCGGGCCTCCGCAAACAATCTTAATGAAAATGACGTAGAGGCTCGAGCGGCGGCCGATGACTGCAGAAAGCTCTGGCCCGCCCGATTGCTTTTGGTCCAGCCACCCACTCCACACTTCCATTGTGACGGCGATTGGAGGTGACTAGTCATGTGAGGGTTGGTATCTCGGGCTGTATGAGCTTGCCATTATATGCAGGTGCAAGCGGGGTGTGGCGTTGGAGAAATGACACTGTCGGGCAGGTACTTTGCCTGCTCACAGCGGCGGCGGCCGCACAAATGTCTCCTGGACATCTAAGTGGAGGGAGTAGCTATAATTTACCCGTTACACCTCTCCTCCACAAGACCATCGCGCCCATCGTCGACTTCACAGCTCTCTGCTGCTGCTGGTGAACGATCATTTCCGCCATCAACCCACGTGGCGCAGCCTCCACTGTCGTTTGGGCGCGACATTGAACTGCCCTCTCTGTCCTTAGGTTTCCAGCTAGGGGTCTTCGCTTCGAAGAATCTTACGGTGAGCCTCGTCCCGAACTCCGATGATGCCGCCAAGGCAAGGCAAGGCTACCCCATTCCGCTGACCCTCAACCACTCAACTCACTCTCGAAAATGATGACATCTCACCGCTTCGGACCGAGGAAGGAGAGGGTGGCAGTATAATTCGAGGGGAATGGTCTGGAGTGGGAAATCGTGGCTTTCGCAAAGGCCGGTCGGAGCAGGGTGAACTTGGCCAGATCGAAGTATCCTCTCCTGTGAGCGCCCCTCCGCTGGGCTCCACATGTAATGCGCCGTCCGAGCGCCGTGGAAGTCTGATCTTAACCTGCCATCCTCACGCTTCGGTGCGCACTTGACGTAATTCACGGGGGCCGTACGTCAAGCTCAAGGTTCGAACCCCGAGAACTGAAGCCGATATTAACCAAGCGCTTCGTTGCATCCAGTTCGTGACGAAACAGATGAAGAGTGTGAAACAGCTGCATGGGAGGGTGCATCATCCAGCAGTTATCGGGGCCATCCACTGGGGACGGAAGAGTATGCTACAACCAGTCTAAAGAGGGTCTACACAAGTGCGCGGCACGATGTGGATGAGATGATGCTCGTCGAAGCGCTCATCACCTCGGGTGCGATGGTCGCGGACCGTCGCGGCGACAAACGGTCGCTTAGATGAACTGCCACTCGATGTCGAGCTGGCCGGTCGAGACGCCAGCGTTGAGCTCGTTCCAGATCGACTTGGGGAGGTCGACCTGGTTGGCGTGCGAGCAACCGCCGCACTCGTCCATGATGGGGACCTCGACCGAGTTGCCGGTGGCCTTGTTGGTAACGCGAATCATCTGGCCGCAGAAGTTCTTGCCGCCCTTGATGGCAGCGATGGGCGAGTCGTTGTGGTACCGGTCCGAGTTGCAGTAAACCTGGTTCGGGTAGCCGTCGTTCTCCTCGTACGAGTCGAGGTCGTACCAAGTGGCAACGGAGTTCTTAACCGACCAGTCGTCGACCTGGGCCTTCTTCTGGAAGCGCTGGGGGGCGGCGACGGCGAGCCCGGCAAACGCGGCGGCAATGATGGTCTTGGCGAGCATTGTGGCTAGTTGGTTTTTGGTGGGGTGCGGAGAAGCGAGAGTGTTGAGCGAAGTGAAAGTCGACTTGACGTGCTGGGCCTGCCAGAGAGATGTTCTTGGAAAGTGTTGGTGGGATGAGGCGGCCGAGAGCCCATCTGAGGCTCCTTTTATGGTGTTCTGAGGGCGATTATGTCCTGCATGTTTTGCCTGCCTGCATGAGCAAGATGGCACAAGGCGCCACAGAATAACGGATCCTCAGGGTTTGTTGATCTCGGAGGAGAGTGGAAGAGTGGGGTAGCGGGCGCAATAGAAATTGGGGTGCTGAACTGTTCCTGGGGCATAATGCCTCAACAATCCGCCGCCCCCGCCCATCGCAATATACATTGCCGCCGGACGGAAGCAAGGGTGACAGCCCTCTTCTATCTGCTACGGGCTCCCAGCCGAAGCAGATGCCGACAAGGTTTGGGGTCGATGCGGAGCCGCCCGCGTGCTCAAAGGGTTGGTGGCCTCGAAGCGGGGAGATCGGTATGGTGGGCCAGATTGGGACACCGAAATCCTTGGCCAGGTCTGGGCGCGGTCATCAAAAGATCTGCAGTAATGTTGCTTGCACTGCGACCTTGACGTCGCTGACAGCGTCGTTCATGTTAACACCGCAGCATCTTGACGCGTCGCAGCTCTGCATACCTCGGTGTGGACGCGACGGACGCGGTACGAGGACACGCCAATGAAGTTTTCTCACGCCTCAGCTTGTTCATATTCAGTACCTCCTTCTACACTGGTGGCGCAGGCGCTCAACAGCCGAAGAGGGAGCCGCGTCACAAGCTTTGAAGCACGTCGTCACCACTCGCTTTCTAAACCCGCGCCCTGCCCAATGCATGCTTGTTGAGCCTCCAACGGGTTCATTACTCGAGGCCTCAAAATGAATGGGCGTCGCAGTCCTCGCCAGCGATCTAGCGATGTTAAGGAGTCCGAGGCCTGGGCACGAGAGGCACTGCGCTGAGGCACGGGGTGCTTCTGTTAATATGAGAGGGACGGAGAACACATCATGCATACCGGACTTGTACGCTGTCCTTGGGGCTGGGCTATCAGAAGGATGCCCGCACGCTAACAGTCAAAACTGCCGGGGCCTTGGACCTTGGGGCGCCTTCTGTGTCGTTCGCACCCCTTAGCCCGCGGTGTATTATGATCTGCCGAAAGTCGGGACTTCACTGTGGCAATGAATGGCCTCCATCTTCATGCCCCAGTGACACTACTATTGTACAGCGAGCATGCCTTGAAGCAGAGCGCGGGGGCGCAGAGACCAGTGTCTACCCCTGAGGGTTGCCGACTTTCTAGGAGCGCGGGGCGGCCTACCCCATAGACCCATACCACACTGCAACACTGGCTCCGAGATGACAATCCGCCTACTTTCGGGGATCCGGGGGTGCTGAGCAATGCTAATGAATCTCTCTCGTCCAAGGATGATGGTAGCGTGGTAGATGGGCGTGAGAGGCTTCCCTCTCAACCTTGAGGCGCATAGTATCCCACTGTTCAGTGGGATTGTGGGAGTCAGAAGCATTTGGTACCCTGTCGTGAACATATTGATCCCGCCGAAGATACTGACGACCCGTTCACGGCCTTAACAAGTAATAGAGAGCGATGAGGAGTGACGGTGGGTCGAGAGCGGCGCACTCCAGACGCTTTGCCTTGGGACGAGTGAGTCCGAGATTCGCCCAAACTCGTCGTGCATGGCAACCGGAATCACGTCGTGTTAGCCCTGTCGCCCCACGCTCTCGTGAGGCTGATGTCATAGGGGGCTCTGAAGAAATACTCACGACTGATGAGATACATACCACATATGTAAATTGTGGAGATCTCCGCCCCTTTCTACAGGCGGCGCCGAAGCGATTCTCAAGAGCCCTCACCCTCTTTGCGGCCTAGGGAGCGGACCACCCTCAGATCTAACCGTACAAGGCATGTAGGAAGTGGCTCCAGACTCCCTATCCCCCGATGCACCTTGAAATGTCATGTAGACGTTAGGTCTATGCGTCGTTTGCGTAGCGGGGCCGCAGGGCGGATATATGCCCCCCTCTGCCTGCCCCCGCATTGCTTCCAGGGTGCTTTGCAGGGGTGCGCCGTATGTTCCGGGCAAACTCTGGCCCTTACACCCCGGTTGTAGTCGAGTTCGCTTCAACGCCGGTGTGTACGGAGACGTACCTGTCATCGGAAGATAATCGGGGAAGAGGGAGCTGGGATGGCCGGGACAGCGCGTTGTAGCATTGCGCAGCCCCAGTTTCGAGTCCAAAGGTAAAGTGTGTGTCCGCCAGCGGGACAGCGGGACGAGCACCTAAGGTCAAGAGGCTTAGCTGCTTTCTGCGGAGCCCATTAGGCCTGACCGCCCACAGCAGCCGGTGCGATTCAAGTTCCACTCCGGGCTTGTCAGGATATGGTTTGTGGTGAATCACGACTCTTCGAGCCATCCGACACAACATTCTCCCCAGGCAGAAGGGAGAGGCATCCCGTGTCCACAAAATGAAAGACGATGCGACAAAAGAAGTGCCCCCACTCAGAATCGAACTGAGGGCTAGAGATTATGAGACTCACGTGTTACCATTACACCATAGGGGCCAAAGACTCTTCAAGAGGAAATTCGGGCTGCACATATGTTCCAAGAGTTGAAAATATACCAAGAACAGTTATCATCCGTGAACGCGTCGCTGGATACGCGCATGCCAGTCAATATGCAGTGCTGCTCGAACTCTTATCTGGCCGTTGTATCCGCGTTGTCAATTTAGCCCTCTTGCGCCGTCGACAATGGCCAGCGCACAGGTGCGCTGCGCGTGCAGGCTCAGGCGGCCCCCGACATGGCGAGAGCATGGCTGCCTGCTCATAGGGCCAGCACTTATTATTTATGTCGGTTCTGGCCGAGCTGAGTCTGTAGATTCTACGTGGTCACATGTACGACATGAGGGGAAATGGTGTGTGGGCAAGAGTGCGGGTTTCGGCGTCCTCCACAGCACCGGCTACTTCGGTGAATGCCTGGCCGAATCACGGCACGGTGAATGCGCAACGCTCTGGGCCATACTTAGCTCAGCGCCTTTCCAGTCTCACCCTCATCGTTTGCCATCATGACTCCCTCACCACAACGAACAGTGACCCGCGAAGAGGTCGCTAAAGTAAGCCCGTCAAACAGCCAAGTTAACGGCAGCACAACAGCGAGGGCGATTTGTGGGTCATCATCGACACGTTTGTGTATGACCTGTCCAAGTTCGCAAAGTTCCACCCGGGCGGTCTGTCCGTGCTCCTTGACGAGGACGTGGCGGGCAAGGATGCAACCACCACTTTCTTCGGTCTGCACGGGATGGATGTCCTCAACAAACCTCAGAACGACAGGATGATCATCGCTCGTATTGAGGGTGAGAAGCCCAAGATCCGCCGTCCTCAGCCCGGAGAACTCTCGCGCGTACCCTACGGCGAGTCGAATTGGCTCGCACCAGCATTTAAGAGCCCGTACTATAATGAATCGCACCACCGTCTGCGCAAAGAGATGCGTGTGTTTGTCGACACTAAGCTCTACCCCGAGGCGCAGGCACACGAGGTCAGCGGCAAGGAGGCGAGTGCTCAGGTTAAGCGCGACATGGCCGAGTCCAAGCTCAACCACATGCGTCTCGGCCCCGGCAAGCATCTTCATGGCTTGACGCTCATGGGTGGCATCAAGGGCGAGGAATTCGACTACTTCCAGTGAGCAAGCCCCCAGTATCCCAGATCGCTGACCGGCAGTGAGCTCGTGGTGATCCAAGAGCTGAGCCGAATTCGGGCCAAGGGGTACTCTACTGGCGCGATGGCTAGCATTTCCATCGGCCTTCCACCTGTCATGAACTTTGGCAAGGAGCCATTGCGGTCGCGCATCATTCGGGAGGTTCTCGAGGGGGAGAAGATGGCCTGCCTATGTATTACGGAAGCGTTTGCAGGGTCCGACGTGTCCGGTATCAAGAGTCGCGCAGTGCGCCAGCCGGACGGCGGCTGGATTCTCAATGGCACCAAGAAGTGGATTACGGGCGGTATGTACGCCGAGTACTTCTCCGTCGCAGCTAAGACGTACGGCGGCGACTGCCCTGACGGGGCCATCTCCATGTTCATCGTGCCCCGAGGTGAGGGCGTCAAAACCAAGTTCATCCCAACGATGTATTCTCCCGCGGCCGGCACAGCGTACATCACCTTTGACAAGGTGCGCATCGAACCCGAGCAGCTGTTGGGCGAGGAGGGCAAGGGCCTGTTCATCGTGCTGTCCAACTTCAACAAGGAGCGGTGGGGGATCATTGCCGGTGCGGCCGCGACTTGCCGCCTCGTCACTCACGAGTGCATCCTGTGGGCAGCGCAACGCGAAGTGTTTGGCAAGAACCTCCTTTCGCAACCTGTCATCCGCCTTAAGCTCGCCGCGATGATCGGCAAGACCGAGGCCGCACAGCATTGGGTGGAAAACATTACCTATCAGATGAACCACATGGACTACAAGACGCAAGCCAAGCACCTGGCTGGCCAGCTCGCATTCCTCAAAATGATGACCACTAAGTGGATGAACGAGGTCATTGACGACGCTGTGCAGATCTTTGGCGGCCGTGCGCTCACCAAGACTGGCACGGGACGCTTCATTGAGCGGGCCCACGCGTCCAAGAAGTTTGAGGCAGTCGGCGGCGGCTCGGAGGAGATTATGGGTGACCTCGGCATGAGGCAACTGTGAGTGGGCGTGTTGGCGACAGTACTAATGCGCAGAATGCGAGACCTGCCTAAGGACCAGAAGTTGTAAGACACACTAACGGATGTTGTAGAAAGTGTAGAGCTCGTATGCAGTATGAAGTATGAAGTTACAATGTCATCTGATGGTAATTACAAGAGGGCGTTTCGCGTTGCCTCCGCCTCGAGGATCTCCACGATGCGCTTAAGACCAGTGTAACCCCGCTTGGCATGTTCAAGGCAGGTCTCTGGCCTCACGGACGACAGGGTGGTGTTAAACACCTCGAGGCTCCACGGACCAGTATATCCGGTGCGCATGACTGCCCGGCAGAACTGAATCACAGGGAGGTACGCACCACGCGTCTCCTCGAGAGGAAACAGGCGATGCCCACGCGACCAAGGAAGTAGTCGAGGTACGCTTGGGTCGGTTGGAGGCGAGAGAGTGCCGTTCATAAACTGCCCGTCGGCGACCTGGACGAGGAAGATTTTGTCCCCCGGCACAGTGGCCACGAGCTCCTTCATGTTGGCCTCGAGAGCAGCATCAACGTCGACTGAGCCGGTCGCGGCACGGCGTCCATCGGCGGCGTATGGGTCAGCCCACTCGAGGGCGAGCGTATTGAAAGAATCGAGGCAGATGCCAAGGTTCGGGCGGCTGGCTGCGCGTACAACAGCCCACACATCTTGCCACCTGCGGCGGTGTGTGCCAAAACTCAGGCCCTCATACATGACTCGGATGGGTGGATCGTAGCGAGCACCCTGATCCGCAAGCCATGCGAGATCCTCTACCGCGGTGGCGAAGTCAGATGTGGAGTGGGGAGCGAGGGCGGTTGTGGAGCATACGAGCAAGAGGTCCGTGCCAAGGTGAGGGAGGAGGGACAGCACACCGGCCGCATGCTTTCGGGAAGCCTCACGCTTGGCAGGGTTGGCCCACCCCTCGAACTGTCGCAGAGGTTGCCAGCAGCTGATGCGCAACCCGTAGGAAGCGGCAAGAGCTCTCAACGATTTGGCCGCAGCGATGTCGATAGCTTGCCCGCCGTGTGCGGACTCAGCGAGGCCTAGATCAGAGGCGTAGCTGTTTTTCCACGCATCCCAGTCCTGGTCGAAGATCTCGACGCTGTCAAAGCCTGCAGTCGCAGCGGCTGCAAGCTTGCGCTCCATCGGGTGGATCGAGGACGAGCCCAGAGACAAGGAGGCGATACCGAGTTCGGGCATGGCTTCAAAGTCAGACACCCTTTGTCGTTGCTTGCTGAACCTACTGTAGGTGATGCTGAGGGAGAGAAGAAATGGACTAGAAGGGGGCCTGAAGGTGGACATGACATGGCGAGATCTTTTAGAGGGTTGTTGTGGTCGGAGCCGCGATTTCCGGAACCTGTGGGGATAAAAGGATATACAGTGGAAGTACACATTGTGCCGAGAATCCATTGATGGCCGCTTCAGAGCAGAGGGCGGCTAACAGCGGACCCCTTGCAGGTGGAGCTGTCTTCGGCCCGGACGGCACAACTCCGGAGTTTGTGGAGCTTGTCCTCATTCTGATTCGACGTAGCTGCCCGTGATGTCTCCAGTCGCTTAGCGGTGCACGGCTTTGTCCTATGCGCTGGCCCCGCCTCATCCGGATGTGCGCGGAAGTGCGTCTGATTTAGCAAGGAAGTAGCAGCTGCATCAGGCCCTCATCTCCTGCTATTGCTTCATCCGACAATACTACGAGGCCATGACTCGCGACGGCAAACGCTCAGTGCTCGTCATGAACGGGCCAAACATTAATCTCATCGGCACTCGTGAGCCAGCAGGTATGCTCTTAACTTTGCAGCGCTGATACAAGTGTACGGCGCCGACACGCTTGATGACGTGGTTGCTGCGGCTCGCAGACAGGCCGCTGAGTTTGGGGGACACATCGATTTCTTTCAAAGCAACTGGGAGGGCGCCCTAATCGACCGAGCACATCAAGCGCGCACAGATGGGACAGACGCGATTGTCATCAACCCTGCGGCACTGACTCATTACAGCATTGCGCTGCGCGACGCGCTCCTCAGCGTGGCAATCCCATACATCGAGGTGCACCTCACCAATATTCACGCACGTGAAGAGTTCCGCCACAAGTCATATCTAAGTGACAAGGCTGCGGGGATCATCGTGAGTTGCCATTGAAGGTCAGTCTGATGTCGAGGTGGGATTTGGCGCCAAGGGCTACGGCATGGCAGTTGACAGCGCGTTTAAGGACACAGCCAAATTCCCCTCCCGCCCAGAGACGATGTAGCCCGTCTCAGGAGCGTTGTAGATTGAAATGTATACTCATAGCTTGTACTCAACTGCTGGATGGAACAGACGTCGGTAGCTGGAGGTGCCCTGTCATGTTGTGTACTACCTTGATGGAATCCAACATGGATGGCCGTGATGGCGCGCAGCGCCCGCAGCTCCTAATGCACATGAAGCATTTAGGTCTGCGTAACCCACCATATCCCCAAAAGTCGGAGGCGGCCGACGGGATTTCTGGTTGCAGGCCATATGCATTGACTCAGCAAGCATCATGCATTGCAATACTCGGCAAGCATCACCTTCGTCTGCCCATCTGCAGCTGTATGCACACTTATCACCTGTAAACAAGTGTTGGCTGTTGACGTTTGACTGCATGGGATTTGCTGATCGGTGCTCGGCGTTGGGGGTGGGCCGGCAACGGCTGTGGCCGAGAGCCGGATACGCCTGGACGCCCGTTGCCGGCTAAGCCCGTTCCCTCCATTAGTTTCTGATATCCGCATCCATTTCTTTCAATCTGCACCTCACACTGTCACCTCCTACTGTCATGCGCCCCTTCAACAAGCCTCCTCCTTCGCTCGGCGAGTCGGCGATCCGCGTCTCGTTCCCAGCTGAGCATGTGCTCCACGTCGCCATCGACCGGCCAGACAAGTTCAACGCGCTGCGTGCTATCGACAGCTTTGCGATGGATGATATCTGGGAGTGGTACGAGAGCGAGCCGAGCCTGCGCTGTGCGATACTGGGGACGACCAACCCGAGAGCATGGTGCGCCGGCGGCGACTTGAAGGAGCTCGTGAGTCGTTTACGAAGCTAGATGCCTGCGTCCACTAGAACGGGACTGACGAGCAGAGCCAGCGCGACGGCCGCAAGGCCGGGAAGTACCTCTGGCCCGACACAGGTCTCGGCGGTCTGGCCAAGCGCTTCTTGCGGTGCGTTGGAAGGGACTGGAGTGTGGACTGACATCAGCAAGCCCGTCATTGCGGCCGTCAACGGCGTGGTCATCGGCGGCGCCGTGGAGATGCTAAGCAACCTCGACGTCGTGATTGCAGGCGAGAGCGCAAAGCTCTCTTTGCCAGAGGCCAAGCGAGGAGTGGCCGCTGCGGGCGGCGGCCTGCCCAGATTCGTCTTCCTCATCGGCAGACAAAAGTGTGAGAGCAAACTGTGTACGGCGAGCTGATATTAGCTGCTGAGCTGCTTATGACCGGCAGGGACATTCCCGCGTGGGAGGCGGAGAAGCTTGGCCTCGTCAACATGGTCGTGCCAGATGACCAGGTGGAGGCCCGTGCGCTTCAGATGGCTAAGGAGACCGCCGCAAACGCCCCGGACTCGGTGCAGCTGTGTCTTTTCGGTAAGTCGCTCATGACGGGTGGGAGCCGGTTTAAAGGTGTACTCCTGATAAGAGAATGATACCCTCCAGACCGAGTTCACGAGAGAGCTGTTGGCGCCAACATTCGAGACGGTCGCTGACCCCAGGCCTCCGTCTTACCGAGGAGGAAATGGGATACCAGCGTATGATGGCACGCTATACTCAGTCCAAGGAGCTCAAGGCGCTGAACACGGGCCCCAACCTCAAGGAGGGACTGCAGGCGTTTATTGAGAAGCGCGCACCTCGGTGGCACGACCCCAAGCTCTAATATACACGGGGCAATCAGTTAGATGGGCATTTGGATGGATTCCGGATCTTGGTTGCGGAAGTATGCGCAATGGGTGCCATGCAAGGCTTGATAAACTGGCACGGATATTGAGGCCAACCTCCTCACCCATCAGGTGTGTCCATGCATGTCACTGTTGCAAATGACATTGGATGTTGGCGGTAAGGAACGCATGCGAGCGTTGATGTGGCGGTGACAGGTGGAGTGGCAAGGCCCTCACCTCATCACATGCAATTACAGTGGGGGACGACCCCGCTCAACTGCCGGCGACTCAGAAGATTTCAGGTACGCGGAATGCGCTGATACGCTCCGCCATGGCATGTCGAGAGGGCGTGATTCAGGCAGGCAGTAGAAGATAAGATTATTGGATGAGCGTGTCGGCCGACACAGATGGCAGGCTTGGCATGCTAGATCGGGTGTACTGTTTTTCTTCGCTGACAGCCGCGCTCCATGTCATGCGAGTTGTGTGAGACGTTGACATCGCACTCTCACACCAGCAGCATGTCCCCAACAACATCGGCGTCGGAGGCGACACCGCTTCTCCCGGTGGACGCCCCGCGTCCGGCACGGTTGGCCCCAGTTCGCCGCCTTCAGCTCATCTCATACCTCATGGTGGCGGCGATGTCGATGCCGAACACATCGCTACTCTACGTGATGCGTACGATGAGTTGCGACGCTTTCGACGCCGACCACCCATTCGAGGGTAAAGGCGACCGATGCCATGCCCCCGATGTCGAGAGCCTGGCCGCGGCCAACACGGCTGCGATGAGCTCGGTGCAGACAATAGGCGGTGAGCAGAGTATTGGGGCGAGCTGACAGCAGGTATCCTGTCAATTTTCGTGACCCAGTTTTGGATCGCGCGCCTCGGAACTAAGACTGCCATGTTCCAGGGCTCGATTTGGAGCTCGATCCGCATGATCACGCATGTTTATGCAATGTACATCGGGGGCGCTACTGGTGTGCGCATCACGATCGCTGCGCAGCTGCTCTGCATCCTCGGCTCGCCCGGAGGCTTCATGCTCGCAACCAACTCGGCGCTGATGGAGACCGTGCCCGCCGCCCAGCGCACGGCCATGTTTGGGATGCTGGGCGGCGCCCAAATGGCAGGATATGGCACTGGCCTCGTCATGGGAGGCACGCTGTATACCTATCTCGGTTTATATGGGCCATTCTTGACGGCATTCGTCATGCTCGTCCTCGTCGTCCTCTTGGGTCTTTCGATCATCCCATATGTCCCGCCCGCGCACAAACGCCCCGGCCCGGACGGCAAGCCGGCCGCTAAACCGAGTGCGCTCAACGCCTTGAAGATGTTCAGGCCCATGAGGGACGCGCAGGGACGCCGTTCATGGACGCTCCTCTGCCTGATCTGTGGCGTCTTCATGGCCTCGCTTGCTACTGGCTACGTTCCAATTGCACTGCAGCTAATGGGCCAGGCGCTCTTCGGCTTTGAGCCGAACATGACGTCGGCCATGCTGGTGAGTCACTGCAATAGCTTGGCTAACAGCAGCTTGGCAACATGGTCATGCGGACCATCTTCCTCATGTTCATCTTCCCGCGCCTCATCGCAGCTGGACGCAGGTGGCTCGCGTCCAAGTTGCCTGTGGAGCCCATCGCCTCGGAAACCGCCAGTGTTCACAGCGCCGGAGAGTCGGAAGCTGAAGAGGACGCATCGCCTCTGGAGCGTAACAATGCCGCCTTCGACATCCACTTCCTCCGCCTCTCAATCCTGGTCGATGCCGTGCTGACGGGAGCCGTTTCCTTCGTTCGCAAAGACTGGCAGCTGTTCGTCGCAGCGGCCATCTTGCCGCTGGCCAGCGGGACCGGCCCAGCAGCCAAGGGCGTGGTCACTGAGCTTGTGGGACCCGAGCACAAGCAGGAGGCCTTGAGCGCCATCGCCCTCGTGGAGAGCATGGCAACCGTGAGCACCGTTGGCCTGTTTGGCTCGGCGTACGCTGCCCTGGCAAAGCAGGGCATGCCGCAAATGGTGTTTGCCGCCAACGCCGCGGTCGCATTCGTCGCATTCAACATCCTGGTACCTGTCCGGTTACGTCCGGTCGCTTAGTGAGGGCTGGGTAGAGAGGTTTAGGATCTCTGTATGGCATGCAGATCTAAGTCCTTACGGAGCCATGATTGACCATGAAGCTCTCACCATGCCTGAGGCACTGTCCAAGCCTCAGATGGAAGAGGGGCTTCGCGCGTGAGGATGCCCCACTCATGCTCGCCGATAATCTTGCGCACCACGTCTGCGCGCCGTAGCTCCACGCCCTGTTCTTCCAGGGGAGCGAGAACGTCGCGCTTCACCAACCTCTGGTCTAAATGCTCCCAGCCCACAAGGGTCGTTGGCGCGGCAAGGCGGTCCAGGACTGCCGCAAGATCGGTGAATGCCCTGTGCGCTGTTTTGTCGTCGACGCTGTCTGAGGCAAGAGGGACCCCGTCAAGCATCTTCTCCGATGAGCATTGGTGTGAGTGGGAGCTTGGCGTCAACACCACGGTCACAGGGTCCAGCTCAGGCCCTTTGGGCGGCACATCGAGCCTGCCCCACTCTCCGCCGCGTCCTGGAAGTCTGAGGTTGAGCACGACCTCTTTCACGCCTGGTGGGTAGTACCGTGGAATTTGAGGGCGGTACTTGACATGCGTGCACTGCTCGAGTGTCGAGAAGAGCACGAGTCGGCGCGCAGGGGGACAGTATGGCGGTCCCCACAGCAGGGTTTTGCGCGCCAATGGGCCAGGTGAATGAGCGTAATATTCATACGTCCTCAGCGTATCCAGGTAGACAGGAAGCTTGAGCGCCTCAGCGCGTAGCCAGCCGCGTAGGTCTAGCGTGCGGGCAGAAGCAAGCGCAGCATGCTCGGGCCATACGGGCCCGAGAGGGCCTGGGCCCCTGCTATTAGCTGGGAGAATGTAGAAGACGCACGAGGTCGCGGAGCGCATCAAAGAGCGCTCGCCGTTATGGAGCGCCGCAGCGGGGTAGATTGTCGAGGATACGCCTTCGAGCACAAGATGGGAGGCCGTCAAATCGTCAACGAGCGCACGGAAGCGGCGGGACGCGGCGCGAAAGGAGGCGAGGACATCAGACGATGCGGCGCGTACCACCTCGTCGATGATGTGCGGAAAGGCCCTGACGTCCAGCACGGGGTAGTCGAGCGTTTGCATTGGTCAGTGAGATGTGGATGCATATCAGTGGTCTTCTGGCAGCATATAATAATGCGCGAGAGGCGAGACAGCCTGCGCGTCTCCGGACAGCTCCAAAACCAGTTGTCTGTCCCCTCGACAACGCCACCGATCTCGGTCCCGGTGGCGCCCGTGTGGTCGTAACTTGTATCCGTGCTGATTCCACCTGTTCCTCTCCACTGGCGTCATGGTGTCTCGGAGTGATGTCACGACCACGACGCGCCAAACCACCGGTGAAATGAAATGCAGGCCCACAACACGATGGAGTCGTGCAAAAGGACTAGCCCGGCACGCTCTCAGGGCATGACGTGCGATTGCCAGCCAAATTCGGCGCCGGGGAGGACATGTGACCGACCATGTGCCGCATTGCAAGCCCGACTGCCCCGACTTCCGAGGGGATTGCATGGAGCCATGCTCCCGAAGTGCTCTGGCGTTTACGACCCGCCGTCAGATCGAGCCCGAGCGGGAGTCCGTCATTTGCACAAAGCACAAAGCAGCGACTCAGCGCTATCCCCGTGCATGGCGCACCAGCTGATCTTACCCCGGGCTGAGAGATGAGGTCGCGCATCAAGTGGTGAGCCCAGGAGGATATTCACTTTAGATTTACACAAGGGTAGAGGAGGTCAAGAGCAAAGCGAGCAAAGAGGAAAGCGACGAGTGTCCTTCTACAGGCCCAGGCTTGAAAGATGGTGTTTGGTTCCGCCAGAGGTTTGGTTCCGTTCATACCTCCACCCGTCTCAACGCGTCATTTCGACTTGGCTTCTCGACGGCTCGCCACCACTTCCCTCACCTACTCCTCCTCATAATGCCCTCGGACCGCTGGGCAAAGCACGACGCCGCCATGGGCGAGCTTTACGAGCGCGTAGAGCGCGAGAAAGCAGAGGCAGACGCCGCCAAGGAGGCCTCAGCTATTGAGCAGGCTCAATACCAGGCACAACTGGAGGCGCAGCGCGCAGCATATCTTGCAAACCCCGCCGCCTCTTCAGAGACTACCCTTGTAGCCGGGCACAGTCACCAGCCAGAGCAGAGTGTTGCGACTCTCCGCCACCGCCAGGCAGACGACTCGGAGAAGGCTGCTGGCGCCTGGGATAAGTTCATCCGCTGGCAGGCCAAGCATTACCGCACCAACCTGCTGGACAAGCCAAAGCCGGGGGCGCCACAGGCCTGACCCCCGATAAGTGATAGTAGAAGCGATTGTGAGTGTGACTGGGTGCGACGCTAATTGACAGAGATCCAAGGGTGTGTCCCTACTCATGTGATGTTACGAGGCCCAACTGAGGGCTGCCCGACGTGCCGCATGAATTGCGGATCCTCAGCTCGGCTATCTCTCGGATGCGCGAATTGCCACGAACGGCGTTGCGGTCAGATTTCATTCCATTCACGTCCGAGAGGCCGAACACGACCGCTTGCGAGCCATTGACCGCGATAGTCAAGTTCGTGTGGCGTGTCGGCCTGGTGAATCAGACTGTCTCATCTTACCAACCTTAACCGCTTGATGTCTCCGACCCTGCGCAGCTGTCCATGCTGCGCAACTTACGCTAAGGCAGGCGATCAAATCAACGATGACATTCCCCACATGCAACACGGATGGTGGCTGGACGTTCCAGACCAATGTCTAACATATAACGTGCTGAGGGCTGGTAACGCTCACGTTCATGACCCGCATCCTAGGTGTCCGTAAACGCCAGTAAGTTTGGGCTCTGCGCCTATCTATGAGGACGGATGGTTGATGCGGCTTCTCCTCTCCCCGCCCCAAGATCGACAGATTACTCCCACTACCTCAGCGCCTTTGTCACTTCTCCGCAGTGGATCGGATAGCACGTGAGCAACAATTCAGAAAAGTGACGGACACGCTGTTCCTCTATTCACCCAACACGGTGGGGATGGCCAAACTTGCGTGGAACGCTGTGGCCACGCTTGTTCGGGCATGCGGGGTGTGTTCCGGTTGGGCGGCATTCCGCGGATTCTTAAGGCAATACGACTACCCATCAGTGCAGTCAACGAGTGGACGTATTCTATTCTAGTGCACGGCGATAAGGACCCTTGCTCCGCCGCTCGGCCGATCCACCGCCAATCTCAAGCACCCTCCGATGCTTACCGTCTTGCTGCGCGTGGGGCCACCTTGCGCCACGCGCAATTCGAGCTCTCTCCGGCCAGTGGCCCGCACAAGATGTCCCGGATACCTGGGGCACCAGAGCAGGAGACTCGAGGCCACCTAAATCAATCGCGACTGTCCTGGTCACATGCTGTTGTCGCAATAGGTCACTTGCGCGACCAGCTGTGGGAGCGCCAGTGTCGCGCGTCGAATTGGACATAAAAAGCTCAGAGCACGTTTCATTTCCATCCCCTCCATCGACCACACCATCATGGCCGGAGGTGGTGTCAAGAAGCCGATCAATATCTTCCGCCTTGGCGACCTGGGCGAGCCCAAGGGCGTCTTCAACTGGCGCTTATGGTTCTCTGTCTTCTCCTTCAGCATTCTCGGCGCCGCCCGCGGCATCGACGAGGGGCTCATCACCGGCGCCTTCAACTCAAAGCATTTCCAGCACCTCATCCACTACGACACGATGTCTGCCAGTGCGAAGGCCGATCTCAAGGGCAACATCTCGTCCATGGTTCTTCTCGGGTCGATCGCAGGTTCACTGTTGTGCGTGCTCTCGGTAGTCGGACTAACGCCAGCGCGTTTGTCGTCTGCGACCGTATCGGCCGTCTCTGGGCTACGCGACAGCTCGTCATGTGGTGGGCCTTCGGTATATCTCTCTTCATGGGCTCTAACGGTAACCTGGGTGAGCGTTGGCCTAAGATGCCCCCCTAATCTTCAGGAATGATCTATTCCGGCCGCTTCATCGCAGGTATAGGCATCGGGATGACAGCAGTAGTTGGCCCACTTTACCTTGCTGAGATCGCTCCCGCGTCTGTCCGTGGCCTGTGCACCTGCATGTTCACCGGCATGGTGTACCTTGGAATCAACGTTGCCTACTTCACCAACTTCGGTATGCAGAGGAACTACCCGAATGGCGCTGTGCGTTGGCTGGTCCCGACGTCTATCCACCTTTGGTTCGCTTCCGCAATCTTCATTCTCTCGTGGTTCCAGCACGAGTCGCCGCGGTACTTGGTCATGCGGGGTCGGGTTGCCCAGGCCCAGAAAGTTATGTCTCGGCTCCGCCGCCAGGCTGAAGACTCAGAGTACATACGCCGCGAGATTGCTTCAATTGTTCATGCCCACGACCTCGAGGTTGAGGCAACTCGGGGCATGAATGTCTGGCAGGCAATCAAAAAGACTCTATCCAACAAGCAATACCTTTTCCGCCTCTACCTTACCACATCAGTCCAGTTTCTCTCCCAGTGGTCCGGTGCCGGATCCATCACCATCTACGCACCCGACTTATTCGAGCTCCTGGGCGTCCAGGGCACGAACCTTGGTCTGCTAGTTACCGCTGTCTTTGGTCTCATCAAGCTTTGTGCCGCCGTTTTTTGTGCTCTCTTCCTGGTCGACGTCATCGGCCGCAAGCGCTCGCTCTTGATCGGTATCTCGCTTCAAATCATCTCAATCGCTTTTGTCTCCGGGTTCCTCTCGGCCTTCCCATCGATGGGCAGCGAGGACTACGTTTTGCCTGACCGGTACAAGGCCGTTTCTCGAGTCGCTATCGCCATGATCTACGTGTCTGGCTGCGGCTGGGCGCTGGGCTGGAACTCGATGCAGTACCTCCTCACTGCTGAGATCTTCCCCCTCAACATCCGTGCCGTCGCCACGTCGTGGGCTATGATGCTCCATTTTATTAACCAGTGGGCGAGCGCTCGCGCTGTCCCCACGCTCCTGCTGGACGTCAGGCATGGCGGCATCACCCCAGCTGGGACATTCTGGAGCTTCACTTGCGTCACCATCATCGGCGGCGCCTGGGTATGGTTCTTTGTTCCCGAGACCGCGGGCTATTCGCTTGAGGCTATGGACGAGCTCTTCAAGCTGCCGTGGTACAAGATCGGCCGCTACGGGAACAGATTTGCAGCTGAGAGGGCGGAGCGCCGCCCTATTAGCCCAGAGTTAGAGGAAAAGGACGAGGACGCCCAGATTGACATCGAGACCGCCCGCAAAGCCCAGCACAACACCCTGGTGTAGCTCAAATCGCGTTTTCGTATCCTCTGCTTTACTGGACTAATGACTGGGATAAACAAACCACTTGGGGAGATGAATCGAAAGACAATGGTCCGACTATCATGCCTTAGACAAAGCATCATCAGAGTGTAGATGCTACAGTACCTAGTGGAAGTGCGTACGTGGCAACAGACACAGGCGTGGCTTATCCTCGCTTCTGATTTTGCCTGGTAAGCATAATGACGTGGGCACAACCCGGGATCCTCGCGTTCATTCTCGTTCGCGGAGCAATGCCTGCGTGTATCTTCAGCTATCTCATCGTGCGCAATATGACCCTGCAGAATGTCACTACAAATCTTGTATGCTATGCTGAAGCTAATCAATTTTATGAATATAATCCAGTGTTCTATCCTGCAAAAGCCCAAGCGGAGCTGCGAGCAGCGAAAACGGCTCAGTCGAACAGGTCTGGCTGCCGGAAGGGCTGCATGGTGCTGACAGGCGCAGGGGCTGGCGAGGCCGGCGGCGATAGGGACCCCCGGCTCATGTGTTTCCGAGGAGGTGGCAATGGCCCGGTCCGGGGAGGGGAAGTGGGTGGGCTGGGCCAACCTGGTGGGAGGCTGTCAACCGTATCAGAGCTGGGCGACGAGAGCGCGGATCGCGCCCTCGAGCCGACCGTGCCAGCACTCGCTGCTACACCCATGGTGCTGATCGTCGCAAAACTGTGCCCGGGCGGGATGGTGCGCGGCATCTCGGTGATGGGCGGCAAGCTCGACTGTGAGGGAATGGAGGTGTGTGATCCAGAGAAATGATGGTACGGCGTTGGGGTGAACTTCGACACCTCGTCATGTGGAAGGATAGGCGCACCAAATTCGCCCACTGGAGGGGTTACTGGTGTGTTGCCCGCTGTGCTGTCGTACGTCTGCATCGATGTGTGCCGACTTGACGATTTGTCTGCGCTCAAGGTTGGCGGCCTGGCGTCAGCTCAACACAAGCTCAAACCCACAGTAGCTCGAGATCCTTGCTTCCCCGACTTCCCTGCGAACCGAGAGCTGCTGTACCGAAGAACGGCTGCCAACTCCCTGGCCGGTCGCGCGAGCTTGACGTCGCCTTGTACATCGCCTGTTGCCGACTATGATCAGACGTGTTATGCAGTGCACCTACCTGCGCGCATTGCGCTTCCGGCGCCGCAGGCAGAAGAGTATCACAGCGATGGCAGCCAGTGCGGCGAGACCTGCGACTACACCGCCTGCGATCGCGCCCGCGTTGCTCTTCTTGCCCCCGCTGGCGGCGCTGGTGCCGTTGTCGCCGTCGCTGCCTACGCCGTTGGCGACGTTAGGGCCTCTTGCAGCGCTTGTCGAGGCCCCAGCTGCTCCAGGAGAGTTAGTGTTGGTGCCCGCCCCAGTAGTTGGTTGAACCCCCATACCATTCGTTGCAGAGCCGCTTGCGATGGATCCCGGAGCGCTCGAGCCATTGGGTGTGTCGCTGCAAGCGTCAGTTGTCAAACGCATGTACCAACTTACGAGGCTTTCGAAGAGTACACCCGGGCCTTGTTAAGACACACTATACCAAATCCTAGGCTTCTCAGCCGCACAGTATATTGTTGCCCGGGATCCAAAGGAGTGAAGTACAGAATTTCCGGTGCAGAGCTTTCCCATGTATTAAACGCAGTGCGCTCATATGTCTGCACAGCGTTTGGCGGTTCGGGATCCACCTCAACTTTGAACCGGCCGTGCTGGTGTCCTACTGGACCCCAGAGTTCGAGAAACGCGGACGAGCTGGGCACGGTCAACTCAGCTGCTTGATCGGCCGATCCGGAGCAAATTCCTGCTACTGCGACCTCGTATCCGGAGTTGACGCCCCACGCCCCGGCGTTGATGGGGCCCCCGTCGAGGGCAAACAAGTCGATATATTGCACGCGGTCGATACTGTCGCTGCCATGTGATGAGCATAAGGGAACTCCACTCGTCCACTTACGCCTCGGAGGTAATGGTCGTGGTTACAACAATCTGGTTGACGGATATCACGCCAGTCCATTGAGATGGCAATGTGAAGGCGGCGCGATGGAGTCCAGGTCTAAGGTTTGCCGCTGAGGCAAGCGCTCCACCTTCAGTTGCTGCTGTGGCCGAAACGCCGTCGACCTGAAGCGTGTACGAGGTACTTTGGGATTCCCCGTAAAAGGCTATCCCGGTCCCAGCGAAATCGATATCGACGTGTGCACCTGACCGAGACGTTGTATGGGCCGATGATCCCATTCCCGTCGAGCCCGGACCCCAACTTGCCCAGCTAGATTCCGAGTACGTGATGTTCCACGCCTTGTCAGGCGTCTTTGCCAAGGTTGGCGAGTCATTCGGCATCCCGGGTGAAGGGAACCAATCGATAGCTGGCGACTGGTCGGAGAGAACAACTTGAAACGGCAGCTTGTTTAGCGCAGCAGCGAGCCCAGGGAGAGACATCAACGCTGCGACCGCCATCGTGTTGGCTCGGATGGACGAGGTGGCCCGCATGGCGAAGATAGCAGAAAGGAGGGGCAACTGGAGTTAAAGAATTGTCGACCAAGGCGCCAATCGTCGCCTAGTACCCCACTGAAAGAAATACGGGAGCTCGCTCTGCGTGTCACAGCTCTTCTAAGAGAGCTTTGCCGCGCGAGGGAGCCGCTCTGGGAGTACGAAGCAGCGATGGAGGTGAGATGGTATGAAATGACAGAATGAGATGCAGTGAGAACTGGGTCAGCAGCGTGACGTTCCTCATGCACACGAATTCCTTTCTCGGCGAGCGTATGAGGGCATGTGGGTAAGCTGGTTCGTTTATTGCGAGGTTGGGAGCTCAGCATTGGCGGGTGCGCATGACAAAGTGAGCAGAGGAAAGTGACGATTGCTGCGCGGAACGAGATCCCTGATGTACCAGTTACGGCATTACTTTCCTCTTGCCATGTTGAGACGCGCGACACTGGGGCCAGACAGCGATCGACAGGGCTGTTCCAAGCCAGGAAGAGGGAGCCATGCAGTTGTATGCGACGGAGGCATCTTCGTAGGATATGTGCAGTAGGGAAGTGAGGCCCGATGAGGGAGATGGCAAAGGGTAGGGAGGGGGACGTTTCTCGTCTCAGATGGCAGGTACCGAGTCGGGCTATACGGGTACCATCGATGGACGCCAGCCATCACGGCTCCTTCGGGTGACTTTGACCAAACCTAATGATACTCCTGAAACAGTGGGATGGTGGCAACATTAGAATGCATTGATACTGCGATCATGGTTGCTCCCCGTAATCCGACCTCATTCTACCCCACGCGACAATGATGATCTCCGCACCATTTAGTCTTTCTGAGATATGCCTTGTCCTCGGGCCACTTCCACCGGCGCGTATGAAGGAGAGCGTTATCCGCAGACGGAGCCCTCTGCGCTGTGCGCTCACCGCCTCAGGAACTCGACCTCGTGTGCAGCGACGTTCCGGCACCTGACACCGGGCTGGTACTCAAAGTCGTCGAAGTACGCGTTTGTGTGCTGCACAATCTGCTGAGCGGAGATCGTAGTTCCACCGAACTCGGCATCCTCGGTCGTGTGTGCATCGCGTGGCACAGTCACGGCGTATCCGCGGACGGCGGCGCTTTGAGCCGTTGTGCGGACACAATAATCGCTCTGAGCACCTACCAGCACGAGGTGGCGCACACCGCGCGCATGCAGCTCCTCCTCGAGCTCGGGGGCGGTGAAGCTGTCCCGAAAGCGCTTGTAAACGCGCACCTCGTCGTCCAGAGGTTCGGGGAGGCCGGGTGCGAGGCCCCACTCCTTCGAGTCGCGAGCGAGACCGCCGTCTTCGTGCTGCACCCAAACAACGGGGGCGCCGGCATCACGCGCGCGGCTTACGAGCGAGGATATGCGCGAGATGACGCCCTTCACGTCAACACATGTGGCTACCACGCCGACCTGCACGTTGATGACCACGAGAGCTGTGTGGGATCGGCGCGATGGGGACGGAGATCGCGAGCGTCCGTTCATGAGCGGGTGCATGAGGAAGGGGTGCCGAGGCTTGATGCGAGGTGGTGAGGGAGAGGGCATATTGTGCGCTGGATGAGGTGATAACAATAGCAGGAAGGCGAGGATCGCCGTTGATAAAGAAACTGCAGATCTCCGTGGCGCACATGGAGGCATTCTGGAAATTGTGGTGTGGAAGTCCACGACGTCATAGCTAATGTCCAAGCTCCGGCCGCCCTGGCAGAGCGCGGATTCACATGTCCACATGCTCACTGGTTCCGTACTTCAACGGTGAACCCCTCATCGCATCCTCGGTCTGTCAACGGGCAGTGACAGCGTTCACTGGCGCAACTGATGTAGGTCCGCCCAGATGGGATCAGCACAACCTGCCGGTCCGCGACGCCCTGCCTCTCGGCTTTGGAGTTTGAGAGAGAGATTACGCGTGTCGTCATTCTGCGCTGATTGAAGTTGTCCATTCCGAGCAGTCCAGTATTGTTCTCGGAAGGGACAACTTCTGAGGGTCTGAGGCGTTTCGAAGGGGACAACGCCGCTGCCACCCCAGCTGTGTCCCTACTTGTAATGCCAAGGCAGAATGCAGTGTGATCATGGCCGCTAAGCGACTTGGTCTGGCTCCAGAACATCGGAACCCCTCACCTCCTGCCGTCAAGCTCAGACATTGATCGATGGCTCAATGTCGATCTTCTCTGGCTTCAAATGCATCTCCCACCTCGATGGCTACAACCACACATCTACTTTATAGCAACTGAATGACACCCTGGACGCCTTAGTTACGCAGATGCAACCACCTCCTTGGGCACGAAGAAGGGGCACTTGCCACCTTGCGCCCGCTCGCGCATCTCCGCGGCATTCTTAAGCGTGATCTCGACGCCCTGGTGGTACAGCCTCTCGGGACCGAGACGCGAGTTGATGTATCCGTCGGGTGTGAATTTAGGGAGACCGGGCGTGCCGAGGCCAAGTGCGCCCATGCGTGCGCCGTCCGGCTTGGTGTACCACGGCTCAAAGATGTATCCGTCGCGCACAATCTGGGGGTGGCCGGCGTCAGGTGCTTTCTCGCCCCCGTCAGTGGGGCCAGCGAAGGCACAGCGTACACTCGTCTTCACGTGCGGCGGCGGGCTCATGCGTGGGAACAGGAGGTTGCCACACACCAAGCCCTTGAGACGCAACAGGCGCGGCACGAACCAGTACATCCACGCGGGAGGCTTCTCCCATCCAAAAGCCTGCAGCATGTGGTCGTCGAGAAGCACTAAGCTCATGCGTTTGCCGAGCGGCCACATGAAGCGGGGCATGTCTTTGAGCAGCACGCTGAAAGTCGAGTTGCCGACCTGCGCATTACGGGGATCGTACACCATGGCCCGCTTGCCGTACGCAGTTGTCCACTCCAAAAGCTCGGCGCGTGTAGGGGGAATGTTCTCGATGCCCATGCGGGCCCCGATCTCGCGCCAGTGGACATAACTAACATCAGCATGGCGCTTACGAGTCGGCCGGAGAATCACGATGCACGTTGTGTCTATCCGATCCGTGCATAACTCACCGCGCCTCCTTCTCAAGCTCGTTGAGTGGGCGATAGTCAAACTTCTCGGCGAAGTAGTAGGGCTCGAAAACGAATAATGCCAGCGTAAACAGCTTGTCGTCACGGCCGATGAGGTTGCCGTACCGCCCATGCAGCCAGTTCATGCGCGCAAGAGCAATGCTCCCACGCTCAGTGTCGACACCAGCTACACTATGGCTCTCGCCCCCGCCGCTGAACTCATTGATGAAGATACCCGTGTCCTCAGCGCGGCGACCCGCACTCGCGTCGGTCGACAGCTGTCCCGACTTGCACAGGACGGCGGAGATTGTGGGGATGGCATACGTTTTGAAGAGTGCGAAGGAAAGGGCGACCGTAACCGTCCAGGGCATTTCCTTACGGTCAGCACGGGAGGTCGTTGCGCATCGCCGAGAAGCTCGATCCAGTAATGATCGAGATTGTTCAACATCCACTGCTCACCACCGCCACCGCGAGACAACTTACTAAGAACGACGAGTACTTGGAAATCTCCTCGGCCTCGTGATAGGTCATTTTGCTCATGTCGTCGAGGAGGTAGGCGTACTTCTCCATCATGGCATCGCGTTGGGCGAAGCGCACCTTGCGGACGGCTTTGATGCGACGGACCACGAGCGATGCCACAACGGCAACGAACGCGGCGGCGTACAAGAAATATAGCAGCAGCGACATTAGGTGGTAGATGTGAGGATGGGAAAGTGAGTGAGATGAAGGCAATGGATGGTGACACGGATGTCGCATTGTCCTTGTTCAATCAATATGCCGGCGACCGGCAATACGATCATGTGACGATGATGGCTTAGATGGGCCCATCGCCAGCAGGCCCGCCGGGCATGCAACAGTCGTGGACGGTGTCGCCGGCGATTGACTTGTGTGGACAACCATCAGAATGCGGGTACGCAGTGGTGGTGTTGGTACAAACGCTGAACGAGGGAACAGTTTCGGACAAGGATGATGGTGGTGAATTGCGTCACTCACACCTAAGGCAACGGCACAGGCACTTCCAAACTCATCTTTGCCTGCCCACATGCCGGCCGTGCCAGCCATTTTGGATCCAAAGCATGAAACTCGTCTCATCTTTCTCAGCGCGACACGATCTAGGCTCCTTGTGTGCCACATAAGGTATGCGCCAGTGCCTTTGGTGCATTCCCCGGCTTGCCATATCAGGTCCTCTTAGCTTCAGCCTGGAGGCGGAACGAGTGCACCCATACTCGCTCGAGTGGATATCAAATGATATCGCGGACACATACATGTGCATGATGCTTCTGATTTCTACAACTTGGCCTTGACGTCGGTGGGTGCTCCAGCAGCGTTTTTGAGATCTTCAGCGACCTCGTCGCGCCACAAGACCTCCACATTGCGCGGCCCCGCTTTGGTGCCCTTGACGAGCACGACACGGTCATAGTCGCCGGCGCGGCCGGACCCGCGTAGCTCGGGACCCGAGCCCTCGAGTGAGAGAATCTGCCGCCCGCTCGCCTTGTGCACGCCGCGACCCTGCGGCGAGATGACCTTGTCCGCCCAGCCGATGCTGCTCGTGGGGTGGTCTGACCGCCCGGTCGTCTTGGACGCCAGGAAGCTCTTGAGACCGTCGCGCTGCTTTGCGTAGTCGCCTGGCCCTGTCAGGTGCTCGGCGAGGTGGCCGATCAAGTACATCTGGGGTGGGTAGATGATGATCTCGCCGCTCTTGCCGCGCTTCAGCCAGTCTGAGCAGTCGTCGAACGACGCGGCCGTGTGCTCGAGCCCACCGTCGTGCGTCGGGGTGTGCACCACCTTCTCGGCGTCGTGGCCCACCGTGTCCAAGTTGAGGGGCAGAAGGTAGACGTACATCTGCGTCGTGAAGCGCTTGGGGACGTTGGGGGGCGTGATCCACCGAGTGAAGGGCATGAGAGATTCTGCGGGTTAGCTGAAGCGAGGACAGAGGGCGGAGAATGGATATCGGTAAACGACTCAGCCTCCCGTTCTACGACGGGTGACAGCGCAGGTACGATACCGATAGTACCGGTGACCAAGCCATCGCGTTCCCGGTGAGTACTCAGCGCCATGGCCCTTCACAAACGACGCGTCGGTAACTACACCTCATCACGTTACCCACACCTCAACGCCATCAACGCGGTGAATGAACTCACCGACATCAGGTACGCCGCCCTTCTGGTCCAGCCAGTCCTCAAACTTGACTTTGTTTCCGTGAACGGCTTTGCGACCCTCATCGAGCTCGGCATCGCTAAGTTGGAGGAGAGGGCTGCCGGGCGGCGTCCCCTTCTTGCGCGCGAGCAGGATACCTGACTCTTCGAAGGTCTCGCGAATCGCGGCGAGACGGTACGCGGGCCCATCGGCATGCCTGCCAGCATCCTGCTCTCCCGGGACAACCTCGTGGAAGCTGCTGAGGTTTCCGCCCGGGAAAACATGAGCCGACGGGAAAGCCGATGAGCGCTGCACGCGGTGCAGCAAAAGAAGCTGGTTTGTGGGTGAGACGAGCATCACACTGCGGTCAGTGGCTGTGATATAGTCGCGGAGGTGACGCACCTTGAGCTTGGCTTGGGCACGGCTGGCGCCTTTGCCGCGGTCGAAGAGGGACGCTTGTCTTTCGTCACAATCCAGGACATGGTAGAGGGAGCAAGGGGGGCGAGGGGGGAGGAAAGGGGGAGGGGGGCGAGTCTGGTTGTGCGATAGCTTGCGAGAGCGATGCGAGGTATGGAGAGGAGCATGATCGTGAGGGGGAGGCGGTTATGTGCTGTGGAGATGGAGACGGGGTGGGTAGTGGCTTGGGTCGGATGAGACCGACGATCCATTTGCCGGTCTCAACCCGGGGTGAAAGTGCGGGGGTGGCCGGCTCGCGGCTCGGCGTCACGGCGTTGGCCTCAAAAAGCCGAGCATGTCCATGTACGAAACATAGGCAATGCTACGTTGACATATAAAGGCAAGGTCTGACAGACAGCAGCAGTTTGCCTCAGCCATGTGCTCTCTTGCACTTGCAGAAGTCTGCACATCGTCGCAAGATGGAGGATGTGATGGGGGTGAGTGCGCAAGGCTGAACTTCGGCATTCACCGCTTCTTGGTTAGTGGTTAGCCGAGTTGCCGCCAGTGATTATCCCCGGTTCTACTGCATCTATACAGCACATTAATAAGGTTGAACCTGTCTGCCTTTCACGGCTGCCTGGCAAGGGGGAAAAGGCAAACCAAGCACTCTCCAGGAGGGCTCCAAAAGCGGACTGGAACGTTTGGAACAGTTCTCTGTGTCTCTGTCAACGATCATCTTTCGCTGCGAGCCTTTGAACGTTTGCGCGGGGTAACCTGATAGGGAGACGATTATATGGGGTGCTGGAAGCAAGACGCTCAAGGGGTCGTATGTGAGAACCTAACTGTCACGGCAATGTCTGCTTGAAGGTCATACGCCGCTCACCGCCTTATTATCCCACTCATGAGCAAGTGGGAGCAAGTGGGCGCGGGTCTCAACCAAGCGCGATTGCATGTAACTTTGGTCGCGGATATCAGCCATTCCGGACGCGTCGGCCTCTCCTTGACATGGATTTCCGGAGCAGGACCTACCTGAGGCATGATGGATTGGCGCTACATCTTGATTCATAACACATGGAACGCGTCCACCAACACTCAAGGGGAGATGGCCTTGGGCTGAAACCTTGGCGCCAGCCGTCGCCATCTGTGGGGCATGTATGCATCAAGCTAGGACGACGCCTAAATGCGATATGAACGCCTGTGTGAGGTGGAACAGCAGCGATGTGTATGGTCTTTGAGAAAAGTAAACGAACAGCGATGTACACCGAAAAATAGGCGCCCGGTATGCATGAGCGTACAGCTCGGCTTCAGCATAACCATCACCATCATCCCCAGTCTGGCGTATGGCCAGGCGGCAACGAGAGAACTACCAAACATGTGCTTGTGGCCCTTGCCAATCATTCAGGCTTCATGGTGATGCAACTACGACCCTGCTACGCTGTCTGCTACTGCTACTGCTACAACCTCCCCATTACTTCCTCTCCTTCCCAACAGTAACCTCCCTATACCAATGCGCAATGCCCAAACTGATCCTCTCCCTCTATCCTCTCTAACATCCCGTGTCCGCGCAAGCCTCTTAGGGCTGGTAGCGGAAGTCCTCGTTACCCTCGATAACCGTCTCGCCCTTGTCGGCCTTGCGGTTCATCATGCGCATGTAGATGTGCAGGAAGCCGGCGCAGGCAAAGGTGAAGGCGTTAAGGCCTGGAAGGTCAGCCAAGATTCAGGGGCAGCGACAAGCAAGGCAAAACTTACCGAGAGTCATGTTCACACCAGTGGGGTATCCACGGCGAGCCTCCTTGTTGAAGAAGATGGCAGAGCCGAGAATACCACCAATGCCGCCGAAGGCGACCGAGAGGGCAGAGACGTAGCCACGCTTAGACTGCGAGCGAATGGCGGTCGCCTGCCACGAGATGATGAGGGGAACGTTCGAGTTGCCACCACCAACGGCGAAGAAGATGCCAGCGAAACGAGCGTTCTTCTGGGCGATGGGGAGCTTGGCGTACATGCAAGTGCCGATGATGATGCAGGCGGCGTTGATCATGACCATGAAGGCACGGGTGCCACGGTACTTGTCGGCGACCTTGCCGCAGACGACGGCAGGAACGATGGCCCAGAAGTACGCAGGAGTGCCAAGCATCATCGACTCGATGTTGTTGAAGCCCATCTGCGTAAGAATAGTGGGAAGGAAGTAGGCGAGCGAGTAGGTGGCGGTGGTGGTGCTCATGAACATGAAAGCGAAGAGCCACGGCTGCCAGAGGAGCATGTACTTCCAAACCTTGGCAGCAGTAAGCGGGTCGGGAGCGGCGTCGGCACGGTCACGCTGGATGCGAAGGGTGACGATGCGCTTCTCCTCCTCGGTGAGGTAGGTAGCCTTGTCGGGGAAGTCGATGATGAAGAGGTAGCCGATGACGGCGATAAGAATGGTAAGAGCACCGTAGAAGATGAAGAGCCAGCGCCAGCCGGTGAGCCCCCCCTTGCCGTCAAGCAGCGAGAAGCAGTAGCCGAGAGGCTTGGCGAACGAACCAGCAACGGCGGCAGAAATGTAGAAGATCGAGGTGCGGACGCCGATGTCCTTGCGGGGGTACCAGCACGAAATGAGGTAGGCGGCACCGGGGAAGAGAGCCGACTCGAAAAGACCAAGAATGGCGCGCTGCGCCGCGAGAGCCGACCAGTTGTTGGCCCAACCCATGGTAAGCATGACGATACCCCAAAGAAGAACAGCAGAGCCAAGCCAGATGCGAGCGCCGAACTTGCGCAGACCGATCTGCGAAGGGATCTCAAAGATGATGTACTGCGATCGTCAGTATTGCTGATTATATTGCAGATCTTTCCGCGCGTCACTCACGGGGACGAAGAAAACGAGTGTGATGACCGAGTAACGGTTGTTGTCGCCGCCGTTGATGTTGAGCTCGAGCTCCCTGTCCATCTGGTTGTTGTTGGCAGCACGGGCGATGGCCAGGTTGGTGCGGTCGATCAACGAGATGGCGTACATGAGGGAGAGGACGGGAATCAGACGGAAGTCGATCTTGCGCCTCAGGCGCTTGAGGAAGACGGGGTCGATGTCGGCGTCAATGTCCTTCTGGATTCCGCCCTCCGAACGGGTGTCGCCCTTCTCGTGATCGCTCCCGTTGTCGGCAAAGCCATTGGACTCGTAGTGCTTGGCGTCGACCTTCTCGACGCCGTTCTCCACCGGCGCGGTGGCGGCCATGGGCTGCTGGGACATGGTCGTCGTGTGTGGGGGTAGGTCGTCGAATAAAAGGGTGCCGGCAAAGGCTGTCAGCAGAGAAAGATGGGGGCCTAGTCAGCGTCCAGCATCTCCTTTTATTTCCCCAACTGCCGATGGCTTCCACCTCGGTCCACAGTCGAGTCACATTGTTTCCCGGTGCCGGGGCAAGTTTGGCAATGCCGGGGCTGTCCCGGGGCAGCCCACCTCCTCGGCCCCTCTCTACCCTTCTGCGGAGGCGCAGGGGCCCGCCCCCAGACGCGCCCCCGGGGCCCAGGCGGTCCCGGCGGCTTGCCGTGCACAGCGGAGCCTACCGATGGGTGTGAGCGGGCGACACGGCGGAAGTGACTTGGGTTCCAACGCAGAGGTAGAGCGGGCCCGTGGCCCGACTGGCCGACGAGGGGATGCCGCGGAGATGTGCTGCAAAAAGTCTTGGAAGGGCCTACCAAAAAGTCTTGGCACGACTCTGACGTCTCCCCAGCACCTGCCTCGTGGGACGACAGGCCGCTGCACGAGGGTCCACCTGGACAGGGATAGCACTGCCAAGTGAGGGTATAGACGATCCGTTCGCCTGATTCCGGAGCTTGTGCGTACATAACTCGCTGAACTGTTGCCACATCCCTAACTTGCCTTACGTTGATGGCGTCTGGTAAACTTTTTGTTGAGCATATAGACCCTGTGTCCGGTTATCTTGACATCCATCGCCCACCTGCTGTACACTGATCCCTGGTGGCTGCTGGTATGACTGGGCAACTGCGATATGGAAGAGCAAAAAGTTTTGACAGGGGCGGAAAGCGTTCGTGGCATGCTGAGTGAGCGCACACACGACGATCACTTGTGAATCACTTGTGGCACTGGTGGAACACAACTCAAACGCTTGTCGGGCGCCTCAGCGCCCCACACTGTAGGCTGTGCTTCGTCCTTAACCCGCATCCCGTCAATGCGGCTTGGATCTGTGCACTAATTACCGCACTGGCTTCCGTTCTGAAGCACAACCGGTTCACGCTCCGCGGTTCGTAGCACACCTCGCCAGCGCAAGGCTTGGCTTGTCGGGGGGCCGCTGTGGCTGACCCAAGGCTGAATGTTGCTTCCGTGCCCGTGCAAGTATCATCCCTAACAATCGAGTCACCCCAATCACCCAGAACCAATGGGCCAGGGCCATGCTGCGAGACGATTCTTGCCCAGCCGCGCAGCACCCAGGGCCCAGAACACCCCAGTGTGCGAGTGGCAATCCGCCCCGTATGTGAGCTGCGTTGACCAGCTCACTAGGGTTACGGCCGCCGATCGTGCGACAGCTCCCGAAGTGCTAAGGAAGTGCTTAGGCAGCACTTTCGCAGCGACAGTGTTCATGCGCAGCCTGCGTCATGCATGCACAATGCATGCGCAGCGACCCCCCGGCACAATCTATGGAGCTCCGCCACATTCCCCGGTTCTACTCTGACAGCCCCGGAGGACCCCCGCAGAAGTACCGTCCTTGCAGCTCCTCACATCTCCGAGCATCTGCTGGCATCTCGTCATGCATGAAATTTCTGCAACCGGATATCGCTCGCTCCGTGCCCACTTGCCCACCACCGCCCACAACCCATTGCCCACCGGTTGCCCACCTGCCTAATCTAAGCCGCTATCCAGCCTCGCATTCCCCGTGTCATGCAGCTCCTGTCTCCCATCACTCTTTCTATACGCGCGTCCGCTTTCTGTTGCCATTGGCCCTTAGAACCCCAGGCGACATTTCTGAGGCGACCCGCTGTCTGGACCCTCCGATCAGGTCCGGCGAACTGGGTGCACCTTAACTCCTCCGGCGACACCGGTTCAGTCTCAGCACCAACGAATACCAAAGGAGCAGCAGCCAACCCCGCCCCCATACACGCTTGCGATCACCCCATGGCGCAGGCGGGGGCCGGAGAGGCGTTTCGCGCCCCGGTGGAGCCGTGGTGGAGGAGGTGGAGCCCGCAGGCCATGTATTGTACACTTGGCGGGCTCCAGTGGTTTATCCGCGATTAACAGCGGTTTTGTCAGCTTCAGGCCGGCACCACAAACGATGCCGCTCAATTTTCGAATGCCCCATTCCCACGACGGAGACGACTACCGCTTTTGCTTGTTCAGCCCCAAGTCTCGCCAATTCGCACTCAGGTCAAGCGTGTGCTCGTGAGATGAGCATTCCCGTGGCCTGTGAACGACGCGTAAGCCTCCCACGTGAAAAGGACACATGAATATCTCGCACCACAGCTTCATCACAAGCAGCCGGGCGGTCATTGCACTTAGAATCTAGGCACGTGGGTTAGTGCGCGTCCTGCCGATATGACCCGAAGAAGGTCTCGGTGATGATGAGTGCGGGCGAGAGAGCGCCACGTAGTTCGTGGGCCCACGCCTACGCAAACTAAAAATCAAATGCTTACGAACGGACCATCGCACCACATGTCCTAGCACCGTCTTGAAAGGGGGACTGGGAAACTGTAAGCACACTCAGCCGCCGTGCGAGTAGATGAGCGCACTGTCCCTCAAGCGTGTAACACGTGCTGCCGATCACCGGAAGCGTGTGCGTTGGTATGCGGTTGGGCTCCGGCAAGTCTCATATGTGTTCCTGGCAACTCGGCGCTGCGGTGCGGAACATGAGAGTGGTAATGCGCGGAGGGACCAAGCGAGAACCACAGAGAGCCGTGAACAGACTGCCCCGGCACAACTGTGGGTTAAGCATCACCTCCAACACACCTATCGTGAGGGGAAGGGGGCGGAAACGTGTACAGCTTCATCGCCCACATTCCTTTCTGCGACCTCATGTAGCTGTGTTTAGGACAAACGCCACTATGGCACCAAACCAGCTTGCACTGTCATTTAGTCCCACTACAACAAATGCATAGTCAACCCGACAAATCACTACAGCCGAGTACATCAAATGTCACGTTACAAGAGCATTCCACAGCTCAGCACAAAGAGAGCAGAGGCATTTGGATGCGGTTAAGTCTATTACGCAGATACGCAGATCAGTTCCTGGCGGTACTGCCACAGCCCACTGGAGACCATCAACCCGAAACCAAAGCAGGATAGCCAATTCCGATGCCGAAACCGAGTCCGAAGGCCGAGAGGGGGCGCTGAGGCACCAGGATGGCATAGACCAATTGTGTTGGAACCAAACAAACTCCACGTGCTCCGGATCCGAACGGACTCAGCACGATTGAGACCTAGTATCCGCTCCAGAGCGCGCCAAGCGATTAAACCGACTAATGGGTAAATTGCACGGATCCGGACTTGCTGCCTGGCTCACACTACAGCATTGCGCCTACTAATATGCGTAGCGCCGAACAGCTTGTGCATCTTGGTAATGCTCGGTGCGCATCTCGCCCCCCCCCCCCTTTTCTGTCCTGCCTCTCGCACTACGCGCCTTTCAGATCCGCATGACCGAAGACACTCAGCTCCACCTGAGCGAACGTGGTGACAACTCCCATCTGGAGGCCAGTTCCCACAATGGAGCCATCCAGGTCGCCGACAAGAGCGCTCCCTATCTCTCTGCGCCGGACACTCACGACGTGGAACCACCCAACTCGCTCTCGTCCCTCTCGCAAGTACGCAAGAACATCCTCTTCGCTTGCTTCGTAAGCTAACCTTCCACATCTGCTGACTTAGTGCCTCACAATCTTTATCGACGGCGCGGGAAACACGGCGATGTTCGTGATGGTGTCCCCTATTGCACGCTCGCTATCCATACCACCATCACGAGAGGGCTGGATCCCTACCTCTTACGCAATGGTTTTCGCAGCATTGATGCTGCTCGCAGGCCGCCTTGCAGACTTGTACCCGCCTCACATCGTGTTTACCAGCGGCTACTTCGGCCTCGGTGCGATGTGGCTTGCCATCTCCTTTGCGCAAGATCAATACACATTCTTCACCCTTCGCGCAATTTGCGCACTTTTTGCAGTTCTTACTGTGCCGAGCAGTCTGAACATGATCGTCCAGATGTTCCCCGACAAAGTGACACAGGCAAAACGGCTCGCTCTGTTTGGCATGGCCGGCGCATTGGCTAGCACGCTGTCACCGATTTTGGTCGGCCTCTTTCTTCTTTCATCTTGGCGTTGGTTCTTTCGCTTGTGAGTTTTTTTATCAGTGCCACTAACCCAGCGTCGCGTGCATCGCTATCCCCTTTTCGCTCTTCGCGAGGGCCTTCATGCCCCTCACGCATGCCGTGGCACAGGCTGTGCCAGGCCGCCAGAAGTGGCGGAGACTCGACCTCGGTGGAGTATTCCTCCTCGTCGGGGCCCTCGTTCTCTTCATGTTCGCTTTCTCCGAGGCATCGGCGGCTGGGTGGACATCCCCGTCGTTCTACGCACCTCTCATAGTCTCGTTGGCCCTCCTCGCAGCATTCGTGATCTGGGAACACTGTCAGCCGGATGGGCTGTCTCTCCTCCCTCCGGACATCTGGCACTACTCGAACATAGGTCTCCTCATTATTCTGGGCCTTCTTCCCGCAGCTGCATTTTCAACATATTCCATGCGCTGCGCGGTCTACTTCCAGGACGCCTTAGGTGACACGTCCATTGTCGCGGCGCTGAAGCTCATTCCGATGGGTGCCGTCGCCGTCATCGCGGGACTCTTATGTCAACCGTTTCCCGTCCTGATGATGCGGCCCCGCATCGTTCAACCGATCGCATGTCTCCTTACTTTCGCCGGCACCATGCTGCTCGCTTTCAGCGGTGGAGGCTGGGGAGCTGACTACTGGAGATACATCTTTCCCGCGCAGCTGATCGGTACTTTCGGGGCGATGCTCGTATTCATCGGCGTGAACTGCGCCATCATCCAGAGCTTTCCCTTTGAATATGCTGGGGTGGCTGGGTCTTTTGCCCAGGTCGTCTTTACGATCGGGAGCGTGGTAGGGATCGCAATCCAGTCTGGGTTAGTCGCAACGGGCCAAGGGGGCACCGATTGGACGGGTGACCGCAACGCATATGTGTTCTTATCGGCCTACTGCATCGCTGCCGGTGCGCTGTGCGGCGCACTCTTCAGAAATCCTTTACCCAAGATCAGGACATCTGACATTGATGGGGTGGCATAGAATCGTACACATCCATGATATGTACATGCTACAACAGAGGCGAAGCCGGATCCAGGGGATACTTCGCGGCGAGTATTAGTGGGCGCAGTTGGGGCCGAGGTGGCGGGCGGTGAGGGCTAGGATTGAAGTTGCACAGCGATGGTGCTAGTCCGAGGCCGACACTGTGCCTACGTCCACCGGGTGAAGAGGGTGGCGACGAGGCGCTCTTTGTTGGAGCGAAGGGATTCAATACGTAGGTGTGTATTGGCATGTCTACGTAGACCCATTCTCCGCCTGACGTCGAGTTGGAGGACATCGAAGATAATAATAAGAAGCTCGTGTCGCTTGCGATGCTGGTCGTGCTCGAGGCGCTGCACACGCTGTCATTACGCCGATGGCTCATGCTTGTGTGAGCTGGGTGGATTGCCAGATGGCGGTTGTATGGCAGCAACGAAGACGAAGACACTCCCAAGCTCACGCTCGCCAGCCTCCGGACTTGATATGGGCGGGCTACTGAAGGAATTGGCGAGACTAAACCTCGTACCATCCACTCGATCACAGCACGCTATATTGCGAGGTACCACGAATCGACGAGCAATTACATAGATGAAACGACAGGGGAGATCACGAGATCATGTCGGCCAGCCGGATACATGCTTCCGAAAACTCATCACGAGACAATGTCGCTGGCATCGCAAGCACGGGCATGGGGCTTCGCTTCCCTGGACTTGGAGGCAAGCAGAAGTGGACGAAGACCCTTGGGCTGTGACGTAAAAGGTGTGGCAAGATCGACCGGTTTCTGAGGCGTCATGGGCGGCTGCAATTCTTCCATCCTGCTCAGTTCTGACCCTCTGGCCTGGGGAGGGGGTCCAACCAGGACCCCGATAGGTGGGGGGAGTGGCAGTCCCAGGACAAAGAGACCTTGCGGCAGGGGACGCTTAGGTTCTGCAAGGAGATGTGACATGTGGAAGTGGTCGGCCACACCACGTGCCACGTCGTACTGTTCTTGTGCGCGGCGCCGCTTGGCGGCAATCATTGCGCCACAATTGCACTTGCACTTACAATCCGAGTAGAAGTCACTTGGATGCTGTGTTTCGGCCAAAACTGAAGCAGTGGTGGTGGTCGCGTGATGGATAGTAAAGAGACTGTCCGAAGCACGGGCGGTACTTATCTGCGGCCCGCGCCAGGGCTTTGGAGGTGAAATCCCCATTGTCTACAGCAAACACGAGTGGCGGAAATTCGCTGAATAAACCGGGTCACAAGTCTCATATAGCGAGGGGGCTGCTACTGTTGTTTGAGAGATGCCGGGAAAGACTTCACAAAAATCAACAGTCACGAGAGAAGCCTCACGAAATTTGGTCAACTTTCTCGCACCGTGTATGTGAGATGCACGATGTCACCTCTCGCACCCTAATGAGTGACTCCCGACAACACCACAATAACGCTATCACAGGCAAGATGAGTGTTTAAGTCAGACAACAGAACTTGTTTTCGCCGACCGTCTGACTCCACGACCTGGTATAAGGACCCGAAACACCTTTGTCTCTTGCACCCATCACCGTCCTCGATCTCATCAGTGAGAATGAGGGGGCTGTGTAAACAGCCAGCCTATGCACTATTGAAAGGCCATAAATAATGTCCGCAACAGAGCCAAGCATGCACCCCACTCTTTAGTTTGAGCCGCAACCCAACACGTCCCCCGCCCAGTCGATGACGACCGACTTGCCCGCGCCGCCAACCGTCCCCGCTTCAACCTCCCCCTCCGATCAAGCTTGAGTCCCCCTGGACAAACTTTAACACCTGTGTACACAGGCTCTCGCCTTATCCACAGCAACGGTTCAAGCCGACGAGTACGATCAGTCCCAGCACGCCGCGTCCCCGAGCAACGGTGAGTCCCCTCATGAATCAATTTAGCCCGCGAACGCTGATGAGCTAGTGAGCGAGGCCCTCAAGTACTAGAACATACAGCCGACTGACATAACGATGGGCGATTTTGTCTCGGCCAGAAAACAGGCTGAGCTCGGCGAGCAACGCTGGGAAAAGCGGTGGACAGAGGGGAGGCGCCAGGCCGCGTTGCTTCCCAGCCTCCCATCCCCACCGGCCCCCCCCTCAGACAACTCAGACTCTTCCCACCCCGCTGACTGGACCTCCAATTTGACCACTGGCCGCACTTCTGTCCTCACTCCCGCCTTTATGGCCGCTATGGAGCACCTGAGCAAAGCTCCTCCCCTCAATTATAACGACGACGGCCACGATAGCCCGCGCGAGGAGACCACCAAGAACAACATGGAGCGCCGACGCTACCCTCTTCCCTCCAGTCAGCGCTACGGCACGCGCACACGCCCCGAGACGCCAGACCCGACTCTCGTGTCCGATGAGCCCCCCTCCAGCTACAACCCGTACATTCCCAGTGAGCGTTTCCGCCTCATGTTCGAGGTCGACGATTCCACCGAGACGTACGGCGACCTGCGCGTGCGCCCCGACACGCGCATCATCGGCCGTGCAGGCCCCCAAACAAGCGAAGTGCCTTTTATTGATGCGAACTCCGACTACCAGCCCCTTGGTAAAGACAAGAACAAAGGCAGGAAGGGCAAGGACAAGACCGTTGGCCTGCGCATGCGCAAAAGCTGGGAGAAACTCCGGGAGAGCGTTGGCTTGGAGGAAAAGCCCAAATATCCCCGCGAGGCCTGGCCCCAGGAGCAGAACGACGGAGGCTCGCCGCCGGACCAGCGCCCCGAGCCGCTGAGCCGTCCTTTCGACGAGAAGAAGGCAGCGAAGCTGGCCAAAGGCGAGCGGAAGGGCTCGATCTCGTCACTCTTCTCTCTAGGCGGCCGCTCCACCAGTGGCCGCTCGCTCAAGGAGCGCCGCGGCATTCCTCCCATGGAGCCGCTGCACATTCCCGAGAACCGCCATGAGCGTCTCGCGATGGGGCCGACGCTGACGCACACGCCACGTGAGTGGAAGATCAACGACGGTGACATCACGCGTCTGCGTGCGGCCTCGCCTCACGCGGAGAGCCTTCGTCTCAACGTCGTCGACGAGCGCGTGCGCCGCGGCGAAAGCCCCGCCAAGAGCACTGTGCACCGCCTCGTCCGCCGCGCTAGCGGACCCCTCCGCCGCACCTTTTCCAAGATGAGCCTCCGTTCAAAGAAGAGCACGGAGAATGTCGACGCCAACGAAGGCGAGGACTTCTTCCTACCCGCCCCGAATGCCCTGCACGCGCCTCGCCCCGACCGTCACGCGTGCTACCTCGACTGCAAAAGCTGCCTCCGCGAGGACGTACACAAGTTTACTGTCTGCTTCTGCGACTGCGACGGGTGCCGCCGTTGTCGCAATGCCCGCCAGTAGGAGCAATGCTCATAGCGACAGTCATGTGCTCGCGGAAACGCGGCTATGAGGTTAATGAGTAGAGTCGGCGCCAACAAGGCATGTGGGTAAAGGCGCGCCATCCATCGTCATGATCATTCAAGAGTTCGACCCTCCAGCAATACATGTGATGTAATCAGTTATACCAGCAGATCGGTGAGATAGCCTGAGGTATCAGTCCGCGCGCTCGGATCTGAGACAGTCTTTACAATGACAACGAGCTAGAGACTTCAAATGACAACCGCCGCCGCAATGGCGGCAACCAGTATGCCGGCGGGCAGCGCTGCGCGGCCTGCGGCACTGAGAGCTGGGTCGGGCCCGTTCTGATGTCAGCAGCATATGGTACTAACAAGACTAACCACTTGCCCCGAAGCAGCTCCGGACCCTGTTTGGCCCGCAGCAGCAGCAGCTGAGCCCGTACGTGACGCGGTGGGGCTCGGCGCAACTGGTGCTGCAGTGTATGGGACGTCGGGGACCTGCTCAGGCGTCCACTTGGTCCAATTTGGGACATTGAGCGCGTAAAGCTCGCCAGGAGGCTGCGTGGCGATGTTGCCGATCGGCCAGTAATTGCCTGCTGTCAGCTGAGACGCAACGGCGCACGCACAGACGAAGTAGGTCATGCTGGGGAAGGCGGTCGTGTTGGCGCAGTCGACGTTCCACGCACAACCGAGCGTGTTGCTCGCGTTCCACATCATCTGGCGTTAGAGGAGGGGCCACGCGGGGTCTTACGGCTGTGAAGTGCGACGCAGCCTGCGCCTCGGGGTGTCGGAAGGGGTAGTAGTCTGCGATCAGCGTCGCCTGTGGCGCTCTCACCCCATTCCTCGGCCCACATCTCCACCATCGGGTTGATGTCAAAGCGGTGCCCCTCTTCCGAGTATGACAGCTGTGCTCTGTCGTCAGCCCAGACTCCATCAAACGCACAGATTATCGCTGCCCCTGCTCGTCAGCTCTGTTAAGGCGCTCAACGCACCAGTGCTCCCACAGACATGTGTTGACGTGTTCCTGCGCGATCCGCGCAGCCGTCTCGTTCCATGTCACAGGCTGGTTTCCTGAACATCAGCTGGCTCGGCGCCGCGCTCACCAAACTGGGCCCGAAAGACGTTGCTGGCCGTCACGATCCATTGCGCGATGCGTGATTCGCCCCGCAGGTCGGCGTCGCTCGAGTTTGTGTTCATCATGAAATCGGAGGCACTCGTGCCGTCAGGATACTGCGGCCAGTAGGGCTCGGTGGCCGAGTCGTTAGCTGACGGCTGGTCGTTGAACGTCTGTGCGAGCACATGGTGCGCGAGGAGGAGGAGGGACAGCATGGCGTGTGCAATCGAAGGTGGCAAGAACGATGAGTGTTAGTTTAAACGAGCTCAAGAGGTTCAAGCGAGGCCGACTGGTCGATGATCGCGGCGACGTCGTTGTCGACGTATGCTGACTGATGGCGAGGTCTGTAGATCGCCGACGGGCTGCGGAGGGGTGCGCTCGATGCAGCCGTCGACGGCTGTGAGCTTGGCCAAAAGATGTCTAACGATGGGGGCGGTGCATGCACATGCAAGAACATGTCTTGGCGTCAGCTGCGGAAAGTAAGTTCCAAGTCGGTGATCTACCACGTCATTGATCAATGTTGTCAGTGAGCGTGTCCCTAATGTTGTACTTATGATCTGAATACAGAGTGGAATTGTGAGACATGTACGACATTCGTACTGGGGCAGATCGCTAGCGCCAAGGGACCAAGTGCGCCGCGTCGAGGTGCTGGAATGCTGCGGGACGCCATCTGGCTCCCAACTCAACCACCCAAAGGCTTGTCACGCTGCTGCGCTCACTTGGCTTGAGCGAGCGTTCAGAATCGAGTCCCCACATCGCCCGCCACACGGCCTCGCCCAGCCTGTTACATCGTCATGACCCCATCGCCTATCTGCTGGCTAAAAGAGAGAATACGCTGGACGAGTTAGGAATCGAACCAAAGACCTTTCCAAGTCATGCTTGATGTCAAAGACGCCATGCGAATGGAACGCTCTACCAACTGAGCTACACGCCCTTCGTGAAGTTAACGGGACCTGTAACTCTATCTCAGTCGAAATTACATCCTGTCCATCATCGAGCCCCACCGTCGAGCCCCACGGCAGATTGTTTGTGCAGCTTAGGTCCACCCATCCCATCCCATGTCCCATGATGCAACTATGCTATGCCATAAAACCTACAGCTACGACGCCTCCGGCAGCGGCAGCGGGCCCCGCGCCTGGATCCGCTCGAGGGCGGTCACCGTACGTTTGAGAGTGAGGATAGCGCCCATCGAGAGGCGGCCGATGGCGTCCGCATTCCACATCTCCTCCATTTCGTCCTCGTTGTCGTCGCCGACCTCGCCCTGCGCGATGAGGCGCTGCGCATGATCGATGACGCTGGCCAGGCGGCCCTTCGTAAAGAAGGCGTGCGTGAGCTCTGCTTCGAAGCCAGCGGGCGGGCGCTCGAGCGCCGTGCGCACAAAGCTGCGCGAGAGCACATACGCCTTTTCGCTGTACAGGCGCGAGTTGACGCGGCCCTCGCGCGTGCCTTCGAGCTTGGCAAACGCGGGCTCGCAGTGGTATGGCGAGCGCACAAGGACTAGGCCCGATATCGACACGAAGACCTGCAGCAGCGAGCTTTTCGTTGGACTCCAGCTCTCGCTCTTGTCGCCCGCCCATGTGCCCAGCACCGAGAGGCACACCTTGCCCTCCTCGTACAGGTTCGGGTTACATCTCCCGAGCCCGTTCGTGTGGCTGTGGAAAAAGACTTGCGGGGGCTCGTTTGGGAACTTGGTCGGATTCAGGTAAACGTCGAAGATGAACGGCGCGTCGGCGTACGGCGTACCCTCCGGGCCCATAATGAGGACACGCATCAGATCCGTCCGGTCCTCATATGTCCTTACAAGGATGTTCTCGGGAAGGGATGTGGAGAGCGTGCGGTGCTCCTTGCGTAGCCGCGAGAAAAAGGTCTTGGAGGCAGGTGGGAGCAGGGGCTCCTCGAAGTAATGATGCTCGGCTGGAGCGGATTCGAGAACCTCGAAGCGCACCCAATTGTCGCTGTCAGTCAAGATTTCGCGACGGGGCACAGGTACGGCCGACGACGGCCCGGCTGTCGGCTGATTCTCGGACTCAGCTGCCCTTGGCGTTGCTGCCGGCTCGGGAGGCGCAGGGGTGGCCTCGTTGTCGGAAACCTCGTCGTCAGAAGCCTCGTCGTCCATGCCCACATCCACCGCCTCGCGATCGACCGAGCTGTTCCCGTCCGTTCCATCGACGTCCATGTCCTCGTCATCGTCAGAGTGCACGAAATCGTCCGGGGCAGGCACAAAGAAAGGCGCGGTCGCGCCGTTGGGCGCGCCATCGTCCTCGTAGACGCCGTCGTCGCCGACAGTCTCCCACGACCGATCCGACATCACATCCGTGTAGTCCGAGTACTCGTCATCAAACTCGGGCGGGAACTGGGCCTCGGGCTCGTTCAAAACGATAATCTGCTTGAGGTCGACACGCTTTCGCTCGCCAGAGTACAGCTCGACGCTGATGGTGCCGTCCAGGTGCATGTCAACAACCTCACCCCACCACGTGATGCTGTTTGGGTCGCCCTGGGGTAGAGTGGGCAGGTATCCACTCAACTGCCCCGGCCCTCCGCGTAATGTGACACCCAAGCTCGCAAGAATGGTCTTGAAACCCTGGCGCCCGTCCTCGGCGGGCTCGACCTGGCCTAGAGAAGGCACCTCGGGTAGCTCGGCACCATTATCCTCGCACAGCAACACAAACTGTCCCAGGGCAACACCGTAGTTAACCCGACCGAAGCCTCCCGTGTCGAGCTCCAACACAGAGACGGTTTCCTTCTCTTTCGTGTCCAGAAGCAGAACTTCGGCGATGCGCTGTTTTGGGTTGTACGTCTGCACTACAGCTGGTCGTCGTACGCCTGTATCGCTGCGCCAGACGAGAGCTTCTCCAGGCCACGCCTCGTAGCTAAAGTTAGCCCACAGCGTGATTGATGACCCACTCGTCAACGTTGCGGTACGGGACGAAGCCGGACGAAAACTCCTCGGTCTCGGTTCCATCCTGCCAACGGAGCGTGAGCTTGTGGCGATTCTGCAGCACCTTATACACCCGCAGGGGGAAGGTGTTTCGCAAATGGAATGTCGCCAGACCGCCAAATGCAGCTTCTACAAACGGGTCCCGGAATGTGACTGTGGTATTGAGGAGGGGTGATTGGTGCCTCGTGGTCTCGAAGTGGGTGAGCTTGCTGATGTCACCTGCCCCCCAGAACTTCTCAGGCTCGGGGTGTTTGTCGTGTTCAGATATAGGGAGCTGGTGTCAGCTTGATGTATCACCGAGCTTGGCTCACTGTCTGATTGATAGCGTTCCAGACAACGTAGACTATGAGAGGGAGCACCCGGATAACGCGATCTTCATGGAAGTTGGCGCCTGGCGGGCAGAGAGCCAAGAACTCGGGATCCTGGGGCACCACTTCGCTTGCGTAGCGCCCAGTCTCGAGTATCCCGCCCATCTCCGCCATGCGATATGATGTGCCGTCCTGCGCCTCCATCAGACCGTCTTCGAACACCTCCTCGACCGTCCCGAGCCATTCGTCGTACACGACCTTGTCCTTGGCCTCGATGCGCACCGCGTTCCGCAGCTTGTCCCATGGTACCCACTGCGAAATGCGCTCTCCGGAAATGACGTGCTCGATCATACACTCGGTCTGCACATCGATCACGAGTGCACTCTCGGCGTCCATGAGCGAGTGCTTGACAAAGTCGCCCTTGACAAAGGGACGCTCGAAGAGCTCGAGATCCATTTCCGACATGACCTTCAGATCGCCAGTCATGACATCGCTGAGGTCAGCAGTAGCGGGCGGGTAGCAGAGGGTGACAGATGAAAGGTGAGGGAGGGGGGAGGAAGGGGAGGAGAGACTCAACCGGCGCGCGATGACGGGCGTGTGTGTACACATAAGGTGGGAGGTACCACATAGCAGCGACTGTCAACAGAGGCGGCGAGTGGCTCGTTCTCTGTGCAGCTCGCCGTCCACTGCGCAAGCAGCGTGTACAGCACTTCCTCACACGCCTCTCCGCCTCCTCTCCGGAGCCCTCGGAAGCCTGCCGACTGTCCTGTAGTTGCCTTGACATACCTGACCACAACCTCGCCGCGCACGAGCGGCATGTACACGCCATTCGGCGCCTCAGGGAGTACTTCCTCGTCTGCCCATCCTCGCTGTTATCAGCTTCCTGTAATCCACGCCGTCGCTGGCGCGCTCGTACTCACCATCACCTTGCCGCGGTAGGATGGGTTGACTTTCTTGGTCACGACGTCGCCCTGGAAGAACTGGGGTTAGCCGGGTCGGAACGCAGCGTGCTATCCGGCGAGTAGATGCGGGCAGCCAAAGCTGGGGGACATGCGAGGCTTACGATGGAGGTATAGTCCTTGGGTAGCCCAGGAAGGGAGTGTGGTGGCATGGTGATGGAATGCCTGGTGGGGAAGGGGAGGGGAGGAGGCGGCGCTGCGAGCGCAGAGATGTCAGAGAGCAGAACAGGGTAACGAGATGGAGGTGGAGAGTTGGAGCGGGGGGAGGCGAGAAAAAGAGATAGCGAGAACGAGAAAGAGGATGGGGGAGGGAGTGTTATTGAGATTGTGAGGAGATTGCTCGGACGTGATTAGCACCAGAAATCCCAACCCGGCCTCCGCGGAACCAAATCCCACCATCCTCATTCAATTGCGTCGTGCATTCCGCCCATCGCTTTCGACCTCGCCACCAAGCCGGCCACGTCATGTTGCCAGCGTAAATGTTCATTGCAAACGGCACCTCGTGTGGACACGTCAGAAGCTACTAGTAGTGTGTGTGGTGTATAGATGCTAGTGGTACAAGCACATGAGACCCGTAAGAAGTTGCTCTAGGGACTAGAGGAGTAGGGAGGCGATAAGACCCAGTGCGAGGATGGTGGAGCCAACCGTCACAGATGAGCCGGACGAAATGGAGGTGCCGCCACCGCCAGCATTGTTCTGGACAGGCCCACCAGTTGAGCCAGACTTGCCGTTGGTGACGACGTTGGGCGCGAGCATCGCGAAGCCGATCTGAGGTTCAGGCGCCATGCGGAAAGCCGTGTAGTAGTTCTTCATGAATGCTGCACCAAGGAGCCACGGGCCGGGGCCGACGTTTGACAGACAGAAGCGCGGGTCCTGAGCGAGCGCACCGCGGAGAATGTCAGCGGTCTGGATCGGGTATTCCATTCCACCAAAGAAGAAGGACGCGGTGGCAGTCGTGTCACAAGGGATGACCCACGAGCCGTCATTGTTGGGCTCCTGGGCACCGGGAATCTGAGCGTGGAACGCGCGCACCGCGGCATCGGGCATCATGATGGCAGTCGAGCCCGTGTCAATGACGGTGGGCGCGAGACGGGCGTTGAACTTCTTGCCGTTGGCGGAGAAGCCCTCGAGCGGGAGCTGCCACCAGTAGGTCGTGTTAGCGGGCATGTACTTGATCTCGCCAGTGAAGAGCCGTCTGTTGACACCACCGAGGGTCAAGACGCCGCCACTGGCCTCGCTGGTCTCGGTCAAGCTGCTGCCGAGCATGTATCTTGATGGGTCGATGTTGGTGCGAGCAAGGAACACGCCAAACTGCTTGTCGGTCCAAACGTTCTCAGCGGTCGTAATCCAGAAGGGAGGGGGTGCCTTCATTGCGGGACCGTTGGGACCTTGCAGTGAGATGGAGGGCACGCCGAGACCCATGATGCCGGACAACTGCGATCCCATATACCGGGCGACGGTTCCCTGCTGAACGAGAGCTTGTAGAGTCAACTGGAGCACATGAAGCGATGGGTATGGTAAGGTATGGCGCGGCGGCCGCCCGATGCCCCATGACGGAACTCAGGGTGGCGGGTCGAGCCAGATCTCTTTCGTACTCACCAATGGGTTGGTCGTTGACAAAGTAGCCTCCCATCTCGACGCGGTCCAGTGCCCAAATGCCAGATGCCTCGCCAGTGCCATATGCCTCGTACATGGGTGTGCTGGTGGGCTGGAAAGTGGATGACCGCGAGTCAACGAAAAGAGGGTGGCCTTCACAGCCGCGGCATGACTCGTCAAAGAGAACAAAGTCCTGGGAGCCAGTGTCCGCGACGACGAGGAACTGCTGCGCGGGTGTGCCGACCTTGACAGGAGTAGCGTACCCCTGGTCGCGATTGTAGTTCATAAGGCTGGTGTGTGAGCGGGGTGTCTGTAGATAAAGCTGGGTAGGGGATGGAAGCGTTGTCCAGCTCGCCAGATGGGCCAGCTGCCATAGTCAACTCACGTAATGTCGCCGGCAGGGGCGTTGTTGTTGGAGCTACCTCCTTGAGCCTGACCGCCGGGGTTGGCGTCCGACGAGACAGGAATATCGGACGAATCCTGGGGTCCAACCTGGCGACGGCGTCGGCGTTCCGACTCGTCGACAAACTCAAGGTCACGCTTGAGGCGGGCATATCCGTCTTCGTCGAGGGCACGAGAGAAGCGAATGCGGTTCGTGATCATCTCATCGCGAGCATAGGCAGCGCGAACTTGTGGGTCCGGGTGGTTGGCGCGCTCGCTGATGGGCGTGAGGACGAGGTCGACGGGAACGCCTGGCTGGTTGAAGCGCTCCTCGAGAGGAGCAGCTACAACGCCGAGAGCGGAGAGGAGGAGTGCGGGGAGCATGCCGAATAGCAGTAGGGGAGAGGGAGGCAGAGGGCAGCGGGAACGGATGAAAGAAGAGGTTGGGACTAATGAAGAGGTTGAGATATGGGGGACGGCGAGGGTATCGGGAAGGATGGATAGAGAATGATGAGGTGGACTTGCAATGAGATGACGAGGGGAGAGAGAGAGGTGACGAGGAGAGGGAGAGGGGAGCAAGAGAGGAACAGTAGATGACGAGTCGAGTACAAAAGCAAAAGAGAATGAGAGTGTTGTGCAACGAGAAGAGCGAGTGATCGAGAGTAGCGGAGGAGAGTGGAGCGGGAAGTGTCCTACCCTGGGTCAGCGGTGGTCCTGTCTATCCTGGATTCAAGCGGTGCCAAGAGCAGCGGAATGATCCCTCCCGAGGCTGTTCACTCCACCTGCTGTCTCGCTACGCTCTTGCTCTCTTGCTCTCTTGCTCTCTCGCTTTCTCCTCTCTTCTCGATGATCTGAAGATCCAGCATGCATAGCTCTGGCATTCAATCGCCCTCAGACAGGTATCTCTCTCTTTTGCCTACTCACCACCAAGTCCACTTTTAGCTCGGTCAATCGCCCCAGTCATCCCCTTGTTTGTCGTCCCGCCTTCCACCCAACTCGCAGACCCCTCGCAGACTACGTCTCCCACTATCCAACCACTATCCGACGGTGGTGGTGGGACGATGCATCGGCGCTCTTTGCACTCTTCCAAGCTCATCGTCATCGACACTCGGACTGGGAGCATCGGAGCAATGCAATGGTGGATTGTGCTTGTTTACCAGTGATCTTCAGGCACTCGCAGCAGCAACAAGCTAAAACAACATGCATGCCAATTCACTACGCCCCTCAATCCCACTCTCTTTCGCAATGCTTTGACTCGATCGTGGCGGATGTAGCCTGGGGCGATGAGGACGCTGCTGTCGGCGGCCCGACACTTCACCGCCTACAGGATATCTCTCATTCCACAGATCTCTCTGTCTATGAGCATATTCACAATTACTGACCCGGACGCTGCTCGCATCAGCACCGCCATGCCGCTTTCGGCACACCATGCACTGTGGCGTGCAACAATGGCACTGCTATCCACGTCGTGCACGCCTGCACGCGTCCCCAGATCCACGCCAACGCGTCGTCGACACACGCTGCACCTGTACAGCTGGAGTGGCGCGACTGTGGCCCGCGCGCCCTCGCAGCCGTCTTAAGCATACCCCTCCCACTTATTCACCCCATCACCTCTATGTCCGCTCCCGCTCCCCCCGCTTACTTCGCCGCTGAGCTCGCGGCCGCGCTGGCTGCCCCTCGGCCCCCGCCCGCCGCGGAAGCCAAGCAGTGGGAGCACATCATCGTCGGCGCGCGCCTCGAGAACCGTCTCGTAACTGAACTTCGCAGCGCTTCCCCGCCGCACAACCTGCTGCCGTATGCGGGCGGCTCGCTCGACCCGGTGGCGGGCATTCCCGACGAAGACGACGACGACGACGCGGGCCGCATCGCGACGCTCGTGCGCGCTGCACCCTTCGTCACCACAATCGACCTGCTCGCCGATGCGCCGGACACACACCTCCTCCTGTCCCTGTCCCCGCGCGTCGTCCGCCGCACCCTGCCCGTCTACTGCCCGTGGTTCCCCGGCGTGCTCGTCGAGTTCGCGGACCTCGCAACCCTCGCGCCCCTCGCGCCGCTCCTCTCGCGCCCTATGGCGCCCGAGTGCACACGCCACATCGTGCACGTCAGCGACCTGCTCACCGGCACCGAGACCAGCCAAGACGGCGGCGAGGGGGGGTGCGACAGTGTGAATCTTGACGGACTACGTGCGCTAGGCCTCCTCTGCCTCATTCCCTGTGACTCCCTCGACCTCGTGCTGCACGGGCGGCGCGTGGCGTCCGAAGACGAGTGGGCGCTGTGGATGGGCCTTTTCGTGCGCCTGCTCACGCCCCTCGCCAACCTCTTAGGTGAAGGGACGGAGATCTCCGTTGTTGGCCTCGAGCGCCTCTTCCCGTCCCGCACAGTACATTTGATGACGGAGGGCGACGAGGAGGCGGAGACGCAGCACGGTGTTTTGGGCGACGAGGTGCGGCGCCGCGCGGCGGGACATGGCATTGCAATTTCAAGCGACGCGTGGGCGCGCCTCCGATACATCAGCGCCGACGAGTGGCTAGAGGAGACGGGGATTGACGACGATGAGGCGGAGCTCTGGCTCGCCCGCCCACAGTACGTACAGCCGCTTGCGGCAGAGCTATGCGCCAAAAGCCTGGAATATCTGGCGCAGGAGGATGCGCTGGCGCCAGCAACGTCCGCAACTAGTTGATGATGCATATACAAATACACAGGGCGGTTGGACGCCGACATTAATTCCCTTATACAGTCTTTCCCATCTAATATATTCTGTGACGAGCCCATTACGTCCAGAAGAACGCGAGCGGGTGAGGCTTGGGAACGTGGTGCCCCTCGCGGCGTAGACGCTTGCGCTCCTCGAAGCGCAGGCCCCACGCGATGGCAATGAAGCCGAACGTGCACACAGCCATGGACACCAGGTAGAACTTGGCACCGACGGCCCAATTCGGCGCCTGCTTCGCTGGGTACGTCCACAGCGTGATGAACCCGTTGTTGAGATATGCCATGATTGTGCCCGTGGCGATGGTGATCGTCCGCACGTCTGGCGCGTGTGCAAGGAACGTTGTCGCCCACGCGGCGAGGAGGACGTACGACACGTTGCCCATATAGTTGAGGTACCAACCGATCATGTAGGTAACGCGATTTTCTGGGCGGATGGTGAGGATGATTTCGGAGGCGAGGTTGATCGCCGCGTGGATCAGGAGCGAAGGGAGGCGAACACCCAGCCAGTCGGACAGCCAGCAGAGCGCAACCGTTGCCACGAGCTGCAGCGAGAAGCCGACAACCGGAAGGTAGTTGAGCTCCGCAATCGTGTAGCGCGGAGAGCCGTCCGGGAGCTTAAGCGACTTGAGCCACAGGTTGAAGTAGTTGGAGGGAGCGATGTTGTAACCGAACGCCCATGTGACTGGGGTTAGCTAAACTTTCAGAGGATAGGAGGACTGTATCGACTCACTCGCAATGGCCCACAGCTGCCAGTACTTGAAGGCCTTGAGGAACGAGCGGGCGTTGATGGGCTTGAGGGGCTCGCGTTTGACGCGCGCCGTGCGGCGGCGCGCAATCTCGTAGTCCTTGTCTGAAAGGTACCACTTAGCGAGCGGGTTGGGCTTGTCCGGGAAGCCGGGAATGGAGAAGTACGCAAGAAGAGCGACAAAGATGGTGCACACGCCGTTGACGATGAAGCCCCAGCGCCATCCGGAGCGGCCGAGGGCACCGTCGAGCGTTGTGCTCAGCGCGCCCTGCATGATGCCCGCGAACATGGAGCCAATCGACTGCGCGCACGTGAAAAAGCCCATGCGCAGCGCCACCTCCTGTGGCATGTACCACTGCGACATGACGGTGATGTAACCGGGCCAGGCGGTGCCCTCGGCGAAGCCGATCAGGAAGCGCAGCGCGTAAATCTGCTTGTAGTTGGTGACGAGGGAGAGGCAGCAAGTCATAACGCCCCAAATAAGCTCGGCGCTTGGCAGCCAGTAGTGCGGGCCAAAGTGCGACACGGCGATACACGAAATGTAAATGACGCCAACATATCCACAGTTGAAGAGCGTCGTGAAGTAGTTGTATTGGTTGCCGACAATGTTGATCTCCTCCTTCATGCCGGAAACGTAGGCGTTGGCCTGAAGTCAGCAGGTGTGATTTTCGGGTGCGAGGATTTGTGGCAGCAAACCTCGGCCAAGACTGCGTTGTGGGCTCCACAGAAGCGCCGAGAGTCTTGGGCCAACAGCCGCGACACGGCTGCGTTTGCAACCGCAAGGGCGCCCGCCACAAACCCACCGCCAGTTTCACTCACAATGTTGACCTGGTCAACGTATTTGAAAATGTAACCGAGGAATCCAACTAAAGTGAAAACGATATCGAGCTTCCAGAGCTGCTGTTAGCATGGCTACGCCGTACGATGTGCAGGTGCGGGCCGTGCCTCGCGTGCACGTGCCAGCAGCGGTACTCACGAACCAGCGCTCGGCCTTCCTCTCCTCCTCGCTGAGCTCCTCAAAGGGAACGACGTCCAAGTCCTCAAGCGACTGCTCCTTGTATGGGGTCGGCGCGCCCGACGACATCTCGGCGTCGAGGTAATGCTGCTTGTCTTTTTCAGCCATGGTAAATGAGTGTGGGTGAGTGTCTCGGACTGTGATGTCTGGCCTTATAAACGTTGCGCCGCGCCTGCGCGCGCTCCGGCTTCGCATCGCACAACGCCAACGACTCATCTCTGTCGCCATCGCTTGGCGCTCGCTGAGGACGCACGAAATGTCATCGGCGATGGAGGCACGCCTGCAGACCCTGGGCCAGCGGGCGTTCGTCCAACCACTTCTTCCGACGCAGCAGAACCTGCGCGCGATATGCGGAGGCCCGCGATATCCTGCGCGAATGGTATCATTCGGAAGGGCGAGAGAGCGATGGCGTGCGCCGTCGCGATCGATAAGGCCCGGGATAGGGGAGGGGCCGCCGGGGAAATGCGGCGGGGCAGTTGCGATCGTGGCCAGCCAAGTCAAAAAGTCGAGACGCTCGGGTGGAGCGAGGCGGGATTTGTGGCAGTGATAGGCGGGGGTAAACCGGGATTACGGCGGTAGAGTGCTTGACGTGCTTGACCTTGATTTCCGGTGAATTAGCGCCGTGCCTGATTCCAGTCGAGAACTATGTAGGCATTTAGGTGCAAGGTCATACATAGCTCCTGCACTACTGCAAGTGTGCATATCAATTTCATGAACATTACACGCGTACAGCGGCATGCAAGATTGCTGTCGATCATGTCACGTGTGGCCTGGCTGGCCCCCGGTACGGTTTCTGGGCTGGGGCGGATTGCTAAAGCCATGGTTGGCGTGCCGTTTCGCGTTTCAAGCACTGGCGCCAGGACCGGAGCCCATGAACAACAGCCAACACCGCACGTGCTAGAGGCAATATCGGCTGCGCGGCTCAACTGGTATATTGGTATCCGTGTACTGGATAATCCACTTACAGCGTCGCTGTCTGCATTGTACATACCTTCGTGTTTACCTTACCAGTCGCTTAACACCCAACCATTCATCCCGGGTCAGTCGTAGGCGAAAATGAGGGTTGGTTCTCAAAATCGGCGAGATCCCTGTGTCATCTCCTAGGGGAACGTCAGCCGACTTGAGCTCGGCCTGGTGCTGGTTATTGCGCCGCGCGCAAACCTCCCAGAGCACGGTAGACTGCACCATCGCAGTCGCGATGCACGCGATGAGGGTGAGCGTAGCGGGGACCGAAGTTGCTCGTGCAGCTGCCGGAACGTCTGCGACCCGATGAACCGCCGGGACAGAAGCAGACCATGAGAATGATGTTGACTATGGTTGTCTTGAAGCTAGCGACAACGTCGTCTGGTGGCGAGCGAGTGCGCGAGACTATTGAGAAGGCCTGACGAGAGTACCTGGGGAAAGCCGCAAGGCGAGCGGTGCGGTGAGCCCAGACCATATGACTGTGCTCGGTAAGAAATGCTCGCGTAGCTGTTGACGAGTTCCTAAAGGAATGCTACCTGTCAACTTCCATGTCTAGCACATCTGCTCCGCTGAATAGCATCCAACAGGGCAGCCGCTCCTTCATCTGCGTAGGCCGAAGGTGTTATAACCCCGTCATCATACTTTGCATGACCGCCTGCAATCACACTTCCTGCATCTACACCCTTCTACGTTCAAAACGCCTAGTCGAGCATGTTGAGCGGCGCGTACGCACTGCCGTCAGCAGCTTCTTGCACAGCACTCACATAACGCCGCACCCCGCGCGCCCGCCGGCGTGCCCCGTTTTCTTTGAGTCGTCGTACCCGCCCCGACCCAGGTCGTCCGTGCCCTCGTGCACGACGACACCACGCCCAATTACGCTGTGCTGCCCGCACAGGCGCACGAGGCAGTCCTTGATTTCGATCTTGGCGACGCCGTCCGCGTCCGCCTTGATGTTACCGAGGTCACCCACGTGCCGGTTCTTGTCGGACGGGGCGCCGTGATCGTGTCCGAAAGGGTTGTAGTGCGCGCCTGTGGACATGCACCCGTCGCTGAGGTCGCCGAACTCGTGCACGTGGAAGCCGTGCTCCTGGTCCGGGGAGAGGCCGCGAATCTAGTGTAAGCGAAGCGGAAAAGGAGAGTTGTTGCGCATGCGTGAGCTCCGGGATAGTGCGTCCACAGATGGGATTGCTTGATACGGCCTAGATTGTATGAGACCCACCTCGCCGGTCACGCTCATCTTGTGCCCCTTCTGCTGAAAGTAGACCCAGCCCGAGACGTCGTTTGGCCCGCTGATCGTCGCCATGCCCGCGAGGTGGGCCGCGCACGTGAAAGTGGTGAGGAGGGGTATTTGCATGGCTTGTGTCTGGGGTCAGCTTGGTCTGAGCGGAAAGCTCACGATAAAGAGTGGGTGATGAGAAAGGTCGGTGGTCGGTGACATGCGGTTACTGCGAAATGCCTCAAGGGTCGATGTCGGCCGAAACGTCTTGGCGGTGGAGGCCACTGTCCGGGGTGAGCGCCGACACACGTGCTGGGCTGACACCAAGCCGAAGCGCGATGGCGGGGCGGAGGCACCGGCAGAGAGCTGGACAGCACCGAGAGAGCTCCTATACGAGAGCGAGACTGGCCGAAGTATGGATGAGTGCAGAGGCGTTATCAGATAGCGTTGATGCTGGGCATGACGTCACACGTCTACCGACCAAGTCGCGACAGGCAAGTATCTGTACATGTACACTTCACAACAACTACAAGATGCAATCACTGCGCGCTCCTGGAGCCATGTGTCCATCTGTAAGGCCCACACACTCCTCTGAACCCCCGCACAATCCCTCGCTACGGTGACTTCCGTCTACTTGTCCGTGGCCGGCGTAGGAGCGGGCGGCGGCTGGGGCGCAGGCTCTTCCCACGTCGAGGGGTCGAACGCGAAGCCATACTCGAAGTCGTCTGTCCAAGCAGGAGGCCAAGCTCAAGTCAGCGGGAGCGACATGAGGCGTACAACTCATGGTACGGGGAGTTGAGTGGGGTGGGTAACGGATTGATAGATATGTCGGCGTGAGTGAGCGGATGTGTGGTGGCGACGTCGTGGTCGTGCGTGCTTATAACTACCGCGCCACGGCGAGCATCATGTGCAGCGTCGTAGTCAGAAGCAATGTACGGTGGGACGACCACCCGCCCCAACTACTCGCTTGCAGGTGGGGGCTGAGAAGGCACACATCACCGCGGTATGTCGGCTTTCTCCTTCGTGATTCTTAAGTGACCACCCACCACATCCATGATGCATGTGACCACGCAGCCAGCATAAGAGCAGATGACCAGCGTCACCGCCGGTCGAGCCCTTGCCACTTGTCCTACCTATTACTGACGATGAACACCCGCGGAGGTGAGTCGGAGCCACACTACTCTGCGCGCCGTCGAGGGAGTCTGGACATGGTGTAGAGCCTGGGTACTCGCTCACACAGTCCCCAACCGCCAGGCCGAGACCGAGACGAAGGGCGATTTCGAGATCTTCGACATGAAGTTTGCCGAGGGCCGCCCCCGCCGCTTCTCCAACCTCGGCATCGACTTCCTCGACGACCCCGACCACCGCCCTGGCCTCGAGGGCACTTACCACGCGCACCACGCCGAGAGCTACCACGGAGACAAGGAGCACCGGAACTCGGGCATGGACGGCAAGGCGTAAGCGCCAGTATGGAGAGGCACGAGAAAGGCGTTCATGTTGTAGTGAGAAGTCCCAGACGAGCCTGCGAAGCTCCATCATCATGCACATAGTCTGATGTCGGCGTGATGCTGGGCGCATTCTGATCAACTGTCCGCAGGCTACCGCCGACGTCAAACTGCGCCGGCACTCACTCCGTGCCCTACGTATCCGCGTAGACGCCCATGCATACCTGTAGCTTGCGGTTACGTCGACCGGGCGAGGTGCCCAGATAAGGCATAGGGGGCACATGACCACATCCCGATCACGAGCCGAAGCCTCCTCATCTTGCTTCGCCGTATAAGACACCCACGAGCTGCCGAAGAACACGCATCACTCACATCATGTTCCCGCACAGCTCGTTCACTCGTGGCGAAGCGACTCCCCGTGCGCGCGCTAAGAGATCTTCTGACACCAGGCGGCCTCCACGGCACGCGCACGCCGCAGCGGCCCCGCACGCCGGCGCAGCGCGAGGACAGCCCCACTGTCACGGACAACAAGATCCCCGCGGTCGTCCCGCCCGCCGTGACGACCATGGACACGCGCCCCATGACTCCTGACTACGCGAAGACGCAGTACATCAACATGAGCGGCATGTCGAGCTGGTAGACGGAGGAGAGAGTGCGGCGAGGGGAGTACCCCTGGGCCGCAGTCAGAAGCGCTTCGAAAAGTCTCACAAACCACAACAACACCTCCTTTGTCATCGTGTACATGTATTCCTGCATTCCGCCGTTGCTCCTATAAACATTTCCGTGTCGTGGAGTTGATGGGGTAACAGACTCTGGAGGTGAGAGAAAATGCCATGTTCACTCCATCGTGGTGTGATAACCCCCACTCGAGATAAGGGGCATCGACTGTACTGGCGCGCCCTCGGCCGGATGGCTGGTAGCACGATACAAGGTCCCGATGGTGCCAGTCTGCAGTGAGCCAGTAGTACGACAGTCTGACCCAGCTGAAGATATTCAAATCTCACTGTGCGTGACGAGGCCGGGCTCCCCGCCGAGGCGGAATTCTCCTGGATGCGCTGAAGCGAACGACTTCGACACCTCCATCGTCTGTTTTGGGAAGAAGTTACCTCGCAGCCTCCTCAATCTCACCGCTACCTGCCATAACTCAGCATCGGAGCTGTGCAAGGACTGGCCAGAGCAAAACCCGGATTGTGGATTCAAGTCGTGGTCGGGTGCGTCACAGCAGAGCACATACCAAAGACCACAGGCGCGGAATGGTCTGGGGCGTCTCCCAGTTCTATCGTATCGGTCGACATTGCACATGCGCCCCGTTGCTACTGCTAAACCTTGACAGCCGCTACATCTTGACACAACGATGATGCAACTCTGGAGCAACAAATGCCGCGCGTGTCTTCACGCACATGGCACACGCCCAGGTGGGGCACCTTGTCGGAGATCGGGGTCGGCGTCAGTCGTTCCTGCAACCAATTGCACACCTCCGGCATCGACGGGGCGTTATGAGAACGCCGGTGTCGCGCTCTGTGACTGCTAGTAGCACGAAGTCAAAGATAACACCGGTCTCTCTTGTTCGGCTTAGTCGATGAGCAGCGGACTCAAGCGGGGCTGCTCAACGGAAGGTGGAGGACGCCGTTCCGATGCCTGACGCACCAAACGGCTCGAAATCATCATAACCAGTACCGGATATCGTCGAGCGGAACACCTGATCAGCTGATGGCGCTCCGCCACGTCCCTCCACGCCGACGCTAACTCTCCAAGACCGATAGATGCGATATCCCCGACCCGAGGTGCGGAACGTGAGAAACGTTTGATGCGACTTCTTTTTGAGATGTTGCAATTGCGGCGGAGGGTGTGAGCATATGGAGATCGAGAGACCTGGTGATGACGGCAGGGTGAGTTGTGGGGTGGTTGAACGGGAGCAAATGCGGAACGGTGTTGGCCGGCAAATCGTTTACCGTGGGCCAGCGGGCCGAACGAGCACCCGATTCAGGCACATCCGGAGCGAGCGCGCTTGCCATTCAGCGCGGCAGAGTGAGAGAGTTGGATGTACAGCGTGGCTTTTGATGCTGCACTAGCTCCACCTCATCTGCATAGAGATGCGCAGACAGCAGACCGCAGCAGGGCAAGGCACAGAGAAACAGCGGCAGGATGCGGTTGGGAGCGGCAGAGCACCCTCACCTGGCGGAGCAATTCCGCCCCGCCCCGGCTTCCGTCCCCACCCCCGCATTCGCCAGACTATCTCGATCATGCGTCGCCCACCTCTCACAGACTACCGCTGAGTCCATTGGGTAATCGGGTACTCGACACTCTGCTCAGATAACCACATATATAAACGCCCTTGCATCATCCATCATGACCGCATCCGACGATACTATGACCAAGCCCATTGCAACCCCTCCCAACGGCACGAGCGAGGCGCCCGCTCCGCAGCTCGCTCCGACGCCGGCCAACGAGCGCGCACAGGCGTGGTTTGCGGCGCTCGACGCCGCCCTCCGTGCCAAGGACATCCCCGGCGCTGCGTCCCTCTTCGCCGCCGACTCGTACTGGCGCGACCTCGTCTCGTTCTCGTGGAACCTCACAACGGTCGAGGGCCCTGCGGGCGTCACCGATCTGCTGGAGCACTCGCTGGAGCGCACTGCGCCTGCGGGGTGGCAGCTGACGGAGGACGCGAGCGAATCCGATGGCGTGACGACCGCGTGGTTCCGCTTCGAGACCGCCACGGGGCGCGGGTGGGGACTTGCGAGGCTGCGCGACGAGGGTGGCACGACGAAGTGCTGGACCCTCATTACCGCGCTCACTGAGCTCAAGGGCCACGAGGAGGCGCGCGGCGCCCGCCGTCCCAAAGGTGCCGAACACGGGATCATCAAGAACCGCGTGACGTGGAAGGAGAAGCGCGAGGCCGAACAGCAGCGCCTCGGTGTCGAGGACCAGCCTTACGTTCTTGTCATCGGCGGTGGGCAGGGCGGTATTGCGCTCGGCGCTCGTCTCCGCCAGCTTGGCGTGCCTTCCATTGTCATCGACAAGGCTAACCGCCCGGGCGCGCAGTGGCGCGGCCGGTACAAGTCGCTCTGCTTGCACGACCCCGTGTGGTACGACCACCTCCCGTACCTCAAGTTCCCGGACAACTGGCCCGTCTTCACGCCCAAGGACAAGATCGCTGACTGGCTCGAAATGTACACGTCCATCATGGAGGTGCCGTACTGGACGTCGACGGAAGCCAAAAAGGCCACGTACAACAAGAGCAAGCAGGAGTGGGAGGTGCAGGTCATCCGCGACGGCAAACCGCTCACCCTGCGCCCCACTCACCTCGTGCTCGCGACCGGCATGTCCGGCAAGATGAACTACCCCAAGTTCCCGGGGCAGGACATCTTCAAGGGCGAGCAGCAGCACTCGTCACAGCACCCAGGTCCCGACGCGTACAAGGGCAAGAACGTGGTCGTGGTCGGCTCGAACAATTCGGCCTTTGACATCTGTGGTGCTCTGTACGAGGGCGACGTCGGCTCCGTGACCATGATCCAGCGCTCGTCGACCCACATTGTCCGCTCCGAGACGCTCATGGATATTGCCCTCCGCCCCCTGTACTCGGAGGAGGCCGTCGCGAACGGCGTCACCACCGAGAAGGCCGACCTCATCTTCGCCTCTATGCCCTACCGCATCATGCACGAGTTCCAGATCCCAACATACCAAAAGATCGCAGAGCACGACGCGGCCTACTACAAGAAACTGGCCGACGCAGGCTTCCTCCTCGACTTTGGCGAGGACGGCTCGGGCCTCTTCATGAAGTACCTCCGCCGCGGGTCGGGCTACTACATCGACGTGGGCGCGGCCGAGCTCGTCGCGGACGGCAAGGTCAAGCTCGCACACGGCAACGTCGACCGCCTCACTGAGACGTCGGTGATTCTCAAGGACGGCACTGAGCTCCCCGCTGACCTTGTCGTGTATGCGACTGGGTACGGCTCGATGAACGGGTGGGCGGCTGACCTCATCTCGCAGGAGGTCGCCGACAAGGTCGGCAAGGTGTGGGGACTGGGTTCCAACACCATCCGCGACCCCGGACCCTGGGAGGGCGAGCAGCGCAACATGTGGAAGCCGACCCAGCAGGAGAACCTCTGGTTCCACGGCGGCAACCTGCATCAGGTGGGTTTTGACAAGGCCACAGCTAACCTTCCAGTCGCGCCACTACTCTCTGTACACCGCCCTCCAGCTCAAGGCCCGCTACGAGGGTATTGAGACGCCTGTGTACCGCCTCCAGGAGGTGCACCACCGGTCGTAGAAGGATAGAAGACGTCAGCAGTTGCATCGTAAAAGGCAGTAGCCATGGTTGTCATGTATATGAGTTGAGCATTGGCGAGATGTGGTCCATTCTCACAGAGTCATGTCGCAGCGCCTCGTGTCTGCCCACCTGCCCAGACCCAGGATGCTCCGATCATGTTGCGTGGTATTTCCGGGCAGCGCACATGCTACAAAATCGGTCAACTGCGTGGTGGATGACACGGCGCAGAACAGCGGCCGAGCCAGTGCGGAGACCCCCCGCTTCTCTGGGCGCCGCCCTCAGGAACACCGGTCCGAGATAACGCGTGGGGAGTAGCGCCGAGCCGGCTTTCGGGTGTACACCGTGCCCACCTCGGCGCGTGTGCATGATACATGCTTCCATACATCTTTCTCGCACTCTCACTCCACTCTCACCAAACACTCAGATCTTCTCACGCATCATGAGCCAGGACCAGCAGCGCGTCGCCGTCGTCACAGGAGCCGGGAGCGGCTTCGGAGCCGCCATTGCTCGCAAGTTCGCGAAGGACGGGGTGGCCGTTGTCGTCTGCGACATCGTGAGTGCTCCGTTCAGCGGGGCTGATGCCAGAACGACGACGCCGGCAAGGCCGTGACAGACGACATCAACGCGAAGGGCGGCAAGGCCATCTACGTGAACTGTAAGTCTGCGCCTCGCCGCGCTGACCGCAGGCGATGTGGCGAAGCGTGAGGCGTGGGAACGGCTGCTGGCCGAGACGACGCAGAAGTTCGGCGGCGTAAACTTCGTGATCAACAACGCGGGCGCGACGTACAAAAACAAGCCGGTGCTCGACACGACCGAGCGCGACTTCGACCTGTGCTTCGACGTGAACATGAAGTCGGTGTTCCACAGTGTGCACGTCATGATTCCCGCGCTGCGTGAGACGCGCAAGCGCGGCGGGCCGGCCGCTATCGTCAACGTCGCGTCGACGGCTGGCATTATGGGCCGCCCCGGACTCACGTGGTACGCCGCGAGCAAGGCTGCGTGCATTTCGTGCACCAAGAACCTTGCGATCGAGTTCGGCCCCGAGCAGATCCGGTTCAACGCGATCTGCCCTGTGTTTGGCAACACCGGGCTCAAGCACATGTTCATGGGCGAGACGACCGAGGACATGTTCATCAAGAGCATCCCGCTCGGCCGCTGCTCCGAGCCTGAGGGTGAGTGGGGCCCAGAGGCCCAGGGGGTGGAAGGCCGAAGGTGCACAGCTGACTCCAGACATCGCCAACTCGACCGTGTTCTTGTGCTCGGACGAGGCCTCGTTCCTCACCGGTGTCGCTCTCCCCGTTGACGGTGGCCGGTTGGCCTAAGCGCGAGGCCGACGCGAAATCGAGCAGTAGAAAGTACAGCAGTGGCTATGCAGCAGTATTCAGATCGAGCTCTAGAAACTCCACCTGACATCGCCTGACTCAGCCGCTATCAGATGCTATGCATACAACTCTAGATCGGCTTGAGCCCCACCATTTTGCGCAGCTGCTCGAGCAGCATCAAGCTGATGACGGTGTGCGGCCACAGGCGAATCCAGCACCCAAAGAAGCCCTTGTAGAGCGCAAACGGCCCCTCGTACCGCAAGAGCTTGTACGCGCAGTCGAGCGAGCCGCGGAACTGACCCGACGCGTCGTTCATCACGCGCACCTTGATCGTGTCGATCGGCGCGGACGTCACCGAGCACATGAAGCCCGCGAAGCCTGAGCACAGGAGATGTGTCGTTATCCCCTCGGGGAAGTGGTGGGAGTAGTGCGAGCGCACAAAGTGCTTCGCGACGTCATACGAGCCGAGCTGAGACGAGGTAAGGACGCCGGCACTTGGGTTAGCGGTGGGTGTTGCGCGCGGGCGGCGAGCAGGTGAGCGTGGCTTGGAGGGGAGCGCAAGCTCCTCTGTTCCTCTGCACCCCTGTTCATCCTCCGCCTCTCCCGCGTACACTCACCGCAAGATAGTCGGCACAACGGCCTTGTAAAACCCCCCGATCCCCGCCTCGCGCCAGATCGCGCGCGCATGTCCCGTCAAACCGAGCTGCGCGCCCCCGATAGCTTGCAAGCGCACCTTGAGCAGGTCGGCAGGGTTGGCGATCGCACTGCCCAACATGCCCGAAAGCAGTCCCGCACCCAGCTTAACGCTGACGTCCTGCGCATCGAGCGACGGGGCGACGTCGAGGATGAGGTGCTTCATCGCGTCGTACGCGCCCATACGGATGCCCGAGCTGGCGTCAGATCGAACACGAGGGAACGCACTAGCTCATCTCGCGCAGCACGGACGCGCTCACGCCGTTGTACAGGCTCAACACGCCTTCTTGGCGCACCATGGCCACGAGCGTGCTCACGAAGCCTGGGGAGAGCCCCGAGCCCTGCTTCACGAACAGCTGTTGCCGGACCTTGACGAGGTCTGCGGGGTTCGTCACGCATGCGGATGTCGAGTTGGACACGCCTGGGGTGAGTTTGCGGAGTTGGGGGGCCGAGTCAGCTCTGGCCGAAGCTGTCGCTCTGCAGTGCTCTTGGTTGAAGCTCAGGCTCAAGCTCAGACCACCTCGACGATCTCGCACCAGTCACCGCCAGTCACCGCCCATATCTTCCAACTCACCCGCTAACAACATCTTCAACCCGACCTCCTGCGCGGGATGCAGCCGTTCCTCGAGCCCATCATGGCTGTGTGGATGAAGCTTCGCCTCGATCTCGTGCGCCGTCTCGACAAGCGCCTGGTCTTCCGGCACGAGCGTGGCTGGTGCGCCTGGGAGGCGCGAGGACATCGTGGGGGACGCCGGCACGGGTGGTCAAGGGCGCTGGGGCGGGGCGAGCGTCGAGGATAGTCCGAGTCCGTGTTCAGTCGAGTCCGTGTACTCCAATCCGTGCAGTCCAATTCGGTAGTCCGTGTTGTGTCCAATCCAATCTGTGTCCAGCCCAGTCCGCCGTCGAGGTGAGTAACGAGAAAAGCGCGTCGCGCTCGTCCAAGCGTCACGAAGTCGCGGAGGCCGGGCCGGCTCTTGGTCGGGTATTTCATTCGGCTACCTCCGATCCGACATGACATGCCCACTCTCTGCGTGGCGAGCACGTGTTCTGAAGAGCTCGGCGACCCCACCTCTCCGTGCGACTGCAGTTCCACAGCGGAGCTGGAAGCGGACGCCCTGCAGCATGTAACGTACGGCACCAGCAGCACACGGCAACCAAAACTCATACATCTATGACCTGATACCCATGCGGACCGGGGACGTGTCCTCGTCCGCGGTATCAAACACGTCCTTGACGGCGTCTGCGCCGTCGTCGCGCGGCGCCTCGGAGCCCGGGGCGGGCTCGTCGCCCGTATCCACGCCGTCCACGACGCGCGGCGCCTCAGGCGCCTTGGCCGCCGCGATAATTTGCACCGGCAACGGCCGCTCGCCCTTGTCCACGCGCTCCTTCTGCACACCCGCAATGAGCGCAAGCACCTCGCTCTCGTCCATATACTCCGGCTCCGGCTCCGGCTGCGCCTTGGGCTTGCTCTTGCCCTTGGTCTTGCCCTTGGTCTTGACCGGTGGCGCCTCTTCCTCTTCCTCGTCCTCCTCCTCGACGGGCGGCGACCACTGCGCAATATGCGCCGCGACCCACGCTTGGTCTTCGTGCCCGCCCCGGAAGACGTCGCCGTACACGTTGTACACGCACGCCGCTTCTGCCTTGCGGCTTGCGCGCACGGTCCAGCCTTCGACGCATGCGGTCACCCCGCACCGGCCGAGGACGCAGGTCGCGCCGCCGGGCGCGACGCCGGGCACGAAGCGGCAGTCCTCGCCGCTCGTGGATTCCGGCACGCCGTATTCGCCGAGCACGCAGCCACCGCAGGACGCTGGGGTCAGCATTGCGCGTGGACGGGGGAGTTGTGGCAGAGGGAGGAATGAAGGAGACAAGGAAGGGGACTCACAGATAGTCGAGTTGACTTCGACACACTCCCATTCCCCCCGCGTGGGCGTGTTGCACTGCATCTTGCCCTTGGGACAGGCGGGGGCGCGCGGCGCCGCCTTGCCCTTGCCTGCCGGGACGAAGGTGCGTGTGATGTCGTACGCGCCGCCGCAGTTTGGAGCTGAGGTTAGCGGGAGGTAGATATGGGGTGGCGAACGGCTCCAGAGGCCAAGCTGGGAGGGGGCGAAGCCAGGGGAGGGAAGCAGTGGAGGCTGCGAAAGAATAGGGAGGGAAGAAGGAGGAGGATGACTCACCAGAAACAGCCTCGCCAAGCGCAATGTCGGGACCGCAATAACACGACCCAGGCGCGTAGTAAGCGTACGCGTTGCCCGCGGCGCCGCAGGACGTCTGCTGTTAGTTGGAGCGGAGGGGAGGCGCACTGTGCACTCGTCCTTGGACGCGGCTTTGATGGCGGCCAGGCGCGGCTCGACGGCGCGGATGGCGGCGGGGTCAACGCAGAGCGCGCGGGCGGATGTTAGGAAAAGGAGGGCGAGGGCTAGCATAGTTGGGGAGGGGTAGGAGGGGTCGAGCGAAGGGATGCGGGGAGGGGGGAGGCGAGGACTAGGGCCTATCGATGGTCGTTGACCGTGTCGGTGGTCACCAGCGACAATAGAGCACTACTGGAGATGATATCGATGAGAGACTGTAACGGCTGACGATCAGAGGATCTGCGGGCGCTGTTAGAAGCTTTAATGAGAGGTGTGATGAGTGAGACAGCGAGGCCTCGAAGCTACTCCGTAGCATTGTATGGGAGGCGAAGGCGGAGGCGGCCAGGAGGCAGACGCAGAATAGGTGGATGGTAGAATAAGAGGCAAAAGTTTGATTCAGTTGGTGTGGTCGACTGAATGGAATGAATGGTGTGGCGTCAATTCATGTTGCCCTGAGCACCCACCAAAACCACCGAGCTAGGCGGCATGGCGGAGGCGGAGGCTGCGGGGAGGACGGAGGCGAAGCCGAGGCGCAGGTGGAGCGGGCGTGCAGAGCTTGCATAGCATGGTACCGGAGGTGGCAGTCCGGTATGCGCCTGGGCCTGGGCTTGAGCCGACAAGGAGGTATGGTAAAGGAGAGATACATCTCTCAGGCACAATCAGATTGCAACCCCCCAACGGAAGATGGTAATCAGCGATCAGCGACGATGACAACGCTCCGCGTGTGGTGCGTGAGGTGCACAGACTCAAGATCGTCGACATGCCAACTTGGCTGACCGTGTTGACCACGTTATGCGAGGTTAGTAGCCACCAATGTCAGTGCTTGCAATCGCCGCATTGTCACCCACTGCTATGCTCAAGATACTCCCATCATACTACTACCACTCCTGTGAATATTGACGACCCTCGTGAATGTTCGTGATTGATTTTCGTACATGCATGCCTGGCAAAGGCTCAACGGCGATCGGCGAGCTGCCGTTGTCAGCAAGTTGTCTCAAGGTGTGGACATTACTCATCCAACTTACCTGGCGTACACCCTAGTTGCCGGCGCAGCGACGGTCGTGCTCCTCCTGGCGACGCGTCTTCTCGTCCTGGCGACGGTTCTTGTCGTCCTGGCGGCGCTGGATGTCCGACTCGTCAGGGCGGTTCTCGGCCCACTCGCGGTCAAGGCCGGCCTGCTCCTCGTCGAGCTTGCGCTGCTCCTCGTCAAGGTCGTTCTGAATCTCCTCGTTCGACTTGTTGCCGTTGTTGTTGTTGTTGTTGTTGTGGTTGTTGTTGTTGTCCGAGTTGGAGTTGAACTCTGGATGGTTAGTTGGACAAGTGGTGGAAAAGGAAGGCCGGGTCGTGATGACTCACGCTGCTGGTTGCGGTTGTGGTCCTCCTGCTGGTTGTTCTGCTGAGCCTGCTGCTCGTTGTTGCGCTTCTCGTCCTCCTGGCGGCGCTCCTCCTCGTCCTCGTTGTCGTTGTGCTGCTTGATAGCGTAAGCACCACCGCCGATGGCAGCAGCACCGGCGATACCTGCGGCAGCGGCGCCGGCGATCTGGCCGTTGGACCAGCCCTCGCCCTCCTTCTTCTCCTCCTGCTGCTCCTTGTTCTCATTGTTGTTTTCGTCGTCATTCTCGTTGTACTTCTTGTAGCCGTAGTAACCAGCGGCACCGACGGCGGCGGCGGCAGCGGCACCACCGGCCACGGCACCGGCAATCTGGGTCTTGGACCAGCCCTCGCCGTCCTCGGCTAGGTGTGAGTGGGTGTTGCGAAAGCAGTGAGGCATGCGACGAGGGGAATGGAAGGGAGGAAGGCGAGGAGTGATGGCGGAGCAGTGTCGAGGTGAGGCGACTGTTGAATACGGATGTGGGGAAGGAGAGTCACGAGCAGAGGAGGAATGAAAGCAAGGCCGACCGTCGCTAAACGGTACTCTTCCGGCCCTCGTCGTCACTCCCCACGCCCACGCCATCGCCACCTCACCATCACCTTCCTCAGACGCGCCCCAGCCCAACACCCGCGGGGCCATCTGAGACGAACTCACCCTCCTTGTTGTCCTGCTGCTGCTGCTGCTGCTGCTGCTGCTGCTCCTGCTTGGCCTTCTCCTCGTCGTTGTCGTCCTCGTTGTACTTTTTGTAGCCGTAGTATCCGGCGGCGCCAAGAGCGGCGGCACCAGCAAGGCCACCGGCAGTGACACCGGCGATCTTGGCGTTGGACCAGCCGCGCTCCTGGGTCTCACCGTCCTGGCCGTGGAGGACCTGCTGCTTCTCGTCCACGGAGAGGTTGGAGAAGTTGCGCTCGACGTCGTTGTTGTAGGACATTGTGGATGTGGGTGTGGGTGAGGTGGGGGTTAAGAGTGAAGAGAAATGAGAGATGGATCGATGGGAGGATGGGAGGATGGGAGGATGGGAGGATGAGAAAGAGATGATATAGTAGTCAAGAGATGGGGGAGGGAAGGTCAGCGGTGTACGCGTGTACAGTCAGTCATGCAGTCAGTCATGCAGTCAGCCAGTCGCAGCCAGTCGGCAGATCGGCAGTCAGCAGCGGGTGCGAAAGAGAGCTAAAGAGAATCCCGCGCATGCCGCTCAAAGAATCGCCGGGCATGGCGAGGGGCAACAAGATCAACCCGCGCGCGCCCCGTCCCATCCCATGATCGATCCTGCCCCAGTAGCCACAAGGTGATACGGTGAGAGCTTTTGAGTGAGATCGTGAGATCGTGAGATCGTGAGATAAACCCTTCCCGCGCCATTGTACCTCAATCATCCTCCTTCCTGTGATCCTGTGAGATAGAGATCCTTTACCCCTGCGACATGTCGAGCCTGTCTCCCATGTCTCGGCATACCACGACCCATCTCATCCTCCCCCTCTCCCTGCAGCTACTCCCTTCAGCCTCCAGGCTAGCCAGGCTATGATGTGGTGTGGGTGTGGACGAGGAGACCGAAGAGGGGTACCAGCTACAGTATACCAGGACGAAGAGGAATGTGGCCAGCGTGGCTTTGAGGATCATGTCTGCGGTGAGCGGTGATGAGTCACGCGTAACGCAGCCACGCCTCGCCTCGCCCTATGCATCGCTGATCACCTAGGGCCAGGGCGGGTTCCCCTGTCGCGCCTGTCGTACACTCGTGCGACGCGAGAGCCAGTGAGCTGATCTGCACTCGTTGCATAAAGCACAAAGGCGCGGCATGCCGCGAATAACCCTGCCAAGTGTCCCTGCGAAGCGGTGCAGATGTGATCCGAGTAAATCAGTCGCGTCGTGGTATTGGGCCGCAATCCCCGATCGCCCATCACTCGAGTGCACTGGCCACCTCTTGGCTATATACCCACCGCCACGGCCACAGCCGCCGACGACGAGGCGGCAGGCGTTATGCTGGGGCCGTACTTCTCCCATGGCATGCTCTCTGTGCGCAGTGCATGCTGCACGCTGTATGCTGCGCTTGACCTACGGCGGCCGCAGATCCTGGTCAGGGGGAAGACGAGGGCGAGGGCTGCTGAAGCGAGCTTGTGCCCTGGCCGTACCGACGTGCACTGGATGGGATACGGGATCGGGAATCCCGGCCGGCGTGTAGCGGGTGGTTTCAAGTGTTGCAGTGCAGATCAGAGTGGGTCTCCAGCGATTCATGGGTGCATGGGTGTACGTGGAAGGAGCAACAAGTCTGGTGAGATGGAAGCATAAGAAAACCCGAGCGGAGGTCTGATGATGATGGCAGGGTGGGAGAGGTGCCAAAATCAAAAGAGGATGTGGGGCAGGGTCCTGGGTGGATGAGCGGTTCTGGCTTGGGCCAGACTTCAACTCGGTCACGTGCCGAGTGCACAGTGCCATGCCCTTCCCACCTGCACACAACGTGGTTTCCACGCTACGTTCACGTGCCGTCACGTGCGGTGACAAGCCCGCGTCGAGCGTCAGATGACGTCCACTCGCGCTTCATTTCGAGCAATGTCGATCTAGCCATCTGACGCATCTTGGTCTCCTCTCACACCACGCACCCGTCGTCGCACACTACGCCGTCACCGCCATGCCACAAGTATACGAAAATGAGATCGTGTACGAGTACGTCTCGCTCCCCTCCTCATCTCCCTCCTCCCATCCTCGACCTTCCCCTCTCGCCCGATCGACTTGCCCCTCTGACTCACCGCTTACCCCAGCTATCCCCCCGCACACTCCCTCCTCTGGCTCATGCGCAAGTATCCCAACCCGCAGAGCCCACAGGTCTTCTCGGTCGACACGCTGTCGCGCACCATGGATCCGGATACGGGCGTGATTCGGAGCGAGCGGGTGCTGGGGATCCAGCAGGGTGCGCCGCGGTGGATTACTAAGGTGGGTGCCGGCGCGAGATCTAAGAGGGAAGATGATGAGGGAGAGAAGAGGGGGAGGAGGACGACGGGGAGGACAGCGGGCACGGAGAGATGGAAGGGGAGGGGGGAGGAGAAGTCGAGGAGCAGGGGGACCCGGGGGGGGGGGGGGGGGGGGGGGGGGGGGGGGGGGATGAGGGGAGGAAGGGGAGAAGGCGAGAGGAGGATGCAACTGAGCACAACGACTCACCCCAGCTTTTCTCCCTCCCAGAAACAACATATGTCCGCGAAGTCATCTTCATCGACCCCGCAAAGGATCAGGCGATTATGATGTCCATGAATCTGGACTTGGCGCAGTACATGTGAGTGAAAGATAGGCATGACGGGGCGGTAGGTGCGATCAGGTTTGCCGGACAACTCTTGCCCTCCACACCACCTCCGGCCTACCTCCCCTCCCCTCACCACCCCACTCACCCCAGCAACGTCCTCGAGTACATCACGTACACACCATTCCCGCGCGAAAAAGGCGCGGCCGCACCATCCACCCTCTTCAAGCAGCATGCGTTGATGCACTCTGCATTCCCGACACGCATGATCGCGCGGCGGATCGAGAAGGCGAGCGTGGACCGATTCAAGGCGAACGCCGAGAACGGGCGGAAAGGGTTCGACTGGGTGTTGCAGAAGGGGCTGGAGCTAGGCGGGAATGGGGCAGGCAACGGAAATGAGGCCTTGGCCTAGACAGTAGATGTAACAATCAGTAAACGACGGCCTCACGACATATCATGCATCGACTCATGGTGCTACAACTTGGCGTCCCGCTCGAGACCTGCCGATATCCTATCGAACACTGCGGGACCCTGCTTCCCAAGCGCCGTAGCAACCGCGACGGCGCTAGCCCCGGCCCGCCGCATACGCCGGTATCCGTGAGCGTCCGCGACACCGCCGACGCCGATAATGTCGATGTCGAGGCCGCGCTTGTCAATAAGCGCGCGGAGCGACGACACATTGCCGAGCGAGAGGGGATGTATCGCGGGGCCCGCCATGCCGCCGTAAGCGCCGGGGAGGACGGGGTGCGGCCCCTCCCCGTCGTCCGCCATGACGACGCACCCGCCGAGCGTGTTCGTCGAGGTAAGGAACGACACGCGCCCGCTCTCCGCCAACGCGGACACGAGCATCTCGAACTGGTCCGCGTGGGTATACGGCGGCGTCTTCAAGCCCACCGGCACCTCCGTATCCGGTATGGCGGCGAGGAATGCGGCGAGCGCAGCGGGATAGTATGCCGGGGGCGGGTGTCCGGGCACGTTCGGACATGAGAGGTTGAGCTCGACCGCGAGCGGGGGGGACACCTCTTTTGCGAGCGCGGCGACCTGTTCAATGGCCTCGCGGCAGGCCTCAGGCGTGCCCGTCACCGAGAGGATGATGGGCTTGCGCGAGCCGGGGTGGGCGCGCGCGAGCGCGCGCACCATGTCTAAATACGAGGCGAGGGGGAGCGGGCTCAGCCCAAAGCTGTTTAGTGAGGAGGTGCGCGCGTCCCATGTGCCCGGGGCGCGGGGGGCGAGGGGGGAGGCGTCGTGCGTCGCCGCGTCGAAGAAGAGGAAGGTGTTGAGCGCGTCGTCGTGCGGATAGCCGTCGAGCAGCGAGGTGCGCGTCGTGATCGCGCCCGTAGAGGGCGAGGCGTATAGTGGGAGCAGGTAGGACAGGTCTGTCGCCCATGGGCAGGCGGCGTTGAGGAGCGGTGGGGAGATGACGAGGCGCGGCGGCATGGTGAGGGCCGAGAAGAGATGGAGATGAGAAAGACTGCAGTCGGTGGACGGCCTAATCTTTGGAACCGCGGCAATCGGCGGATCGGCGGAACATTAGACGCGGACGGAGATTACAGCGGAGATCATATCATCTCCGCGCGCATTTCGACTTCAGTCATGACACAAGTCAGCGGATCGGGCGCTCACCACCTCCACACACAATGAGCTACGAGTACCGCGCGCCGTCGCTGCACCTAATTGACACCGCGACGCTGATAAAGCAAGGCGCGGAGGCGGTGAGTCGCGCGACGTCCTGTCTAACGCTAGCGGGTTTACGCGCTGGACGCCCTCCTCCCCTCGCCGTCGGTGTACTGGCCATCTTCGTCGTCCGCCTCGTCCTCCTCTCCCGCACCCACCCCCGCGATCCTCAAACACCGCTTCCCCAAAACATACCGTCACCCAGCGCTCGACGCGTCGCTCAATAAGACCCGCCTGCAGTTCGAGGCGCGTGCGCTGTTCCGCTGCGCGCGCGCCGGCGTGACTGTGCCCCGCGTGCTCTGGGTCGACGAGCCGGGCGGCACGCTCGCGCTCGAGCGCATCGAGGGCTGGAGCGTGCGCGAGGTGCTCGGCGGCGGGGCGGAGGGCGAGGTCGAGGTCGGCGCGAACGACGAGCGCGAGCGCGACGGCACGGAGACTCCGCGCGAGGACGAGGAGGTGGTGGTGGGCGAGAGCGAGGGGATGGCTGCGCTCGCGCCGCACGGCGGCGTGCCCGCCCTCATGACGGCTGTTGGGGAAGCGCTGGCGCGGCTGCACCACACCGGCGTCGTGCACGGAGACCTGACAACGTCGAATATGATGGTGCGAATGACGCCAGACGGGGCGTCTCCGTACGAGATTGTGCGTGACGAAAAAAGGGGGAAGGCTGATCGCAGGTCCTAATTGACTTTGGGCTTGCGTCGCAGGCGACGCTGCCGGAGAACTATGCTGTCGACCTCTACGTGCTGGAGCGCGCGTTTGCGAGCACCCACCCCGCAAGCGAGGGCATGTATGCCGGCGTGTTGGAGGCGTATGCCGCCGGACTCGGGGAGAAGAAGTGGAAGCCCATCGAGGCAAAGCTCAAAGAGGGTGAGTGCAGCTCCGGGCTGGCTGACGGCAGTGCGCCTGCGCGGGCGGAAACGCGACATGACGGGATGATGTGGGATGTATGGATGTCACTGTCTGGTGGGCATGGAAGACTGACTGAACCTGACGGAAACAAGGGAGCTTGATGGCTAACACGAGAGACCCCGGCGCAACGCCACTCTACCACGCATTCTCACTCCTCAACCCCATTCTGACTCCACAAGAACGAATGCCGAGCCTGGCACTTCGGATGGCGCGAATCGTACGGTTAACGAGATGCCTGAACGAAACTGCCGAGTCGCCAGCCGCCGAGCGAAGAGTGCGGACCCACCCCTCGCACTGTTTGTCCCTCACACCGCTTCCACAGTCACTCATGAACCAGTTGCGGCCTATTCATATCCTGCTGTTCGTGTCTAAGCGCTCATGTCTGCTGTTCGTGTATCAACGCTCGCTGTTTGAGTCTAAGCGCTGCCGCCGCTGGCCTTGTACTCCTGCCACTTCCAGACGACTGGGGGTTAGCTCCTCCCTCGGAGAACATACTGAAAGGGAGGCCGGAGCCGACCGCCGTGAACGTGATGAACCGAATCGTGAACATCGTGCGGTTCTTCGACCCCCCGGGGATGGTCCTGGTGTGAGCGGTGCTCTCTCCACACTCACTGGTCGACGACGTTCTCGAAGTGCGCGAAGCGGACAGCGCGCAGGCGGGCGGCGGCGAGCGTGGGGCGGGCAGCGCGGGCGACGAACATGGTGGCAGGTGGGCTGAGTGAGAGAGTAAGTGAGAGTTGCAGAAAGAGGTGGGGACGTGCAGTTCTTGAGTCCATCTCCTCCCGAGGCGCCAGGTGCTTGGGCCATGCTGGGCGTGGGAGCGGGAGTCGACGACATGGAAGAACCATGAACAATGGGACATGGCGCGGGGCGCCGCCACGCCCTAAGGCTTGTGCTTTGTCCTGCCCTATAATCTCAAACATTGAGGTGGTAATGCCCGAAAGTCAGCGCAGTTGCAAGCATTGTGCCAGCGTTGTTTGTGGAAGAATCCATGCAAGCATGCATGCTGCTGCAGGCCGTTGAAGGTTGAACAGAAACCATGGCAAAGCTGGAGTGGCAGACGCACACCAGCTTCGTCCGCCCCACACGCACATACGCCTCGCATGCCTCGCACCAGATCGCCCAATCCTCTCTCCCTGCTGTCCAGCCCGACTTCTCGCTCCGTCCCAAGTCGCGCAATGTTGGGCTTGGAATGAGCCATAACGCGCGAGACGCACGCAGCCAGTGAAACCGGACACAATTCACCTTTGTTCTCTCGCTTACGACGCCACCCCCACACCGTGCCTGCGGGGTACACTACGACATGATGCCGTTTAGCTGTGGCACAACTGTCAGGCTGCATTGCAGATATGCACTTGGTGGAAGGGGTGGCAGCTAGCGATATTGTCAGTCTAATATACATCGTCGTAGCCAGTACTCCTTATCGGCGCTGGTGGCTCGGGGGTGGTGGATGCCGACGGGGATGATCGTACTATCTCTTCAACACCCTTAATCCTCCAGACTACGTATCTCCAGTTGCTCCTCACTACATCTTGCTCATCCCCTCGCAGAACGACCAACTCTACTCGCCCATACAGTTCTCCCCTCTCGCGGCCGTGGAACGCGCGCTGATCTGATACTCCCGCTGACACCTCCGCGATTCGCCCATGCATATTGATCGCCCATGCTGATGGTGCAGACTAGCGAGCACGACAAGTCTTCCGCTCGCGAAGGGCAATATAATACATGGCTGATAATACAACGCCGGCTCTAAGATCTACGCTCGCACGCTATTCCTTCTCGGGAGGCTCATCGCCCGCCGCATCGCTTCCGGAAGGGTACGGCTTCTGGCTGGGCCTCAGCTGTCCTCGTTCCGCAAGGCAGGCAAGCATCGCCTCGAGCAGCTCGCCGGCCTGGTGCTGCTGGACGAGCTGCGTCGCCGGCCGCACCACCGGGCGGCAGTGGAGGTGCGTCGCCTTCCACACTGCCGCCGCCGCTGCGCTTTGTCCCAACACCCCGTCACTGCATAGGACGAGATGCAGCGGCTCCGCGCGTGATGGATGGAACTTATCGTGGAGCATCTTCTTACCTGCCATCCCGAAGGCCGTGTACGTCGCGGCATGCACGAGCCTGGTGTCCGCCTCCATAAACTGCCGCATCCCCCTGACCTCACCAACATGCGATGTCGGCTCGGTGCCGAACGAGAGGGACGCTCCGCGGCGGCGCGCGTATCCCATCGCCAGCACGGTGAGGTAGTCGGTCGTTCCCGGGGGCGCGGACGGCGTCGCCACAAGGGGATCTAGAAGGAAGCCGCCCTCGCCGACGCGGAGAAGGCTCACGAGCCCTTGTGGCTCGTTGTTCGCGTCGGTCGTGTACAGCACCGTGGTGAGGTGGGGGAGGGCGAAGAGGTGCAACTTGGTGCTGTAAGGAGCGCCATCCCGCTCCTCCTTTGCAGCGTAAACCGTCTCATACGCTTTCTGAAGCTGCACTTCGAGCGCGGCATCGCGCCCGTCGGCGGGGCGATACAGGCGCACCGGGGCGTCGCGCATGAGCTTCTTCACCACCAGTGTCTGCCGCTTCCCCCGCCGACCGTCCAGCACGGGGTTGTGCTCGGCGTCGACGATCTGCTCGACAGCAAACTGCACGGTCGCCCATCGGTGGACCTGGGCGACCTTGGCTGTGGCACCGCGCGCGGCAACAAACGCGACTCCCCATCTCCGCTTGGCGCAGAATGCGTGGAACTCCGCGATGGCGCTCGGCAGCCGTGCAGGGTGGCAGGCGGGGTCGCCGAAGGCGACGGCAATGCGAAGGGAGCGCACAAGCTTGAAGCTGATTGCGATGTCGAGCGCGGGCGAGAGGTATATGCGATATGAGGGGTCTGCGAAGGTAATGCTCCACGCGCCGTAATGCGCCACGAGACGCTCGACGGCCGCCACGGCGGGGGCACAGCTCAGCTCGAACGTGCGCTTGGGCACCAGCAGGCCGCGGACGATCTCGGAGGGTATCGCGAATGGTGCGTGATCGAAACGGGTTGGTCGGGCTATTTGTGGTGCGGATTTGGAAGGCTCGGATGCGGGATAGCCGATGTTGCCCAGTGCGACCTCCCACGGCTGGGGTTTTGGCGTGGCGGCCGTTGCCTCAGCTTTGCGGCTGGCTTTGTTGAGGTCTCGGCGGGCCTTACGCTTCGCAGCCTTCGCGCTCGCCTTGTCTGCCTTCGCTGCTTTGGCCGGGGCGTCGCCGTCGAGTGTCACGGACGCTGAGGTGGTGGCCGTTGTCGCGAAGCTGGGGACTTGGGAGGCGACTCGCTTGAGCGGCGGAGAGTCGACGCATTCCACAAGCGTGGCGGCCGAGTCGCCGCTCGTCGCCTTGTAAAGCATGCTGAACGGCTCGTCGATGGACGTCGGAGTGAGTGTCGGTGACGGGGCGATCATGCACGACAATGGATGAGGAGAGGGAGGGATGGGGATCGTTAGCGTTGCCATGATGAATATGAAAGCTCTGGGGATGAGACGGGGGCGAGATCAAGAGTTGAGACGACGTGCTAAGTATAGAGACGAGGAGGCGCCAGCAGTGGCGGGAGTGGGGGGTGGCAGAAAGACTAGCGAAGGGTGCCTGTTGTTCTTATTGTGTATGCATGTGCAGTCGTGCGCAGTCGTGTATCCCGCGCCATGAATGGCCATTCGATAGTCAAGTGTTGAGATGCATCTGTGTCATGCGCCTCCGATGGTGGCGGTGCTTTCCACGCGGTACGGATTACTGGACGGTACAAAACTGACCAACTATACTGCCTCGCTGCGGAGTTGGAGCGCCGGCCGCTAGCTGTCGGTTGGAGAGCCTAGTGCGTGAGATAGACGGCCATCGTCCCCGCTGCAGAGAGTTCCGGCGGCGGTAGAGGAGTGTATCAGCGTTTGACACAGCATCGCCATTATGCAATCCTCCGAGTCAAACATGCCGTTCTTACAGAACGTCAAATGCGGAAGCAGCAGGTATGGTGACAACACACCGGCCCCGACATACCACTGCCGCGCGCGTCGCCATTACGTTCAGACGACGTATACGGCCGTCGCCTCCGTCAACCTCCGTGTCCGTGTCCAGGCCATCACCATTGGGATGTTCACGACTACGCACGCCGTTAGTTGTACAGCCCATCCCAAGTTTAGCTCGAGTGACGTCGGGCAATCTGCAGAGTAGCGCAGTAGGTGGTGGCTGAGGTATTTTGGGCGGCAGGCACGCCGGCAATCCCGGACTCGCACGTTCTTGGGTCAGGAGCTGTATGCCGTTGTTCGCTGTTCGGTCTCTGCTGCGCAGAAGTCGCAGCGGCGTCTCTTGAGCTACGGCGAGGCGGTGACCAACCACCCAAGGGCTACACGAGTGGCTGCTTCGTGGGAGGAGGATGGGACATCGCATTCACGCGTGGCCGTCTGACCTCTCGGAGGATCTTCACGCGGGGCAATTGGTGGAGCGGGCGTACCGGCATCTGTCACTGCTGTGCCAGTGAGACATCTAAGGATCCAACTTGTGGCGGGGAGGGAATGGGATTTCGGGGAGCCGAGAAGCCGACCTAGTGATACTGGATAATCCACCGTCCACACAGGGGCTGGTGCCTTGAAGACAAGAAGCATGATAAGACCGTGTGAGAAGCTCTCACCTCAGACCAGAATACTGGGCGCTCTCGATTGACCGTGCGCTTTCTAGCATGCAGGAAAAATGTCTAGTTCCTCGCTCACCTCGTGCATCTCCCGCTCCCTCCTCTCCGTCTCGACACATACCCTCCCCCATCTCTCAATATGCTAAATATCATTGCATTACCTAGATGTAAATAAAAGAGTGCGCATGGCCAGACATATTCTGACCCTATCTCGGCCGAGGTAGGCCATCTAAACCTCAAGCTTGGAGGCAGCCTTGGGCTCCGGCTCGCCCGCCTCATACGCCTTCTCCTCGATGGCGCGGGTATGCGGGCTGTCGACGGGGGTGAGGTCCCCCTCGCCCTCTGTCTCAAACTCAGACTCGTCCTCGCGCCAGAAGTCCTTCTTGCCGCGGCTAAGGCGGTACGCCCAGGGCGGGAAGAAGCCGCCCTCAATCTTGTACGTCCACGGCTCCTTGTCCTCCTTGTTGGGAGGCGAGATCTTGCCGCGGCTCGCCTTCTCGAGCAGCCAGACAGCGGTGTTAAGAAGGATGTACGAGCAGATACCGGCGATAAGGCCGTACGCGATCGAGTATGTGAAGGGCATGATGGCGATGGTGAGGAACGCCGGGATCGAGTCGCCGAGGTACTTCCAGTTGATGTAGCGGGCTTCGGCGGCCATCTGGGCGCCGACGATGATGAGGGTACATCCTGTCGCCCAGGGAGGGATCGAGGCAAAGATGGGAGCAAAGAAGACCGAGATGAAGAAGCACAGGCCCGTGACAATTGCCGTGAGACCAGTGCGGCCGCCCTCGGCGATACCAGCACCCGACTCAATGTAGGCGGTGACGGGGGGCGCGCCGAAGAGCGAGCCGATCGAGATACCGAGCGCGTCGACGCAGTACGCAATCGACGAGTTCTCAAAGTCCTGAGTTTTGGGGTTCAGGAACCCACCGAAGCGCGCCATCGAGTACAGGGTGCCAGTCGCGTCGAGAATGTCTGAGCGTCAGGAGAAGTCCGGAGCATATAAGAGCAAATTTGGTGACTCACCGACATAGAGGAACGAGATGAAAGCAAGTCCGAACTGGCCGCCGTACTCGGAGACGTTGAAGTCAATAACGTTGAGCGTGCGCTTGATGGGCGTAAAGGTGACAACCTTCTTGAAGAAGTTGAACGCATCGTCACCCAGGGGGGTGTTGGGGAAGTAAGTGACAGGGGTCGAACGAGGCCACGAGATGATCGAGACGAGAAGGATGCCACAGATGATTGCGCCCTTGACGCGGAACATCATCAAAAACACGGTGAAGACACCGCCGCAGAAGATACCGATCCACTGGATATTAGCGCGTCTTTCACTCAAAATCTCACCATGGTGGGATTCCTCATCTTGTCAGACGGGGGGCAGAGACCGGTTGCGGGGTCCTTGAGCGCCGGGTGGCAGCCAGCAAGCTCCATTGGCACGGCGGTCGCGCCGGTCACGGCGCCGATACCGGCGGAGTACGTCAGGCCGATAAGGGTGAGGTACAGCCCAATGCCAACGGCAGTCGCGAGCTTGATGGAGGCGGGGATGGCACGTGCAAGCCACTGGCGGATACCGAGGAGGGTGAGGCCAACGAAAACGAAGCCCTCAACGAACACGGCCGCGAGCGCAATCTCGTACGGCACAAGACCAGATCCGTGATATCCAACCACGGTGAAAGCAAAGTAGGCATTGAGACCCATGCCCGGCGCGACACCAATCGGCATGTTGGCGAACAGACCCATGCAGAAGGTCGAGAGGGCGGCAATCGCGGCCGTAGCCGTCACCATGTCGCGCCTAATCTCCTGCACACACTGCATGTACTCTGCGTTGGTGTCGCACAGGTCGAACATGGACTCCGCGGGGCACTTGCACGTACCGCCCGACTGGGAGACGATGGAGGCGTTGACCGAGATGATGTAAGCCATCGCGAAGAAGGTGGCGAGACCCGCGCGAATCTCGGTGAAGAAGAACGTGTTCTTGCGCTCCTTCCTCTGCTTGTCAGCGGCCATACCAGCGCCGGGCGCTACGGCGTCGCAAATCGACATCGCACACCTCCGCGCAACGTACGTGGCCCGAGCCTTGGAGGCGGAAGTAACGGCCCACAGCCGACTGTGCCACAGCGATGTTGGCCCGCGAGACCCAGCCCATGTTGTTGGTTTAGAGGTGTAAGATTGATGGAGGCGATATCGCAATTGATGGCCTTTTTCTTGAGGCCCGAGTTTCGGTGGCCTGGCAGCCTGGCAGCGGCGAGGCGGCCTGGGCAATGTCCTATCTCACCGGGCAAGGCAGAAAAACCTGTTGGGCCTATCTCGAGGCTGCGGGCTTGGCGCCTTGCCCATGGCCTAGTTGCGCGCACAAGCACTGGCCCTTGGCTCTAGGCTGATGCGTCGGGGAGACTCGCTAGCCGAACGGCGGATTGATCACCAAATCATTAGGAAACTCTATCCCCGGAATGCCTCTGGTCTTCCACCTCTCAACCTCCACCCCCGCATCAGGGTCTGCCGCTCCAAGCTCCATGAAAATGACTATCGCAAAGCAAAATTTTGGCTTGCTCGTCTGCCGCCGTAAGGCATCTACGGGGGTTGGCGGGACGCTTCGACTTTGTGGATGCTTGCTTCGGGTGTTGAGGTGTCAAAGTGGCGGAGGGATCGGCGCTGTGTGCATGGTTGGCGGATGGGAAACACGGATAACGACGAGAGCCTCACACGACCTCAACGAACTACCGAATGAATACCGCGTGGGTGCATCGCACGGCGAAAGCCGTTCGAGGTCACGGTCACATGCACAAGCGTCGGGAGTTGTGCCTGACGCCCCGCAGATAGGCCAAAGACATCGGCCGGCCTCGGGGCGCCGATCTGCCGAAGTGTCTCGTGCTGCCTCTCGGTGTCTTCTCGTGAGCTGCCCTTCGCGATACTGCTGTATGTGTTGCGGGCCGCCATGGCCTGTGCAGCCAACAACAGTTGAACAATAACAAGCAGTCCGGTATGACTCAGCTCGGAGCCCTGGTCACCTGAGCGGTTGAGCTCGGATTCCGGCCGGTGAATGAACCTGGCATCACTGATTCCTTCAGTGCATGGAGCTTGTCATCCGGTTGCCCGAGCGCAGGCACAATCGCTGGCGCTTGTGAGCAAGCGGCTTATCGTGGAGAGTTGAGAGTGACCGGTGGTCGCCGTCAAGCCATGCTGATAATGGACTAGACGCTGCCAGTGGCGGTATACCCATCGAGTTGTGATGATAGCGAAGGTAGTTGCCGGGCGCCGCTGACGGCCACCTGTCACCTGTCGAAGTTAGTGGCACCTGCCAAGATCAGACTCCGACCTCATCATTGCCCTTGACAGCATACATCCGACTACAACCTACAATACAATGAGGAGGCTCCCGCCATCGGTGAATCACGACTTGCTCAGACCGGGCTCGGTCTCAAGCGCAAATGCCGGCGATAGCGGCTCTGTCGGGCAGCTGCACTCGCTGGGCTCGAATGCGGGGCCGAGCGCCATGCTCTGAAACCCACCCTGCAACGATATGGGTAGGCTCGTTCCCGGCAAGGAACGGGCAGTGGCAGGCTCTGGGCCGCCGTCAAACTGGCTCCACAAACGGCGACTCGTGACGAGCGGCCCGCTGTCATCCTCGAACTCCAGCTGGCGCGGCGTGAACATGATGGCGTCGGCGTCCGAGCCGTCGCTGCGAAAGCGGGGACGGGCCATCGTGGGGGAGCGCAGCCAAGAGCCCGGCGACGACTCGCCGCTGGGCGAGAGGTGGTCGGGGGCCTCTGGCTCCGGCGCCGGCGAGGAGGGACTGGCGCCCGGGAAGGGGATGGGGGCGGATGTGTGCGATTCACTCTGTGGCTCGCTATCCTTCGTCTTCACCGGCAGCTTCAAGGGCGCGGGGGCTTTGCCGCCCAGATGTATGGGCGAGGCGAGGAGAGCGTTCCGGGACAGCTGTGGGGGTGGCTCCTCGACCGGACGGCTCGAGCTCAGCCGCAGCGTGTAAAGGTGTGGGTGGAATCCGCTGATTGCGCGGATGGGGATGCGCTGGCCGCGCGGCAGCTCTTCCCCGGGGTCGAGGCGGAGGGGGAGGAGACTCTCAGGGGAGGCGAAGCTGTTGGGCTCGGCGCCGACGGAGAGTGAGCGCTTGTGCGAGCGAGTGCGTGTGCGTTTGCGGGCCTTGTTCGTACATTCCGGGGCGAAGAACATTGTCGATGGCCCCGCGGAGGCCGAAGTGGGCGCGGGCGACGAGACGTCCATCGCTGCGTCATCGAGGGCAGTGCTGAGCCCTCCGAAAATCGACGACCATTCAGAGTCACATTTGCTCAGCGCCTGGACTGACGTGGTGGCGGTCACGTCTCCGGCATTGGTCGCATCACCCGTCTTGTTGGGTTGGTCTTGCAATTCGTAGAGAGCGGGGCTGGATGAGGCCCGGGGCGACTTAGAGGGGGAGAGGCGTAGTGTCGGTGGACGGGCACCGCTGCAGGACGGGGAGCTGTCGCTAACCATCCCGCGTTTGATGGCACACGCGCTACGGTGCTGCAAGTTGGGAGCGTGAATGAGGTGGGTGGAGATGGGAGACAAGAACGTCGCCTCAGCGTACTCTGGCGACGTAGAGATTAGAGCCTCGAGCAGACTGGCCCAGATGTTCACATGGACTGTTGACGTAACTGCCGCCCTTGGGATGGACGTAAGGACGAATGTGGGCTCTCTGCGCCTCGTCGGACGGTGTCGTAGATGAGTACAAGTGGATGGAGGGAACTCATGAGCATCCTGCAAACCATTGCCAGTCGGGTGGGTCAGCCGACGAGGCGGTGGCGGTGTTGCTCACCTCAGCCAGGATGGAATCCTTGGCCGTTCATGTCCTCGGCTTGGTGCCTGCGTCGGCGCTTTCCGCAGCCTACGTCACTGCCATCAAGCCTCCGCAGGTGTCTGCGTCGCATCTACATCCTCTGATGCGTCGAGGACGAGTATGCTCGTGCAGAGTTTACGCTCGAAGCATTCGCCTCGACAAACAAACTATTGTTGATCGACCCAATTCTGGCATCCCGTCAGCCATGCCGTCCCTCCCAACCCCTTCGTGCTCAGTGTCTGCAATGTTTGTGCGTTCCTGAATATCGGCCCTGCGTTGCCATTCATGTTGCACGTGCAGCGGAATGGCGTGGGACGGGATACGGCGGTACGGCGATGGAACGCCCGAGGTCCCAGGGTCGTCAGCGCGAGCTAGAGCACGACAACGGGTGTGACGTTCCAGGCATGAGAGATGAACTGGACGGTGGTGTCACGTCAGCGGCGCGGAGCGCCCATTCAATCCGTTTCAGATCCCACTTCACGCGACTCTTTGCCTTTTGAAAATGCATTCCGCGGAGGATATAATTTCAATCTACCTCCTTAGTTTTCGAAGCTATTCAGGGCGTGTAGCTCAGTTGGTAGAGCGTGTCATTAGCATCTTGATCTTGACAAGGTCTTTGGTTCGATTCCTAACTCGTCCAGTACAGCATCAATTTTGACCTCTTCTTTTTTGACAGGTACTGATGGTTGAGAAGACTGGCAATCGGTTGCAGACGATGCGGATGCTACCGGTCGGTTCTTCGCACCCCTTTCTGCAACTGGGACATATGCCACACACGCTACGGCATCAATACGAGCCGTAGGCCGTTGTTTCAACATGACCCCAGTGCTTTGGAGCAGCATCAGAATGGCGCGTAATTGAGTCACATTGCCATTGTCGCCAGTGGCTGATATGGCTTTCCTTCGTGCTGCCATCACTCGCGAGCATTTCCATAACCACCATGGGCATTGTTTGCTGATGGCGCACCTACATGTGCTCTCGCCGTCTTTGTGGCCTGCGTTCTAGCAGCACATCACACAGCCACTCCCAGTGCCGATAAAGCCCCTCGACATCGCTGGCACCCAACATCACCCACGATGCCCATCCCCAGCCTCACCATGAGTATATACGACGCAATTCTTTCCGCGGCCCTCAACCGCGACATCCTCGCAATGCTCGAGTACCGTGATCTGATCTTTCTCTCGTCCACCATTTGCCCAACCTACGCCTTCGACCCCACCCCCTCCGAGCTCAATGGCGACTGTGGCCCAGTCCATCCCCTCATCAACACTTACGAGAACCCCGGCCTTACCACCTTCTTCCTCGAAGTCGTCCTTGGCCCGCATCTGGACCTGCTCTCCCCCGACGAGCTCAAGCAACCCGATGACATCATATATCCGCTCCTCGCTGCGCGCCTGCGCGCCAAGCTCACCCGGGCCGGAGACAGTGGGCACATTCTGCTTCTTGTGCTTGGGCCTGAATGCCCGGGAGAGGAGAGCCGCCCTGGCGGACTCAATAAACTCCGGCTGCGCGTGCTCGAGGTACTGTGTCGTATGCTGTAGTGTGTGGGCTGATATGTCCTGTCTTAGTTCCGAAAGTGAATGTAGTGTTTAGTTTGCGTCACACTGAGAGCTCGGATTGGGCTGGATTAGGCAGGAAGGAGGCGCAGAAGACAGAAGGGGGGCAGCGAGGCCAGTGGTTTGAAAGGGATGGAGGCCACAAGCGTTTGTGGGCAAGTGGTACGCTTCCACACTTTTATGAAATGTGGCTATCGCGGGTTCGATCCCCGCCGGACGCTGGGAGCGCGCATGCATGCGCAGCAACCTTTTGGAAAGCTGTGCGTCGAGCAAGTGGAGTGAGAAGGGAGACGGCGATGGGGCATGGAGATGGAGACAATGGGGGTGCGTGCGCTGTCACGGGTAGCGAGGTGGAGGTGAGATGCCAGATATTACACTCCTCACAGCCTGCTTTGTACATGCGCTAACGCGATCTACAGTCTTGCTTCAGGCTCTCGTCAATGACCACTGAATGTGATTCATGTGAGAGGTAGCAGGTCATGCAGATCCATGTCCTGCGCCCCCTCGTCACTCGTCCATGCCCCAATGGCCAGCTCACACAGGTGCATCGCACGCAGGATGATGGTCCCCGCTCTCAACAGCCACCACAGCCGCACCGCCCTACATAACAGCTACGCCAGAAGCGGAACACTCCTCGCCACCTCCCCTCTCTCCTTACCTCTCTACCCCTTCCTCTCGTCTCATACCCCTTACTTATCTCACCATGGGCCTCCTCGACATCATCTACGCTCGCGCTGGATCGCTCAACCCCGTCTCGCCCCCCGTCGGGCGCTACCCGCACATGATGCGGGACACGGAGACCACCATGGCCATGACGGAGCGTTTGCTCTCCTTTTCTGGCGTGAGTAACCGACAAGGCAAGCTGACAGAAGGACGACTACAGCATCATCAACTCCGAGAACCAGGAGACGCTAATGAGCGTCAAGGGCAAGGTGTTTTCGTTCCATGACCGCAAGAGTGCGTCTATCCTGGTTGAGCGTCTCCCATTGCATCCCTCCCACCCTCTTCCGCCCCTCCTCCGTCCCGCCCGTCATGGAATGAACTGACAGTGAGAGATCTACGACCCAGACGGAAACATGCTCTACAACATGTCCGACAAGAAACTGAGCACAGGCGAGGCCTTTGTTGTCGAAGACGCAAAGGGCATGGACGTGCTGAGCATCAAGAAGAAGTGGAGCCGTAAGTGGGTGCAGGCATCGCTCACGCAGTCGGATCCAAGCTCGTCGCATACCTCCTCCAAGACGGCGACGAGCGGCAGATCACGCTGAGCGGCGACTTCTGGGGTGGGAGCGCCAACATCAAGGACTGGGAGGGGCGTGCGCTAGCGCATATTGCGCGTGACGTCGTGAACGTCAACGAGGCTGCAGCGGACCAGCAGACTGTGAGTATGCCGGGAGGGCGGGCTGATTCCTGTACTTTGTTACGGTCGCGCCGGGCGTCGATCTCGCGCTTATTGCGTGCGTGTGCCTCGCGTTTGACGAGACGGAGAATGAGAATAATGAGAATGAGGAGGAGAAGAACGAGTGAGCGCCACGAGGCGGATGATAGCGGGTGACTATGAGTTCGTGAACGGAGATGAAGCTACGTGCCACACCCATGATGCCACACTTGGACGACGTAAAGGTCAGCCAAGTCGCCGGCGAGCTGCAAGCGAGGTCACGAGCGCCAAGATGAGCAAGAGCAGGGCCAGATGTGCGGGAGATTGTCGATCACCTGCGGCACGGCTCGTTGAACCTGACCGGTCTCATGCCGGCTATTCCGGCCCAATCATATCCCGATATACCGACGGGCGCGAGAGTGGCACAGACGAAACGCGCACTGACATGACGGCGTCTCAACTTCATCCTCTGACTCTCATCTCATTCACTTGTCCCGGCATGCATCTTTCTCCTGTTACACGCATCTGTAGTCCCCATAATTCGCTGCATGCAATGTACCCAGCTTCGCCCTTTGCTGCATGCCAGGACGCACATTCCCACCCATTCAGAACCACTCTCGTGTGAGATTGCGCCAAGCCACTTCGACCGCCAATGACATCACGGCGTGCCATGGCGTTTGAGTGACATGCCTCACTGCCAAGGTGTGCTCAGCCATCCCTCTTTCTCTTAAATCTCCTCCCTCCCTCTCTCTCCCCCTATCCTCTCCCCTCTTCCCATTCACCATGCCTCCCGTTCTCTTCGACAGTGTCTCGGCGGTCGTCGACGCCATGCCTAGCCCCTACGGCCTCTTCAAGGCGCTGGCTGGCGCGCTTGCCCTCTCCTCGGCCGTTTCGGACCTCAAGACCCCGGTCGCGACCCACGGTTGGGAGATCAAGCTTGGCCTGGACCCTAACGGCGCGCTCAAGGGCGGCCGGCCGACGCACGAGCTCCTCCACGCCTTCAGACTCGAGGACACGCCCGACACCCGCTCGTACTCGTACTACGACACGGAGGGGCACGAGCTCAACAAGGCCGGGTGGGCGATCCGCCTGCGCCACAAGGACGGCAAGGACTTTGAGGCCACGTACAAGAAGCGATACACTGTCGGGCCTGAGGGGCTGGACGCCGCGCTCAAGCTTGCGCGTGACGAGGGCTTTGACAAGTCGGACACGAATTATGACGCTGAGGTCGACTGGACTTTCTCGAAGAAGGTGGGTTTCGGAGCTGGGGGGCAGTTGAGGTGAAAGGAGAGAGTTTGACAGAGAGTGGGGGTCAAACGGGCGTCAGAGTGAGAGAGTGGGAGTGATGAGTGAGCGGCGGCGGCGAGTGATGGCGCCATTGGGACTCGAGGGAGTGAGAGTGGGGCGGTCGTGTGACCATTCGAAACTCACACCAGACCCTCTCATTCACCCTCAAAAAGGAGTGGCCCGCCAAGGGCCACCACGGCACGACCCTCCCGGACGACGACACCGGCCGCCACATGCTGCTCAAGTACATGCCGAACAAGCTGCACAACTGGGGCAAGCAGCACTGGGGAGACAAGACGATGGCCACGACGCGCCAGCACGGCCCCGTGACCTCGAACGTCTGGAAGGGAAACTGGGCGCGCACCCTCGTCAAGCTCGAGGTGCTGCCCGTCATCAATGCCAAGGGCGACGGCCACGAGACCATCGTCGAGCTCTCGTTCGGCGCCGAGACCGAGGCCGAGGCGACCTCGCTCCGTGACAAGGCTCTCAGCCAGATGAAGTCGGCTGGGTGGCTTCTCGACCACGACGTGCTCAAGACGAGAATCGTCCTTGACCGCTACTAGTCGGCTCGGCTGGAGACAGCCGCGCGAGGAACATTGCGTAGCTTAGCGCCCAAAGATGGCACTTGACGTAGCGTCAGAAGATGTTATCATACAGCAGATGGGAGGAGGCCACGGCGCAGGGGTTGATATCTCCGATCTTCTCAGTTGCTGCTCGGAGCTCTTCAGGCCATACAATTACATCGCTTGTCTTCTGAAACTACTTCGCCGCAGGCTGCATCAATGCCGTTGACCCCCTCTACGCCCGGTTGACGTACACAAAGTCGTCCTTCTCCTTGAACTCATATTGCGTCGCGCTCGCGTCGTACGAGTACGTCGGCTCGACCTCCTTGGCGTCATGTACCGCCTCGTCGATGATGCTGGGGCGGTCCGGGAACAAGCGCGACAGGGCGTAGTACATGAAGATCGCGATCACGTCCGCAACGATGTTTGAGACCATGTACACGTACTTGATGTTGCCGATGTTGACCTTTGCGTTGATTGCGTTCGCCATGCCCGGGAGATTTGGCGCAATAGCACACAGCAGAGACACGTACGAGCGCCAGTTCCACCCGCCGAGGTAGTGGTAGATGCCGTTGGGGCGGTACAGGTGGTACACGTTGTACTTGCGGCGCTTGATGATGAAGTAGTCTGCGACCATGAGGGCGGCCATGGGTGCGAGCACGACCGAATACGCGGCCATGAAGCTGAGGAAGTTCTGCGCGCTCGCAAGCACCTTCCACGGCGCAAAGGCCCACACGCCGACGGTCGCTGAGATGAACTGGCCGCGGCGGATGTTGATGTACTTCGGGGCGAGGGAGACCATGTCATTGGCCGCGCTAATCGAGTTTGCGGTGACGTTCGTCGTGGCGTTGGCAAGCGCCCACGCCAGGCCGCCGAGGAACATGGCGGCGCGTCCGCCGGGGCTCGTCGGCCACTTCGCGATGATCATATACGGCTGGTACAGCACGTCGCCGTACACCGGGAGGAGGGAGGTAGCGGTAATTGCCGCGACAATGGACACGGCCGTAAAGATGGCGGGGAATGCGAAAAGCTGCACGAGGTTTGCCTTGGGCTTGACGAGGTAGCGCGAGAAGTCTCCGACGTTCATGCTCATCGTCGCCCACACGCCCTGCACGCTAGTCACGGCATACATGAACGCGACGAAACGCGCCGTGCCCGGCGCGACGCGGTTCATGGGGCTGCGCAACGCGGGCCCAGCCAGCGGGCCCGACTTCTTCAGCGCCCAGATCATGGTGCCGAGCGCGACGATGGGCACCACCACCGCCTTGATGTTGAAGATCCACTTGAGCTTGGACGGATGGATAAAGATGAGCGGGAACTGAATGACCCAGAAGATGAAGAACGAGAGCATGTCGCGCGTGGTCGTCCCACTGCCCGCCGACAGCTGGTTTGGTAGCCGCGCGTACGACGGCCAGATCGCCTCAATCGCGTAGCTGATAAACTGGCCGCCGGCGTACGAGTTGATGCTGAGCCAGAAACACGCGATCACGCATCGCGACTGCTGTTAGCGCGCGCGCTGGTGCTGGAAGCTTACCAGCACGACAAATTTGCTGCCCCAGTATCCGTACGTTGCGCGGCACGTCACCGCGAAGGGCGTGTGCAGCACCGAGCCAATCCATCCGTTCGCTATGGTCAGCAGCGGCAAGGGGGAGACGCAAAACGCACCGGCGATGATTATGGCGGCGAGGAACGCGCCGACGAACACGGCCAAGCACGACTCCCACCAGGTCAAGCCGGACGCGACAAACGCGGCGACGGTCGCCCATCCGCCCGGCTGGAACAGGTCGCACACCCAGTCTGGTGTCAGCGCCGCCAACGCACTACGCACAGGCAAAGAAAGTCCACCCCGTCCATGTGCGGTGGTCAGGCGGCGTCGGGTCCATGTCTGTCGTCAGCTGCGCCGAGACCGCACGCACCCTTGTTCGACCACACCTCCTCCGGCGCGATGCAGCTCTCCTCCTTCGGGAGCAGCCACGCGCTGGGCTTGAACACGTCTGCGAGCCGCATGGTGAATAGTGTGAAAGAGTTGCTCGCACGAGCATATCTACTACATTGCATGCAAGACACCACGCGGTGCACGGCCGCCGACATCAGCCGTGCCCGAGCCGTAGCCTCGGTCCATCGCCGTGTGCTGGCCTTGTGCAAGTCAGGCCAAAGTTTACTGATTAGAGGGTGCGTTCCTGGCCCCAAGCGAGGTCAGCAGGATAGGAGCCGCAAGGCATGGCAGGATAAGAAGGATCTCGCTGCCGTAGCCCGGGCTGCGGGCACCGAGTCTAGCCCTGTAGATCAGCAGCGGCTATGAGCTCATGAGCTCGCGCGACATGGCAGAGGCAGAGGACGGCGAGAGAAAGTAAAATTACGGGCCGTGCCTGTGATGTGATGACCGAACTGTCCATGTGGGACGCCTTGGCTGCGGTGACTACCGGCGACATGTCGGTGATCTGCATCACGTGAATGGGCAGCAGCACAGTGAGATAGGTAACGCGGCTTCCAAGTGTTCGCTATCTTGCGGAAATGCAGACGACCACGACGAGTAAGTATGCGGCCCCGGATAGTCGAGCATGTAGGTGTGGGGTCAGGGGCGGGCAATGCGCAGGCCCCGTCGATCCGCTGGGAGTTGGAAGTGTTGGCACCGCCTTGCCAGTATCAACACCGACGCTCCGCTATCTCGAATGTTGCGTGTGCAGCACAGGCTCGCCCGCTGGCCCTCACTCAACTCAGAACATCCGCGCATCTCTTTCCACGCCGTCCTGGCGACTCACATCTATGTCACTTATCCGGCTGATGAAGGAGAAGTGGTCAGATACACGTCTCTGTCGTTCTGCCCTCTTCCAGAGGGCTTGAATCCATTGGCCTTGGTCGCACCAGCGAAAAGCTAACTCATGAAGACTGTGGCTGTAATCGCCATCTTCTGCGCTGGTCGGCAACGTCGCTGGGCCTGAGGTGATGGTCGGGGAACTGATGCTGCCGAAGAGAGAGCAGTTGAAGTCGCTGCTCAAGAAAGGGCATTGGTGCTGTGGAGAAGCACCTCACGCACCCACACAACGGCTGTCCTCTCTCACGCGACTAGAAGCCCCAGACATTGCTGTGCTGCTATGGGCGGCGTTTCCGCTCCGCAGCCGGAAGCCGTCTGCTCCCCATCACGCGCTACGTCCGAAGACTGACGGGCTTGTGTGAACAGTCCCCTCCCCGGACACACGCGCTGAGGCCGCCGCTTCACACCGCACCTGGCGCGCGTCGGTCCGGATTCACGTCCGGCTTCTCCCGTGCGAAGCTGTAGATCGGAAGCCACGACCCGCTCTGGCGCTCTCGCACGCCGCTCGTACTTATATACCTCTCTCTTTCTCCTTCCCATCTCGTTTTCTTCACTCTCACATCGCTCTCCTTTCACCCGCCCGAGGCTACAGGACGATGCCGGCCTTCGGGGTGTTCGCACCTTTGCTTTGTGGGTCGCCCCAAGTCTTTCTCACGCAAGGCCTCCGAGCGACACCTTTCAACGATGCTCCGCCGGCCCCGCCTGACCTGCCGCTGCCTGCACTAGATGTGAAGATTGATGCTGGCGCCTACCCCCATATCCTGGATCGCATTCTGCATGCGGCAATGGAGGACGCCTCGGATCGTGAGCTATGCAACTTCCGCTATGTGTCCAAACATTGGCAGAAACACGTCGACGCCCACCTCGGCCGGCATCTCGTCCTCGATGCCTACACCGCCAGTAGCAAGGCAGGCACGTACCTGCACGATGGGCGGCGCGCACCCCTGATTTCCGATGTGCACCGGTACCACTTGTGAGTCCCCACCGCACGGCTAACCTCAGCCTGGCGCCGGTCGCCGGCCCCTGCGAGGTGCCGGCGCTGGCGCGCGCCGTCCTCGCGCACACGCGCGTCCTCGATCTGCGCCGCATTTCGCGCCTCAGCCCGCTGGTCGCCATCCTCCCCCTGCCTAAGCTGGAAACCCTGCGCGTCTACCCGCACAGCGCGTCGCCATGGATCCACCATCCGCTCACCCCGCTCTCGTGGAAGTGCCTCTACGACGGGGGAAGATACGGGGCCGCCCTCCCGGCTCCGGAGATGCCTGCTGCGCGCCGCCTCGTCGTCTTCTTTTCTCCTGATGAGCGCGAAATACAGTGCGAGATATACCAGACGCCCGGCATCTTTCCAGGCGTCGAGGAGCTCGTCGTCCATTTCTACCCTGTCAGTCCGTGGCTGCTCTTTCCCCAGCTGCTTATGACGTACGGATTGCACCGCCTTGGTCCCCGCACAGCGACGTTCATCTTCACTGACGATGGCCCGACGTCCAGGCCCAACCAGTACCAGCCTCTACCGGCGGCTCGGCTTGCCGAGCTCGTGTCGCTGCTTCCTGAGGACGTGAGAGTGACGGTCGTTGGCTTCGAGGTCTTCACCAGACACCCTAACTATGACAGCGCGGTCGTCGCGCAGGACTTCGAGTTGCACAGTGAGCTGAGGCGCGTCGTCTTTGTTGATGTGTGTACGTTTCAGGAGCAAATTGGAGCAGCGACGTGGGCTCTATACTCCGAGAAGCCTCCTGAGGTACCTGTGCGTGAGTACAGCAAAGCTGCAGAACTTGATTTCGCTGACTTCAGACGAGCGCGTGTTAACCAACCCGTGGTAGACCAGTTCATGAGTCTATCACGGCAATGAAGGCAGGGCAGTCCGCATAGAGCGGTCATTTCACGCAAGAGATTGTGTGAATTGGTCTGACACCTGGTGGTACTTCGCGTGCTGCTGAAACCCCCAACTTGTTGAGCTGATGAACCCGATCTCACATAACACAAGGCTACGTACATTTAGAATGATGCATGGACTGTTTACGACGCGGGTTGATTCCCTTCAGCCCATCTATCACTTAGACCAATGCATTTCTCGCTCCCCACCCGTCATGGGATTACAACTGCCTCGAGCGGCGACAAGCTGATAGGCTCATCCTGTAATGTTCCAATCTGCTTTTCATATTTAGGACCTTATGAGATCATGCTCGTCTCAAACTCGCCCAGCAACTACAGCTCGCTGTGGCCGGAGCATAAGCACGCAGATATGTACCTCATCAGCAGCTTCGGCAAGGGAAATTGACTTGACTTCGATGGGTCCGATGGATCCGAAGGCTGACGCACTCCTCTCTTACCATCCGCAGGGGTGCTGGAGCCCAAAAAGCGGCTAAGCGGAGGGAGCCCAAGGCTAGGATTTATTGTTTGGACAACTGAGCCGAGCACGCGTGGCGATTGACACGGCTTATAAGCGGCCGTCCAAGGGGTACGCAAGCAGTGGTGACTCCCCATCCGTCAATGACAAAGTGAAGACGCGCCCGCTCAAGCCGTAATGACGACGATGCATGGGAGCGAGAAAGCACAGGAGCACCCTGGATGAGAACAATACAATTCGGCAAGGTATGAGATGCGGAGGATTGGTACTGAGGAAACTCGAAGCTGAGCGTCAAATGCGTCTCTCTGATTAGGCAGAGTTGTGCACCTGCGCATCAGCTGAGGTTCCTTGGACGTTGGGGAACAGTGCACCCGATCCTACTCACAGACGACGCGACTCGACGCGTTGTACTTGACGCGTTGTTAGCGTGGCTCGGGGATGGCTCGCATCGGCCGAGCAGGCCCCGGCGGGATGCGGCCGCCGGCACGTGTCGCGTTGAGGTGCTCGCGGAGGCCGCTGAAGCGCGTACCGGGCTCGTGCTTACGGAATCCCGTGGTCGTGTGCTTGGTCTGGAAAGTGGGCACGTAGAAGTCCTCAGTGTCGACAATGACCTCGCGATCCTTGAAGAACTTTGCGTCGCGGCCGCGCCCGATCGTCTCGAACCCGAACGGCGACACGGTCGCCTGCTCGTCGCGCTGAATGTCCTCGCCGAGCGCTGCCAGGAGCTTGCTCATGTCGTACTCGTCGTTGCGTGGCGCAAACAGGTCGCTCTGATACGTCGTCATAAGTGCCGAGGCGCTGCTGGGCTGGCTCGAGATTGAGTCCGCGTCGCCGTTGGGCGTCGGCGCCTTAATGCGGATCGCAGAGCAGTCCGTATCATCGTCGCTTTCGACACCCTCGACCACCTCAAACTGCTTATGCGACTGAAGTCAGTGCCTGAGAGAACAAAGGCAAGGTGAGGATCGGCGGTAGTCACCACCAGTTTTGCGTCCCAAGCACTCTCGCACCTGCACTCGCACTCGCACTCGGACGTACACTCACGCTATCGCTGCTGCTAAGCTTGCGCTGCTGCCACATCGGATCAGACGGATAGGTGGGGGTGGCGAGGACGGCGGACGACGCAGAGCTCATGGCGCTGGCGGTGCTCTGCCGCCGCCTAAAGTCTGGGCCTGTGGGGCTCAGGGGGAGGAGCGACTCTTCGACGACCGTCGAGACCGTACCAACGCAGCCTCCGAGAGAAGACAGCATGCGCGTGTCGGGAGCGCTGCTGTCGTCGACTCCTGGCATAAGTGTTGACGGGAGGGCGGGAACTGGAGGAGGCGGGGCCGAGGGGCGCTCACGCTCAAAGAGCGGCGTGCGTGACTTTTTGCGGAAGATGCTCGACATGGACATGGTGGCAAGGCGAGTGTGATGCGAAGAGTGAACGAGCAACCTGGTTAGTCTTTACGGCCTTTGGCTGTTGTGTGGGCGCGTTGAGGCGTTGGGGGAGGCATCCATTTGTCCGTACTCCTTGTCCTGCTGGAATAGGAATTGGCGTTGCTCACGATCTCGATCCATACGCTTGGGGCTACCGCCATTGCCAGCCGTAGACACCCTGCCTCCCCGCTCATGATCACCCAGACTCGCCGCTGGCGGCTGGCTCCAGACTCAGGCTTTCCTGTTCTGAACTCCAGGCTCTAGGTCTCAGGCCGACAGAACGTCGAGCAGGCGGTGCATGCCTCACCTTGCCCTGTTCAAAGTGCAGAAGTGCATAATGGGGAAGTGCAGGAGTTTTTCCAGGACTGCACCCCAGACGCCGAGTGGGTGCCGGCGTCATGTTGTTCGCTCGAGGGTTCGGAGGGTTGCGTGAGGGTCGAATGTGGCGGCGCACGGATCGCACGGGCCACCGACTGCCGTCCGGCCTCACGGCCAGTCACCGTTTGCAGGCTCATCAGTGATCACCAGGGTTGTGCTCTATGGCGAGCAACTCATGCGGGGGCCTGAGATGCATGGATGACCGGTGCGGCTGCCCGATGCGTCCGTACTGGGATCTGGCTTGTGGCGTATGGCGGCTGGAGGCTGGCAGTCGACAAGCATGGCTAGCATGGCGGGGTGATCGCCTTCGTCAGCTCGCCAGTTCTTCCGCCAAGAGGGCGAGAGCGGCCAGACGCTCGCCTAACGACCCACTCAGCAGTCATACCGTTCAACCCCGGCACGTCGGAGCGCCGGCTTAACGGCTGAGTAGGCATGCCGCAGTCGCGTTCCTCCGCACATGCGTAGACGATCTGCGTGCCATGGAGTGTGATGCTATGGGAGCTCCAGCGCTCCAGCTCGGCCCTCTACTACTCGGACGGAATTGTCATGTGCTTGGGGGGCAGGGTGAGGCCGTCAATGCGGGCTCAACTCACAGCACGTCGAAGTAAATGGAGCAGCCGGGGGAACGCGCGGCAAAGGGGCGAATACGAGTCACTTGTCACCTCCAGGCATACCAGGTAGGCTTAAGGTTCTCGAAAGCGTCTTCTGAGAGAGGGTTGGGAGGTGAATGGGATGGAACGTGGTCCGAGCACGCGGCGGCGCGGCGTGGCGTGGACGTGGATGTGGAATTTCACCCGGCCCAAGCGGTGGCGCCGGCTTTGCCCTGCACCAGGCGTTCTTAATCTGGCTAGCACCCTCGATGGGAGATGCTCGATCAGAAGGTGAGATCGAGAGACGGGCTTCGAGAGATGCAAACGATATGTCTAAATTGCACGATCAGCACAATCAACGCGATCAATCAAGGTCAGATTCTGCTATGGTGACAGCTGATGTTGTGTGGCCATCTGGGGCGCCGAAAGAACCGAAGTCACTTCGGGAACGGCGGCACCGGCGCGAGGTGGGGGCCACGCGGGAGTGAGCTCGAGTCTCGTGGCGCGAGGCGCGCAGGATCGAAATGGAGGCGGAAGATTGCGCTGCGACGTATCATACCACTCTTCTCGCTGCTTGTCCCTCGTGCGCCTCATTCGACTAAAGCGCTTACCGCTAGCTGGTCATGCTGACGTACATCGCGCGCGATGCCGCGCAACTGGTGGGGAATGGAATGAAGGCGCGCGGTGGTGCGCCGCCATGGCGCAGCGATGTTCCGAAGCAGTGGCGGTGATCAGCTGTGGAGCGCGTGATGGAGTGCATGGTGGAGCACTTGGGCGGCCGGCGCGAAGATAACGGAGGCAACAACGGCTTGAGAACCACAAGTGCTTGTCCATCGCACAAATAACGCGCTTCGGTACTGGCACGCTAGAACGCGGCAATCGCTTCACAACATCGCCGCATTGCTTCAATTCCGCAGCATCAGCGGTCCGTCCGTCCGTGCTCGTCACCGTCGGATGGCGACAGCGTGAGAAACAATAGGTGCGGGCGCACCCGTTCGGAGGTGGGGGTGGGGAAGCACTAGGGCAGTTGGGCAACCTATAGTGTTCGGCGCGGAAGCTAACGGCGTGCGTAACGGGGAACGATCGGTGGGCTGTGGGAAGGCGCGGCCTCGCTGCGCCGTATGTTCCGTTCAAGGCAACGCGGCGGCCGCCGCGGCTCTTGGCCTTGGCGGGCTCGGCGTTCGGGCTATACACAACTTGGTACAGCGCCGCTGCCCACCATCAGCGGGCTGAGCCTAAGCCAAGGCAAGCAGACCGGCACCGCGCATCTCTGCCCGACAAGCTGGAGAGCTGGAGAGCTGGAGAGCTGGAGCTAGCGGGGCTGCCCCAACTTTCCCTAACTCCATACGTGACAGATAGTTCCTGGGCACGGCACAGCACAGCTGAAACAACGACACTGGGGTGGGCATAATGGGCAATCTACATTACGCCGAGCCCATCTCGGCAGAAGCCGACCGGGCATTGAACCCAACGCAATGTACCACGCACGATGCCCTCCAGCAGCCCATTATCGTGCCAGCCTCACTCCAGTTACCGACGGACGACGCTGCGCTGCGATAGGACGTCGTTGAATCGTCCGCTGGTGCAGTTGTCTTGACGTCAGATGTGTGCTGGTGGGAAACCAAGCGGTGATGGTCGCCCGGTGTGCCCAGCATCGTGCTCATCACGGGACGACCCCAGTATCACAGGCACGACGAGTGCGCTGCCCCAGTGCGTGCTTGACGTGCGCCCGGGAACGACAACGGGTGTCAGGCAGCAAGCGGAGCCTATATACGAGCTTTGCTCGACCAAGCAGCGAGCTCGCTACTTCCTTACCCGACCAGGCTACCAGCGGCTCATAAGGCCGGTTGCGGGGATGACCTTGTCCTCCATTCCCTCCGGCTCCTTCCAACCGCCAAGCCACATACTCTCAGCCCCCCGGTCCATTCTCAAGCGTTTTCTGCGCCTCTCTACACACAATGGCTCCTCTCATCGCCTCGCGCAAGGCCCCTATGACCAACACGTCGGGCCACCCCGCCCTCACGGCGCTCTACAACCTCGGCGGGCAGGGTGACCCCAAGACTGTCGAAAAGATCTACGAGCAGTGGGCGTCGAGCTACGACTCGGACATTCTTGGCGACGAACAGGGCTATGTGGGCCCTCAGACAGCTGTCCGCGCCCTCGTGCGCGCGGGCGTGAGCCCCTCCGCCCACATACTCGACGCCGGCTGCGGCACCGGCCTCGTCGGCGTTCACCTCGCCAAGGCCGGCTACGCCGACGTCGACGGCATGGACCTCTCGCCTGCCATGCTCGAGCAGGCGAGCAAGACGGGATCCTACAAGGCTCTCGGAACCGTCGATCTTACGCGTGACATTCCCGCCCCGGATGCCGCCTATGATGGCATCACGTGCGTCGGCACGCTCACGCATGGGCACGTTGGGCCGCGCGTGCTCAACGAGTTCGTGCGAGTCGTCAAGCCGAACGGCGTCATTGTCGCCACCGTCCTGGACGATATTTGGGAGGAGGACGGGTTCGCCGACGAGGTCAACCAGCTCGCGAAGGACAACAAGGTCGACGTCCTCGGCACTGACCTCGAGCCGTACCGTGCCGGCGCTGGTGTCAATGCCCGCACCCTCGTCATGCGTCGCCGCTAGGGTTGAGTGCTCGACCTCCACATCCCCACGGGGGAGATAAGATACGAGCGCGTTCGAATCCCGACGCAAGCGGGCAGTTGAAAGCACCAGAAAAGACCTTTAGACTCCATGGGAGCGCCCTGTAGCCATGATGTAGCCTTCGTAGTTGTTTAGAAAGAAACTTAGCGTGTAACATTTTGGTGGTGAGGGCTCGAAGTAGTGAAATGCCTTCAGTCCTGCTGGTGTTCTCTGACAGGGTAACTCCCATCCGGTCTCCCGACAGCCCATAGACGACTACGTGTACAACGGGGATAGTCGCAGCGATACTCTACTCGCGCCTGGCCCCACCCCCCTCTACTCCCCTCAGCACATCGGTGACCGCTTGTTTTCCCACCGCACCCAGACCACCCCCACGCTCGCCGCCAGAAGCAGCGCACTGATCATGGTCGCCATGCCAAAGTACGCGCTGGGCGCAACGTCATGCGAGCTGGAGTGCACTGTCGCGCCGGCGCTCGGCGTCCCCGCCAGCGTGCCAAATCCTCTGGCCATGTAAAGGATGCCGTTGACGGACGCGAAGTTCTGCGGGCCGAAGATCTCGACGAGCGCCGCCGGAAAGAGCGAGACGTAGGCGCTCGCAAACGTGCCGTACATGATCGAGTACGTGACGAAGAGGCCGCGCCCCGCCGCCAGATCGCGCGCACCAAGCAGCGTGCTCGGCATCCAAAACACGAAACTCGCCACCGCCGAGATCGCCGTCGTGATGAGCAGCATGTTGATGCGACCAAAGCGGTCGGCGAGCATCCCGAGCCCGATCTTGCCGATCGCATTGAACGCATTGTTAATGGCGATGACTGGCATCAGCTCGCACAGCCGCAGACTCACAATTAGCGCCCTGTTTGGGGCTGTAGCCCAGCGTGCGGGCGTACGCGCTGAAGAAGAAGACAGGGGTATAGTACGCCGCGCTTTGCAGGAACGTGGCGAGCAGCTGGCCGCCGAACTTGCCTGTGCGGGCGATGCGCATGTCGACAAGCGGCACATCCCACAAGCTACGCAGCCGCGACCGGGGCCGCGCCGCAAGGCGCGCCTTCTCGACCTCGATTCGCGCCTTGCTCACGGGATCCCAATCGAGGACAAGAGCACCGGCGGCGACAAGCGCTGTCGTCACGCCCCCCGAGATGCGCAACGCATTCCGAAACCCCAGGTGCTCGTTCAAAGCGTGCATCACCGGCGCCCAGACGAGGCCGCCGACGCCCGTCCCGCTGAGAATGATGCCCATCGCGAGGCCGCGACGTCGCCCGAACCACATGGGCGCGACCGTCGCTGCGGGCATGTAGGAGAAGCAAGTGCCGAGCCCCATGAGAAAGCCTTGCGTGAGAATGAAGTGCCAGAGGGCGGTTGAGTGAGACGCGAGGAGGGCGGCGGCGAAGGAAAGGGCCGCGCCAATGAGGACGGCAACGCGTGGCGAGAAGCGCTTCGTCCATGCCGTCGCGAGGGGCGCGCCGATCGTCATGAACGCTGCACTTAGCGTTCCGATAATGTCGATTGCGGCAGGTGACGCGCCAGTAAACGGCGTATTGGGCTGCTGCGACATGCTCTGGTAGAGCTCCTGGTAGACACCGAAGGAGAAGACGCCACCGCATGTCGTGAAAATGCACAAAAACGACGCGGTGCAGATAGCGACTTGGCGACTGCAGTCAGAGGAAATAGGCAAACGAATGTATTCACAGCTTGGTGGGCTTCAATGGGGCTGCTGGGGTAGCTGGGGCGGAGGGCTCGTCTGCGCGTGATGAAAGCTGGGAGAGCATTGACAGCTCGACGCTATCTGTCGGCGTCTCTATGTCTGGTGGTCGTAATGTTTGCACGCTCATGGTGTGGATGTGGTGAGAGGATGAGCGCAAGTGTTCAAGATGATGCGGAGCAGTCGTGCGGAGTAGTCGGCAGATACCGGCCCGGTCCGCCGTCCAGCCGGCACACGCCGGTTTCTGTCTTGAACGTCAATTGCATGGCATGTATGGCAGTGATGGGACCCGCAACGTGCTGATGCTCAGCCATCGTCTGACAAGGATTGAGAGGGCTCCATGGCATGTCCGCTCTCGATGATGACTGAGAGCGCTGTGACCTGGCATTCTGCGGAGATGGTAGCTGCCCGGCGATGCCCGAAGGTGCTCAACCGTGAGATTTGTCAACCCAAGCGGCACCACTCAGACTTGAGACACTCCTCGAGCAGAGACAATAAGCGACGAATGGACGGAGCTACCAAGCACAGCGGATACATGGAAGTCTATCCTCCCCTGTGGTCGCTCTACAAACCGACACCATTCAGTCACTACGCTAGTGGAGCAGCTCGCCGTGAGCACAAACTCACGTGTGCAAGTGCTGGTGGGCACTAACAGGCCTGTTGTTTATCCTGCCAATATAGGGAAATCCGTGCAATACTAGCTTGCTGAGCCGTCTCCGCACTGTGTTTGACATTGGCGGCGTCTATCTTTTCCAACTCGTCGAAGAATGCGTGCACCGCTGCCCGGATGTGGGGCAACCACGTCCAGTAGCCATCCGTCTTCACCGCCTTGAAAAGGCGGTCTTGGCCATAGCTTTTAAGCGCAATCTCGAGGAGCCTGTCAACCTCGTCGATGTAAGCCTTCTTGAAGGGGTTGTACAGCTCGACATCGCGCGGCAAGGGATAGAACGGCTCTCTTGAAATGATGTTCGCGAGCCGTCGTGCACCGCTTGGGAGAGAGTCGTACACAAATGAACCGCACGTCAACTGCACCCAGTGAAGATATTCGAGTGGGCGATATACGAGCCACCGCTCGCACTGAATGGTCAGATCATGACGAAGGCGAGCCTTGCTTACTTTGTCGAAGTCGAGGACCCAACATTGCGGTCGAGAGGCGTCCTCATGGCAGCCGCCGAGGATCAGCTCAACTCCGCGGGCGTCGATCCCTACCCCCCAATGCATGCGGGCGAGGATATGTCCCATCCCTTTCGCAACGTCCTCTATGGGAGGAACGAAGGGGAGATGAGTATACTGCACCGCATCGAGAGGCACATCGACGAGGGGACCGTCGCTCAAAGCAGTGGTGTCGGTGCAGCTTACAACGCCAAAGAGGAGTCGGATGGAGAGGATGTTGGGAGCAGGAACGGTTCTGCGCAGGATATGATGGTAGAATGAGTGGGCAGTTGGAAGTGGGACAGGCGGAATTCGGTCAAGAATGAGTGCGGGGTGATGGGTGTCATTCAGTTGAAGGTTGGGTGCTGGGCCCAGTATCTTCTCCAAGGTAACACGCTCATGCAGTTGAGCAACCGTGGGCTTGTAGACGCGATGCAAGTTCGGACTCCTAAATGACCACTGTCTCGTGTCCATGGTGAACATGCGCAGTTCGTCGCAACTTGCCTCGTCAGCATGCAAACCGAGGTCTCGGGTGCGCTCGTAGACTCACATCTTTGCCTCGTGCGTCACGGTCTCTGACGCGCCGGGGTTGATGCAGACTTTGTACACAATCTGTTTCGTGTAGGGACAGGTGTAGATGCGCGCAAAGGTTCCCTCTGCAATGCATGTGTCAAAGCGATTGATTATCGGGAACTGCGGGGGGCCGGCTTTGGCTTCTGTACTGCTGGCCTCGAGATCCGAGCCGTCCGCCTCAAGCCGGGACCTGTCAGTCAGCTGCCGCCTCCGGTGGTGATCGAACTGCAGCTCACATTCTGTCGCTGTTAGAACGACTCAGCGGGGACTGGACGGCGTAGCGGCCAAGGAAGCTGGCAGCTAGGGAGAGGGGATGGGGAGCGGAATGGAGCAGAACGAGGGCCAGAGTCTTGTGGCGAGCGACAATGAGGTAAGCTCGAAGGATACAAGAGTGCGAGTGTGAGAGAGAGCGCAAGAGACTGTGAGAGAGCGAGAGAGAGTGAGAGAGAGCGAAAGAGAGAGAGAGGGTTAGGGAGAGTAAGTGGATTAATGAGAAGTGTCGACGTTGACAATGCCGACTGTGTCCAACCCACCTTCCCCACCACATACAACCTTTACACCACTCTCACTCATCAAAACCCCCCATCCGCATACATTTTGCACTGATGCGCCCCTATGCAGATGCCACCGCGTCAAGAGCCTGCTGGATGTCGGCTTGCAGGTCCTCGAACGATTCAAGGCCAATACTGACTCGCAACAGTCGCGTGTCGACGTTCTTGTCTGTCATGCGTCGCCACTCGATCGTACTCTCAACGCCCCCGAGCGACGTGCAGTGGTGGAACAGCGCGAGCTTAGAAGGGAATGCTCGTGCAGCCTTGTCGCTCTTGAGGTACAGCCCGAACACTGGGCCAAAGCCATTAGGCATCTGCTCGCGCACCCACGCCCCATCCTGCAGCGAGGCGTGGGTCACACGCTCGACGGCGGGAAGGTTGGCTACCGACTCGTGTAGCCACTTGACGAGACGCGTGGCTGTGTCGCTCTGGCGCTTGATGCGGATCTCGAGGGTGCGGAGGGACCGCAGGCCAAGCCAACCCTCAAAGCTCCCCATGACGGCGCCGAGTACAAGGCGGTCACTCTTGAGCTGGGCCCACCACTCCTCGCGCTGGGGGCTGACTGCGATTACGCCGCAAAGCATGTCGCTGTGCCCGCCAAAATACTTGGTGCCCGAATGCATGACGATGTCGGCGCCGAGATCGAACGGCGCCAGCAGCGGCGGAGGCGCGAACGTCGCGTCGACGGTGAGGTACGCGCCAGCCTTCTTGGCTCTGGCCGAGTAGTGCGCCAGGTCGCGCGCCTCACCGGTCGGGTTCAGCGGTGTTTCGACGTGGATAACGTCGCCCTCCCCGATCTCGTCGCTGTCCAGGTCCACCTTCTCACACCCATACAGGCGGTGGAGGATGTCGATGATTCCATGACAGCCGTGGTATCCCGCTCCAATGGCGATACGCTTCGGTCGCAGATGCACCATCATCGCATGGAACGCGGACAATCCCGACGAGTAGGTGAGCGCCTTGCCACCCAGCAGCGAGGTCAGAACAGCCTCGAGACGGGTCGTATTCGGCGCGCTGTCACGCGAGTAGATGTTCGTGTCTCGGTCGGCGTTGGGCTAGGGTAAGGGAGTGCACTCGCGATGGGGACTGAGGCGTGCGGCCAGTACTTGTCGGGCCGGCGCAGGTGCCTGCGTTCGCTGCCCCCCCGACCTCCCCAGATTGCCTTCCCATTCCCAACTTACATCGTGCTCGCCCCAGAAGACCAGCTTCTCCGGGTCATCGTGGTACCGGAAGGTGGTCGACACGTGCATGGGCGGTGCCACGGCACTGTGCAACTGGATGCCGTCGTCGCCGTGAATCGCACGGGTCGCCGCGGAGAAGTGCGCGAGCGACTCCGGCGTATTCTTCGTAGGTGGCATGGCCGGCGAGGGTGATGAGAAAATGAGCAAACGAGGCAAAGGTTGGCGACCACGCGTGGACTCCATCTTTGCAGTCGGTCGAAACCGATGTGGTGATATCACCTCAGCGGCGGAATGTGTCCGGCATATGCCGGCTTGGGCCGACGACGCAGTCTGTCACCAATTCGATGATAAGCGTCGCTTCTGGTATATTACTGTTGATAGATGCCTGAACACCGCGATATTTACATGCTTAGGTACAAACCAGCAGGACGGCGCGTTCGGGATTCGCTGGGCAGCTGGACTGGCGCGCAATTGCCACCACATGTGCCATCGAAACTTAGGCCGACTTGGGCCGCTCCGGCGCCTTCACTGGCGTCTTATCCCTGCTGAGCTGCTGGAAGAAGGCCTTCTTTGCGTCGCCCTTGAGATTGAGATGCTCAGCGACCTCCGGGGCCGGCGTCTGAGCGAGCCACTGCTCAAGCGAGAAATCCTCAAACGTGGCTGCACGGAACATCTCGAGGAATTTGAGGTCCCCCTTACCGATGTTCTCGACGTAGTGCGCATTGTTGCGCGGGAATATACCGACGTCGCCGGCCTGGTAGTTGAACGTGCGCGCGTTACCAGCGCCGGCGAAGATCGTGACGCGGCACTGGCCGCGCAGCACGAAGAACCACTCGTCAGCGTTCGGGTGCCAGTGCATCTCGCGCAGCCCGCCCTCGTGGATGAGCACGTGTGCGGCAGCCGTCGTCTTGGAGATGGGAAAGTTACGCGAGTCGGTGATGCGCACCTCGCCGCCCGGGAACTTGAGCGGCTTCTGTTTGAGCATGCGGTGCGTGAACATGTGCTTGCTGGGCACGACGGCCTTGCGCGCGTCCGAGAGACTACCCGGGTCTGAGCCCTGGAAGATGTACTTCTCGCGAGGGGAGAGCGTGGCGAACACGTCCTCAGATACGCGGAAGTTGTGCGCCAGAATATGCTTAGATGTCTTGACCAGATAGTCGGTCAAGAGGAACGTGTCGTCCTCGGAGAAGTTGCCGCTGTCGAAGATGAGCAGGAACTCGACACCCTGCTCGCCCAGGCCTATCGTCAGTGCCGCCATGCACGTACCAACCTTGAATGCCGTGCGGGAAGCCCGGCGGGAAATACCAAAGGTCACCTTCGCCGACGTCGTCGATGAAGCTCCCGCCCTCTGTGTCGAGCACGGTGATGCGGCACTCCCCCTGCCATCAGCCGGGACCCATGCCGCTGCACTCACAGCAATGATGTACGCCCACTCGCTCTCATTGTGCCAATGCAGCTCACGGTACACGCCCTTGCCGAGTCGCATGTTGACCCCCGCAAGCTCCTTGGACGTCGGGAGCTCGCGCACGGTCGTCTCACGCGTCCACCCGCCCTCCTCGAGGCGAACGTGTGAGTCCGTGAACGACCACTTCATGTTGGGCATCTTGCCGTGATCCGTGAGCGGGGGGCGCACGGTATCGCGTGCCTGCTTGGCGCGCTCGGGGTTCTGGGGCCCGAGAATGTCATTCCCAAGCTTGCCGCGGCGCGGGATGGGGCTGGGGTCAACGAATGTGGAGGGAGCTTACGCCTTGTCGCTGTCCTCCAGGCTCGTTGCCTCCATCGAGCGGGTCAGTAGCGCCGTTGCGGCCTCCGTCGCGGCGCGGAGGTCCTCGAGGACCGACCGCTGGGACTCGACCGAAGGTAGGCGCATCATGGTGGTCGTCGTAGTATGTGCATCGGGTCGCAGTGTTGGTGACGGGTGTATGGTGTCGGGGTCGCATGAATGGCGCTGCGCTCACATGACGTCAAGTGCGTACACGAGGGCCATGTCGCTCATCTCCGGCACGGTGTCCTGCTCTATCCATATCACCTGTGGTCCTCATAATAGTGTGTTCTGGGGAGAGGGAGGAATATGAATGCAAGTGACACAGCGGGGCACGGGGCCCACTGATGAGTCGGGAAATGGCTCGTGCAATCGCTCAGGCAGGCTCTTGGGCCTCGCTGTCCAGCCGGCGGTGACTGAGACAGTTGGGCGAAAGCAAGGGCTCACCTAGTCATCTACTCACAGAACCTCATCACGCCTGAGCGTAGCTTCCATCTCAAGCGCCCAAACAGGATAGTCCCGCTGGCTATCCAACCCCAGCTCGAGAAGCCACACAATAACCGTATCCCCCATGTCGCCGCAGTGTGAGACAGATAACAGCTGATAACGGAGAATAGCACAGTGCTCTACGCACCCTCTTCTTGGCCCTTGTGCCCGCTCCACGACACAAGAGCGGAAGGAGAGATCGCTGTGGCAGCCCATATGAGCGTGCCACGATCCCAAACGGGCGTGGCGCATCAGGAACGTGACTCGAGCCCCTTCACGGAATGACTCTGCTGGTACCTCTCAATACTTACGACGCCGTGCGGCGATCGGTGACACCGCCCCCGTCACCAGGGGAGCTCATCCAACGACGAGTTGGTGGGTGGGTGTCAAACTCGTCAAACTGATGAAGCGCGAGAGGTACCTCGGGAAACTCTCGCTGCGTCTCAACTCCTCCACCAATGCCGACTCGCAAACCGGTTGCGAGGAACCGGCTCCAGACCAAGTTTCGCACCGAGTGACGACACTTGCTCGCCAAGATTGCGGTCGCTCAGCAAGCTGCGACCAGTGAGAGCAGTGCATCAAGCCCAGCCTCGCGTTCATATTCCGCGCCTGACGGGCCCACTTTCGGCGGCGGTGGTGGGCGTAGGCCGAATCTTGTCGCATACCTCGCCACCGCACGGTTTTACCGTGGGTGCCGCGGGTACGTGGCTGCTGCGCTGCGGGTAGGTCCAGATAGCATGTCGTGATGTATCTGGCAACTTTGCGCCTTGGCGTGCAAGTGGAGGTTGGGCGTGGTGGTTGGAAACTCGCTGTGCGCCACCCGGATACTGCGATGAAGCGCTCCGTGGATGATGTGGTATGCGGCCTTGCATGCCCGCAGTGTTTTGAGCTGCGAATCAAGGAACACGAGCGCTGGATCCAGCTGAAGAACGTGGGGGGTGGTGCTCAGGTGATGGTAAAAGGCTGAACATGTGAGAACGACTGAGCCCGCGAGGCTGGATTCCAGCTCGTGCTCAAGGGATATTGAATGTCGTTAGGCGTAAGTCGTAAATTCGTCGTAACGAGAATTGGCCACCAAGAATGTAGCAGGTGACTAAACTCAAGCACATTTCTCAGTCACTCTTGACTCTTGAAGTGGCAGTACCACGTTTCGGCGCCCGTCAGCCTTGCCCACTCTGTGACATCCGTCGCGCATCTCTGAGAACAATGATACATGGATGGTGGAGTGGGCAATAAAGTGGAGATTGTGTGATGGCGGCGCGTACCGCATGTGGAGACCCCATCGATCGCAGCGGTTCGCATCGGCTGTTAACCGGAGATTACAAACCTGCCATCTCCCATCTCCCATCTCATCTCTTTCGTCTCCCATCGCGTTCTGCACATGGCCCACATGCTGATGTGCAGCACCCGCCTCCTCTGCCGCCATGCCATGGCACCTCACATCAGCCCTTGGGTGCCCCTCTGGCAGCCGTCAAACTCCCTTCAAGGCACCCGGATCACACCCGCGCCATAGTGGAGCGCCAACCTCCTCGGCAGCGTTATTGGGTCCCACACGGCTTGGCAGGAAAAAGAACGCCCGCCACGAGAGGGGGAACTGGACCACCTGACGTGATCCCGTGGACATTTCCCTTGCTCCTTGGGTGAGATATTCAATAACAGAATGGCCCCAGGGATTAGCAGAACGCGCTCTCGCTCCAAGATTGGACGAGATTGGATGAGATTACCGACACTGACCTGCGACGCCATCGGTTATTCCTCACTCGGTGCTTTACCCACATCTACCCATCCTGGTTGGTTACCAACGTCTCCAGATGGAACGCAGCGATCGCCTCGGCACCTTGAGTCGCCATGCACGCCCGCTGGGCTCCTCAGGCCCCACAGTCCTAAAGCCTAACCTGTGCACGATCGCGGGATAACCATGTCGCCCAAGAAAGCCGAGAACATGGGCCAAGGCCAGTCGCGCCGCCTGCCCCCAAGGGCCCCCGGCCTGTAGTCGACGTGAATGGGGTGGGTCCCCCTCCGGCCTCCGGAAGGAGATATCCAGCCCGGGGCAGAGGGGGCGCCAAGGGCACCTTCGAGGGTGTACCCGAAACTCGCCTCCGCCTACTCGCGCCGGTGACTGCGGCTCCGGTATCTTTTGCGCGCCACCTCCACGCATTTTCTTGGGGCCACATCGCACTTGAGGCGGGGTACTAAAGGCCAGAGCGGAGTGATCTTTTTCCCCACACACTCCCAAGAATCATGGCGACTCAGGCTCACTTCGACCGCGACAGCGAGAAGGGTTACGAGAAGCACGTCGAGCACGACGGACGGCGCTCCAGCGTGGCCGCCGCCTTCGAGTCGCAGAAGCACCACGACGACATCGACCAGGTTCTTCACGACGATGTCCACCGTCAGTGGCTCGATGTCGACGAGGGCTTCGACCCCAAGGAGATTGCCCGCATCAACCGCAAAATTGACTGGCGCCTCCTCCCCATTCTCGGTGCTATGTACACCATCTCGCAAATCGACCGTTCCAACCTTGGTCTCGCCCGTTCCGCCAACAACGGCAAGATGAACGACGAACTCGGTCTCCGCAGTGTCAACGGCAAGGTCAACAACCGCTACTCTATCATCACACTCGCTTTCTTCATTCCCTACCTCATTCTCGAAGTTCCTGTGAGTACAACCACTTTTCCTGGGTTGTTCAAAGTTCGTGGAATGTCGGCGGGTATACTCCCGGCACTGGCTCCATCACACCTCCACCACCGTTGGAGCCTTACCTGGCACGGAGTGGTGATGAGGTGATGGGGCCGGGAAGAACGCCTGAACGCACTGCTTGCGCATCGGGCCCCGTGGGACGTGACGGGCACGTTCACCATATCCTGTGATGTGGTCCAGGGTCCCGATCTACCGATCAACCCCCTCCATGCAGACGCCGAGCAATCGCTGACTCCGCAGTCCCAGATCGGTCTCCGCAAGTTCGGCGCCAAGATCTGGCTCGCCACCGCTGTGCTCCTCTGGGGTATCGTTATGATTGGTATGGGTCTCGCACCCACTTGGTCTGCGCTCGCCGGTCTCCGTGCCCTCCTCGGTGCGTTTGAGGCCGTGCTCTTCCCCGGCGCCACCTACCTCATCGCCTGTTGGTACCCGCGCAAGCAGATGGCTTCGCGTAACTCCTGGTTCTACATCACTTCCATCGTCATCTCGGGTCTCTCTTCGGCGCTTGCCTACGGTCTCTCGCAGATGGACGGCACTGCCGGCAAGAACGGTTGGCGCTGGATCTTCATCATCGAGGGTGTCATCACCGTTGTGATTGGTTTCGCTGGCTACGTTCTGATCATCGACTTCCCCGACCGCGCCAAGTTCCTGTCCGAGGAGGAGCGCAACATCGTCCTTACCCGTATCGAGCGTGACCGCGCCGACTCGGTCGTCGACCCGATGACTTGGGCCAAGTTTGTCGAGTACATGCTCACTCCCAAGCTGTGGCTGTTCTCGTACTTCTTCTGCTCGGCTGCTGTCGGTGTCTACGCGCTCGCTTTCTTCCTCCCGCAAATCCTCCAGTCAATGGGCTTCACCAACATTCAGGCTCAGCTGCTGTTCGCCCCACCCTACGTCTGGGTTTTCATTCCCGCCATGACCAGCGCGTACTTCGGTGACCACTTCGCCGGCCCCACTCGCATGGTCCGCGGCCCTCTCGTTGCCTTCCACGCCCTCTGCATCGTCATTGGCATTTCAATGTTCTCGCAGCTTCCCCAGGGCATGATCGCCGCCCGTTACACCGGCGTCTTCCTCACCTGCGGTGGCTCTAACGCCAACATCTCCATGATCATCTCGTGGACCCAGACTTCCATCCGTGCCCAGTCGAAGCGTGGATTCGCCTCGGCCCTTGTCGTCGCTGGCGGTGCCCTCTCCGGTATCATTGTTGCCGTCGCCTTCAAGGAGACTGAGGCCAAGACCGGCTACCCTACCGGCATCTTCCTCGCCATTGCCATGAACGCCCTCGTCGTCATCGTGGCTCCCGTCCTCTCCTTCTGGATGCTTTGGAAGAACCGTAAGGCCGACAAGGGCGAGTGCGTCATCGAGCACGACGTCAACTTCCACTACCAGCCCTAAACGCATTCGTCTCACGCATTTCTTGGAGGAGAGGGGGAGGAATAGAGGGACAGGTTCTGGACAAAACGATGTGGTCAATGGGTATATTGATTATCGAACGTGTAGTTGTACAAAATGCATGAGCGGTATATTTCTACAACTGTTTGAGAGCTGTATATTTCTAGAGCTGTTTGGGAGCTGTATATTTCTACAGTTGTTTGAGAGCTGTATCTCTCTGCTCGTTCCAACCTACTCACACACCAAGAAAAAAAGAATACCCGACTGCAACCTCGGTCGAGACAAGGGAGCACGGGCATGCCGCCTTGGCCGTGACCGAGGCGGTCAATAAGCTTGTTAGTGCTGCTGCATGTGCTTTTGCGCAGTAAACGAGACCCTGCATTTATCTGCCACATTCCTTCATAACCGGCTCGGCTAATCCCACTTGCCCTCCCGCTGAGCAATAACCTGCAGCGCGATGCGCCGGGAGAACCAGCGCGACATCATAAAGTTGCCAACTGTAAAGAAGACGCGCGGAAGTCCAGCATCGCGCGCAACACCGTTCACTTCCAGCTCCTGGTCAAGACCCCAGATCTTGCCGAGCTTGTCGACCGCAGCGGGACCGAGCGTCTCGCGCACGGTGTCAGGGAAGCCCGTGTACCCCGTCGCAAAAATGACGAGATCGAACTTCTGCTTGTCGCCATCCGTGAACGTGATGCTTCCATCACCGTTGAACGTGCGGATCTCACCGCCCTTGACCTTGATCTTGCCCTTGGCGATCATGTCCGATCCCGAGCCCTCGCCGGCGGTGAAGTAGTATCCGCCCGCGCGCTCGTACGCAAGGAAGAGCCACCCGGAGCCCTCCGGGCCTGGGTACGTCTTGAAGCCCGCGGCCTTGAGGCCGTCGAGGATCTCCTTGTCCTCGACGGCGAGATGCTTTACAATGCGTTGGTGGAACAGCTTGGCCACCTGCTTCGGCATCGAGTCGGCGATGCGGTCGGCCGTCTCGACGGACATGTTCTCGAGGTTGGCCTCGGTGAACAGCCCCGAGTCGAGGAGTGGAAGGCCCTTGTCGATGCTCATAATGAACGTGGGCGATCGCTGGAGCATGGTCGTGTCGACGCCGTTATTGACGAGATCGACACTGATGTCGTGCCCCGACGTACATGCGCCGACTACGAGTGCGCGCTTGCCATGCCACTCCTTGCCACCTTTGTGCTGCGACGAGTGCACAACCGTGCCCGGCCATTCCGCCTGGCCGGGGAACGCTGGCGGAAACTTCGGCTTGCCGCCGCCTAAGCCTGTCGCCATGATCACGTGGCTAACCTTGACGTCGCGGGGCACGATCTTGCCGTCCACGTTGCGCAGGATCGTCAGCTCCCACTGCTGTGTGGCGGAGTTAAACCGCGTCTTGGCTGGGTCTACAGTGCTCTGCAGCCAGATGTTGACCTCCTGCGCCTCGGCGTAAGCTTGCAGCCACGTCGCCAGCTTGCCGGCCTGCATGAACACGGGCCAGTTAGGCGGATACTCCATTAGCGGCATGTGGTCGGTCCACACGGGGTCGTGCAGCGACAGGCTGGCATATCGTTTAGCCCAGTTGTCTCCCACATTCTCAAAGCGGTCGACCACGAGCGAGGTGACGCCAAACGAGCGCAGAACGGCCGAGCACCCGAGGCCGTTATGTCCACCACCAACTGGCTGTCAGCGTGCCCCGACACAGACATACTGATGAGAACGTCGGGGTCCTTGTCCTTGAACTCAGTCTCACGCGCGCGACGCACAGCATGCGGCTCGCGGTCGTTGTGCTTCCCGTACGGCCGGTTGCGGCCCACAGCCTGCGGCCATCCGTGGATCTCCTCCAGCAGCGTATAAACCGTGTAGGCCCGCCATGAGTCCCCGGCCTTCACAATCCGAGCGATACCAGTACATTTGCCGAGGGCCGTCTCGAAGTTGAAATGAAGGCGGAGCCAGGTGACGTCGGGGAATGGGCTCTCGAGCGCAGGTGGCGTAGTGGTGGACAAGACAAACGCCTTCGCCTTATTCTTCGGGAGTACGGCCTGCTGTCAGCAGTAATCATGCAAAGGCTCACCTTGGCAACCTCGGCGACGGACGTAGCTTCGATAGTGCGAAAGTCACGCGTGAAAGCCAGAACATCCCGCCAATAGCCCTCTGGAAGGATGAGGTCCGCGAATGCCTCGGCGTCGCCCTGGAGCGCCCCTGCTAGCTGCTCCAGGAAGGCCTCGGCGGTGCTCCGCACATCGACGTCTCCCGGGGCAGGGTACGCGTCGTGCGTGGGGAGGGATGCAGTCTTTGTCTCAGATACCATGTGAGTTGGTGCCGGTGAGGACACAAGGTCGGGCAAGTCCAGTTTATGTACTTGGACGCCTGGTGACGATATGCACACACAACTCTCCCGAGGTCGCAGCAGGTGGGCATACGTTCCGGTGCTGTCTCGGGTCAGGTGGCTGATAGTATGAAGGCGGCGCTGCTCCGTCAACTGCGCTTGGCGTAGCTGTCCGATACACGCACGACTCTCGTAAGGCGTACTTGGCGGGCCTTGATCTCTCCGCGGTCGACAGGCCCGCACTTGCCCAGCGGGATGTCGTGAGGTTACCCGGGACAAGAGCAGAATGTGGCGGCGCAGGATGTAGCTGTATACACGGCAGCCGGTGCAGTCTTCCGCGCTGTTATCAAGCCACGCCTTGCACATCTCCCCACTTGCCGGTGTGAGAGGTGGGAGACGTTCCGAAAGCCGGGTATGCACTTCATGGTCTGCCAGGAACGCCGGCTGGCATGTACATCCACTTTCCCTACCAACGCGACCCATTGGCGAGGACATCTCTCTGATCTCTGAATCTGTCAAGCGTGTGCTGTGTTGTTATTGTAGCTGGGTGTTCAGCTCGCACCGTTGTCGCTCAAGGCTGTTGCCGCAACTGGCCCGCCGATCCCGCCCAGAGGTCGGCTACTAACCGGTGAACTCGGCAACTCCGTCGAGATGGCATCATCGTCAATGCTCTCCATCAGTCAGCATTCTTACACCTCCCTGCTGGTCTTCAAGCTCCCATTCTTCTGGCCGCTCCCAGATCGCAGATTCCCATCCGTCCAACCAGTCTTTCCCTCTCTAACTCTCTCGCAATGGCGCCCACTGTCGCTCTTCTCGGCGCCACCGGCGACCTCGGGAGTCACCTCCTTTCTGCTCTCGTGAAGCGCGCACAGACTGGCGAGCTCAACGTCATCGTCCTCCACCGCAAGGGCAGCAATGTAGGCAAGCTCAATCTGCCCATGAGCGTGCACACGCGCGTGCTCGATGCCGACAACGCGAGTGTTGACGAGGTGCGCGCGGCATTGGAAGGCGTGGATGTGCTCATGTGAGTCGCTGTGGGCATGGTTCGAGCGCGGTTCCCTGGCATGGACAGCGTCAGGAGAAGAAGCGATGGGGCGGCGTAGACCACCCCCGTCAACGGGTTAGCTAGCTTACCACAGCTCGGCCGCAAAGCAGTCCCCAGACGGCGGGAAGCGCTTCGTCGAGACCCTCGCGACGCTCGCCAAGGAGCCGGCCTCTATCAAGGTGTACATCCCCTCATACTTTACCGCCAACTGGGCTAAGGACGAGCGTGAGAACCCCGCCAACGTCTACCTCCACGGAAAGTGTATGCTGCTGGACCGCACGATCGCAGCCGGCGTCCCCACTACTTATATCGCCAATGGGCTGTTCGAGTGGGCGTTCCTGAGCGGCGAGTTCTTCGGCGTGGACCCCAAGGCCAACGAGCTCAAGCTGTATGGCGATGCGCTCGACGCCAAGTTCTCTTTCCTCTCCCTCCCCTTCCTCGCTGAGGCGGTCGCACAGCTCCTCCTCGAGCCTTCCTTTGGCCCGGGGCAGAACTACACGCTCTCCGAGGCCGAATTTACCGGCCGCGATGTTGTCGAGGCGTTCAAGAGCGTGCATGGCAAGGAGCCGACAATCTCGCAGTTCACCGACGCCGACGTACAAAAGCTCCGTGATGCCAGCCCCGCCGCAGGTCTCGGCGCAGCGTGGCGCATGCACTGGGGTAACAAGAACTGGAAGGCTGAGAATCTGTACCATCCCAAGGGCGTCAGCCCGCGCACCCTCGAGCAGGCTGTGCGCGAGGCGGCTCAGAAGTAGACGAAGGCGCGTGTAGGATGCAAATGCATGTCGTGAGCGGGGTGATCCAGCAGTGGAACTAGCAGAGGCACATGTCAGCTGGAATCAGGGAGGAGATCACCCGAGTACGTCTCACAGAGTGGGCATCAGTCAAGCGACCAGAAGCGACTGCAGCAGCTCCGAGAATGCACCACAGCGTTGGGTACCACAGCATCGGCCGCATGAAGCAAGTAAGTACGCTGTCGCAGCCGCGTGCATGCGCACTGAAGTCGTGGTAATGGCGCTTACCCACGCCTTTACCGGCTTCCATCGCGTGGAACTAGGAGGTCGTGGATTAGCCGTAGATTGCCGGCCGGGGAAAGGCCCGGTGGAGATCCAACTGCCGGCGCCGATGCTGACATTAGCATGATGCGGCTCCGCCCCGCCGCCTGGGTGGGCATGGGGGGAGCACCACTGCTCGGTCCAAGCTACTGGTGTGAGCGACCTTTCACAATCACTCTACCTACGTCGCTAACACGAAACACACGATGCCGGCAAGACTATCGATCCAGGAGTGTAAGTTGCCACGAACCAGAGAGTGGAGCTGACCGCAGACGACAAGCTGCTCACGCAGCCTGGGAGCCCGTATGAGATGGTCGAAGATGTGGTCGAAGGCCGCAAGCACCTCGTATGGAAGCACGTACGTACTCGGGCTATCCGCTGCTTAGCTTCTCCTGCGGAGAGCATCACGCGCGGGGAAGTAACACTGACGCCAGACGCCACGCTCCTTCCGCGACTTCATCACTGAGCGGTTCCAGATGTGGACGCCGCGCGAGGCCGTCTCCGACCCCGTGCCAGAGCCCTCAGAATACTACGACCGGCGCCACACAACCTATGGCGAGATGTACGGGCTCGCGCTCGAGCTCGGCGCGTGGTTGCGCGAGCAGGGTGTGAAACAGGGCGAGCGCGTCGGGCTCGGTGGCCTCAACTCGATGGGGTACGTACCTCCCCCAAAACGTGACTCACACGTAGCTTCATCGTCGCGTTCTGTGGCATTCACCTTATCGGCGCCGTGCCGGTCATGCTGAACGCAACCCTGACCGCCGACACGCAGCTCCACTGCTTGGGTTTAACTAAGCCCAAGCTCACGCTGGTCGACCAGCATTGCGGCGTCATCATTGGCCCACTCGCGTCCCAGCTCAAGGCGCGGGGCGTCGGCCCCGTCTACTGCTACGACAAGGTCGGACACCTCCCGGCCGCCGTGCAGGCGGGCCTGATCGAGCTGACCCCGCTTGCGGCGCCCAAAACCGTGCTGTCCGTGCAGGACGGTCAGGGCCTTGGGAACCTTGGGCCAGAGAGCGACGCCATGATCTTCTTCACGTCCGGCACGACGAGCAAGCCCAAGGGTGTGATCTGCACTCAGCGGCAATGCTTGCACCACATTGTGGCGGGCAGCATTCCGAGTGCACGCGCGATCCTGCGTGGCGGCGGCACGCTTGAGGAGGCATTCGCGGCGCACACCCCGCCTCCCGTGCAGGGCGTCATGCTCCTCGCCGTCCCGCTGTTCCACGTCACGGGATGCCTGGGCTGGATGGTGCGCGCGTGGGTGATGGGCTCCAAGATCGTGTTCATGCGGCGGTGGAACGTTGACGACGCCGTCACGCTCTGCGTCGACGAGAAGATTGGGTTCATTGGGGGGTGAGTGGCCGAGAGGGACACGCTGATTCAGTGTTCCGGCCATCGCAACGGCGATCATTCAGTCGCCCAAATTGCCGAAGGACCACGTATTTGACGGCTTGACGTACGGCGGCGCGCCACCTCCGCAGCGCCTCGCAAGGGATATCGCGGCGCGCTGGCCCGCGGCATCGGCCACGCACGCGTACGGCATGACGGAGACGAACGGGCTGCACGTGGCACTGACCGGAGGAGACTACCACGAGAGGGTGAGGAGCGCCTGGGGCAAGCGCTAACGGCAGCCTGAGTCCGTCGGCCTCAGCATCCCGACTTCGAAGATGCGCGTGGTGGACGAGAACGGCCGCGTGCTTCCGCCCAACACCATGGGTCTGCTGCAATGCTACGGGCCTAACATCATGAAGTGCTATGTCGATAATCCCGCCGCGACTGCCGAGGCGCTCACGCCCGACGGCTGGCTCAACACGGGCGACATGGCGCTCATCTGCCCCGAAGGCTTCTTGTACATCCGTGACCGGGCGAAGGATGTGATCATCCGCGGCGGCGAGAACATCGCGAGCGCAGAGGTCGAGAACGAAGTGTTCAAGGACGACAGGATCGCCGAGTGTGCTGCGGTCGCTGTGCCGGACGAGCGGCTGGGCGAGCTCGTTGGTATCGCCGTCAGCCTTGCGCCGGGCGCCAGTGCCACTCCCGAGAGCGTGCTCGCTGCCGCACACCCTCGCCTCCGCCACCCTGCGCGACCGGTCATCTGCGTTATTCTTGACGCATTGCCCCGCAACGCGAACGGGAAGATGGTCAAGAACGATATCAAGAAGATCGTGGTGGAAAAGTGGGAGGAGGCGGGTCGGGTTAAGGTCGATATTGTCGGGCACAACCGCGACCTTGTCAAGGCCAAGCTGTAGACACTAGTGTGTCCTGAAGTTCGTTTAGATGCTGGATTTCAGGCTGGGGGATTTTTCTGACTGTGCTATAGCGTTCCTTCACCTGCAAGCGCTATGTTAAAAGCTTTTAGGGAGCTTGAAGATCCAAAGGCATCACCAGCCAGGATGTGCTCGACCTGTTGGTCGCACTGCGCGACAGTGATCAAGTATCGTCAGGCGGAAGAACAAACAGCGACATTGTCTGCCCCTATGGTGTAATGGTAACACGTGAGTCTCATAATCTCTAGCCCTCAGTTCGATTCTGAGTGGGGGCACACATCTTTTGAGGTCTCAGCCAAGATATCAGGAAATTCGACGTGGCCGAAGAGCCCATTCGATGACGAGACGTCGAAACTCGCCTTTCACCGCATCACTACTGCATGGATGGCACAGTCCCAGACGGTGAACGGCGTGAGCCGATCTCTCGCGCTCTGGCTTCTGAAATGCGTGGCATGCCATACACTTCGCACAAAGGAGCAGTCTCTGGCCTCCTCCCTTGGAGATCCATTTCGTTTCAGAATACGCATGCACAGACAGAGGGCTCCGAGTTCTCTCGCTCCGTTCCGCGCTGCCGCACGGCCTCTCGCGAAGGCTAGTGTGGCCGATAGCGTGCGCATTCCATGCGATATGAACATGGTGCCCTCTCGCGAGCTGTGCACATTTCCCCAAGCGACAAAGGACAGCGCAGTCCATGGGCGCGTGACGTGCGGAATGCAAGATCAGCAAAGAGCTGCAATTGCCACCTGTCCATATCAACTTTCACAGCAACGTAACCCGGGCATCCGCCGCGCAAAGGTTTGCCCGTTGTACCTATCACATGTCTCATCTACGCCTCCGTCGAGCGTCGCAAGCGCGAAGCGCATGCGCAAATATTGTGCTCAAGAGTTGGTCATCGCCGTGTCAAGTCGGGTTCGGAAGATTACGCGCGGTGTCTTCCGGCATCATCTCAGGCACTTCCCGCCCTGGCACTCATGCTGGAATTGCTGGGGACAACAAGCCTGGAATATTGAACAACACACGGTGGCAGGCGCAAAGCCACCCGCAATTGACCGACAGGCTTTTGTACTGAGCTTACCAGGCTCACATGTTGCATGCGCACCGGACCTAGCTCAGCGCCCACAATCTCCCCATCGCACGTTCCATGCAAATCTTTTACCGCGGCCCAGCCAGTTTTCACGCCATGGTCGGCAGATCGTACGCGTGCGTAGCGCCTGGAACACCGGGGCCTGGTGCGACACTCGCCGCGACGCGCGATGATCGGGAATCTCGACTCACGTAGATGACTTATCAACGGCCATGCTGGCCCACTCACTCCCACTTCAGCTACCACAACAACACCACACCAGCATCACAGCTACACAACCCACACATAACGCCACCATGGCTACCATCGAACAAGTGAGTCAATCCGTATGGCCCCGCTGACCACTAGCCCACCACCATTGAGGTCAAGCAGGTGACGATCACCCTCAACGATGAGACCGTCCAGCTCCAGAACGTCGACGTGACTGAGACCGTCGAGTTCGCGGCAGACGCGCACATCTGCGACGACGAGTGCTACGACTGCCTCGACTGCGACTACGAGCACTTCGACCAGTGGAGCGAGCACCCCGGCACGCCCGCGCTCTCGCACTCGCCTGCGGCGACCCCAGCGGAGCAGCCCTCCACCCCCTTCTTCATGCCCGCCGCTGAACCCCTTCACTCCGAGCACCTGAGCCTTGGCGAGCGCCTCCTTTCGTGGGGCACGCACGGCCTTCAGGCCCTCGGCAGCAGCGCGCTACACGCGCTGCTCCCCTCCGACGAGGACGAGGACGTGGGTTTGCGTCTCTCGCCCCGCCTCTCCGCTGCCGACAAGATCAAGTCGGCTGGTCCCGCTTTCTCGCCCGCCCCCGCAATCCTTCTCGAGCCTGCACGTCCCGGCGCCCACGTCCGCTTCCTTGTTAGACAGCCGCGCGTGAGCAAGATGATTCCCACGCCGTCTATCGCGGCGTTTGGAAGTAGCATCTTTATCGACGACGAGGAGAGCGACGAGGAGCTTGAGATGTTCGAGGAGGGCGTGTCTATCTAGATCTTAGAGCTGAGAGGGGGAAGAGAGCGGAGGGAGTACTGTAGCATTGTGTATCGGGTCTATATTGTGCATTGTAGAGGATGAACTGCATCATATGATGATCCAGACGGTGGTCCCAGTTTGAACATACAGCGGCCGCGAGTCCACTTGGAGCTGGCTCTGCGAAGACGATGAAGGGGTGGTGATAATCTCGCAGCTCAAATGTGACGATTATATCCTTTGCTCGGTAACATGTATGGCGGCGCGCGCCAGGTTTTCGTGCGCAGGAATGCTCGAGTGGTTAAAGAGGTCAGAGTCAAGCGAATAAGCTTATTCCGAACGGAATCCTTTCTGATGCGAAAGCTTCCTGGGTTCGAATCCCAGTTCCTGCAATGTTGACAGATTCTTTTGCACTGCGCTCCGTTTTCGCTTGTCAAAGATTGAGGTTCCGCATTCCGACTCTCGTCCCCCCCCCAATTCCTTCACGCCGGAAATTCCATGCTAGCCTGCATGCCTGCACGTCCTTCAGTCCCGGAGTTGTCAGATTGCACTCAAGTCGTCTTATCGCTAGAATGTCTGCCCCGGATGTAGGCCCTTCGGCGCTCGTCGGTCGCATCTCGTTTGGGTGGTGGGCATTCGGCTTCGAGCTTGCCGGATACCGGCTATCTCCGGAAACCAGACTACTTCTTTCCGCCCCTGCCAGTCAGCTGGGGCTCACACCCACCCAAACCTTGACGACGTTCACAATGCCTCCAGTCGACCCAACAGCTCACGTTATGGACTACCCGGCGCTCGACCTGGGTCACAAGAATGCGTCGCGCACGACGCTCGGACTCGTAGACCTCGACGTTCACATTTGGGGCCTCGAGGAGATTGTTGGGAGCACATTGCCGATCGGTGTGGTGGTGAGTGAGACGCGCGAGCGGAGAACATGAAGATGGAGAATTGGGGAACGGGAGCTGCACAGACAACCTCATGAGATTCAGTCAGCTGACGCCAGATCGCCTCGCACGGCCGCTGCAACAAGGCGCGCGACATGGAGCCATTCGCACGCGGTATGCTCGGCGAAGTACGCCGGCTGGCGGCTGAGAGCGGGCGGCGGCGGACGCGCGACCTTCTGGTGATCACCCTCGATCACCGTAATCACGGACAGCGGCTCAAGCACAAGAACACTAACCTCGCGTACGACAAGAACCCGCATCACTTTGTGGACATGGCAGCGTTGGTATGTGAGTACAGCGAGCGGGCCTGGCAGGAAGCACTTGTCCTTGAAAGCATGGCAATGGGCGTGCAAAGGCATAGCACAGTAGTGTGTGGCGTAGCTCAGCGTCTCGTTAATGACGACGAGGTAACCGCAGTACATCGAGACAACGCGGGCGCCCTTCTCACAATCTGACCCTGTACCCCCTTTCGATGCTTCCATCCTCCAAATTCCTTTGCTTATCAATCACAGACGGCGCATGCCAGGACCACGACTTTATCATGCGTTTCCTTGAGCCATACCTCTGGCCCAACGGCGAGCGCCAAATCGTCGAGTGGATGGCAACGGGTATTTCGCTCGGCGGCAACAGTGTGTGGCGCATGCTTCGTGAGGGTGAGTACCGGACGCGGTTCCAGTGTTATCCTAATACTCATGATGCTGCGACGCCTCCCATCACCACTGGGATTCCACGCGCTAATCGCAGACCCCCGCATTCGCATCGCTGCCCCCATCATAGGCCTCCCCTTCGAGGCGTTCGGGACCTACCTTGGCGCCCGCGCAGTACAGGGCGGCCTCTCGTGGGGCCCACCCACATACCCGACCTCGCTGGTGCCGCTCGTCACTGCCCCTGCCCCGCCCAACGCATACAAGGGCAAGAAGATCTTGTCGATCCACGGCGCCGTCGATGAGCTCGTGCCCTACCGCCACGGCCAGGCCAAAATCGCCGAAGTACAGTCTGCGGCACCAGCTGGCGAAGTGGAAGTGTACGTGCAGGAGGGCAGGGGGCACGTTTGCACGCCTGAGATGCTGCAGCGCGCGAGCGAGTGGTTCTGGCGCTGGGGACTGAGCGTGTGAGCGGGCCGAATTTTATGTAACATGTGCGAGTCGGTGTGTGTACAGGCCTCAGGGCGCTGAGGGCGCAAGGATCTGCGTTCTGGATGAGGTGTGGCGATGCCACTTCATTATCCTTCTCACACCCGTTCAGTTGAGACCTGTGATGAGCTTCCGGAGATTTATGTTTCGCGGAACACGGGTTTGAGGCACGGGACCAAACATGCAGATGTCATGTCCAGCTCTGCCTTGACGTCAGAACCCAGAAGCGCCAAGTTCTTCTTGAGCGCTCTGGTTGGAAAAGGCTGCACATGACCACGAGCACAATGGACTTTAGAGACACGCGATACAGATTCCGAAGTGAATTGATTGAATTGAAACTCTCCGCTCCGCCGGATCGTGCCGGAGAGTTTGGGAACCAGGGTCATACTTGGGGGTCTGTCTCGTCATTCCTCAGCATCCACAACTCTCCGACTGCCTGATAACTATCCCATGCCACGATGCCGGGGGGACTTGGGGGAGCCGGTAGGTGTAGGGCGGAACCGAGCTAACACACAGCCGCATGCGATGGTGAGCAGCTGTCCGGAGTGCACCGTGCGACGCGGTCAGAAGTACATAGATCGCTAACGCACTCTCCCAGCCTGCCGGATCCGCAAGTACCTCGTCATCGGTGGGAACTGAGCTGACCGCAGAGTTGGGTGTGAGCGCACCGAAGGCACGACGCGCTGCGAGCCTTGTCGCCGCGCGGATGTCGAGTGCACCTTCACGTATGTGAGACAGAAACCGGGACCTCCCCCGGGGTATCGTCGCAAGATCAACGTCTTGAAGGAACGTGTCGCGCCGTACATATCCAGCAAGTGCACCCGGACCATCTCACTCAAGCCCAGCCACCCCAGAATGTCCACCTTGCTGCTGCGCCCCCTCACACCATGCCCGCGTCGTATTATGCGCTTCCCCCACCAATACATCCACCCTCACTGCATCCTCACACGCCACCATATGTCGCAACGAGCCAGCAGGTCGTTCACCCCCTGTCCACCGGCCCCACTAACGTCCCTCACCCATCGACTCACGCTTCCTACACATCGCCACACGCACCCCAAGCCCCTCCTATCCCTCCCCCTCCCCCACTCCGGCACCTCTCTCCGCCTTATGGACCCTCCCCATCGCTCATCTACCGCTCGACGCCCACTGCAACGGGTCAGCTCTCGGGGCCGTCCGACGGCGTGGTAGGCCCCGCGCCAACTCCACAAGGGATACTCGGAGGATATGCCGACTCGCTCAACCCGTTCGAGCGACTGATCTCCCATGACCTTCTCAACCATCTCCTGAACCCTTACTTTGAGCATGTGTTCTGGTCAAACCCGTACCCGCATAAACCGACATTTTATCGCGACATAGCGAGGCACCGTGAGGAGGAGCCTGGGCAGGAAGATTGGACCGCGATGGTATGGGGCATGCTCGGATTGGCCTGTTTGCTGCCTAGACATCTCAAGCGGCTGTCGGTTCACGAAACCCAAAGCCTACTAGATACATGTCTCAACCAGCTCATGAGTTTCCTCGGCAGACGCGATTATACAAGTGTTACGCATCAACGGTGTGGGTGTCGGGGCGGGGATGTGTGCTCACACGTGACGCTGCTGACATCAGTGTATGCGATCCACTGCACTGCGTAATGTTATACAAGAATCGCCACTGACCCCAGAGTTGTTCTGCTTCGCAACGGCCACACGGCCAAGAGCCGGGAACTCATGGGATCGAACCTTTTCATTGCCCTGCAGCTCAAGCTTGACCGCGAGGTAGTGCGTGCGTCCACTGACCCGCTAACAGCAGACGTACACCCAGTATGAGCCGATCGAGGCCGAGATGTGGCGCCGCGTCTGGTGGCTTCTGTATGTGACAGATAGATCGGGGTCGACGTGCGAGGGTGCTCGCCCGGTCCTGAACGAGGCGCTATGCCAGGGCGTGCGCCTGCCCTCATGCCTGTGCGTTGCTGTCTGTGCGTTGCTGATGGCAGCGACGATGAAAGCCTCGAGCTGGCTGCGCAGGGGCGCAGGAGTTGGGAATCCGACCCGTCGTTGCAGAGTCCGATGTGGGGCTTCTACTTTGGATGTGCAATGTGGCGCGTGGCCGGCAAGGTGCTCACGATGCGCGAGCGTGACGTGGCGACGCCTCCCGCTCCCACAGATATTCTCGCTCGAGTTGCTGAGCTCGACATGATCATAGAAGAGCTTGACGAGCTCCTCCTCGACTGCCCCCCTTGGCTTTCGCTGCAGGTCGACCGGGAGATCGGCAGCCCAGACTTGACTTCGGGTGGTGTCAGCACGCCCGTTAACCTCACAGCTGTCGAGCAGGGCATCGGTGTGCAGCAGGCCAACCTCTGGATTTCGCAGCTGGCCATTCGACTACTCGCCTGCCAGTACCGCAAAGAGCTTGTGGCTTTGCGGTGGGCGACGCCTGAAGCGGCGGCTCTCGTGTCCACGGACCCGCGCAATCCCGACGTGATCCCCCGGCGAACGGGATTTCGCGAGGCTAAGCTGCGGGAAAACGAGGAGATCTTTCGCGACGACCGCGACCATATCCTCTCGACCCTCCTGCGTGTGCTTCAAGCATTACCCATTGATCAGATCGGTAGGTGCCCTTCCTGCGATCAGCTGATGTCAGCGTGTAACTCCTTCCCCGGCCTTCAAAAGATTCAGCACATTGCGGCCACCCTGCTTCGCAACGACGAAAGTGTGCTTGCTGAGACAGGCGAGGCGAGCGGGAGAAGCCACAAGTCTTTGTCATATCTTCGTGAGTGTTGGGTCGCCAAGCTTCGCTCCGCCCGGCTGCGGTGCGGGTGATGGGTTGACCTTGGTGGTGGCTCCGCGATCGCTGCCCACCTCCGCAGCCCAGACCTGCATCTGTTTAACGGTGTAATTGCGTAGCTGACACCACAGAGGAGTACGTCAACTACCTCACGCGACTGGAGGCTATGCATATTGAGCGTCCTGATAGCCATATCAAGATGTAACAGAACGATGAAAGATCTTCATGCTCAGCAGAAGATTCCGAAGCAATGCACGATCAGGGTGCTGTCCGTGCACGGATGCATTGGGTATCTAATGTGTCGATCCTGATCGACGACGATATAGAACATGCGACGTGCTGCCATGGTGAATGGCCGCTTACGAGAGCCATGTGGGCCTTGCTTGTCTCAGTTGATGCCGATGAGGCAAGCTGCCGCGCGCCACGGTGGCTTGGCCGAAGCACAGCCTACCTTGGCTACGCCACCCATCCAGCAGACTCCCGTGCGCTTGCCTCGTCCCATCTCCATTCTCAACTTTGATCGCTGCTTCAAGTCTTCGGCCGTCGCCAGACGACAAAGGTTTCCATCCTTGAGACCCTCAGCAGGCGTCCTTCTTGGTTTCCACCGCACGTACACACACCACATCGTGCCCCTCCGCGCTTCTCAAATGCTCCCCGCCTTCTTGCTCCTCACCGCCGCGGCGGCGGCGACCCCAGCAGACGGCATCCGCACCTTCGCGGTTCGAAACGCGCAGAGCGACGCGTACTCGGCTGATCCAGCCACGCGCATGGCCTGGTTCCACGAAGAGGGAACGCGCGTGCGCTTGAAGTACGCTGAGCGACTCGGCCTCAATGTCGACGCCATTAAGGCGTCCCGCAAGCGCAGCACTGTGCAGTGCGTCACCGCCAAGACCAAGCTGACTTTAGGGTGCAGAACTGGGGCTCATCCTACTCTGTGCAGGTCGACATCGGGACGCCGCCGCAGACCTTCGACACATTTATCGACACAGGTTCCTCCGACCTGTGGGTCGTTGGCCGGTGCCAAGACCCACGGGAGTGCGGGATGAGCAAGCCGTTCGTGCCCAAAGACAGCTCGAGTTTCCAGGGGACCGGGCGCATCTTCAACATCACGTATCTCAAGGGTGAGACGGTGGGGGAGTGGGTTGAGGACGTTGTCTCAGTCGGCGGGGTGGGAATTCGGACCATGTTTGGTGAGTTGACCAGACAAGGAGAAGGCTGACGACAGGGCTCGCGGACTACTTGACTGAATGGTCGACGGAGCAGAGCGCGCTCATGGGCCTTGGGTTCCAGGACGCGTCCACCGGCGGCGAGATGCCGTGGTGGCAGGCGGCGAGCGCGAATTGGACCGAGAAGAGGTGGGGCATGTACCTCGCCCGCACGGCCAACTGGACGGATGCGGTCTCCAACCCCTCGCCCCAAGGCGGCGAGCTGACCTTTGGCGGCATCGACCGCTCCAAGTTCTACGGCGACGCGTCCTTCTACTCTCTCGCGAGCCGGCGCGGGCTGTGGACCATCCCGTCGCAAGGTATCGCGCTGCAGGGCCGTATTCTCGATCCAACCACCGTGCTCGCAACCACAGATAGCGGGACAAGCATCATCATGGGCCCCGATGCGGCAGTGCTCGCCTTCTATCGCGCGATCGACCCGAGAGCGGTTGCCTTCTCCGACGGGTCATGGGCGTACGAGTGCGGTCCGGGCGGCAACATCAACGCGTCCTTTGCTTTCGGGACACCAAACGAGCCCGGCTTTGGCCCACCCCGCCTCTTTGAGATGTGGGACGGCGACCTCGTCTTCTTCTCTGGTACCCGTGCAGAGTTTGCTACCGCCGGAGTGCGCTTGCCTCCCTTCATGATGGGCGAGCGCTACTGCATCGGCAACGTCATGTCCTGGAACGACGACACCGTCAGGTGAGCACTGCGAAAGAGTCCAGGCTGACGGCAGCAACTACTGGCTCATCGGATCACCATTCCTCCGCAACGTGTACAGCATCTACGAAACGACACCGATTCGCCACGGCTTCGCGCCGCTCTCGTTCGAGTTCAACTTGAAGTACGGCGATACATACAACCCAATCCAGGGCGGGGACGGTGCCAGCGGTGGTGGGAATAGCCCGCACAGCCCCAGCGCTGGCGGGGGTAATGTTACCACAGACGCTGGCCAGGGAGGTGGCCAAGCAACAACCAAGCCGAGCGGAGCGGGGCGTTCGGGCGTGGCGATGCTCGTGGGGGGTTTGGCGCTGGCAGTGTGGTGCTTGTAGCAGCTTGCGTAGCGAGGATCATTGTACTTGGGTTTTTGTGGATTGGCGGTGGTGGGTCACGCGCCCGATTTGGCTCAAGGCTGTAATTCGGTAGCGGTATGCCGATTCTGTTAATGAGTGGAGCCGATCACCAAGGCATCTACGGGCAGTCGGGCGGTGGGCAGAGTTGTAGTCGCCACCGGCGGTCGTGAGCGCCCCATGTCAGCAATGGAGATCCGTGTGGTTGAGCTCCGCGAGCCGGCGAGCAAGCGTCCATAGATACAAATGACAACATACGTCTCTGCCGACGTTCTCGGCTTCTTTGGCGCACCAATGCACCACTCTTGTTATCCCTCCTAAGCTGCCTTCAAGGCCTTCCAGATCCCTATCCCGCGCTCGATGACCCCCTCGACGCCCTCTAACGACTTGATGGTCGCCCAAACCGCCAGCCACGGAAGCACGCCAACGAGGATGATATTGACAAAGAAGACGGCCCAGTACGCCACGAACATTTCGTAATCCTCGCGCCCCTTGAGCCGCGGTCCCGTCACGAGGCAACGGAAGAAGTAGATGAAGATATAGAGCCCGTGCGCTGCGAAGAGCATGAACGCGAGCAGTGGGAGGGGGCCCGGGGGCTGGACGTAAGACAGAAAGCGGGAGATTTCGTTCTGCCTCAGCACAGCCTGGTCGAGGGCTTACCATAGCGGTGGTGGCGAAAGTACGTTGGGCGGAGGTGAGTGAGCCGTGGAGCTGGGGATGGAGAGACGAACAGCGAGGACAAGCAGTTCACATCGGCATGATAATAAGCTGCACCCATTTTGCCTTGGCTCGAGGTCGTACCACCAGCCAAGCGATTCTCACATGTCCGACATCTCAACCCCTGGATTCCAGCGATCAGCTGCTCGAGTTCAACAGCATCCAGCTTGATGGTGGCGGGTCCCACTCCCGCCGCGGGGGTTGTGAGGGCGGAACGAGCATGCTACTTTGACAGCAGTCAGCCACACGTCAGATGCCGGCAGGACAGCTGATGCGCGGAAGCAGATGGCGTAAATCCCAGCGAGATTTGGGTTTCGCCTCGGTCGCCTCCAGATCCCAGCCTGTTTCGTGTTTGGCCCTTCCACGACACATCAGCGCGACTTGAGCATGGTTCCTGGAGAGTGTGTTCGTGCACCGAAACTGCTTTGTGATAAACGTCGCGGGGATCGGTTTCACTCATAGGCTTGAGCCGGATGCGGGTAGGAGAGGAACGTTGGCCCTTACCTCCCACTGCCTGAGCCTGGGAGGCACCTTAGGGGGTGGGTGCCAAGAAGATCACAAGTCTGGAGAAGTAGGCAACTCCGCCTTGCGCCTCTCTCATTGACGGGTGTGTGACCGTGCGCCCACGCTCACGAGGAGACGATCTATCATGTAGTGTCGTGTTTATCAGCACGGATGACTGAGAAACCACTCAGATCATGTGATGATCATGGAGCGCTCGGGGTTTCGGCACGGTCGCTTCGGAGGATGAAGTGCAGTTGCCCGCTGATTGCGGGCAAGACGGTGCGTCAAGTGGCGAAATCGCTGCGTGTTCTGTGCCAGCGTGGCCGTACAGCATAGTAGATGCTACGCTCGCCATCCCTAAATCAGACTCCAGATGCGGACGTCACCGAGAACACCGCGGACTTGAGCGTGGAGGCGAATGGGTACGGAGTTCGGCGTCGGCGAACTGAACACGTGTGATGAGGGCCGATAGATGGCGTCCGAAATCGCACAGCACGGACCGGTGTAAGCTAGTGGACTCGACATCGCATCAGCGGGGGCCCCTTGTACCACCGCTTTGCTGCCCACTCGCGCCGCAGTCCTGCATCACTCAAGTACAGAAATAGCGCTTGAGGCCGTTGGAACGCTGGATGCCGCAGCGAGCCCTGACTGCCGAGTGTGCCGAAACCGAGCACCCAACCTCGGTCCGGCTAACTCACAGCTAACTCCACCGGCCATGTCCGACCCCTCTTCAGCCCCTCCGAGCCCCGCGGTGCCCATCCCTCCTCCTTCATTTACATGCTACTCCTCTCACACTCTCTCACCGCCAGGCCAGCAGCTCACGGCCCTACCTCCGGCGATGACAGTGTCGCACGCGTCGACCGCGACCATGTCCTCGAACACTGCCACAACCGACACTAGTGCGGCCGAGCGCGGCGTCGCCGACCACACCCTGCGGCGTCGGTGGTGGCGTTGGCGCGCAAATATCACGCCGTGGTCAGAATTAGCTACGCACAAGTACAAGGGAAGCGGGACGGGCGACGACCCATTCGTCGTGACCTGGCTCGAAGAAGACGCCGAGAACCCATACAATTGGAACGAGGGGTATAAGTGGTTCATCACTCTCATTGTCGCTTTCGGCATGCTCAGCGTCACGATGGGATCATCGATCTTGTCAGGGAGCATCCAGCACGTCAAGGCAGAGTTTCCGGGGCATCACCCAATGTCATACATCATGGGTGAGTCGCGATCTCCGCTCGGAGCCTTGTCCGCCATGTCTTTCTCAATGGCTGGCCCCAGCGCCAATCTCCGCCGATGGCCGATGTGCCGGCGTTGCTCATGAACCGAACTACTGCCAATCGGCATGCCCAAGACCAAACTCACCCGCAGTCACCGGCATCTACATTCTCGGTTTCGTCGTCGGCCCCTTCCTATGGGCGCCATGGTCCGAGGTATTTGGCCGCCGCTCTGCTTTCGTGGTTACCCAGATCCCCTTCACCGCGTTCGACGCCGCTGTTTGCGGCGCCGGCAACCTCTACGCGCTCCTCCTCCTGCGCTTCTGCGCCGGCATCTTCGGGTGCTGCGCCATGACAAACGCCGGTGGAATCATCAGCGACATGTTCCGTGCGCACAAGCGTGGCCTCGCGATGGGCGTCTTTGGCGCCATGCCATGGATGGGCCCCGTGATCGGTCCCATTGTTGGCGGCTTCCTCGGCGACCCTGCCGGGTGGAGGTGGGTCGCCGCCGTCGCCGCCCTCTTCACGGGATACCTCACGTTTATGCACCTTGCCTTCCTGCCCGAGACGTACGCGCCCGTTCTCATGCGTGAGCGGGCGAAGCGGCTCTCCGCCGCCGACCCACAAGGTCGCATCTACCGCTCCGAACAGGACGTCGCCAAACCCCTCAACACGCGCCAGCTAGTCATCAACCAGCTAAAGGTGCCCTATATCCTGATGTTCACCGAGCCGATCGTTTTCATCCTCAGCATGTACATGGCGACAATTTTCGGCCTGCTCTATATGCAGTTTACGAGCTTCCCGATCGTATTCCAGCAGCTGCGCGGCTGGGGGCCGGGCATCGGCGCTCTGGCGTTTCTCGGCATCTGCGTAGGATGTAACCTCGCCCTCGTGTACATTGTTGTGTGGGGCAACCCAAGCTACGCGCGCGCTCTCAAGGAACGCGGCGCACTCCCTCCCGAGGCCCGCCTCCCGTCCGCCATGGTCGGCGCCATCATCCTGCCGTAAGCCTCCTGCGTGTCCCAGCTGACATCAGCGCCGGCCTCTTTTGGTTCGCGTGGACGTGCATGCCACTCTCGATCCACTGGATCGTTCCCATCATCGGCACGGTCCCCTATGGCGCAGGTCTCGTCATCCTCTTCATGGCGGTGCAAAATTACCTCGTGGACGCATACCTCCCTCTCGCGGCTTCAGTGCTCGCCGGCGGCACTGTCATGCGCTCCCTCCTCGGCGTTATTATCCCGCTGTTCACAATCGACATGTATAACGCGCTCGGGCCGCGGTGGGCGTCGAGCATCCCCGCCTTCTTGGCGCTGGCCTTCACGCCTTTTCCTTTCATCCTGCTGAGGAACGGCCAGCGCGTCCGCCGCTGGACAAAGTACGGCCGCGAGGCCGACGATATAGTGCAGCGCCTGGCTGCGGCCAAGATGGCGGCGCGCGAGGCCGAGCTCGCGGAGCGGGCTGAGCACCCCGTTGCTACAAGCGTGCACGAGGGCGCCGGGCCTGGGCTGGACCACCTGAATCGCGGGGGGGCGCGAAACGCGCTCGACGACGCAGAGCTGGAGAAGGAAATCGAGGAGGAGATACAGGAGGCGCACGAAGAGCTCGAGCGTATTCGCTCGCGCGCGGCCAGTGCCCGCTCCATGCGCTCCGAAGGCGGCAAGAGCGCGGTCAGCGCGGACACGGAGGTGCTTAGCATGCACACGGCCATTGAGGGGCGGCGGACGCCGTTTGAGGCCGCTCTGAGGGAGAAGTAGAGGGGAAGTGCACTGGGTGGAGGTCATCGGCTTGAGCAATTGCATCGAAAGCGGGGGAGATGTTGTCATCATTGCATGCATTTAATTAATGGTTTATCGGATACAGTCTCAGCGTACAAGCTATGGTCTGGTCTAAAGGAACACATCGGTACGGTAGCGCTCGCGCGCGAAGCGCTCCATGATCGCCTCGGGCGTCTCGTTGTCGCCTTCAGGTTTTTTCTCGGCAATGATCTTGACAAGAGTCTGTTTCAGGTCATGGCCTAACCGCTGGCCGCTCCCGCAAGTGTAGTACTGTGCGCCTGCGGCAAAGAGGTCCGCCATGTCGTCCTTGTCCACCCACACGCGGTCCTGGACGTATTTAGCTTCGGGAAGCAGCGCGACCCCAGGCACACCCGCGACCTCCTTCGCGTTCGACCGAGACAGGACTGGACGGAAGTCGAGCACGCCGTCCTTAACCCACTGCGCGAACTTGTCTTTGCGCACCATCTCCACCGAAGTTCGCGTGCCGTAGTACAGCACGGTGCGACCGACCTTGCGCCCGCCAGCGGCCATCTGGGCGCGCTCGGCGATGAAGCCCAAGAAGGGGGCGATGCCGGATCCTGCTGCGAACATCACAACGGGCACCTCGGGATCCGCCGGGAGATGGAAGCCCGCAGATCCTTTGACAGTGCACAGCAAATCTTCTCCGCGGTTCAGGAAGGCGAGGTAGTTGCTCGCGACGCCCAAAACGCGGTCGCCTACTGCACTCGGCGCGGTGTGCACCGTGAAGGTCAGCGTGACCTTGTCGGGTTCCTCGAGCGGTGTCGAGGAGATAGAGTACTGTCGGATCTTCATCTTGGGGAGGTTTGCGAGGAACACGTCCATGGGCGGCTTGCACCCGGGCGTGGTCAAGACTAGGTCGAGGAGCGAAAGGCGGGGGCCGACCACTTCCTGGACGTAGTTGGCCTCGAGAGCCTCGAGGCGCTTCGTGGCCTGCTCGTCGCAGTGCGGCAAAAGCTGTGGGAGGACGGTTTTTGAGACGGGTTGGCCAAGTTCGACGAATGAAGAAAGCATGTCACCGACCCGCATGGGGAGTTTCAGAGGGAAGAACGACGTGGGACGGTTGAACACAACCGTGTCTTCAGTGTGGAGACCGAAGTGCTCAAGAGCGCGGTCGACCGTCGGCTTGGGATTTTTCGGGAACACGGCGAGGTAGTCGCCTGCCCGGTACTGTTGGCCCTTGGGCAGCTGGATAGTGATCTGGTTGGTTTGGAGAGAGTTCTCGGACACCCTAGTAAGCACGTCCTGTTCGATCACTGTGCCAACCGTCTCAATGCCGCAGCCCACGGTAGCCGCTGCGGGGTTGGCGGTCCGTGGTAGAAGGAGGAACGGCTGCGCGCTCTCGTCGGCCGGCATGGCGGCGGCGTCAGTGCTGGCGGGGCCGCCGCCGAAATGCTTCCACACTCTGGCCTTGAACGCTTCGAAGTCGCCAACGATATCCTCGGCCGCATTGCCTGTCGAGAGTGGCACAAGGCGCTCGGCACCGAGCTCCGCCAAGCGCGTGTCGATGAACTTCGGAATTTTGTGGAACGTCTGCGCCCAGTCGTGGTGGCCGGCGCCCATAACCATGTACCGCACGCCTTTCAGGCTGTCCGTGTTCTTGTTGGCAGCGAGGGCCGCCACGAACATGCGCGCGTTGTCCGTTGGCTGGCCCTCATACGATGCCGTCACGATAATCACCGGCGCGTCAGTGGGGAGCACGCCGCCGCCCGCGACCGAGTCGAGCTCGCCAATTCTCATGTTGAAGCCGCGCGCGTCGCCCTCGCTCACAAGCTCCTTTGAAAGGCCCTCACACGAGCCGGAATTGGACCCATAGAGCACGTAGATCTTCTCACCGTGGCCTCCCGACGACGTGGCCACGTCGCCCTTGGCCTCGGTCGTGTAGGTGTAGTTATTGCTGCCGTTCGCAGACGCGAGAAGTTCGGAAAGAATGCTCTGGTTGCGACCAAAGCGGGGGCGCGCGATAATCTTGAAATTCTCCGGCTTGAGCGTGAGCGTCTCCTTGATCTCGAGGTCGTAGGTGGGATCCGCCATCTCGAGGTCGAAGCGCGCGACGATGAGCGCGATCGCGAGAACGGCCTCCTGCATCGCAAAGCCGCGGCCAATACACCCGCGCTGCCCGTTCCCAAAAGGCTTCCATGCGTCGGGCGGGATCACGCGCCCATCCAGCCAGCGCTGGGGTCGGAAGGCCTCGGCGTCCTCGCCCCACGCCTTAGGGTCACGGTGCAGCATCAAGAGTAGCGCCACAACGTTCTGGCCCGGCGCGATGTAGTAGCCGCCGGGGAGGGTCTCGCCCTTCTCGCTCTTCGGGACAACAGCCCATGCCGGTGCGGTGGGCTGCAGTCGCAGCGCCTCCTTGCAGATCGCGTCGATATACTTGAGGTCGGCGGGGTTGACCTTAAGGAGGCTGCCGCCGGCCTTCTTGATCGCGGCGTCGGCCTCCTCTCGCGCCTTGGCGAAGGTGCTCGGGTTCTTGAGCATGTAGTATGTCGCGAAGGACAGCATGCCCGACGTCGTCTCGTGCCCTGCAATCAGGAAAGTCACCATCTGGTAGCGGATATTCTCGTCGCTGAGGTGCTCTCCTGTCTTCGGGTCCGAGTCCAAGATCATGTTGTTAAGCAGGTCGTGCGCGTTGGGGTCTGGGTTTCTTCGGCGTGCGGCGACAATCTCGTCGCACAACCGGTGCAGCTCCTTGACGTTGGCGCGGAACTCTGCCTCGCTGCTCCACATGACGCTCTGCATGAGGCCTGGACGGCGAGAGCGCGCCTGCGACTCGGCCAGGAGCTTGACCATGATGTCGATGAACGGGTGCACCTTCTCGGTGTGGAATGAGTTGAAGCGGTACTTGAACGCGCAGTATCCGATCGTGTCCTGGCGTCAGCGATCAGTCAACGTCCTGTGACTCACAAAGGTCAGGCGCGTAAATTGGTCAGCCGCCTCAAGGGGTTCGCCCGCGTGATGTTCCCAGAACATGAGCATCTGCGTGATGACGTCCAGCATCATAGGCTGCATCTTCTTAATCGCAAGCGGCCCGAACGCCGGGATGAGGATGCGGTGTGCTAAAGTCCAGTTGTGCTCGCTGTTGAAGGCCGTGAAAAGGCCGTCGCCTGCAAAGTTGCGAACCTCTTGCAGCGGCTTAGATACACACTTCTCAAACTTGGTCTCGTCGGAAATGTAGTGCACCAGCTCCTGCGACGAGACAAATATGATCATCTCGAACAGCTTGAGCTGGTAGATCTCGCCGTGGATGCGCGCGAGACGCATCATCGACTGCATCGACTTGAGGGGATCAATGTCGAAGATGTTGCCGACGATGAGCTTCGGGGCCGGCTGGGGGATCGGCCGCCCCTTCTCGCCGGACTTGCCTGCTGGTCGTGTTACCTCTTTCGAAGGCATGGTAGTTGTGAGGGGGTTGCATGGTGGCATTGGTATGGGTGTGTCTTATATAGCCTCGGTTCCGCGAAGGGGCGCCATCAGCTGACGACTCCCGAAGCCTCCGGGACCGCGGGACATCCTGCGTGGCACAATGGTACTAAGACCCCGTGGGACCGGTCAGATCTTCGTTGAACGCGTGGACGCCATTGCTGTTGGCACGCTGGAGGATGGGGGGACCGAACGGAGACGGTCTGAGGCGGCCGTGAAATGACGTTGGCGCGCCGGGGAAGCGGAAAGACGCGGCCAACTGCCCGCGTTACAATGCTCATCTTCTCCGTCTCAGCCCCGAGCTTCCGGTTTCCGCAGGCGAGAAGACCGACGGCGAGGACTGGGCATTGAAGAGTGCGGGCAGCGTGTCATGCAAGAGTTCTGCGGCATATGCCCTGATCAGCACATCACTGAGCTACTGCAACAAAATAGAGATGCGACCGGCGGGCGGCGGGCGGTCTCAGGAGCCGAACGGACAGATCCAGATCCCAGAAGGTTTATAGGCAAGCGAGAGCGCCGGATCCGATCACTGTAGCTGAGGGCTGTATGCACGTGGGCCAGAGGGTAACACCGGACCGAGAGTGCGAAGCGCAGCGACGACCGAAACACGGAACACGGAATAAGTTCAGCCCGAAATGACACTGCCAAGGTCTCGTCAGGAGCCCCGATGAGCTCCAAGCTCAAGTCCTGGCCTGAAAGCAAGCAGAATGAGAAGGAAATATGTTACGAGAGAAGCATATGCATACTTTGATGACGGGGAGGTTGAGCAGCTGACAGCATGCACAGAGGTTTGAGCGGGGGCGGGGAACATGACCGTGCCGCCAGGTGTTGTGCGGCTTCTGACATATCCGAGTGGCGGTCATCGCCGCCATTCCAGCGCTCAACTGCAGCACTCCGTTCCCACTTTACGCGTCTTGGTCTCTGCCCTCGCAGCTTCGGCTCTCTAACTTGTCTCACTTGTCATCCTCTTCTTGGTTTCTCGCACGCGCCCACGACACATCCACCATGCCTCCGACTGCGGCGACCAGCACAACGGGCTTCTTCCAAGTCCAGCCCATCGTCCTGAACCAGTGGGACGAGGACACGGGCTTGGCGCGCGTTGCCGGCCTCTTTCTCCCTCCCAAGCTCGCCGCCACACTCCAGCCCAAGCTCCGCTCCTTCGCCGCCGATGTGATCACCCCCCAGATCTACGACTGGATCGCCAATGCCGAGCACGACCTCCCCTACATCGCGGGCTCGGGCTTCACCGCTTTTGGGAGCCCCAAGCCCAACTCGCTCGTAACTTCCGACGGGTGGAAGCAGCTGCAGGCCTTCGGGCTGCGGGAGGGCATCGTCGCGATGGGCTATGAGCACGATCTCGCTGCCTACGCCCGCGTTTACCAGGCCATGCGGCTGTACCTGTGGTGTGCGAGTGCCGCGCTCGTGACCTGCCCCAGCGCGATGCAAGACGGCGCCGTCGCCGTTCTACTGCGGGAGATGCTCAAGGACGGCCCTGCACCTGGATACCCCGACGAGCTGCAGGACGCACGCCGCAAAGTGTTTGACAATGCGCTCTCGCGCCTCCTATCCCGCGATCCCAGCTTCGCGTGGACATCAGGGCAGTGGATGACGGAGCGCGCGGGTGGGTCAGACGTGGCGGGCACCGAGACGGTTGCGGTGTGGGCTGGGCGCGACGACTCGGCGACCGACATCGACGTCAACCCCCTCGGACCATGGACGGTCGATGGTTTCAAGTGGTTCTCCTCGGCAACCGACTGTGGGTGTGTTCTCTTCCTCGCCAAGACGGACGACACGGGGCGTCTGTCGTGCTTCTTCGCTCCCACGCGCAAATACGTCAACGGGCGCGAGGAGATGAATGGCATCCGCATGCAGCGCCTCAAAAACAAGCTGGGCACCAAGACGCTGCCCACCGCCGAGCTTGAGCTCAAAGGCATGCGAGCGTGGCTTGTCGGCGAAGAGGGCCGGGGCGTCGCGCAGATCTCGACCGTGCTCAACATTACGCGCCTGTACAACGCCATGTGCTCGAGCGGCCAGCTCGGCCGCGGCCTCGCCATCGTGCGCTCGTTCGCGCGCGTCCGCACCCTGCCTTCGAAGAAAGCGCCCGAAAACGTCCTCCGCGAAGTGCCGTTGTTCGCGAAGTCGCTCGCGGGCGTCGCGGTGATGCACCGCGCCGACACTCTGCTGACGCACTTCGTCGCGGCGCTCGTCGGCGCTGACGACCACCCGACGTCGCCGCACGCGCCCATCATCCCGCGCGATCCCGGCGCCGTTGCCGCCCTCGTCCGCATCGTCACGCCCATCACCAAGGCGTACACGGCCAAACACTCGGTATGGGGCGTGCAGGAGTGCATGGAGAGCCTCGGCGGCGTGGGATACATGGAGAACACGGAGAACCAGGAGATGAACCTCGCGCGCCTGTTCCGCGACGTCAACGTCCTCGCGATTTGGGAGGGCACGACCGACGTGCTGTCCACGGACACGATCAAGGTGCTGCGCGGCAAGACCGGCACGGCCGTGACGCAGACGCTGGGCGCGTGGATAGAGCACGCGCTGTCGCTCGGCACGGCGCGCGGTCTCGAGGACGACAAGGCCGCAATCCGTGGCGCGTGGGTGCGCGTGCGCGACACGGTTACACGTGCGAGCTTTGACGAGGCGCTCTCGCGCGGCCGGCAAATTCTTTGGCACCTCGGCGATATCATCAGTGCCACGCTGTTGGTCGCCGACGCGCAGCGCGACGGCGACGCCATCGCTGCCGAGATCGCGCGGCGCTTCGTCGGGAAGCACCCTGTGTTCCGCCTCGACCGCGAGCCAGGGAAGTGGCGCGACGAGACGGCGTGGGACAAGAAAATTCTCTTTGCAGGCGACGCCAACCCCGCCCTCGAGATCAAGGTGAACGCCAAGTTGTAGTGTTAGGAAGTGTTTGTGTTTGTACAAAAGCATGCAGCGTTGAAGACATAGGTTTCATGCAGTCTAACGCTGCGGGGGCACCAGGCCGCCCGACGAAGTAGTCAAGCAGCAGCTTAGGAGGGGATGTAGTTGCCAACCTCCTGGTCCTGCTGGCCGACAACATTACCGCCCGGTCCGTAGACGCCTGTCGTCAGCTCTGTCTCGCCGCAACTCACAAGAGAGGAATACCGAGTGGTCCATGCCAGGCTCGGTGCAGTCGACGTTCCAGCTGCACCCGACCACGGTGTCGCTCTTCCACACCATCTGGGTAAGGTGGTTGAGCACGACAACCCGGCCGTTGACGGGGTCGCCGCCGGCGAACGTCTGCGGCCACTCGTCCGCCCACATGTCCAGGAAGCTATCCACGCCGTAGTTGAGCGGCAGGTTCCTCGCGCTCTGCTGCGCGAGGTTGTCAAAGCCCCTGCCGTCAGTCTGTCCCTTCGAGGACGCACTCATGCTCCCACACACAGCGGCGCGCCCAGTTCGCGCTCTTCTGCGCCAGGCCCGCGTCCCACTTGAGTGCGCCCGCGCCGTACTGCGCGCGCAGGACGTTGTGGTACGTCAGCAGCCACTGCGCAATGTTGGATGTGCCGTCGATGTCCGCTGCCGTCGGGTTGGCCGTGATGTTCGCGGAGCCGGTCGGGTCGACCGGGTTCCACGGCTTGCTGGTGTCGGTGCCGGGCGGCGGCGTGCCGGGCGCGGGGGGCGCGGTGGCAGGCGAGCTGCTGCTCGGGAGCGGGGCGGACGAGACGGTTACCGCGACACTGGGCGCGGACGAGACGCTCGCCGAGACGACGGTGGACCCAATGCTTATGGAGGCGCTGACGGACACGCCGGTCACGGTAACATTACCGCCGGTCGAGGTGGAGTTGCCGCTGGGGACGGGAAGCGGGGCCGAGGAGAGGCCCTCGCTGCCGCCGGAAGCGGACGGGTATGCGCCGCCGCTCGAGCCGGCCTCGGGGGCGGGAACGGTGGTGTTGGGTTTGGGGCGGGGGCGGCAGACGCCGGCCTCGGCAGAGGCGGCGAGCGCGAAGAGGGCGAGGGCAAGGAAACGGGTCATAATGAGTGTCGGGATGGTAAAGAACGTGAGGATCGAGGTGACGACGCGCCAGGCGGAAGATTGGATGGGAGCGAGAAGAGCGAGGGCGGGGTGGCCTTTATATGAAGATGCATGCACGCGCTCTCGCCGTCGCGCTGTTTCGGGTCAGGGGAGTCGTGAGGTTGGTTCCAGCTGTTAGACGGGGTTTGGGTGTCATGCTTCGTCAGTAATGAACTGGGAGGTGCCGAAAGCAAACAGACGCGGGACGCGTCGTGGGTCGTCATGCGAGGGCCGAGAATTGCGAGATACCGGGATGGACGTAGTGAGCGGTTGCAGAGTGTGCCTTGTTGAACTGTGTTTGTGACGCGAGGAGGGCCGCGACTTCGAGTCTGAGCAGTGTGATGGTGCCGTGCAGGGTCTCGGCTGTGGTCTTCTTGGCGTCAAAGCCGCGCAGCAACAAGATATCAGGTCGAGCAGACGCGTCGTGAACCAAGATTATCAGACGCACATGAAGGAGAGCACGGGTCGAGGGGTGTCGCGCTGCCACACAAGCAATGGGGGATTGGCGGCCGGCGGATCACCTCGGTTGACAAGCTTATTCCACATATGATTGACCTTCCTGAAACGAAACCCTGGCCGTCGTTACCTCCTCCACTGTACTCCTCTTGTTTCCCTCCTCCGTCTCCTCGCCTCGAGCATGCAGGCAAACAGCAACGCACTGACCAAACCCCGTCGACCGATGTTTATGCATCGTAACCGAAGCACTGCCATGGGAAACCCAGCATGCCGATGTGGAAATGGGGGTCTCGGTCAACCTCGCGGCTCCGCCGGAAGGCCGGGACAGTCCACCTTGTGCGCTAGTTGCGGTGTGCGCCCCCACACTCCTCTTCGACGAGGTCGAACTGGTGTCAGCGCCCTTAATTGATCTAACGCACAAAAGACAGCGCCTCAAAGCGCCCTGCCTCCTCGCTCCCCGTTTCGCGCCATGTAAACTCGGCCACGGATGACGAGATGCTCACGGGCATCTTGCCCGTCATGGCGGCCGCCGCCTCGGCGGACAGCACGCACCGACACTCATTCTCGAGCCTGGTGTCAGCCACGTCCGGTCCCGCCCGCGCGCTCACAGCATAAACCACGCGATGGCGCTCTCGACACTTCCCCCAGCCGTGAGCAAACCATGATTCTGCAGAATCACAGCCTTCTTGTCCCCTAGCGCAGCCACGATCTGCCCACTCTCCCGCGCACTCAACACGACGCCCCCGTGCGCAGCATACAGCGCACAATCTTCCCAAAACACTGCGCTGTCCTGCGTGTAGAACGGCAGCGGCCGCCCGAGCGTGCTGAACGCCTTGCCGTGCGGCGTGTGCGCGTGCGCGATCGCCACTACGTCTGGCCGCGCGGCGTGGATTGCCGAGTGGATCACGAACGCTGCTGCATTGTAGGTTTTGTTGGTGCGCCCGCCGCCGACAACGCGCCCCGCGTGGTCCACGAGCAGCAGGTCGGACGCCGTCATCCGGCTGAAGTGCAGCGAGAAGGGGTTGACCCAAAAACAGGACGGGTCGACGGGGTCGCGCACGCTCACGTGTCCCGCTGAGCCTTCGGGGCGGCACTCGCGCGCCAGCACGCGGTAGGCGAGCGCCAGGCGTTCTTTGAGGTATGCGCGCTCGGCGTGCTTGTCTGTGAAGGTGGGCGGGGGCGGGCCGAAGTCGAACTTGGCGATGTCGTCGGGCGAGGCAGGAGATTCTGCGGCGGCAGCGGTGGACGCTGCGACGTCCGGGCGTAGTGTGAGCGTCGGGTGGGTGACTGTCTGTGTGGGCATGGTTATGAGGCGACAAGGAGAAGAGAAGAGAATCAGAATCAACGGCGCGCAGTCCTCGTCCCGTTATCGAAGCTTGGGTGGGGAATGCGATAGACGCCGACGCCGCGCTTAGGTGACCCTGCAATCCGATGCCCACTCGACATTCCACTTGCTTGCTAAACGCCTCTTGACAGGCGCCTGCGTGCGCCTACAAGCGCAAGCTGAGTAGGTGCAGCCTCTGAGCGTCTTTATGAATGCGAGCTTATGCAGAGCAGCAACTGCCAGCTTGACGACGCTTACGGTATCCCATCAGCCTCGGTCTTCTGGACTCGGCCATCACCGACGTCATCGTCTCCCACACTTCACCACTTCTCATCCACCATGTCCGACTTCAAGACGGTGATCTACTCGCGCCCCGAGGGCGTAGACGTCGCGCTCGACTACGCGCTCCCCGCTGGGGCGAGCGCGCGCGCCCCCGCGCCCATCTTGCTGTGGTTCCACGGCGGCGGGCTCCTGCAAGGCTTCCGCAAAGTCATGCCGCCCCACATCCAACGCGCGCCGCAACGCGGCCTGTGCGTCGTCTCCGCCGACTACCGCCTCGCGCCGCAAACCCGCCTCCCCGGCATCATGGCGGACATTAAGGCGTGTATCGAGTACCTCCGCTCTGCGGAGTTTGCGGCGGAAACGGGCGGCGCCGTGGACCAGAAGAAGATCGTCGTGTCCGGCGGCTCGGCGGGCGGGTGGCTCGCCCTCCTCCTCGCCTCGGGCATCGGGTTCAAAGAGTGCGGGATGGAGCCGCCGGCGCACCCCGCGGCGTGTGCCGCCATCTACCCCATCACGGACATTACGGACCGGTTCTGGACGACGCCGCAGCGCCGTGAGTCATGGCATCGGCAGACTGACGCCAGCGGTAAGCTACCTCGGCACAGAGGTCGACCGGGAGCCCCTCCTCCCGTACTTGGACCCGGAGGCACCCAAGACGTCGTACAGCCTCCCCACGGACGCCCGCAGCCAGATGTACCACTACATGCTGCAGGAGGGGATTGAGCAGCAGCTGCTCCTCGGCGGCGGCGAGGAGGGCGCGAGCGTCGGCGTGTCGCCTGCGAGCTTCCGCATCGCGGCGGGTATCGGGAGCGGCAAGTTTGTTCTGCCTCCGACCTACATTATCCATGGAACGTGAGTGGGGAGACAATGTGCGATGGGGACGGGAAAACCGGGAGGAGAGGGAGGGAGGATGAGCCAGGGGGAGTACAGCAGTGGATGTAGAAACGAAGAGCCCATCACTCACCCCAGCCTCGACGACAAAGTCCCCCCGCGGCAGAGCGAAGAGGTTGCGCATGCCGCCGAAGCCGTCGGCCTCCCCATCGAGCTCGACCTCGTCGAGGGCGCCGACCACCTCTTCGACTTTGACGAGGGCGTTCAAATGGACGCCATGTACAAGTTTATCAAGTCGGTGCTCTGATGCTGCCTATGTAAATCAATGCAGGAAGATCCATGGAGAAGCACGCACTGAGGGGTTTGCATGTACATACACGTTACACTGGTACCCTAATCCCGACATAACAGATCTCCATCTCTGCCTCCGTCGCCTCCGCAGCGTCACCCCGGCGCTGCGCCGCCGCTACACCTTGCTCTTCGGCATCTTCTTGAGCTTCTTCGCCTTGCCCCCGCCAAACTCCATCTGCTTGATCTCGAGGATCTTCTGCGCGTCGTAGTCCTTGCCGAGCCAGCGGACGAGCACGAGCGGCCCAGGGCCCTGGTACGCGTGGTCCTTCTCCAGCTGGTGCGGCAGCGGCTGGTGCTGCTCAGGATGCAGGCCGGCAGGGCGGGCCTTGAGCGCGTCGACAAAGTCCGGGTGGCGCGTGAGGTACTCCTCGACGTGCACAAACGAGCGCTTGCGCACGAGGATGTCCGCCATGCGCTCGCGGATGAGCGGCATCGAGCCGCCCGACACAACCCACAGGTGTTCGCAGGGACGGACGAGCGTGGGCTCGCACCCCGCGGCTTGCGCCTCCGCCGTACGCTGCTCGTTCATCGCCTGTTGCAGCTGCTGGACTTTTGTGATCAGCTCGCCGACGGAGAGCGCCGAGTGGTCCTCCCCGTCCGTGCCCTCGAAGGGGATGAGCGTCGAGACGAGCAGCGAGCCGCTGCTCATGTCCCACTCGCCGCCCCACATTCCGATGAGCTCTGAGCCAGGCGGGATGACGGCGTTGGCTGTAGTCAGCATTGTCCGAGTGCAACCACGGTCAACTCACTCCGCTTCACATTGGCCAACACCGTGCTCACGTCCACGTCGTCGGCTTGCTGATCGTGCGCGTACTGCTCCTCAATGTCCACGGTACGCACACTGCGACGGCTGCGAGCGTGCGCCCAAGTCAGGCCAAGGAGGCGCTTAAATCTAGTGGGGTCGGCACCTTCCGCGCGGATCATGGCTTCACGCGACGGCCAGCAGCGGTGCACAATATTCTCGACGTCATTGTAATTGCGCAGCGGATTTGTGATGTGCGGTGGGAGGTCGATTCTGGCATCAGCTGGTGGCCCCCCTCATTTGGCAGAGCAAAACGTACTCGAGCATCTCCGGCACGGCCAAGCGACTCAACGTCTTCTCCGTCCAGAGCGTCTTGCAACGCGCCACGACCTCCTTGAGCTGCTCCGGTGTAAAGTCTGATGGGGTAACGTGCACGCCGATCTCGCGTGGCCTGTCGCCCAAGCGGTTGTGGGAAAGCGAGCACGTCTTGCGCCCGACCTGGAAAACCTGTTTGAGGCGCCACTTGCCGATGCCTACGCGCGGGCCTCCGCCACCACCGCAGTCCGTACACCGCTGGTACTTGGAGTCGCAGGACGCGCAGATGATTTCTGTCATGTTGCCGAGCGGCTGGCGCTCGGCGCCGCCCACCACCTGCCCGACACACACGACACGCTGGCACACGTCGCAGAAGCACCGGCGGCGCGCGGGGTCGTCGCTAAGCATGTCGTCGTCCTCCATGGCTGTGCGCATGCGCTTGCGGGTCTCGGTGCTCCCTATCGCCGGGCTTGAGCCCATGGCGGCGTGCGGGTCGAATGTCGGTGGCTGATGCACGCCGGTGCAGTCGGGGCACTTGAACTCGACGTTGATCGGGGATGGGATGGCACTCTTAGGTGCCCGGATAAGCACGCGCGCAATCGTCTTGCCACACTGCTGGCAGCACGCATGTTGTTCGATAACAACCTTCTTTTCGCCACGCGTCTTGCCCTTCTTGGCTGGCGGCGGGGCCGGCGACTCGTCGCTCTCAGGCGTGTGCGGACGCTTGATGGGCGGCGAGGTAGCGGTATTCGGCGTCGGGCCATCGGTAATGGATGAGCCCATCGGCATCATCAACTCGCCACCAACAAGAAGGTTTGCAGGATTGGCCGTCTGTGGCATGTCGTTTCCCGCATTCCCACCGTTGTCTGGGAGCCAGGCGAAGAGGTTGTCCAGGTTGCTCCCCGCGCCCTGCAGCATGGCCTCGAGGTCGAAAGGCGTCATCGTCATCGGCCCGAGGTCGTTGCTGAACTGTGCTGCCTGCTGCTGCTGGCTCATCTGCTGTTGTTGTTGAGGCGGTGCCTGCTGCTGCTGCTGCTGCTGCTGCTGGGGCTGGGGCGCCTGGGGCTGCTGGGGCGGCGGCATGGCGACGTTGCTCACGGCTTCCGATAAGTTCTGCTGGGGCTCAGGAGCAGGAGAGCGGGCGTGAGTGACCAGCGGGAAGTTGCCGTAGCCCGCGCCTTGCTGGAAGCCGCTGACCTGCAGGCTCTGGCGGTTCTGGTTGATCGCGCGGATACCCTGCTGCAGCTTGGTGAGAGTGACCTCGGCGGTACGCTCACGAGCGCGCGCGTCGGCGATGGCATGTTCGAGAGTCTTGGTCTTGAGCTTGATCAGCTCGGTCCACATGGCGCGCTGAGTGGGATCGTTGACTGCCGCAGCGAACCCGTCCAGGAAGGGCTTGACGGGGTCTTGCTCGATAGAGGGCGCGGTGCCGGGCGTACTTGGGCTGCGCTGCATTGCGCCGGGGCTGTGTCTAGGCATCTGGAGCTGGGGCGCGTTGGCCGGGTGGCCGGTGGCCGCTACGTGCATGCCGAGCGCCGCCGTGGCATCCTCGGATCGGCGGCCTCGTCCAGCCTGCGCCCCTTGCTGTGGGAGTCCGGGTTGAAAGCCCTGCAACATGCGCGCATTGTAGAACTCGCCGGGGTTGGGACCGTTGGACCCGTCGACCTGGCCGGCGGGGAAGAGGGAAGCGAAGTCGAGGCGGCTCGGCGACGCAGCGGGATGAGAGTGGGGGTTCTGGGCAGGCTGAGCGTGTCCGTGGCTCTGATTGTGGCCGCCGTGGGGGTTGTTTTGTGCCGCGTTGACGCCGATGTTCTGGATGGTTTGCTGTTGCTGCGGAATCTGCCCGCCGGAGACGCGGCGGTTCATGGCCTAATGTCAGCCGCGGAGGGAGCAAGTGGCGGTGAGTCGTGGGTACTAGCTCCTCACACGCTCGTTGTCACTGGGGATGCGGAGAGGAGAGGACATACCTGATGTGGTGGGCCGTGCATGGTGGGCGCGCAGTGGACGCGCTGATGCCGGCGTGGGCGGCCAGGCCGAGCTGGTCAGGCCGGGAGAGAGGTGAGCCGGTGAGCTGGTCGTGGGAGAGGCTGGGCGCAGGGTGCAGAGGGTGAGGGTGCAAGGAGCGTGTACGGGTGGGCGTGGAGGAGACGATGACGAGTAGAGGATGAGGATGAGGATGAGGAGGGAGATGAGTTGAGGCGAGGATGGAAAAGAACGAGTGGAGAGACGAGGGAAGAAAGACTGTTGTGGGGTGGGCGTGTGGGGACGCCGCCAGGAACACGTCGTTATTGTTCTCTCCCTCCTCCTCCTCATATCTCCATCCACGTCCTGCCTCTCGACGCATGCGCTCGCTCACATCCCCGCTCCCATCGCATCCGCAGTACTCCGTCCTCGTCGTCACTACGACAGCGGGCGCCAGAGACGCGGCCGGCGTGGTCACCGAGCACCGCGTCGCGCCCAGGCGGAACAATCTCGGCCCGCGCACATACCTCCTCCCCGCCGCCATTGTTCTTCTCTGTTGGTGGCGTTTTCCACATCCGCTCGTCCTCGCCTCCGCCGTCGCCGTAGCACTCGCTCTCCGCTGGCGTGTGCTGTACCGTGAGTGCTTCGTGGGGGTGGGAAGCGCGGGAGTGGGGGGAACGGCACCCACGGCGCGCCCATCGGCGTCACGGCCATGGGAATGGCCGAGCCCGAGCTCGTCATCGCGGCAGCCTATCGCCGAGGCACGATGACACTGACACCAGAATCCGTCACACCCCTTCCGGGCCTCGGCGTGCAGCTCGCGACGGTGCGAGGGTTCGGCGTGGGTCCAAAATCAACTGCAAGGCAGTTCGTGCCTCTCGACGACATATCCACCGTCGTCATCCACGAGGGGCTGCGGCGCTGGAGCGTGCGGTACTACCTCGGCGTCGTCCGGAAGCGGGGAAATGTGGTCGTCGCGTTCGATGTGCGCTTGACCGCCGGCATAGCTGACTGCAGGCTGTGCATCCCCATCCCGAGGTGCTGCGCGAGGTGTATCATGGCGTGCGGGAGGCTCTGTATGAGGAGTACGCAGGCGACGCGAGCGAGACGGGAGAATAGAGAGGCACACACACTGTATCCATATCTCATAGCATCAGTCTAATCCTACATGTGCATGTTCGCCATGCGGCCCGACAGGCCGCCCTTCGTGACGGTCCAGATGACCATGCGGCCGTCGGCGCCGGCAGTCGTGACCTTGTCGACTGAGCCATCCTGGGCCCACGAGTAGGGCTCGACAAACGTGATCGAGTTCTGGTGAACCGTGACGAGACGCCCATCCTGCCCGACCGGCGTGGTGCCGGTGATCGTGCTGCTGCCGCCAGCGCCGGGGAGAGCAGGCTTGGACTGGCCGCGAGTGTCGGCCTGCCTGAAGAGGTTGAAGGCCTCGTTGTTGAGGCGGCCGGGGCCTGAGGCGGCGCGCTGCCCCGTCGGGGTGGGGGAGAGACCGCGCGAGCCAGCATTTGCCGGGTCGTCAAGCGAGTGGCTGAAGACCCAGCCATTTGCGTCACCCGTGAACACAGTGGGCTGGCAGTCGTGGCCGCCGGCAATGATCGTGTCCTCGGCTGTGAAGGCCAGGCTGAGGTAGGGAAGGGAGGGGGTGCGCACGCTCACAAAGGCCTGGAGACCGGCGCCGGGGCCAGCGGGGTAAACGATGTTCACGCTCGAGTCGTGGCAGACGAAGGCGAGGGTGTTGCCCGAGGGCGAGAAGGCGACGTCGTCGACCCAGCCGCCGTTGGGCGCGCGGAAGTCGCCACAGATGGTCCCGAACGGCAGGCGATCACCCCAGACCGTCGCCTCGGGCTTGGCGTCGATGCCCTTGATGAAGGCGCTGAAAACGTAGGCCTTTGCGTCGGTCGTGCCGGCGGCGAGGAGGACGTTGTTGGGGTGCCAGTCGATCGAGAGGACGGTCGAGCGCAGCGGCTTCTTGACGTGCTTGGACATCCACCAATTGTTCTCCTCATCAAACGAGCAGATGGCGATGGCACGGGCGCCCGAGCCCACGGCGAACTTGTCCTCGTTCGGCGACCACTTGACGCACGTTGCGGCGCGGTTGATGCGGAGAAGGACGAGCGCGGGTTTCCACTCGCCCGTGGGCTGCTGCGTCCACACGTACGCGTTGCGGTCCTGCGAGCAGGTGACAATGCGGTTCGTCTGGGGCGCCCACGAGATGGCCGTGATCAGCTTGTCGTGCTGGTGTGAGCGAGGCTATACTGGCAACAATCAAGCCGACACACACCTCGGCAAGCGTAGCCTCAAGCTCCCACTCGGAGCGCTTCTTGCGGTAAATGTGTGCCTCGTTGTTGTTGGGCGAAACACAGACCTCTGCGTGTCAGAGACATCTCTCTGTCCGACTTACGAGAGCGGTCGGGACCGAAGGCCACGCCGGTGAGAGGGCCGATGGAGAGCTGGGCGACGTCGGGCTGAGACATGGTGGAAAAGAGGACGGGGGGGCAGTCAACTCTTCGAGGATTGAAGCGGGGAGAGGGGAACAGGCGAGGTGTTCGGAGATGATGAGGGAGAGAGAGATGGATGGCGAGGTCGATGGAGGTGATGGCTGCGGTGGGCGATGCAGGGCGTGGTGACGTAGCAGCGCTATCAGCCTCGATTGAGATCACCACGTCATTCAAGTCAAGAGCGACGAGCTGTGGCTCGCGAACAGAATGCATACCTGCATGCATGCATGCATAAAATGATGGCGACGTGCATACGTCCGACGCCGACGCTCTCGGTCCGACTGCAAACTCATCTCCGTCGCCAGACGTAGGAGCAGTGAGGGAGTGGATGATGTCACGTGCCCAAGATGGCAACGGTGTTGTGACGATGGCTGACGTTCTTCCGCCCCCCTAAACGTTTGTCTTCACTCCCACACACGCAAGCAAGCAGCAATCAGTGCATCCACTCCGAGGCCCATCCTCTACACCGTCGCCTTCGTATTGAGCAGAACAGACGTCGCGCATCCAAGCCCTTCCGCATCCCGGTGTGACGGGACGGGGAATGTCTCAGTCACGATCGGGGTGAGGTTGGTTCGAATCGGCGCCGCAGCGGCGTCTTGCATCCACAATCCACAACCGTCACCCATCTTGCGGCTATCTACGCGCCTCGCGCTAGGCCCCCGGCCCTCCTGTATCATGGGCCCCTCTCCCTCTCTCGACCTCGACCTCGACCTCGCTCTCCCCGTCTCCCCCTCCCCCTCCCCTCCCCGCGGACCGTGGGGCCAGCGCACGCCCCAGCCGCAGTGCACGCCCCGCCAGCCCGCCGCCCGGAGCGCCGTGACCCCGCCGCCGCGTATGGCCTCGCCTCCCTCCCCCTCACCCTCGCCGTCGTGGCACGTACCCCGCCCGACGCCGCAGACGGGCGTGCACGAGAACATGGGCCGCGGACGGCTGAGCACGAGAGACGCAGACGCGGAAACCACCCTGTCGTCACGTACGTCCCCGCCACGCGGAGCTGATGCAGTGTTCGCGGCGGACGAAGTGGCCAAGTCCCGCCGCGGGTGGGGGTCCTCCCTCCTCAGCAGCGCGGTCAGCGCGACGGTCTTCGGCGCCGCTATCGGATTGTGCGTCCCGTCGCGTGCAAGCTGACGACAGGACCGCGTACAGGATATGGACGGGGGGATGGGGCAGCATCGTGCCCGAGCACCCCGAAGGCGAAGCCGAAGACGAAGCCGAAGACGAGGGTGATGGCGAGTACGAAGACGCGTCCCCGCCGCCCTCCGAACCCGCTGAACCCTTCCCGCCCCTCCCCTTCCCCTCGCGCACCCCGCGGCGGAAATACGCCTCGTCCATGGGCTCTAGCTCCGCCCCACGCCGATACACGCCCTCGCGACGGCGGCGGCGTGCCAAACGCCCCTCGAGCGCGCGCTCCGCGAGCGTAGAGTACACGGACACGGACGCGCCCCTGGATCCGATCACGAGCGAAGGCGAGAGCGGAGACGAGACGAATGCGAGACTGGCCGCCATGGCGCACCGCGTCCAAGGTCTTATTGCAGAGGGCCAAGCGGCCCTCTCCTCGCCGGTGGGCACGCCGCGGCGCGTGCCCACGCCCCGCTTCTTGGACTTTCCGGCGCCGCCGCCGCGCGAGACCCTCCCGGCACAGGACCACTCTCATACTCAGGAGGGCGAGGGCGACGGTGGAGGGGGAGGGATTGGGGGAGGGGGAGGTGTCAGAAGAGTACAACAGGAGGGGGCAGGAGAAGAGGCAAGAGAAGAACGCGTCCCGGGCTGGGACACGGACACGACCGCCCCAGCCTCGCTGTATGGCGCGCTGTCGCGCCCCGTCTCCGCCGCGTCGGTGTCGGGCTCGTTCCCCCGCTCCACGTCTTCGTCAAGTAGCAGCCGGTATCAGCCGGCGATCCCGCCGCTGCCGTGGCGCCGCGAGAGCTTTGGCGCGGGCGCGACCAGCCGCTGGGTGCAGAAGCAGCATTCGCCGACACACAGCGTCGCGAAGAACGAGGTGCCGCTCGTGCTTACGCGCGGGAGCCCGGGCGTGGAGACGGCTCGTTTGCCGCTGTCCCCACAGGTACAGACGCCGTCGCCGCAGACGCAGGCGCAGAGGCCATCCGTGTCGCCACACGCGAAGTCGCTGCCACCCACGTCGCCGCGCGACTCGGGGTCACGCATCCCGCGCCCGGGGCATAGTCGCGCCTCGTCAGTCGCGTCGGGCGCCGACTCGCCGTCGCCTGTTGTGCGCCGCGAGCGCGAACGAGACGCGCCGTCGCGCCTCTCGCTTGATCGCGGTGGCTGGAACTCGCCCGCACCTCCGCAGGGCCTCGTTGCCGCGCGCACGTCCATGTTCGCTTCCGTCGCCGAGCGCAACAGCTCCAACCGCTCCAAGATTCCCATCAGGCGTAGTATCGGATCCATATCGTCTATCTCTGCCGTACAGCCGTCGCCAAAGGCATAATTGTAATTGTACATGTAGCCATGCATATGATACATACAGGAGGGAGGGGAGAGGACGAGAATTAGAGGTCTGGAGTTAGCCGGGTGAAGGGGGACGCCAAGAACAGGAAGGACCCACAATAATCAGGCTTCTTGACATTCACGCCGTGCTCGCCGAGCGCGAGGGAGAGGTCGTCCATCGTCAGGACAACGCGGTTGCGGTCCGCGCCGGCCGAGGGGCGGCCGCGGCCTGCAGCCGTGTTGCTGACGCGCAGCTTGGCAAAGTGGAAGGCGTCGCGCGACAGGTCAGAAATGAACTTCTGCGCGGAGAGGGAGAGGAGGCGCTTTCTGTTGTCAGCTAAAGGCCAGGGCGAGTCCAGGCGAGTCACGGGAAAGGAGTAGGGAGGCGACAAGTTGAAAGTGGATAGGCAGCAGAGCAGTCTCTGAGCTTCACAGAGACAATGCTCCAGGACAAGCCGGCGCCGGCGAATACAACTCGTCCGCGGTTGCGCTGGTAGCAGTGCAGCTTCAAAACTGAAGCTTTCTCCGCTCAAACAGACCGGCCCCGACATTAGCCCGCCTTCCCTCCTGTCTGCCTCTCCACCCCATGTTCGGTACACCAACACTCCATTAACACTCACAGCCTCGGGTCCTGGCACTCAAAGCCAGCACGCTGAAGATAGTACTCGGTAACCTCCTCAGGAATCTGTCATCAGCCTTATCCTTCCGCGAGCACCAACCAAGGGCTTGTATCCGTCAAGCATGACGAGGAACTCGGCGAGGGAGCGGTCCCGGCGCGCATTCTCCTCCTCGCGGCGCGCAGCAAACATGTCGGCCTGCGGCCCATCCTCGTCCTTCTCCTTCTTCCCCTTGTCTTGAACTGCACTGGAAATCGCACTCCCACTCGCGTTCGCGTTCGCGTTCGCGTTGGATTGGAGACTGTGATTTGGGATCGCGTTCGGGTTCGGGGTCTGGGGCAGTGGCTGGGATGGCGGGGGAGGGGCGGCAACAGCAGGAGAGGACGCGGGATGGGAGGGCGGCTGAGGCTGAGATGGCTGGGACAAGGGAGCGGGCGAGGCGGATGGGGTGCCGTTGACGTTTGTGGTGGACATGATTGATGATGGAGTGGAAGGAAGGGAGAGTGATGTGAGTGAGGGGTTGGGTGAGGGGGGAAGATGGCGGGGGTATTCCCACGTGTGAGTCGCGTGGAAGTGGCGGCGGTGGAGGGGTGGGAGGGGTGGAGCGGAAGCAGATCAAGTCGTCGAGTGCCAAGAAATGCCCCCGTCGCCCACCACAGCAAGACGCCACCCCACGCCCTCGACGCCTCGGACGCCTCATCCTCTGTCGCAGTCGTTGTTCCACTCGTCAACACCATCTCATTCATCTCTCACTGCCATCTATCCCATCTCCTTCTCATAAACAACGCACAGACGTCTTATCCATCCCTCGTCCCGCTCGCTCTCATCCCTCCAAGCCTCCACACGCTGTTGCAGGTGTCACACACTCGCCACTGAAGACTCCCTCGTTCTCTTTCAACACACCCAGAGTCTTCGCTTCTCGCACCTATTCCCAACATCCACTCGTCCCCAGTCTGCCCATGTTCCCATACGAGGCTCTCTGACATCGGCCTTAAAAGCCTGCATCAACTACGCTTTCAACAGCACCCACTATCTTTGTCTCCCACCCCGGCTCTCACCCCAACCACCCCACAGTAGCAGGCACGACCAATCAATCCCACACCATGCCAGACGCTTCGGTCCTCGAGACCAACCCCCACTTGGCCCACTACGTCTTCAAACTCGTCCAAACCAATGCAGCGCTCCAGCCTCGCGCTCAGCCAACTGCGGGCGGGCAGCATCCCCTAAGCGTGTCGTCATCTGGCGAATCAGATGAAGAAGATGATGCCGCCAACGACGATGCCCATAACGACGCCGCGTCCGCCGACGAGAGCAAGCTCTCGACTTCCTCCGGCTCGGGTTCGTCGGCAATCGCCAATGGACGCCCTCCAGTGGTGCCGACGCGCGAGGAGCGTGAGGAGCTTGTTCGCAAGATCATCACTCTCCTAGACAACGAGGAAGAGGAGGACATCAAGGACCTCCTCCGCGAGCCCATGGGCGAGCTTGGCAAGGTGCGGTTTGGCCTGCGCATTTTGCTAACATCCAGGACGAGATCCTTATGGATCAGGTCTGTCTCGACTGTATGCATCGGCATCGAGGTGAGCAAAGAGTGACAACGTCGCTGACCAACCAGACGACGTCAGCGGAGTCCCCTACCAGCCTGGGAGCTTTACGCCCACGCGTACACGCCGCCCTTTCACACCACCGGGTGTCGGAGCCCTGCGCGCGCGCACTCCGCTCGCGCGTCCCCATTCGCCCGTTACCCTTGGCAGCGGCGCCTCTACGCCGACCTACGGCGCAGGACCGTCGGCGCTCGGCCGAGTTGACAGCGCGTCGTCAGCGGTTCCTGCTCCACCGGCGCCGGCCTCATCTTCGGGCTACAGCAGCTCTGGCTCGCCTGTATCGTCCCCACGCGTCCTCAACGTGAAGGCAGCAGCGTTCAATCCATCGACTTCGCCGACAGCGCCGCAGCCTAGCGCCCGTAACGTCCCTTCGCTGAACATAATGGCGAGCAACGCCAACTTCGCGCCGAGCGACAACCCGTGGCGTGACGCTGTCCCTGATCCCCTCCCACGCTCTGGCTCGCCATTCACCATCGGCTCGCAAGGCATGGTGAGGACCGGCTCGAACCGCGCCATTGCTGCGCCGCTCATCAGCGACCCGTCCAGTCCCTTTCACTCGCCGCTTGGCACACCCACTCGCCCTCAAATGCGTCTCCGCGATAGTGACTATTCGTCGCCCACGGCCGTGCGCCCCGCAAGCCGCGGAGTAGTCCCTGACGAGGCCGACGATGAGGAGTTTTCGCCATTTGGGTCTTCACTTCCCAAGCTTCACCAGCCAGAGCCATCGGGGCTTAGTGCGCAGGCACGGGCGTTTGATGGCTTTGCTGCTGAAGGAACAGATGTTGATGAGGAGGATGACCCGACAAACGCATCCAACGGCATGACGCCGCTCGACGTGCTTGCCCAAGTGTTCTCAACTGTCCCGCGTCACCAGCTCGAGACGGCACTCCACAACGCTGGTTATGACTTTGAGGCGGCGATGGCAATGCTGGTCGCGCAGTTCACACTTCCAAGGTCAGGCGCGTCTACACCAAACCGCGTCGCATCTCCACGACCTCTGATCGGTATCGATGGTCGCGGTGTCAATCACGGCCTGGCCCCCAACCAGGGATACTTCAACCAGGGTGGCCGCAACTTCCAAGGCCCCACCACCGGGTTCGGCGGCCCGCGCACCGTCGGCCCCACACGGATGTGCAGGTACTTTCTTAACGGAGAGTGCAGACGCTCCGACTGTCGTTTCAGGTGCGCTCATGTGCCTCGACATTGCTGACCACAGCCATGACCTTGACCGTGCTCTCTGCCGGTTCTGGCTTCGAGGGCATTGCGCCAAGGGGCCCAACTGCGAGTGAGTCTTCCGCCCAGTCAGCCCCGAGAATACACTGACGGTGGCAGGTTCATGCACAATCTTCCCCCGACGATGGACCCATCGACGCTCAATGCTGCGATGCAGCGCCTGGACATCAACTCGCCAGGAGGGTCACGGCCGGGTACACCACCAGTGCACGGCTCTTACGGCGCCGGCGATGACTTCCCAGATCTTCTGGCTGCGCGCCTGAACCGGCATGTGGGGCGCTTTGACCCCACCCGCAACCGCTTCGCCAATGCCGTGAAGCGCCCAATGCCGGCGGCCCCTGTGCCAACGGTTATGGCGACTGGTAGCCGCATGACGACTGCGTCTGGAGGAGTGGGCTTCGCCGGAGGCTCCGGCTCGTTCTCTCCTGCTCCTGGTGCAGGCGCGCCCACTCCTGCGGCGCTTGCTCAGCCGCGCCCCTCAAACCGGGTCAAGTTGCATCCGCCTACGCTTCTTCCTACACTACAGACTGGGCAGGTGGCGAACGAGCAGTACATGTCGGCGCGTGCGGCATCTCTTCGCTTGGGGCACGCGCGCAACGCATGCCTGGCGCGTGCAGCCGACGCGTTCCGCCGTGGCGATGGCGCAGCTGCGAAGCGCTTCTCGCGCGAGGGCAAGGCTTTGAACGAGAAAATGCTGAGCGAGAGCCACGAGGCTGCAAACGTGCTAGTCAAAGAGCGCATGAAGGATGCGCAGAAGGCAGTCCTCGAGCGCGACCCATCGTGGTCCGACGACCCGCGCGACCGCGCCGAGCGCGGGCGCGAGTGTGGCGGGGGCTTTGGCGTCGTGCTGGGCGTAGCGTCCGCCGGCAAGGTGCCGGAAGGCCGGAAGCTGAGCTCGGAGGAGCGCACTGAATGCCTCTTGGACCTGCACACGCTGCACGGCAACGAGGGAGCAGACATTGTGTCGCACTTCCTCGCAGAGCTCGAGCGCGAGAACTACCGCGGCCTGGGTGAGTCTTTGTGCGTGTCATTGCTGACATTAGCGTACGTCGTCGTCGGCGAGGAGAAGCATGTGGGGCAGCAGGACCCGGCTCGCGGCGCGAGCAAGGTGCGCCTCGCGGCCAGCGTCAAGTCGTTCCTCGGCGAGTGGGGGTACGCGTGGAGCGAGAGCGGCGGGGTGCTGTGCATCGACCCGTGTCGGTAGTTGGCGTGGCAGTGTCAAGAGATAGATTGGGATTTCAGAAGCAGTTTAGCAAGAGTGATAGATGGATCAGAAGTTTGCACCAGTCCAAGGAGGGAGGGGAGGGTTCGAGGACATTGTACATCGTATCGGTGCCAAGGGTATAGGTGCAAGCTGGGAAATATTAACTGGGCAGAGTCTATAGTGATGTCTAACCGTGGAAGTCCGACGTCATGCACGACATCTCTACCACGCCAGGACAAGCGCCGCAACGAGCAGCGCGATGGAGGGCACAGCAGCGCGCGCGCCACTGTCTACCACGGTAACGGTCGCTGCGGGGGCGCGCGCCGTCGTCGTCTGTGGCTTCACGCCGCCATCGTATTTCCTATTCGCTTCTGGCGTGAGGGCGGCAAAGCCGACGGCCGGCGGGTCGGCGCGGTACGCGGCATACACGTTCTTCAAGAACGCATTTCCGACAATCCAATGGTCGAGCTCGGCCATCGGTTCTTCGCCCGTATCCACGTTGCCCGAGCTCTGGAGGCTGCCCTGCCCCGTGATGCCGCCGAGGCACCAGTCGCCGTCTTCGGGCAGCTCGACGCCGTTGACGGCATACCACGCGCGGCTGCCGCGCACGCGGCACAGGTCGTCTTCGTCGAGCGCGTACGTGTCGCCCGCGCCGTCGCCGAACGAGAGCGCGGCGCGTAACGGCGCCACACGATACACGTACTGCCCCGAGCCGAGGGAGCGGACGGGCGTCGGCAGCGCGGCGTAAAACGCTTCGACGTAGGCGGCCGGCCCGATGATCAGCGTCGTGCCCGAGTCTATGAGGGCGGGGATCGCGGCGCCCACCGCCGCGCCCGCGACGACCGCGCGCATCGGGATCTCCCAGTGCGTCGACGCGGAGTCGTGCACGAGAGGATAGTACGTGATCTCGCCTGCGAAGAGGGCCGAGTTGACGCCGCTGGTGTCAGCAAGTGTCAAAGGTGCGGGCTCTCACCCGAGCGTGAGGTCGCCGTATCCCGCGACGCCCGAGACATTCGCCGCCGAGTTGGGCGGCACGCGCCCGAGATGCATCCCGAACTGCTTGTCGGTCCATGCGCCGACCGCGCCGAACCACCACGGCGGCGTGGCCGGGCTCGTCATCGCCGGCCCGAAGCCCATGATCCCGTCCATCGCCAGGCGCCAATTCAGCGTCTGCGTCGACACGCCGACGGACGCATTCAGCGCCTGCCCGCCAACGGCGACCACGTCGTATCCCCACACGCCGCGCTGCACGCCGCCGTCGGCGTACGGGCCCGCTTGAAAGGGCATGTTCGTGGCTTGGAACGTGGACGAGGCTGACGTGCGGTACACGTCCGAGAGGCCGCACTCGGTGCTGTTGTCGCACGTCCCGATGAGCCAGAAGTCGAAGCTGCCCGTGTCGGGCATCACGTCGAACGTTTGGGGCGGCGTCCCGACTTGCACGGAGACGGTGTAGCCGTATCCCCAGCTCTTGAGGCTGGTGTAAGTGCGTCGAAGAGGAAGGAGACGTACTCGATATCGCGCTTCTCCCGCCCGCCATAGCCGTACTTCGCAAGGGCGCGCTTGTGCTCATGCCGCGCGGCTGCAAGGTCGTCAACAGGCGCACGCGGCGCGTTCAGAGGTAATGAGATGGGCCGGGACGGGGAGGGCGCCGCGGCCACAAGGGCGGCAAACACGAGCGCGGAGAGCATGGTGATGGTGCAGAGAAGGATTGTCCTCCGCTCTTATGTAGGCGGGGCGAGGGCCCGTGCTTGCCAAGCCGCGAGCACGCTTGGGTACGGTGGCGTGCGGCGTGGCGCAGAGCGGACGCGGGCAGCGAGTGACGGCCGTAGATGCAGAGTTGTGGGCATGATCAGTGCTGAGCTGGATGGGCGATCGCGCAGCATGCAGCATGCACAGCGGAATGAGACGCCAAGTTGCGCATCGCCTTTTGGGAACAGAAGGCTTGGCGCGGAGGAGACTTGGTCTGCATCGCTGAGCAGCATGTGCTGTATGTTGCCTGCTGCGAGCCTCTCGAGCCTCTCTGCGCTGCCGAGCTGCCGAGGCGATGTCGGCCACCCCTGCCCGCTGCCCGCTGCCCGGCTGTGGGCATGCTATCGCGCGACTGGAGACGTGTTCCGACGGCGAACGACTTGAGCTCGAGCATCGCATCGCTTTGGCGGAAGTGCCTGGGTGAGTCTCTGCCAGACCGCATGTCTCGGATGCCACTCAGACATCGACTATGCTTGCTCGCCAGCGTGCACGCCAGCACCCACCCACCTCACACTTTCACATATACATGCTTACAATATCTATGAGTCTATCTCAACTGTCTGCTATCTCGAGAACCCGCCGTCACCAGCAGACGGCACGCCCTCCCACCCCTGCCCCCCACCAATGTCCTTGAGCGGGGCGAGCCCCACAGCGCGCGGCGTAACACGGTACGCGCTGTACACATTTTTCAAAAAGCTATCCCCGAGGATCCAGGCGTCGGCGGCTTCGGTCGTCGACTCCCAGCTGCCGAGCGCGCCGAAGCACCACGTCCCCTGGCGACCGCGCATGCTCTCGTACCCGCCGGTGTTTGCGAACTCGTCCCCGGTGCCACGCACGATCGCGAGATCGGCGTCGCGCATATAGTAGTGCTGCTCGGGGAGGTCGACCATGCGCGTGCCGCCATACGCGCCGAACGCGAAGGACGCATTGATCCCGAGCGGGCGGGAGCACTCGAACGCATACGACCCGTCGCCAAGGTCGACGACGTCGGTGCGCAGCGCAGCGTAGAATGCGTCGACGTCGTGCTTGGGCCCGACGATCCCCGTGCTCCCGCAGTCGAGGACGGCCATGCGCACGGCGCTCGACAACCGGCGGCCGTGCAGCGCCACGCCGCCCGTCGCGACGTTCCACCCCGCCTCCCACCCCTCGCTCGCCATGTGCGAGTAGTACGTCAAGCCGCCGGTGTACGCGGCCTCGTCGACGCCGCCGAACGTCACGCTGCCCTCGACGCCCGGCCGGCCGAGGTGCAGCCCGAACTGCGCGTCGTCCCACGCGCGCGCCGCGCCCTCCCACCACGGCTCGACGCGCTTGCTGCTGCCCGCGCGAGCAGCGAGGCCCAGCAGCCCGCTCTGCGCCGTGCCCCAGTTCGTCGTGTGTTTGCTGATCCCAAAGAAGGTGTGCACCGCCTGTCCGCCGATACGCACGACATCGCCGCCCCACACGCCCCGGCTGCGCCCGCCGTCGATGTAGTTCATAGCGAAGAGCTGGTCCGTCGGCGTGTATGTCGACGAGGCCGAGGCGTTGAACGTCGGCGTCGTGCCGCACTCGTCGGCGTCGTCGCAGCTCCCGATCACCCAAAGGTCGGTGCTGCCCGTGTCGACGTACAAGTCGAGAATTTGAGGCGGGGTGCCGATCTCTGCGCGGACAGAGTACGAATCGCCCCATGACTTCAAGCTGGTGTTAGTGCGACGCCGGGGAGGGGGGGTGCAGGGGGGGTGGGGTTCGGTGTCAGAATGGCCTTGACAACGATGCGGAGATCGACAATGCCACGTTTTGTCGAGCACAACAAAACACTCCCCCACTCAGACTTACGCAGCGACACCCTTGGGCTTGCGCACATGCTGCCGCGCACCAATGCCATGGCCGCGCTGGCGGTGGCTACGGCGCATCAGCGGCCGCTCGGTGTCGTAGCGGCGGCGAGCGCGTGCGGCCTCAGCCTGCGCCCAGTGCAAGTCGTGGCCGTCTTCTACGGCCGTGACGGGAAAGGAGACGCTGTTGTCGAGCGGAATGGGAGAAGTGAGCGCCACCGGGGCGAGGGCGACCAGCGCCAGGACAGCAAGCGCCGCCATTTCGATAAGAAAAGTGAAGAGAGAAGAGAGAAATGGAGATGCAGATCGAGACCTCTAGTCTACCTGGCAACGAGCGACGAGCGCCACGAGATGATGGCTATGATGGCTGCATTGATGCTGACGAGAGCTGCGAGGAAATGCTGCGTGCCATCGTTCAGGGATGGCAGGGCGTAATTATCAGGGATGGAACAACCCCCCAGATCGACAGGAGGCCCCAGATTTCTCTGTGGCGACCATCGTCGTCGTCCTCGCTCTAGTTGTTGATGCTGCGGCCAGCTGTGCAGAGCAGCTTTCGGATACTCGCGTCCTGCTGCTCGTACATGTACAGTTTGTGCGCATTATTCGCTGTATGAGTGCAATATCGAGCAATACACTCGCCATGACCAGCCCCAGCCAGCCCAGCCCCACCGCCCCGGAACCATATCGGATCCTGACTTTTCCATTCAGTCTACCTCCGACCCGCGTCAGCGTCAGCGTCATACTCCGAGCTCGAGTCTGGGGTCGCGGCCTGTGGCGTGGGCAGTGGCGTGGGCGGGAAGGCGCATGCTCCAGCCGCAGGCTTTGTGCGGGGTGTCGGCGCCGGGGGCCTGGCTCGGGCCTTGCGCTTCACGTCCCGGCTCAAGGCTGGTGGCACTCGTTCCAGTACTCTGCGATTCTCCGCCAGCCGCGGAATTGACGTACTGTGCTTCGACGGAACTCGGCCCACGGCTGTCTGCTTCGCGCCTCATATCACTGCTCTCGCACTCATCTCGCACTCATCGCACTCTGGCAGTCTTTGTCCTCTCGCCTCTGCACATGCCACCCACCTCGGCCGTAGACCAATTTGGCCTGCCTGCTCGACTGCGTTCGCAGCGTCTCGGCACAGCACGGACCGGAATAGACATCGACCACTTGGCCACTTGGCTGGGCGCTCATCCCTGCTGCTTTCTCTTTACTACCTCAGGTCTATGATTTTTACCGCAGTCTTGTCTCGAGCACTGTGAACGCCACGCCCGAAAACTGAGGGTCCAGCTTCCCAGGGGTCCAGACTCCAGACTGTTTGCCCTACCCGTGTGGCATAATACAAAATATCATCAAATACCCAGTATATGCACTACGCTGCCTACCCCCCCAACGCCCGGTTCAGCCCAACATTAGCCTCCTTGACCAACGCGCGCGCGGCCGCGCTCAACCGCCCGATCTGCACTTCGGGCGGGTGTAGCTGGTGCGCAACATAATTGAGCTGGAGGAACGCGTCGCCGAGGCTCCAGAGCGGAAACTCGTCCCCCTCCTCGCCGCTCGGCACCAACGTGCCTGCGCACCACACCTCGACTTCCTCCTCTCCCTGCCGCTCCGCATCGGCCACCTGCTGCGGGAACCAGCGCAGCATATCCTCGCGCACGCGACAGTCCGCGGCGTCGAGCAGCGTCGCGGGCCAACACGCGCCCGCGAAGCAGAACTCGAGCGTGTGCGCCCGCAGGGGGAGGAAGTATGCTGCGGCGTCTGGGACGCGGAACGCGCCGGGGATCGCGGCGTACACGCGCGCCACGGCCGCGTCGGGGCCTACGAGCACGCTGAGCCCCGTGTCGAGCATCGCGCTCGGCCGGCCGTGCACGCGCGCATACGCCCCGTCGCCGGGCGTGATGTCGACACTGGCGCCGTCGACCCGCACACCTTCCAAGCCTACGGTCCACCACTTCGTCACGTTCGACGGGGCGCGCGCCAGCTCGCCGTCGAAGAGCGACGCGTCGACCCCGCCGAGCGTCAGGCGGCCGGCGCCGCGCACCGTCGTGTTCAAGGGCACGGGGGAGAGCCAGTCGGCCGTCTGGCCCACGAAAAAGCCGAAGCGCTGTTCCGGCCATGTGTGGTTCACGCCGCTCCACCACGGCGCGAGCGCGTATTCCGACGCCGGGCCGAAGCCGACGAGACCCGACGCCGTGTGTCCCCACACCGGCGTGTGGTCCGCCAGGCCTGGGGTTAGAGAAGAAGAGGAATGAGGGACGTACCAATTACAGTCTGGACGCGCGCGCCGAGCCCGACGACGTCGGTCGCGACTACGCCGCTCACTTCGCCCGCGCCGTAGACCATGCTCCAGCGCGCGGAGGAGCGGGAGAGCGTCGTCGACGCGGCGGCGTTGAAGAGCGTGCTCATCGCGCATTGGGGGAGGGCGCATGCGCCCATTACCCAGAGGGCGGGCGAGCCCGTGTCGAACATGAGTTCGAGGGGCTGCGGGGGCGTGCTGCCGTCAGATGACGATGTCGCCAGCTCATTTCCACTCACCCCACGTCCATCGTGACCGAGTACTGCGTCGCAAAGCTCTGCAGGGAGAAAGCGGGGTCGCGGCGCTGCGCGCGCAAGCTCGGCTGTAGGGTGGCGCGGAGGACGAAGGTGGTGGCTCGGGGGGGACATGGCGCGCTGAGCGCGAGAGGGAGGAGGAGGGTGAGGAGGGCGATGCGGGGGGCCAAGATCAGGAGGGGCAGAAAGGCGAGGATGCCGAATGTGGGGAGGAGGGGTAGCCCGAAATATCGGAGGATGAAGCCGAGGATGAGGAGGGCGAGGAGGCCGACCACGACGAGGACGATGAGCGTGATGAAGTAGAAGACCATGAAGATGATGGCTGTATGGGCGAGGAGGGAGAGGATGGGGAGAGTAGTGGCCATGGCGGCGTGGAAGGAGAGGGCGGCCAGGGGTATGACGGGGACGAGAGGGATGATGGGGATGATGGGGAGGATGGGGAGGATGGGAAGGATGGGGAGGAGAGGCAGAGTGGCGGCGACAGCGGGGAGGATGTGGACATGCGGGGCAGCATTGGCGGGGGGAACGGCGGGGACGGCGGGGACGGCGAGGACGAGGGGGAGGACGAGGAGGGCCAGCATGGCTGACCGATGCTGCGCTATCTGTTGGGGGTGGTGATTGTGTAGATGCGCGGAGTGAGCAGACGGAGACGCCAACAGAGACGAACATAAGACGCGGAGACGAGGAGCAGACAAAGAAGCTTACATGCGAAGAAGCAGACGCAGATGTCAGCGCAGCTTCCGCAGCCGTCCAGCCACGGTATGAGATACTGCGGCTCGCGGCTGACTGGTGGGAGACGGACTCAGCCAACATCCACCCGCCAATGTTGACCCGCTGCAAACCGCCTCCAGCCTACAGCTTGGCACTTGCACTCGGGCTGATATCTCCCCATCTCGAAGCGTGAGATGCGGATTATCGGCAGTCTCCCCGCGGATGCAGCCGCCCAAATGACTGCGGGGCGTGCCTATGCCGTATGCCGTGATTCATTGGAGTCGTCTTGGAATCACCCCGGCCACAATGCCACACGACGAGCATGTTTCGTCCTGCGAACCGGGGGCTAAGGTTGGAGCGTTGCGAGGATATGGTTCCAGCTGCACTGAGACCGCGCCGACAAAACCGGGTGGCGGTTGAATGGAACAGGCCTCTTGATCTTTTGGAGCTTGGGCTAGATCCATCAGCCTGTTCGGTCGCTCTGAGCTCGCGCACGGGCCGAGCGAAGTCTTGGACTACCAGATCTACAGATCCACAGAACGTTGGATAGAAGGACGGCGATCGAGAGTGTGATCGTCTCGGTGGCGATGAGCGATGAACAAGTAGGCGGCATCCGTCTCATTTCCGCTCCGTGTCCGTGTCCGTGTCCGTGTCCGTGTCCGTCGCCGAAGGTTAATCTTGGTCTGGACTCTGGCCGATCGTGCTGATCAATGACGGACTGTGTTCGGAAGCCACGCAGCCACACTCCGTGACGTGGCTGCTGTTACGACTACACCTGCCGCGCGACTGGCCCACTCACGACCGTTCAGTGAGAGACGTAGATGCATGCGGTGCAGCAAGACTGAGAAGCAACACCAACTGTGACTGGCTGGAGATCAAGAGAGAACGAGCGAGTGGCGGTGGCTGTGCCTGGCGAGCGTTTGAGGGGTGGACGAGTTGCAGGGCGGTGCCTGAATTTGGGTGGAGGCGATGACCGACGCGCACTGCCTCCCTTGGATTCTGTTCTTGTTCATCTCGACATCATCTCTCTAACTCTCACTCTCACTCTTTCTCTCTCTCTTGTCAATTCTTGTCCGTCTTACACTACGCATAGGCAGTCCTCGCCACTTGTCCACACCTCCTGTCTTCCACCTCCCCCCACGTCCCACCACCCCCCGCCATGGCCTCGCCGACAGCCACGCCACCAGCCGGCGCATACTCATCCCCATGTCTGCCACCAGAATGGTACGTCTATTTTGCTATCCACCTAACCCAAGGATGTGGCAGTACTCGCCTGAAGCCGACGAGGTCTACTTCGTGCACCCGCCGACTGACCAGCGCGTCTGGGAACACCCACAAGGCCCCGACGCAGAGACGGCCTTCTACCAATGGCTCGGGTCACAGCTCGGCGCCGGTGGGTTTTCCGGCACGCCGCCGCTCTCCGGTGCGCCCCTAAACCGCTCGCTGAGCGCACCCATGCCAGCAGGTGCCGCCGGCGGCTCCGCCGCCGACTTCTACAACAGCGGCCCCGCCGCGCACGAGTATCCTGACGCCTTCTCGCCCGGCATGCCCGGCCTACACGACGCGCCAGACGGCCCAACCGACCGCGGGCTCTTCACGCACGGCTTCGGCCGCCCCGTCAAGTCCTCCGGGTGGAACTTTAAGCTCAAAGACTTCTTCGTCGGCGACTTTCACTACCGCCCGCCGCCGCCGCGCCCGCAGCACCTCAAGCCGAGCCACCAGGCGCTCCTGGGCCCTGCGCCGGGCAGTGGCGCGACGCACGCGCCGACGTTTGGCACGTTCAAGCCGCCGTCGCTCAGCTACGGCCGCCCAAACACTTACTCGGCAGACTACCTTGGTCCAGAGCCTTTGATAACGCCCTTCCCGCCGCCCGCACCGCCGGCCGCACCGCCGAAGCCGCAGCCGCAGCCTTCGACCGTGCCGTCGCCCCCGCCGCCGTACCAGCCTACAAACGCCGGGCAGTACCAGCATCCGGGGCAGGGGTATGCGCAGGGCCAGTACGGAGGCACGTCCCCTCGTCCACCGACGTTCCAGCAGCCACATGCCCAGCCACAGTCCAATCCCTACGCACAGCCGAATTACGCAAGGCCGCCCCAGCCACAACAGCCACAACAGCAGCAGACGCTCAGTCCCACGATGAACGCGCTCGCGGCATCGCCGTCCGGCGGCGGCGGATATGTCCCGCAGTACAACAACTACAACTATGCGCCGCGGCCACCTGGCGCAGGCGGATACACGCCGGGCAAGATCAACGCGGGGGCGTTCAAGCCGCGGCCGCGCGGCGAGGGCGAGGACTGGAGCGAGCAGCCTGCAGAGTGGGCGCAGCCGGTGTGGCAGGGCTCGTCTCAGTGGGGGCCGGGGCAAGGCCAAGGCCAAGGGCAGGGGCATGGGCATGGGCAGTGGCAGTGAAGCCATCCGCGGTAGCTTCACGGCGGATGCATGGCCCATGGCCCATGGCCCATGGCGCGCACTCGCTGTCAGACAGACTCGTACTAGACCCGACATGCATAATCTTTGGCGGCCCGCAGTCTGACAACATGGAGCGGTGACGTCGGCGTCGTGACGTTGGCCTGTCCCTGTCTGGCCGAGGCGAGGCGAGGCGAGGCGGGGCGGGGCGGGGCGGGGCGCGCAAAACATGACGCTGAATTGCTCGCGTGAGCCGCGGCGTCCTGAGCGAAATGAAAGAATGGAATGGGAATGCAATAAAATGAAAGAATGGGATGAAAGAATAATATCCGCTGCTGCCGTCGGAGGATGGAGCGGCGAGCGGCCCAGAGTCTCGGGCCCCGAGACGCCGAGACATGGCGCAGGCCGACTGCGGCTTGGCCATTCCGCAGTACGACTGTCCATTGGGCGGGGGGGAGGCAGAGCAGAGGCAGAGGCAAGCAGAGCAGAGCAGAGGCAAGTAGAGGCATAGGGCAGCAGAGAAAGATGAGAGATGAGATGGAGGCGGAGACGGAGACGGACACGGAGACGGAGACGGAGACGGAGATGAAGAGATGAAGAGGGAGGGAGATGGAGGAAGATGGGCGTGGATCGCTTTGATTATGATGGACACACAGGGAAGACAGGGCACTTCAGGCACCGCAGCTGCGCAGTTACGCGCAGTCACCTTGCTTCCCTTACCCTGAACCCTCGGGCTCCTTCCTCCTTCCTCCTTCCTCCTGCTCGTCGTGCTCATCTTTCTCTTCTTCATCATCATCCATCTCCATCTCATCCTCATCTCCATCTCCATTCTCCATTCTCATCGCATCTCATCAACATTTACTCTACTCCATCTCCCTCTTGCACTTCTCGGACACCATCACAACACCCATCGGCCTCCTCTCCCCCCCCCCCCCCCCCCCCCCCCCCCCCCCCCCATGTACAGCGCACCAGCCCTCCTCTTCGCCCTCACCCTCCTCCTCACCGCCTATGCCGCCCCCTCCTCCGCCCAACGCCAGCCCCCCATACCCTCCTCGCCGGCGCACCCCCGCGCCAACTTCCGCGCAGACGCCATGGCCGCAGCCCATCGCGCAGGCAGGGCACGGCACGAGCCGCGGAACCAGCAGACCGGTGTCGCGTGCGTCTCCTGCAGCGCAGCGCAGCAGCTAACTCCAGACTCCTCGACTCGGGCGCGGCATACTTTGCAGAGATCGAGATCGGGACGCCCCCGCAGACACTCAAGGTCATGGTCGACACTGGCTCGTCCTTTCTCTGGGTGCTCGACGGGTGTCTCGACCCAGAAGAATGCGGCAAGAGCCCAAAATTCAACTCCAGCGCGTCACATACCCTCACGCAGACACATTTGCCGTTTCATATCCCATATATGGACGGGCATACGTCCGGGCATGTGGCGTACGATGTTGTCACTCTCGCGGGACAGACTGCCGAGAGGGTCAAGTTTGGTGAGTGCTGGGATCCGGGGGTGTCTCGGGGTGTGCATTGGATGGATCCAGAGTGTCTAGCTGGCTCGGCCCCCAGCATCGCTCGGCGTCGTCGACACCGTCCTCCCATCTCCACCCCGTCTTCCCCGCTGACCCCAGGACTATCAGACAACCTCACCGAGTGGCAGTTGGGTGCCGCCGGCCTCCTCGGTATGGGACCTGGGAACGACTCCTGGTGGCGCAGAGTGGCCGATCAGTGGGCAGAACCCTACTTCTCCCTCTTTCTCGACCCATTCTCCATGTCCGCAAACAGCTATAATCCGGAGAATGGCGGCGCGCGACTTATCCTTGGAGGTACCGATCCCACCCTGTACAGCGGCAACTTGTCATGGGTGCCAGCTAGACTACATGAGTGGTGGGGGCTTCCCATTGATTCAGCCACCATCCAAGGACACCCAGTACGGCTCGGCATCGACCCGGCATGGTGCATGGACAACAAGCCATTGGCCATGATCGACAGCGGGAGTACGGTGATGAGTATCCCCCACGACGCGGCAGAAACGATATACCCGGCGCTCGGAATGCGGACAGTCGGCGGCGTCGACCTGATCCCGTCTGATAACGCCACGGGGCCAGATACCACCGTCATCTACACCATCGGCGGAGTAGAGTACCCCGTTGACGGAGTATGGGGGTGCGAGACGGCTGCGAACATTGCCAAGTCGTTCCATCTCGCCGAGTCCGACCTATCGGGCTACCACTACTGGTGTGTGCCAAACATGGTCGTGAACACGCAACAATACTGGGTGCTTGGCGCGCCATTCCTGCAGACCGTGTACTCGGTGTTCCAGGCGGACCCGCCGCAGATCGGGTTCGCGAGCTTGTCCGAGGTCGCGGTGCAGACGGGCACGAGCCAGGGGGTCGGGCCGACGGGTGCCCCGGGGGCGGACAGTGGTGCGCGCAGGAGAGAGGTGGGTTTCGCGGCCGTCTTGGCATCACTGGCGGTGCTCGCGATCATGTAGGCATTTAGGGGCTGTAGACTTTAGATTGTACAGTAGTAGCCTATGCCATAGGGTAATTGATCGGTGGGGAGACACTTCTAGAGGGCAGACACGGGTGCGGGGTGAGTGTCGTTGGGCTGACCGCCTGCACGCCTGTCGACACACAGCTGCATGCACTACACATCGCCCGTGATGGCTCCAGATGCTGATGATACGCCAAGGCCGCCCGCCTCGCCCATTGGCGCTTCTCTCCGTCTTATACTCGGCCGTGAGCGGCTGGCACCAGAGGAGACCTGACTCGTGTCGTCGTGCTGGCTCAGAAGGCGTGCAGCCTTCTTCCCACGAAATGCGTGGCGTGAAGGGAGCCGAGTGTCCCGGACTGCGACTTGCGCAGCTTGAGTGACGCAGGTCGTGACGCCACAAGCTTGACCGGTGTGGCGGCGGCGTTTCATTGCCGCAGCAACTCCAGCGCAGCCTGAGGTCGGATATCGACGGCCTCCAGCCAAGATTACTCCATCAGGCGAAAGACGTCCTCGCCGGCCATCTCCCGAAACTCCGTGAGCGAAATAAAGCGCACACACTGCGCGATCCTCGCCATCGTCTTCTGCGCCGGCATCGCGCTGCGGCGCACGAGGCCGCTCGTCACCTCCTCCGCGCTGGCCGCCCGCCACGTTTCGGCGCCCACGAAGACGAATGTCGCGGGGGGACGCCACGCAAACACCGCGTCCGCGAGGGCATCGAGCACGCCGCCAACAGCCGCTTCGCACGGGAAGACGAGGTACACCTCGGCCGCGACGCAGAGCGCCGGCACCACCGCGCGCCGGAAGACGAGCACGGCGCGCGGCGCGAGCCGCACCGCCTCCCCCGGCTCGTCGTACACCGCCCACGCGGGCCGGAGGCGGCGGAGCTGTGCGCGCGTCGCCCAATCCGCGTATGCTAGGGACGCGACACGCACGGCGCGCAGGGCGACGAAGCCCGCCGCGGCCGCGAGGAGCGCGGTGAGCGCCGCGGCGCGGTGGCGCGCCCCGCAGCCTGCGCAGGGCACGCCGGCGTGCGTGTGCGCGTGCGAAGGCGAGAGCGGGGCGCGCAGATCGAGCACGCGCGTGTACTGGTACATGTGCGCCGGGAGGCGCAGGGCGCAGGGCGTGCGCACGCCCTCCGAGAGCACGAGGTGGTGCGCTAGCTTCGGGTCGGCTGCGTCGCGCAGCGCGCGCGAGGTCGCGCGCAGCGCGAGCAGCGAGGCAGGCGGCGCAGCGTCCAGGATTGCGCGCAGGAGGTGCGGGAACGCCGTGTGGTCCAGTACCGGCGCGGGCGCGCGGCGCGGCGCGGGAGGCCGCGTTCCGTCTGGCATCGTCAGACGTCGTCAGTCGTCGAGTAGTTGTCGAGTAGTCGACGAGTAGTCGTCAGGTTGTCGTGAGTGAAACAGTTGGAAGACGATCAGTCGTCTCCAACCCCACGTCTCTTAACCGTCCTCGCTAGGTGTCTGGAGGACCGAGCGCGTGCCGCAAGCCACCGCCCCTGGCGGCACGAAGGGCGTTCAAGCGACGTGGACAATAGCGCCAGTGTGAGGGTAGGAGATGGCGCGAATGAAGAATGCATGGTGTGGATAATGCCTGAGGGGGAGCGTAGAACTCACATCAAAGAGACGAATAGAGGGAGAATCTCGCCAGCGCCAAGAAATGTGAGGAATGCTGCACGTTGGCATGTCTACATTCCACGACGGTCCCGCTGCAGCCGATCAAGTCATCGGCACCATTGTGGACGACTCTGCGAGATGTCGTGAGACCGACAGCCATTGTAGGGCATCTATCTTGGCTGTGCAGAGCCGCTTAAGAAGCAGAAGAGGTGGGAATTGGCTCCGGCCCGATCCTCGGCCCACCCACCCCATCGGCCCTCAAAACCACAGCGTTTCCCGTCAAAACGTAAGCATTCTCCACCAGGGAGTTGAACCCTGCTCTTTCGCGGTCAAGCCCGCTACTTTCGTAGCCAGGCGCTCTCTACTGAGAGGCGAATATACTAACCGATATACTAGTGAAGAGGCTGATGGTCGGGCTCGGGGAGCGCTCGAGTCGCGGCGGCCTCCTGGCGGCGTCTAAAGCCAGATGGCAAGCCAGGAGCCGTGAGGCAGACCGTGTGTTACATATCAAATGCAACATTGCGGCGCCGACGCTGAGCGATGCCTTCTTCAAGTACTCACTCGAACGCGTGGTTGCTCATGCGTTAGCTTTCATAGGCGGTATGAGATGTCTTATGATCTGTGCTCGTCTGCTCGGGCTTCCAATACTGAATAGGTGTTTTGATCATTTTCCAAAATCCGTCTGGGTCATGCACCATCGGTCCCTCGACGCCTATCGACTTGCAGCACACCTGACACACTCGAATCTCGGGGCGTTCTTTCGTTGCCTGGACAGAGGTCGACGCACTCACGTCACACCCGCCCACTCCCCTCAACTCAGTAAGCTCCGGCCGCTCAAGAGTCTGGGACGGTCGAGCCAATCCGTACTCTCCGGACACTTCTTCGGTAGGCAAAGATCGCGGGAGGAGGCATCGCCATCGGCTTTCGTCTTCGACTGAATGGCGCAAGTGCCGCAAGTGCCGTGGTGTGCGAGCGACAATTGAAAACGTCCCCGAAATGTGGGTGCGCCAGGCCAGTTCCTCGGCGGGTAACGTAGACTGTATGCGTGACGTACCTACCTTCTCCAGTAATGTGCTTCATCGTTCGGTGGATCATGGTGACTACTCCTCTGGGGCAGTGACGGCACAGTGTCAGATGACGATCTGCCCCGAATTGTGTCCGGACAGACGATCACTGCACTCTGTCAACGAGTGAGCTTGCCTGAGAGCTTGCTACTTCGCCAGGGGTCCCGGCATGAGCTTACTCGCCATCTCGGGCCCTACTGACGTCTTGGCACGAGTCGATCGATACCGTGTTCCCAAAGCCTACGACGCCGCCATTCTGCTGGCTCCAACAGCAGCGCTCAATGAATCTCCCGCTTTTACACATGTCCAGGCTATGCGGGAGCGCGCTAGCGGCGGCTGAGCGTCTGAATTGCAGAATTGAGATCACCGCGCACAGCTTATACTTACGACGCATCTCCCGTGATCGGCATCTGAGCATGGAGGGCGTGCAGCGCGGCAAGCCCTTTCCGAGGGCGAGCCCCACACCTTCGTCGACGCATGACGCGGCAGCGTCGCAGGTCCGTGACGGGTGGGCCCGCCGAGCCGAACGCTGAGTAACCATACAGGCCAGCTGATCGAGACACAATTAAGACTGACATACAAGCTTCGGCACACCGAAGGTGAGGAATGCCGCTGGGCCAGCCCAATGCCAAGACAATCCTAGTTGCTGAATGAGCGACATCGCCTTGGAATCCGCGTTTCACATCAGAGCAGCAGCTGACAGGGAGATAATATCGGCGCGGAGGGTGTGCCGGCGTGAGTGAGCGTGAAATCAGCGGGCATTCAGCCAGGCCGGGTGGAGAGGTGGCAACCGAACAACGCAGCCGCCTGTTCGGTTCGTCGAGATGATTGTTGATAGCGTGCCATCCCCTTCCAGGCCGCCAGGCACGGCCCGCGGAGCCGAGTTGACATTCATCTGACATCGAGTGTGGCGGAAGCCGAGTCTGGATGCAGCGATGCAGTGCACGGATTGTGGCTGATCGGCGAGGCTTGATGCACGACTGAACGGCGGGAGGAGGGTGGGCGGATCTGCAGATCGACCGGCCGCTGCACGGAGGTGTCGGACTGCTCTTGGCGGTGGGTGTTTGCGCGCTATAAAAGCAGCGGCTCCGCGCACATTCATCCCCAGCCAACGGTTCTCCATTTCAGCCCACGTTTGACATGCTGCCGATAAGAATCCTCCTCACTCTACTCGCCTCTGTGGCCCTCACCTCGGCCGCGCCTCACCACCTCGCCGGTCGACAGGATGAGGCCGATCCCAGTGCGACACCTGATGTCATTGTCGAGCCGCCCCCTGAGGTGACGGATACTGCAACTCCCACAGTTGCGCAAACAACCAACGACATTGTTATTCCGACCTCAACCACCACGAGCGACGAGGCGACCATGACCGACGGCCAGGAGCTCCCCTTTGCCAACTGCCGGAGCGAATGCAGTGGTGCATTTGACGACTTCTCCAGGAACTGTGATGGATCAAACCCTTCGAACTGCAAGACTGTTTGCGTGGGTGCAGTCGTTGTTCATGTCAACAGACGCTAACCAGAAGGAAATGTGGCTCGAAGGCTTCAAGCAATGCGAAGCTTGCATGCAGACCAAGGGGGCGGCTTCTGACCCGGGCCAAGCTAAGATCACCGAGTGGGCTCCCTTCGCAGCCAACTGCCCTCCCGTCGGCGGCGGTGGTCTTGACGCCTACAACTTCGGTGATTGTGGAGACACATGCAAGCCGCCACTGCAGAGTATCATCACTGCCTGTGAGGTCGCTACGGAATGCGCCAAGAGTTGTGACGTGAGTGCCTTGCGGCTCTGTCTTCTCGTGCTAACCTTTAGCAAAAGGAAAACCTCATGAAGTGCAATGACTGTGTCTCCGCCCCGAGCTCAACTGCGGATGACAAAGCTAAAGCCCTTGTCAAGGAGGCAGTCGATGGTCTCAACGGCCGCTGTGGTGGTGCGCCGGCGGGCTGTGAAGAGGCGTGCAAGGCGTTCCCCGACCTCAAGGCCGCATGCGACAACCCGAACAATGAGTACAGCACCGACTGCCTGGGCACGTGCTGGAGCGAGTGGGACACTTATGCACCTTGCGAGCAGTGCTACATTAAGAACGGCTCGGTACCTGCCGACGTCGCCAAGACGTTCGAGGCCGCCACCTTCTGGTGTGCTCCTGGCGGATGCTACGTGGCTTGTGACGAAGCGACAACACAGCTCTCCGAGCACTGTACCGCGGGTGAGGAAGCATGCAAGAAGAACGTCTGCGAGAGCGGGGCGCGCAATGCTCTGCAACAGTGCCGTTCTTGCATGTCCAACGCGCCGGTCGACGACAAGGCTTGGCGCGATGACATTATTCTGCCACCCATTTCAACGGTGGACGACTACTGCTCTGGCAAGATTGCCTGGCCTACCGACCAGTGTCAATCAATTTGCAGCCCGATCCTGGACCTCGACTACAACTCTTGCAAGGATGCAGACATCAATAAGTGTGCTGCCATGTGTGCTGTGAGTCTTATTGAGGGCTTTAACTAAACCCAGGATGAGAGTCTTGGTGCTCTCGAGCAGTGCATGCAGTGCGCGACAGACTCCACCGTCGAGGACTTGTTCAACAAGATGCGCGGCTGGTGCAAGGAGGATCCCGGTCCCACTCCGATCGTGGTTGTCGTCAATCCCACCGTCACAGTCACGGTCCCCAACCGTCCACCTCCTACCGGCATTGCTCCTGAGTCGCGTCCCACCCCCACTGGCAAGACGGGCATCTCGGTCAACACGAGCCGCCCCGTTGCCACCACCCGCCGCCCAAGCGGAAGCGCGCGCGCCACAAGTCAGAGCGTAAGTATCAGTCCTGGCAAAGCTGATTCCCAGTCGGCAAGTGAACTCTCCTTTAGTTTCGGAGGCATGGGTTTCGGTGCTGCCCTCGGCCTCATCATGGGCATCCTCGTCGTTGTCGTCTAAGCCTAAGCATATTTGGCCGCCTACTTGCCAATTGCTATTGCAGTTCGTAATTTCTCTCCTTTGTAAATGACCGTATCTGTGACCGAATCGAATCTGAATATTGTTGCCCAAGGTCTGCCGCCACCGACTTCTCTTTTCCTCTCTCTGCCCAAGATGCCGCGCCGGCAAGCCGTATTCCAAATCCCACATACACCGCCTTCTCGGTCCCTCAGTGGCACTGATCTCTGAAACCTGACGCACGATCGTCGTTTTGGCGGAAGATCCTCGGTCCGTGCTCGGTGGTCTCAATTGTAGTCAGTCCGAGGAGGAAGCGGTCCCGGAAGTCTGGGTCGGTCGACAAGGCGGTGCATCACTCACCGTCCCGGCATGTCTCGGCTTCATTCCCCGCCCGCTCCAACACTACATCGAACTGCAGCTTCTCACCACACTACCGCTGCCAGTCCAGCCGGTGCTATCAGAGTGCTCTATGAAGATCGGAGCAAATAGACCTGCGGGACATCTGGTCGCCGGCCGGTGCCTGGTGCCTCGGCGATTTGGATCGACGCTGCATGTTCCATGATTTTGTCGTTCTTTATTATGTCTAACAATCCGATACACAACCTCCTGTTTTGCACGTGACACGATCGATCTTATCCCTCTCACGCTCCGTCCAGATAGCCTTGTATTTCGGCCCCCAGCTGCATCGCATTCGGACGTGGACGCCGGAGCGTCTCGAGACAACCGGATGGTGTCTTGGGGCGCGCGACTGAGGGGAAGCCCACCCGCCGCCCGTGCCGTAACCTCGAGCATCAGCGGCCATAATTGCGTTGAGGTTGAGCTGAACGTGTGTGTGCACTTGTTGTGGACGATATCATCGATTGATGTCGCTGGCGTTGGGAGCCCTGCAGGCTTTTGTATCAGGGAATCCAGGATTACTCTGAGATCTAGGCGCTGCATTCAACGCCCGATGCCTGGCTGATTGCGGCCATGCAGTAGTCGAGCGCGCTTGGCAGGGGGGCACTGCCAAATACAGAGAGCGCGGGCTTGGTACCAGAAGAGCCGGAATGCCACAAGTCGCCTAGCGTGACGGCCAGCGTCTTGCAGCGCCTTGCATGATCTTCTTCGCTGCAAGTGGCTGAGAGGTAGCCCACAGAGATACATAAGAGGAGGAGTGAGGAGAGTTTCTGCATAATCTCCAGCTGCCATGTTGACTGCCAGGATCCTTCTCACCCTCGCGGTGTCGGCGACCATCGCATCTGCCGCTCCGCCCAAGCTCCTTCCTCGTCAAATTCCTGAGTTTGGGTCTTGCGACCGCTGTACGCAGGCAGTGAGCGATCTTGGCCCGTACTGCCACTACAAGCCGGCCGAAGAGTGCAAGAAGGCATGCGAGGTGAGCTGTTCCAACTATCACAGCTAATGACAGAGCCGCTTCCTTGACCCGCTGAACGCGTGTGCCACCTGTTTGGCATCGGACACGACCGCCAACGAATACGGCCGCAATTTGGTCCGCGATTGGATAGCACACATGGATGAGGCGTGCAAGCCCCCCGCACAGACTACCTATGGCCAATGTAACACGTGCGAGAAGGCTATCGAGGATCTCACTCCATTTTGCCACGGCAAGAGTGCCGAAGTCTGCCGCACCGCTTGCAAAGTAAGTAACTGTACCGACTCTGCTAACCTCTAGAGCGAGCTGCTCGACCCACTCAAGACATGCTCGGACTGCATTAGCTCTGACACGACGGCGACGCAACAGGGCAAGGATCTCGTCAGCCAGTGGCAGAGCCACATGGACACGCAGTGCCGTGCGCTCGGCGGGAGCTGCACGGAGCAGTGCGGCGCCATCCGGCCCGACATGGAAGCTCAATGCGGCACCAGTGGCGCTAGCTTCAGCGGTTGCCGGGAGCTCTGCAACCGCTTCGACTCGGCCTCGAACTGTGCCTCTTGCCAGCAGAATCTTGGCGGGCTGCCTGATCTCATGGGGGTGAGCTGGGGTGCTCTCCAGTGGTACTGCCAGAACGGGTGCGGGCCGACGTGTATGGGCGTCGTCGACCAGATCAACTCGCAGTGCAAGGATGAGGCCACGTGCTACACGGCCATGTGCTCGGGCGACGCCAAGGCCAAGCTCGACGAGTGTAGCTCATGTCTTTCGAGCGGACCGATTATCCAGACTCAGATGGAAGAGCTCCAGTCCGGGGTGACGACGGTTGTCAACCTCTGCAAGGGCTCCAAGCCAGGCGGCACGATGTGCTTCGACGAGTGCAACCCGATCCTCACCAAGGACAACGAGCTGTGCCAGGCAGGGGACCAGATCAAGTGTCGGGGCATGTGCGCCGTAAGTCTAAAATCACAAGCATGTCTGATCGCAGGATGAGAACATCAGCGCGATGGCCAAGTGCAACGAGTGCGTTAATCGCTCCGACTACACCGATTCGAAGGAAGCCAAGGATGGAATCACAAACTACTACGGCTCCCTCACCAACTGGTGCAAGCAGCAGACAACGAACCCCGGCACGGTCAACCCTCCCACGGCCCCGAGCACTCCATTCGTTCCAGTGCCAGGCGGCGGTGGCTCCAGCGGCGGCGGAAGCGGCACCCGTCCGGGAGCCATCACTATTGGCGCCCCTGGAACGACCACAACGGGGCGCGCTGGTTCGGCTGCGTCAGCCAGGCCTAGCAGCGTGAGTGATAAGATTGTGAGCCGGCTGACGTTAGGCTGCTCGGACTCAGTCCTCAATTGACAGCTGCTCATTCGTACTTGGGGTGGGCATTGTGGCAATCGTGGCAGGCTTGCCTCTCTAACCGCGACACGGAGTGCATCATAGGCTCGGTCAGCCAGTGATAGTGTTACAACTTAATAGTGCTCTGTCTTTATGGAACTACCTTGTTTTCAGTTTGACGTGTCGAGGTTGAAAACGACGACAACGAGGAGATCAGGCCAAACAACCCTGTTTACGCACTGAACCAGCCGTCAACCATTCCCCTTCACATCCCCCTCCCCACTGTCCCTCAATAATGCACAAACCTTGTGCAGAAGCGGTGTTCGCGGTGTCCCGCAACTCTCACAGTGGCAGCGGAGAAGGAGCGGGCGGGAGACTGTTCGGTACGGGTAGGCAACTCATGACCGCCCTCCGAAAAGTGACCGAGCGGCGCGGCGCCTCCACCGCCACTATTAGGGCGATCAGGGGAAGCTAATGTCCGCGTCGTGTTCCATGTCAGCCTCAGCTCAATCCAGTCTTAAGCTCACTTGATCATCCCGCCGTGATCTGCATCTCCGCCACTCTCGGAGAGGCGGTGCGATCACATCTGCCATCCGCACTCGATGCTGGCCAGACCCGCGTTCCCATTCACCGAACACCCGGGTCAGGGCTCTGGGACCTGCATGTTCTTCGGGTCGGGAAGATGCGATAAGCGTAAGCACCCCGCTAGATTCCCTGGATCAAGCCCCTTCCATCGTGCCGAGATCTCGTGCGGTCGGCCGTCCCTGCCATGTTCTGGGCCACACCCCGTTGCCAACATCTGTGGCACTCGGTATGTTAATGTTGCTGAAGCCGCAACAGTCTGATTACTCTCTGATCAACTGCGTCTGCGCCGAGCCGCCGCTCAACCTTCCCATTCTCACGAGAATCGCGACCGTCGTCATGCAAACACCGCCTTGATAGTCATCTGACGGCCAACAGCTGACTCACTATGATATCGGGGTGCATCTTGCAAGGGGTGTGTTCTTGGATGGGCGTGGCACTTGAAAGAGTTGATATAAAGCCACTCCCACGCTCACGCTCTCAGCACCAACACCGTCCTCTCTGGCCTTCTCAGTCACACATACACCTGCTCTAGTGATCGCTGGCCATGCGCCTCCTCTCCGTCCTTCTGCTCTGCCTGGCAGTCACGGAGACACATGCCGCTTCCCCCCCGCGGTTGGTCCTCCGTCAAGAACCCTCTGGGGCGCCGCCCGCGGTCGACACCCCCACGCCATCGCCGGCCGCTCCTGACCCTCCTAGCTCAAGTCAAAGCCCAGTGATATCCGACCCGACTCCCGTGGCTCCGGATCCACCCCCAGTCTCCGTGCCGTCCGACCCAGTTACGGTGACTCAAGCCCCGGACACCAATACTCAGACAGGCGGAACTCCTACGTCCTCAACGCCGACCGGGGAGCAGGTCACATCGTCAGCCGTGGCCGACTGGCCGTGCCGGAGTGAATGCAACGACCCCGGTTCCGGTAGTCTCCCATCACTGTGCCAAGACAAGACCAGCGAGGCATGCCGGGCGGAATGCGTGAGTTCTGGGAGAAGGGGGCTTCTGACAGGAAGCGATCGAACTCGATCACGATCTGTATGGATTGCGTCAAAGCCAACGCTGGAAATCCGCAGGTCGAGGAACGGTATCGCGAGAGGATCGAGGGATACTGGAACGAATATCAAGTGCCATTCTGTGAGGCGGACACGCCCTGTGGGCTCGAGTGCGACAATCCAGGCGCTGGCTATGTTGCAACTGCTTGCGGCGAAAGTAAAGCGAGCACCTGGTGTCAATACCAATGCGTAAGTCTATGAACCAGGCGGCGCTGACGCTTAGGGCGAAAACCCTATCAGGAAGTGTCTGGATTGTGTCAAGACCAACTCGGGGAATCAACGTGTTCAAGAACTCTATCTCCAGAAAGTCAATGGACTGTATGACGAGTACATTGCTCCGTGGTGCGACTTGGCCGGAACCAAGTTCGGGTTGTGCCCCCTGTGTGACCAGCTCTCCGCTCTTTTGCCAAACTACAGGAATTGTACCACCAAGGAGGAGTGCCAGTCTGGAGATGGATGTAGCGTAAGTTGTTGAATGGGGGCGGGATACACGCTTACCTAAAGGAAAGGATTCTGTCTCTCGTGAACCAATGCAAAGCCTGCATGGACGTGGACAGCAAGGCGACCAGCGAGGGCAAGGCCGAGATGGACAACTTCCTCAGCTGGCGCCAGGAATGGTGCACCGGCACCACAATCACCGACTGCAGTGCTGAGTGCGAGACGATCGGAGCGGCCATGAACGCCAGCTGCACGGACGGGAACATTGCTTGCAGCGGCCTGTGTCCAAACTACCAAGCGGCGGAGAAGTGCTGGACGTGCCAGAACAGGTTTGACTTCCGCTACGCATACCCGCAAGCCGCTCTTTCCTTCTATTGCGAGCAGGAGGAAGGGAAGAACTGTGCCTGGGTTGGGGCGACATACGCCAAAGACTGTGCTGCCCTCACGAACAAGAGCGAGTGTGTGCTTTGCGGTGGCGCGGACAGCCGCCCCGCTCTCGACAAGTGCAACAAAGATGTGCCCATCTCAGACCTGTACGCGCCGCAACAGGCCACAGTCATGGACGCGCTCGCGCAAGTATACGCCGGCTGCATTATCACCGGAGGGCCCAACCCCAAAGGGTGTGCGCAAGAGTGCGAAAGCATTCTCCAGAGGTACACCGACATGTGTCCACGCGCATGTAATGGGATGTGTACGGTAAGTCTCAAGATGCCAGAGAAGTCCATCTTGCACGAGGCCTTATAGCACTACTGCACGACAGGGCTCATGCCAGGCTGAGAACCTCGACGCCATGGACGTGTGCAACGCCTGCGCACACAGCAACGAAAGTGTGTACTCGGACACGGTCAGAACTAGGATCCGGGACCATGTTGCCCACCTCGCGGACTGGTGCAACACCATCGTAATCGTAGAGAACATCACGACGACTATACCGGTCAAGCCCCCGGGGTCCGTCCAAGTCCCGGACCCGAGGGATATCAAGAACGAAGTGGACCGAGAGAACAGGAACCCGCCGCCACGCAATACCACGACCCCTCGACCAAACCCGTTCGGCAACACGACAGTCCCGATCAACACCAAGAGCGACAGCACGGGTGGCGGCGGCATTCCGACATGGGGCATCGGCGTGGCTGCCGCTGGCAGTGTGGTCGTTGTTGCAGGCGCGGCAGCGGCAATCATCGCCAACGGGTATGAGTGCGACCCTGACCACCGTCGCCTCCGTCGCAAGAAGAAGAACAAGAAGAAGAAGAATAACAACAATGACATGCCGGCACCAGAGTGGCAGCAGGAGCCCGAGAAGCCCCAGGTCGTCGGGTACATGATGCCTACGCAGGAGTATGCGCCGGTCCCAACTCAAGAGCCGCCAAACCCTCAATATGGCCAGCATTACGCACAGGCGCCGTACGGCCAGTCCAGCGGGTATCCCCAAGGGGGCCGATACTGAAAGTGACGGAATTACAAAAATATAAGATCTAAGCGAAGGAAAACGGCCGGCGAGACATGGCAATGTACCAGTATGCAAGGTTGTGGACTCGACTCCTTGACCTGCTCTCAGCAGCAGCGGCTCGGCTAATATGTACTGAACTCACCAGCAGGTCACACGCTCCCAGTGCCGCCGAAGTTCCAGCGAGAGCTGTGCAGCGCGACAGGGAACGTGAATGGCAGCCCCACCTTATCTCGTCACGGGACATGGAGGAGTAATAAAGGCTGAGACTGACAAGCCCGAGCTGATTTACATCGTGTGAGCCCTTCAGGGCGCAAACAACATGCAGGGACATGCTTATTCGATATTGTCTTGGCTTGCACCCTGACTAGATCTCTTCCATCCCTTTCCTGACCTCGTCCTGAACTCACCTTGAACGTGCGGAGTGGCGGCAATCGGCTCCCCCACCGGTCTCAGACCGCCACTAGCGCCCGTGCTTGTTCGCTTCATGATCCGCCAGACGCGGAAGGCAATGCCGGGCGTGACCGCCGTCAACAGCGCCTACCTAGCGCCTTCACTCCTTGATGCATTGACCACGGGATGCGATACGCGGCCCAACCGCTCGCCACTGCCCGCCAGAGGCAGGTCACAACCCCGCCATAACCAATAGTCGGAAGGCCGCAAAGTTGCTTAAGAGAGGCAGCCCAGGGCGTTGTTCTGCCTCTCCCCAGTCAAGACTCTCGAAAGCTCGCAAGCTGACACATATCGAGGAGACGACAACACCATGCGCCTGCTCATCGCTGCGCTAATCGCGGCCGCTGCCCCCGTCATCGCCGTCCCGCTGGACAGTGTGTTCGTCCACGCACGCTACCTTGCCAGCTTGGGTCTGGAGGCGCGGCAGAATCTTGCGGCCTCACCATATGGCATCTGCAATGGGCACTGCAAAGTCGTCGGCCCGCTGGACCTTGCTTGCGGGGACGTAAGCCGTAGCACCCGCCGCAGCCTCGCCGCCTGCCGCACGGCCTGTGATGTGAGATGATTCTCGGACAATGCGTTGCTGACAGCAGGACGGCTCGCGCGCTCAAGTGAGCGAATGTCTCACCTGTATCCACGAGGACGGTTCCAACTCGACGCAGGCGGGGCGGACGTCGGTGCTCGAATGGGCGGAGTTCATGGACACCACCTGCCCGCTCATCCGGGATACGACCACGACACCTCCATCGACCCGGCCATGCTCCCAGTGCGACGCGCTGTATCCGCGGGTCATGATGGCCTGTAACTCTAGTAACCCGGAAACGTGCCGTGGGCTGTGCGGCGACCTTGGCCTCATCAACGAGTGCATCGAATGCTACCGCCCCTACGGATTCGAGGAGTATGCGAGCTACGGCCGTGACGCCCAGTGGTACTGCACGACCGAGGGCGGCCAGGCATGCTCTCGTATGATCGGCGACGTGAACCGCTTGTGCGACGACGGTCAGAGCAGCTGCAAGGATATCTGCACTGTGAGTCGAGATGGGGGACAGGCTGACAGCAGGGCAGTCACTGGGAGGACATCAAGCAGTGCGAGCGCGCGGTACCCAGCTCTGGGCTTACGGGTACCCAGGGACCGACCATCCTGGACGGCATCGGATCTTTCAACCAGTACTGCGAGCAGCCGCCCAAGCCTAACAAGACCGGTTGCGCCACGGAATGCGACACCATCCGCGCAACATACGGCGACCTGTGTCGTGACAAGCAAGCCACCAAGTGCCGGGGCATGTGCACTGTGAGTACGTCAAGTGACACCGCTGACGCCAGCCTGAGAACCTGGGCGCATTCGAGGCCTGCAACACCTGCGCTCAGGGAGGCAACAGCACATACACTGAGGACACCAAGTTGAGCATCAGCGCCAGCTGGGCATCCCTGGGCACCTGGTGCCGGCAGGTGGAGACCAAGCCGATTGACGACCCCGAGGTCATTGGCACCATCCCGGACCCGAAGCCGGTCGAGGTCGTGGAGACCGAACCGACGGAGACGGACACCACGAAGGACCCTGGTCCGCTCAAGAACCCGTTCGCCAACAGCGAAACGTCGAACACCGGCTCGCCGTTGAAGGGAATCCCGACGTGGGGTATCGGCGTGGCAGCTGGCGGCGGTGCGCTCCTCATCGCTGCGGTTGTCGGCTCCGTCATTGCGTGCAACTACGAGTGCGACCCCGACCACCGCCGTCTCCGCCGGCGCCGCAAGAAGAACAAGAAGAACGACGAAGAGAAACCCCAGCAGCAGCAACAGCAGCAGCAGCAGCAGGACCCGCAGATTGTCGGATTCATGGTCCCAAGCGAGCGCCCGCCGAGCCAGGGCTACTTTGCCGGCGCGAGTAGCCCGCCTCTGAGCACGCCGCTTTCAGCTCCAGTTAGCATGGCCCACACCCCTGTTGGCCCTGGTCCCATGAGTCCGCCACAGAGCCCACCCGGCTCGCCCCCTCCCACCGGCGCCTACCCTCAGCAGCAGTACGGCCAGTTCCCTCAGCAGCAGTACGGGCAGCAGTATGCGCCGTACCCGCCGTATCAGGGCGGCCAGCAGTATTAGGCGAGACCCGAGGCTGCTTGACGGGTTGCAAGAGCAAGATCTGTGACGGTGGTCGGGTTTGAAGGAGGGGATGACCATGATATTGAATGCCTTATAATGCTCTGTACAGAGCAATGCATCACGCTTGCGTTCGGATTAGCACTGTAATACCTGATTTTCAGTGGTCAGTAAGACTGCAGGCCATCAGCCTCTCCATGACAATCTGTATCGTGATACGCAGCCGATCCGTAAACCGCGGGCGAGGGCGAGGTACCCCGTCGTCACTGCGTCCTTGCGTACGGACCGGCGCCTGACGTGAAGCCAAGCCCGCACAAACTGGCTTGGCGTCTGCTCACACATCCTCGACAGCATGCCGTGACCCTCCTCGCTCCTCGCCGCCCAGTCCCAAATAATGTAGCCCGACTATGTGCTCTATCGATGCCTGCACTGGAGTCAGCGTGTGCCTCATCTCCCACTCTCACCTCTAATGGAGGTTGTTCTCCTCCGTGTGTCCGTTCCCGGCCTCTGTCACGCCCAGGTCCGTGCATGCCTGCTTGTACAGCGCAACCACGGCGTGCCGGATGTCCTCGCGCTTCTGGAGCGCGTTCGGGAACGGGATCACGGCCGTCTTCGTCGTCCCGTCCTTGAGAATATATTCCCACGTCCCCGACGTCGCGTCGAGGGTGAGCATGTCGGCGCCGGTCGCGGTGCGGTCGTGGAACGCCTGCACGATGTACAGGTTGCCGTCGGCGTGGTCCTTGTTCATGTGGGTTACGGCGCGGTTAATGGCTTCGGGGGTGAGGAACGACATGGTGGGCAGGGGAGAGGGTGGGGGGGCGACGGAGTCGGCTGGATAGCGATTATGAAGCAGTTGCGAAGAGTGAAGATGCGACGTATCAACATCACACCCTGTCGCAGATCATGGCGAGAAAGATGAGACGAGGGCGTCATTCCCCGTGCCGCGCCAAGATGTCGGCTTCGGCCGAGCAGAGAACCTATCACCCATCACAGATGATGCTTTCTTTTGTGTCTCCGCGTCATCCCCCCTCCGCCTTCCGCACGGGCAAATTATCTGCATCACATCCACACCACGCTTTCACTCTCACTGCTGCTCACTCCACTCGCTCCATGCGCATCCCGCTCCGCTAGAGCTTGGGCTTTTTCCCTCCCTTGAGCCGCGCGACGACCTTGTCCACGCCGCCAAACAGTTTTTCCGCGTTTTCACTGTTGACAGCACTGAGGTTGCGGAACTCGCCGGCCAACAGGGTGTCGAGGCGCGTTGTGTGCCGCATGCTGCTGTTGAGGGCCGCATACGGGAAGTCGCTGCCGTACAGGATCTTGTCCGGCGTCGTAACCTGCAGGAGGCCGTATAGCGCCGTGGGTGTCGTGCTGAGCGCGACGTCAAAGTAGAAGTGGCGGATTGTCTCGAGCCTGGCATCAGCACTGCTACACGGGCCTGGAACGCACACATCGTCCATGGTCATGTTGGGGTCGACGAGTCGGGAGCTCGACGACATGCGGTCCGCGAGCCACGGGAGCGTGCCGCCCGCATGCGAGAGGATGACCTTGAACTTGCTGTGCTTGGTGAATGTGCGGGTGAGGACGAGGTCAGAGGCCGTGCGCGTCGTCGCTTGCGGATAGTCGACGATGGGCTGTGGCAGCTTCTCGGCGATCAAGCGCGGCGTCACGTCCACCGCGGCGGGGTGGATGAACACGATGGCCTTGTATCGCTCGAGGCGCGCCCAGATGGGCTTGAACTTGGGGTTGCCGAGGAACAGGCCGCCGTACGTCGTCATGGCCACGACGCCGGGACAGCGCAGGTCGCGCATGACATAGTCGATCTCGGCGAGCGTGCCCTCCACATCGTTCCAGTCGGGAAGGCTGCCGAAGAGAGCGATCTTGCCCGGCGCTTGGTGCGCCAGGGCCACGCATTCGTCGTTGCATGCGCGCGCGAGGGCGCGGCCCTCCTCGCCCGCGCCAGCGATGGACGGGCCGGGCGAGGTCACGCTCACGACTGAGACGCGCACGCCGAGCTGCGACGAGGCGTTCAGCGCCGCATCGAGAGACCAGGCTGGCATTGCCCACCCTGACGGGTCGCCATACTTGTCGATCGCGGCGCGATATGACGGCTGTTGTCAGTGGGGCGCGCGTGCGCCCTCATCAATCAAGAACGTACGGGAATAATGTGTACGTGTGTGTCGATGCGGTTCATGTTTGTCGCGAGGGCGCCCAAGAGCGATGTGAGAGTGAGAAGGACGAAACGCATTGTGCCCGCAGATTAGTCTTCACACCAGGTGACTGCCGTGCGCTCTTATCGACAAACGTATTGAGGGCACGGGGATCGCGGCCCCGGTAGCGTTCCGGCCGTTCCCCTGCCCACTAGATTAGATGGGCAAAGTCTTGGAAAGAGGGTCGCTGGAGATGTCACTGACGTCGAGAAAGTTGGCGAGCCGGTCATGTGGTCAGTCCAATCCTGCGTATCATCAAGACATTAGAGAGGGGCCGGGGAACAATCGGATGCACATGTAGCGTCTTGGCGACGCACAAGTCCGTCTCGATCATATGCAGTACATGCATACGGGCGGAAGGAGGCCAGAGAACGAGATGAGGTGAGCTCGGCTTCTCGAGCAGCCGGATGACTGTGCTGGGCCGAGCGAAGCGAGCAAGCCGACGTCGCTGGCCGACATGCTCGCCCGCGACGGTGACACCGCCTGCGCTGCTGCCTCAGAGGTCTGCAGCTGCGGTACGCTTCCGTGGAAGAGGAGCGCGCATGGACGGTGCTCTTGGCGCTGGTATGGCCAGCATGGCACGGATGACGCGACGAGTAATTGTGCGCGAGAGGGTACCCTCGTCCCACGCCGTGCTCTCTGAGCTAGCTTCGTCTGCCGTTAGCTATTGCCCTCGCATATCTACAGCCAGCAGGACTCACCACGGCCGCTCGTCCATCTTCTCGTCATCCTCATCCCCGTCCTCGCCCTCAGCCTCAGCCCCGAGCTTCGTGCCCGCGCCCATAAGCTTCGCGCGCAGCACACACCGCTCGCGCGTATACTTTGTGCGCTCGCGCTCGAGCGCCGGCTTGACCTGCACCATGACGGTGTCGAGCACGCCGCGCTCCTTGAGCGTCTTGAAGAGGAACAGGCGCCGATTATTGAGGGAGAAGTAGAACGGCGTCGCCTCGGCCGGCTCGGCGCGGCCCTTGGCTTTGGGCTTGCGCCCCCCGCCCTTCTTCCGCCTGCGCCCGTCCTCCTCCTCGTCCTCGCTCGCGTCCGCGGACGGCGGCGCCTCAAAGTTCTCGATCACGGTGATGTACGGGATGTCGGCGAGCGTCGTCGTGCCCGCCACGATCTCGTCCAGCGTCTCTTGGATGCGCTTGTTGCAGCCCGTGAAGACGGGCCGCACGCGCGCGTGCGTGAAGTAGATCGTGTCCGGGTCCATCTCGCGGAGGACGCGGCCGGCCGCCGTCTTGCGCGACATGGTGGTTGTTGACGAGGTGAGAACGTGGTATGTGCGGAGCGAAGTTTTGGTCTTCGTCTTGCAACTCAGGCACGGATAAGCGGTTGCGGTTGCAGATTCCGTTAATCAGCATTGCGATGGCATCCTGATGGCGTCCACCGCCGCGATGGACGTGAAGCAGCCGCTACGATATCGTGAAACACAGAATGCATACAATCAAGCATTATGACGCCTACCCCGCCTACCCCGCCTCAGATCGCCCGCCCCGTCTCCTCCAGCACCTCGTCTCCCGGCCGGGGGTCGTAGAACGGGTCGACGCGGCCCTCGTCTGCGCGCCGCTGCCGCCGCTCACTGAGATGCTGGAGCACGCCGCCCAAGCGGCCAGGCGAAGCGTTCACCGAGCGCGTCTGAGACGACGTGCGCGAATGTGCAGGGCTCTGCCCGTCGCCGAGCGCGTCGACCTCGTCCCGCCACGCCGGCGTGGGCAGCTTCTTCATGCGCGGCGGGGTGAGCTGGATGGACATGGACCCTGGGCTCGCGTGCACTCGCATGGGCGACGGCGAGCGCCGCGGCGTCCGCGGAGCAAGTCTGGGCGAGAGTGGGGCGGCGGACTTCTCGGGCGTCCTGCTGACGCGCGTGGATCCGATGTCGCTCTCGGCGAGCGCCGGCGAGTCGACCCGCTGCCCACGCATGGCCCGCGTAATCCAGAAGGCCTCGTGGTCGTGGCCGTCGTCTGACGAGTCGAGCGGCGTCCATGGGTGTGCCTTGTCCGCGGGTCGCGCAGGTACAGAGTGAGGTGTCGGGGTGGAGACGTACCCCCGCATACCGAGGAATGCGGTGCCCGGCGCAGCGAGAGCCCGCAGCGAGCCGGAGTGCGAGCCGCCTTCGTCTGACGGGGCCGAGCGGTCCTTCTCCTGGTCCGACGTATACGTCTGGTACAGCGGGTATGGGGTGAACGAGGCGTTCGCGGGGGGCGGCTTCCCACCTCCGGCGATTGCGCGCCGGCGCGCAACCCACTCGCGCCCGCCCGAGTGCCAGGCCACAACCAGCAGCCCGACGAGCACGACGAGGCCGTACACGCCCAAAAGAATGCCGTAGACGACCTGCTGCGCGCGCAGCGCGTCTTCAAAGTGTTTGACGAGCTTGCCGACCGCGCCCGAGTCCGGGTCGTCCCCGCCCACCGCGGCGGCAGTCACGGGCCCCGCGAGCTCGGCGGTGCTCTCGCTCGAGAGCTGGAGGACATCGGCCGGCACCGTGGGCAGGTCGACGTGCGCGTGCTCTCGCACCCACGCCAGCGCCTTTTCGAGCGAGTCGATCTTCGAGCCGAGGATGCAGTACACGAAGCCGTTGATGGGGCGGAAAAGGGGTGTGCCCTCAAACGCCGTCTTGATGGCTGCTGTCAGCGGCGCATGTGAGGAACTTACTTCGCTCGACGTCGTCGTAGAACTCGACGAGGGTCGCGTTCAGGTTGACGGCGGTGCCGTTGACCCAGTGCCCGAACATGTCCTCGTTGATGCTGGTCTCGATGGCGGAGAGCGCGACGTTCATGTCCTCTGCGTAGGACTGGGACGCGTTCGCCAAAAGGCCATTCAGGCGGCCGGAGAGGCCTTCGGTCGTGGCGCTAATAGACTCGGTGGCGCGCGCCTGCGCGGCGGCCTTGAGGCCGTGGAGTGCGGCGATCTGCGCTTGGATGGCGATGAGGCCGACCACGCTCATAATGAGCAGGGTGAGGCACGTGGGATGGGAGAGGTAGCTGAGAAGCCAGCGGACGTTGGTACGCGTGCGGGGCTTGAGGCGCGCCTTGTTCATCAGCGGGTTGGCGTAGCGCTCGATCAGAGGCGCGTCGACGACGGCCACGGTCGTCCATGCGTTGGGCACCTCGCGGCGCCACTCGTCCTCGACGGCCGCGACGGTGTCTTTGAGAGCGCGCCAACGCTGCCACTGGTAGAACGCGAGGACACCCCACCCAATCAGCAGCGCGAGGACCATGAGCCCAATCGCGGCGCCGCTGAGCTTGTGCAGTGCGGCGGCCGTGTCGTCGATAAAGCCTGTGTCGAGGTCGCCGCAGAGCTCGTCGCGCAGCCCGCTGTCCTGGCTCAGCGACTTGAGGCTGGGGACGGGGAAGGAGGAGCTGTTGAGGCCGGCGGCGATTTCGAGCCGCGTCTCGTTAATCTCGGCCTTAAGGGCTTCAAAGGGCACGTTGATGAGCGCGTTCATCTTGTCCTGCAGCTCCTCCATTGTCGGAAGGCTGTTGTTCAGACGGAGCAGACTGTCCTCGAAGCCGGTGGGGATCGTGACGTTCGCCAAAAAGCTGAGGGACGGGATGTCGATGGTGGGTACCGAGAGGTCGACGTTAACGATGGAAGTCACGCGCTGGGATTAGCATTGCGAGGGCGGCGGGGGCAAACTTACATTGATGCCTCTAACGGCGCTCTGGATGACCCTGTTCATAGTGCCGATGTCTTCCTGGATGCTGTCGCGGATCGAGTTGAGGCTGCTGGTTACGCCGTCCGAAATCTGCGTCAGTTCTGTCGCCATTAAAACATACTATCTGTACCGCACTGATCAGCAGCTCCAGTGAGCCCTGCACCACGAGCTGGATGGTGCAGAGCAGGAGGGAGCGGTACGTGTCGACGATGAAGTTGAGCACGACCTCGATGACCGTGATGCAGTCCATGAGCGCGCTGCCGACTGCAAGGACGGTCGCGCGGGTGGCGCGCAGGACCTCGGCGTTCGTCTGCATCGCGAGGTAGCGCGGGAGGGCGTGCAGCGTACCCGCCCCCGCTGCGATCTGCGCACATGCGTCGAGCACATTACGCTTGAGCTGCGCGGCGAGCTCGGCTGTGGACTTGCGCGCGGCGGCGACCTGCGCGATCGTAAAAATAAGCGGGAGAAAGCCTGGGTTGAAGGTTGTGAGCCAGAGGCGGGGCGCGAGGCCGAGGAACGGCTTGAGCTCGTGCTCGTCGTCCTCCTCGTGGATGGGAGGCATTGTGGAGAGGTGTGAAAGTGGATGTTAGGTTCGTAGATGGGATTGGGTCGCTGGCCAGACCTGAAGATAAGTGGAATGAACGGTGGATGGAATCGATGGGGGAGCAAGGGCTTAGTAGGAGCGCAATATACCGCGAGTGAATTGTCAGAACGTGAGTCGCAGCGTCTCGCCACCTTAGTGCGACTGGAGCGGGGCGGGGCGGTGCGCCCTCCGCCTCGCGCATCGCCCGTCATCACCCATTGTGCTCGGAGCGGACAATGGCGACGGGGAGTGATGGAGTGATGTGCAGGACATTGTCGTAGTGGGTATCTGAGCTGGGTGGATCACCTCCACCAAGCGTTGGGTGGTGCCACACGCTGTGCCTGTGAATTCACCGGGGCCACGTGGCTTCGAGGTCCGACGCGCGTCCATGACGCTCACCGCTGACGACAGTTCACTCGCAGCGAGTGCATCAACACTGCCCTCTCCGCCATGGCTCTCTTCGCAACACATGCCGCCCCGGCTGCGGTCGCCGCGCCCGTCGAGCAGTGCGTTGGGGGCTTGTCCGAGCTAACAGCAGCCGCTTCAGCCCATACGACGACAATGGCGGCTCGATCCTCGCGATTGCCGGCGCCGACTTCACCGTGATTGCAGGCGACACGCGCCAGACGCAGGGATACTCTATCCAGACGCGCTACGCCCAGAAGGTGTTCCAGCTGTGAGTGTTGTGTGATGTGGGAGTGCGGCGCGCGAGCGCCGCAGCTCATCATGCAAATGTTCGGGACGAGAGCACGCTGACAGCAGCACCGACACAACAGTGCTGGCGGTTAACGGGTTTGCGGCGGACGGCAACAACTTTGTCAAGCGGGTCAAGCAGAAGCTCGAGTGGTACGAGGCGGCACACCACAAGCAGATGGGGATCAAGAGCATTGCGCGCATGATCCAGACGATGCTGTACGGCAAGCGTTTCTTCCCGTACTACGTGTACAACATTCTCGGCGGCATCGAAGAGGACGGGACTGGGGCGGTGTACTCGTTCGACCCGGTGGGCAGCTACGAGCGCGAGGCGTGCCGCGCGGCGGGCGCCGCGCAGTCGCTCATCCAGCCCTTCCTCGACAACCAGATCTACTTCAAGAACATGACGTTCCCGGCGGGCGAGAAGCCTGTGCCCGGAAACCTGCCGCTGTCGACGGTGCTGGGCCTCGTCATCGACAGCTTTACGAGCGCGACCGAGCGGCACATCGAGGTCGGCGACGGGCTCGAGATGTACGTCGTGATGAACAAGGGGCGGGGCACGGAGGACCTGCTCGCCGCCGGCGTGCTGCCGGACGGCGTGAGCATCGAAGAGGTGCCGCCGCTCGGCGAGGGCGGCGGCGAGCGCACGTTCAAGATCTACCGCAGCCTCAAGCGCGACTAGGCAGGCAGAACATAGAGCAGTACAGAGGTACAGAGAGCAGCATGCATGTAACGATACTCGACCCAGGCTACCAAATGACGTGCGCGCGCATCATGTACTCGTACCCCAACACGGACTGGAGGTATGGTGCCATGTTGAGGCGGCGGGCGAGGTAGTGCGCGTCCGCCACCGACTTGCAGGTCACGGCATACGCCGCGCGACTACTAAGCTGGGCGGGGACGAGGCGCTTGAGGCCGTCCGCCTCGATCTCGACGCCCATATCCCGGATGAAGTCGCGGACGAGATTGACAGGCCGCTCGCGCGGCAAGCCGCGGAGGAGCACGCGCCGGCCCGACGTGTTGGGCTGCATCGCCCACGCGGCGTCCGGCAGCCCGCCGGTGCGCAGCGCCGCCTGCTGCGCGTACTGGTAATCCGTCGGCTGCCATGCCTGTACGCTGGCGATCATTTTCGCGCCCCACTCGGCGGCGTTTTGCGCGCTGAAGGCGACGCGCGCGTCGTCTTTGAGCCCGTTCGCGCCGAACGCGGGCCGCCCGGGCTGCACGGACGCGCGCGAGCTGCCCGCCGCGAAGAGCGGGCGGGACATGAGCACGTTGTACGTCTCTTGCGCGAGCGACGGGTTGCGCACCGTCAAGTGGTACCGCGCCGTCAAGGAGGCTTTGCGCGACGCCCCGACCGGCTGCCGCACGATCGCGCTGAGTGGGAAGTCTTTGGGTACCGCGCCGACCTCTTTCAGCGCGCGGTGCACGTCCGAGGGGAGCGCGGTGAAGGGCACGTCGATGACGAGGTGGTTGGACGTCCGGGACGCGGGGGCTGAGGTCAGCGGGTGGTTGGCCGGGAGCGTGGGTGCGCCTCGCCAAGCCGTTTACAACGCGCCGAGGGACTCACCGCCAGCGCCCGACGGCGTCCGCGCACTCCCACTCCGCCGCGTCGCGTCGCGCCGGACGGCTTGGGCGGGGCGCGCCGCCGCTGCCGCCGCCGCTTCCTGGAGGACACGGAAAGATGCGCGCATGATAAGTGAGAAGTGTCCGAGTCAGAGGTCCGCGGATGTCGGAAGCCTCAAGAGAAAACGGGCGGAGAGGGGGCCAATGTCCGTCCGCATATAGGCCACGTGGAAGGTGGCAGGGGACGTATGTACAGTAGGAGGGGAAGTACGGAGGTACCCGATTCCTGGACGCGGAATGCCGGTGCCTCAATTAAGATACGTTAGACGTCATGCTCTGGCCATTGATGGAGCCGCGGCGGCAGTAAACGAGAGACGAAGCGAAGGTGCGGGATGGAGTGGAGAGGCGGAGAGGAAGAGGTGGGGATGGACGGGGCAGCTGACTGGTCGTGCGACAAAGGCTAACCTTGGCGTGGATGATGATGGGGTATGTACGTGTTGGTGGGGCATGTAGGAGCGTCGTGAGGCGCAAGCGGTCGTTGGGGAACGTGTTGATGGACAGCGACAATCTCGTTATGCTTAGTGCCAATGGCCTGGCGTGCTATGTGGCGGTGCCAGAGGAACGTTGCCGTCGCAACCGCTGTGCATTCTGGTACTACATGCGCTATTAATGCGTACTACTTGGCTACAGGCGAATGGCATGTCTACGGCGGCGACCGTCTATACATGGCCTAACCAGTCTTGGCGGGCGGCACGGTCGACTGGTACAGCCCCGAGGCGGGGAGTGCGCGCGGCAGGTCCGAGGAGCGGCGGGGCGAGCTCGCGTTCGAGTCGGTCAAGTCTTCCTCGGGCGGGAAGGTCTGCTGCCGCTTCTGGAACATGTCGGGCACGAGGGTCTGGCTCGCCATGCGCTTGTTGTTTGGCCGCTCGAACCGCTCAAAGCCCGTGTACATGCTCAGCAGCTGGGCCGTGGGCGTGCGCGGGTTGCCCTTGGGCGTCGTGGGGTCGAAGGCGTTGAATCCAAAGCTCGGGGTGCGTTCGGGCGCGAGCGTCTGCTGCATCGCCGCGTTCGAGAAGAGGGGGTTCGGCGGCGGCCGCATCATCCCTGGCTTGCTCGAGGCAAAGGAGGGTGTGCCGAGCTGGCCTGTTGATATTTTGCGGGAGGCAGGGCCGAGGCTCATTGAGAAACTGGCGTGGCGTTGCTGGATGTGGTCGCGCCAGCGGTCCATGTCCGTGTCGTCCGAGTTGGCACGCTGCTGCGACTGCCCCTGCACTTGTCCCTGCTGCTGCCCCTGCTGTTGCTGTTGTGGGTAGAGCACGCCAGGCGGGCCAGTGGGAATAGCCATGGCGTCGGGGAACTGGAGCGGCGCGTAGTTGGCGGTGACAGTGGGTGGTGTCTTGAGGTCAGGCATCGAGTTGGACTTAGACAAACCACGAGGCGTGTCGAGCGAGTTGAACCCCATGTCCTGCACATCCGGGCTAGCAAGTGCAGCCGGGTCGAGGAACAGCTTCCAAAAGTTTACGTCCTGGCTGCTGGGTGCGCGTGACAGATTTGCAGACACGTCGCCCGGCGCAATGGGGAAAGTACTGTGGCGCTGCGGCTGCTGCTGCTGCTGCTGGTGCTGGAAGCCAAACTGCATGTTGCCGTTGACGTCAAAGGTGACGCCCTGAACTTGGGGATCGTCGAGATGCAGCTGGTCCATGGCGCCCGCCCAGTGTCCGCTGGCGCTGGAGCGGCGGCGGCGTGCTCCCTCCCTCTCAGTCCAGCTGATGGAGGAGGCATCGTCGTCCTCTGATGATACGGTAGGGGCGTAGTTGGGTGACGCGCTGCTGTCGTTGTACAGCGACTCTGCGCGCGTCCTGAACAATGTGGTTGAGCCGTGGAACGACGACGCAAGTCCTATGCCGTCCATCTGTATGCCGCCAAAGTCGCCTTGCGTTGGGATAGACACCGAGCCAGGCGGCATGATCCAGTTGCCACTGGAACCACGGCGGTCAGTAGAGACCTCGGTGGCGGTCGGACTTGTCGCGTTGGTGAGGGCGGGCGTCAATGCCATGGCGAGGTTGGCTGGAGACTGGTGCAGCACGGGGTTGTCAGCAGCCTAGAGGGCGTCAGCGGCCAAGCCCAAATTGCGTCATAATCCACTCAAAACTCACCTGGCTGCCGATCGTGTGCTGGATGCTTGCGTCCCATTGCGGGTCGGGCACAGGAGGCCGCGCGACTGCAACACCAACATTGCCTAGCGCGTCGGGCATGCGCGCTTGACTTGATGACAGGGGCGAGTTGCGGATGCCTGCAGTGGGAGAGATTCCGCTCAGTGGGTTAGAAACAGGGTCGACGGCGGTGGACAGATGTGGGCCCAAGCCTGAAGTGCGAGCTCGTTGTTGTTTGGTGTAGGTGCACTGGACTGATCTGTGGGCGCAACGAGCTTGTTGTCAGCGACATACACAGAGAAGCGTGTCTGCAAGGAGAAGGCAGAAAGTACTCACCACATGGATCGGCACAGTCGCAGCGCACCTTTGAGTGGTTGCACTGGTCGCACGCGCGCTTCTTGACGGCAAGGTCTAGCCCCATATGTGGGCCGGCTTGTGCCAGCTGTGGGTCAAAGCTCGCATGTGGGTTCACGGGGTCGGGAGCCATGGCGAAGGCCGCAGGCATGACGAGGTTGCCCAAGGCATCGGTGCCAAACTGGTTGCCGTGGCCGAGCGTGAATGCGGGCTGGGCCCACAGCTGTGATGTCGCTGCATTCTGCTGGAGCAGTGGATGGTTCGGATACATTCTCTGGGCTTGGAAGGCGGTAAGCTCTGGCGGGTGGCCGGGGTGGACTAGTGGTTGCGGCGCAGTGGGAGGAAGCTGGGGTGGCCGCGAAGCCGATATGCCACCCGTCGCGGGGTTCTGGGTCGACACCGACTTGCGTCTACCGCGCTTGTCTTTGTTCTTGTCGGCTCCTTGGCCATCTGGCTTGGGATGGGCCTTGTTGACATGGCGTGAGAGGAGGTCGCTGCGTGCAAAGCGTAGTGGACATTCCTTGCATTCGTACGGGCGGTCGCCGGTGTGAGCGCGCAGGTGGCGGCCGACGTGTTGTGGACGTGTAAACGTCGCGGAACAGAGCTGGTGGTGTGAGTGTATGCATCAGAGTAACAACTCACGGGACACTTGTGTTCACCCCCCATGGCAGTCGCCGATAGTAAGTGTGCGTGACTATGCGGTTGCTATGTGTCGAGGGGGGTGCAGTCCGGGGGGGGGGGAGGAGGCGATGAGCCGATGTGGTGGGGAGAGCTGAAGCGGAGAACCAAGAAGCAAAACGAGAGAGAGAGAGAGAAGCGAAGGGTAGGGGAGCGAAGTCGAAGACGAGTGCGAAGAGAGCAAAGAGGACGAAGGGGACGAAGAGAACGATGGGGACGAAGAAGTCGTCGAGTGTCGAGTCGAGTGAGGTCAAGGAGATTTGTGTGATGGCGGGTGGCGGTTGATGGTGGCGACGCGTTTGGGGCGTCACTGGCGCGATCAGACGTCGGTGGCGCGATCGAATATCGGGGTGGCGGTGGACGGTGGCGGAGAAGAGTCGAGGCGGAATGAGGATGAACGAGAGGGGGAGAGAGAGTGAGAGAGCGAGAGAGAGAGACAAAGGCTATCTCGATCGAGGAGAGCAGAGAGATGGCAGCGAGATGCCCCAGCTCCAACAGGACAACAGAATAAGCCAAGCGAACGACCGGCGGGGCTGCAAGGTCGAGGAATGTAATGCGGGCTGCTGCTGCTCGTGCTCGCTTGTGTGGATTGTGGAACGGGGAGAGTCTTGTTGTGCTCGGTCTAGAACTTGCTCGGCGGAGGGGCGGGGGGGCGGCGAGGGGGCGAGGGAGGGCAACAAACAAAGCCGAGCTAAAGAGAGAGAGAGAGAGAGGATGATGATGGATGATGACCTTGTGATGGAATGCCCGAGGTGTTGCGTGTTGCTTGTTGCTTGTTGCTTGCTGCGCGCTGGGTGCTGCGGTGACTGTCCACCAGGAGAGGGATGTCGTACCAAGAAAAATGACGTCAATTTCCACCTGCTAGAATGTCGCGGTGACGGCCTCTGTTGCTGTTGCTGCGCGTGAGACTGACGACTTGATTAGAGAATTGACAACCCAAGGGATGCGTCCAAGCCTTATTAGCTTGACTAGGGTTCAATGCTTGCCGGTCTTCGGCAGGCTGAGAGTGATGAGGGTGGGAGTGATCGCGGCGGAAAGAGATGTATGAATGAGATGAGATGATGGTGATGGTGACTAGCAGCAGCGAGCGTACGCCGGGTGGCTTGCCTTGGACCTTGAGAGGGTCAGGGGTGGCCGCCAGTGGGCGTTGGCGTTGGCGTTGGCGTTGGCGTTGGCGTAGGCGTTGGGGTTTGGGGCACGGCGTGTGATGTCGGCGGCCGTGTCGGCGGCGTGTCAGGCGCACGCGGTGGCGGGCGGCACGCAGTTTGCGGTACGGGTGGGCGCGGTGGTTGCAAGATTATCAGACGCCAAGATGGAAGCTTGGTGCCAAGATGAATATCCCCAGATGCCGGATGAGATGGGGGGAGATGTGGGAGATTGCTGGTGCTGGTGCTAGTGCTAGTGCTAGGTGCTTGTGGGTGCTTTGATTGCAAGATCTGGTAGTGGTTGCAATTGCCGCGGTTGCGAGTGTGTCAGAAATGCGAGCGAGTGAGCGAGTGGGCGAGTGGGCGAGTGGTGGTGGACCCAACCAAGCAAGATGGTGGGACGAGCGAGTAGAAAAGTACGGAAGCAAGGGTCAAGATGAAGAAGCAAGATGATATGGGCGAAGCGATACAGCGAGATGTCAAGTCGGAGAGGAGGAGCGAAGCGATAGCGACTACTACTACTGGTTGCTGCTGCTGCTGCTGCTGCTTCTGCTGTTGGATGCAGTAGTGCTGTGATCAGTCAGAGGGGGGCAAGGGCCGTTTGGGGGGAGGAGGGGGGGGGGGGGGG